ACAGAAGCGGATTCCCAAATGTCTCGGCAATACGAAGCTCTGCATGCTTGCCATGTTCGGCAAGATATCTCTAGCGTATCTTTTGCTGAAAAGGCGCCATGCAAGGGGGAAGAGGTTGAGGCTTGTTCCCGCAAGCCGAGGCTCGCAGAGGAGTTACAGGTGCTATCTTTTGCGGGATAGTACATTATTCGGTGAGGCTCTGGTCAAGATACCAATCTATTTTACGATTGCACAGAAAAATGGGACTTGAACAGAGAAAGAATGGCAAAAGCTGCTCTGTGCTGGGCAAACCCCAATCTTGATAACCACCATATAGATACGCAACAACGTCACACACATTTTGGGTCAAGCCCTTTTAAATTTTAAGCTTGGCCGAGCTCTCTAAATTAGTCTGGGCAATTTCAGGCTGCCATGTTTCTTGTAGGGCGTTGCCACGGCCCCAGTTAACTCCATCTAGCACTCGTGATGGTGGCGCTATCCTCGAGACCTAAAACGGCGTCACCGACAAGAACTGCCGTTAATGCTATACCTAATCAAAGGCACCTGACCAATACATTTCTTTTACTTACCTACTAGTCAAGTTTCTGTATTACCCAGATAGGCACTGCAGTGTCCGATAATGGATGAGAAATATGCAAAACCCCGACGTTAATCTCTTTCGGGGGATGCAGCTGTCAAGAGTTGCCAAGTGCCGAGCTCGAAATTCTACACGCGTGAATGGATTCCACTTCATTTTCCTTGTTTTTTCTTCCTCCAAGTCTCCAACGTTGATGACTGGTACGGAGGCAGTTGACCAATAGGACATGTCTCAAGAGCATGGCAAGTGGCCTTCCTTTGTCCCTATCGGAGAGGACTTGTTTAACTAACTCTTTATAGAGAATTCTCCGAAAGTTTCCACCCGATTGCAACGGACAACTAGCCTACCTAACTTCAAATCGAAATGCAAAGGATTTTCCGTTGTTACCCGAAATCAATGCAGCGCGGCACTTTGCTGATACAGAGTTGGCTCGGAATAATCAGCAATATCAATCACTGAAAGACAAAGCGAGGCTCAAGACATGAGAGACCGAATATGAATCGAAACTAGCCAGAGGAGAAAAGACAAGATTGAGGGGTAAAAGCGAAGAATAGACCCACGCATCTATATCAACTACCGGTGCTTGGCAACTCTGCCATGGGTCCATATTCTCCTCCTTCCCTGACTGCCAAGCGAAGGGATCTATTGACAAGGCCTTGCACACAAAACCATCTGCAGATTCGATGCCGCGATACGCGTGTTCACATACGAGGCAGCATGATCTTGCTGGGGACTATCGATGTTCCCTTTTAGCCGTGGCCAGCATGAAACAGAGCTGGGCCTGCGGTGATGTGCCAGCCTGATTTGCAGCAGGGATGATTTGGAATACCCCCCAAAACTGCTTGCCGAGCTACTACTCTTATCAACGTGGGCAAAGCACATGGCGTTGATCCTTTGACAAAAGTAAGAAGCATTCCCGAGATCTGAAGTGGGATACTGCCCACAAGCTCCATCGGGATTATAGCTCCATCGGGATAATAGCTCTATCGGGATTTGATGCAAGCAACGATGGCTACTTAGCCAAACCAATTACCACATTGCATTCTCCAAACGGAACCTCGATTAGGCCCGAGTGCTTATGTGATGATTAGCGAAGCTCGTAGGATCGGAAATCTGCTAGCAACAGAAGCTTGTATGTGGAAAAACGAGACTATGGGAGCTCAGCCCACAAAAATCCACCATCCCACGCCGTTTCTTTTCTCTAGAACGAGGTAGCATGATCAACAAAGGGTCCCGGCGCCGGTGGGCTAGGCTTCGAGCCCGCCAAAAAACACGTCATGTTGTAGGGCTACGTGGGATGCATTGGCCTGTGAGTTGCTTGACGTTTGGTCTGCTGTATCTGATTGATTTACAGTGGCTCTATTTCAGGCCTTTCCCGTCGTCCGTGCTCTGGGGCCCAGTTGGATGAAGCACTGAAGGTATGAGGCCAGAAGGGAGCTTTTCTTTACCTACCGGCTTTACATGCCGTTGTTTGTCCAGACCGAGGGACTTGTCCTAGAGGCCAAGTGCCGAACAACGGGCACGGAACAGGATGTCAAGTAGGGGACATATTGTACCATGATCAGTTATAAGCAGCTTCTCAGCTCCTCATTACTTGGGTAGAGACTAAAACAACGGTGGTGGCGGATGGACGACGACGCCATGGTCGCTTTAGAATCTCTCCATATTCTTCTATTTTTGTATCTGAGGCTGAGCCTCGCCCTCGATCGTGCGGGCGAGGCGAGTAATGCCGTCTAGTGGCACAATATCCACTATCAAGCGCTAGAAGCCCCAGAGAGTGAATAAGAACGCTCGCTGTCTCTCATTCTGTCAAACAACATACATGTATAAAAAAAACATGACGGACAGAACGGCACACGACACAGCAACAGAGACTTTTGACTTTTATACTCTCCCGTATGCTGCAGAAGTGACACAAATGCCAACATTGAAGGGCTCAAGACAGGGAGTCGGTGGAGGCAGCGCTAATAGCCTCGGTGGATAAAGTCTCACGCATGGGCGTTGCCGTTCAGGGCAATTTCCAGCTGCTTTGCATGTGTGATTTAAGCCTAGCTGCTGAAGCTGCTGTCTTGGCTCTGACCGCGTGCTGCAGAGCAATGAGGAGACCAGGCAGTTGAGCTTAATAGCGTGCAGTAGTCTCCATGTCTGCTGATTCACCGTACGATCTAGCTAGACATGGCCGGCTCTAATTACAGCCAGAGACCCCGAAGCTGCCCTTGCTCACTCTGTATTGCTAGTAGATATTCGTAAGCACCGCATAAATAGGCAAAAGTTTCAGATGTCTCTGTTTTTCGTATTGAGAGCGATGCTGCATATTTGAACGCATCGACATGTCCCACGCACAACACGAAAAGTGCCTGGTAAAGGCTAAAATGAAGTCTGCAGGCAAAAGGGAAGTTTACGAGGCGGCCAGCCACAATTCCACGGCTAAGGATGCCGAGCCTTCAACGTGCGGCCACGCGCATTTGACAGGCGCCTCCTCAGGAAAAGGCGTAAATTTGGATTTTTGATTTGGAAACATTTCTTGGCTGATTCAAATTGTAGACGTAGCTTTCATTTGCGACTTGGATGACGAATAAGTGCTTTTATCGACTGGAATTGAAACGACTCATCGAAACGTGCGCCAAAGACCGGACAATGGGCGCAGCAGACACTTTTGATTCAGAACCAGAATTTATATTTAGCACGCCGTGCCTGCAGACAAAGTGCTGACGCTTCTACTCATACGAAGCAATGATCCGTTTATGCTTTTTGCGCTGCGGGCATCGCTGAAAGCTTCATTCCCGGCGCCCTCGTCTATCCCGCTATTCCCGCATCTCAACATTTTTCATCAGTGAGATTGTCGAGATTGTCTTCCAATCTGCCGCTCATTTTAGGCGGCTTGGACAAAATACGAAGAACAATAAAAGGCCATGCTTAGATGAGACATACGAGGGGAGAAAATCTGGGGGAGCGAGCGAGCCCCACAGGCTTGGGTCCAGACAGTACCAATAACGGCACAGGGGACCATGGCTTTGATTCTTGCGCCTCGACCACCAGCTCCGAGGCCCTGAAAGCGCATCTATAGGGGAGCCGTGAAGGCCGGCATCGATGCTGCTTGGGGAATAATCAACCAGGACATTCTATTCAGCAGGATCGTCCTCCAGGATTAGCCTGGGCCGTATTGCCTGTAGATCCAAAGAACGAACAAACAGAAATCTCACCATCAGCCTCGCCCTCATTAAAATTCCACCCCCTGGCCGCCACAATAATCTCCCCGGCCCGTCTAGGCCTCGCTACAGCCACTCTCAGTTAGCAGCCCATGCGGTCGACCTGCGCCATTGGGAATTAGCGGCAGCCCAGGGGGGCCTCAGCCGCCGCCATAGTGGCTTCGAGTGCACATGTGCATGATTTTCTAGGTGCCTTGCTTGCCTAGGCAGCGGCTTAGAGCAGCTGAGCTTCAGCGCCTGTATTAGCCGTTGGCCATTACGAGCTGCTAAGCAACGGGCTAATGTAGCATTGGACTTGGGGGGGCCCTGACCTTGCCGTGATGCCGATTTGCGAAACTCTGGCGCATCGCGAGCTGACGAAACTTGTCCCCTTCACGTTTATTCTCTCTCTCTTTTTTCCTACTTGTTCGTCGTGTTTCTCTCTGCAGAGTGATTGAATAAAGAGGAAGCAGAAGAAGAAGCCAAACAGGTGGAGCGTTGCTTTTGGGCAGCTGCTCTGAGGCTTCCTTTTTTTTCCCCCCTTCTCTCTCGTTTGTCTTCCTCTCCACGCTCTTTTCCCATCAGTTGACACGACTAACTTGACGAGGCAATTTCACAGAGACAGCAGCAGAGCCACGAGACGAGCCCTTCACAAGTCGTTCACTTTGCAAACTTGCCACGATCGTTGAACCAGCTTCTTCCCCCGGCCGCTTACCAAAGAACCGAGACTCGCCCATCGTCGTCGTCATCGTCCTTTGATTCTCCCCTTTTCCCCAGGCCCTCTTTTTTCGTCTCCTCTGTCTCATCTTGTAGAGCTGCAGGTTCGCGCGGCCTGTGCTCACCCGCATCTTTGTGCGCCTCTTTATTTTTCTTCAGCCCGAATCCCTGTCGGTCAGCTACGTATTGGAGAAGCACCGCAGCTCCTCACCAGATCCTCTTTTTTTCTGATCCCGTCTTTAATCCAGTCCAATTCATTGATCGGCGGTTGGCCCGCCACTGGGCTGGGTTCTTTTATCCCATAGCTAAACAAAAAAACAAAAAAAGAAACCAGACAAAAAAAAGGCGCGCATCAGATCGCCTGAATCCCAACCCACGCTCGTTGAGTCAATCGAAGAAGCTGCAGCAACCCGCAATTGCAGCTCATCGTCGTTCCCCACGGCCCAGGTCGCGAATTCTCTCGCCCATCCATCTTGTCGAATCCCAATTGACTCTCCAAATCCCCGAGCTCGCCAGCCATGCAGCGCTACGGTGAGCACGGCTCCTCTCCTGAGCGAGAGCCTCTCGACGGCTACCACGCGCCGCCCAGCCCTGCCTACCCCCCCGAGACTCCCTATCACGACAGTGTCTCGCCTCAGCCTCACTACCGCCAGCCTCCTCCGCCCGTGCCCCAGCACCAGCACCAGGACTACGGCTACGAGCATGAGCACGAGCATGACTACGACGAGGGCCAGGCGCCTCCTCCGCCTCACCACCAGGGCGACGCCGGCTACTTTGCAGGCGAAGGCCACAATGACGGGTATGCGCAACACACCACAGCAAACTCCACCTCCCGGGGATACTCCCAGAATAACGTGACGCCCGGCTCTGACAACTTCAGCGAGATGGCCGCGGGGGGCATGGCGGGCATTGCCTACGGCGTGGCAGAGCGCAACGCGCGCGAGAGCGGCATGCAGGCGATTCACGGCGGCCTCCCTCCTCCGCCATCCCACGCTCGATATCCCGACGGCGGCTACGGCAACGGCAACGGCAACAGCTACGGCAACGGCTACGGCTACGGGCCTGGCAACGGCGGCTACTACCACCCGGGCTCTGAGCGAGGCTCGATGGGCGTGTCGGGCGTGTCGGGCGCCAACAGCTCGCGCTCGCCTTCTCGCAGCGCCCGAGAGTCTCGCAGCACAAGAGACCCCTATGCCGACGACCACTATCCGCAGATGTATGCTGCGGGCTCTCGAAATAGCAATCCGATGCTCGGCATAGTCAATCCTAATGAGATTGTGGACGACGGCGACGACGGCCTGGATTATTCTCGACGTAGCCAGCGGAATTCCACCCTCGGCGCTGATGCGGCAAAGGGAGCGGCGGCGGTGACGACGGCGGCGGTTGGGGCTGGAGCGATTCGAAGTGCATTGGGACGAAGTGGTGAGTACATGTTTCCCCCTGACTTGATGTGGCTTTCCTACTTTTATCAGCTTTGGTACTTGTCTTCTTCTGCCACTATTTCGTATCCTTGTTCATCTACCTCTTCTTCTTTTCCCCCTTGACTTGATATGGTTTTCTACTTCCATCAGCTATGCTACGTATCTTCTTCTGCCACTATTTCATATCCTTGTTCATCTGCCTCTTCTTTCTTTCTTCATTCTCTCTTTGATATTCTCAATGATTGACATGTATTTGATATCTAGCAAAAGCAGCCGAGGGCAAAGGCAATGGCGCAGGAGCTGACGCCGGCGGCATCTTTGACAACGGTAGCACCGAAGAAAAGTCGGCCTGGATGGCACAGCACTCCTCCCAGAGCAAGAAATGGCGCTGGATCATCTCCATCATCGTCGTCCTGCTCATCATCGGCGGCGTCGTTGGCGGTGTCGTTGGAAGCCGCGTCGCCAACAAAAGCGGCAGCAAGTCTGGCAACGGCAGCGGAAGTTCCAAAGGCGGCAGTGGCAGTGGAGGCGGCAGTGGAGACGATGATGGCAGCGATCTCACCATCAACAGCCAAGAGATCAAGGATCTGCTCAACAACCCCGACCTGCACAAGGTCTTCCCCGGCATCGACTACACGCCGCTCAACACGCAGTATCCCGACTGCCTGGCCAACCCGCCCTCGCAGAACAACATCACGCGCGATGTGGCGGTCCTCAGCCAGCTGACCAACAAGATCCGCCTCTACGGCACCGACTGCAACCAGACGCAGATGGTGCTGCACTCCATCTCTGCCCTCGAGATGACGAGCGACATCAAGGTGTGGATGGGTGTCTGGCAGGATAACAACGCCACCACCAACGCCCGCCAGCTCGCGCAGATGTGGGACATCCTGGACAAGTACGGCGACGACCCCTTTGAGGGCATCATCGTTGCCAACGAAGTGCTCTTCCGCAAGCAGTTCACCGTGGCCAGCCTCGGCGAGCTGCTCGACGACGTGCGCACCAACCTCACCAAGAACAAGTATGATCTCCCAGTCGCTACCTCCGACCTGGGAGACGACTGGACTCAGGCGCTGGCCGACGATAGCGACTACATCATGGCCAACGTCCACCCGTTCTTTAGTGGAACAACGGCGACCGAGGCTGCTGACTGGACCTACAGCTTCTGGAAGGGCCACGACGGCCCCTTTTGGAAGACTGACACGTCCAAGAACATCATCTCCGAGACCGGCTGGCCTACGGGAGGTGGCAAGGACTGCGGCGGCCCCAGCACCTGCACGAACCCGGCCGTGGCTGGAATAGACGAGCTCAACACGTTTATGAGTGATTGGGTCTGCCAGGCGCTCGAGAACGGCACAAACTACTTTTGGTTTGAGGCCTTTGACGAGCCATGGAAGGTCATCTACAACACGCCCACCGAGGCGTGGGAGGACAAATGGGGCCTCATGGATGCCAACCGCAAGCTCAAGGATGGTGTCAAGATTCCCGACTGCGGCGGCAAGACGGTTTCGTGAAGAACAAAAAAGAACAAGAAGAACAAAAAAAAAAAAAAAGATGACGAGGAGAAGAGGAGTACAAAGGGGAGGGAACCTGAATTATTATTCGAGGATTACACCCTTTTGGAAACACCAAAAAAACATATATGTTCTTCTTCACGGCTGATTGATGACGAGGCATGACTGCAAGGGGAAAATGGAGTTTTACGATTCTATCTGTTTGTTTTTAATCACACTGGAGGGTTTTTGTCCTTCTTCACGCGATAGACTTGTAGAGTCTTTTTGTGCGTGTTTGTTTCTTTTCGATTTTTCTCTCCTTCGTCTTGCCCATATTGCTTTCTTCTTCCCAAATACTATGCTGGATTAATTGTTGACAGCTGGGAACACTTCACATATGGACGGTATTCATGGCATTTACTGTTGTACTTTACTTGTTTTACTTTTGTGTCTGCTGCGAGGCATGGCATGGCACGCAAAGTATCGTATCATTTTTCACAGAGAAAGCTGGGCGTTTTAGGGCAAGGGCATGCGAGGATTACTTGTGTTTTAGTTTCTTTTCTACATTCCCCAAGGCAGGGCATCTTTCATTCACACATGCAAAGCAGGCAAAGACTTGTGTTTACTGTAAATCTGGCATTGTACCGTTTTCCATTTCTCTAGCCTACCTAGGCTCCTATAAACTCCCTTTGAAATGTGTATCTAGACACATGTGACCGAAATAGGTATAAATCATTACTAGACCGTTGCATTGTCTCGTCAACGTCATGAGAACTCGGCTGAATCGCTCCTAGTAGATGGAGGGTGCCGTGGAGGACTCGTCTGGATCACTCCCAGTAGATGCAGGTGCCGTAGAAGACAGTCTTGCCACGGTACTCGGGGAAAGCAAACTTCTTGTGAGTGGTCTCCATCTCCTCGAGGAAGGCGAGGCTGTCTCTCTCCTCCGGGGTCCAGCGGTAGCTGACACTAAGGAACTGTCAGTATCTGGAGCCAGAAGAAACTACGCAGTGAAGAGTGGGGGAAGAGAGGAGAAACTTACTCGCACCAGATATCCCATCCGGTTCCAATGAATAGGGCGGGGAATTCGCGATTGTTGAACACCTGGGCGTAGATGTCGCGGTAGAGGTGGATGCCAAAGACAAAAGTCTTGGAATCAACGGCCTCAAAGGCGGCGGGAGACTCAACAACCTCGTGACCCAAAGAGGTGACGAAGTCAATGTCGGAGGCGTTGAATGCCGGTTCCTGGAGGATGACCTCGATCTTCTTGTTGCACGACTCTTCTGAGCGTTTTCATTTTGCGTCAGTGAGATGGAATCACTAACCAAGAGGGGAAGAAGGGCACAAAGATGGAAATGACTTACGAAGCTCCTCGACAATGACGGAAAAGGCGGCAAACTGCATATGGGCTTTCTCCTTGGTGATCCAGCTTCCGTTGTCAGGATCGAAGGAGCCGATGCCAAGGCAGATGGCCTTGCGGATAGGATCCTCGGAGGAGCGAGAGTCTTTGAGTTCGGCCTTGAAGACCTTCATCAGGGCTCGGAGGACGCGGCACTCGCGAGTCTCCTCGTAGGCGCGGAGGGTGTAGAAGTGCCGGCCGGCGATGGCCTCCTTGCTGGCAGGGCGGATAGTAGAGCTGGGCCTGATGGTCGGCTGCGAGAGGATGGCCTTAGCATCCGCAGGGTCGGCGACCGCCTTGGCACGAGCACTTTTGCGCGAGGGGACCTCAACCCAGTCATCCTTGGGAGCATTGCGGGCCATCTCAGCCATGAGATCCTTAATCATGTCGTAATCCATTGCGGTTGGTGACAGCTGTGGAAAATCAAATGAGGGTGACGAGGGAGGAATATCAAAGAGAGGGAGGAGAGGGGAGAGGAGGGCTTTATAAAGTTTGGCACCTCAGGCTTCCAGGCACGCGTAATTCAACACCTCAGGCTGAAGGGGTTCGCCAGGCGGTGGCAGCTGTGAGCGGTGTCTGAATTTCAACTGACATGCAACTGCCGCTGGACTGATATCCAACTGACATTCGAAACCGGGCACTGGAGCGTAAATTCCTGCTGCAAAAGAGGAAAGAACAATGCGGCTGTTCCCGAATAGGTCTAGCGCTGCACTCTTGGCAGTGCACGGGCCACTTTAGAGGAACTGCAACTGTAAACAGAAAGAACAAGAGCTCGAGATGAGCGCAAAGAGAGGGGGAAGAGTGCAGATGATGAAGATGCTTTTAGGTGGGGTTGTGGGATTATTTTGATTTCCTTCTGGGGGCTTTGGATTTTGGCTTGGGTGCTGAGCATCTCCGAGGTCGAGCGTGGAGCATCGCTGTCGGCGGGGCAATTGATCGATGTTGACAATTGAGGCAGAGGTTATTTTAAGCTCGTTCTGACAGATCGCCGGTGCAGCGCTATTAATTTAATGCATGTAATGCCACAGCTCCTACTACATGTATATACTACCTGCCTGTAATTTCAATAAATTGTAATTCAAATGTTAGGCATTTTGTAAGAATTCTGTAGCTTGTGTAGCGTACACTCCATTCACTTACGAGGCTCCTGAGATGGCGTTGGAGCGCAAACACAACGGCCGCAACACCGAGCCTTTCAGCATCTGTATCTCGAGCACAACAAACTTGAATTCAGTATCAGCATCGTATCAAAGTACAAACTAAAAACTAATACACGGAATAGCCAAAACAGCAGTTGCCTCAGCCGAGCCCAGCTCTATTTCTCGCCGTACTTGTACAAGCCCTCCTCAAGCCCCTTAATCTGCAGCGACAACGCCTTCGAGTAGTACCGGCACAGCGCCAAACTACTACCATGGATCCAAAAGCCCGGATGGCCCGTCCGCTGGAAAATGTTGCGCAGCTCACCGCCCTCGCCAAAGCCCCAGACATCGCCAATCTTGTCCGCCACGGCATCGCCCAGCATGTGGCGCGTCTTGTCCCGCATGTTTCCGTATCCCGTGGCCAGGATGATCTCGTCGGCCTCGAGCTCGCTGCCGTCTTCGAAGCGTAGGCCGTTGGGCAGCACCTCGGCAATCTCCGCGCCCTGCTTGACCTTGATCTTGCCGTCCACAATCAGCTTGGAGGCGCCAACGTCGATGTAGTAGCGGCCTCCCAGCTGGAAGTACTTGAAGAGGAGGCCTGCGCCGTCTGGGCCGCTGTCCACGTTGAATCCGACTTTACGCAAGCCCTCGAGCGTTTCTCGGTCGTGCTCGGTCTGTTTCTTGGCAGAAGACGTGTGCAGGGCCTTGAGCACCGCCGTGGGCTGGCTGTGGAAGAGCAAGTCTAGATCCTCCAAGGGGGGGCCGCCTTCTGTAAAGTCCCGCAAGAGGATGTCGCTGACGGACTTGGACGAGGCGACAAAGGTGCTTGATCTCTGGACCAGCGTCACGTCGTAGCCGTTTTCCACGTAGTCCTGGGCAATGTCGTGGGCCGAAGTGCAGCAGCCCACGATGACGGCCTTCTTGCCGGTGCTGTTGGGCGTCGATCCGGGGAAGTCTGAAGAGTGGCACAGACGGTCGCCCTTGAAGTTTTCCATTCCCTTCAGCTTCGGCACAAATTTGAATCCCGAGAGGCCAGTTGCTTGGATAATGTGATGCGGGTGGAAAGTTCGTGTCTCTGTTGTGCCGTCTTCCTTTTCTCGTTGTACCGTGACGGACCAGCTGTTTGTACCATCCTCCCACTTGACGTCTCCGAGCTTCGTCCTTGTCCAGACATTCAACTCGAGCAATGTTGCGTAGGCCTCGAAAAAGGTGGCCAGCTTGTCTTTGGGAGTAAAGATGGGCCACTGCGGCGGGAAGGGAATGTACGGCAGGTGCTGGTACCAAACCGTGTCGTGGAGCACGAGGTTGTGGTAGCGCTTTCGCCAGTTGTCTCCTACGCGGCCGTTTTCCTCAATGATCAGGGCATTGACGCCAATCGCCTTTAGCCTGGCTGCCGCTGTCAATCCAGCTTGTCCAGCGCCTGGAACGGTGGTGGTTATTAGCAAACATCTAGTAAAAGCAATAGGATCAAAGAGTATGCCCAGAGAGAATCCTTACCGATAATGATTACAGCTGGCTGGGCCTCGCCCTGATATGCCATCTCCTGTGACCTCGTTTCGGCCCAGTTCTGAGGGCCTCGCTTCTGTCCATGCTTGACTCCCTTGGGTCGTCTTTCACCGAGCAGCTCTGGGTGGCCGTCGATTTCGTCGAGGGCCGTGTATATTGAGAAGAATTTCCAGGTGCCATTGTCATTCACCAGTCTGGCGACACCCTTTCCAGATCCAATCACAGTCGTGAAATTGATAAAGAACTGGATTCCCGGAACCTCGCCTTCACCGTCAAGAGCAGCTACTTTGGGTGCTCGCCCCGCTGAGCTCGTATCTATTGTAACCTCCTTCAAGCGAAATCCATCCTTCGACTTGGAGCTGTCCTGCAAGAGGCCGGTGATGCCCTGGGTTCCTTGCACCGTGCGGAATTCCCAGGTCAGAGCCAGGTGGTCTCTCCAATAGCCTTGGTCGACAAAGAGCTTGGCGGCAGCCGAATAGTCGGCCTTGTTCAGCGCTTGGTTGAGCGCATTGACTGCGGTGGTGGCGGTGCTGCTCACATCCAAATCTGGAGGCGGAGCAGATGCATTGGGGAACACAACGGGAGGAATGTTGACCGACCCAAAAGCTGTGCGGTTATCGGTGGGGATCTGCGCGTGGAGTTGAGCCGTCATGGCGAAGTTGGAGCAAGCCGATGGAGCTACGTTGCAAGGAGTAGTAAAGTTGAGACTTGGATAGCCAAAGTCCAGTGGATATATCGGACCTGAAAACTCGGGCAGACAAGAGGTTATTTGTAGTCTAGCTGCCGGCTTGATAAACCCGCAATCCTCTCAGCATGGTGCAACGCTATGATGACGGCTGCAGCAAACACCACACGACGGAGTTGGATCGGCTTTGTAACCGGGGCGGGTCGACAACACAGTTGCTATCGAAAAGGATGATTGGGCATGGGCGCTCTCCGTGGGCCGTCTTTGGCAATCTCGCCATACAGCAGGATGCCGTCGCATGGGGGTGGCCTATTCGCGATGCTGGGCTTTTCGGCGATAACCTTGTGATATCATTTAGTCATGAGCTGCATGTGGGCGGAGGCCCGATTTTTGCCTCGGGTGGATGAGCCCAGCTTGTCGACAATTCGCCTGCAAGAGATCCGCTTGTCCAGGGATCATGGAGCCAATGGGAAACTGAACCCAAGACGATAGAGTTTTCCAGAGGGAAAAACTACTCAATGGGGCAAACGGACTTGCTGTGTCTGGGGGCTGCCCATCTAGTGGAATTCAGCTACCACTGCTAGTAGCAGATGGTGTCCGATGAAGAGTCTTTAGCGCTCGTGCGGCTAGCATGGTGCAACAGCTTCGTCTGGGGTAGGACCCTGAGATTCAAAGATGCGTTAGCCAACAGGGAGCTAAAACTTGGAGATTTGGGGTGAAGCGTAGCTAACGGAATGAGCCGAGCGAGGACAAGGCACGGGGCAATGGAAGCCGTAAAGCTGGCGGAAGAATGGGGACTTGGCGAGCCGGTATAGTGCTTGGAGAAATGGCAATACCGAAAGCCATAAAGAGAGAAGAGACTCGACCGAAATTCATTGTCCGGGATCCTGGTGCAAGTTGCCGGACCGCTTCGGCTTCTTGGTATGACTGCATGGTGTTTTGGAAAAGAAACCGGATGACTAAGCCGGGCTCAGGCAGGCTTGCAATCTGCATCGGCATACAATTGATCCAGCTCTATAAGACAAAACTTCAATCAAGTGACTTTCGGTATCATGAAGGATATGTGCTATCGCCGAAATCTGACACAGTTTCTTTTTTGGAATTGATTCTCGTTACCAGTACAGCTGCCTGAAGCTGTTTGATTTTTGGAGGTTCATGGCGAGTTAAGACATGGCGCTTAGTCAGCATTTCATCACTACAGACCGGCTAGTGGCGCCAGATCCAGCCCCGAGTTGTATTCTTTAGCACTCTAGCCGCTATAAGCATCCATAGATTACCGCTGCTACTCAGACTATCGAAATCACAGGCAGAGCACAGAGTGGCAGCCGCACTGTCACATGCATTAGACTGGGACCAATGAGTGCTGCATCGAATCTATTGGAAAGAGCCTAAAGAAACCTCTGCCTCGAAAGCAGAGCAACGAGCAATCCTTGAGTCTGTTGAGGCCTTGAACCTAGAGCACATGATTGGATGGGGGGAATTACCATCATGTGGAAGCGGAGAAGGTGGCTTGAGGATTTATCAAGACTTCAGGGTACTTGAATGGGATTCAGGTAGAAAGGAGGATGGGCAAATGGGACATGGGATCGTAAGCTTTGATGGAAACCTCATTGAGTCTTCGTCTCCGTGATGTTGATTCTCACTCTATTTCTCGGCCCTCTCGCCAACTTCTTCTATAAACACCATAGGCCAGCTACAGCGAAACTTTTCAAAACAACAGCCGCCAGTCCTTAAATCGTGCGTCACGCTGCCAACACCTTCTTCAGCCGTGAAATCATGCCATTGACGCAAAGCTCCACATTGTCCCCAACAACACGCTTATACAGCGCCTTGTGCATCCGACTCCGTCTCTCTGGCGTCATAGTCAACGCATTGTTGATCTGATCCGCCACCTGTACAATGTCCCACGGATTGATCTGAACTGCCTCTTTTAAGTTGCTCGCCGTTCCACTGAACTCGGAGATGATGAGCGGCCCGTGGCTGTCCCGCTGGCAGGCAATGTACTCCAGGCTCGTGGTGCTCATGCCTTCTCGCACGCATGTGTTGATGGCGACGTCTCCACGCCGCAAGAGGGCAAAATACTCATCTTGCGAGAGCTTCTGGTTGTGTAGCTGGACTGGAGCATATTCCAGCGAGCCGTAGTCTTGGTTGATCAAGTCGACGAGCTCGTTGACCTTGCGGGCGTATGCAATGCTTTCACCGTCGTCGTCTTCCAGTATTGCAGGGCCCGTGACTTGCAGCAAGACAACTTTCCCTTGCCACTCTGGATGGCGCTCCAAGAAGCATTGGAATGCTTCAAGCTTCTTGTGGACGCCCCCCATGCGGTCCATTGGGTCGCAGCCAATGACAACCTTTGTTCCCTCGAACAGCTTGCGCAGCTCCTTGTACTTTTTGTCAACCGATTCTGAGAAAGCCAGGGAAGTGATTTTGGAGACGTTGATTCCCAGCGGATTAACGCTCATGTGGACTCGTCCCCTGGTGGTTTTTACCCATTCACTGCTTGCAGAACAGCCGAGGATTCTCTCGCACGAGTTGGCAAGATGCTGCGCGTAGTGAAAGGCCTGGAAACAAACAAGGTCCGATCCAAGAACGCCGTTCAAGATTTCCTCTCGTCGGTGCAGACACCGCACAAGTTCGCTGGTGGGAAAGGGGGATTCTAGGTAAAAGACAATGTGCATGTCTGGATGGCGCCGGCGAAGGATTTCTGGCAGAAGCATCAAGTAGTGATCGTGCACCACGACAATGTCTCCTTTCTGATAGACTTTGCTGATTCTGTCCGCGTACACCTCATTCACCCGGCAGTAATCATCCCATCGACCGTCTGCTTTGCGGCCATCCGTCGGGGGGTGTTGCTTGTAATGGAACAATGCGCAGACATCGTGTTCTGCGTAGCGCCTCCATCGCGACTGCTGCTTCAGCCGGATTCCATCAGCCGTATCGTCGCGTTCATCGGCAAGCCAGACTGGCAGGGTTCGTATGGGATTGCAGTACAGCAATTCTTCAAGCTTTGCCTTGTCCCTGTTGGCGATGAAGATGTCCTTTGAGGCTGCTTCGTCGTCGATTTGTGGCTGCTCACACTGCGTGGCCGTCGTTGGCATCGGAATCGTAGCTTGGGGTGTTTCATCGGCCAAAGTGCAGGATATCTCTCCCGTCCAGGCGATGACCGTGTGGTTCCAGCAACAGCGGTCGGAGGAAAGATAGGCGAGCGAATCTAGATGGGCGGAGCAATGATATGACTGCTGCGATACTTTCTGTTTCGTATTAGCCAACCTCCTCTCGCGCGCTGAAGCTTCTTTCCAACTTACCCATTTTCCTCCCTGGCTATACTGTATCGCCTGGGGCAGAGTGAAAGTGGCAGAGAGCACATTTCCGCTTAAATCAGAGCCTTCCCAAGTTGGCGGGCTCAAGGCTAGCGGCTTCACCTTCGTACCAGATGTCCGAGACTGTGCTGAACCAGGAGCGTGATGACGAGGGAAATACTCCTGTCTTGCAGACTCGGGACTTCTCAACCCTGGTACCCCATTGATATATGTGCCCTGAGAAATGCCTGGAGTAACTGGGACGCTGGTGATGGACTTGGATTGGTGTGGTGGAAGAAGCGACTCGGTTCGTTGCTGGATTCTTGGCCGCCTGGATGCCGAAGACGGTATATTCGACATTGTATATAATTCTACTATGTATTGCAAACAAGAAGTATAAAAAAATCGAGGCGAAATTAGTGTGATTGTAGAATAAAATCATCCAAAAGAATGGGTGCGAATGCTTTATAGATTCGCTGGAATCTTAATATTCGTTGGACGATGGCAGCTCTTTCCCGCCATGGACCTAGTCGCAATGACCAGTTCCATAGTAATACCTTCTATTATGGAGAAACAGAGCGGACCAGTAACGATTATTTCGGGGCGATAATGGCAAAGCCCTATCAAATTGAGTTGATGATCTCAAGATGCTGTTACACGCTTCCGTTTTCCACCCTTTCGTCGTTTGTCTCACTCGCTGCGCCGGAGCACAAACTCCGCCACAAAACGTCGTTGACGTCAGCCGAGTCGTGTCTCCGTATCACATCGCACAATGGTGTTGCTCAATCTGTGAATCCTGTGGGAGAAAACCCAATAGGAGATTGGCAGGATCAGAGTGCTAAAATCCCAAGATTCGTGGTGAACCAACAGCATGGTCCATGCCAAATCGCATGTGCAACAACATCCTAAAGTGGCGGCATTGACCAGAACTCCATGCCAATGGAACACGTCATGATTGGCACGGGGAGCTAATGGCAAAGTGAGAAGAGTGGTTGCAGAAAAAAACAGGGCCCGGAGATAAAAATACGCACTTTGTGTCAACGAATGAGCGCTATTACCGTGACATGAGTGGGTTTGCGGTACGCGTAGTCGATGAGCTTAACGTTTGTGAGATTGTCATTTATGATGTTTCTAGATGGTGGCGTTGGGGCGCAAACAACGCTGCCGCAGTAATACCGAGCCTGCAAAGGAGCATACTGCTTGCAACAAGCACTGAGACTTTATTTTGCTGTTGTGTCAAGGACTAATTGCAAGTCTTGCAATGTTGCGTTTGTCTAGCCAGATAGCTGTAACATATCCTTAACATGCTATTTCTAGGTAGGAGTCTCTATAGGTCAACAAGATTATATTTAGTACAACCATAGCTCATAGTGGTTATGAAATGGTGCGCAACACACCTCGTTCCTGTTGACCTTGGTCAGACAGGCTGAAAACGATCAAACCAAGTGGCCTCGGTTAACCAAGGTGACTGACAACGATCCTATTGACCTCGAGAACAATCCGGTGACCTTGAACAAACCGGCCAACTCCGATCAATCGAATCGCTGTCCCAAGGTCTATGATGCCGCTAGATGTTCTGGGTAGCTCGCGCTACACTGACGGAGACAGTGAGCACTCTTTCGGCCACCAGGCCTGGGTAATCTTAAACTCCATCGTGCTGGGGATAGAGCGTTGCAATTGCTGCTCCATACAAATCCGACCAAGCCAGGCTTGAGGCCTCAATAGACCACCCAGGAATGCTCTTATCGATGCTCGACACAAAGCCATCTCTGTGTTCGGATAACCCTTTGTTGCTGGTGGTGAGGGCAAAAGAAGAGTCAAAAGAAGAGTCAAAAGAAGAGTCAAAAGAATAATCAAGGGGAGGCTCAAGGTCTGTGATGCCCCTCGATGTTCTGGGCCGCATGCGAGTCACACTGACGGAGCGAGCACTCCTTTGACCAGAAGGGCTGGGCAATCTTCTAAACTCCGTTGTGCTGGGGATAAAGCATTGCAATTATTGCTCCGTACGAATCCGACCAAGCTGGACTTCCTGAGGCCTCAACAGACCACCCAGGAACGTTATATCGCCCGACACCAAGCCGCCTCTGTCTTCGGTTAACCCTTTGTTGTTGTTTGAACTCGTGGGCGCTCTATTGCCTCCATCCATTTTCAAACTTTAAATATGTAAGAATCACTTGTTGCTTAGTTGAACGTGGGCGTTCGAATTCGTCAACACCAGTGGGCCATTTTTGGTAAGCAGAACTGGCGATGCGGGATGAACCAAACGCGAGGTTATAGTGCCAGAGTAGACGCTCATCAGACGCCACAAAAGGCGTTGGTACATCTTGACAGCAGGGCGGTGGCCATGGAAGTCGGAATGCGCCAAGGACTGTGTAGCAACTCGCCTGCCGAATGTACTAGCCCTGACAATCGAGCATGTGTTAGAGCTGTATTGGAACAAGGTTATGTGATTGGGTTGCTTACCATGAACGAGTGCACACCGAGACCAACACCAACGCTCGACACAAATCCGACCAAGCTCGGGAGCCCAGCCGGACCAGATGGACCAGCGGTTGTGTAAAGTCGGAAGCAAGTTGGCCGCGATTGTGCCGGACCGGGGAAACTCACCAGGCCCAGACACAATGAGGATTGACAGATTGACAGCTTGTTCTTGATTCTTCGTCCCCAGGAGCAATCCCAAGGAATAGAAATCATCCTCGCTAGAGTCTTCGGAAACGTCTCCGTCTCCGTCTCCGTGGGAGTCGACTTGAGCTAGCCCTTAACCTGCTAAATAGCCCGTATTGCTTTGGCAGTACGCCGGCTTCTTAGAGGGACTATCGGCCCAAGCTGATGAAAGTTTGAGGCCCATGTCCTGTTGTAGTCGGAAAGGGTGAAAGAGGGTGGAAGATGTTGGTGGTGGTAGAAGTTGTGGTGTCTAGAGAAGGTGAGAAAGAGAAGAAGAAAAGCGAGGTAGAAAGGGGGAGCGTGGGAAATATATAGAAAAGCGAGCGGCAGAAAGCGGATGAAACAAGCAGACAAGCAGCGTAAGCAAAGTTAGATTTACCTTTGCACTCCATTATTTCTCGTATTGCCTCTGTTCACCAAGCCATACGGCCGAGCAACTCCGCGGTCCTAACTCAAAGGTCAGTATGCCTCATGGAGGCGGGGGTGAATCCACATAAACAAACTCACTCTGTTTACACCGATCGCCACAGTTACCATCAGCCATCATCCCACAGGGTGGCGTCTAGATTGGTGTTGGCGTCGGATGGATCCAGCATCGTGATAAGCTGGAATCCGGCTGAAGTTTGTCTCTGTGCACGAAAGGGAACATTTCGCTCCTTGTTTGGATTATTCGAGATTTTCAAAACGACGACGAATTTCGGGGCAAAAGAGCGTTCGGGGTGTGGCATCGAGGTGTTTGAAGCAATTGTTTTCGCTAGAAATTCTGGCTTTCGGGACGCAGATCTGTTCTGTTGAAGAGTTTGGTAGATAGTATATTGTATGGAGCCGCTTTGGAGTACTAGGTATATTGCTTGGAACCAAGTACAATCGCGTGGATCTGAATCGCTCTGGAATTTCGTAGACATGCTGTATAGGCGTCTGTTAAGATCCATCTGCCGGCATCTGTCGGCGAAGAAGCGAGGGAAATGCGCAATTCGTGACGAGGGTTTCGAATCGGCACGTGGCTGCGTATCTATCGGTGCGTAGCTGTTAGCAAATCTGGATCCGGACGGATTTCCAAAGTATGGAGGACTCTTGTGGTTTGTAGAAACTTGCCGGTGATTGATACGCGAATCTTGTGCCTCTTGCCCTCGTGATGATGCTGTCAGTAGCATGCTGGGCTGTGGAGAGGGAGATGCCCTTTTGGCGGCCAAAAAAGCGTAGTCGCCAGAAACGGTTATTCTGATACTGTTCAACGCCTTTGTTGAAGCAGTAGACGGCGGTATCGTGGCTGCAATCTGCGGTCGGAATTGAGCATTGTTGGATGGTGAGAGTACGGATAGTGGGAGCATGAAAGGGGGGAGTGCACGCTTGGAGACAGACTGCCAGTAGAACGTTTGCCTACGAATACAAAAGACAGAGCACCAGCTGCACCTAGACCGCCGCAAATTGTATCTTGGTGAATGTACAATGCTAATATCAAGATAATGCCCTTGGTGCCTCGATCTACGCACGTTATATGCCAATTACACCTGAAAAGCCACTCCCTTTGATCTAATGCTGTATATGACTTGGATGCATTTGCAGCTCAGATACATCAACGGTCAGTCTCTCGAGATGCCACGTCCAGTCTCTGCATCCCAGCCCCCAAACGAAGACTCTCTTCCCCAAATCGAGAACGCTCAAGGCGGACATGGCAGGCAAGCCCTCTGTAGCCTACACTGAACCGCTACTCGGCACCTCCTAGACGATCCCCCAAGCTGCCACTGCCACTGCCTTTTAGCGAGGGCAAACGGCAGCTGTTGCTCTTTGACATTGCCCTCACCGCCCTGTCACAGCAGCCGCCACTGTACTAGTCTGCTCCTCTTAAAGAGACTTCTCCCCCGGTTTTTTGTTTTCTCCCCCTCCCCTCCTCCACCGCCCTGCCACGGGCACCACAAACCCTCCGTCCACTCACAACATTCCCCCTTCCCTCCTCCATTCCTCCATTCATGCGCAGTCACATCTTTTGCCTTGAAGAGGAGGGGAGGGGAGGAAAATTACACGGAAAATTCAATCCAGGTACGTCTTTTGAGCTTTGCATTTGCTCTTTTGCTTTTGCTCTTTTTCTTTTGTCGACAGCTGTCCTCGCCCATCTCCCCTCCACTTCTCACCCGACAGAATACAACTGACATGTCCTTTTTCAGCTCGTCAAACTGCTTTCAACTCGTCAAACTGTCTTCGGCTCGTCAAACTGCTTTCAACTCGTCAAACTGTCTTCAGCTCGTCAAACTGCTTTCAGCTCGTCAAACTTCTTTCATGGCATTTGTACCGCCTACATGGTGCTCATGGCCAGTGACTCGCCATTCTTTTCTTCGGTAAGTGATTCCCAAGATCGGTTCATGTTGGCTACATGATCTGACCAGAGAGTAGCTGCCAACACCAACCTGCCTTTATCCAGCTCCAGCTCATTCAGTCCATCTCCCTGACGGCCAAAGACAACCACTTGCATCTACTGCCCTTGCTCAGCAGAACACCACATCGGGCTCTTCCTACACTGTTTATAGCTGTTCTTGAGGGATGGTGGGCAATGGAAATTGATCAGGAGCATAGTGAGACGGGCAAACTTGGTCGGGATTCTACAGAGGGTGAATAATCGGGAAGCAAACTAGAACGTCAAGTCCGATCCAATACACATTCATTTGACCACTTCAGACATGACGCAGCAGTAGTGACTAGATGACCGCCAAGTAGCACTAGTTTTACGAATCATCGCAAGTGACCGTTATCCTTTTGCGCTTCCGTTTCAGCAAAGCTATACATATCGAGACAAGCGTCTGATGAGCCCTGCAGGTCGTCGTCGCATAGCCGGGAGCTCCAAGCAAGTACAGTAGGTAGCAATTCTGGTTCCACTTCCATCTGTCAGCTCCCCTGGCTAACCGCCGCCTTTCTTGCGGATAGGATAGAGAGCGGCTAGCAAATCGAACATCGGCCGATCGGACGCTCATCTCGTACAAAGTCTACGCCTGTAAGGGCTAGGGGATGGAATGCCTGTCCGCGGCTTCGGTCCCTTTCTGCCGCAATAGCCGCTGTCGTGCCTGATAGCTACCTATGTACATCATCCCGGGGTTGCTCGCCGGCCTGTACAAGTAATACAGGTAGGTCAACAAGCAATATTGGACGGGAGCAAGATTGGTCGAGCCACCGTGGACAGATGCGGCAATATGTATCCTGACAGAGAGCTCGTGTTGAGAGAAAACTAGAACCATCACCATAGCATCGTGCCATCACATCAACTGCAACGTGCATATGCGCTGTGCTCTGCCAGACATCACCAACAATCACAAAAGAATCACGCCTCGTCACTGCAGTCTTCAACGGAAGCACATCCCGCGCCATTTCCCAGACAGGCAACGAGACATCGATCCACAGCTGCAAGCTGCTCCGTCCCAAAAGGCTCGTCAACCTCGTTGCCTGCGATTGGGCCATCGCCGAGGCCCGCCCTTGCATACTTCATCTGCAATCTGGCAAGGTTGCCCTTTGGCGCATGGCCCCATGCCGCTGGCGATTGGCTGGGGGGATGTTCGCTCCGCAGAGCCCACCGGCTCGCGAAACTGACAGGGTTGTGGGCGCTTAATTCATTACAGAGCCAAAGGGTCCGCGGACCAACCAGCGTCGCCGGTTTCTCACATCAGCATTGTGACGCCTCAGAAAGCGCCACGGGAGGTTGATTGGCCTTGCCGGCAGCGCTGGATTCTGGATCCCTTTTCCGTCTTGGCGTGCCGGCTCCCGCAGAGGAAGAGGAGACAAGTTGGGAGGAAGAGGGCTGGTTGGTTGTGCGAGTCGTTTGCGAGTAGCTTTTGAACCGGTTCGGAGACTGGAATGTACGTTTGTGCTACCGCTCCTGGAGAGCAGCGAGTTGCGAGTTTGTATCGACAAGGTAAGCTCGGCCATTACAAATCTTACATCCGCTGTGGCTTCGGAGGTATTGACGTTGGCAGCTCTAGAAGCTTTGAATAAGCAGTGGCGTTTGATGGAAACGTGCCAACGACACGAGGCACCGGCCGAGTACGGGAAAGCCAAAATCAACTCTTGTCTCAAAGGCCAGTCTATTGATGTCGCTACGACAGCCAGCAAGCATTGTCCTCGCTCTGGCCCAAGACTTCTGCAGCTTGTACGAGCGTTCCTTCGCCTTAGCCTCGTGCAAGCATCCAACCGGCTGTCGTCGCCCGTCTCTGTGGAACAAGCACCAGAGAGTGGTCCGAGTCTAGTTCGGAATTATCGAGACTACAAGGGCCAACGACTGCAGCTACGGGATCGTCTGCCCTGATTGGGCCGGTGCGCGCCAAGCAGTGCTCGAATCACAGCGGGGAAAATCCGCACCGGCTCAAGACAGCTTCTCGATCTGCTGTCCACTCAGCGGCGGCGTCTTTCTCGCCTGTCCTCCAGCTGTGGCCTAGCCCGGCCTGGTCCCCGTCCCGGGGGGTGGCGTCTATCCTTTTTCAGGGAAGGGCGAGAGGCAGTTGGGCGGCTGCGAACTGCAATGGCGGCTTTTTTCCTTCTTCTCTTTTTGTTTGTGCTGCACGGCACACACCCACTGGACCAGGGCGGGCCTGGCCTCTCTTTTCGGCCCCCAGATGACCATTTCTTAAGACTGGCGGTTGCGCACGCCTCTTTTCTTTTTCCAACTCTTTTTGTGTTTCTGTTGGTTCTCGCGGACGATGCAATCGCTGTGACCTGAGACTCTGTAGTCTATTGCGAATACGATTTGGATAGCCAGCAAGCGAGATATTCATTATTGAAGAAAAGAGACTGAGAAAGAGGAAGAGGCTGGGCCTTTTGGATATTCGCCCCACACGACATACGAGAGAGCCAGGCTGCTGCAACCGAAGAAGAATATTTCAAAGCGACGTTGGAATCATCTGTATTTTCTGATCTACGATTCCCTCTATACGAACGTTTCAAACGTCTATCCGATACCTCTGAATCGAAGCGATCCGCGAAGAAAGGCCTGAGCTTTGAGACAGCCTCGATTATCACGCCAAGCCGATCGTCTTAATTCATACGAGAGAGCTACTTGCATACACCTGCACATCTATACACATACACACAACATGCGGCTGTCACTACTTCTCGCCCTCGCCTTGACGGCTCTCGTCGAAGCCCACAGCGTCCTCGTCTATCCCGGAACGCGAGGCAACAACCTCATCACCAACGACACCTTCCCCTACGGCATGCAGTGGATGTACCCATGTAAGCAACAACAACCTGACTCCTTTTTCAAATCCCACAACTGACCCAAAACCCCAATCCAGGCGGCGGCTTAGGAACCTCCAGAAACCGCACGTACTGGCCCACCACCGGCGGCGCCGTTTCCTTCCAGCCAGGCTGGTTCCGCGGCCACCTCCAGGCCCAGCTCCAGATCAACCTCGGATACGGCACCGACGGACCCGACGGCGGCCCGCCAAACATGTCCAACATTATGCTCAAGCCGTTTATGCTCTTGGGGCCGTCGAACAACCCTTACCCGGGAACTGTGTGCCTGCCTCAGGTGCCGCTTCCTGCTGGGGCGATTGTCAAGGCGGGCGACATGGCGACGATTCAGGTTGTTGAGCTGGCTCAGCATGGCGCGGCTCTTTACTCTGTGAGTTTCAAGGCTTTTCTTCTTTAGACCTTGAAGATAAAAATACTAACAAGTGCAAATAGTGCGTCGACATCGTCTTTGCCGAACCCGGCGACCCCCGCATCCCCATCGTCAACGAGACAAACTGCTTCAACTCGACGCAATTCGGCTTCGCCCAGATCTACACCGTCACCACAACAAACCCCGTCCTCGACGTTGTCGCCTCAACAACCTCCTCGGCTATTTCGCTGCTTCGCAATGGCTGGGCGGGATGGCTGCCGCTGGCTATTGGGGCGATAGGCCTGGCTATATGGTAAGAGAAAGGAAGCTTAAGCGATTGGCGCAAGATGGTAGAGCGTCGCGACCTTTTCATTATTGATTTTTACGGCCTTTTTTTTTTTTTTTTGTGGTTTGCATAATTCATTATATACCCCTGGATTCTCGCTCTGTTGACGAGGGTTGGTGCCATTTCTGCTTAATTTCTTGTCAATCTCTCGGTCTCATGGCGTGGGAACAGGACAATGGCGTTTTTGGTGTTTAAGAAAATCGGAGGAACAAGACATCTATTACTCATGTATACATAGATATTTATTTATACATGTTCATTACTGTTACTTTGATTGCATATGGCCTTGGCGTTATCTAAAAATATGTTTGGAACAACGCGATTTGTCCCCACGTTGCCAACTGTTGTATTTACTATGCATGCTTCAAGTTAAAACTAGATTTCATTATCGTGCTTCATGTCTATTCATGTCCTTTCTTTTGTCTTCCCTTGCCCTTGTGTGTATCCGCCTTGTGTATCGCTGCGCCTATCGCGAAATTACCTTTAAACATTCGCGCGCAACTCCCTTGATTCTTTCTTCCGAGCTCTTGGTCGCCGCGCCTTCTATCCATGCTGCATTGCCCAGGCTCTTGGCTTCGTCCTTTGATGTCGACAAGATGGTTCCAAGCGCCACCAAAGCACGGTACAGCACTTCGGAGTCTGTCTGGTCATTGAGGATTGCGCCAAGCACAGCAACCAGCCGTCGTCGCTGCTCGGGACTCAGCAGCTTCTCCTTATTCACAAGGACAGAGTAGTTGACAGCCACGGTTGTCACCGCAACCAGCACGTTTCGATTGAACTTGCCAATCGGCTCCCCGCCCTTGATCCCCAATATGCGCTCCAAGAAAGAGATGGCCTTATCTGCGTGAGATTTCGCAAGGCTTCGGCCGTCGGCGGAGCCAAACAGATTGGCAAGTGTTCGAGCGCCCATCATGGCCGCATTATCATTGGGAGGGAAGTCATCGGGAATGGCCGATGCTGTGGCTATATCTACAAGGGTTTCGTTTTCTGGGCCTTGAAACTGTGCTGCAATAGGAAATCTAGCCACACAGCGGAGCAGATCGAGACCGGCTAGTCGATCAGCGTATGGCCACTCGGTAACAACCTTGAGAATCACGTTCAATGTTGGAAGCGAGATGGGCTTTGATGCATCCAGTGCTTCTCTGGACGAGTGCAGAACACTCTCCTCTCCAGGGTTAAGAGCCACGTCTTTGCGGCCCGACGCCACCATGGTCTTGTTGACGTTGCCAATTTTGTTCAAAATGGCTATCACCAAATGTTAAAAATCTTGTACCATTTGTTTTACAAAAAGAATTAACAAACTTACCCTCATACTTTGCTGCAGATATGCTAAGGTATTCCTTTTGTGGCAATACCTTTGCAGCTTGCGATTCTCCTGGCCGGTAACGCGACTCGGTTCCATAAGGATCAGGCCCGGAAGAAGGCTCAGGCTGGCCAAGGGTGGCTCCTTTGGTGTTTTCGGTAATGAAATTGGCAACGCTGTCAAGGTAGGACAGAGGCAGCTCGTTGTCGTTGAGGAACTTGGTAGCTCGCTCGTAAGGGTTCTCAGAGAGGTTGTAGGGAAGCTTAAGTGCCGGCTTTCCATCCTCAATGTCGACGTCGAATACATAGTCGTAGGACTTGCCGTTGTATTCGACCTTCTTGCCTGTGCTGCCAACTGCATCCACGACGGTGCCCACGTTGATCCATTGCTGCTGAGCCATGGACCAGGTGTGCGCTGTGACGTTGCCATTGCTCTCTTTAATCATCTGCACTTGACCCTCCTTGGTCCCTGCCTTGGAAGTCAGGAACTCGGGGCCTGGCAGCTTCTCTTTGTTGATGCCACCGACCTGTTGCTGGGGAATGGCTGATGCTTTAACAGAGTCGTGGAACTCCTTGAGAGTGGCCTCATCGGCTGTGGCTTCTGGACGCCGGGTGAAGATGCGTGCTATGCCATCACTCGCTCCCGTGATGATGTCTCCAGTCTCTTGATTGACAGCAACTGTCCAGACAGATATCGCAGGGTGGGTGATGGTCTGAATGCATTCAGATCCTCTCCATATCCTGACAGTTCGGTCCTCTCCAGTGCTGACAAGTTCGCCAGAGGGCAAGCTTGCGAGGCTGTACACGAAGCTCTCGTGGCCGTGCAACTCGCTCACCTGCTGGCCGTTGAGTTTCCACAGCCGCAAGGTGCCATCGTTGCTTGCACTGGCAATGTCTGCGCCGCTGGGATGGCCCTTGGGGACCTTGCACAGAGCTCGAACAACGTCAGGGGTATATATGGTAGCCACTGGCATAGCCTCGCCGCCCGTTGACTGCCTGAGATCAAACACTCGAATGCTCTTGTCCGCACATCCCGTCACGACTGTGGTCTCATCAAAGGCTACAACGCTCCAAACCGCCATGCCTTCGTGGCCTCCCAGCTGGAATTCAGTCTCCCACTTGCTCAGGTTCCACACGCGGGCCTGGCCGTCCCAGCCTCCTGAAACGAGATATGTGCCTTTGGGCGAGACGTCAAGGGTGCAGACATTGTGGGCATGTCCAATGAGGAGCCTCTCGGCATTATCAGTGGCCACCGCGTTGGGTGACTTGACTTCGATGATGGTGTCTTTGCCTCCAGAGACTACCAGGCCATCGGGGTGATCTTGATTGGGTGGGAAGAAGGCCAAGCTGTTGACGTATTCGGAGCCGCGGCTGACGAGACTGCCGTCAAAGTTTGGGGGGGTTTCCGATGTTCGCTTCCATATTCTGACGGTGCAGTCTCGAGAGGCAGTGAGGGCAAAGTCGGGAGAAGGGAAGCTGACAGCGCGCACCTACAGGGGCGAAGAGGAGTTAGCAAGTGGAATTTTAGAAGGGCTTTGGATGTTCTGGGGGTAGAGATTGCCGTACGTCAGCCTCGTGGCCAAGGAGCTGCGCTGAAAGCTTGAACTCGGCCATGCTTTGGGGAGATTCTTTGTTTGGCGGAGCTGATGACGATGACGAAGTCGCTGACGATGCCGCTGACAAGTAAGAGAAGACGAGAGAGTGTGATCAAAGCAGAAACGAGCAATGCAGAAGCAAGACCCGGTGCAGAGTGGCCTGGAATCGCTCGAGTGCAGCAAGGCTGAATTGCTTTGTCATGCGATTGGGCGCGCTTGGGACAGAGGACAGAGAGTTGGATGGATGACGATGGAAGCTCATCAACAGCCCGGAGTACGTACTCGCCGCTGGTGACTGCTGTAACCCCACTAGAAGTTGCGCCTCTGCGGGTAATTTAGCGGGCGCTCCAGTGGACACAGAGGGGATGGCGCTTTAGTCAGCAGAATACAGTGGAAGATGTGGCTTGTGCGCGAGAAGGCGTCCGCGATTAGAGTCATTCAGGCGTGTAAGAGCAAGTAGCAGCAAGAGTAGCTTGCTATGGATGAATTTGATTTTTTTGAAGCTCTCAGTACACAGTAAGGGTGAGAGATGGAAATATACTCCAACTCGTAACATCGTAAAAAATAAATACAGTCAAAAACATAGACGTGGAATTGCTTAGAATCCTGTACAATCAGACAGCCCGTATGGCGCCACATGAGCTCTATCTACCCCTCCTTTCGTGGCTGAGGTCTCCAATTTCCTTGAAACAGGGGACAGCTGGCACTCAAGGGGGGCCTGCAAAAAAATCGGGACTGGAGGGACTATCTGCACACATAAGCTTTCCACGCACACACACTCACACCGCCACTATCTGTAGTCGTCATGCTCGTATTGCTATTGTAGATGCGCATATTGATTTCGCGGTCCCTATTTTTGCTCCTGTGATCTGCTGCCAACGCTGGACAGCCACTGAAACTAAGCCGCCCCGCCCTGTCTCCATTCCCAGCTCCCAGCGTAGAAGCGTCTTGCTACTCTGAATCTCGTCTTTTTCTGACCTCTGAAGCCTTCGTGTCCAAGGGGCTTGCAACGACGCTCTCTCTCTCTTCCTCAGCCATTCCTCTCCCCCCCCCTCCTCTCCTCACCTCTTGCCCGCAATTTTCATCACCGCCTCTTCCACCGCTCGATTTCAGGCAGGCACCAGTTTTGTTGGGCTCAACCTGTGACGTATTGCGAAGCGAACGAATCCTGCTGCGAGAGCTCCTTCCCTTGCATGAAACAGACGAGGCAGATCACGAATGCGACACGACACGGCATTATTTTGATTTTCATAGACTCTGGGCCGCACGGAATAGTTCGAAAAGACTCAATCTGATTTTCTCCATCGATCGAATATCCGATTGAATATAATAGATAATACGCTGCGGCGCCCTTGACGAAGCTTGACGAATTTTCCGTCTTCGCGCCTCCTCCTTCCTCGCGAAGTTTGACCGCCAGACTATACTCGCCAAGCCCCTCCTCCTTCCCAGTTGTTCCCAGCTGTTGAGTTATAGAGTTTGGGCTGCACGCTCTTTCCCTCGCCAGCTGCCACCTTTGAGTCACTTACGGCGGTCCTTTTTATTCTCTGGCTCCCCCCCGTCCGCCCAACTTTTTTTTCCTTTCCTCTTCACCCTCGCTTCTCTGGAAGATTTTCGTTGTCAACTCCAAGTCTTCCCATTCCTGTTCCCGAAGGAATATTTCGAAGGGTCACCTCTTTCAAATCTCAATCTCTTCCAACTCTTGTCCGTGAAGGAATTCGTCCAACTCACGCAATCTGTCCATCAACCACCGCCATGGCTGCCGACACGCCTCGTCAGTACGTGCCATTGACGTGCCACGGACACTCGCGTCCAGTTCCTCACATCAGTTTCTCTCATCTTGAGAAGGAAGAAACTTACTATTTGCTTTCGGCTTGCAAGGGTATGTACATGTCTCGTGGCGGCGTATTTTTTTTTTTTTTTTCATGTCTTCATTTGTGCTGACTTTGACCTGCAGATGGCAATCCAATGCTTCGCGACGGTGTCACCGGCGACTGGTAAGTACATGCAGACTCCATATCTCTCTTTTTGTGCTGCGCTGTCAGGGATGGGACGTCGTGCTGATTCTGTGTTACCAGGATTGGCACCTTCATGGGCCACAAGGGTGCTGTTTGGCAGGTTCGCCTGAGCCCAGATGCTTCCAATGCCGCCACCGCGTCGGCTGACTTTACTTGGTGAGTTCATGTTGTCTCTTCTTTGTCGTCTCTTCTTTGCCTGTTTCTTCTTTGCCTGTTTCCTCTTCTCCGTCATGTCGTCTCTTTTCCGTCATGTCGTCTCTTCTTTGTCATGTCGCCTCTTCTTTGCCTGTTTCCTCTTCTCCGTCATGTCGCCTCTTCTTTGTCATGTCGTCTCTTCTCTGTCATGTCGTCTCTTCTTCGCCTTGTCCGCGGCAGCATCTTCTTTGAAATTCATGGGTACCATTTCTGACAAGGGACATGCAGCAAAATCTGGGACACTCACACCGGGGAACTCTTGTACACCATTCAGCACGAGCACATTGTTCGCGCGGTTGCGTATGCGCCTGACAATTCGGAGCTCGTGGCCACTGGCGGCATGGAAAAGAAGCTGCGTGTGTTTGACCTCTCCGAGTTCGTCTCCACCCCTGGCGAGCCAATCACTATTCCTGCCTCGGCCGGTTTTGAAATCGCCGTGGGTGCTCATCAAGGCGCCATCAAGTTCATCTGCTGGACTAATGATCCAAACGTCCTCGTGACTGCCTGTGACAAGACTCTTCGCTGGTTGGATCTTCCCACCCGCTCTGTCATTCACCAGGAGGTCTTGGATGGCGAGATCCGCTCCTGCGAGATGGTTTCCCTGGCACCCGAATGGTCTTCCGAGCATGACATTGGCGGAGGACTTCCTGTCCTCGCCGTCGCTGCTGGCAAGACTGCCTACTTCTGGGGCGGCCGACGTGCCTTTGAACATCTGAAGAGCATTGAGTTCCCCTCCACCATTGCCAGTGTTGGTCTCGATGTCCAGGGACGCAAGGTCGTCGTTGGAGAAGAGCCTGGAACCTGGGCTAGGGTCGTTAGTTATGATGATGACACTGTGATCGACGTCCACAAGGGCCACCACGGCCCCATCTGGTCAATTGCTTTCTCGCCAGATGGTCAGCTTTATGCCACGGCTTCGGAGGACGGAACGATCAAGATGTGGAAGAATTGCGAGGGCTTCTACGGTCTTTGGCGAGGTGGCAACGAGCGAGCTGTGGAGTAGAGAGCCGCAGAGCGTAACATTGCCGCGTCAACTGAAGCTGCGACAGACACAGTGCTCCCCTCCATCGAGCCAACTGACGCTGAAATGGAGAGATCTTCCATGTTCGCCGCAACAGAGGCCGCGAGATCCCGGGGCCGCCGCTGCTTCACGCTACTGAGCGCGTTGAGCCATGGTTCAGAGGATGAGTTCTTTTCGGCTGCATCACCCAACCACCCCTCGCCCGGAAACACCCATCTTCAGTTGTCTGAGGATTCTGTCCTCCAATCGTCGGAAAACTCCGCCCTGCAGTCATCTGAGTTCTCCGGGCTTCAATCGTCGGAGAACTCCACCCTCCAGTCGTCTGAGAGGCCCGACTCTCCATTCCCTCAGCATCTGCCTCTACTCACCATGATGAACCCCCGGAAGCGACGCCGCAATTCTACAAGTGTCGTCAGAGAAACCCCCGTCTCCAGGGGTCAGTTCCTCGCCCAGGCCTTTACATTGGGCTCGTCCAACACTGCCGCCTATGTCTTTGGCTCTTGCGTTGGCCGCCTCTTCAATTTCGAGTTCCCAAACAGAACCCCCAGACAGAATGTTCCAGTTGGCCCCGGAGTTGATGAAGCCAGACCCGACGAGGCCAATGGCCAGGAGGGCATTGTCGGCGAGCCAGTTGCCAACATTGACGGCGGGCGCGAGCCAGTTGCCAACATTGACGGCGAGCGCGAGCCAGTTGCCAACATTGTCGGCGAGCCAATTGCCAACACTGATGGCGAGCCCATTGGCAACATTGATGGTGAGCCCGTTGACGACATTGACGGTGAGCCCTTTGAAGATTCGTCCACGGACGATGAGTGAACAAATATTGCTTCGAGTTACAAATTTTGGACGGATACGGCAACATCAACAAAAGGAATGGCAAACTGGGAGATTCATTTGAGCTGCAACTAATTTGTGTTCGCGATTTGAAGCCAAATGAAGGAGATACGTGCGAGAAATTTTGAAAAGGAAATGGTGACAAAAAAATTTGAAAAGGACAGATGCAAAAAAAAACGTGAAAAGGACATAGATACAAAAAAAACGTGAAAAGGACATAGATACAAAAAAAACTTGAAAAGCAGATAGATACAAAAAAAAAATAGAAAACAATTTTGGGTTTTTGGTACTTTGTTGGCATCTGCATCGTGATGTATTGTGTTTCATTATTCTCTTTCGCCATGGACGACTACAAACGTCTCGTGAAGTTGATTGCCACAGATGTCGAATGCAAGATAGACCCAATCCGAAAGGGCTAGTTTTTCTTCAAGAAAAAAAAATATGGCGTTGCATATCCAATTGACTCCCTCTCTTTTGTTATATTTCTTTGGACTGAAGCAGTTCCCTGCAATCTCTTTCTTCCATTTCCCTGGTTTCTCGAGCCGCCTACCCTATTTCACGTACTATTTCGACCGGAATTTTGGTGTAGCGACCCCAGCAGCCGAAAAGGTACGTACCTTGTCCTCCGCAAATCGCCCTGGCGGCTCGGAACAATATTGTTGCAGCGCTATTCGCGATTCTGCCCCTCCCCCTCCATTTGATAACCAAAAGTTGAGTCACCTTTTTGAGCCTTTCGAGAGCGACCCCGATATCGAAGCCAAAGCCGCCCGGAACAAAAAGAGAGAAGCGGCTGCGCCAAAACAAAAGACACGTCTCCAGCGCCTTCAAAAAGTCACATCATGGCTCCCGTATCCGCTGATCCCACGGGCGATATCGCCCTGGCGATTCTCCAGGCGCTGGCCAACACCGACCAGCTTCTCTCGACCGAGGCGTTCCCCAACGTGCCTTTTGACACCGCAAAGGCCGCTCTGGACCGCCTCTCTTCGCGGTCCATGGTTGTCTATGAGCAGATTGAGAGGCAGGAGGCGATTCTGGAGGCCGAGGCCGAGGAGATTGTCCAGCACGGAAGCCACGAGGCTCGCGTTTTCGAGGCGGTGCACAAGGCTCTGGGGGGCCTCTCGATTTCCGATTTGGAGACTGCGATTGGCGACAAGAATGTGACAAAGGTTGGCCAGGGCAAGGCCTTTAGGGAGAAGTGGATTAAGAAGGAGGACAACAAGCTTGTTGCGCTGGTTAGTTGGGTATCGAGCATCGAGGAAGAGAAAAATGGTTCTGACTTGTCCTGCTTAGGTCGACACAATCGAGGACGTAACGAGAGCTCAGCTCCAGTTCATCAAGGAGACGAAATCACACGATGCCAAAATCATTGCCGACCTGAAGAAGCGAAAGCTGCTCAACACCCAAAAGGTCATTTCCTTCAAGGTGTCCAAGGGACCCAAGTTTGCGCTGGAGATTGTCAAGGAAGAGACTGATTTGACGGCCGACATGCTGGCGTCTGGATCGTGGAAGGCGGCAAATTTCAGTCAGTGCTACTGCCTAACGAGAGGGTTACTTTTTTGATTTTGCAAGCTTTGCTAACGGTGGGAAATTTGATTTTAGAGCCGTACAACTTCAAGGCTTTGGGCGCGAATCAGGTCTCTGGAGCTCTTCACCCGCTCAACAAGATGCGACACGAATTCCGGTTAGTTCACTCGCTTTTCAATGGCAGCCCTAAGAAAATTGGATGTGGAGTTGGGTGCTAATATGATATTCTGGGTAGACAAATCTTCTTCGAGACTGGCTTCACTGAGATGCCTACCAACCAGTACATCGAGACTGGCTTCTGGGTATGTATCAATCTGCGAATTCCAGTCTATGGATACGGTCGCCTTGATCATTGGCGGTATTGATATGGTTTGCGAATGCTAACACTGTACTATAGAACTTTGATGCCCTCTTCGTTCCTCAGGTAAGCGCATTACAACGAAATTTCCTACTTCATCTCCTATTTTTCGAGGTCTCTAACTCTTAACCAGCAACATCCTGCTCGTGATTTGCAAGACACCTTCTACATCTCCGACCCCCTGACCGCTGGCCGGCCTGGTCCCGTCTCTGCAGATGACAGACAAAACTACGATGAGTACTTTGAGAACGTTAAGCAGGTGCACGAGAACGGAAAATACGGCTCAATTGGCTACCGATACCCCTGGGCAGAGAAGGAGTCATTAAGGTATGGTGCCATGGAAAATAAAGCTGTAAATGATCTATTTCAGTCTAACAAGTCTTAGACTCGTCCTCCGCACCCACACAACCTCTGTCTCTGCTGCTATGCTGCATAAGCTGGCAGCAAAGAAGGGCCCCGATGGACGCGTTCCTCCTGCTCGCTACTTCTCCATCGACCGAGTTTTCAGGTAATTGCAGATGTGTTCAGCTATAGATGGCAAGGCCGGAAGCTTACTATATCCTAGAAATGAGGCTGTCGATGCGACACATCTTTGCGAGTTCCACCAGGTCGAGGGTAAGCTGTCTGGATACTTCCCAGTGTACAAGTTGGAGACTAATGGCAATCATAGGTGTTATTGCCGATTACGGCTTGACCCTCGGTGGTCTGATGGAATTCTTCGAGACCTTCTTCCACAAGATGGGATTGACCGAGTGAGTATACATCTATTGCCTTACAAATCTTCGTACAAGTACCCATGCTAACAAACCTTGCAGTCTCAAATTCAAGCCAGCGTAAGAAACAGATTATTCTTGCAGCATATTGCTCCCTATTAACACAAGAAATAGATACAACCCCTACACAGAGCCTAGTATGGAACTCTTCAGCTACCACAAGGGCTTGAAAAAGCTTGTAGAGGTAAGAACCGCAAAAGATTGTCATATAAGACCTACCGGAAATGCTAACTGAACACTTTAAAAGATTGGTAACAGTGGCATGTTCCGACCGGAGATGTTGGAGGCCATGGGACTGCCCAAGGACCTGAGAGTGTATGGATTCGGCCTCAGCTTGGAGAGACCGACCATGATCAAATACGCCATCCAGAACATCCGTGAGCTGCTTGGCCACCAAGTAGACCTGAACTTCATCGAGAGAAACGCTGCCGTGCGACTGGACAAGGACTAGATGGGTGGCGCAATAGAAGGAAGTCGAATTGCATATAATGAAGGGATGATCTTTTTATGACGAGAGAAGAAGAAGAAGGCGAATTAAAAGTTTAAGATGGAACGAACCGCATTGCCGTAAACGAGGCGGTTGGCGTTGGCGCCCTGACGCCACGGGACGATGGCAGATCAGATGGCAAAAACATGCAACAATACAGTTGGTTGCAGAACCTCATAGCCAAATCTATAGCATCTCAATAGAACCCGAATTGCCAGGGAATACAAGATGAAGAACTAAAGACTGTTTCTTGCTAGTAGACATGTTCCATGTGCGTTTTATCTAGCCGAGATTTGATACTATGGAACATATCAGTTGCGGTCAAGTTTGTGAAGATAGTTACCAAGCAGATGGCGTGTTGGTTCGAGAATTGGCTGGAAATGTTCCTTCAAGGACAGGAATTGGAAGATTTGGAGCGGTGAAAAAAATACTATTCCTTGCTAGTAAATATACTTGAGATGCGTTTTATTTGACTGATAATTGATACTATAAACTCCCATCGGAATATACTAATGCTTAGGGGAAATATTGTTTCGCAAAACGGGAGTATTTTGTTTTTCTGCTTCTGTTACAATCTGGGTATTTGTTACACTCTGTCGACCAAATTCAGTATGCCATGGACTTTTCTCTAAATTACTCCCAGAACACCCAAACGCAATGCAAAATCCCTTTATAAATGCCGAATTTTGGATATTCCTTCGAATATCATCTTGGCCACCTCCTTTGGCCCCAAATCACCGATATCCACCTCCAGCTCGTTCGCCTTCCCCAAAGCCCGGATAACCTCTGCATTCCACATCGACTCGAATACCGTGAACTCGTGGGCATTGGTGATTAGGACGCTTCGCCCAAGCCTGTTGTAGCTATCCAGTCTTGGCGAGTGGCAGCGGAGGATGACGTGGACGAATGGCTGTCCCAAGCTGTCGGCGGCATTCTCGTACTCTCGGACAGGCAGATCGCTGTCGAGTGCCCTCGGCGTGCCGCGGAAGTCGGCAAAGATCCACGAATGGTGCTTTGCCTGGTGGACGTCACTGAATGCGTCGGTCAAGATACGGCGCATTTCCATTTGCGCCTGCTCCTGAGTCCATAGGAAACGCCAGCCTCTGCGGACGTTTTGGCCCATTTTGAGGACCTCTGAGCCTTTTATGAGAGTGCTCAGCTCTTTGCAGATTTCCACGTTGTGGAAGCCTGGGCATCCATGGACGTAGACGCAGAAGGGTGCAACGGCGGACATTGTGGGCAACGGTTGGTGTCTTGCTGCTGGACGACGAGGTTGTCAAGGTACTTGTGTATGATGGATGTAGAGGCTGCAGCAGTGGCAGGAGAAGAAGGTTATAAATGCTTGGGAAGGCCGTTGACGAGGTGCTATTCCTTCCCGCAGCAATGAGACGCGGATGTGGTGCAATGATGTGGTGCAGCGATATGGCGTTGATTTGGTGCAAGGGGGATACTGCAGCAATATATCAGCCAGGGACTGAACAGATGCTTAGGAGAGTCTTTGAATGCTTGTTCAAGATAGTAAGAATAAATGGGATTCTTTGAATGAAAGCTGGAGAATGCCCTGCTCTTTTATAGACACAGGTACGTATCTACTTTTTATGCCACCCAAAAAAAAAAGAAGAAAAAAAAAGCTTTTTCTGTGTTGTTGTACCGTAGTACACTATGGAGTTGTCTTTTGGACTTTCGTTACACAAAATAGACTTTAAAGGTACCAACTTTGTCCGATCTTTCTCTATCTTGTCCCTGTCATCAATGCTGAGCGGATGATCATAAATGGCATCGAGACGTCCCAAGGAGCTCCGTGCCATTCGCGAAAGCTGAGAGAAGTTAAATCCATGCTCTCCAAAGAAAAATAAGGGGCAAAAGGGTGAAAAGCAGCGAAAGAAAGACAAAGAAGGAAGAGAATGAAATCAAACACACATCGTATAAGGCTATCAGAGTAATGTATCTAGCTACTCAGCGATCTGGTATCGTGAGCTGGGTCGCGACTCCATGAGAACTATCGTGAACGCCGAGATTTAGATGGAAGCGCCTCCCAGAGAAGGGAGAAGGTGGAGGTTTTGTAGTAGATGAAAAATTTTCACAAGACAATGTAACTATAGGATACTTTGAAAGGTATGTCGATTATCGACTCTTGAAAGTAAATGCTTGTCGCAGTACATGAAGAATTTCTGCTTTCTTCAAGCCCTCCCCTTTTTTTTAAAGTTGACTTTCTGGTCGCGTGCAAGAGGACGCATTTACATCTTTTGCAATTTTTTTCAATCGGATATATTTAGAATGAGAACAAAATTTCATTATTCGCAATGATTGATCAAGATTAGATACATATTTTTCCTATTCGCTTCGATACATCCTAGAACTATAATCGCACGCGTCTTGGAGGCTGCATGTACCATGATAGACATGCAACAAGATGCAATTGAGCCATGCGTCTTTCGAAAAAAATGATAAAAAAATAAAAAAAAAATGAAAGAATCAAATTATTGAGACTTTTTGTTTGAAAAAAATGTAATTTTTGTTTATTTGTGTGTATATTTCTTTGTGCAATAGGTTCAAGCGGAGGGAGCGATTTCGCTGCCTTGAAACACGCAATCTGCGGTCGTCAAATCTGGCTATGGAGATGACTTGACGTACACAGCCGATCACCGGAATAGAAGGAGGCAAAAACACATGAGCACAGAAAGTTTATAGCCGGAAGCGATAGTAATGCATATGAAATTCGCGTTCAGTAACTCAACTACTGGCCTCTTTGTACAGCTGAATAAACGAGGTGACTTTTTGCGGTGGATAGGTGGTGACAAAGTTGGCGTTTATCAGAAAAAAATTCCTTTAGAGTTTTGATGAAAATCAAGTCCTTGAAATGAATAGATCTATTGAATAATGATACCTAGGCAAGCTACGTGGCTTTCTCTGTGGATAATTTGCTATCATGTCGAAAAGCTTTGTGAGACGCTGGGGGTACTATCCAATTCAAATTCGAAAATTTGAGTTTTCGTAGCCCTATCGTCCGTAGCCCTATTGTTCGAAGCCCTGTTACTAGGCTCAGGCTTCGAGTGAAGACTACAATACATCGAGTTGCGACAGTCCAACGTAGCCATCCTCGGAGTGAAGCAAGAAAGCCGACACTTGATTCTACGGCAAATCTTCCAATCAGGGCCAAGGGGAAAGGCTTTACGCTGGGAATATCACTTTTGAGAGGAGAATCAAGAGTGAGCGCAACTGCAAACGAGGTTCGCGGAAAATATCAAGAAGACGGATCCAGTGTTGGAGGATGTGTTTATGGCATAGGTGCAAACTCTCGGGTGAGAAAGGTGAGACTTTGGCCGAATATCGAGAAGGGATGAGAAGTTGCACCACCAACTGATACTAGAGCGACAAATGTGCGCTATAGGATCAAGTGAGATGATGCATATTTTTTGACTGACAATAAATCTGTGTGCACTGACGGCTACATGGACTTGGCCATCACTGTCATCATGATCACGACTGAGATCTTGAGTAGTAGCCGAATTCTTACCAGAGAGTGTAGGGTATTGTTTTTAGAACGTAAAATTTTGAATCTTCAGCAAGAAATCCGAGCCAGGTGCTGCAGCCAAAGGTGAGCGGCATGTAAGATGAAGCTGAAGCTGAAACTGTAGCTGGGCGTCTTTCAGTATAGACAATGAACCTTTTCATGAGCCTCATCCAAGCTTGGAATATGGCCTGCAGGCAAGATTGCTTTTGGAGTGCTTATAATTGTACCATGTTATTGTATTTGGTGTCCATATTGTTGCGATGAAAGAAACGTGAAGACATTCTATTGCGCGCGAATTTACTGCCTCACTCGCCTTCATTGTTTTAAAGCACTTCTTTATCATGTACATCATCTCAGATGAAATCAATCGCACTATTCTTACCATTGTATTATTTACATGCGGTAAAAATTAGCGTTGGGGAAATTAACGATACTTTGGCATGGTAGAGAACTTGTATTTTCTTGTTTACCCTCCGTCGATACAGCATGGAATGAAGCATCCTCCTGTTGCCATATGGTATAGCTTCTTCTGGTATTTTCTACGATTTCTTGACGCGATGGAAAAATATTACTGCAGTATCCAAGTTTCTTCCCAATTCTATTTCAAATCCAGATAATCAAGTGCTGAAGTCGCATCTCACGCTATCGCCGTTGGATCTCTCCATGTACGCAATTCTCTGCATTTTGCCCACCGCAGCATGTCGCCATGCGTCCTCGTGAATCCTCATGCGGCTTTATAAATCATTCAAAAATGGATATTCTGTACATCATTTTGGCCCAAGCAGAGCATTTTGGTCTACGTAGAATCCCTGTCTGCAAGATTGCAGTCAATCACCCAGGTTTCTAGCCCTTTACCTGCATTCCAGTGGATCTAGCAGCCTAAATCAGTTTCTATAGTACGCTATCAGCGCGTCGAATACGCTTCAGTGCTCTGATATAGTGGGCTACGCCCTGTGTTCAAGGTGCTCCTCCCCGCTGTCTGTTCTCTACAGCGCTTACCAAAAGTCTTCTGTGGCGTAGCTGTAAAGTGCTGCCCTGGTTACGTGTGCATAATTGTTAGTCTCCGTAGGCAGCCACTTTTGTTTTCCTTTCATCCTTTCTTCTTCATCCGACATTCAGCTGGAAGCAGAGCAAGTCGGTGACCTGGCCGGGTTGAGTCTTTCGGTAAGCCATTTTCTCTTGGGAGAATCCATGCATTTGGTGATTTCTTTGTACATGTGCTAAAGCCTCGTAGGTGTCATGAGGTGGAAGAGCCGCCTGTGATGCCGGAAGATTCACCCGGCCAGAGTCATCGCCAGAGTCGGGCCGTTGCTCGGTAAGTCATTGGCAAATAATATCCATTTGGTCATTTCTTTGAACGTGTACTGAATCCTCGATAGGCGTCATGAGGTGGAATAGCTGCCTGTGACGCTGGGCCTCCGACCCTGCCGCGAAGCCATCGACGGCGGTGGAAACGACAATTGGGTCCAGAAATTCTGGATCTGGGTCTTTATTATCTGGTTCTGCGTTAATGTCCTCCTTGTTCTCATTCTGTGGCCCTTCAGAGACTGGTCCGATTTCCTCTAGTTCATTTGCGCAATCCACTTCGCAATGAACTCTTGATCTTTTGATCATTTTTACACAAACTGCCCCAATTTGCTCATCATCTGCTGGACATTCGGGGATTCTGGGAACAAATCTGCCTATTGGGATTTATCGAAACACTCTTCAAAACCTCCTCTGGGCATCCAGCTCTCCATCTATAGCATGGGCTACTTCTGCTGCCTCGTCGGGCTTCGGCCGTGCCCCGCCAGCAAATGGATGCGACTGCTACAACCGAGACTGCGCGATCAGAGTCCTCTGCCGAAGCGACAGAGAAGGTGAGTGATCTCTTGTAAATCATCTGTATGCACCTATAGATCTAACTTTGATCATATCTAGTCGACGCGGATCTAGTTACTCGATCTCCTCCAACAAGCACCGGCGTCCGTTCTTCAGGCTACCACCGTCGTGTGCGAAGACTACGGCCTGCCAATAAAATTTTTCTTTGTTCATTTGTGTCAATTATTGCGAGGATTTTGGCATAGTGTTGATCCATTTGGTATCATTTTTCAAATTTCTTTCTGAATTCTTCATCCATTCCCATTGAAGTTGTTGTATACCATACGTCTTCTTTCCATACGTCATCTAATTCGTTATCTGTTTCCCGAATGTCTTGTTTGTCTGTTGTAGGAAGTCTGGACAATGCGTCTGGGACTAGATTTGTTTTGCCGGGAATGTGATGAATATCTAATTTAAATTGGCTTAGATGTATTGAAGCTGCCATCAGTCGTTGATTCGCTTTTACTAGGTCAGATGTAGACATTGTCGTATGATCCACTGTGCCCTTTATTGCTGGCTGCGTGATCCGTGAGGATTTTTACCGGTGTGGTGCAAGATTGGATCATTGTTCTGAGTTTACGGCTTGCCCACACAAGGCATGCCATTTCCAGCTCCGTTGGTTTATATCTCTCTTCTGCCTTAGACAATAATGGACTCAGGAACATGATCGGTTGTGCTCTCTGTATAGGAATTTTTGGAGGTTCCCATTCATCACCTTCCAGATGAAATACAAAGAGTCCCATACCTCTTTCGCTTGCATCCAGTTTGAAATATGTTGGTCTGGATGGATCATGATGGTGAAGGGGGTGACCTCGTTACAGAACTCCCATTCCCCTACGACCTTGTCCATAAGGGTGTGGATCATCATGTGAATATCATGCCATACGCCGCTTCCTTAATTCTAGGAGATGGTCGATGCTCACTTACCTGCCTCTTGCCCCAGCCCTTCAGCTGCGCAACCCAAGAGATTGACTGATGAAGGCCATCATCGTCTCTACCCAATCATTCACTTTTCTTGCTACCTTCATCACCCTCTTCTACTACGGCGCACTGATCTCTTCGAACTTGACCCGACACAAAGACTTGACGCTTGTGGACCTGATATAAAGACACACAAAAATGGACGGTCAATTATTGGTCTCAGTCGATCGATATCTCTGATCTATCTGAATACCAGCCCCATGTGGCTAGCTATGGATCAATGATTTCCTCTGTCTTTGTTCTTTGTTGGTAAAAGGATTCTCATGTAACGGTATAATGTTTGTTGGGGCAAGGTTCAATGTTTCTATCACCAGAATGTTTTTAGCGATGTTATATAGCTTGGATGATGCTTTAGTAGTGTCGAGATGGATGGAGCTGTGTTTTGAATAGAGTAGATATGAGCCTATGTAACGATGGAGAATAAAAATGTACAAGTTCGATAGTGGTGCCTCGTTGGCTGGATCCCTTGTGCGTGTATGGCCTGGTGAGAAGATGAGCAAGGAGCTGCAAAGCTGCCCGTGCTCCGATTTGAAAGAAGATTTGCCAATACAACGCCTGCAGAATTGGTGAACAATAAATGGTCAAGGCGACAAGTATTCAAGAGATGTATGCTTTCTTTGTTCAAGCTCCCATCGCAGTCTCCCCTCCTTTGGCGGCATCAGTTACTTCAGTCGTCTCGCTTTTTCGCGCCTCTTCTAACCGATAGCTTGCAAAAGATGCCCTTCCATCACACCGGAGCCCAGGCAAGGAATAATCAAAGCACCAACACTGCCGATCTTTTCTTCCATCGCCAACTCGCTCCCGGAACCTGCCTTCTGAAGAGCTCCCTAGCCTAGGCGAGGCGCATACATCTTCAAGCGCAGAATAACAACACAGGGCGGAACTACAAGAGAATAAAGAGAAGAAGGATGCCAAAGGAAGGAAAAAAAGAGGGAAAAGGCAAAAAGATGTGCCATTACGAGGAGTCGAACCTCGGTCTTCAGTGATTTGCAGGAATTCCACAAACTGATGTCTTAACCGTTGGACCATAATAGCTAGCACCGATGGGAACATGGCCGATCTACACAGAGTTACAAAGACAGACGAGACGCTGATGCAAATCGAGATGGGCGACGACAATGCTTTTGTTCAAACCAACCTGGTGCAGACGACTACAAGACAGAAGGATTGAGAAAGACGCGATTCTATGGGGCTTTTTGGGGCAGTATAGGAATCTACCCACGCCCATTAATGACGACTCAGAAGACTCGGACAATCGGCGATTGCCAAATCCCCAGCAAGCACCGATCGAAGTCAGTTCGAACAACGGAGAGCGAGAAATGCCTACAGAACAGAGCAGCCGCGATAGGACGCAATGGAGTTGATCGTCAAAACCTGAGCCATCTATACCTGACCGACGAAGAAATTCCTGCCAGCACCAATGCCCCGTCAATGGCGGATGATCATGTTTCTTCTACGGCATTCAACGACAGGCAGACGTTCCAGGCACATGGCGTCGTTGAATCTACCATCAGCGTCCAGGCGGATCGAAGGGCTTCGCAATCTGCCGATCAGAATTGCTGTCCGATCCTAGCTGGAGAAAGCTTACACGAATCTTGGATATCTCTGCGGTTTGAAGAACTGGTTCATTTGTTAAGAGGAATGGATGCCTCTGCGGGCTCAAAAAATCAGCACTCCAATCCCTTGCTAATAGCAGAGACTACCGTACGAGAGCGAGAACACATCAAAGAGCGAATTAATCTTCTGGCGACCACGATCTCCCCTCGGAAGGGAAGGACTGTCACGATAGTGATTGGCCATGTATAAGCAAGAAGGTGTGTTATTTTCTCTCTTTATCCATACGAAGCTATTCTGACTTTAATAATAGGCTCTCTCCATGCCACCGACCGATTCGCCCAGGAACTCTTTCAGTTCAGCATCCGCCCAAGCCACAAGTTCTTCAAGCTCACATAACAGCGAAGCCAAGGCTCCAGCTTAAAGCCTCGACAAAATGCTGTTTGTGCAGGTGCTGGTAGTCACAGACATTTGCCTCCATTACACCCGTCTCTTCTGGATCAGGCAAGCCTGAGCCTACTTTTTATGTTATATATGTGTGTCTTTCCTTAAACAAACTCGTCTTCCCACTGGAGCGGGCCAGCACCCTCGAGGACAGTATTCCAGCCCTCGCGATGACTTCTCGCTTTCTATAGCATCCTATATGGGTAAGTCGTATCAGCCCCCTTTCCCAAGAGGTGCTATTATCTTACCCTCTATCATTACACTAACCATGGTCTTCTCATTGTGTAGATACGAAGCTGGGACCATCGCGAAGATATGGGCGGCCCTCAGTACAACCCAGGAGGACAGGCGAGTATAGCACACGCCCAAGCATAGCTCTAGCACGGAAAGATACAATCGCGATAACATTATGAAAAATCTTCTGGAAGATAGCGAATATCTGCAAGGCCATACTGGAAGAACTTCTTCGACATACACTTCCGCTACTTCAAAACCAATCTCAACATTACTATCTGCATCTTGCCCACCAGCACCTTCTTCGGCCCTCTCCCGTTCTCGGATTGGTTCTCGGATTCGTTTGGCTGTCGTTTCTTCTGAGAGAACTACGAGCATCGCTCTACGTTCAACGTGGGCGCCATTCCTAAACAAGTGTTACAGTTCCGATCACCTGAGAAGACGAAGAATATATCGGGACAAGCGCGGGGCATACGATGAACCCATGTTTCTTGTCCGAGATCCTCGTCAGGGTAGGAGACCAACTGAGGAGCAAAACTGTTTGGGATTCATGCGTTGAGCTAGGATATAGGAGCCATTATATTTATTTGGTATGAATGAAGCTCTTTCTTCTGGGGACTGGGAAAACACCCCGCCAGCAAACAAGGTCAGCTGCGCGTGATCCGGGGATATCGAGTCCAATTCAACTCGAATCTGGGCCAACAGAGTGAAGAAATTTGTGGAGGTTGGAAGAGGTGGGAGCATGTTCGAGATCTTTTCACGCGGGCTGGGAAGGTGGTGAGAGCATACATAGGGACCGCAAAATGGAAACACACAAAGAAATAGTAATTAAACACTGATCTACCAATTAAGCACATATATTAGTGCTGTTAAATGCATATAGTGGAAAATTAGTTGTTCATTATTCATGCTCTCCCGACCTTTTCCTCATAAGGGGTTCATCACGAAATCATCGATTTCACGTTTGACACAGACCCGAGGTGTTCTACAAGCAACTAGTGCATTATCCCTTCATCTTCCATAGCCTCTTTACCCCGAGGCCTTCCAACGTAGCCGAGGCGGCATTCCCTGCAGAAAAAGACTCAAGAGGTATATTATTGATTGGAGAGGTAGAATTGGCAAATGGAAGTTCAGAAGACCAGTATTGGTACAGAGGCGAGAGCTAGTCAGCAGACAGAAAAACAGGCGGATAATTGCTAGGCCAAACTCGAGCGTCTGTATGATAGCGCTCATTGATGAATCCTGGACTTGAACTGTCTTAGCATACGAGCCTGAGGCAAAAAGCTGGCTATCTGATGAGTGGGCACTGACGCCGAGGTCTTCATTATGTTGGCCAATTAATTGAGACGTGGTTTTGTTCGCTCTCTCTCGTAGGATTGGGTCAATCATCAACGTAGTGGATAGTCTAGTCTCTTCAAAAGAGAAATGGTAGGTTGGAGTGTCGCTGGCTTGTGAAGCTTTGGATTGGGGCGGAGTAGGATGCAAAACAAGCTGAGAGTCGGTATTGTGTGGATTTGCCACTTTAGTCATTTCTTTTCTGTGTACATCAACGTTCTTGTCGATTGTCCTTTTCTCCTGTGAGTTACAGTGCCTGGTGGGGGACACCTGCCCCGACATCCCCGGGAAGCAGGAGGCAGGAGACGTCGAGCCTTGAAGAGCGCTATATGGCCTCAACACCTCTAGATAGTTAGTAGTTTGAGGAATCAAGCCTTTTGATCCCACCTTGCGCGTCCCTACGTTCGATGCCGTAGAGATCACGTACTGGATCTGCTTCCTCTCAGACGACCATCGCCTGAGGCATGATATGGTAGCAATTGCCCTGCTCTCACGATGGACCACTTCTAACGTCACAGTCAATGGTCCTCGTGACCCCTCAAGAGCGTGCGACCTCCCCTCAGAAACCCGCAAAAAGCTCACGAGCAATGCCAAGGAAGGAGACAAAGCCTGCCCAACCGAGACAACCAAACGGACGCTTTCTGCCAACAAGAATCTCAAACTCGTATTTGAGGACGCCAAACCCGCGGGAGATTGGAGAGTTCCCACCTCATCGAAGAGCTCATACCTCCAACCCACCGCTGGACGATCTCATGATAGTGTCGCCGATTTGCTTAGTCCTCGACTTTGATTTGGCGACGAGCCAATCTTGTTCTTGCAACGAAGCAATGATGATAGTTTGCTTGTGTGAGGGGGTAAAGCAGTGCGTGCTTCGAAATCGTCTTTAGTTCTAACAATTAGTTGATTCTCTGCCAACATGTCAGATCATGTCCATTCATTCATCAAGATGCCAACTCACCCTTTAAGCTTCGAGCTTCGAGCTATCATGGCCCTCTCTAGCATGGTGTGTTACAGACTGAGAGGTTTTGACCAATGCAAATACTTCTATTGAAGAAGCCATGGATGATCCTCGTGTCCCATAAGTCATTGTCACTCATATTCGTCCGGAGTTCCGAGTCAGCGAGATGCTTTACTTGGAAGACGTAGGAATGGTATCGAAGCGAACGGACCAGGGCAGCGCGGCAAAATTCAACCAATGGGAAAACCTGGGGCGCAAAATCCGTAGACATCACTCCTGAGAGTCTGCAAGAAGAGTTTGAGCGACCTCTATGGGGCTGGTACGCGGTGCTAGAGACTAGGATTTGCTTGGATATATTGTTGAGAAGGAAACAGTTGTCTGACTGATGCACAAAATGGATGACGCCTTCTCGGAGAATTAGGGAAAAGCCGTATGGTCTGATGACCTTTTTCAATTTCTTTTGGTGGAAAGTTTCAAGCGAGTAAGCAAGAATCTCAACTGGATCAAGGCTATTTGCTGGTAATCGGTAAAAACAGCAGTAAAGATGGCTCATTTGGGAGAATACGTCGTCCGAGCTCTTGTTGAGGGTGACCATCTCGAACAGCGCCAAAGTCGAGGATCTAACTCAAGTGGACAGGTTATTCAGCTGGTCACAATTTCCGCAACATCAAGACATATAACAGCAAGAAGGGCAGGCAAGGAGTAATCGAATCTCACCTCTACATAAACCAAGCTGTCTCTCTAGACGGGACTTGGATAAAGTGATTGAGACCCTTCAGCTGCTGGTGAGCCAATTACCCATGTCAGGCTAGAGTTCACTGCTGGTTGTACTCTGGGTCTATCAAATTATAGATATGCCTTATTATTCGGTTATAGGGTGGATGAAGCTCTGGAGGCAACGGTTCCAACCCTTCAAGCGTTTGCCACAATTGGACCTCTTCGCGCTCCTGAAAGACCTGTGCTGCCCAAAGAAAAGTGCCGTCAGCGTTGGGTGTTTTTGACAGCGTCCCTTGATTCCAGTTTGTAAACCCTATGGTGTGTGGATCGATGCACCATGTATCCAATGTACGTACCAACAGCGCTGAAAACCGAGCTCTGGTTTGGCTCGAAGCTCAGCCTGATATCCGTACCGTTTTGTCGATTCTTTCATGGATAGGCACTAAGGCCGTATTGCCAAAAGAACGAGGTCGTCGCGATGCCTAGGGGGGACGAAGATGGGTATAGAGTACAATGGCCCAGAAGAGTCAATGAACGATCGATATAGGTCGTGCTGATTACACTAAATAGCATCATTCATTAGCCTAATTCCATTGTTCGCCAGCCCAAGCCGCAGATAAGGTCAGATGATACGGACCTGGGAATAATAGAAATCTCGGTAGATTCACCCAGTGGCATCGTTCTCGAAACCAAAGAGTGAAAGACTCAATCTCCGGCGTTAGATGACCAGAAGGCCGAACCCATGGCTATACAAGTTGAGCAATGGCAATCTTGCTGAGCTGTACTGGGAGACGGAATGCTGCTTTCCATTGTTCTTCCACACAACCGCATTCGTTTTGCTGGGTTGTTGAATGAATTCCACAAAGCCGAGTTCAACTGCCTGTATGATCAAAGGCAGCTTCCCTAGATTTGAATTAATGGGTATCAGTATCTTCAAGGGCAAGCTATCCATCTCTTGGAGCTTCCAGAAAAGAAGAGGCTGCTTGCCTTTATTTGTCCGGCGTACTCCTGCCGTTGTACCGCATGTTGAATGGGTAGGAGAGAGCCAGGCTATGTAAATAAAAACCATCTCCATCCCAAATCCAACTTGGCAAAAACAATACCATCTAGAATCATTCCATGCAATAGGGACGACATGAGCCGACAAATGCAGTCATCGTCTGGAGTCCTAGGCTGTCACGTGCAGACCTATGTGCACGCACAAACTTGGACCTTATTGTTTGTTCATCTCGCAGCGCCAGCTGCAGAAACTCAACCCTTGCTGAAAAAAACTTGACTCCCACCACTCCATCAACTTTGCCGGAATTTCTGCCACGTCGTCAAAAGTTTCTTGAAAATATCAGACAGAGAGTCTTCTAATGGCATCCGCTTCTTTGAGAGCGTCTTCGACACCATCCTCATGTTTCCGAGCCCTAAACTCTGAAATCGCCAGTACAGCGCACTCTGTGAGTCAAAATCTGTAGCATTTTTTCGTTTATTGCTCGTACTAACTGTGCATAGAGTCATATAGAGTATACCGCACTCTATCCTCTGCGACATTCTTTCTGAAGTTGTCGAAGGGCGATACACCGGCTTATAACCAACACACACACATGAGCCTGTCTTGAAGATATATCGGGCCTGCAAAGGCAAATCGTCACAAGGCTACTCTACTCCTTCCAGCACCGTTTCGCACAGCCAAACAGAAAGCCGAAACAATTTCTGGCTACAACAGTGAAGACGTGCCACTTATGACCTCGGACAAGCCAGGCGTCCCAACTCACGGGCTCGCGTTGGATGTCTTGCCACGCCTGGAGAGCGGGGAGCTCCCAGAGATATTTTCGTCAGATGTCCCGAGTCTCGGACTTTTCTGTTTCAACCAACGATCAGTTTAGCGGGTGGCCTATTGAGGCCCAGCTGACTGGCCTGCGGTTTGGTTTTCTCTTTGTGGTGGGCCGGCGAAACTCTTTTCTGTTACAACCAACGGCCAGTTCAGCGGGTGGCCTATTGAGGCCCAGCTGGCTGGCCTGCGGTTTGGTTTTCTCTTTGTGGGCCGGCGAAACTCTTTTCTGTCGCAGCCAAAGGCTTGTCCAGCGGGTGGTCTTTTGAGGCCCAGCTGGCTGGCCTGCGGCTTTTTATCGCGCGAATCCCGCCCTCCGCCAAACTGTGCTATCGTTTCTTGTCGTCAACATGCCTCCTGAGGGAGTTGCCTCCGCTGTGAGGATAAGAAAAGTCCACTCTTTCATTGGTAAGTAGCTCAACTTCTTAGCCTTCATCACCATGGCTCTTGGATCATCTTCTAACAGGATCATGGCTATAGATTTTGCCGCCACCCTTCAATCCCAACTCTCTGGTCCCCTTGACGCTGGAGATATTGAATTACTCATCGCGGACACGGGCCATCATATTCAGAAGATTCACAATGTAGTGGCGGGGGGTCTATTGAGGCCCCAGCCAGGCTCAAGTGAAGGAGAGTGGCGGGGGGTCTTTTGAGGCCCCAGCCAAGAAAACTCTCTGGTCCCCTTGACGCTGGAGACGGACACGGGCCATCATATTCAGAAGATTCACAATGCAGTGGCGGGGGGTCTATTGAGGCCCCAGCCATCTCCGACTTCGAGACGCTCACATCTTCCATCACCTCTGCCGTAGACGACATATACGCCAACTTGTCATACCCACCTTCTGCTACCCTGTGCAGCTCTGACAACTTCCCCTCGGTCACCGTCGCGACTCATCTTGCAAGCGCCAAAGCCCAATTGGAAGAGGCGAAACCCTTCAATCCCAACTCTCTGGTCCCCTTGAAGCTGGAGATATCGAATTAATCATCGCGGACAAGGGCCATCATATTCAGAAGATTCACAATGCAGTGGCGGGGGGTCTATTGAGGCCCCAGCCAGGCTCAAGCGAAGGAGAGTGGCGGGGGGTCTATTGAGGCCCCAGCCACACTTCAATCCCAACTCTCTGGTCCCCTTGACGCTGGAGATGTCGAATCACTCATCGCGGACACGGGCTATCATATTCAGCAGATTCACAATGCAACCCAGCCAGGTTCAAGCGGCCCTTTGCCGGCCAAGCGGAGGAGAGATCAGCGAACAGAAACTGCAGTGGCGGGGGGTCTATTGAGGCCCCAGCCAGCCAAGACACGCTTGAGAAGAGAATCGATGGAGCCATCAACCAGCTCTCCATTCTCAACATCGTCTCCATCTGTGCCGTCTGGCTTCGTGAGAGGATCTGCCGCAACTCCTCTTCGGGCGCTTCGCTGCCCGACGTCAAAGAGTCGCCAGTAAGCAGCTGGCTGGCCCGCAGGGGGTCTATTGAGGCCTCAGCCGGTTGGCCAGGAACCGAACCACAGAGACACGGACTACAAGATCATTGGAAGCAACATTACTATAACGCGGCGAAAATGAAGCTGGAGTATGATGTGGTGGGTGGTCGGCGGAGGGTTTATTGAGGCCCCAGCTGGCTAGGCAGAGACCCTTTCTCAGCAGCAGAACACCTCCGATGTTCGCTTCCCTCTATCACATACCCACACGCATCCATCATCAATGATACTAGCCTCACCGTCTCGGGATTGGGTACCTCGTCTATGATTGAGAATTATCGGAAGCAATATCACTATCCCGCGGCGCAAATGGAGCTGGAGCATGGTGTTGCTGTCTGGCGGGGGGTCTGTTGAGGCCTCAGCCAAACTAAAGCACAAAGACACGGAATACAAGGTCATTGGCAGGGGGTCTATTGAGGCCCGGCCAGCCCAAAATAAACAGGGCCCGACCCGGCTACGAGCCCGACTGGGCAGACCACTGGGACGAGTACTTTCGGAACCACGGCGAGATTTACACAACAGCCGGTGTTCGCTGATGGCCATCCACTTAACTGCTGATCTGCTGGTTAGTGGAACATTCCTACATGGGAGCAGTACGGCATGCTGGCGAGCCACTGTCGAAAGAAGGCGGGATTGGGTGATTTTCGCGCCTGGCTAGTCGGTTATGAGGGCGAACAAACTGTCACAAGGCATGTCAGGCCTCGAGCAAAGGAAGAAACCGGCCTGGGCGGTGTCATGGGGTTGGTGAGCGAGGTGTTGGCCATCCTGAAGACGCGGCTCCTGTCAATGGTTGTTGGGCTTACGATTGTTATACTGCTATGTTTGGGGAGGTGCTTCTGCTGGTATCTACGTTGAATATCCTGGTTTTCAAGTTCGCGGCGAACGCCTTGCCATATGAGGAGGAGAGGTTGAAAGCGACGTGGTGATGCTTTTAATAATTGTCCACGGATATGTGTTATGGAGCGCGGTATATCAGACTAGAAATCCTCTTATGGTTCTGAACGGAATGTCTGGGCGAGGAGTTAGACTTGGCTTAGATGGTTAGGGAATAAGAATCGTCTTTGCATGTTGCCTATTGTAACAGCTTCTATACGTTGCCGCACGCTGACAATAAGGACCTAGGTTAAAGCGGAGGTGATATGTTGATATTGTTCCATGTTGAATTTGACGAATGAGGATATCGTCCAGCAGGTAACAGGCTTGGTGAAGGTCCATATCATTGTCTCTGTACCCGACAAGGCTGAAAGATGCCGAATTTGAAGTGACGGCGGTGTGTGTAAGCATTGCAGTATCACAGGCTCTATCCCATATTGGCTTCTTCAACTCCGCGGCTTCTGACAAAACCCAAGCGATACTGTCATATAGACAGAAGGCGATAGCTTCGTGGAGAGTATCCGGGAGAATGCTACTACCACAGAGAGAGGCGAGCAGACCCGCCTCAAACTGCTCCAACGTCTTCGTAGAGCAGTGCTCGACTAGTTGGTCTCAGTGGTACAGCCAACTGAGATAGAACATGCCAAGACTTCTGTCGAGAACTGAATTATCGCTCTTGAATTTCCGTTCTGACTAACTGCACTGAGGCGATGGCTAAACTTGGCATCTTGTGATACGCGGCACAGAACTGCAGAGAAATATGGACATAAAAAATAGGCCCTGTCTTTCTTGGATTGCCCTAGTTCTAACCCCCCGGATGGCGCTTCTCTTGCCTATACTGCTGGTGAACATTCTTGGAACGGAAGGAAGAGGCGATGTTTCAATACCTTTCGGAGTTTTTATTGCATCAAAGAAGCCCCCATGTGCACTACTCGAAGCCAAGTCGAACGATATTTCGCCGATGCGCTCGAGGCACTGGCGAACAATAATGAGCCTGGATACGCCAAATTATCCAAGATGACACTCCCTCAGCTTAAAGTCATTGACAGAACTAGCAAAATCCTCATCCACCACTGAGAAAAAGGCAGGGCTTGTCCAGCATTACTTCCTAGACGGAGGAAGTCAAGGAAAAGCTTCATGAGCATAAATGGACCTCAAAGGACAGTCAAACTGCTAGATATGGTCCTGAAGTATCCGGCTGCGGCGGTTCGAAAAGGAATGACAGAGTATGCCGAAGAAGTCAAGAACTCAAAGCTCCTCCAAATCTTCGCCCGACTCAAGATCATCATCCAAGACAACGAAAAATATCGATATCCCCCGTTGTCAGGCAACACGCGACACACAGCAAACGTGGTTTTCTAAACGTCCGATCGTACGGGTGAGATAAAATCATCAACTCGAAAGTACATAGGTGCTTTCAGAGGATTTTCTTGGAGCTACGAGTTCGTTATCTTTGCTCTTTTCGCCACGAGAAAAGGACCCCTTGAAGATGTGGGCAACACCAACAGAAACTAAGCGTCCGCCAGTGAAAAAAAAAGGCCGAAGACAGAGAGACCTACGAATGAAAGGAGATTATTTTTCAGAAAATCTCTGAGGAGCCAAACACCCATATACATTAATTGCTAGACCACCTTTGTGACGTCGCCGAAAACAAACTCACGGAAGCAGCTAGAAAGCCAACAAAGCTGAAAGATTTCAGCAAATACAGCGCCCAAACAAAAATAAAGGTTCGACACTACGTTCGGAAGCTGGAAACAAAGACATATTGCTTCAAATGCAATGTCGAATGTCAGATATGCTTAACACAAACAAACACCTTACACAGACGGTCCAAAACTTGGCCCAAGCTATAAAAGATCGCGAAGTCTGTTGACAAATTTGGCATCCATGTGCCAACAAGTGATCCATGTGAGAAATTCTTTGCCAACGTCGAAGACGAGCTTTGTGAGGTTTTGGCGGCTCAGGTTTCTTTTCTCTCTTCAGCATGCTTCGGGCTCGCATTTCGGAAGTTTCTGTACGATCGGATCCAGCCACAAACACTGAGCGGTCCGTTTGCGGGGGATTTGTCGATCGTGGATTTGTTGGCAATCGCTACCATATTACGGATCATGCAGAGAGCAGAGATACGAGGCCGATCCCGATACATGATCTCCACGGTAAAGAATGTAGGGACACACGAGGTAAGATCATAAAGCTTGATCCTCCATCTAGGATACAGGACCCAGGACCTCCTGCCTCTTGGGATGTCAGGACAGACGTTCTCCGACAATCTGGCTCTCGTTATTCCCAATGCAGACAGCAGTCATGCCTCTGTTTGAGTCAAATTAAGACTTCTTCGCTGGTCGTCAATTACATTTCTGGTCTAATATGCTAACATAATTACATTATTCAAGTTCTAGAAAGGCTAAGAAGTTTGATACCACAGAGTACCCCGAAACCTTCATCTTCCTCCATCACCCGTTCGTTCAGCCGCGCAGAGAAAACAAGACAGCCCTCTCTCTTTTGACTACACCATCTCATGGATGATGCAGCACCAGAAAGAGCAGATGATTCAGAGCTCCCGGTAGTGGCGTGGAATTGAAATATATTATTGCTGCGAGTTGCATTATTTCGTTGAGCCGATTTCGCACCAGATGTTCGTTATGGGCGAAGAACTGTTCGGCAACAAACGTGGGGCCTGCAAGAAGCCTAGAATTGCCTTCATACTGGGATAGTGGATCTCAAAGTCACAATGTCCTCGACGGGAGCAAAGGTCTGAAGAGAATCCGATCTACCGAAAAGTCTTCTCGGGTACGCACATTCTGCTGTCGAAAATGAAACCATGCTAGCAAGAGACTTGCTTTGTACCGGCCACCCCCGAAGAGTTAAACATTGATGAAAGACTGCGGGTGATTCTTATTTATCGCTTGGTACCTTGTCAGCATATACATCTTTGTGAATCAGTTCTTCACTCATTGTCGAGAACGACCATGCTCTCCGCAAGCGACGTTTGGCTGCCGCGGCTATTCCGGTTCTTTTTCTTCTCTCGGCATGCCTGAGATAGGAGGGGCTTGGAGCTTGGAGGCCTGAGCACGGTCTAGATCAGTCGTCAGAACAGGCCGATGGGAACGGCTTCGTCGAACGTTGCGGGTTGACGAGAGACCAGACGAAGGCTTTAGGCATAATTGATGCCATGTCGATGAATAAGTGACATGAGAGAGGGAATCAGAATCTCCAAGGGATATCCGCGCCCAAGTACTGGGTCTTATTAGGGTGCAACAGGCTTAATTCTTCTAAAGTCCAAAGGCGGGAGCTGACTCTTGGCGTGGTCTCCTGTCTAGAACCACGGTATCAGCAATATCTTTGGTTGGCCAAGAAAAAAATACTGCGACAACGGAAGCTACACTCAAACCCTATTGCTTACCGCAGCCGCTGAGAAACATGGCACTCGGCTGTTACGCGCGCCAGTATTACATCCGTAGTCCACTGGGCTGGCTTAAAGATGTATGAGAACGGTGAAACTCTTTCACACATTATGAGGAGGTAGGGGAGTACCTGGACGATGGAGATGCCGCCATGGAAGCCGACCAAGCGGCGTTGAACACTATTGCAAAACTTGCCTGACTTGACTTGTCAACAGACTGCTCCCCGACTACCCGAAGCCATGTCTGAGTACATCAGAGTGGCAGGGCCCTGGGAAATGGTGTGCATGGGTTTCATGAGTCCCATTTCCCTCGCCTCCGTGGAAGTCCACGACTACATTTTGATCAATGTCGATTATCTGACCAGGTTTCTTAATGCCACCGCTAGTGTCCAGTCCACTGCTGAAGAGGTATGTGAGGTCTTGAAGCACCACATCAGCAACATCTTTGGTTGGCCGAGAAAATTATACTGGATGTAGTCCGTTCGAGGGACTTTCTTTCTTCTGAGATCGTTGGGTAGGCATCCCCCGACAGATACGTTCCTTCTTCTTTCTTCTGCTGCTTTGGATTCTAGGAATCGTCTTGCCTTATTCAATGCGGTTGCCGCAATTCTGCGACAAAAAAAATACAGTTGCTTCTAGTTAAAGTTGTACGTCGGACATCCTGAGGATGGATGGAGCAAGCTGGGTGTGGTGGTCAGCTCAACCGACAAGCCAACAATGTTCCATCGACAAGAGAAGTTGGACTATTGCAGACAACGTTGAGGACGGATATTCGGTTATCACGGATGCGCACGCAGAAAGTCTACTTGAAAAAAAGTGTCAATCCATGCACTCTGATGGACCAAACCCCCACTTCGTCCGAACAATTCTTCATCTTACAGACGAACAAATACGTGAAACCAGGAAGAAGCGCTCAGGGAAACAAGGAGCTACAAAGAACAACAAGCGTTCCGAGAAAAATACTTCCAGCGGGTAGCCATATTTATGAACAGAACACAGCGCAAACCGAAAGTTGTTGCTGGGAAGTGAATGCCAGTCTGCTCCCAAGAAGCAGCGCCTGTGTTGAAAAAATGACCAAACGGATCACCAGGCAATAACGCTGCCTCAGTTACTCAGTTATATTCATGAGAAACCTGGCTTATAGCGAGGGGGGGATCATTTCTCGACTCTCACATGCTCTTCTCTGCAGTACCAACCTGATGATACAATTTCGTTCCCTTCAACGTTCTGCAGCTTGTTTCCATTGCCAGCCGACCAACGAACCGGCTTTTGACAATTTTGACGCCGAGAACGTTAGAATTCATTGATTCAAGGCCACTGCAGAACCGAATATCTGATAAGAATATCTACGTGGGCGCCTGGTGTTCCTTGGGCGATTGCGTTGCTGGTGAAAATTTACGCGTCCAAACGCATTCTGGTCCTATCCCGTGCTGGAATCATGCAGCAAAATACACGTGTTGTCCCAAACTTGTCGATATCTATCAGGCCATATCATAGTTTTGACACCCGCTCTATTTTCTCAGGCACATGTAATCTCGGTTTCAATTTGCACATGTATTTGATGACGGCGCCGCAGCTGCTGGAGTAGAGCAAAGGCAAGCCTGACTGCAAAAGCTGTATTGCCAAATATGCCTATCGCCTGCCAAATAACGTTGGAATAATGTCGAAGCTTCTCAATTAGCCTATTCGTTGCATGCTGACTTGTCGGTAGGGAAATGGGTCACGGTCGGGTTGAACATTTCGAGTTTCTTCAAGCCTTCTTCGCATCTATCGGTGCCAACACAACCCTATGAAGCCTTCAACGAACAAGCTCATTTCAGGCACGCTGCATCTATCAGCAGCTCCAGGCACATGGAAAAGCAAGCGCCAGTTCATACGCAAATGTCGAAATCCACTCTGAAAGCGGCCTCGCAAATTCTCAAGCCTGCGATGATCAAGCCGGGACAACGTGGCCTTTTCAAGTCAAGGATGGCAACCCCACGAACTATCTCGAGATCTGCCAGTCGAATGTGGCAATCCTGAGAGTGAATCGGGAAAGTCGTATGAGGCCTTTGTCGTATGTGTTTACGACGGGGCGTGTGGTTAAATCACCGAAATAATCCATCATGATCCTGAACGCCTACAATAGCAGCCAAGCTTCGACTTTGTGGATGGATTTCTTCCACACATCACCTTACAATGGCGGCGATGAACAAGAAAATGCAATGGCTAGCACCTTAGCCATTCTCCTTTAGGGCGCTGGGGAGGGAGGAAATAAAGTCCGCCTTCTTTTTAAAAGCGTGTTTTATGCCGAAAAAGACAAGCGTTTAAAAACTCTCATTATAAGAAAGGCTGGGATGGCCAAGAGATAAGCGCGCGGCAGATCGAGGCCAATTTGCGTATTTGTTGATGAGTGAGAAATCAGCATCCCGCTAACGTTACCTACTTGTATTTCGAATTGGACTCTCTGCCATCTCATCACTTTGGTCTTCTAGTTAGCTCTTCAGCGTATGGGAATAAAACCTATAAGCTGTCGCAATTGACATTTCTACACATATCTAGATTGGATATCAAGGTTCTCATAGCGACCACAACGAAAATGGTAAGTTTGACTTTTAGGCAGTGTAACCTAGAAACCCTCGTCCCCATCGTCTGTTGTAGACTTTCGCCGTTATGAAGTGTGTATGTGTTCACCATATTTTAACGAGAGGAAATTCATTTTGCTTACAGATTTGAATGAATATAGGTCACCCTTTTTTTTTCTGTGCAAATAATTGAAAGCACGCCTGTTGTATCTCTGCGTGCCATGCATATTCAGAAATGGTGCTACCCTAGATCTCACCACGATTCGTGACCCATATGGAGATTAATTGCCGGAAAAGAAAGGAAAATACATTTCCCGCACTCTATTCTAGCTTGATGAAGAAGTAAATGAATATTCTCGTATTAATTTGGAATATTGACATTGATTATCCGGAAATTGCCGCCGTACAGAGGGGTAACTTTGGTCACGCAGGATGAAGGCATAGTGTGAGCTGCTTTGAGGCACTGGGAGATGAGATCGAACCACCTGGATTTATTAAGCTGAATTACTGGAAAAACTCACTTTGGCCTCTCAATCTACCTGGATGGCAATCGAACGAGGCGATGAACTTGTTAGAAATGCCGACAACTACATCAGATAAGACAATGAATGACTCAATGCTGATAAATCGTCTGATTCTTGTGAGGGAAACTCTCATGCATTCCGCTCGTTCATATGAGGGCACCAATGGCACAAGACACGCGTCTCGTCATTGGCGTGCGTATTGGTCATTTCATCCTCAGCCACAGTACGAGCCGCTGGATTCACCCAAGAGCAGAATCATCAACACAAACTCAATTATAACCAGATGCAGGGAAGAATTAAAAAAGGCAGCCAGAAATGCCAACACAGTGTATTGCTCAGATGACTCACTGCCCCGGCGATGTGATTGGTGGTTCGCATCCAGGCGGCAGCCAAGATTTGCTGCCTCACCGGAACAAAGATTCGCCTTTGTGAGGCATTGTCGCAATTGGATGCAGATAGAAGCGTGTAAGATGGTTGGCTGTATTAAGTGGAATCGTCTGAGTCGGATGGTATCACCAGAGCGAGCAAAAACTACTTAAAGCCTCGACTGCCCTGCCTCAGTTTCCCTCTCGTCTCCTCCATCCCATCAGTCTCATCACTCTTCACCAATCTTCACTTATTTCTTCTTGAGTTGCCTCAAATTGTCTTGTTTCCCCCTTGTCCTTGTGACCTACAATCTCGTCGGTTGTGGTCCTCGCCTCATACTTTCCTACCCCGCTGGCCTCAGCCACCAGACGTCATAACATCCATCATCACAACACTCTTTGTTCCGCTTTCAGGCTCTTCTCTTGAACACGCGGATTGGACGTCTGATTGCTTCTTTTCCCGTTATATGTGCCCCTTGATGGACATTTAACTTTATCTTGTCACCTCTCCTTCTCTTCACTCCCATCGATTGCAGCTTTCAACATCCAACTCTTCTCCGCTGCTATCACTACCCAGATCTATTGCTACTGCTTTTCAGCATCTTATTTCATCCATCACAGGCTACCTATTCATATCTGCCCCAAACATGTATCCTCCTTTCAACCCTCAGCCCCAGCATCCTTGGATGGCTCCCCATCCTACCTGTGGACTCTATACCGACCACAGTGGACTCCGCCAATGGCTCCCTCTTGTCTCTCTTGATGTTCACACTACCATCGTTTCTTCAACATCGCGTACTGTCTTGACACAGACCTTCCAAAGCCCCAAGATGGCTGCCGGCGATCATCTTCAGAATGTAAACTACTTGTTCCCTCTCTATGATGGAGTATCAGTGGTTGCATTCACCTGCACCGTTGGCTCGCGCGTCATCAAGGGCGTCGTAAAGGAGCGAAACGAAGCCAAACAGGTCTTTGATGCTGCCGTTGCACAAGGAAAGACGGCAGGATTGCTCCAGCAGTCTTTGGAGGCCTCTGATGTCTTTACTACTTCACTGGGCAATATCCCCGCTGGCGAAAAAGTCAAAGTCGAGGTGACATATTTGGGAGAGCTGAAGCATGATGCTCAAGTTGATGGACTGCGATTCACCATCCCCACGAGCGTGGCTCCGCGATATGGACACCACACCCTACAAGGAGTGAATCTTGCACATGGCGAAGAGCGCATCAGTATCACTGTTGATGTTGATGTCTCTGGCAGCTCGACCATCAAGAGCGTCCAGTCTCCATCTCATCCCATTTCTGTCAACATCGGCACCCTTTCTACTGCAACCTCTGAGCCGCCGTCTCTGCAGAGGGCGTATGCTACTCTCTCCCAAGGCTCAGCAGAGCTGAACAAAGATTTTGTCATCCAAATTGTCGCCAGTGGCCTCGGTGATCCTGTGGCCGTCCTTGAAGCGCATCCCACCATTCCAAACCAACGGGCTTTGATGGCGACGCTTGTTCCCAGATTCAATCTGCCGACGTCCATGTCCGAAGTAGTCTTTTTGTGCGACAGAAGCGGCAGCATGGGCGATGGTGTCAAGATACCCAACGTCGTCGAGGCTTTGAAAGTCTTTCTCAAGTCTTTGCCTGTCGGCGTCAAGTTTAACATCTGCAGCTTTGGATCACACCACTCATTTCTGTGGGAGAGATCCCAGAAATATGACGAGAACTCGCTAAGGGTGGCCATTAGCCATGTGAGCTCATTTGACTCCAGCTTTGGCGGTACAGAAGCGCACGCGCCAATGGCCGAGATATTTAAACGACGCTACCGCGACATGAATCTCGAAGTCTTTTTACTCACTGACGGAGAGACCTGGAATCAAGAGGCATTGTTCCAGCTCATCAACTCAAATGTGTCCCAAAGCAAAGGGGCTATTCGAGTCTTTGCATTGGGCGTGGGAGCAATGGCCAGTCACGCCTTGATTGAGGGAGTTGCTCGTGCGGGTAACGGTTTTGCTCAGGCCGTAGCAGATGGCGAACGAGTGGACAAGATGCTTGTGCGAATGCTCAAGGGGGCGCTTACACCCCATATCAATGACTATACTTTGGAGATCAAGTATGGCAATGATGATGTGAGAGAAGAGGAGGACAGCGACGACTTTGAGGTCATTGAAAAGATCATGGATGCCATGACGCTGGAGCTGCCTCCTACTGGGTCGGCAGACATCAACACTTCAGGGAGTTACAAAATCGAAATATCACTCTTTGATCAAAGCGTCCAGGACGAGGATTTGGAAATGTCTGGTACTTCCAAGGTAAAGATGGGTCTGCCCGCCGTCGCCGTTCCACGCTACCTCCAAGCTCCTTTTCAAATTCCGCCTCTTTTCCCATTCAGCCGCACGACTGTTTACGTCTTGCTCTCCGACTCGACACCGGATCGCCAACCCAAGAGTGTCATCCTCAGAGGAACCTCCAGCCAGGGACCGCTGTCGTTGGAAATTCCCATCACCATTCTGGCGGAGAAAGGCACCACCATACATCAGCTGGCGGCTCGCAAGGCAACGAGAGAGCTTGAAGACGGGCGAGGCTGGATTTTCCACGCCAAGGATGAAAAAGGACAACTCCTACAAAAGCGATACGACGGCCAATTCAGCGACATGGTCGAGAGAGAAGCCGTACGGCTGGGCACGCAGTACCAAGTCAGCGGCAAGTGGTGCTCGTTTGTTGCGGTTCAAGACGACCAAGACAAGGCCGATGAGAGCGAAGAGATTGTGATTATAGATGATCACGGAGCAAGCACCACGGAAGGGGGGGTGGACACTAGATCTAGCGGCACAGATGTTCGACGTCGGAACACTGCAGCCAGCGCACGGTTTAGGCCGACGAGGATAGATTGTAAGCTACATGTGAGATGATTTCTACTTCAAAGTCAGGCAGCTAATACGGGGTTATCAGCACACGACGAGCTTAAACGTGTGGCATCAGTTGCGATAAGCACGCCAGCTGGGGCAAATCTTGCAGCAACGACACCGCCAATGAACCCACAACGGGGTTTCATGATGATGGGTTTAGCACAACCAACTGGGGCACCGCCAATGAACCTACACCACCAGGGTGTCATAAGGGCGGGCGCAGCACGACCATTGGATCAGAATCTATTCGTGGCCCGACAGCAAATGATAATGAAACTGCAGCAACAGCAAATGATGCAGCAACAGCAGCAACGGCAAGCGCCCCCTGCAGGTAATCCAAACGCAATGAGTCCACAAGCCATGGCACAAGCACAGGCACAGGCACAGGCTCAACTGCAGGCAATGAGGAACCAGAATCAATTGATGGGCATGCAACGTCAAGCAAACCCCTTGATTGCTCAGCAGGCTGCATATCGCCCGGTTCCGGGATCGCAGCCCAACATAATGCACCCAATGGGTCGGATGCCATCTGCGCAGCAACTACCAGTGGCAAACGTGCCGCAGCAGCAACAACAACAACAAATGTCGGGTATGCCCACGGGGAGTGTGCCCTTTGGCAATCACGATGCAAACCTTGCGAATCAAGATTATCAAATGCAGTTGATGTTGTTAGAGCAGCAAAACAAAAAACGTCTCCTGATGGCTCGCCAGGAACAGGGAGGAAATCCAACTTCAATTCCAAGCAACCCTCCCGCGGTGGCTGCAAGTTCGGCATCAAACAACCCGGCCGGAGGTTCTATAGTCGGGGGTTTAAGCCCAGTGTACCAAAATGGTCCTGCTGGAAGCCCCCCTGGTGGCTCAATGAAGAGAGACTCTTTTCATCTTGCTGCTGTCGATTTTAACAAACGCTTAAAGTCGGATGACGTTTTAGCAGACTTTGACTTTGACAGCTTCCTAGGCCACTCGGAAGAAGACCTGATAGACTATTCAGACGAAGAAGCTCAGGCCCCAGAGGTGGCGTCTGGTCCAGGAGACACTCCAATGTCGACGCTCTTCTCAGAGCAAACCTTTATCGGCAACTGGGATTGGAGCCTGAGGCTGGAAGCAATTGTGGGAGTGACAAAATCGGCCGCGTTGGCGGATATTGAGCTTCCTGGTCAATATAGCCAGCTTCAAGTTGTGCTGGCCACTCTTTGCGCCGTGGCATATTTGAAAAAGAAGCTGGCGGATGAAAAAGACGTGTGGGAACTCATTGTTCAAAAGGCGGAAGATTGGCTACGAGGCCAGACGCAGGAAGACGTGATGGAGCTGGAAAGGATTGTGGAGGCAGCGTTGTTTGCAAACGATGCGGCCTAGCTTTGAAATAGTTGATTACATGCAATTGTGGCGTATTTCCTTTGTTTTACGAGTAATGAAATCAAACAGATTGAATATGGAATTTTATTGTCACTTTGTAGTAGATCAAAACGTCAAGTATTGCCCTTTCCAAACTCGGCGCCGAGTAACTGTCATTGGCGAATAAAAGTCGAAGCAGCCACAAGAGGCTGTTTTGACCAAAGACGGCTGTAAAACACCCAAGAAGCGCCCGTAAAAGCGGGAACTGCCGAAAGCAAGGGATGCAGAGTGCTTAGTCAGCATTTGCTTTGGCTAGCGAGCTAGCGCTCAGGAACAGCGTTGCTGATCGCTGTAGCCTCTGTATCTAGCGAGCACCTGCGCTGTATTAAAGCTGCTATAGCACTCTAGCGCCATTACATAGGCCACAACCATCAACCGATATTTGCGGCAGCCCCAACCGCACTTCCAAACCTCGAGCTCAACTCGCAACCACGCACTTCAAAAAGAGCTGAACCTCGCCAAACAAGAACCGGAGCATTCAAAAGCCGCTATTCCAAGCAAAACAAAATCTTTGATTATCAACGCACAATGACGCTCAACTTTGCAATACCACCAACAGCCACCAACAGGTCGCACGAGTCTGGTATCTGGCTTTGGAATGAATATTGCGCGCCTGAATCGGATCTATTCGGCTTTTGCTTCTAGTTTCCAAACTCCAGCTACAAAACTTGCCAAAAATGCAGAGCAGTAGCACGAGCTCAGGTATGTGGACGTTGAACGAACCTCTTCCTCAGGCGCCTACATCTACAGCTTGCTATGGAGCATTGGTGGCATATTGAACAGGTTGATATGGGTATTTAATAGAACTCGGTATCTGAACAGGGTATACTGACCGAAGCTGACCTTTCCGATAGTTTAGGGCCGCTACATAGACTTACTTGGCTTATACGATGCACAAAACAACGGGGCGTTTTCTACAAGATGATTACATTTGTATCGCGCAAGATGGCCACGGCATATGGCAAGATGCGACGCTGCTTCCAAGTTCTCGAAGCGACATCTGTGTCGAGATCTACCTCAAATTCGATACATCGGCCACACTAGAGTCTCTAGATGGCATTGATCTAGACGGCGAAATCAAATGCGCAAAGGAAAGCAAAGAAATACATTGACCGAGAGTTTTCCCTCAACGCCGAGATTCTCCAGCCCACAGCGACTCTCTTTTAGGCTCTTTCCCCCGACCCCAGTTCTAGTCAAGGTCAATAGTTTGTGGCCGAATCCACTGCGTGTTGGCTGCATGATATACGTTGCATGGCTAGCTTGGATCCTTCCTTGGAGTCCAGTACGACCTTGTGTTATACGACCCTTGTCGCAATGGTATCCAAGTATAAATATGTCGTCAAGTGCTGGAATCCCCTCATCATATTGCGAGGCGAGAGAAAAGACATTTGAAGAAAGAGCGACAATTGGTCTTGTCTTGTTTCTAGAGTTGACAATGCAGTTGCGAGCTCTTGTTTTGGCCTCTATTGTGGTCTGTAGCCAAGCCTTGGACACCGTCCAATATGGCGCATTGTGAGTCTTCTTTGCGCTTTAATTACCCGCGAAATAATCTCTGACGACAGCTTTTACGTACAGCATAGCTACAGCTACCTACTCCGTCGCCAACCAACTGGGCTTCTTCGCTGAGAATGGCCTCAATGTCGTTTACAGCCAGGTTCCCAATAGCACGGCAGCTTTCGCTTCCATCCTCAACGGCGAATACGATATTCTGACGGCGACGGTTGACAACGCGCTCAATTACCGCTTCAACCAGAACCAGAACGTGACCGTGATTGGCCAATTGGATCAGGGCCCGGACCTTGTCCTCGCCTCGATTCCTTCCATCACCAGCGTCGAGCAGCTGAAGGGCAAGCCTATTATCGTTGATTCGCCTGTCAGTGGCTATGCATACCTGCTCCAGGACGTTCTCTCAGCCTACGGGTTGTCGCTCGCCAACGGAGACTATTACTTTATGGTGAGCTTAGAACCGTAGTTGTACAAACATCCGGAATATGATGGCTAATCAGTTTTTCCCTTGAGTGGTAGACCGTCGGTGGAACTCCCCAGAGATATTCGGCTTTAGTCAACCAAGTCCTTCCCAACGGCACCGCTGTGTATGCCACAATCCTTACGTATCCATTCACTGTTGAAGGTGAGGCACTATCGGCTGAAGAAACGCCCAATATCCTCGCTCGCATCTCAGACGTTATCGCTCCCGTCACCTCTAGCGCTTTTACCATCCGCCAGTCTTCCCTGAGCAACAAGACGGAAGCCGCCCTCCTGACTCGATTCATGGCCTCTATGCACGCTGCAAATAGATTTTTGTTAAACCCCAAGAACAAGGCATGCTCCATCCAGGCTCTTGCCAAACAACTGGGCGTCTCCCAGGCCGTCGCAAGTCAAGAATATGCTTCTGCAACCAATCCCGTGTCAGGAGAGATCTCGCCGCCACTCAACGATTTCACCGTCAACCAGACCGGCATCATGAACGACGTCGCTGTCAGGAACAAATTTGGTGGATTTACCGTCCCATCAGGGTTCAATTTTACGGAAGCTTTGATTCCAGGTACTGGAAAGCTCATTGACTATTCGATAAAGAACGCTGCTGTCACCGAATACAGTAGGCACCGTTTCCATAGCAATTGCACCACTCCTTCCAGCCGCGATTTCTAAATATGGAGAAAGAGACGTGCAGTTTTGACTGCGACCAGGGACGGACTATCTTCGAATTTCGATTATAATCACACAGAAATGTGGCCTAAATAAAAGTTTTCATTCTTTTCTAGCATACAGGATTCGCATCGCTCTCGTATCCAAAACCCATCGGCCATTCCCAACAAATATGCGATACAGGCACAGATGTACGCGCATCAACTGTTTCAATTGAATACTTACCAAAGAGTCACTCGGTCAATATAGTCAGACATTCTTCTTCAGCCTGTCCAGTGGCAGTTAAGACTCGGCATCTTCGCTGAAGGCGCCTCCTAACTCCTTGCGATTCCCTCGTTGGAGCTTACACCATTTTTGTGTTTTAATTCGATTCTCGATGTCAGCGACGGCTTGAAACGTAGCTCAAGTCTGTGTGCAGTATTGATGCAAGACCAAGTTGTGCAGCTTCCAGTAGGAAGAGAGAGAGAAAGACTGGATCTGAAAGGAATGACGCATCGCAAAACGCAGATACTGACAGAGAGACAGATGAAGAGATGAAAGCAAACGACTGAGCGAAAACAAAAGTTTACTTGTTCGTGTTAATCTTCCATCCACGCTTCCTGACCTTTGGAGCGATCATCTTTGAGCTGTTGATGAGCCTGGTCACTTCATCCCAGTTGTCCTCATAATCCTGTTCATATTTCTTAATCATCGTCTCTGATAGCTGGAGCTCTCCAGAACGTCCCCTCATTGCCTGGACAGTCTTATGATCGAGTTCTTCTCTGGTGTCGAAATGCTTCTCCAGGGCTATCTTGTTATTCGCCAATTCATGTGGGTAGCAGAATCTCGCTTCAGTCGTGGTAATAACGCGAGGGAGCTCATTCCTTTTCGTTGCCGGGTTGGCCTTTAACGTCCTGACTGTCTGATTCCAACCCATATGCTTCTCCAAGGCAAACCTGTACCCAATCTCCACGACAGTCCTGTCGAATAAAGCAAAGTTGCGGGCCTCTTGCATTTGCTCTCCCTTTTTGTCTTGTGGTTTAACTCTCTCTTTGGCATTCGCTGGATGCTGGAAATCGTCGTCCCAGAATGGAGACCCAAAGGTAGTCTGATCCGGCATGGGCGCATCTCCCCAGCGCTTGGAAATTACGGCCGCGGTTACCTTGTGCCGTGGTTGATCATATTGGATATTCACTCGTTTGAACTTTTCATGTGCCAACAGCTGATGCCGATTTTCTCCCATCAGATTGCGCAATCCAATCGATACCGTTGGGATGCCCATAAAGGTAAACAAATCCAAAGGGCCGCTTCGGAACCCCGTGGCCATCTTAAAATACCCGTTTTCGTATGACCACTTGAGGAAATAGGCTTCAAAATCTCTTTTGATGATTTTCGGTTCTTTAGGCATCACGTTGCCAAGATGTTTCCAGTATTCCCCAATGCCGGAATCTTTAAGCCCACAGGTGAAAATGGTCAGCGGCTTCTTTTCCTTCTGTGATATCTCAGCAACAAGCTTCTTGATATCGTCTGTGGCATTTCCATTGTCAAGCTCTGGGTAGACGCCCATTGTTTCTACCGGATCAGGATCCCGTGTACCGGTGTCTCGATACATGAGGAGAATTGCGTTCTCGCCAGCTTCGACCCCGGCGCCCTTCCATTGCGCCCAGAGCTTTCTAAAACCGTCTGAGACTGTTGGGAATTCCTCTGAAAGGTGCTTGAAATCGGGAAAATTATTGCCAACCATGGATTTGCTGAGGATAGTCATCCCATTGACAACATCCTTTAGACCATCTGGTGCGCTAGCGATAATTTGAGTGGAAGCTTTCTCGCCGAACGTGCCCAACTCAAGCTTGATGAGATTGTGTGCTTGATTCTCATATTTCTGTCCGTCCAACCAACAACCAGTGGTAGTTGTAGGTATTTTATTTCCTTTTGCAAACAATGTCTTATAATCCCAAGGAGTTATGAATATATGCTTCTTCTTCCTCACCACCGATTCAGTCAAGTATTCTTCAAGGTCACCTGTTGCGGTTTTCGTTTTATCATTGCGATTGGAGTCGTAGAGGATAACCGACAAGTTCTCGACTTGCAACGCTGCCCGGAAGTGATACATGTCTCCCCGGTGGCTGGCAGACATGAGAAGGACGGATTCGCCTTTTTTGAAGACATTGGGGACGTAAAGCGTGAGTTTCTTTGCCTTTGGCTTTTCCACGGGCCTTTTGCCGCTCATGGTTGCTGTGCTGCTACCACCGGCCTTGGGTGTGGCATTGCGACCGAACAGATTGCTTCTCATTTTTTCAAGAGTGCTTTGTGCTTTGAGTAATTGCTGTATTGAATTACCCAAGAGTTGGTGGCATGGAATTGATCTTTCATTTATACCTGAGCTGCGCAAAGCCACCGCCATGTTTTGGACATCAGCTGAAGTAACTGCATCAGCCGTGATAGTATCAGCTGCGATAATATCAGCTGCCGTCATATGGCTGTAATCATGTCAAAGATGATAGTATTATGTGTGCAAATAACATCAGCTGCAACCATATTAGCTAAGAGTAGTGTAGAGCAGAGAAGATTCTCAGTTTACGCTGTGTTTTCTCTTCCCGTGAAACGCCACATTACGCATCTATGGTCAGTTGAGCTGACACTTTTTTTTAATAATAGCTGAATGAATCATATGAATGCGAAAGTCAGCTTACCACGCAGTCAGACTTAGACGAGGATTCCAGAGTGTTTGTTGATAGTATGCCCTATCCTCGTGGCTGATTGGTTACCGCACAGCTTGGCAAAGCTAAATATTTTACCCATTCACTTGCTTGTCTACACGAGATGAATGCACGGTTTGGAGAGAATGTGATGCGGTTACTATTTACTTTTGTATCTAAACTGCCCAGATTAAAAATCTCAGCCACTCATGAACGCGAAAAGCTCAGTGCAATTTCCTGCCTTTGCTCTATTGCACAACCACTGTACCATTCCATCAAAGTAAAAGCCATGTAGAAAGAAAGAGAGTAGAAAGGCGCTCAAACTATAGAAGAATTGTCCGGCGACGTGAACATAGAAAGAGAACCCCAGTATCGATGATGCGAAGCGGAAGGCCGATGAACCAGGAGTAAAAAGACTCTGAGAAACAAATTAGAAACAAAGCATGAAAGAAAAACTGATTAGAAAGAAAGCTTACGAATGTGGTAGTAAAAGCAGTAGAAGTTGAAGATCCGCAAAAGAACGCAACTGGCAGAGGGCGGCCTGGACAAGTAATTTGAGTGAGAAATGGTGTGGCGTAGAATGAACGCGGGATTGAAACGCGATGCTAAGGGCGTTTGTCAATGTCATGCTCGAAGCGGAAAAGATGAAGAAGTTTTCTTACCCGGCTGACTGGCCATCGCCGTCAAGATGAGATATGCATATGCGTGATGCTGGTCTCCATGTGCGACCGTGGAATGGTTCTGAATAACAAGTTTGATTCGAGATGGAGTTCCCTGCTTCACCTGTAGGATAAGTCGATAGATCAAATCTCGCGTAGCCGTCGGAAAGGCCCCAGATATCGTTCGCGCAATGCTCATAGGGAACGGCGAATTGCAAAGATCGTCTGCAATTGCTTGCTATCAAATTGTCAGCCTTTGGCGTCTGTGAGCTGCTACACGTTCTGAACATCACTTACCTTCAAAGGGAGCCGCTAAAGGGTAATCAGGCACAGGAGGGAGTGAAGCAAGCCGCGCAGGCCGATTCGCTTCATTTGAAACAGGAAAGTGGGTGTGATTGAATGGGCTGTGTGGTTTTGGGTAATGCCTCCAGATTGGCAGAAGGCTGCGGGTTTGCTGAGACCTCCTAATTGAACAAACGAACCATGCGATGAAGTGTCCAGGGCGACTGCCTCCTCCTGTAGCTAGACAGCGTTCAAATTCTTGAATCATTCGACGCTTATTCCGTCTGGCCACCCTCAACTTGTGCATGATCTCGCCGAACCGGTCAGATAACCAGTCAGATGATTGGTTTTTGCGGCTGTCTGGCTGGGACCGCAAACCAGTCCCCAGCTTCCTCCCAGTCATCAGCATTCATACTCTTGATCGGAGTAGCCACCCCATGCAAACCCCCAAAAAGCCAAAAAAACAAAGAGACGAAAGAAGAAAAGGTGGAGAGGAGAGGAGAGAGAAAAGGAAAAGAGAGGAAATAGAAGACGGGCTGCTGAATGTGAGCTCGGCCATGACGCGTAACAGCCACGTGGCAGTAGGTCTTTCCTTTCGATTGCGTCGCCTTGTTGAAAAGGCTGATTGGCTATTGCCGACGATGGGCATCTGCTACTGCCAAAGGGATCGCTCTCTGTTGGAACTATTGACCGCTTTTTCTGAGCACCGTCATAAGTCAAGTGACAGTGAGCAATGGACTGAGTGAAGAATGTCATGCGATATTCACGTCGATATGTCGGTGGACATCACTCAAAGCTCAGCCTTCTCTAGATACCTGCCTTGGCACTTGTTCAACGCTTCCTAGCACTTTCATCACTGTCTTTCACGCCGGGCTAGAGCCGAGTGAAAGAGGCTTGAAATGCCTTGCCTTTTTTGCACCTTTACAATTTGTCCAGGCTGAAGCCGTGAGTGCAGTGCGGTGCAATGTTTGTGTTTTGTTAGAATGTCGTCTTAACACCTTGCGACTACAACGTTTTTGCATAGTATTTACGTACATGAAGAGCATCGATTCAACTCTCCCACTCCCATTATAGCTCTATCGCTTGTTTTTGTATTGGATGTACGAGTGTCAATGTGCAGCCCAGTAGGCCTACAACGTGATCCCGTTTTCAACACCATCGCATATCACACGCGTAGATAGCTGGAAAATAAAGAAGGATATTAGATCAGGATTTCTGCGCTGTAAAGACATAGCCAACGAATGTACATCAACACCGTTAGGATTGCTCTTCTTCAAAATTACCCTTATAAGGCACAAAAGCTTCGCCTGAATGATCGCCATGTTAGCTACATAAAAGACTTCCAGAGTGCAGCTATCCAAGGCATATCAATATTTCAGCATCAGAGTGAACCATCAAACTACCTATTCCTGCCATGCTACGATGCTTCTTTTCCTACTGTCGATTCTGGCACCAGTGCGCCATGAACAGTGAAACTATGAAAGTTCAAACTCGTGATTGGAGATCCTTGGGTGTGACCAAGCCAAGTAATCGCATGCTAATCAATGGTATTCAGTGCGTTGGTCACGATAAGTAGAGAAAAAAAATTACACCTTCACGTATCTTCCGAAGCTTGTTTGAGTTGATTATAGGACTCCCAAATGTACAGTTACAAGAGGAGAAATGCACAATGAGATCTCCTTCGATTTCTCCGATTGCATACCATACGTGTAAAACGAAAACAAACCCCGAAGATTCTTTGTGTCCTTTCCAAGCGCTTCCATTCTCGGATTGCCTTGTCAAACGTATAGCTCCTCTTTGCATCCAGCAATTATCCGCTCATCCTGCCCAACTTCCTGTTCTCTGCGATATGCTCCTTGTTCGGCAAGATATACAAGGTGACTCGATATGCCTAAAAATGGGGTTAGCATCATTTGTTTCATCGGCGCAAATGTTTACAGCATCTAGTAGCTCTTACCTTGTCAAGCCAAATGCCCGGATCAGTCGCCAAGAAGAAGAAGAAAAAGAAGAAGAGACCCTTGCATGAGTTGAGAAAATCGCTGAGGGTGACGAGTCACAATCTTCAGGTCTGGGGTTGGATTTGGTGGTGACGCCTGGTCATTTCTGCCGCCGATGACAGAGAATGGTGGCATAAGCGATGGGTTGCTCCGATGGGTCGTCCTTGGGAGAGAAGCTCGCTTGTCCATGTTCGAAAGTCCAGATGGATTCAGAGACTGTGAATGTTGCCGAACATCGGGGGTAGCTGTTATGGATCCGTCAGCAAAGATCATATTTCAGAGATTGTGCCATACATACCACGAACTGAGTTTGCCAATCATGTTGGAGCAAAATGATGTCTGAAATGCCCATTTTTGATGAATGGAGGGATGATGTACTGGGTGGTTGCGAGGCGAGTTTATTAGGAGAAAAGATCTCCAGCAGCACGCCGTTGCTGCTGTCCAAAGCCGGGACAGTTTCTGGCGCAGACGGTTGATGGGTAATCTCAAACCAACCGTCTGCGCCAGTGAAGCCCTTGGATAGCTCTCTCTTCCACCAAGACCCAGCGCCACACATCGTTCGGTGGATGTGGTGGCGCCGGGTCTTGATCCCTATACCAGACAGCCGAGGACCTTGTAGAGAGTCTTGTAGAGAGGGATAGACAAAGTCCTCGGCTGTCTAATTTAGGGCCGGTGAGAGTTCCAGGGCGGCATGGGCGCAGAATGTTGGGCGCCCCAGAACTCTCACCGAGTGAAAGTGGCGGCTGTGGGAGGGCCTGTGATTTTGAAAATCGGGAGAGATTTGGAAAATTAGGAGCTTGCAGAATTTTGCTCAAGTGCAAGTGAGAGGAGTGGAATATCGGAACGGAATTACCAAGATAACGCGAGCCAATGAGCGAAATGCACGGGCAACAAAGGGCTTGGGGTTTCAAGAGAAAGGGGCTGTCGGCTTGAACGCACCGTGACGAGCCAGATGTGACAGCTGGTACTCGTAGTCCTGCACAAAGAATCCATTGTGCCCTTGGCAGCCAGGTGATTGTCGGCTTTCAATGGTAGCGACCTGTTCATGGCTTATGGCACAAATATGGAGGTCAAATCTCTAATAATAGTTCCACCAATACGTTATGTAACTACTAGTACCTGTTATTGAGTATCGTCGTTTATCTTTTTGTGTAAATCTCTGTTTGAAATGCACAAGTGCAGTGACATCTTGATATCAACCCATCTGGCCAATATTTACGGGGAAATGGTCTTTGCCGTTTGGTAACCGGTGGCTCCATGGAGCCCAAGGTTGATTCGCATTTGATGAAGATTATACCATTATAGACATAAGGCTGCCGTTTCAGTAGTTCTAAGGTGTAGCAAAGCCCTCGAGAATGCACCAAGTCCATTGTAGTTCGAGGTTGAATTGGTAGTCGTCAAAAATGATCTATATGCAATATAACGTGACATGACAATTCGGACAATCGGTTCTTGGAGCTTTGGAGTTTCCATACATCCATTAAAGCCCGATGACTCCCACGCGGAGGTAAGCTTCATCCTCCTCAATCTTCTTCCTCGACTCATCCCTCTTCAGCTCTTCCACATCCCACGCTGCCCAAGTAAAGCGGCCGTGAAGGAACTTGGATTCTTCAGAAGCTGCCCAAACAGCGTAATGACCGGGAAGATTAGCTACGCGAAGGTGTTAGCGACAGGGCAAAAAAGGGACAAGGGGCTCGTCAAGAAGCATCCACCATACCATCATCCCAATCAAAGGTCTCTTCTGTAACGCCGGCTTTTGCCACTGATTCCGTGAAAACTACGCCCGGGTGGAAGCTCAACACTTGCATATCATCCGGCGAGACTCCTCGAGCAATCATCTGCACCGTCATGGTTCCTGCGTTCTTTGTAGCACCATAGCCGCCGTAGGTTTTGACGATTCCACCGATGTGGATAGCCATGGTCGAGATATTCACTAGCGACTGCGTCCATGTCAGTATAAGAACATCTTCCTACGGTGAAATCGGACAATAGTAACTTACCAGCTTCTGGCCGGCCGCACGCTTCTTTTGATGGTAGAATCGATCGATGAGATCAAGGTTGGCGCCGACATTGGTCACAAAGCTGGGCCACAGATCTTTGTATCCAAGTTCCAACACTGACGCTGGCCTATCCGGTATGTGCGCGGCGTTAAGAACCAAAACCTCGACGACAATGCCGTCGCTATCAAGCTGTGCCCAGGCTTTGTCTGTCGCAGTTCGATCTGTCGCGTCCAAAACCTGGCCAACAAATTTGGTGTTTGGGTGCTCCTTGGATAGGGCCTTGACAGCGGCATTCAGGGGACCCTCCCGACGGGCAGTAAGAATAACGGTGCCGGCGTCGGCTGAAGCAAAGGCATGGCAGATGGCCAGACCGATTCCAGCAGAGCCTCCTGTCACGTAGACGACGCGGCCTTTCTGGGAAAGCTCTGGGCGCAAAGGGGATATGGCTGCGTATGGCTTCTTGTGGAAGGTTTCGACAGCGACAGGCTTGGGGAAAGCTGGTGCAGTGGCCATGATGGTAGATGTACAGTTGGTGAATAGAGAGGGGAGTAGGTTATTGTATTGAAGCGAGGAGTTGAAGTTGTTCTGGATGTTTAGAGGCGATTATCACAACAGGGCTGAGAGAAGCCGCCGTAGTATTTATGCGTCCCATCATTGGGTCTAAACTCCTTTTTCCCCCAAGTCGATTCTTTTGATGCGATGCAGAGTTTTGGTGGCTTAGAACGGCGGCTCTCTAACTCCGAGTTGGCGGATGTTTTGCGGATGGTTGAATCGCGTCTTTGCTCCACTGCTGGGCCAATTTGTTAGCATGAAGTTGCTGAAGACACGGCGAAACATGCCAGGAGCCTCACCAGCTTGCCACTGTACGCCCGCCCGATTGCATAAAGAGATGCTGAGTAAAATCAGCTTCAGCTCTCAGAGCCGCATTGCACCATTTGGCTGTGTGTGGACGTTGATGGTGGATAGTGTTGGCCTGGATAATTTAGTCCAGCTTATCAAACACGACTTTTCCGCCAATGTTCCGCCAATGTTCCGCAGCTGATGCGAGCACTTTAAGCAATCTTGCTCCCTTTTTCCGCCATTCAACGTCCCGCCATATACGTGCAGTTTCCCGCCAGCATACGAATCCAAAAGCACTTTTGATTTTCCAAACAAAGATACCGACCCATTGTCAAGAGTTTCCGAAATAGCCCGCCGACCAACAAAGAATTATCCGCAGCTATGGAGGCCGCGATGACTAAAGAGGCTGATTACGACCGCTCACAGTCGGCGCAGTTTCAGCGGCAAAGAGCGTGTATCCCCTGCACCCAGGCAAAGCGGCGCTGCGACAAGAGCCGCCCCTTTTGCCAGCGATGCCTAGGCAAACAAGTCAAGTGCCATTATTCATCACGTCGTCTCTATGCCCGCCGCAGAGGAGATGCGTCTTCAGGGGCGGAATCTACGGCTTCAGCGTCGGAGCCTTCGCTGGACTCGTCAACATCGCTGCTATTCACCGATGCCGGGAGTGAGATTGGGAATGACGATGAGAATGAAAACACTCGTCAAGATGGCTTCGACGTGAACAATCGCCAATTGTTCACTCGTCCTTGGTTTCTAAAGGCTGAGTTCTGGATCATCCACCATCAATCGCTGCATACGCCGCCCTTGATACGCGGTTCTGCCGTCCAGCAATACATTCGCTGCATCAAGAAATGGCTCCGGCAGTGGATCGACTGCAACCGCTGCCCCCTTATACACGCATCTCTCTTTGTTGATACGGGGATGCCGCCGTGCCTTAAAGATGCATATGCTGCCATCGCAGTCTACGGCAACAAGAACGAACAAAACGAACTTGTAGTGATGCAGCACATCCAACACAAAGCGGATGCACTCTTGGAGGCAAATTCTGAAAACAAAGACCCGCTGGTTGGCATGTTTGCCTCACCAAGCCCTCTTTCTACGGGCCAACACCTGGCTAGAGTCTTGTCCTTGTTCATCTATCAGTTCATCCGCCTCTTTGACGGCGATATCCGCCAACGAGCTTTGGCTGAGACGCAGATGCCCGTGCTGGAAGCCTGGACGGCACAGATGTGGGAATCGGTAAGCCTTGATGTCACTCTACACAACACGTTTGGCGGAGAGTACCTGGCCGTGGAGGACAGGATAAACGTGGCCAACCACTTGTGGCGCAACTGGATCTTGATGGAGAATGTGCGCCGCGTCTGGATGGTGGTCACGTACACGCAGTGCATCTATCTGCTCACCCGCGATGGAACTGTTAGCTGTACCGGAACCATTGACTTCACGGCTCGATGTGGTCTCTGGGACGCCACTTCTGCGGCGACGTGGCTGCGCATGGTGGAACAAAAGGATCCTCTATCTGTTGTGCCTCATGACTCGGATTGGCTGCGTGAAGCAACGTCAATCAAGGATATTGACAAGTTTAGTCTAGTGAGTCTGTGTTTGGGGCTGGATTCGGACAAGATGGATGCTTGGATTGGAAGCACGACGAATATGCGCCTCGAAGAGTTGATGGCTGTAGTTGATGAATTGTAGAACGTGGAACAATACAATTTTGTCGGAGTAATGCTTTTCTCGTCATGATATTAGTCTGAAAAAACGTATCTTGTCGAGCCCCTTTTATAAACCAAGATTTGAAAGAGGCGTCGAGAGCGGCCGCTCACTAATGCACAAGCGGCCGCCTGAATTCCGATCGCTAGGAAGCCCTTGTGTCAGCCAATTTTTCTACAATAGGATACCCGATTCCTTAAGAAGCGGGATTATACGTTGAATCTGAAAATAACAAGCCTATACCGAGTGGAGTCTGGCCAGTGTTGTTATCTTGAATCTGCGTGGCGATATCGACTTGGCTGTCCCGAATGCTGTGATTGGCGTCGCATTTTTGCAGGCACTACCCGGGACGCGTAGAACTTCGGAGATCAAAAATCAGTCGAGTTTCCGAACTCCATCTGAAGCTGTGATTCATTTTCAGTTCGATAAAGGAGACTGGGCATGTATATATAGCAGAGATGTTGGACCAGAGGGTCTTTCCCCAAGCCATACTACATCTCCATCGCCCATATCAACTTCTATCCACATAGCCAAAATACATCACAGCTGTCTGCATGATGGGCATTCTGACGCAAATGTGGCCGCCGAAACCGGCCTTTACAGAGCATAATTTGGGCGGCTTGTCTGATAAAGTGCGAAGCTCATTCATTTTCGAGATGCTTCCTGCCTGTGCTAATATCTCATGCAGGTGTACATTGTTACCGGATCCAACACTGGCGTTGGCAAAGAGCTCGTGCAAATCCTCTACTCCAAGAACGCAACTGTCTACGTGGCAGCCCGGAGCCAGGCCAAAGCGACAGAGGCCATCGACGCCATTCGCACCGCTTGTCCTTCTTCGACTGGACGTCTCGAATTCCTCGCTCTCGATCTGTCCGACTTGGAGGCTGTCGCGAAATCGGCCAAGGAATTCCTCACACGAGAGTCCAAGCTGGATGTCCTCTTCAACAATGCCGGCGTGATGCATCCGCCGCAAGGATCAAAGACGAAGCAGGGATATGAGCTCCAACTGGGCGTGAATAACCTTGGCCACTTGCTTTTCACAGAGCTCCTGACGCCATTGTTGGCCCAAACGGCCAGAAGCTATCTGCCGTTTTCAAAGGATGCAGTCAGAGTCGTCTGGGTGAGCTCGCTGTACTCGGAGATGGGATCGCCCAAAGGTGGCTTCGATCCAGACAATATGAACTATGAGAAGAAAGACGAGGGCACTTTCTATAAATATTCCGTCAGCAAGGCGGGCACATATTACCAAGGCACAGAGTACGCAAAGCGGCACAAAGACAAAGGAATCATTAGCATAGTAGGTTTCGCCGTCGGATTGAACAAAGACGTGAACAGAGCACGCACTGACAAAGTGGCAGTCTGTCAACCCGGGAAATCTCAGATCTGATCTCCAGCGGCACCATGACGGTGGGCTACTGGCCAAAATCAACAAGAAAATCATTCTATTTCCTCCGATTAACGGGGCATATTCGGAGCTCTTCTGTGGTCTTTCGCCAGAAGTGACGGCTGACAAGTCGGGAAGCTATGGTACGCTGATGAAATTTTGTTTTCTTCACGATATTGATACTAACAGTCTTTCTGTCGTAGCCATTCCATGGGGACGGTTTGCCAAGATTCGAGAAGACATCGACAACGGATCGCGAAGCGTACAAGAAGGGGGGACTGGTATGGCCGAGAAGTGGTATGACTGGTGTTTGGAGCGCGTCGAGCCGTTCATGACTTGAATAGAGGGGTGATGATTTCACGGCTTTGAGGCTGTAAAGCGCTCGCGAATAGCTACTAAATGAATATTATTTTGTATTGGAGCCTGAAATTTGAAGTGGCGGGCTTGGTGTTGAAACTCTGGCCCAGGGAATGTCTGCCGAGCAACTATCATTTGAACGACTGCACTGGAATAGTAGTGCTACGAATTTTGCTCTTGGGCAAAACGTAGTGGCAGCAGACTTGCAAAAGCAGCAGCTGCACGGCCCCACTCCTTGCAGGGCTGACCAACAGCAGATCAGTCTGTCAAACTGCGAATTGAGAGAGAATACATTGAAGACTGGATCTCGCATCTGGTTCCAGAGTCAGCCTAGAATGAGGATTGGCAGGAAATAGAACCGACATACCTCTTAGAAGCTTGATCTTTTGCTGGGCAGAGCGTGGGATGTTTGAAATGGAGAGAGGGCTGCCAGGAGAGTGGGTGTCGAAGGGGCTGTGTGGTATTGGACAATGCCTCCAGATTGGCAGAAGGCTGCGGGTTTGCTGAGACCTTCGGGTTTGCTGAGACCTCCCACGTAGTCAAACGATCGAATCATTCGATGTAGATTCTGGATTCGATCAACGTGGATGCGAATGACATCATCCACCGAATCCAGAATCTACATCGAATGATTCACCGCAGGCCAGCCAGCTGGGCCTCAATAGACCACCCACTGGACTGACCTTTGGTTGTGACAGAAACGAGTTTTGTCTTCGCACATCTTCCCGGGGGGTCTGTTCTATATGAAGGAGAAGAGAGGGGGGAGGGAAAAGAAAGGGGAAGAGAGACAGGGGAAGGAGGGGAGGAGGGGAGGAGGGAGAGAGAACCAGGCAGCCAATTGAAAGCTCCGATAGAAGAGAATCGAGCTGAATCGAAGGCAAGGAGCCGCATACTTACTCATTGCTTCTCAAGATAGATGCAGAAAGACGTCAGCGTTGATTCTCTGCAGTTGCCCCGTGCATCCATACAGCATTCACTCGTACGTATTGTTATTTTTCATCTGTTCTTTTCTTGTTTGGTGGTGTGGGCCGGGCAGATTGCCAATGCAACAAGCGGTCAGGGCTGCAGCGAGGGTACTTGCTTTGATTTTGGTGACGATTGTGTCTGATACGGCTTTTTGCGCTGTAGATGTATGTAAAACTAGGTATTCATCTCACGCATATTTACGTGCCATGACAAACCATTGGAGAGAGTATCAACACCACTAGAGCTACAATAATCAGATCATGCATCAATACCATTCTACGATAGCACATGTGCAGTGCAACAGGCAATATAATTGTACGCTGCAAACAACATCTACAATGCATCACGATCTTGACAATGGTGTACTGCTCCTCCATGGATACTCTGAGGTGATGTGAAACGAGCTGTGCATATCATGACGTAGTCGTACAGATGCAGCAGATCATGCGGCTGTCAATCTCGATTCAATCTGCTCAAGCTGCATGCTATTGGTCGATCAGAAGATCAGTAAACCGAGCTGGCTCCATATCTGCAGCAGCAAACAAAAATGCCAGCTGCATGGAGTGATCGAGGATCTCCGAGGCGACCCCACCCGCGCCTACTTAAACCTCGCCTCCCCCTCGCCCCTTCCTTTTTTCCTTTCCTCTTTTCCTTTCCTCAGCACCGCCCATCCCTTCGGGGACCTCTCCCGCTGGAGCAAAGCTTCAGCGACAGAACCCTAGGAGGTAGAAGTGCTCCGGCCTAGTGATTAGGCTCTTGGGCAGGCAACCCAAGAGCCAGAGGCTCAAATCAGTGCAGGCACTGGTTTCCTCTTGTATGAAGGTCGATCTCTTTTTTTTTCATTGAGCTTGAGGCTATACGCCTGGACTCGAAGAAGAAATTCTCATCAATCACAATATGAACTGGACTTGGAGGAAAGGAAGCAAGTCGTTATCTGTAGGATAGATGGTTTGTCTCAATGCAGATGACAGTGCTGGATTATGTCCTCGATATTCAGATTTATGTCTATCATACTGGATACCTACATAATTCTCAATCACAATTTGTAGAAAGCTGGAGATGCTGAGACTGGACACCTGCGAGTCTGGCGCGTCTCGCGATGTGCCTCATACTACTGGGAGAACTTTGCTTGTGGTGCTTTTCGTTGGCTGAACATCAACTCTATGCAGCTACCGATAGAATCCAGAGCGTAATCACGAGATATCTTACGCAAGAATCATGTCATTCGGTGGTAAAAGTGCCAGTTGGGCTTTCAACTGACTCGAGGCTCCTCCAGCGGTTGCTCCATCCCCATCAACGACCTTCGGCCGGCGTCAAGCCAAGCCATCTCATTCTGGAGCCAAAGTGCACAGATTTGACGCTCAGCCATAGTCTCATTGTCTGTCGAGGATTCAGCTCCCTGTATATTCTTTGGTTTCCTCTTGGATGGGTGCAGACAGTTTTCGCAACAGCCTTTGCATGTTCCATAGTAGAGTCATGGCGGTGGCATTACCGCGTTTGTGTTCAGTGCCTTGGATTGTTGGCTATGGGTGGTGCAAGAACAGTTACTTGGGCGGTTGGAATCAATTGGCGGGGTGGTCATTTATTCATTCGAGGCCTCATTTGATGGATTCTTTTGTTCTCGGGAAGTGAATGGCATTGTAGTCTACTACAATGATGTTTGTGGGCGCGTAATGTATTTTGTTGCAGTTGGTAGTTGACTTTACGATAATGGATTACTTTGGCTCGCAATCACTTTTACATTGTTGGCAGGCTTGAAATGATGTTTGTGAATTTTGCGACGCGCTTCTACAGGGTACGGCTGCAACAGGCATTGGATTGTAATCACCAGTTGTTGTTTGTGCTCCGCAGCAATTGTTGAACTTGAAATCTCGACATGCCAGCTAGTCTACCCTATTCCTCGAGAATGAAAGGAATAAAAGATATTTTCTGCTAAGGAGAATGCAAGATAGGATCACGCGTTGTGTAAATTCATGGTGGATTGATGACAAAATATTTTTCCACCTATTTGGTAATTCATCCGTCCCACACAAAGCCCAGGCAAATCCACCAATCTGATCGCGAAATAAAGGTCGATTAGTGTCGCATTGTCTTGCTCACTTCACCGAGTGACTCACCGCCAATGAATAAGCAAGGCTACGAAAATAGAATGTTCTTTGTCATTATCGTCAAATAGACGACGTTTGCAAGTAGAGAGCAGCGACAAAGGTATATTTGAACAAACTACACCGTTGAAATGCGTTTTCTTCAATTTGTTGTCGTTCTTTTCCACTCTAGCATTTCCTAGACGCTGACCAAAGGCGAGACGTGGTCCAATCACCAAGGTAAGACAAGTTAGTATGGGGAAAAAAGAACACTATTGAACCAGACTATCCAGTTTTGTACTCCGCGAACCCCTCAGAATCTATTTGAACAGCCCTACGAGAACAGACGCCTCTTTGTCAAGAACAAGAATATTGCTGCCATTAGCATACGGCGAACAAAGAAAGGCCCCCAAAAACAAAGAAAAGATGCCGCTTCAACTTCGCCGCAGCGAGCTCAAAGATCTGTCGCTGATTGTGGAAACATACTTTGAGGCTTTCGCCCAAGACCCAATCCACCAGCGCTTTGCCCCGAGAGGGACCAAGTCGGCTTACGATTTCTGGCACTCGTCGCTGGACGCCGAAATGCGCGACCAAACCAACCACTTCCTCTCCGTCTGGGACGACTCTTCTACGCCAGAGACGTTTGTGGGCTTTGCCAAGTGGATTGTCCCCGGAGCTCATCCAGAGCCTCTTCCGCCGGTGGATGCCTGGCCCAGCGATGGCGATCAGGAGTTTTCTTCAATGTTCTTCGGCAGGCTGAATGATATGCATGATGAGGCCATGGGGGAGCGGCCGCACTGGTATCTCGAGCTTTTGGCGGTCAGGCCTCAGTTTCAGGGCAAAGGAGCCGCCAGCCTGATGCTGAAATATGGTGTTGAGAAGGCCGATGAGGACAAGGTGGAGTGCTTTTTGGATGCCTCTCCTGCGGGCCAGCCGATCTATGAGCGATATGGGTTTAGAGTCGTACAGACGGATACGTTTTTGGAGGGAACTTATATCCAGTGTGCGATGGCGAGAGACGCGAAGAGGTAACAATTGACTATGCGTCGGCAGTCCTTGGCGTTGTGCTGATTATTCTTGTTGAATTTTGAGTTTGTTTCTTTCTTGGACTATCCGAGGTTTACTGTCACGGTTTGGCTGAATCGAATATTTCATCAATGGATTACAGTTCTGTACTTGAGACGCCCATGCAACGTGAAAACTTGCCCCGGTGATCTTGGTTTGACGATTGAAGTCTACTGGGTAGGGGCGGGCACTATACGAGCAGCAGATGCAATCCTCAGACCGACTATCACGCTCTACAAGGCACGGCCTTCCTGTGTTGGCCACTCTTGTACAACCAAGATCGAAAGCAATAAGAGATATGGCAATGACAATAAACGGGCTTGCGTGTTTAGGAGCAGAATTGCTCGGTCCACCTTTGCATCAAGCTTCTGTACTAACAAATGTCGGCTGCACTGGAATACAGTTTGAGCCATACCCCTTCACCATGACAACTATGAATCTATGGAGCGTACTTACGCCTTTCCAGAGACGCTGAAGGAACAGAGAAACTTTGAGGCGTCATTACCGCAAAGTTTCTATGAAGTCAGAGAAGTGACCATCAGTTCTGCGTCAGATTGGGAGCTATTGACCTTCCTAGAGATGATTTCAGCACGTACAACGCGCTGCATCAGGGAAGAAGCACTGGCTTTAGGCAGCAATGGGCTACGAAATGAACTGCTTGACCGCTAACTGAAGGCAATAGCCGAGTCCCTGGAGATGCTGTAGGTGCATGTAGCCTTGCAGCAAGTGCCTGGCAGTGGACCGGTGCCGCTATCGCTGCTGCCATCGGCTCCAGTTGTTTCTGCTGCCCCCTTTTCCTCCTACGCACCCCGCTCTTCTGTTCTTCTTTTCTTCTGTTTTCCCTCCTCATATTCTTCCTCTCTGATCTCTGATATCTGCTCCTCTGCTCCTCTGCTCCTCTGCTCTCCATCCTCATCTTCTTCATCTCTGTTCTCTGCTTTTGGCATCTCCCCAAGTCAGCAAGCCATGTATTCGCCTCCTTGAATCTTCATCCCAGTTCTTTTTGGCGGACCGGCATATCCTTGAGCTCATATCACTATTTGTCACGCTTCTTTCTTGCCTCCTGGACTTTCTCTTTTCTGTTGCCTGGTTTTCGTCTGTCTTGAAAATGCCGTCATGCGTCTCAGCTCTTGGAAATCCATCGGAACTTGAGAGCATTATCCGTTTCAGGTATGTGATGCATCTTGGCTCGCCTCGTAGTATGCCAAACGCTAATGTTTTCGCAGCTTTGCCATGTTCTTCATCTTGTAGCCACGCTTTTCGACAAGATTCTCAAAGTCCTACTCAAGCTTTCTCTCCCCTGTGAGGCTCCAAGAAGCTCCTTGCCAACATTTTCCTTTACATTCATCGCCACAACATGCCGTCCGTCAAGGCGTCTGGATGGAAGTCTGCTAGAGGCTTCAACTGACTCTTCTGATCCGAGTATGTCAAGCCAAAAATTCTTCGTTGGCGCCTTCTCTGACACGTGTTATAGTTGTTTCGTCGATTGTTTATTCATCCACGGTCGAGTGCTTTCCTGGGAGGGACACCGAGAACAGAAAACCATATGCACAAACGTGAGTCTGAATGATGATCCATCCTGATTCAAGGCCTCACGCTGATACTGAACGGCAGATTCCAGAAAAGAAAAACCACCGCTTGTTTGGCTGGAGTCTGCTAGAGGCTCAGCCAGCTGGTTGTTTGTTGCCTGCTCAAGCACTCTGTCGGCATCTCCCACCGGAGATACGCGGGCACAGCGGGGGGTCTACTAGAGGCCCCAGCCGTTCAGCCCAAGTGTATACTTGGTATCAGCAATATTTCCAAGAAATGGCCCCTTGCAGCGACGGCCAAGAAGTTTCTCCTGATAACCACCTCTACGACTATCGTTATGTCATGCGGCGGGGGGTCTACTAGAGGCCCCAGCCCGTGAATCAAGAGGCTCGAGCGGTTTGGCTACCGCGATTTTTTCGGGCACCTCGCCGTGAGCAGATTTCAGACCTCACTATTGAGTTTGGTACACCATTCATCAGCTACGAAACGGATATTTTTACCGTCTTTGATGGATGGCCGCTGGACGGTCTCCAGAACGGCATCGCAACCGGTAGCAGTGTCGTCGACGGCTTCATTAAGGGAAAATTGTACGTCGAGGTAAATTTCTTAATTCTGGCTACCTGTACCCCCTTGCTAATAGAATCTAGGAACAACCAAGGACGGAGAAGAGTGCTCTATAGAGGGCATCTTCGAAGCCGCAGATGATATTCCAAAAGATGGGTTCGTGTTCCAGCTGTTCCATCGCCTATTGCACGGGGCGCAGCGGGGGGTTTACTAGAGGCCCCAGCTGGTCAGCCGCTGTTGACAATTTCCATCTGCCGCCACGTCAGCTCGGTCAGAATCTGATGGCTGGCTCGGTGGGGGGTTTACTAGAGGCCCCAGCCGGCCTACCACAGAGACCAGAGCCATGCTCCAGCTCCTCTGCCTGTTGCAACTGACGGACGCGGTGGGGGGTCTGTTAGAGGCCCGAGCCGTGCTCCAGCTCCTCCTTTACCTGTTGCAAATGACGGACGCGGCGGGGGGTCTGCTAGAGGCCCCAGCCGAGGATCAGGACCTACCACAGAGACCAGAGCCGTGCTCCAGCTCCTCTGCCTGTTGCAAATGACGGACGTGGCGGGGAGTCTGCTAGAGGCCCCAGCCAGGATCACGACCTACCACAGAGACCAGAGCCGTGCTCCAGCTATTCCTTTGCCTATTGCAAATGACGGAAGGGGAGGTTCTTGCTCGGGGCGCAGCGGGGGGTCTACCAGAGGCCCCAGTTGGTTGGCCGCCGTTTGATGACACCTCCAGCAATGGTCCTCTGCCCAGCCAGGTAGCTCTGATATCTGCAGTCATGCCAACCCAGCACGCCGATTCTCCAGCAGAGTCTGATGGCTCGGCGGGGGGTCTACAAGAGGCCTCAGCCAGTTGTTGGTGTTCAAGTCGGAAGATGGCAGTGGGAAGGAGAAGATTATTGGGCTGGGAAGATTTGGGGCAATCAAGAACTAGGAGCGAGATGGGCGCAGGATTCCCGGCGTATAAACGCCTTGGTTACGGCCTTGAAGCGATGAAGATGGCGATTGAATGGGGTTACACGCCGGCTAGGGACGGGGAGCCCAGCTTGATTTGGTGACGATTATGGCTTTGGAAGAGAATGAGTCGATGTTGCAGCTCATGGATGGAAAGTTTGGATTGGAGGCAAGACTGACCGCATGGGTTCACACACACTCTTCTACGAATCGCCATCCCAAAGGTTGTTCCGACTGATGAGTCCCCAATCAAGATATACAACAAAGACTTCTCTTGCTAGGAAGGCAGAGGCGGTTGAGTGGGTGTCGTCGCGTCGTCTTTATCATACATAACTACCTATTTCGGTTCTGCACTCCGTGGAAATGGATCTCACGAGCTGCATACGTACGTCTAGTATTATTTCTTTCTTCTTCTTTCTCTACGATACGCCTTCTCTATCCTCACCATCTTCTCTCGCTGTTGGTAGTTTTAGCACATACCCAAAATATAATCTTGTCTCGCCAGAGAAATCACAATTCAAGCGAAATAAACCATCCCTCTGTTCTTACCTATCGCGGTCTGTTTTACGAAATAAAACCACCGAATGCAATATTATCAGTATGCTAACATGCAAAAAAATAACAGATACGCTCAAGACTCCTCTCGACATTCTCCCTCTCCGTCAGCGAAGTTGCTCTCCAGCCCTCCACCGGTGAAACCTTCATTGTCACAGTCTCCCACCATTTTGCATCTCCTTCAGAATCTTCACAACCGCCATCGATGATAGACGAGTCTCCAATCAGTATATACAAACTTGGTGCCCGCTAGAAGCATCCATAGGGGTAGGCAAAGCTGCTCGTGGGAGAGCGGGCTCTTCTTCCTCTCTTCTCTTCTCCCCTTTCTTCATATTCATCTTCGTCTTCTTCTTCATCTTCTTTTACTCTTTTTTCTCATTGGCGTCATGTATGTAAACCCTCTCGGGGGCACCTGCCGCGGGCTTTGTCTGTGGCGCTACATCTCTAACGACGCCGTGCACATCCTTTTTTTTTTTTTTTTGGCTAGAAGGCAGATGCAGTCGACGTGGAGTGTCTCGAAATCCGCGTCTTGGACAATCTGAAACTCAACTCTATAGACAGTGATCAGTCGGAGGCCACTATCAGGACGATTGCTGTTGTTCTCTGGTTATCCTTACACCTGCTTCGCCGGAAGATAGCACTTGGGTAATATTGCGGGCGGTTTACTTCTCGCCGCGCCGCGTCGTAGAAAGGAAGAACATACTATATCATTTCCTGTCGTCGCTTTCCGGCAAATGCCTCAAAAGTTGCCATTTCTACCCCTCGCTCGTCTCGAACCACCAAGATCCTTGACTTCCAGCGCACTGTTCAGTGGCATGCTGTGCGGAGCAGCCTGGTTGAATCCATTGGAATAATCGACAGACGCTACGGCGTGACGTCCACCGTTGATAGGCCTAGCACCGTTGGCTTGCGCCGTCCGCTTGAATATCCGTGCTGCAGGATACACAGGAGTGGCTAAGAGAGTGATTGTGCTGTGCAAGCGACAACGATACCAACGACGTGGTCGCGCACTGGATGTCTGAGATAGCCAACGCGTGAGGCAACTTTGATGCCATACGAAGCTCTTGCTAAGCAAGACAAGATGCCTGTTCAACAAAAGGAACTGTCTCAGCAAAAAATGGCTGCTCAACATCAAAAATTCCGGCAAATGGAATCGACTGCCTTCAAGTTACAACGATTCTGTCGTGCTTTACCCGACGATTGTAAAGTGGAAGACTTTAACGTCGGCTCAAAGCACTAAAAAGCTGCGACTTATTTCATCAATACGAAGGCATATTTAGTCCCAAGGCCGAACTCAACAAAGTTCGTTCCTCTATGTTACCATGGTGGAAGAACATACCTCATCATCAACCCCAGCAAGAGAAATCAGCTGCCTTAAGTTGCAACGAAGGCGCCCATCTTGACAACCACTTAGTTGCAAGCCTTGGAGATGCTACAAGTTGACGAATCTCGTCTTTGGCCTGATCACATGGACTCATTTCCTCCCAAATTTCAAGACCCTGGAGGCCCTTTTTGCCGCCGTCGTTGTCCCGTATTATCTTCGCAGGTGCACTGCCATTGATATTTCGAGTTCCACTCGCCAAAATCTCTCTCTTTTCAACTTCACCGCATCGCCCATGAGCTTTCCATTTGAAAGTGTAGGATAGACGGACCTTATAGTTGTTGGCTTCACCATGTCGTCTCGATCTTGTCGTATTGATAGGCAACGAATTGGCGTATTAGTCCTCATCTACAAAGGTGCTTTAGCCGACAAAGTGGAAGCCGAAATATTGAGAAGCTGCGAGTCAGTTTTACTTCCGAGGCGGGTGGTGGCCTAAAGCTTGTCGACAGGATGGCATGTTTAGCCACGTATACACCATCTTTATCCCGAGACATCTGGCACGACAACGCTCACAATGAATTGTTTCCTGTCGAGCTTCTGGCGCGCAAATTCTTCAGTATCAGAATCTCATGGCTGGTTCGGCGGGGGGTCTACGAGAGGCCCCAGCCACAGCCCTGTCAGGTCGGCGCACCGATTCTCCAGACACAGAGTCTGATGACGGCGGGGGGTCTATAAGAGGCCTCAGCCCTGTTAACCCGGCGCGCAAATTGGCTGGCTGGGGGTCTACAAGAGGCCCCAGCCTTGTTAGCCCTGGAGAGTCTGCAGTACTTTGATCTCATGGATGAGATCTTGAAGGCAGAACCATCGCCTATTCTACGTTACGGAGAAGAGCGTGTATCCAACTACATGGGGAACTGGGCTTTAAATCAGGGACAAGCCCTCGCCGTACTCGGCGCACAAGATAACTGATGGCTTACGCTAGTTACACCATCAGGGCTGTCGGGAGAGCCTGGTCATGAGGCGGGGAGGAGATGGGAGGCAGGGAGAAGACACGCAGGTGCAGTCGAGCACCAAGCGTAAGCGTACTGAAGCGACCCCGAGACCCTAATCATTCGCTTAACCTCATAAAGCTGAGGGGGCACGCGGAATCCCCAACGAGCAACAGCCACTGCCAAAGGCTTAATGCCGTATATCAATAAACTGTCGAATAAGGCAAAGGCAAAGCTTCCGTCCGGGCCTGAAGATGCTATGAAAACATTAGTCTTCTTCAAGAGTATTGGGATTCCGTCGTTACACGGAACTTAGCTCGCGGTATAAGCAATGGGAGAAATAGAAATGCACTCGCTTATTAATCTTGTACCGGCTGATACTATGGAGGAGGCGAAGCCAAAATTAAGACAGATGCATCCTCTTGCGTTCGACACGAGGTTCTTTGATACCACTGGCACACCCGGCCATTTATCTGTCTTCGGTCACTTTTTTCTTTCGTCTGACTGAAGGCAATTCCATCTCACCTGCTACAGGAGCTACAACATCGTTGAGACCCCACGACACATCTATATGTTACATATCTCTGTTCATCCGCCTACCTATCATCCATCTCAAACATCTCAGAAACTTTCAAGGTCACTGTCCATACTAAACAACGCCGTTCGACGCAACTGCCCATCTATACCTGCCACGCCCGTGTTTACTGGGCTGTAGCCCGTGTCAGCATTTGACAGGGCAATAACAATATACACATGTGCCACCTTCCAATCCTTTACCTCTCACACTTCTTTCAACGATCGATGGCTTTGCCCTGAACTACTGAACTACTTGGACGGTCAAAGGAAAGGGATGGGTAGACGCCCGAGAAACAGGCTTTCAACTTTGAACACACAGCGGCGAAAAAGACAACGCGCATGTCCAACGTATTGCCGAATGGGCCAAGCCTCAGGAGACAATGGCGATGGCGAAGACGATGTATATGATCCAGATTCAAGTCATGCACGGGGCGCAGCGGGAGGTCTACAAGAGGCCTCAGCTGGTCGGCCGCCGTTTTTGACAATGGCCGTTGACAACTTCTATCTGCAGCAATATCAACTTGGTGCATATATTTTCCAAATCCAGAGTCTGAATGACTCGGCTGGAGGTCTGCTAGAGGCCTCAGCCATGGCGGGGGGTCTACAAGAAGCCCCAGCCATGTCAGCCCTGGAGGTAACGACCCTCCTAATGGGCCAAAAGCCTCGGAAGTCGCAACCAAGTACTCTAACCCACAATCGTACCAGGAGACCTTCTTCCCCTTGCTGGCATCCGAAGCCTGGCGTTCATTTGTTACCTCAAAGGACAAGGTGACCGCGCAACCGTTTGGCATGAAAATTGCTAGCCGCGCAAGCGTGGACAGCTATCTTGAAGTGACCTTTACGATGCCCATCCTGCAATCTCGGGAACGTGGTGTTTTCGAAGGCGACATTCTGCTTGTCTCAGAGGCAGAGAATCCTCTTGTATTTAAATCGGCCATCCACGAGGCAGAGGGAAGATCCGCAGGCGCAGTCGAGCACTCGGCGGGGGGTCTACAAGAGGCCCCAGCCATGTCAGCCCGGCGCACAGATTCTCCAGAATCTGAGTGATGGCTCGCGCTACTCACAAACGCCGCCAGGGCCGACGAGAGAGCTTAGTTATGAGGCGGAGAGAAGATACGCAGGCTGGGAGAAGACACGCAGGCGCAGTCGAGCACCAAGCGTAAGCGTACTGATGCGACCCTGAGTCCCTAATCATTCACTTTACCTTGAGAAACTGAGCTTAACACTACTACTTGCCACTTCTGAGGATGCGGGGATTCTCAACGAGATTCACAATGAGCAACAGATAACGGCGATAACGAGGAGCAGAGGACGATAGCGACTCAGATGATGTATATGATTCAGATTTACCACTACAAGGGGATTAGAGGCAAGCAAAGCTGGTCATCATGATTGTTTGAAGACATCTTGTTAGATCGAAGCCACCTAGTTCGAACGAGGTCAGCCAATTTGATGGAGGTCGATAGGATGGTTCGAGCAGCCGTCATCCGTCACACGCTTGACTCATGATCTTCTTTGGCAAAGCCTAACCGAATCTATCCATTAACAAGTCCGTCTCTTCATTTGCTCTTTTCCAACATTTCAAGAGCATTTTCTTCCATTCGATATCGCAAATCCGGCTGGGGAACCTTTCGTAACCAGAATTGACCATCCTATCTACCAAATCATCTAAACATTGCAACAACTTGCGCTCTTGGGTCGGGACCAACGGCTGCTGCTCAAGGTCGATACCACACCCCAGGCTGTCAACTGTACGATAACAGGACCTAGCTCACGGTTAAAAACTGAAGCCCGTATCTGCTACGAAACAGCAGCGCTATCCGGGACGCACTCGGGAAGCCACCCTGCAGCAAGGGGCTATTTTCACCAAAGATGACCAACACAACAGCCTACAGCAGCTTATCTTACCTATTAAGCACCTGGGGTTATAGTGCACTCTCTATACGAGAGCCGAGAACAGGACGACCTTGGGTCGTAATCTCAGTTGAAGTCTAATATAAGGGTTCTCTTCCCAGCAAAGGCTCTTCCCTATAAGGAATGCTACAAATGTATTACTATTGGTACTTATAGCTAGTTTTATAGACCTCTGTTTTTCGAAGTGCTTCTTTGGTCATTCAGATAACCGGGGATGCCATCCCGCCTCCAGCGAAACGCAAGGCCCAAGCTGGCTCAACCATTTTCGTGCTCTCCAGGATGCCATTCGACTTTTGCGCCTTGACCAGTCATTGACGATGAATATGAACGACTTAGCCTATTGAGACCTTCTGCGAAGTACGAGACGGCAGACGTAAAGTTCCAAGATCTATCGAGGCCAATGGAGCTGATGGAGCGACCTGGGGTTTTCAGCAAGATGAAGAATAGGCTCCGACCTTGAAGAGATGGTAGTCGGACTTGAGGGCAAGTTCTGAAACGGGGGCAAAGTTGCTCTACACAATGAGCATTCTCGGTAACCAGAGACATGGGATGGAACCTCACAAGGAGGCCTCTCAGTAGAAGCGCCAGGGCTTACATAGACGACCCAGAACTCCTGAACTGAATCGAAGGCGGTGACCTGCTTGAGTAGGTTATTCCAGTTATCGCATGGCATAACTCCTAATCAACCCGATAAAGAGCTCCAGCCTCCTTCCAAACATGACAAAGAAAGTTTGCTCCTCTTGCAGACAAATACAGACAACCGCTATCTTGATGATGACAGGATTAGAGACTCTTTTTTCTACGACACTCAAGACATAACGAACACGGCTAGGGAAGCTCTGGGGTAGTCGTTTTCCTCGAAAGCCAAAAGAACAGGGGAAAGGAGAATATCGACTTGGAAGAGAATCTTCGTATAGGATTTGAAGCATAGAAAGGTTTTATTGGTGAATTCATCACAGTCATGTTGGATATAGCCTAAAAAAGAGCTGAAACAGATTGAAGCTTCTATTTTTGCTTCTACTACAAGGAATGATATAGCTAAAATACGAACAATACTCAATAATGCATCATCTTGTACATCAGACTTGACCAACTTCTTTATTACCATAGACAGACAGCCTCCAAGAACTAGATTAGATGGTTTTCCAATTATCTTTGTTTTCACATGCTGTATCTTATTAAAGAGCACATTGTGCATTTAAATACAGCTCCTCTGAGCTATCGCTGATCCCAAGTCATCCGCAGCCCACTTGCCGACTTATGCAGACGGACCCCCCAGATCATCCTCGTGTCTTATATCTGTTCTATGACAGTCTAGGACCTTTCTGACACTCATGATCATACTGCAGCTTAGCATAGATTATTACCGACATATTGTCTCCCATTTCCCAGTGGACCTCATCCAATCCGCATCAGCAATCGTCTACGCAATATCTCCTTGAGGCCCATCTGGCAGAAGCTGCTGTCCTTAGAGGCTTTTGCAAACCTCTCTAGACAAAATTCGATCCTTAGTTGAGCTATTTATTACAGAACATTCTGGAAATGATGTGAGTAGACCTTTGCTATGGGGTTTGACAGCATGGCATTTGATCGCTGATCTTTAGTCTAGATATAGGAATTGAGATTATGTTATTTTTCTCGGCAGCTCAGTGCCTTCTGACCTTTTCGCTACTACATTAAGATCTACTTTTGCACCCCGATGTACGTTCTTCGACTCTTTTAACCACCGTCTCCCATTGCGTGTTCCGGTGTCATTAACAGCATGGTGATGATCTCCGAAAACAAACACCGCGGCCTAAAAGACTATGAGAAGATACCATACGAGAGCAGGAATATATCGCCGAGCATCTACAAGATTCCTGGAAAGAATAATGCGAATAATCTCAGAGTGACTGCCAAACAGGGTAGGACAACTTGCGCCAAATAATCCACACGCTTTCAACGCCATGGAAGAAGGGAATGAGTTTTAATTATGCAACTTAGGGGAAGAGTCATCAACCAACTCCAAGCATTCAGGAGAATGTCCAGGCACTTGTATCGTCTTCTTTTGTTTCTCAACGTCCAGATTTCTCACCACCTACACGATCATATTTCACTACGCCCCCACCTTGATGTTTCCGCAATCAAAAGCGCGTTCTCCATCGACAGCTTCCGCTTGGCTGGCTGCTAAGAAGGACGCAAATCATCTTGAGACAAAGATCAAAATGGAACAACTAGCCATCTTTGATGCCACAGCTATAACACGCCCTTGGCTCATCAAATAATACCTGACATCGCAACGCCGTCGGGTGCTTGTTTCCACTTGCCTTGCAGCTCTATTTCTATATCGGCACCATGGAATGGCACAAATTATGAGCCAGGATTGCTATTTACTACAAATAAGCGCCATTCGAGGATGTTTGAAGGGGAATTTAGGCCGATGGTGGTTATAATTATCTGCTCCCGTCAATAATTCTCAATACACCATTGACACGCTTCCATAATCGACTCCAGTTCAACCCCTAGACCCAGCAGTTCTTTTCTAGACTTCATAATAGGCTGGCAGCAGATACGTTCCATTGCCACCAATCGCTGATGGCAGAGAGCTTGGTTCAAGAGATACTTACTACAGCAGACAACGTCGTCCAACTCCAAAGACATCTCCGCCAGGGTAAGTTTGCTTTTCCTCCAAACTCGACACCTCATATGATTCCAAGTCATCAAGCATTGTTTTACCTTTATATGACGTTGCTAACATCTGCCAGCTCGCCGGCGACGGCGTTATTCAAGTCGCAACTATACCCCCAAATGCTTCCAAGCATTGCCTCCGTCATCGCCTGCTTCTTCAGCTTTGCAGATTGGGGCTAGCTCGTCGAATTCATGGCCGACCCTGACATTAGTGTGGATAATTTAGGCCTAGTTGGCTTACATCCCTGCCTTTCCTTTGAGACGTTACTGCTGAGATATTTCTCCGTCATTCGTAAGCTCTCGGCAGTAAGCGGTTCAATCTCTCGGCCGAATCCAACTGCCAGCGCTAGACGGCTTTGTCAAAAGGCTGTTTCTGGTGGCCTATATTAACTTACTCTGCTGCCCGCTTATGGCCGATTCGGCCTAACACCTTGCTATGAAGTCTTTCTTTTCATCTCAAGCTCATTCGTCGATAGAGCCTCGTCACTTTTTCAAGCTCTTTTCATCTCTAGCCCCATTGGTGCAGCAACATGCCTGTTAGGAGAGTTAGGGAGATCCGGACCTGCAGCCGGTGTCGGTCACTCAAGCTTCGGTGCGACCAATTAAAGCCGTCTTGTCAGCGATGTACCAGAGCAAATGCTCCCTGTTCACTTGGGGCATGTCTAGATACGGACGAGCCTGGTACTGGCTCGTCAAATTCGGTAATCGAAACGCCGCCCCAGTCTGGAACAGAGCCCTCGCCCCCGTCTATTACCGAACTTGAACGTCAATTGCAGTTGGAAAATAAAAACGATGAGACTACGACACAAGAAGCCAGCACTGTCAAACAGAGACAGCGAGCGCAACTGTCTTGCATACGATGCCACAGACTCAAAGTCAGGTGTGATAGAGACTTGCCCTGCTCACGATGTCGAGTGTCCGGCTGGGGTAAATTCTGCGAGTACCGCTATAGAACGGAAAAGGCCAATCCACCCTTGGATACAGGCGCACCGAAGAAGATGGGGCAAGACCCCGATGGCCGTGTCAAGTCTTGGCTTGCACAGCGTCGTGGTGCCACTCATTGGGACGATCTTATATCTGCAGTGAGCATCCAGTTCTCCTAGCCGTATAGCCGGACAGAACTAAATGTAATTGCAGCTCAAGGTGCGGGCTGGGCTTGATGATCTTGCAGTCCGCCATATGGTCACGGAATTGATACACCAACAGAGCTCCGAGGTTTCTGACGATTTTGTGTTACCTGAAAACTTCCCGTTCAACAGTCCAGCAGCCTCCAAATTTGTATCCATGGATACTGTCCATGATTTGCTCCAACAGCATCGAGAGAAATACCAATCTTATATGGATGGCTACCTCGCCCTCTACCAAGCAAGCTTTCCCATTATTAATAATGCTGTATTCTCATCATTGGCTGAGAAGTACTGGAATGACCCTAGATCGATGGATGAGGCCTGGCTCGCCAGCTTTCTGATGGTATTAGCGCTGGGGTGTTTTGCAGCGACGAGGGATCAACGCTCAGCCATGGAGCTCTGCATGGCCGCTGAAGCTTGTCTTGGCAAGACCTCATTCATGGTCCAACCGGATATCCTAGCTGTAAGAACTCTCTGTCTTATGGTCCTTGCCAAGCAAAGCCTTAATGCGACATGCCGCACTTTTGATTCGTGCTGGACGTTGCTCGGCATTGTCACCCGTGCAGCTACTGCAATAGACTTGCACAAGCAGCCTTTGCCACATCATGGATTGCAGGCAGATGTTGGTGACTGGCAGTCTGAGCAAGCATTATGGTCTACGGTCGTCTATTTCTGCATACAAGTCGCCATGGTTACAGGCAAGCCATTGCTTGTATCAGCGGATATGTTCGCCAAACGCATACCAGTATCCACGCAGACAAATGACCCATGGGTAATGCTTATTGATGTGTACCCGACAATATGCCAGATTATTTCGAGAATCTCCAGCAGCACGGACAAACCGTTGTATGATGAAGTTGTAAAGCACAACGACCATGTACGGCAGCTCATGGATGCCTTGTTAAGCAAGATTCATGGTAAGCCGAGGCTTTATATCACGCTGGATATATTTTTCCGTCGCATTCTCCTTGTCCTCCACCGCTCTTACGCTCTCCATTCTGTGGCTTCGTCAATCTACCCAGTGTCCTATTGGGCATCTCTAGAATGTAGTTTAGCGATCCTTGTGCATTACCGAGATCTTGAAGACCAAAGAGGGCCAGACAACACGGACTTGATTAGCCGCCTCTTCAAAAGCGACATTTTCGCAGCCATGCTGACGGTGTGCTCGCATCTTTCTCATCAAGAGGCACCTCTCTCTGTGGGATCTGCAATCCCACCACGTCGGATTATTCTGAACACGTTGCAGGCATGCATAGCGATTTGGGGGAGAGAGGTGCATCAGTCGACTTGTTTCAAAATAGGCCTCATGCTATTGGACTTGGTTTTGAAGTTCTTGCCGGATGGATAAAGATTTAGGCATCAAAGCATAGTTTGGGGCCCGTACATATATCATCGTTTTAGAGAAGGAAATGCCACAAAGGCCGCGTAATGGGCTGGAAAATGATTGTATTCGATCACTGTATCGGCCGAGTATGGCCTGTCAATGACCGATCGGTTACAGTCTGCTCCATTATCGACTACGCGTTGATGACGAATAAGATGACTGGCAAGATGATTCCATTTTACAGCAACTCTTCCGTGTTTATATATTCCTCTGACACCTTGATGTTGTTCGTCAGTGAATGCAAGTTGTCTGCTAGCTGCAAACTTGTATCATTTCCGGAGAAGACGACCCATGCTACATTCATTCACAATGTCCATCAAGATCTACCTATTGTCACTCTTTCTCACAATATGTGGCTTCGTCACACGGCATTATAAACACGAAGATCTGCCGCTTCCACTATTCGGCGATATATTCGGGGCGGATGGGTGGTTCCCTCTACACTGCATGTTCTTTACGGCTGCCTTGGTCGCGACCTGGATGAATATTGAGACGGGAGATTGGATTGGTGGTGTAAGTATAGACTGATGAGTTTACCATTGTTGAAGATGCTGATTGAAGTCTTTAGGTATATTGATACGCGCTGTTTAGTTTGTTGGAGTCGTGATTTTGGACAGCTTTTCTATACTTGACGATGCTTGGACCTCTCTTGCAGCGTCAGAGTAGCTACGCGGCGGTTAGCTTTATGCCGCAATACATTAGAGATTAGATGGAATATTCCATATACAGAAAATTCATAATATTTTCCTCTCGTAATGTTGAAATTGAGTGGAGATGTCCCTTGTGAAATAAATCTGTAAAATAAATCTGTACCGAAAACGCGTAAACATACCCGGCCATGATAGCCATCAGGGGAGACTAAGCCAACGTTACTACATTGCGTATGGATAAGTTACTTCATATCTCCGATTGAGGCTATATTTGGATCGTTTTCGCTCTTCTCCATTTGGTATGCTTCCTTGTAAGGTTATATTGTCCAGATCGTTGCACAGCCAGCCTATCGGCCGAATTCGATGCCCGTCTATGGCCGACTGCTTACGCTGTTGACGCGCCAGACGACTCTTGACTGCACAATAGTAACTTTCCTCGATTTTTTGGCTTTCCTAATAAAGATCATTTAATTCCGCGTTTAGATCTGTAGTTCAGTCCATAATACCATTGTTCTTAACGTTCATTTTGTTTGCATTTCTAGCGCTGCTTCTGAATGAGTGCTACCCGGTAGCCTCTCCAAAAAAAAAAATGACAGTCAATCTGTCCATTTTCTTGCTTTTCGTTCACTTTTTTTGCACCGCTCATGCGAAATCGGAATTAAATCGGGTGCTATCAAGTCACCCGTCGAGCTCGTCGGCCATAGTGTCCCCACCATACAATTACATGTTTCAATTTCCACTTCCCATACCGCCAGTCATCAATCCGCTACTGTAAGTTTCTTTGTCCTATGTGTTAGAAAGCCAATATTTGGTATTGCCGCCGCTGATATTGACATAAATTGTGTATTTTGAATAGCTCGTACAAAGACCCCGAAAGCAACGTTACCATCGACTTCTTCCAACTCAACATCACATCATTCCAAGCCCAGATATACCCGAATATTGCCAAGACGAGCCTCGTGGGATTCAATGGAATATCTCCAGGGCCTACCTTTAGGGTGCGACGCGGGATCCAGAGTGTGATTCGCGTTGTGAACCAGAATGGTAATTGCGCCTCGAGTCATGTTACGTCTAGATTGACATTAATAATTGCTATAGACCGGCCAGCTGTACTGCATCTGCATGGATCATACTCTCGCGCAGTTTGGGATGGCTGGGCAGAAGACTTGATCCAACCGGGCCAATACAAGGATTACTACTATCCAAACTCCAACACGGCTAGAACTCTCTGGTATCACGGTTCGTACCCTCTTCACTCGGCCTAGCGGTGCGATTCTAAGAGGAAAGAGATCACGCGAATATGATCACCTCGGTCAATTTGTTCAGTGGCTTGGCAGGTTTCTACATTATCGAAGATCCCGAGGTGGAGGCGCAGCTTGGCCTTCCTCAAGACAAATACAACATCCCCCTTGCTCTCAATTCGAAGCAGTATACCTCCACTGGAAGCCTCATTTCTGTAGCCAACGAGACTGAGAGTACCTATGGCGATGTCATCCAAGTAAATGGCCAACCTTGGCCGTTCTTGTCGGTGGAGCCTCGAAAATACCGGTTTCGTATATTAAACTCATCTCTCAGCCGCACTTTTAATATTACTGTTGTGGACAATGGCAGCGGAACCCATTTGCCCCTTGACATTGTCGCATCAGATTCTGGATTCCTGAGTTCGCCTGTAACAACTACCAACCTACTGACGGCCATGGCAGAGAGATGGGAAGTGATTATTGACTTTTCAAGCTTTGAGAACCGCAACTTGACTGTCATGAATGGCAAAAACATCTTTGACTCTATTGACTTTCCGCATACTGATCTTGTGATGCAGTTCAATGTGGGATCGACCGTTTCTTCCAACGTCAACAACAGCCCACCCCCTTCATCTCTGGTGCCAATAGATACTCTACCAACTAGTCTTGTCAACCGGAAGTTCAAATTTGATAAACAGTACTTTGTTCTACCCTAAATGACTGGTCCCAGCTAACTTTGAGCAGAAACGACGAGTGGGTGATTAATGGCGTCCCCTTCTCCGATGTTAAGAATAGAGTTCTTGCGGCGCCTCAAAGCGGAGCAACAGAGATATGGGTGCTGGAGAATCAGAATCCTTGGTGGAGTCACCCAGTATGTTGCCAAAAGATAACATCAAGGCTCTCGGTCGACTAATACTTGTTCGTAGATTCACATCCACCTGGTTGATTTCCAGATTCTATCTCGTTCAGGCGGACGAAACACTGTCGAGCCATTCGAAAAGGTCGCCCTCAAAGATGTCGCTCTACTCGGCCCGAGAGAAACAGTTACAATAGCTGTCACGTTTGCTCCGTTTGCTGGCGTGTACATGTTCCACTGCCACAACGCCATCCATGAAGACCATGCCATGATGGATGCGTTCAATATCACGGCTATCCAGGGATTAGGCTACAATGTGTCGGATCTCATGTTTGCAGATCCTCTAAACGCCACCTGGCGCGCAAAGGACTATACAGACTTGAATAATCAGTCAAACTTGAGTAGCATTTTGGCTACTTTTGCAGCAACCGATGCATACAACGATGTATCAAAGGCAACGGAAACGGAAAATGCAGGATATAGATTGGCGCAAATGCCATTGGTATTCTTTTGTGCATTGGGTTTTGCAGTCAACATGTCATTTTAAATATTGTAGATGCATATTTCAATTCACAATTCACATTGAAGAAACACTCTTTAGCATCTCAATGTTGAAAATCCAGCTGGAATATCGTAGCTGGAATATCGTAGCTGGAACAAAATCCGTCAAGGAGCCCACTACAGGCTCCTAAATACACTGGTCTAATTCCACACAGCTACTGAGGTAGGCAGCCTTCGTAATACTGCAAATTTATCAATAATGGCACCGGAGTTTGATTCTAGGACAGGTCACTGCGCTGCTGGAAACGAAGGGCATGCGAAGAAGGGGCCGCTGTGGCAGTTGCTTGTATTTGAGGGCGTGGGCAGTAAGCTGGAGGTGCGAACAAGTGAAAGAGCTCGCTGATGAGAATGAGTCACGAAATGCACTTTTAAATTATTTTCCGGTCACTACTTCAATTTCCTATCAACTGAGACCGATAGCCCCTCCCAGCTGTCATATTGTTGCCGAAGCAATATGGGTTGGTTACAGCAGGCTGAAGCCCCGTGCGTTATCGCATCGAAGCAGGTCAATCTCCGCCTCTAACAAGGCCAGGAGTGAGCACGAGCCACTCTCTACTGGAAAAAGGCTGGCCCTGCTATTGCTTTGCAATGAACAGCATAGCTCCGGCATTGGCTGCACAGTGTCTCCCTACATTTCAGAAGGGGTGTCTCGCGAGGCAACCTGGACGGACAACTGTTGGATAGCGTTGATGGAGCCACAATCTCGTAGAAGATGAGGTTTTCGTACAAACACAAATAATTGAATTGTTTAATGCTAGTCTAAGATAAACAATGATATAAAGATGTCTCGGCGAAATAACAAGTCTCGTAGAGGAGACCGTATTGAAATGCAGGCCATAGATCGTGCAGCTACTGTGATAGATCCACGTGTGCTGGAATCACATAACCAGCCCGGCAAAAGAAGCAAAAGAGCAGTCGAGACTGCGTTTGCAGATGAATAGCGAGCCCAAACTACTCGAGTATGTGCAGTGATATCATATGAATAGACGCAGTCAACATTCATGCCTGCATTATGGTTTCACTTTTCGTTGAAAACGTGTGTTTTGTGGGTATCTGTGGATCCCCTGCATTCACTGCTTTGTGAATGCACTGCAGCTGCTGCCTTTTTCTGCTGCTTCTTCTGCTGCCTTCTTCTGCCGCCTTCTTCTGCTGCCTTCTTCTGCCTTCTTCTGCCTTCTTCTGCCCCCCCCCCCCCCCCCCCCTAAAACGCGGCCACGGACCTGGCTATTGATTTTTTTTCAGCACAAACTTGGAAAAGATCACTTGAACAAGGCCTCTTATCCTCTATTGAGTGTTAACATTCTGTCAATTTCTTCAAGTTCCAACCTCGCTACTATATCCCTTTTCACAAAGGCAGATTCTAGCCGCGGGCACCCAAGGCCTCATCAGCAGCGCCAGTCTCGATCAGCAACAACGAGCTGACGACCTGTGCTGTAAGTAATTTTCCAACAGAGACCATGATTCTTGCAATCTCGTATCACAAGCTGACACGTATCAGCCAACGAAGATGAACGGAAACCGGCGGGGGGTCTACAAGAGGCCCCAGCTGGCAGCTCAGCCCGGCGAACGGATCGAGGTGGTGCTGAAGAGGCTCGAGAGACAGGCATACCTCATCAAGAAGGCGGCTGGTCGGTGGGGGGTCTATGAGAGGCCCGAGCTGGCCAGCCGCAGCCCGATCAAGTTCAACGTCACCCGCAACGACAACCACATCATCCAGGCCATTGCCACCGTCGACTTCCAAGACAAGGGTGTCAACGGCTTCTTCATGCGCCTTCGTGAATGGTAATCTCGGTAAGCTTCATTTTGGACGACACTATGGCTGATGGCACTGACTAACTCTGAGATACAGTGGCTATCAACTCCAACGACAATTTTACATAGCAAGTTCAGGGGAGACCTACCACGGGAGAGGGGGCAGCAGCAGCGGCAGTAGCAATCTACGTCACGATGTCAGCGAAAGTCACATTGAAGACATGCTTCTATTGGCATTCTTGCTACGCCTGATATCACGCATGGAAGCCCAATGGGAATCATCCATAGGGTAAGACATGTGCCAATTATCCACTGGAGAGAGAATAGTCCGCTAACTGGGTGCAGAAATACCCAAACCCAATGCCTTCTTTGAAACACCAGCCCATGAAGCAGGCGAAGAAGTTGTGGGGGGATTCACATTCATAAAAAACAAGACCACAAGATCAGAGGATTCTGCAGCAGTAGCAGAAGTGGCAATTCACGCCACGATGCCAGCGACAAAGTCACAAGAAACACCTTAATTGGCATTCTTCTCACACTTGATATCACGGACAAGGCTAGATCATCACTGGCGAATGTCAAAAGTGCAACATCGTCCGATCCTAGTCGGCATAGTCTATTGCAGCGACGGTCCCTCCACCCCAAATCCTCACCCGTCTCTCGACATCCATTTGTGGCTGCTCTAAATACCCCCCCTACACGGTGTTCAGTCTGGCCGGGAGCGATACACACACTTTCACCTTCTCCGCGTTCAACAGTCGTGATGAGGGCTGGATGGCTGGCGGGGGGTCTGATAGAGGCCCCAGTTGGTCAGCCGCTCTTGGCAGCAACTTGTCATCTTTTACTGCTTGGATTTGGGCCGATATTTCCTCCAAGAAACTGGCGTCAGTCGTCGATACGCAATATACTGGGGTTGGCTCCAGCCGGCGGGGGGTCTACTAGAGGCCCCAGCTGGTCGATCATCATTGCTGCGAAAGGCGGGCAGCAACAATATCGCATTGCTCGGCCGCCGCTTATGCGCATCCCGAAGCCTGCTTCATTTGTGGTTGGTTGCCTGGCAGGGGGTCTTCTTGAGGCCCCGGCCACTACTCTCGTGAAAGACGGGTAGCAACAACATCGCATTGCTCGGCCGCCGCTTATGCGCATCCCGAAGCCTGCTTCGCGGTTGGGTGCCTGGCGGGGGGTCTGCTTGAGGCCCCAGCCACAACTCCCGCGACTGACGGGAGGCAACAAGGGCGTCACCGCATACAGGAACGCTTATGAATCTCTCAAAGCCTGCTTCATTTGCGGTTGGCTGCTTGGCGGGGGGTCTGCTTGAGGCCCCAGCCATCTCCCAAAGCATGCCCCATTGCATTCGAGCATCCCGCATCGCTGCAGCAGCTCAAGGGATTTGGGCCAAAGCTCTGCGAGCGCCTTGAAGACAAGCTGAAGCAGCACTGCCAGCAAAACGGACTGCCCATGCCGGAGCATCCTCAAGTCAGGAAAGCCAACGAAAGGGCCCAGCAAGAAGACAAGGCAGCCCAAGGCATAAGTCCCTGCGTTTCAATCGGGAGCCTATGCCCTGATACTCGGCCTTTCTCACCTACCTGAAGATGCATCCTCCAGTTTGACCAAGACAGAACTGGTAGAGGCTGCGCAACCACACTGTGACGCCTCATTCACGACGCCAGTTGACACGACAAAGTTCTACACTGCTTGGAACTCGATGCGTCGTTCGTGGTTGGCTGGCCGGCGGGGGGGTCTGCTTGAGGCCCCAGCTGGTCAGCCACCGCCATCGTGGGTGCCTTGAAAGAATCTGCAAAAGACATCTACACGCAGTATACTGGGTTCTACTAGAGGACCAAGTACCTTGACAGGGCAGGATTGGCAAATCTCAATGCCCGACGACAGCTTATACCGACGCGCTATCACTACAAACAAGACCGCCAGCAAAAGGACATCGATAGGCAGTCGTCACGGGGGTTGGCTGGTCGGCGGGGGGTCTACTAGAGGCCCGAGCCGGTCAGCCGCCTTACAAGAATCTGCAAGGAGTTCGCAAAGACCTGTTCTGGTCTGCGCTTACCGTCTTCGAGGCGCCGCCGCAGGGCTGGCCTATCCCTGATATCGACCCTGAGATCTTCACCATTCTCATCAAATGGGAGTGTGCAGCCTCTGGCTCACGTGGTACTGAGAGTGAATTGAACTTGATCAAGCTTTGCTTTGCATTTAATCTTACCAAGAAGTGGTGGATGATGCAGGACCGAAGAAAACTTCGGAATACAACCTATCGGTATATCGTCCGACGAATCTTGGGTTGTAACCCAAATGTGCCCGAGGACTGCCGTGATCTTGATTACAGTCACTACATCTACTACATCTACTACATCTATCAACCGGAAAAGTTACATGGCACTTGAAGACTCTCTCAGAGATCCACTCACTTGAATCGGCTCCAAGTATGCTGTCAACACATCTCTGGCACCTTAATGACCTCCTGGGCAAGTTGAAGGCGCTGGAGGAGCCACTACTACACACAAATCAAAATATCTGCAAAGAAAGCATGAATATGCCAATCGCCTGCATGCAGACCCAGAGGTACGGCCTAGTACCGGTCTCCCCAGCCTGCTGGTGACTTTCAGTTCGCTGTTGCGGGATTTTTGAAGATGGGCCGCTTAATGGAATCTTGGGAAAATGTTCTAAGGAAATTGTTGATGTCGAGACTTGGCAATAGAGTGTTGATAATTTGTTACTACCTGTCTGCTGTATAAAGATTGAGCTTATCATCCACGTTTTGTTTTTGTTTCCTGTACGAGAATGGCTGGCGCTAGATCACTGTTCTACAAGCGCATTGTCTGTCTAGTTTCGAGCGACTAGATGAAAATATTTGTCGCTGCAGAACTCAGCCGTTTCTACTCCCAGCCGACTTGCGTGATCGTTGTTATGGCCATCACAGTAGATCAAATAGATTTTATCACCCGCTACACTTCCAAACGAAGCATGCCAAACAGCGCAGACAGGAGTATATTCTAGCGGCTAGGCTACTGCTACTATTATGTGCATAACATTGACAACTATTTTTATCCTTTGTTGGGCAGCGGTGCATCAACCTGGATAATATGACTAACTTTGATCCGGAACAAATCATACCAGACTCGAACAGTAAATACATGTATGTAGACAAAAAGTGAAGGTGCGCTGAAACAGGTGTACAGTTAGCGGCTCTATTTAGTGCAGCTGCAGGTGCCTGGCAGGAAGCCACAGCGGGCTGCTAGCACCTACCACTCAGTGTACCGTAGCGCTAATCACCACCACTGGAGAGAAAGAATTAGGCCTGTCCTATCATCTGCACGAACATTGATCTTTTTCTCTTTTCGTCTCTCTATGATGGCCATCTGCACAATATGGTCAACGCTCACATTTTCACAAAACGGACAAGATATTGAGTAACAATGTCCAAAGAGACAGGAGCCGCCAAATCAAAATATAAGCACAGGTGAGTGAACAACATGAGTGCCGCCATACCAAAGCGAAGGTTTTGGCTCCTGCGCGATCCACGTTGCTGGAGAGATGCAAATTAATTTGCAAATTCTCGTTATTGAAACTCTCTGACAAGTTCTAGACCTACAGAGAACTCTTTCCGTCCGAACCACGACCGTGACGCGGGCCATGTTGGTGGACAACGTGCAAAGAAGAGCCAAAGTCGGCATCGAAACACGATGTTTACACGCGGAGAGTACGACTTGGTTCGCTATTCTGACGAAACCCCGTTTGATATTAGATTAATGTACTGACAAATATGTGTTCTAGTACGCAGTATACGGCTCACGGGCGGGGAATTTCGAGAGGTAGAGTCAAAATATAAGCTGGCAAAGGCAAAAGAGACAGAAGCCGAACGGCGCATTTTTGACAGAGCCAGAACCGTGGCCCCGAAACAATCGATGGATACGCACCCTTCCTCGGAATAATGCTACCGGGAAAACTCTACGAGACGATGCTTTTGGCAACGACACAGCAGACACCAATAATTGGCGAGTGTTCTTCTGGTGAGCAGACTGAAATCATGCAGCATTGCAAGAGAGCTTATTAATTGCTGACTAGGTCTAGGTCTACAGATACAGTGACTGGATTCAGGCGCAGGCAATGATGAGGCAGGATAGAATTCTACGACTCATCAATCCATATATATCAATCCACCTATTACGAGACGCCCGGTCCAGCCGGCGGCGGCTTTACAAGAAGCCCCAGTCACAAGTCATTCGAAGGAGATTATCCTATATCGTCGAATCTGGACAGATTCGGTGAGCTACTTGAGTCTCTCGTTATGTTTGTACGATGAGGCAGCCAACTGGCTCAAGCATACGAACCATGATTAGTTTCAGGTGGCCATGAAAGTGCAAACAAGAAAGTTTTAGCTCGTTCCTTGTCCTTCACGGATTTTATCTACGATCAAACGGGCCGGCAATCTGAAAGATGCTCTCGTCATTGCTCAATATCAGAAAGCACGCAACAGCAAGACAAATTAACAGCACAAAGCTACAATTGCACAAAACATCAACAGCCAAAAATAGCAAAACCTTTTACTTCCGACGAGAACAGTCATCGACAATAGGGAAGGGTAATTTGTCTAATGATGAACTCAAGCGGAAGCTGATAAGTGGCTCTCTATGGAGATCATTACGCTCGTTTCAGCACAAAGAGTGTGTTCTCCCTTCCGAAAATAGCCATGGAAGGGTCAGGCCTCGCCACAGACAATCCCCTTGAGCGAATTCGAATGCTATATCGCTTAATCGAGACTCGCTTGAAGATAATCAGAACATTGCTTCACTACATCTTCCACAGAGACAAAGGTACATCAGAATATACTCCAGAAGCAATCAATCCAAATCATTGCCACCATCCGACGGCAGAAACCATTGGCAAGAAAAGAGGCGCGTAAAGTCATTGAGGGAGCTACTGCGTTGGGTGAAGGCCACAACAACAACCATCGACTATAAAAATCCAATATTGACAAAATCCGACGGGCAGAGCAAGCGCGCAGGACCACCCGAGATAGAGATACAGAAGCCACGAAAGCCATCTACCAAGAATATTCAAATAATGTCTCTAAAGAAAAGGCATATTTGCATCAGAGAGGATAGAGGAATTCCGCCGCGCGGCCAAACAGCTAAACTGCGCGCACTTCCGCTCGACGGGCGCCCTATCATCAAAAAGGATGCAAAATAACATGACCAAAATCTCGACACAAATGATCTTCTTTTCCTACTTGACATTTCGGGAATATTGCACGAACCACAACAAGCGCAAAAAAAGCCCTCACCGCATAGCAATGTCACCTTCTCCCCCATGTCAGCTATTAATTTGTCGCAGGCAACTGCCATGATCTGAACTCCTCGATCGCTACTTTGCTCCGTATAATGTTTCCTATTCTAAAGCATATTCCACACGGCTTTAGTACGCTATCATTTTTCTTTCTTTCTTTTACATTGGAAGAACGCGCTTTGCTCTCGTCACCATATCCCAAAATAAGAGATGGATTTCTAGCTATCTGTCCCTCTGGCAGTGGCCACGATCGCATCAACTCGCCAATGACGGCATCTATTGTTGTTTCGATGCCAACCAATTTTATTTTTGGCGACGCGCAAATAACAACATTGGATGAAAGCTCTCACAAGCTCTCCCTCGGGATCTTTGGTAATCACGGCACCATCTCAGTGCTCAATAGGCCTTGATAGAAAATGCATGGGGTGGTTCGCAATGCCCAATCCTCCCACGGCTGGGTTGGGGCCCCAAGCGAGGCTAAGATGCACATTGCACAACAAAAAGAGCATAATGCCTCAAATTACATATAAGGTGCAGAAACGGCGACATTGGAAAGACATATCAACGGAAAGGGGAGTACGATTTAGGTGAGGGGGTTCTAAAATGATCAACCCCGTGCCGAGTCTGCAGGATTGTTACCAAGGCTCTCATCACTGGAACAAAGTTGACCAAGCTACTAGGAGGTGACTGCAATCAGGCGAGTAAAGAGTGTTGGGATGTTACATCAAAGCACAAATTTGGCTGGGGAGTCCAGAATGACTAGCACCATGCCAACTCCGCACGGTTATTCTCGAGACGACCCCAATCACCCAAATTACTCGATGAAGTTGAGCAAGCGGCGAGGAGATGGTTTTCATTAATAGTCTTATCAAAAGACTATTTCCAATTTCATCTTTGGACTTTCTAGAGACACCGAGAGCCTATTACTCATCTCAGAGCATGAGATGCACCTCTGAAGGGGTACACAAACACAAAGGAGCTTTCAACGACACCTTTGAGACTCATGAAGATACAAAGATTACACAATAACCAAGTTCACATGCCACTTTGGAAATATCTGCGGAGGATCTCGGAGATGCTCCTGGGCTACATCTCAAAAGTTTTCTTTCACAACCACTGCAATGGGATCCCAGAACGACCAATTCATTTACGGAATCAGCACGATTGTCGTGAAAAGCCCAACACTCGTGCCAGGGTACAAAAGGCATCACCCAGGTTCAGTGAACTGGATATCACTCCCAGGCACCTCAGCCGCAGGAAGACATTCGTTTTAAAAAGGGGGATATATTCACCATAGTGGAAATGCCAAGGGCTAAAAACACCATTTACGATCTATTCGCTACTTTTACCAGTCAAATGCACTATCGCGTCCACATATCTGATGAGAGGCCAAATGTGGTGGTTAGCCCCTCGTCTTCCTAGAAGGCAGGATTCTGCAATCTCTATTGCTAGCTCTACATCCTTTGCTAATGCTCTCAGCTGTTCATCTACGTTCCGTAACATTAACCGCCGATGTCCACGAGAGACTGTTGAAGGCCTCCAGATCGAGAAGGCGGCTTGCCTAAGTTGTCGAGCATGTTAAGAGATTTGAGCGAGCTGGGTGAGATGAGAGAAACAAGAGAGGGTAGGCTCTCGCCTGGTTTGGAAGGTTTGCGACCAAAGAGGTGTCTTAGACCGAGCTTAGGCCGACATCCCACCGAGGCTTGCCTTTGAGATGTCTTCGTTAATGGACCAAGAAACGAATAATTATCGAGTTTATAACTTCCAGTTCCAATGGCAAAGTTAAAAAGAATGATGTCTCGCTGTGCCATTTACTTCTGAACACAACGTCCATGCGCTCAACACGAGCCGCGAGACGAATGGAATACGGAGCTGTACGCCATACCATCCTCAGTTACTGGATCAGATAAAAGCATTTCAAAGCCATGGGATTCAACTAACTTGGCCAATTCAGTTTCAGCTTCAGCCGGTTTAATCGGAACGATCAACAACAATAGAACTCTACAGATATTTTCGGCTGTCAGGTCTATCCAAGAATAAGATGTATCATTTACAAACGACTGTTCTCTTCTCAGGTTAAGCGACCTCCTTATCGAATCGAATGCCTTCAAAGCTAACTGAGGTAGGTAAACAGCGACCAACGGATTTCCGAACCTAACCCTCGAATGATCAAGTTCTGATTCCTACCGACAGAAGCTGAAGTTTAAACTCAAGTCAAGGGCATGGAGGAAACTCCAGATGTCTACGAGGCAAAAGTGAAAAGAAAAGGCACAAAGAAGCTTTCATTTATACAGGGACGTCGAATAGTTCATTGGTGAATTTACCATGAACCGCGGGTTAGTAGCTACGGTGTCATATGACAAAGCACCTACCAGGAGAGCCTCTATTGCTTCTTCTTCTGCTTTGGCTGCTGCTGCGCCCCAGAGGGTGAAGGGGAAGGAGGACAATCACGGGACAATTTCGGGGCAAAGAGGGTGGCCAGATCCCTACACGCGGTCTCTACGACATGGAACGTCATAAAGGGCCGCAGCCCAAGAAGGGGAGAAGGCCCGCACAGCTACGGCATGCCAACGGACAGTTTCTCCCCAAGAAAATCACGAACTCGCTACTGCAGATGCCCGGATGCCGCGTGATCGAGTAACTCGTCCCTCCGACCACCAGCGGGTCGATCTCCAGCCCGGTACCGACACCGCCAGCCAAGAGACCGACATCGCGACGCGTAAAGCGTCAGGATACCTCCTCCTCAAATTTGAGGGACACCGAGCTCCATCTGTAGAACATCTCCGGGTAATGGACGGCGCATCAATAACGAGACGTCGAGGCAATCCTGCACCCACACGCCACGTCCGGCCGGAGTTGGGCGATTGGACGACGGCATCTTCATACCCTATTCCCGTCAAACCCGGTGCTGACATCTCTGAACTTATCCAGCACCCTATCGGCCTGTCCAGGCGAGATCGTATGGCAATGGATGGCATCTTGGACCTCTTGAAGTAAATCGGCGTCGTGGAAGTCGTCCTGCTGGGACAACCGTCCCTTACTGCCTCCCCCGCCTTTATCGTTTGGAATAAACACAAACCCCGACTGGTCGTGGATCTCTGCCGAGTGAACACGGAAATAGATTTCAACGCCTATCTAGCTATAATCCCCTGGTAGGAGCTCCTCCCCCAGCTTCTGGGGATGTCAGGGCAGGCGTCTTCAACAAGGGTGGGATGGTGGTAGTGAAACTTCTGCTGCTTCTTGTGCTGCTGCCAGGGACGCGAGCGAACGGAAAGAAATCCAGGAGCGAGTGGGCAACTTAAGTGTTGCACTAGTCGTTGATCAATATCAGGAGGCTTTCAACAACTACTTGGTTGTAAAAGCGCAGAAAAGGGGCAGATTTTAAACTGAAACTTCTTAAGCGGAGAATTGGGCCATCTTTAGAGGCAGTCAATTGGAAACAGGTCTCCGCCCAGGAAGTCGATACTCCTTCTTGCGACCAAGGTTTGCCAGCTGCGGAGACGACGATGCTACTGAGGTTGGCGGAAGGAGCTGGTTGTCACCGAGCGGGCATATATCTTCCGCCATCGTCGGTGAGGGGAGCTCTAGATTATCCAAGCCTATTAAGAAGGTAGCCTATTTATCGCTAGTTTCCGCACAGGGCTTGAGATCAACCTGGGGATAGTCTCCGGGATAAGCTTCGACCTTGTGCGTTTCTGGCGTCTGGAGTAGCGAGCTGGTGATTTCCCTCGGGAAAAATCGTCTGTTCGGTTGTCTTGGCTGGACGGTTTTCTCTTTCTTTGGCAACATGTGCCCTGTATCTTGGGGTATCTTTGGAGGTTTCAGCACAATCACAGGTGGCCACTAGGACCGACGACGGTAGCTAATCAGCGTGATATCGGAGGGGTCGATGGCGAATGAACAGCAATTACTTATTACCATATCGGGGGTCAAGCTGGCTGAGTAGAACGATCCGGATCCCCATATGCTATCTCTACATCACAAATGAGCGAGGCGTAATAGTGGGAGAAAGATGGCTTGATTCTCTATCTAAAACACGGGTTCCAACGAACTATATTGCCCAATGGTGGACCCGAGACCTCTTGCCTCCTGGGGACGTTGGGCAAGAGTCCCCCAACAATGACGATGATGATGGTGATGATGCTGGTGTTAGTGGTACTTCTGCTGCTGCTGCTACTGCCAGGGCCGCGAGCGAGAAGATATCAAGGAGCGAGTGAGCAACTTAAAAGGTGCACTGGTAATTGCCCAATACCAGGAGGCTCGCAACAACCACTTGGCCGCAAAGGAGCGCAGGAAAGAGGCAGAGAATAAACTGAAACTTCTTCGCCGGGACCTGGGCATAAAATCATAGACACAGAGGGCGCCCTTCTGGCTTTCCCTTGCAAATGGCGAAAAAGTCTCCTTCGTTTTAATTTTTCCCCAGCTTTCTGGGGAACAGCGGGCCATCTTTAGAGGCAGTCAACCGGAAACAGGTCTACGCCCAGGAAATCGAGGCCGCCATCCCATCGAGAGTAAAGGCGGTTAAGGATATTCAGGTGGCAGCCCAAAGCCTAGCCCAAGAAATAACGGCAGAGAGGGCGGCACCGCGACAAGAAGGCAATAGGTTGGTCTCCCTTTACCTCTCAGGGGCCGGCAATCGGGTCCGGAGCGGCGGGCGGTTTCTTCAGCAGCAAGCACATCGCTGTTGACTATGGTGCCAACGGCGGAGGCAACCTGTAGCCTGGTGTAGGGTGGAGGCAAGGTGGTTTACGGCTCAAGGGTCGCCCAGGCTGTTATGGCTATCATTATTATAATCGTCATTGTCACCTTCATCTTTGTCTTCATCTTCATCATCATCATCATCATCATCATCATCATCTTCGTTGTTGTTGTTGTTCGTATTGGTGGTCCTACGGGCAGTTAGCTAGAAGCTCATTACCATGATTAGAGAAAATAGAAGAAGTCAGAGCTGTCCAGATAACTGCAGAAAGGCAGAGATAAATATATACGAGCTTATCAACACAATACGGACGTTTTGCTTCTGACAAATAGACAGCTAGTGGAAGACTGCGGAGGCGCCTATACTATAATGTATTTAATACCGCAGTGATTTCATGAATTCTGGTGGACCAAGGTCAAAGTCTATGCAGCCTTTTTGCTGGACATTCACCATTTGCCAGACAGTAAATATAGAGCAACCAAACGGCGTTGACTGCTTCAATCAGCTTGCCCGACCTTGGGTGTAAAGGATATCCTCGTGACATTCAGAAACTTGTGGTCATCTAGTCTTATCGGGTATGACCAGATGTGCTTTTACTAAACATCCACCGATTCAATCCGCGTCTTCTGTTCCTTGGGCAGTGGAATAATACGAAGGCCCGTCCGAATACCATGTGCAGGAGCTATGCTTGAAAATGTGCTTCTTCCAGGTGGCCAAGTTGTTAGCTAGAAATAAAAATGCTTTGGCCGGGTTTATTCCTTTACTACATGTACTCTTCTCGCCTGTACTCAGTCCCGACATGCGATTAAGAAGAGAAACGCACTAAAATGCAACACATCACTCATAAGTCACCGCAATGAGTCTTTTATGTGTCCATACATGAGCGAACCATTTTCCAGGAATATGAATAACGGCTATGGCCTTATTGGATAGTCAAAGGCTGATTCTACCAATACAACTTGTCAAAGTACTACAATCCTTGCTAATGAGTTTCAGCGGAAGAGGTTCAAGACGTTGGACAGCTTGTACAATGAGATAATAGAGCAATTTCTCAGTCAAGTTGACGAAAATGATGACCTATGAAGGAGGTCACTTAGTCCGACAAGGCGATGCGGAGAACCATCATGCTCTCCATATAACAGCTCCTCCGAAGAGTTTGTGTATCTCTGATAGCTAAGCGTTGTTAGGGGCGTTTCACGAGAACGATGGCTATTCGCATTCGCCACTCTTGGAGTTCTGTGAGCCCAGTCTTCAGCTGTCTTGAGAGGGGGCTAACCATGTAACGCCGAGGCCATCAAAAGGTTTGTCTGTGGTCAGATCTGACGATTTCGTGATTCGATAATTTCGGCCTAATGCGAACTCATTATTCGAGTCTATTTTGCGCTTCACTGAAGCTTTCTTCGTTTCCGACTTTTGTGGATTTGCATATTTGTATCTGGCTTCTTTTGAATAAAGCATTGTTGCAGCTCTTTCCATCATCGGTTCGGAGGGTAACGTTTACGTTGCCATCTTTGGCTGTGGACATCAGTTGGTTCATATGGAGGGAAATTAAGACATGTACAGCGTTTGTAATCAGTCAATGGCCAATACGATGCATCAATTTTGGGTGCCGGCTGTCGATGTTCTGTCGTTGATACGCAAATATAGCATTGAAATGTGAGATGGTGTAGATTATCTGTAAACCTTTTGCCATCTGTGGCGAGACTGAGAGACGAAAAGAAATGCCAATCCGTTTGTATATGTTGAACTAGCTGGATCTTCTCCTTTCGGCGATCGTAACCTACACCGTTAGCTCGTTACTCCATTTCGACAGCGCCGGTCAAATCCGGAGGGACGTACGGGCGTTGTATAGGTGTTTCGCCCCGGGGCAGCTCCAGGGTGGCGTTCCAGGGTAGCATCTTTCGAGGCGCTCGTGGATTTTCAAGTGGTATTGAGAAGGCACCAGATTACCAGAAAACCGATCCCAAGTAGTCAAGGGGTGAAAGGCGTGTGAAGCCATGTGTATTTTCACTTATCTGGCCTTCTACTAGGCAACATATCATGCTTGAGTGTTCATCCATTTTGGAGTTAAAATATCTACGCCATCGCCAGAGCCTAGATTAAATTTCGTCAAGCCTGTTTGTCTAATCAAGGTGTTTTGCAGTCGTAGAGAGGGCAAAAAAGTCATAGGTGTTCATCATTTTTTTTTACCCTCAAGCTCTAATTCTACAAGCTAGTATAGCGTCTAGTAGTTGGTGAAATGAATGACCTCCAGTACATGTATTTACCACTGCATGTACTCATTACTGACAAGCGGCTGCTTTATCTACGACAAAAATGCCAATAGCTGATGAGGTGAAATCTGCAAGCAGCGACAGCTGTATTCAGTTGGCAATCTTTGCCGCGAGGCTGCTGATATCCAGTCCACTACCACTAGTGAGGATATCTAACGCGAAGAACTTATTGCCACAATTCCGAGGCAACTGAGCATTTTTGCTCCTTACGACTATTTCGTCCCTCTTTTTCAAGATATATTGCCTCTGTTGGTCACATTGTGCGTGCTGGAATAGCACAAGAGGCTCGAATCAGCGACATGGACAACGGCGCGATACGATTTACCGATTGAACGGCATTTCAAGAGGCCATAGCTGGCCAGGCCAGATGAAAATAAGCTACAGTCAACGGTAAATTTATTCTGTCTTTAATGAACGCCGATGAAAACTACAGAATATGCTCGATTATGACTAAACGCCAATGCTGACTGGGTTTAGGCGCTCGAGCGACTACTGTCCATCGGTGCGCCTATAATCTTACTTTCGGCCGATTCTGCCCTAGAAACCACCATCGGGTTTCGATTCTTCACATCATTCCAGCGCTATTCAAAGAGACACATAAAGAAAAGAAAAGAAATATTCCAATACCATCATGTCACAAGCTCCCTGGCAAGATATTGCTCGCCGAAAGCGCGCTGAACGCGACTCCAAAATACCTGCCGAATGGCGAATATCTCCAACGTCTGAGATTGGCAGGCCGATAGACTTTCTCCCTCGCTGCGGAATCCTCACAGAACGCGACTTGGCCCTCACCGACCCGACTCATGATGCTACCGACTTGCTCTCCCAGCTATCTTCCGGAAAAGTTACCGCTGAAGATATCGTTCGGGCATTCTGCAAGAGAGCTGCCGTCGCACAGCAACTGACGAATTGTCTCACTGAAATCATGTTTTCAGAGGCCATTGACCGCGCAAAATGGCTGGATGCCGAGTACCAGAGACGCGGAAAGCAGCCTGTTGGGCCTCTCCATGGCCTGCCAATCAGCATAAAAGACATGTTTCACATCAAGGGCTACGACAGCTCTATTGGTACGGCAAGCCTGTGTTTCCGACCGGCCAAAACGACAAGCCAGGCAGTCCAGATTCTTCTCGACGCTGGCTGCGTCATCATCGCCAAAACAACAGTTCCACAGACGGTGCTTACTGCAGACACGGACTCGATTGTCTTTGGACGCACCATTAATCCATACAACGCTGAATTTACGGCCGGAGGATCTTCTGGCGGTGAGGGCGCGTTGATTGCTATGGGAGGCTCTGCCTTGGGCCTGGGATCGGATGGAGGCGGAAGCGTTCGGATTCCGGCTGCCGCATGCGGCGTTGTTGGATACAAGCCCAGTGCTTACAGGATACCGATTGACGGCCAGAGAATCATTGGAAAGGGCGTCTTTGGCATAACAGCGCTTATTTCGCCCATGGTGAGTGGCTTCCTGGCGAGATCGGTAAGAGACGCAAGGCTGGCAGCCAAAGTGGTGTCGGACGCAAAGCCATGGGATAGTAGCCCTTTTATATACCCGCACCCATGGATGGGGTTTTCGTGTCCCAGCAAGCCCCGAATTGGTGTGTGGCTCAAGGTAGACGATTTGCATTTCCATCCACCTGTTGCACGGGGCCTACGTCTCGCTTACGATCGACTCAAAAGAGCCGGCTATGAAGTTGTCGAGCTCGCTCCGCCACCGTTTCAAAAAGCATCGCGTCTGGGACAACAACTAGCCGAGGTGTTGGATTTTTCGTATTTGCGCAAGCTCTTGGAGTCGGAGCCACACACTGAAATTGTCAAAGCAACAGAGTTAATCACGCCAAAGTCGGTACCCCCAGAGTTTTCCATCGAACATCTACATGAAAAGAACTATCAAGTCGCCCGCCTGGCAATACAAATGAAGAGAATGTGGACCGTCGACGACGGTAAAAAGCTAGACGCTATTTTGTTTGTCACTGCGCCTCACACTGCTCTGCCTTTTGACAAGTTTGTCTGGCTTGGATTGACGAGTATATTCAACATGATCGATTGGTCAAGCATTTCGATACCTTTAAACGAAACGGTCGACAGAAGGATTGATACTGCGGTTGTACCACCAGAAGATTACCTCAGTGAGCTAGACGCCTCGATTCAAAAGCTCTACGACGCTGAAACGTTTCATGGTTTGCCGCTGGCAGTGCAGCTGATCGGGCAGAGGTTTGAGGATGAGAAGCTGTTGGCTGTGGCAGAGGAAATTGCTCCAATCTTGGCCAGCAGAGGGCTGTCCAGATTGTGATTGCGAGCATGGAACAGTGGCTGATGCAACATCAATCGCTACAAGATTCTATGTGAATAAATATCAAAATCATCATACGTGTGGTTCTTTAGAGTAAATAACGCCATGAATGTTCGTATTCTCCTCTGTGCTGTACATCCCTTTGGCGGGAAGTTTCTGTGAATCTCCATCACGTTACATTTATGCTTCATCTTGTATACCAACAACAACTATTAGCGTGCCGTTGTTTCATAATCTATACCGCTGAGCCTTTTCAATCCCGAAATGTCCTCCTCTATGGTGCAGCATCATTGATTCGCAGATGGTGGTTGACCATTTCTACCAAGAAAACTTGGTTACACCTACCCGGCAAGCTACTAATAGAAACATCAAAATCTCTCATCCTTGACATCAATAGCAATATATTTTTAGAATTTGTTGGACTAGAACGGAATTTAGCTAAATTGCCCTCTCAATACTACAATATGAGCTGCTCGTTACAGTTACCTCGTGCACATCTCCACGCCGCCAGATTAATCCATCACGATCGGAGCTCGGCTGGCGACAACCGACAGGCGAGTAGCACAAGGTACATGTAGCTACCCCAGAACCAAGAAACGTCACAAAGCTTGAATTGACTACGCCGTCCCTCAGCTGCATGCATAACTATTGTGTAGGTAGCCACCGCACAATGGATCCATCGCGTCAAAATAGAGATGCCAACGGACGTCACAGCAAAACGATCAACTTCCTCCTCCAATATTTCCGCGTATCTCAAACATGCCCTCTCTGTATCTACAAAGTGGATCATCTCACGGTTCCTGGTATAAAGGCAATCGCCACATTTAGCGAATCCAGAGGTGCAACGTTGACACGAATCCGAGTCTGGCGCCCCCACTCTCCTGCCAATCCGTATCACTACCTCGTATCTGCTTGGCCCTTGGTGCTGCCATTCGAACAAGAATTGGCGAATCTAGAATCAAAAATGCGGGGACGGCGGTCAGCTAAATGCTCATCTAGGCAAGGCCCGGGGCAGTTGACTGAGAGTACTTGCCGCTCAAGATGACCTCCGTCTGCGGTCTGGGAAAGATTCATGACGATGCAAAGAGTTGATTCGCCTGTTTGTTGCTCTTGCCGTCCGATTGTGCCTGGAAAATCAGCCCATATGATCGGATACGTCAGAAACAAACGGACAAGGCGGTTGCCTGAGCAGGAGAGGGAGCAAAGTCCGAGTGAAGTAGGGGCGGGGGGTTCTCCGGACCGCAGCCCTATCTCTACAGCTGTCCATCCGTTCTGCTCTTCTCTTCTTTTCTTCTTTCTCTCTCCATCATCCATATTCACTCCCACCTCTCTACCACCCACCCTTCGCATCTCTCATCTCCATGGAGCATTTGTGGCGTTGAGGGCAGCTGGAGTTATCCACCCCCGCACGCCCACAGTTGAGTCAGTGCGTGTATTCGCCTCTTCTTGTTCTCCACCACCTCCATCTTTTCCTCACCATCTCCAGTGCGCTAATCGTTTGGTTCAGAACAGGCTCCTCCGCAACTCGGCGTGTCGCAGCTGTGTTGTTTCATGCTCGAAACGGCCTACTGGCAACTGGCAGCATAGCAGCAGGCACACACACGTCTCTTGGCCCCTGGTCAGCTGCAACATCACGTTGCCTCTCCGCCTGCTTGGAGATGTCTGCAATTGGTGAGCTTAATTGTTTGTTTTTAAGCTTCCCTAGCCTCCTCAGCGGCGCGAGACCCCTGGTCAGTGTGCCCGCAGCCCCTGATAGGTGGAACATTCAACTTTTCACGATGCTAACGGGTGCTTGCAGCGCGTTGTGCCACCCTGGCAATCTTTAGACTCGTCAGCCATGCACTGTCTCGCACCGCCAACGGGACAAGCCTGCTCTCTGCAGCCACTAGGCAGGGGAGAGCCGCAAGGTATGTGATCCTTTCCTGTAGACCGATCAGCCAAGTGGTTCATTCGTGCTGATAACGACTCGTCCACAGGAACACCATGGACCGACTCTCGTACTGTGGCATCGCTGGCTCCTCCTCCACAAGCCTCTCCCGCCCCAATGCTAGTGCTAATCTCGTTACATCGGGCCAAAAGGCGCCGCAAGCATGGCATCCAGGGCTTTAGAGCAGAGGGCTTGACGGGCCATGACGCTCCACTCCTTTGCAGGCTCACATTCAGCACCTTCCTATCTATATATCCTCGTCGTTGTCTTGACCTGGTTTGTGGTGCTCCGCGAAGGCTGCTGTGCTGTCTTGGGTATTCAAAGCTGATTACCGTTCCTCGGTCCACGTCTCTCTTATCGGTGTTCCAATTCCAGTCTGTGACAAGATAGCCAGCACACCCGTTTTCCCCTCTTTGATACCCTTTTCTTTCCTCTTTTCTTCTTTCCTCTTTTCTTCTTTCCTTCTTCTCTCTTTGGTTTCACCTAATACCCAACACCACAAAAAGCGACTCCGCTTGGCCCAGTCATTATCGCCGCAATGGCAGCCGACCTCAAGCGAGAGGAGACTGCACGAGACTCCATTCACGATTTGAAGCACGATGGAGCTGCCGCCGAAGCCATCGAGGCGATTCGTGCCGAGCACGAGCTCACTTTCACTGAGGCGTTGAGATTGTATCCCAAGGCAATTGCGTGGTCGGGTTTCGTATCCATCGGCGTCATCATGCTGGCTTTTGATCCTCAGCTCATCGGAAACCTCTACTCAACGCCTCAATTCGCTCGCGACTTTGGACACTTGTACAAAGGAGATGTAAGTCTATTTGCATCCCATTCATTGCCTATTTACCGAAACAAAGCTAATAAATTTTCTATGCAGTGGGTAATTCAAGCTTCTTGGCAGACTGCTCTCTCCATGGGCAACCCCGTCGGCCAGGTTGTTGGTGCCATTTTTGCTGCCTATCCCATGGACTACTTTGGGCGAAAGCTCACCTTTGCAGCCTGCGTTATTCTCACTGCTGGCATTGTCTTTATCCAATTCTTTTCCAAAACTCTCAGTGTTCTTCTCGCTGGAGAGCTTTTGGCTGGCCTTGTGTTGGGCATGTTTGTCGTCATTGCCCCGGCTTATGCCTCTGAAGTCTGTCCCACCGCACTTCGCGGCCACCTCACGTCCTTTGTCAACCTTTGTTTTGTCATTGGCCAGCTTCTCGGAAACGGCGTCACCGCTGGTACTTCCAAGCTGAACAACCATTGGGCCTACAAAATCCCTTTTCTCCTCCAGTGGTTTTGGATTCTCGTCATTCTTCCTGGCGTTGCATTCATCCCTGAAAGCCCTTGGTGGCTCGTCCGCAAGAACCGCCTAGAGGATGCTACAAAGTCTCTGACAAGGCTGGCATCTCCCAAGGTCAATGTCCAGGCAACCCTGGCCTTCATCGTCGAAACAGATCGGCTGGAGCAAGAGCTTGAGGCCGGCAGCACATATGTGGACATCTTCAAGGGCGACAACTGGCGCCGTACTGAAATCTCAATGGGTGTTTACTGCACGCAAGTCCTCAGCGGCATCTACCTCATCAACTATGGCACCTTTTTCTTCCAGCAGGCTGGCTTGGCCACTGACAAAGCTTTTGATATGTCCGTTGGGTTCTTGGGTAAGTCCTCATCTCATTGTAGTGACCATGATGCATTAGTGCCGGCGTTTCTCTTGCTAACCAATATTTTGCAGCTGTTGGATTCGTTGGAACTCTCGTCTCTTGGGTTCTTTTGATCAAATTCGGCCGACGAACACTTTTCGTCACGGGTTTGGCATGGCTCGTCATTCTCCAGTTCATCATTGGTATTCTTGATTGCATTCCTGGCCGGCCCTCTGGTGCTATTTGGGCAGAATCTTCACTCATGCTCATCTGGAACTTTTTCTACGACATCTCCATTGGCCCTGTCTGTTTCGTCTTGCTTGGAGAATGTTCAGCCACCCGTGTCCGTTCAAAAACCATCGCTGCCGCTACTGCCGCTCAAGGAGTCTTGGGCATCGTCATGACTGTGGCTATCCCATACATGATCAACCCGGAACAAGCCAATCTGCAGGGCAAGCTGGGCTTCTTCTTTGGCGGCCTTGCACTTCTTTGCCTCGTCTGGTCATACTTTCGCGTGCCTGAGACTATGGGCCGCACCTATGAAGAGCTGGACCTCCTCTTTGACAGGAAAGTTCCTGCACGCCAGTTCAAGGGCTACAAGTTGGAGGGCGCTGTGTCAACGGGCGCTGCATAAACAAACGCAGCTGGAGAACAGGGGAGGTCCTTAAGGAACCAAAAAACATGTGTCAACAGCTAGCCGCAAGAGATTCGACAGCGAAGACGACGAGCGCCGATACCAGGAGTATGTGCGCAGCGAGTGCGAGCGGAGGAGCGAGGAGCGAAGGGAAATCGGCCGCAGTTGTGACAAGATGTATAAGAAACTAGTCCAGAGGCTGAAGCGCGAGCGTGACGAGCTTTTTGAGCGCGAGTGCCAGGCACTGGATGACGAGTATAAAGAGCTCTTTAACCGCGAATATCAAAAGATTCAGAGCCAGATCGAGCAACGCCAGGCCGAGCTACTCCAGATCAGGGAGCGTCGGATGAGCAACGAAAGCAGCAGCAAGCAACGCCAGTTCGAGCAACGCCAGTTCGAACAACGCCAGGCTGAGCTACTCCAGATCAAGGAGCGTTGGATTGAGCAACGCCAGTTCAAGCAACGCCAGTTCGAACAACGCCAGTTTGAGCAACGCCAGTTTGAGCAACGCCGTTCGAACAACGCCAGGCCGAGCTACTCCAGATCAAGGAGCGTTGGATTGAGCAACGAAAAGCGTTATCATCCAATAACGAATTTCAGAGTCTCCCTGATTATGTTACGGCCTGTTAAAGGCTGCACCTTTAGTTTTTTTCTATTTTTTTTCTTTTTTTTTTTCTATTTTTTTTTTCTAATTTTTTTTTCTATTTTTTTCTTTATGTTTTTTCTTTTTCTTTTTTCTATTTCTTTTTTCTATTTCTTTTTTTTTTCTTTTTTTTTTCTTAGCCTTTTTTTTTTTTTACTCTTTTTTTTTTTTTTTTTTTGGCGCCTACCCTGGAGCTACCCTGGAGCTACGGACACCCTGGTAAGTTTTTTAAATCTCCTGCTGAGCCGCAAAGACGGGAATACTAATCTGATGAAGTGTCCGCAGCCCGTCATCACCTCGATAAGAGGTACATACCAAATCGATGGCACTTGGCAGTTCATACGATCGAGCTGCTGTGACGATGGCTGACTGGCGGGGGGTCTACTAGAGGCCCCAGCTGGTCAGCCATCACTATCGTGCAAGGCAATCGGACAAGTGTATATTGGGGATTGGCTGACCGGTGGGGGATTTACTAGAGGTCCCAGCTAGTCAAACATCTTGGTCGCGCGGGCACTGTAAAGGAGTTTGTTAAGAATGGAAAGGATATGGCAATGATCGAGATCGAGCTACACAAACGGCGTCAGGATCGGACCAACTTTGTTATTCGAGTTCAGTTTAGTTTCGCCGAGAGCAGAATAATCAAAAGGCTCATATGGGCAGCATCCACCAAGATACCACCGTGCCGTCTTTCTGCACTCAACAGCAAATAGCCCCCCCTCTATCACGGCGGCTGCCACTACGGCTTCCACCTATGAAATCTACCCTCAACTTCATCGAGCCCCCCGCAGACAACCCCCTATCATCCTCGCTCAATGCAACTACACTGATTGTGTATCGTCCGGATTCCTAGCAGCAGCGCCGACGAAGTTAGATACGTCATGTTCTGCCTGAATGCGCAAATTCCGCGGTGGGAAATCGCTTGAACAGTCTCAGGATATACAAACACGTTAGTGGAACGGGAGGGACGAGACTGGTTTTCAAGATGGGCCGCAGACTTCACCATGCCGAAGAGGCTTGATTTAGAACGGAGGTTGAATTAGTTCAAGGGACAAATGGCTACTTGTACGAAGTATATTTTAGTCAATATCTGTAGCAGAAACCCCATTGTACTCTGAACTAGAGTCTTGTATAAAACACTATTGTATTCATGTATGCCCATCTATTGGTTCAGATCAAACCAGTTGCTTCCGCCAAGATCCATGTTCAACCCCTCCAACTGCGCTGCGTCCATCGTATTGTTCTGGAAATACTGATCTAATAAATTCTGTCTCTAGTTAGCCTCTAGTTCTTTGGCCAAGCTCACATCAAAGTAGGCTGGTTTTATCAACTTACCCAGTCAAGTCCCTCCGTGCCATCAATCATTTGCGACATTGTCCCTGCAAACGGAAAAAGGTCTTCAGGAGGATTGATAGGGACAGGCTCCTTTGCCGGGGGTCGGCGAATATGGCTAGGATCGTTCTCTGCAACCTTTTGCACCATCAGATCGAGCGCCAAAGCCGCGATTCGCGTCTCGGGAGAGTTTGAGCCATCAGATGCCCAGATTTTTTGTGACGTTATCAACGCCCGATGTTCTCTTTTGGCCAAATCCCCATCGCTTCTACTAGCCGTAGAGGGACGTGATGTTCTCCGGAGGGAAACTGAAAGATGCAAACAAAGTACCATGGCGGCAAGAAGAAAGTCATGCACGGTGAGCGAAGACATCATCCATCGATCGTCGTAGAGGCGGCCTCCGGGCTGCGATGCTTGGTGTATATCTGCCTGACGAGCTAAAATATCGAGGGCCGCTTCAACACAGGCACGCCTCGAGTGCTCTACTCTGTGACTGTCCGATTCAGAGGTGATGAAGCGTCGATGGAGGACAATGAGGCCTTTCAGCTTGAGCATCTCCAACGTACATCGCTCAAAGATTGTACTCGATGGGTCCATGAATGACCGGCTAACATCTCTCGCTTTCAAGACATTTGGCAGAACACTGTACGCCTCCCTCATTTCGTTATCCAGCACGATTGTGTTGTCATAAACGGGAAGCGATCCAGAAAGAGAATGGGCAACAATCTTTTTAAACACAACCATGATGCCGGCTTTTGCAATAGGATATCGGATGGGTGTGTTTTCATATAGTGGTCGCCCGTCAGGCAGCGAGCCCATTCCTAAATAGAGATCAGAGAACTGCAAGTTTCTGGGCACTTTGGTGTCGCAGAATTCGGTGGGAATCATGCTAGGGAGTCCCATCTGAAAAGACATCAGTGCATCCACCTGAACTAGGTTTTGCCAGAGGCGACGTCGCATCTCCCCGTCAAAGACGGAAATTCCCGGCAAGTTCTCTGGGTCGTGATGGTAGCCCATTCTGAAGGCGAGGCGGATCAAAGTACCCATTTCAAACCAATGGTCGGAAGTGAGCTTTTGATGCACCAAGAAGCTGCATTGCATGTGGATGAAAAGGATCTCTAGGGAATACGCATTCGCAGTGGCAAATTTCCCCAGCTTTAGGCACTCAATAGCTCTTCGTCGTAAGGTATGGAGAGTTGGCGTCGTGGTATCTGGTTCAGATGGAGTGGACATGAGGCGAAGCGCTGTCGTGATGCTCAAAACGGAGAATAGCAGCCCAATCCAAAGCGGCGGGGCCTCTGTGGGAGATTCCCAGAACTTCTCATACTAGAGTTACCATGATAGTCAGCTTTGGGCGATGGGCTTGTTGGGACGAAGAACGCGACTTACTTCTTTTTGAAACTTTGCCGGATGCAAAATTCCTACCAAGTTGCACACGTGAGTAAAAAAAAGATGCAGAGAGAGGTATTGAAGGCTCAGCCACCTACCTGAAGCCATAAACTGTGAATTGAAATACTGAGAAATGAGAGAGTCGCATGTTTGCCTTGGCGGCAGATCGGTCAAGATGTCTTCCATATTAGTAGCCGGTGATGCGCCATACAAAAAGCTGACTTCTTCTTCCGGTGGGTGGCTCTTGTGCTGTGATTGTTCCTGCAGCAAGGGGTGATCAGACGCCGACAGATGCTCTCGAACCTCTTTGATCTCGTCCAGAATGGCCATCCAGTGGCTGGGATCTACGTAGACGACTTGGCCGTCGCCAGATTCGTGGCGATGAGGTAGCTCAGGGGGCAGGATGGGATCTTCTTGACTGTTTTGTGCTGACATTGACATTGAAGTTGACATGACGGACAACTCATACTTTTCGTATGAGGTCGACACTTTGCTCGTACTGGAGCCGGAGCCGGAGCCGGCGGCAGATTTTCCGTGATGCCCAGCTCCAAGGGCAGCTCCAAAGTCAACAGGCGCAGGAGGAGATGCTGTCGACACCATCGAAGATAGCAGGCTTTCCAGCTTATCCAACCGCTCCTGTATATTCACCTTTTGCGCGCGAGGCTTGTTCCGAATGGCGTTGGGAGCATAGCGACATGAGGCTGCCTGGCCTCGCTTGACGCATCCTTCGCAGGGCTGGCCGCGGCTGCACATTTGCCTGGTGATGGGTAACATGGGTAAGCACAGTTGGGCATTTATACTCCTGTTTAGCACGTGCACTTACTTTCGGAGCCGACATGGCTCGCAAGAGACCGGGGCCCGATTGCGCTTCTCGACTTTTCTAGAGCTAGAATCCATCGAGACTGATGGATATTTGGACTGACGAAGACAGATAGATGGGCCAACAGAAGCAGGCAGACAGACAGACAAACAAGGCTTGGAATTGCAGGTCGACAACCTACCGATACAAGAAACAAGAAACTTGAGCGGGAGAGGTGTGTAACTGCAGAGTAGCCGTGCCGTCCATGGTTAGCAGTTGAAGATGACGATGGTGGGACTGGCGGAGTTATCATTGCCGCTTGGATCCGACGCCAGATCCACCGGCCAAAGACTCCGAGGCCAATCATTCCATCATCTGTTTACCGTGAATGGACTAGTCTCTCCAGCTAGAGAGATTGGCGGCGGAGATATTATCCCCGCGTTCCATAATATGTACATGATAGCCGCTTCCGCTAGCTGCTGCCTTTGAGGCTTCGGTCATGGTAAAAGCGAAGTCTGTAAAAGCGAAGGGATTTGCCAAGTCAGGAGGCGTGCGACATGAAGTCGAAACGCGTAATCACATCGACTGACAGCAGGCAATTTTCAAATAAAAAGACAGCCAGGACCGTCAAAATGCCGAAAACAAAAGCCCAAACTCGCGTCTCTGGCTTCTTTCAAGCAACCATCTGCCAACCGTCACGATACCACTAAGCAATTTGTTAACCTGCAAATAATCAACCATGTCTGGTCACGCCTTTGCATCCGTCATCTACGGTCGACTGTTCGTCACGCTCCCCGTTCCCAGCACGACAACCGACCTTTCGAACCAAACCATCATCGTCACCGGCTCAAACACGGGCCTCGGCCTCGAGTCTACTCGCCATCTGTCCCGTCTTGGCGTCGGCAAAATCATCATGGCCGTCAGAACCGTTTCGAAAGGCGAAGCAGCCAAGAAGGAGATTCTCAAATCCACAGGCAAGCCAGATTCTACCATTGAAATCTGGCCAATCGACATGGACAGCCAGGACTCGGTCAAAGCATTCGCCGAGCGGGCTTCTCAGCTGCCTCGATTAGATGGTGTGTTGGCCAACGCAGGCCTCATGACTACGCAATTCACCCTCAGCGAAGGCAATGAAAAGACTCTCAATGTCAACGTCGTCAACACGTTTCTCCTCTTCTTCCTCCTCCTCCCGGCAATGCGCAGATCCGAGCAGCAGACTGGTTTTGCATGCCGGTTTGTGATTGTCAACAGCGCGCTGCACATGGCCGCTCCTCTGGCCGAGCTCGATGCGCCGGTAATCTTTGATCGACTCAATGACTCAAAGCAAGCGCTCATGAGCGGGAGATATCCTCTGTCGAAGCTTCTTGTGCTCTATGCGACCCGCGAGATCGCCGAGAGAGCCAAGTCGTCCAACAAGGGCAAATTCATCATCAACTCGCCGAATCCAAGCTGGTGCAAGTCCGATCTGGGCAAGGAGATGGAGTCATTTGGCTACAACGTGGCTGAAAAGATTATGGCTCGGTCTACAGAAGAGGGAAGCCGCGCTTTGGTGCATGGCCTGCTCTCTGATGAAACGAGCAACGGCCAATACCTGTCAAACTGTCATGTACAAGTGTAAGCTCTGATCTTCATTATATGCATTTTCTACGGCGTTCTCGTATTAACCAGTCGTGTGTCTATTTAGCCCGGCAAAGCATGTTACCAACCAGTGGGGCCAGAAAGTACAGAGGAAATTCTTTGAAGAGCTTGTGGGCAAGCTTGAGGCCATTGCTCCAGGAGTGACGTCTAGTCTTTGAACGTGTGTCGTGATCGAATCGACATTTTTCTCGCCAGTTCTACGAATATTACAGTTCAGGAAGGATTATGGTTGAAATCCACATATTTTCACGCTTTACAATGGTGAAGCTGGATGGATGGATGCCTGTCGCTACTTATCATTGATTAATTTAGATATATTCTACGGTATCTCAGTTGTCTTTCTGAATTTGATTTTTGTAACCATACATTTGAAGTTGGAACAATTTTAAACAATCCATTTATATGACTAAATACCTACCTATCGATGAGGTGCACGCATTTTATCTGATGAAAGCAAGTGCCATGCATGGTGTTGCGCTATAATCGCCAGCGCATTAGCACCCGCAACCACTATAACTATAGCGAGTAATAGTGCGCTCTGCCACTAGAAATGGTGAAAACCCATCGTATGCGGGTAGTAATAGGCTCATGCTCATCTTGAATAAAAGGCCATGATGGCGTTGCGGCTGAAGTTTGCAATGGCAGCGCAGTGAAGGAAGTTTGCCCTGCAAGAAATAATACCACAAGTAGTATATCATTGTAGTAAATACAACATAGCTGAAGACAGCGTCATGAGCTTGTTAAATTATTGCGGTCGTGGTGTTCCGCTAATTATAGGCTTGGCCGGCCTCCAAAGTTCAACGTCTTCATGGTTGACGTTGTACGCCATACTTGGGAGGAAAGATGACGTAAGGCTGCAGCTACTAATAAGATATATGACCCAGACTAGACGATGCAGATTGAAAGTGTAAATATCAAAACTTGATAGATAACCTAGATTGCATGGACAAAGTAGGTGAAATTGTAAACCCAAATAGCAGATTAGATACCTACCTACAGTGGGAGGCAGAAAGTGTTAACACCCTGCCAGGTCGTGACTATTGGCCCTAGCTAAATTAGGTATAACCTTTTTATGCCGCTTTAAAAGAAATAATTTAGTAACTATATTATAGCGCATAGGCCGCTAAGCTACAGCGCTTGCTTCACTGTAATATAGCAGTCCTAGTGCTATAAATATAGTGAGCAAATGCGGAAATAAAGCGGCGTTAATACTTTTACCTAATTAAGCTAGCGCAAAAAACAAAAGCAACCTGACAGGGTGTTAACACTTTCTGCCACGGACTGTATCTTGGATGGGAGCTTATCGATTGGCTCAAAGCAACGCGGGTGGGTCTTGTGACATGCCGTTTCATTCCATCCCACTGTTTCCAGTCTACAGTCAACACCGAGAGCCAACATCATCACATCATGTAGCAGCATGGCCCAATCATCACCCGCCGCAGGATTCCGGTTTCCCTCGCAATAAATGGCGCGCACTCGGGCGCAGTTGGCCAGCATGGAGCGCGCTTCCACAGGAGGTAGCTTTGGTTCAGTAGGCGCCCGGTGATGCCTTCGCTGACGATAAATAGACCCGCGGCCTCAGGGCTCGCAGACGCCTAACGATGATGAGCCTAAAACTCGTGGGACAAAACGGTCCATCAATCTGGCGGCCTATGAAGAATTAAGGGCCCGTAAGCGACAACGACTCGAAGACATCCTTGGTCGCCACGAGCCTCGTGATAATCCCGATACAGCAATTAACCCCATCGCTTTTTGGATAAACGAAGGGACGTGGCCATTCGCATACATCCCGCCGCAAATGGAAGAAATACTTACTTAACAAAGGCCGCCTACCCTTAAGCGATCAAATTCCAGCACATCCATCTCATTAAGCAGCTATGGCCAGATAGAAGGCAGAAGCTATCCCTACTGAGATGCGCGATATAATACATGAGAAGTAGGCTTTCCAAGTTACCTATCTATTGAGAAAGTAAACGACCTGCGTTCTCAGTTAGAACTCCCCGATTATCTCAAATGGAAACCCGTGTTCAGGTTTCTTCGATCCACACTGGTGTATCCCTGGGGATATGTTTAGTTCTCATCGAGGTCTTTCCTCCCGGTGTCGTCCTTTAGAGCTGGTTTTATTCGCTCTCTCCAACAGCGTGGGGTCAGTGGTCGACATTGCGGATAGTTTAGCTATTTCGAGGGATGAGTGGCAAGTTGGAGTGTCACTGGCTTGCGAGGCGTTGAGGCGTAGTCAAAATTATTTGGAATTGCTACTTTGGTCTTTTATTTTTGGTGTACATCCGTATTTTTGGAGATTATCTAGAACTTGTAATGAGAAGAAGAATCGACGGATTGCTTGCAGCCAGCATACCAAGCGCAACAATTCCCTGTCTATTTCCCTTCTTTGCTTTCTCAGATATTGTTAGACCTCTCGCAACCTCAAAGTTGCGTCAATTTCTTTGGCCAGAACCTTTGCTTTGCTGTCGTGTCGATTAGTCCTGGTGGGGACATCTGCTCAGCGTCTCCAGGAAGAAGGAGATCCTTTGACTTGTATGGAGAGTATATAGCGTTGAGGTTAGGTGACCTTGGTTGGCAAACTATCCCCATAGCCAACGCAGTGTCGTTCCGTTTGTTATGCCCCAAGGGCTTGGAGGAGATATCACGAAGTCTGCGATAGTTCAGATATAAACCGGTGGCTGGGTAAAAATGGTATATCCGCATGGTCGGTGAAGAAAGTTGGCTGGATGTTAAGCATTGCTAAACTGGGAGCTTTAGTACATCCAACAACCAAGTTAAGATGAAACAGCAGCGTTCACTGACGAGCAACAACAAAAACACCCTCACTAACCGTGCTTCGACCGCAAGGCCACTTGTGGAACCGGCTAATTCGGAATCCCGATTGAGAGAGTGGCCTCCCTCTGTTTCCCAGGGAGTTCAACCAACTTGAGCGAGGTATGAGCCCCGCGTTACCTGCGTTGTTGTTCTGTTTTGATCTGATGAACGTTTGACAACTGCGGTCGCTACGAATCCGATGTTGAAGCTGAGGACGAATTTGAATCCAAACTTCAAGACGACCTTGAGTCTCAGGACGAAGAATTCTCCTGGGTTGACTCGCCTTTGCAAGAAGAAGCTTATTCCGACGATAGAAGTACACGCAGGTCATTGTGACCTTGAAGTCCCTCAGGGTACGACCGTCTAGCTTCAAATTTTTTTTTTTTTTTGTGTAAACTTGGTCGGTGCTGTCTCTGGTTCTCCAATGCCGCGGTGCCTACTGAAAGTGCCTCCATCATCCCATCGTACATACCTAGTTGCATGTTTGTGATGACCACGGTTGATTTGAGGGATGTGATGCTGTTGTCAAGATACTCAATGTCCTTTCAGATTTTTGTAATGGTCTCTTAGTACGCCTTGTGGGACTCGTTTTGTGCCCTCAGTCGCTCCTCCAGCTTCTTGATGTCTTGTTTAGCCTATTTCATCTGTTGTTCCAGCGATGGGGTTGCTGGCGATGAGTTGCTTCAAGCTGACTTGTTGGGCTCGTTTTTGGGTTGGCTGGCCTTGAAGTCCGCGAAACAATGTGCAGCATTGCCGTGTACATGCGTGTGTGTCGTCGCTGTCCAAGATGGGTTTGCGATTGCGTTGGGGTCGGTTGATGTCTCATGCTGTTTCTTCTTGCTCTCCTCGTCTCATTTGGGGGCCTCTTTCTTGGCGCGCTTCTTCTTTATTGCCATCTCGCTGCAATTAGAGCCGTTGGGTGTGGAAAAGTCCTTGGAAGCTTTGAAACACCGGCTGGTATAATGAACATCCCAAGGTTCGCAAGCCAGCTCCCCTAGTTGTCTTAAAAAGTCAGACCTTTTCCATTTCTCACTGTCATATCCGTGTTCCATGACGTATCCCAGTGGATGAGTGGAATTCTGTCTTTCTGGTGTGGTGCCCGACTCAGGAGTAGTTTTTGCTTGTTTATTCTCGTCCATCGTGTCCAAACGTTTGTTCTGCTTGTCTTCCGGGGGCTTGTCTTCCGGAGGCTTGGTTGGCTTCTTTGGTGTTTGTTCTCGTTTCTGAATGGATGAATGTCCGTCATTTTCGCCTTCATCTTCTTCCGATTCATCGTCAGAGTCGAAAGTTGAATTTATGTACCACGGACATTTCTTCTGTTCGGCTGGCAAGCCTACTTGCAGTCTTTCTTTCTTAGCTCGGTCTTTGAGTTTTTTCTTCAATCTCTCCATTTCTTCCTTCTTCTCATTTCTTCTGATCGTTTAAGCATCAGTAGGTTGAGGTTGTTGAGCCGCTTGTTCGTTCCATTGATATGGTACATCCGTTGGGATGTATGTGAGATTGGGCTTGTAATTGTCTATAGCCATTCCCAAATATTTCATTTGAGATACGTTTTCCAACCTGATGGCTACATCATCTTTCCCCACCAGGGATATTGACTTTCCTCTCTTAGCGTTGCTTCCATAGGGACAGACGCTCAGACGTTGAAGATGCGCGCGAGCTTCTCAAAGGCAGGAAGGATGATGACTCCAGTAGTCTGTTAGCGAAGCCATTATCCTTAGGGTATTTTGGGAACAAATCTCCCTCCAAACAGTTTCTGTATCCCGCAACAACAGGCCATCTTGACGGACGCTACCCATCTGAACCACCTTCACGCCAAGAAAACATTAGGACAAGTTACCTAGCACCCCAATTCCGTTGTCCAACAGACGACACGACGGATCATTCCCATATATACTGTCCATCTAAGCCTTTTGGATATTCTGCTCTCGGCGAATCTGGACTCGAATAACAAAGTTGGTCCAATCTTGAGGCCATTTGTGCAGCTCGATCTCGATTGTTGCCGTATCCTTTCCATTTTTGACAAACTCTGTTACAGTGCCTGCGCGGCCAAGATGTTTGGGGCCTCTAGTAAACTCCCCACCGGTTAGCCAACCTCCATTATACACTTGTTCGATTGCTTTGCAGATTTTTTCAGGCACTCACGATGGCTGACCAGCTGGCGCCTCTAGTAGCCCCAGAGGGCGACCACTATAGGAGAACACCTATTCGATATCCGAGCCGATCGTGAATAATTCTCCCGATGATGTCTTCCCGTTTGCAGGGGCAATGTCGCAGATGATTGATGGCACAGAAGGGCTTGACTAGGTAAGTTGAACCAGGCTACTTTAATGTGAGGTTGGCCAGGGAACTAGAGACTAAGTTTAGATAGAGTTTGTTCAATTAGTAATATTATGATGGATGCAGCGCAGTTGGAGGGACTGAATATGGATCTCGGCGGCAGCAACTGGTCTAATCTGAACCAATAGAGGGCAGGTACATTTCGGAGAGGCGACGTTGGCATGTGTGCTGCAAAAGAAAGTGTAACAAATATTTGTAGTTCCAATGTATCTTGGTAACGAAAGTAGACGGTATAGCAACAATCTTTTTACTGTAAATGTCATACTTGCGCCGCCTATCCAAAGAGGTACCCTGTGCGATTGCAGTCTTGTCGTCATGTTGTTGCGAATCAGACACACCACGTCCCTTGTACTTCCATCTATCCTACGATACTGCTTTTACTACTTTCCATTATCTTTCCAAGGTAATGTACTTTGAATGCGCGATTTCCTCGAAATTGGCGCCACGCCCAGTACATATTTTGAAAACTTAAATACGCATCCGGGTTGAGCCAATTTACTGCTCCGGCGTACGTGGACATATCTCTACTGCCTATTTATACGCACGAATATTGATATAAAATCATCTACAGTAATCTCGCACATTTGTGATTATAACTATTATTACCTCTTGCTCTCTTCTCTTCTTTCAAGCTATCAATATCAGTACCAGCACCCGCCAAGATGTCTTTCGCACTTGAAGCCATGGATTTCCTCCGCGCTACTTTTGAATATCTTCGTCAACTGTATACCCAAATTCTTCGATTCCTGGTCTTTCTCATTCACATCCAATTCGAAGGGTTTCGAGTCGAGACATTAATGTCATCTCGACTTCCCGAACTCTACCTGATCATGTTTGGCTGCCTGGCGATTTGTCGAATATATTTTACTTTTAGGCTTGGCTGTGTCTTTGCTGATACAGTCAAGAAATTCATCCTTCTTCTAATTACGGGTAAGTTGCCTTTTTTTTTTTTTTTTTTTTTTTTTGCTCTTCATGTATATGCCTCCGATTATGATTCTGGTCATATAACTTGCACTGACTCGAGTCGAACTATTTCAGAATCATTTGGGTCAGAGACAGGCGTGATGAGGAACGGAACCAATGCTACGTTACCGACAAGATAGTAGAGCCCATCACGGTAGTGCTGGAATCAGCAGCCTGCTGTGCCTGCCAAAGAATTATCAGCTCCATCAGGTCCAATTTTGGCCTCTCAGCTCCTAATCTCTTGGCGGATCGTGTACCCGAGTCTCTCGCGATACTCGACAACGGACTGCCCTTGCTGATGTCATGCTTGCATACAGACCATCTGCCCTATTGGCTGTTTTTTATCAACAGAGGGGTTGATGCTTGATATGCCCTATCGCATGTCTATCATCGAGGTTTCAAAAGAGCTTCGTACATGGCCACGCAATCGATGCAGCCACAGCCACAGCCAAGCAGATACCCACATTCTAACCATTGTCATTCTCGCGACGTTTTGCCAAATCTGGCGTCTAGTGCAAAAGCCACCCGAATCCTTTCTTTTGCGAGCGATCCAGCCTCTGCTGATTGGCCCAGCACATCGCCACTGCCACTGCCACGGTCCCAGCCAGCTCGACGGCAGTTGGCCAGCCGCCGTTTATGCGATCAAAGCAGTCCCCGCGGCTTTGAGACGATCCCGCCAATTCCTGCCGGATCCATCGTTTCCTGGACGAAGCTGTTCAGCTTTCTGCATCTCCATACCGACACTTTGACGTCGAGCATCCCCTTGTATGGCGGTTCCAGTTGATTGCAGGCAGCTATAAATTCGAGCGCGTCCGTCGCCCTACGGATACCCCTTTCCTACATGCCAGCATATGCTTTCGACAAGCTCAAGTGGTGTGTAGTCATCGTTCAAATGCTGGCCCTCAGTTATCAACTGCTGTTTGCTCTGTCTGGCATGGTCGGCGGAGCTCACACTCTTCCTTCTGAAGCCGAAACCGACACCTGCAAGGCGTATCCAGGCACAGCTTCTTGGCTCTCTGCCAGCACTTGGGCAGTTCTCAATCAGACACTCGATGGGCGACTCCTCCAGCCTTCTCCTCCCGGGGCTGTCTGCCACCCAGACCAGCCTACTTACGATGCGAGCCTTTGTGCAGTCGTCGCTGAAGAATGGAAGACGTACGAGTTTCACACCGAGAATCCAGTTTCTGTCATATGGGATCAATACGACAACTATACCTGCTTGCCGGAGATGAACACAACGTGTTCCTCTGCCGGATATCCCGCCTACGTGGTGAATGCATCATCTGCTGAATACGTCAAGACTGGCATTGATTTTGGTATGATTCCGCGTGCCTCGTGTTCGCATTAGCTAACTCGATTGTCAACCAGCCCGCAAGTACAACGTCCGCCTCAACGTCAAGAATACCGGTCACGACTACATGGGCCGCTCCAACTCGCCCGGATCGCTCTCTCTATGGACCCACCATCTCAACCATATCACCTACAACCAGGGCCAGTTCAAGCTCAGCGGCTCTGGAAGAATTATCTCTGGCGACTCCTATACTGTTGGCGGAGGTGCACAAATGTACAACGTCTACTCCGCCGCAGATAAGCAGAACCAGACCATTGTCGGTGGAGGCTCCAAGAGCGTGGGCATTGGAGGCTACATTACAGGCGGTGGGCATTCGATCCTTGCACCGAGATATGGCCTGGCTGCAGATAATGTATGGGAGATGGAGATAGTCACGCCTGGTGGAGACATCTTGACGGCCAACGAGGACCAGAACCCAGACTTGTTTTGGGCCATGCGAGGCGTAAGTGCAGACAATTGCGGGAAGAAGGTCTATTGCTAACGTCAAAATCTAGGGAGGCGGCTCAACGTTTGGCATCATAACATCTGCCACGCTCAAGGCATATCCCAGTCCAAAGGTCACGGATGTGATTCTCGCAATCGTTACAGATCCCAAAGAGTCCTTTGTTCCCGACCTCCTCACCTACATCGTTTCCCAAATGCCAAGCCTGATGGGCCAAGGTATCTCTGGTTACAACATCATTACCACGGACATGGCAAACCCCATTCAGGAGCCGGGTCTCCCAGACCGCATTGCTGGGCTTGTGGGAAAGTGCATTTTACAGGATATTGAGAGCAACGACGTCATCACCAAGGCCTTCAATCCAATCAACGAGACTATTCAACAGCGTTGGCCCAACAAAGTCCAATTCTACACCATCCTTGAGCAATTCGATTCGTTTCTGGGTTGGTTTGACAAGAATTACGACATGAACCCGGCAGGAGGAAGCACATACCTTGTTTCTCGACTTCTGGATGGAAAGGCGTTAACGGGTGATTCGGAAACGCTCAAAAATGCGCTCCAGGAAGTACTGTCCTCTGGAAGCACAAGCTCAATGGCCGCTTACATGGTAGCTGGCAAAGGTGTTCAGGAGGCAACACCGAGAGGAGGCAGCAATGCTGTCAATTCTGCCTGGAGAACCGCCTATGTTCACGCCTGTGATTTGCTGCATCACGCTTGACCGATGACACTTCATTTGCTGACCATGCTATTAGTGAATGGCGAGTCCTTTGCACCATTCAACAGCACCGACGAGGAGAGAGCAAAAGGACTTTTGGAGAAGAACTTTCAGCCTCTGCGCGATCTGACGCCCGGAGGCGGTGCATACATAAACGAGGCAAGCACACATCTCCTATTCTGTCCTTTTTGTTTCCTATGACAATAGAGAAACTAACACTTATTCACAGGCTTTTCCGTTTGAAAAGGATTATCAACAGACCTTTTGGGGCAGCAACTACGCAAGATTGCTGCAAATCAAGCGCGAGGTCGACCCAACGGATGTGTTTTGGTGCTCGCCGTGCGTGGGCAACGAGAGATGGGAAGTCCGTCAAGATGGACAACTTTGTCAGAAATGATACAGATAGACGGGTCAGGCATTCCAATTATCTCTTGCTACACCTGACTAGTAATATGGACATTGTAATCATATTCCCGATAAGTAGTCATCAAAGCGGTAATCGACTAGAGTAACGCAATACAGGTCACGGTTGCAAGTCCATTCACGTTCAGAGCATGTACGATAAACCCTTGTCAATAGCAAGCCGTTTACGTCAATTTAAACGAGTAAGCTTATATAACTAGCTCGCTAGATACAGTAGATCGAGTAGATGGTACTCGATTATTAATCTCATCGAGCACCTACATTTCGTTTCCCACTGGCCAGCCGTTCTTTGAGACGCTGAGCCAATTGCTTAGAAGCAGGACCACTGCTCTTTCACGCCGCACTGAAGGCTTTGCGGCTGGAACTGGCAGTTACTGTTGAAAGAGTTGTCATTGTTGAACAGGCTCAATCCGCCACCGCCACAGCCTGCGAGGTAGTAAGTGAAGCCCTTGTTGAGTGTGAAGGTCTTCCACGCTTGGTATGCGGATGCTGCGGTTGTCACCAACATAACAATGTCAGTGTGGACTGCGGACATGATCATCACCATAGCCTTGTTGTCCTCTTTGGACCATTGAGTGATTTGAGCGATCTCCTCTGGTGTCGCCGGTGTCGAGAGGACTGGTCGTGGAGCTGTATTTTCAATAACACCCTATAGTTCTACGTATTCAAACGCAATGGTCCATGCCGCTTGCCATTCTGCGTAGTTGTCTCCCCGGCTGTTTAGTTGGGGGAGGCTTAATGGGTTAAGCTTGAATGTAAAAGCGTTATTTAACATGGTGATGTTAGTTAAGCTTGTTAGGATGGTTGATTACCGGATTGATGTATAGAGACTTTTGGATGTGGTGTATTTTAATGTGCAAGATTAAGAAAATCGTAGGGGCCAAAAATTCGAGCAACGGGCGTTATAGCGCTGGGCTCATAACCTATTAAAAGGAACATGAGATAAATGTTAATTATTCTATCTAGAAGCTAGAATATAGTCTAGTAATAGAACTAAGTAACATGTAGTGACGTCATGTTAATGTTATCACGTTGACCCGGTGACTCCGGTGGCAGTTTCCATCAACATGTTCCACAAGGATTTTGATTCGATAGGCCAATGAAGCCATTTTAGCATTCGGACTGGCCGCTAATCCAAGCAACTAGTACATGTTAAGAACGAGGCCGGTTCTAGGGAGAAGAGATAGAGAAGGGGCTTATTTACCAGTGTCGCCAGCAGAGTCTTTGCCAAGGTTAATAGCAGCAGTGGCTAAGCCGAGGAAAAGACCAAGGGAAGCGACAACCTTGGAGGCATACATTTTGGTAGATGTTCTCGAGTTGGTGTTGAGAAACCTGTTGGCTAGATTGTTAGACTTGAGGCGCTGTGGTGTGTTTAGATGTTGTACCGGAGAGGATCAAGGGACGAACAAGGCTATTTACCTTATTCAAGATGCACCCAAGCTCAGATATCAGAGACCGCATAGCTAAACATAGGACGATATACCAAGGTCGGGCTACCGGACTGTCTACAACTGCTAGATGCGAGGGTCCATAAAATAAGCCGCCAAGATATCGTGATTTTTTTCTAATCTTCAAGTGACTTGAGCTAGAATAATGTTGTTGAGAGTCTAACGGTATATATACAGAGAATTACATGAATATCCAATAGAGTAAAGCATAGGTGCAGCGGATTGCACCCCAGGCGTACCTCTTCTCGCATGCCACCTAGTATTCCATATTCCGAGTCAAATCACAGAAACCAGACTTCATCTCTATTCATGAGTTCAATAGAAGCCTCGCATGTCAGTATATGGAATCGATGCTCGCCCTATTGGGCTCGAAGGGTGTCCCAGCAGTTCCATCTCCACACCATCCGTGAAATACGAGCAAGATGCATTTCCAAGCCTTCCGTCTGATTATCTACTTCAAGGATTAGTGCAAGGAGAATACGGTGGAGAGTGAGCGAACTTTTGAAGGCTGCGGGACGAGAAATGGACATGTGGTGCCGCATTTCCTTTTTCCTAATAGAATATTATTGCTATTTAATGATACTTGACTTGATGTAGCTCTATTGACCACAGAAGCAATGGCAGTATTCCACATGTCCTGTGTTAGTATAAATAAACATGCAGGTGATCAATTACGTCCGGATAACTTCCGACTTTCATCAGTAATCCCATCCCAGAAGCTATTGCTAAGAGTGGTATTACACTGTAGAATGCTGTAGTAAGATAGATGGGTAGCTTTCTGGACACATGTGAAGCTGTCTTCTCTGGTGAATGGGATGCGTAACTTGAGACGCTGCCTTGTGCAAGACCGCAGCTACAGGTATAGGTACGTCTTTAAGCTCAGAGTTAGAGTACATATAATCGGCAAACTGCCGAGGCTGGGTCTACTGGATGTCTTGTACGTAATACCCTATCGTAGCCGGCATCCGTTTTCTTCTCCCGTACCGTCTGCCTTTTCTGGCTTACACTGCGCTAAGCACCATGGAATCTTTTATACACGTCCTTGTAGCTTGCTCTACCTGTCTTACTACCTCAGTAGTACGAGAAACCATTTCCAAATAGTATTATTATGAGTAATTCCACGAGCCTGTTACTCATGCCAAGTACAAACTACATTATTCTGCAACAGGGCGAATCTGCGCTTGTCGGTTCACGGTATAGCCCTGTCAGCCCTCTCCGTCGGCCTTTATCGCATACGGTAGCTTCCACATTTGGATATGTACTTTGGCAGTCAATCATTCAATCTGTTGGGTGCTAAACACTTTATAATCTTTATAATAATTCCATTGGCAGAGGCTTCTCCACACTGTTATTACAAACTTTGGCCGCAGCGGCAGTTTTTGCATGCTATAAATAACCCATGATCGTCTCGCATCTCAGGTTGTATGGGTGTATAGGGTTTCTGTGAAGCTACTTGACTACATTGGACAGCAACACTGGAGTGTGCTTGAGAGTGAATTGGATATCGTTGTGAGTATAGAGTGGCATACAGCTCGCTATTTAGCATCGCAAATATTCATTGGTAACTTGTGAGAGAAACATTTCTTTATTTTCGGTTGACATATATACTTTTATCCCGCCGTGCCTCATAGCATTCCTTGTACTGGCTATATACCAACATTTTCACTCTGCTAGACATCCCTGACAGCCCATGAGAGCATTCACAAGCACGCGTTTATACGGCGGTAGCAAAGCCGATGCGAGAGTTTGTGGTGTCAAAGACGGAGTAGTAGTTTTCCAAAAACTTCTGGCCAATGATGGTGTCGACGCCGGAGCTGCCACCGTCGGCGAAGAAGGCGTAGTACTGGCCCTGGCTGAGGCCAAACTCGTCGTACTGCGAGGTTGGGACCAGGTACTGGGCCGGGGTGAGGGAGAAGGTGGACGAGCCAAACTTGATGTTGAAGTTGGACGTGGGCTTGGAGGAAAAGGCAGTGAGGCCGGACTGGTCGGCCGAGCCGCCGGCGGCAGACAGCAGCTTGTTGTAGGCCTTTGTGGGGATGTAGATGAGCGTGGTGCCGGTGTCGACGATGCCGGTGGCGGACGAGGCCAGCGTGGTCGAGCCGTAGGTGAAGCTGGCGATGGAGATGCCCCAGTAGCTGGCCGCCTGGCCGCTCTGCAGCGTGTCGAAGTAGGTGATGGAGCCCGAGTACTTGGAGCTGTCGGTGCCGCCCAGCGTCAGCTCGCCGTTGGCGTCGTCCGAGTCGCTGCCGGACTCGGGCCTGAAGGAGACGCCCAGCACCTCGCTGGAGATGGAGCCCTGGCTGTAGAGGTTGTCCATGAAGGTGGGCACCTGGTCGGCGCCGTCGACGGTGTTTGCCGTCAGATCCACGGGGCCGAAGCCGATGATGCCGTCGACGCCGTTGAAGCCCGAGGCCTGGTCGGCAGCGCCCACGGACTGGCCCTGGACCGTCAGGCCGCCGAAGCTGACATTGTCCGTGTACTCGGTGCCGGAGAAGGAGCCGGAGCCGTAGCCGACCTGGACGGAGGCGCCGGTGGACTGGCCGGTGGACGAGGGCTCGCACTGGCTCTGGGCACCGCACCAGAGGTTGGAGGCTAGAGGAGAAATCAAGTCAATATCAGGTCATTGTTGTATTCGAGAGTGGTGTCGGCTTACATCCAGTGTCGACAATGAGGCTGTAGCTTCCATCGCCAATGGTGACCTGGGCAACGTAGCTGACGTCCTCGTTGGTGATGGAGCCCGAGCTGACGTCCTCGTTGCCGACGGCCTTGACGCCGTTGACCTTGGCCAGACGGGCGTGGCCCTTTTGCACGAGGCTCTTGGCCGACTTGACGTTGGAGACGCGCTTGACGGGCAGAGTGACGGTCTTGGCCTTGCCGCTGGGCTTGACGGGAGATGCCAGGGCGGCAGTTGCGGCCGCAACAACGGCGAGGGAAGAGAAGAGCATGGTGGCGGAAGATATGACAGACGGGCGAGCTGGAGATGTGAGTGTCGAGTCGAACTGGTGATGTGATGTGTAGAGCCGGACGAGACGCTTATATATAGAAGAAAAGCTTCTGCGCCTTGTTTCCTTGATGTGTTTCCGCTTGCATCATGGCAGGGATCAAAACAAGATTGATCACGTCAAATGGGACTTTTGATCTGGTGTCTTTCGATTCACTTCCGTCTTAACCGGGCAATGCAGATATGAATTGTCTGTAGAGCTATCATGAGACTGATCACGTCAAGGGGGACTTTTGAGTATACAGCTTGTTCGAGGTGTTTCCTTCCTATCCGAGCAACGCAAATGGCCGTTGTTTAGCATACTACATGTAGCTACGACGAGATTGATTACGTTGAACGGGACTTTTGATCATACAGCTCTTGCTACAGTTCCGTCTTAACCGATTAACTGCAGATAAGGATTGTTTATATACGGGTAAAGCGGCGCCATTCAGTCCGTACGGACATTAAGCTCGCATGTGATGAAACGCTGGGCCAGCGATTCGAGAGGCTCGAGAGACTAGACGCCATGCTCGGTGACGAGATTATATGGTAGATTCCCTTCCGGTACTAAACTGCGAGTTACTACCTGCTGGAAGAAGCAAGTCTTTTCCTGTCGTGCAGTCTGCTCCTTCGGCCGCTAACAAGGCGAGGCTTAGCGGGTATCGGCCATGTAGTAGCGGAGGAGGATCACGATAGCTGCTTCATGGAGCAGGGGTGTTGGAGTCGATGGGGCTTGTACGGGTTAAATCCGAGTGTAGCCGCGACGCCTATTGAGCTGCTATCCTCTTGGTTGAGCTGTAGGACTGCAGATCTTGCCTTGGATTCACGCAAGGTCCCCTTCTCTCTTACCGCTCTGGGACGGCTGTGGCGTTGCTCAATGGGCGTCTGCGCGGCCCTCTTCCTAAACAGTCCATGGCTTGTGAATCTAGCATTGCTAACGGGCGGGAGGCCCCAGACTTGACTCACAGACCAGGCGGGGCAGCGATGGACTGTTGTTGAGTAAAAGAGACGCTATCTACACCATATCTCAGCTCCTACGTCTAGCCAGCTTCTTACCAGGAAAACAACCCAGTACCTACAAGTATTTCAGGCACAAACGAAACAACTGTCAGAAGAAATGCTCGAGTCTCGGTTATCTGCGTCATGCTCTAGTTTCACACACCTTCTCCTGCCAAGCCGTCAAATCCCCTAGCACCCGAGAGCCAAGTTAAATGTCTATTCGTCTGTCCAATGGAAGCTCTGCTAGCCACTCTGTCGGTATTAATCACCTTGACCAGCTGCTGTATTCGAATAATGTCCCGACCGATCCTAGCTCGTGGCCCCGCCGAGCAAGTGCCTCGACAATGCCCTTCTCCACACCATCCCTACGAAATCTAGATGGCATCGCAACTCGCATATGGTAGTTACATGCCGCAGGAGGCGTTGCTTGATAGTCATGATGAGCTGATGACGGCGATAAACGACACTTTGGAGTTTTGACCCCATTTGTCAAGTGAAATCATCATAAAGCCGTATTACTGTTCAAGCATTGCTGCATCATCTATATCTAATTAGCAATTATGTTATCCCACTTTGCGAGTCATTAGGACGAAACAGGCAGGCGATAAATCGCGTCCGGACAACTTCCGATCTGATGTACGGAGAGACGGCATTGCGGGATCACCTGACCTGTCCATGGCCAGCCATAAACTTGACGTGGCTTCAAATTAGATGTTGGAGTTCTCATCGTTATAAAGCAGGTGGGCATGCCATTCTTGCGTCTCTCAACTCCCTTGGCAGTTTATACAGCTGTCTTCAAGTAGCGTTGGAGATTGGGTATGTCTTTTATTTTTCGAGTATTCTAGGCAAAAGTAATATTGCAGACGGTTGAGATGGAAAATGTGCTCAGGTGCTCTGGCCCTTGGCAGAAAATAAAGAACTTCGTATGAGATGATAAGATGTTAGAAACCAGCATCATGTGAAGAGCAGCCATGCCCGCAGTACAAGAGTGAACTGTATGGAAGCCTAGAGCCACTATTAACGCCGTCAGCCATTGCAACTCTGAATTGGTGCTGCATGCCGATATAGCGCTGCGAAAAACAGAGAGCCAACATGAAGTCATGACCTACGAATGAAGGCTTTGAGATTTTGATTGTTTCGCTGCTGGTGCTGCTTTCATTTTTTACAGCAAGAGTGAGACTGGCGCTGAATGCACGTGCACTTGGATTCAATTCAATTTGCATTGGCAGCTCTAGTGCAGCAGCTGATGGCCTACCCTATTGCCGTGGGCCATTCTCAAAATTCGCACAACATTAACAATCAATCGGTGCGCAGCGCTGCATTGTTGAAATCTAGCACGACGATTATTGGAAAGAATCAAACATAACAAATGCGGCCAGTTCTGTTGATAGATGACGTAGGCATTGATTGTCGTCAATGTCGGGTTTGCATCTACAGCGCAGCCAAGCCCCCATTTCATAGCGGCTGGTCACCAAGTATCAACCAGTTCCTCACATGCAACCTGTGTGAGCAAAGCCGCGCACCCTTTCCATCTTTGCAGTACTCTTGGGCCTCGATATCGACAAGTGATGCCGGCATGAAGCCCAGCAGAGAGAATGGCACAGGAAAGACGCTTGTTGCGGGACTACTGCGCTTATCTGGCAATCCGACGAATACGACCTCAGCCAAGATTGGGTGGGTCGCAGCTGAAAACTGGGAATGCGACGAATACGGTTCTCGAGACGGCCTCCTATCGTTGACTACCTACATGTAAGTGGTAGGCATGGTGACAATGCAATGAGTGGGAGCCACCAGCCTTGGGAATAGAATACAATTTTGGCAATTTTGGCAATTTTAGCAATTCTATAAAATGTCTTCATATCTCTTCCGCCTTCTTTACGTGTTCGGTCTCAGTATAATACCAGACGTCTTGTTCCATCTACACGTCTATAACAAGTAAAGATGGCTTCCATCAACGCAACCAGCGATCCATACGACAAAGTCAAAGGAAACCAAGAGCATATCCTGCCCCTGCCAGGAGACAGACAGCTCGCCTATGCCCACAACGGCCCTCCACAATCACGAACCGTCATCCTCTTCTTTACGGGCATCATGAGCGTAGGCACCGCCGCCAACGTCCCCGAGTCCTGCAGCGAGATTCACGCCCGCTGGATCTCGCCAACGCTGCCGGGCATGGGCAATTCAAGCACTCGTGACGTCTCTGTGCCTTATCACGTCTCTCTGTCCAAAGACGTGACTGCTTTGCTCACCCATCTCTATCCCACGGCTGACTTCGACACTCCTTACCTTGCGGGAGGGTCATACGGCACTGTGCAGGCGCAGATGCTGTATGGCGCTCCATACAATCTCTTTCCCCTCGGCCGCAAAATCGCTGGATGCCTGCTCCTCAGCGGCTTTTCCCCCCTGAAGCATCACGCTGGATACGCAAAAAAGGTCAACTGGCATAATTGGTTTTCCATTGGGCCGCCTACAAGAGTCATTCCGTTCCATTTACTGCAGCGTCTTTTCAAAACTGCCATTGGATCCAAATTGCAATCTCTTGATGGCGCAAGAGCATTCCTCAAACAGACAATCTTCAACACCATGGATCTCGAGGAGAAGCAGGTATTCTACGAATGGGCCGCAAAAAATGACCTGACAGAGTCAGAGTTTATCGACCGAATGGCACGCGGTACCATAGAGTGCTGCAAAAACTGGGACGGCTTCATGGAGGTTTCTGACATTATCCACTCCGACTGGGGCTTCGATCCGCGTACTCTGGACGCTGAGCATGCGTCAAAGGCCATGCTGGTGGTTGGGTCCCAGAGTGACTATATTGGAGGGGGCACCAACGATTGGCTTGTGGCCAGCTATAAATCTGCAACACTCAGATTGGTCCCTGGAAGCCATATATCGTCGCTCTTCTACATGGATGAGTTGTGGAAAGAGTTGTTTGCAATGGCTAGTAGTAATTGAAAAAGGGTCAACAGAAAGAGCACGTGAGCATGTACAGCGGATAGCCTCTTTCGTTACATTCTTAAAAATTCCCACTCTTCGTACTTCTCGCCTCTCATTTCTGGAGTGACTTGATCCTAGCCACAGCCTTGTCCTGAACATGTTGCACAATCTCAGCTGCATCCCTCACCTCATGGACAGCCCAATCGACACCCACATACTGCCCTCTCCGGCCCTTAGGACCCCAAGCAAGGCCCTCCTCATCTCCCGCAGCTCTTCAAACGGCCGTCCCTGACGAAACTCGACAAACGACTTGTTGATGATTGTCCACGGCACATGGTCCTCCAGCCATCCGTATTCGCCCCGGAGATGATTGCACAACAGAGGGCGCGTTGTCGACACGGCGCCGTTGTTCGCTCGCAGGATTCCGGTTTGGAAGCCCGGGCTGATGCGTGCCTCGCGTGAGGCAAGAAATCGAGTTGCCATCACCACGCCTGAAGCCCCGAGACACAAAGATGCAGCGACACTGCCGTCGTCTACAATTCCACCGGCTGCAAAGATGGGAATATCGCTCTTAGCCATTGTGTCGACTATTTCTGGCAGCAGCGACAAGAGGCCCATCCCGTCCTTGGCACGGCCGTGACTACCAGATTCTGATCCTTGCACAACAAGGACGTCTGGCTTTGTCGAATAGCCCAACATGCCCTTTGCTTCGTCGACTGTCCCAATTTGAGCCCACATCTGCGTCTGGGGCGATGTGTTTCGAATACGACTTGTCCACTCGTAAAGATGCTGCCTCTGCTCAGGCACATATAGCCAGGTTGCGCAGGGGTTGTATTTTTGGATGATGGATATAGCTGTATTGAAAAGGAGTTTTCTGGACCGCATACGGTGCGCATGTCTATGTCAGCACCCGGCTAGGACTACCGATAGCGATACATGCCTAAGATGTCGACCAAGAATATCCATTGGACAACTCCGGTCGGTATTGTTCTTATGCCACCCGGCCGCGTCTCCGGCATGATTGGTGTGAAGGCGCACACTCGCTTGTTGGATATCATCGTCCAAGTAGTCAAGCATATATATCCAGTAGTGCTCTGAAAGTGCCAGGGGCAACCGGACAATACGTACATGATTGGCTATTCAAAGATTAAGAGATTGAAACAAGTCTTGCAAGGATGGAAAGATGGCCTGCCCTTTGCGTTACAGTCACAAGAAGGAATTCATCCAGTTTCAAACACTTGGGAACGGTAAGCTTTGGTTGTTCTTTTGGTCGAAAAATACATGCTCAAGTATTAATTAGAAACAGGATGAGCCAACTGTTCCGGCTAGCTCACGCCCATGTCCGATGGATGCTCTACCGACCGTTGCTCCAATTCGTCTCTCAAGGGTTTCGAGCCGAAGGACTCTACAAACGGCTCTACATGTGCGCCGAGGCTTGCATTGGTGCCTCGAGAAATATCATCGACATTATCAGAGATATACAGGCCAACAGGCTGCTGAGTGGCGCCCACTGGTTTCCCATACATGCGACCTATGTTGCCACTTTGGCGTTGATTTATCCAATATTTGAACAAAACCAAGTTCCGACGCTCAATATGGATGCTATTGAAGGTTCGTTTGAGGGCATGAACGTCCTCAAGGCTTTGGCTAAGAACGGTTTAGCCATGGAGATGTCCTCGTCTTCCGGTTAGTCTGACGCTCTCTAGGTACTATTACTTTTCCCATGACATACCCTACTGACACTCTCAAGGCGCTGTTCAATTGCCTGCCCGAAAGGATTTATAACCCCAATCATCAAGCAGCATCTACTGACACTGGGAAAGCAGCACGAGTGCGGTCCCAAACATACTCTACCAGCACAAGTCCCCAATATGCCACACCACAGACCCCAACGCATTCGACCGAGTTCAACATACAACGAGATGTGGCTCCGTCACAACAGCCGGGCGCCAACCAACACGATTCGGATATGATGCGCATGTTGCTTCAGCCTGAAATGGTGGTTGCGCAGGCGGATAATTCTGATGACGTGTTTACACATTTTGGGATGGATATGTTTTATGCAAACCATCATTGCTAGACGCTACATGTAGTCCATATTGCGAATCACAGAATAATATACATTTATATACTCCGATTTATCCTTGCCCGATCCGATATTGCAGTTGAATGGACATGGGATTTTGTAATGGTTGCAATGGTTGGAAATCAGAATAAAGCTGTAATACAGGAGTCGCCATGTCGTCATGGCTGACATGTAATTGTAGCTTTGCATCGAGATGGCCCTCGACTCTAGATATACATAACCTAGGTAGATGAGAGACAACGAATTGCATACAAGATTTCCTTGTTCGATCGAGATTGAAATTGAGAGCTTCTCAACTTGATCATGTCGCAGTCAATTGCTACACCACTTCTTTCATAATGGCTCAGCCATCTGCCATGGCGACTGGGCTACTCCAACGCTATCCATGGGTGTCTCTACCCTTTATCGTCAGCGCATCCATGTGAAGTCATGCCGGTCCTGAGCTTGCAGTTGCAGTTCTCGCGCCGGTGGCCTAGGCTTCATAGGCCCCAGAGCCGAGACGAAAGATACGAGTCGCAGCATGGAGGAAGCGGCCCCTTTACTTCAGGCTACACAGTCATTTGATCGTGTCGAGCATGGTTCCTCGCCAGTTGGTGTGGCGTTTCTCCTCTGGAGAGATGACCTCGAACTTTTCGTTGAATTGGATCAAAGTTGCCCTGTATCTTTCGATGGAGACCCAGGCGGAGAGACGCCCGCTGAGCGATTCCTATAAACGGGTAGCAGGCAGTGAGTGGCGCAGACAACTGCAGGGATGAAGCCGCGGGTAGGATTGTTTGAAGGGAGATCAAGTCTCGACAATCGGTGAGGTCCAGGAGTGCTCGACAACCTCTAAGGTATTGAAGCCTAGGTTAAGAAAGTCAGTCTTTGGTGACGATGGATTTGTGAATTAAATTGTAACAACTTACCCTTGCATCATGGCTGATTTGTCATTCTTGACCTGTTTGGTGCTGGAGAACAAACAGCCAGCAGAAAGAGCAGCATACAGAAGAGGCAAAACCACACGCTCTTCTGCCCCGTATGTCTGGTCAAACGAGGTCCAGAATGAAGGGCTGTGGATAATATGGTAGCAAATGCATGCTTTGTCAAAAGCCAGCTGGCAGAGCTCCCTTGCGTGACTTTCTGGTGGAAGGCCGCAATTCACAGAAATTGGACATGGTGCATGGATAGAATTCTGGAATCTCCCAATATCCGCCGTAGCACAAACTTGAATCTAGATGGCGTCAGGATAGGAGCGATCAAACTGCCAAACTGGTTTTGAAGTCGCTGCATGATTATCGTGGTGGACGATTGGCCATTGTAATTCCACTGCCCTTTGTGGTCGACATCAAGCGAGCCAGAATTCTCCTTCACGGGCCAGCAATGAGTCGTCAATGGTATCGGCTATGATTGTCTCATCTCCTGTAGTAGCAGCAGCATCTGATAGCGAAGCATTGCGGCGATTCGGTCCGGGCTATTGGTGTTGAGGTATAGGTCGTTGAGATCTACTCGGCACTCGTCGCAGGCGTGCATGATTCTCTTGCGCTTCCTGGAGATCTCTGGCCTGTTCGCCTGCTGCAATGGCGGCCGCTCATAGTGTCTGGTGTTTTGGACTTGATTGTGGTCCAAAGGTGTCACGTCTGAATTACCGTTACGAGCTCGTAGCTGCTGTAGACAAGACTTTATGCTTGCTGCAAATCTCTGTCGAAGACATCACCAATTGACGCAATTGCTGAAGGAAATTGCTCTAGAAAGCAAGTGAATGATGCAATGAGAATGATGTTATTTGATAAACAATCTCTCGATGCTGTGAATGCTGCATCTCCGGTGCAATTGCAGTGCTGACTAATGTGGGAACTAGCCAACTCCACACACGCTTTCAAGCCACTCATACTCTAGCTAGGCTCTGGAATATTAGTCTTCTATTGTACGGATAATATATTGAAAAATTTTAATCATTTCACTTCAAAGCCATTCAGGACGCGGTTTTAGACGCAAATTGAACACCTCTCTCCATCTACAGAACAGTGATTCCGTGTGTTGGTGCCCAGCAACAATGGCTCTAGACAAAGACGCAGCATATGATTATAGTGTAGTACCCGTGCGAGAAGTCATGTTTTGTATTTAAACGTGAACCCGCTGCGTTTCAATCGGATACACGCCGTAATGATGGAGCAAAGTGCAATGGTGGCTCCGCAAAATATCTGCACCCCAGTTTATGAATCGGAACCACTCGGTATGGCACCGCCGATTGGCGTGCCTACAAGCAAAGCGATCGAAACCAGCTCTTTGAAAGCCCATGACTGCGATGGACATGGCGCAGGTGCCCAGGCAGACGAACCACAAAGCACGCGTCGCCCATAGAAAGCCAACCTGCTGCTCAAGCCGGTAGAACATGATAGGATACATGACGCCAATGCTGACCCTTTTATAAGTATTAAACTTTTTTTTCAATAAATAATTATAACAAGTACTTTTATGATAACATCATGATACCAATGTGCCTTATAGACCTGACAATTTCACCCAACAGCCTTGCTTCCTCTCGCACTCCTGGCTAAGACCCGTGAAGACCGCTGGTTCGCTCGCGCATTAGCTGTCGCCGAAGCTTGTCCTTTTCTGCAATCAACCGCCGTTAGCAAATGGCCACATCATCGTGTTACAGTCCCAGCAACTATAGCTTACCTTTATCATAAACCAAGAACTCGTGGAGGCCAGCACCTGCTGGTACCATGGGCAGGAGAGGCACCTTCTTGTCGGTAACAACCTCGAGAAGGGCCGGACCGTCTGTGTTGATGAGCCACTCGAGGCTAGCCCGAACGTCCTCTGGCTTGGTGACCTTCCTCGCCTGCACACCCATTGCGTCGCCTAACTTGATAAAGTCCGGATTCCGCTGGTGGGTGTGTGCATAGCGATCCTCATAGAACAGGTTCTGCCATTGGGTAACCATGCCTTGCTCCTCGTTGTTCAGAATAATAACCTTGATGCCAATGTTAAACTGAGCAGCGGTGGAGAGCTCTGTAAGGGTCATGTTAAAGGACGCATCGCCGTCAACGTCGATGACGAGGGCGTCTGGTCTCGCTACTGCAACTCCAATCGCACTTGGCAGGCCAAAGCCCATCGTGCCTGCATCCCAGGGTCAGAATTAGGGTCATTACACATTTCATCCAAGAAACATGAGATTTGGGTTTGGGGTTAGGAAAGGCCGGAGAGAAACGGCCAAGGTGCTGCAAAAATAACACGTACCTAGTCCACCGCTCGTGACAAACGATCGAGGCTCTCTCCACGAGTAGTGCTGTGCTACCCACATTTGCTACTTCAGGTCAGTTGGTGTTCGTAGTAGTGCTGGCTGCTCATGAAAAACTCACATGCTGGCCCACTCCAGTCGAGATGATTGTTTTCTTGTCAAGTTTAGAGGTGAGATCGCTCAGCTCCTCAATGAGGGTCTGGGGTTTAATGAGACCGTTGCCTCCAGGAGAGTCAGCGTGCTCATAGTTGGATAGAGGCCACTTGGCCTTCCATCCGTTTATCTTGTTGAACCATTCGCTTCGTTGCTGCATGCTTGTAGGTGTGAGCATAGGCATAAGCATCTTGAGGTTGGTGGCAACATCGCCCTCGATAGCCTCAGTTGCTTGAATGACCTTGTTGATATTCTTGGGCAAGATATCAAAATGAATAATGCCACCTCGCTTCTCAGCTGCTGCAGCTTTAGCATTAGGAGCAAATTTTGAAGTATTCAGGACAACACGGTCATCAAAGCGAGCACCAAGAGCAATGATAAGGTCGGCCTCCTGCATAGACATGTTGGCATATGCCATGCCATGCATACCCAACATTTGTAATGACTTCTCGTCACGCTCATCAAACGCACCAAGGCCCAGGAGAGTTGTGGTGACAGGAATAGAACACTTATCCGCTAGCTCGCGAAGAACCTCAGTTCCACCCTCGGACTGGAGAATGCCTTGGCCAGCGTAAATGATGGGCTGCTTAGCTTTTTTGATAAGCTCGGCAGCACGACCAAGGGAGGCATTCAGCTGCTTCTCCATGAGTCGTTTGGCGGCCTGAGAAGCGATGCTTGGAAAAGAGGGTAGGTTGGTTTGTGTTGGTATGGCCTTTCGAAGAATGCCAGCTGTAATATCCTTGGGAAGGTCAATGAGAACAGGGCCAGGACGACCACTGGTAGCAATCTCGAAAGCCTCGTTGATTCGACGCGGGAGGTCGGCAATGCTTGTAACCATGCAATTCCACTTGCACGCACTCCTGCTAATGCCCACAGTATCGCACTCTTGAAACGCGTCCAGTCCAATCGCACTTGTTACGACCTGTCCAGTGAAGACGATTAGGGGAGTGCCATCTGAGAGAGCATCTTGCATGGGTGTGATGACATTGGTCGCTCCCGGACCGGATGTAACGAGTACAACGCCAGGTTTTCCGGAGGCACGTGCGTATCCTATCATGTATTAATATAAGCCTTGTTCAACCAAGCAAAGTCTTACCTTGTGCCATGTGGCCGGCGCCTTGTTCGTGTCGAGGCAAGATGAAATCGAAGTGTTTTGAGTTGTAGATGGCGTCAAAGACGGGGAGGATGGCGCCTCCGGGGTAGCCAACTGGGACCAATTAGCACGTGGGTTCTCATTTGGCCCTGCCGACGAAGACAAGTTTGGATGGAGAAGGGAGACCAACAAATATGCTTGACACCGTGTCTGAGCATCATCTCGTGAAAGATTTCGCCGCCGGTCTTTCCAATGAACCTGAACGCACATGAGCAATGGCTCGTCATGGTTTGGGAGAGAATTCTTACGACTCATCCATCTCGGGCTTCGATCGGTTGACAAGAGGCTGAACATGTCGCCGAGATTCGGGTTCCAAGTTGAAGGCGGGGCTGGGCACAGGGCGAGTCTGACTGTAAAGCAGGTCAGCAACACGATTGAGATGAGATTGACAATGAAACATGGATTGACTTGATGGAGCGGCCGTCTTTCGAGTCAGGCACACGGATGGTGGTTGGGCGCACCACGAACGAGGTTATGAGGGCGCAAAGAAGCAGGAAGGGCAGCCAGAAACTTACGGCGCGGCAGAAGAGGTCGCAGCGGACTTTGATCTTTGCGTCGCGGGCAGCTTTGACTGCGCAAGAGCGGTTGTGGGCGTCGTCCAGGCCCTCGCCTGGCCCAGGGCGCGGGTAGCCCTTGTCGTTGGGCGATTTCGGAGCATCGTGGAGGAGATTCGATGGATTCGGGAGGAAAGTCGGGGGGGCGGCAAAGGAAAGACGTCAATTGCGTGCGTGAGCACCAGCACTCAGTGAAGAGAAAGAGAATCCAAAGACGACGATGCCGGTCTGTGCTTCGGGATCGAGGATGATGAAGAAGAAAAGAAGTCGCTGGAGGAGGGTGGCGAGGCGAGGGAGATGGCAGAGGCTAGCCAAGCAAGGCTTGGCTCTGCATCGGAGCAAAGCCGGCCCAAAACCTGGGGCAAGTCTCAATTAAAAAAAAAATCGGCGCCAAAGAGTCACTGTAGAGTCAAGACATTGGCAGCCACGCTCCGACGTCGTCCGGCAAAACTACGGCTCTGCTAGCCAATCGCGCAAACGTTTCGACGCCACCAGAAGAGCAATCTCCAACTCTGCATCTCCAACTCTTCTCCCTCACCTCAAGCTGGCCAAGGTCTGCGAATCGGTCTGGGGCTGCAACAGACAGATGTACACACATCAGCGCGGAAGAAGAGCAGCATTGCGTCAAGAACAATCGGGAAACTTTGCTCTTCTTGTTTTCAGGTAGTCGCGCGGCACACACGAATGGACCTTGTCTTCTCAACGTGAAGTGGTTGTTTTGTCGGGCACTACAGGTTCCCGTGTCTTGCTGAGTTGGTGAAATGGTTATCCAATAATAGCATAGTAACACAAACCTGAGACACCTGGCTCGTCTCACAGTTCTTGTCCAAAGAGCCGCTGGTCTCGGCTTTGGCTTCGGCCGCAGCTTGTCGTAGATATACCCGTCTACTGTAGCACGAAGCGCATTTGCGGTTCGCCCCATGCCAAACTTATCCACGTTGTATCCATCCCGGAGGGTCTCGAGAAATTCGTCTTCCTTAAGAGTCCAACGTTTCTGTGAACCTTGGAAAGACAAAGAGGAGTGATTTTCGCATTCGGGGTTAGGCCCGTGACCGGGATTGAGGCCGAGATATTCAATTCTCTGGATAATGTCCTTATCCGTTCGCTTTATCTCGGTCGCCGACTTGACTGGTGCTGGGTCCTTGATTCAGTTCGGCCGCAATTGCTGCTGCCTTTTCCCCGACTTAAAGTAAGATTTGATCGTCGTGTCTTCCTCCGGGGTCCAGTCCCGGCGCTTGCTTACGTGCACCGGTTTACCATCCTCGTGGCTTGTCGTATCCGTGGTACGATCCGTGTCAAATTTTTGCTTCACTTCAGTCGTCATCTGTTCCTCCATTGCACCCAGCTCATCCGACTGCATCATGTCGTCCTCGGTGTCACGGCAATACTGTTTCTTGCGCTTGTGCTTTGGCCTGGGTAGAGGCGAGGTTTCATCGGCCGGTCGTTATCTCGTCGACGAGGTACAAGTCGACTGCTGAACTCGCCTCTTCCGCATCCTGGCCAGCGGTTCCGTATGAGGGCACCGAAGCGCTGCCCTGCTGAATAGGCAGCTCGCTCTTGTCAACAGAGCCATTAGGTTGGGCATCGTCTTTCTGAGCTTCTTGGATAGCCAGGGTCATGAAAACATTTTGGTCAAGGGTCATGCTGCACACCAATTCTTCCCAAAGAGGTGCGATCAGAACACCATAACGATCGCGCAGCCCAAGAATTCTAGGGTTGTGTTGTGCTTTCCTAGAGCGGCTTCAGTGGGGTGGGGGTTCTATTGGAGAGTCAGTTCATTGGACACTGAGCAAATGAGATTCCCGCACAAGACTTGCCTGGGATTCTTTCCCCGACGCTTCTTTCAAGCAGATGTGGGACAAAGTCCAAAATTCCAAAACGGAATTCTTGGTCAATATTTTGGTCGATATTTTGGTCCAAGCCCCGTTTGGCAAGGAAGTTGACAAGATGGTAAGACATCATAGGCTGGTCTTTTATTTTTGGAATATGGTGGTATAGATCATGCATGGCTACCCTGCGGAGAGTCGACCAGTTTTTCTCATTAAAGAAAGCTCTTCAGTTCGTGGATTCGGCCGAAGCGACACTGCCGACAGCGAGTCCTCTTTGTCATCGTCCCCGAATCGCACTGGGCGGACAACGTCCGACTCTTGATGAATGTAAGACACTCGGCGAGTATCAAATTAGCGGTCAGCGATATTTCGAAACGCCGATGATCCTGCTTGATAGGGAGTGCTTGATTCAGACGATAGAAAGGCGAGCACGGCATCTCTTTGGGCCTGAGATCAGCTACAAAGTTTGCTCCCCATGCTTGGGCCGATCGATTCCGTGGAGGTGTCCCCTGGTTCTCAGTTAAATCCCTTGATAATGAGCAGGCTTGGTCAACATGGGCCAATTGATGAACTTGTCAAGCGGTAGCCTCTGTTCTGAGTTGGTTTGCATAGTCGTCCTGAGGCAGGCTCCGCGTCATCACTGTCGTCAATAGTGTGCATAATGCAATCCTCTACACCCCTCATCGGATCCAACGCCTCAGAAAGAAGAGGTCAGCACCGTTTCTTGGACTGCTGATTCCGAATAGTCTGGGCGGGTCATGTTGAAATGCACCGGCAGCTTACCAAATTCGGCGCTGTAGTATTTCTCCTGCAAGGGCGCCATGCTGGAAGAGTTCGTTGGTGACTGTCGCGGACAGTTTGATGAAAGAAGAGAAAGGTAGGCCAAGTTTCGGTTGAATACCGTCAAGTGAGAACTCACCGACTTAAGCCGGCAGCTGCCCCCCTTTTGCCTCTACGCATGAATAGTCCGTAGTTGAGGCTAGTACACAATGGGCTAGCATATCGGCATACTGTACTGGCTCATTGCTTGACTTTGGGATAGAGCCTAGAGGTATCAGTTAGGCTGGACCAACGCTTTTGACCAGTCCCACTGCTACGTCCTCGTCGAGATGCTCTGAATACCATGATTGGCAGCACACAAGGCAGCCACAAGCGCTGGTATAGAAATATTGGCCTCATATATGTACCAGAATATGATCAAGTAGAGGCTGGTTCAAAACTCAGGCTGGTACATTGATGTGCTAGCTCCAAGTTTGGACTGGCATAACCATATGCTAGCCCGACTTTTGGGCCAGCCCAATTGCAGGCTGATACTCCCCAATGCGCAGTGTGCAAAAGTGCTCACACTGCATTCTAGGAGCGAGTGCGCCTCCAAGTTCTGCTGTCTCTACTACTGACGGCGCGCTCGCCCCGAGCTTCTGGTTTTCTAGATTGCAGTCTCCGCTTTCTCTATTCCTGAGGCCTCGGGTCGCCTTTCAGAAGCACAGAGGTGGACAAGGCTTTCCAGGACTTGCACCACACGGAGACGCTGAACTTGGCAGAATGTTTGTTGGAATTAGAAAAAAAGACATGGTTATAATATCAAAACCGAGAAAGAAAAATAGGAGGCGTGATGATTTTATAGTAACATTTTCAACAAGGCAATATAAATAGTCATCTTGATTTCAAGACCCGCTTGACCACTTGCAACAATCGTAAATGCCCAAGAAAACTGACAGACCACTGTGGATACCTTGGCTCCAGTGGATTTGCAACATTCTGGCCATGTTTCGCGATGCTGGACAGGGCTCTAAGACGCTGATAGTTGGGTTGGCTGTGCCAAATCTTGCTCCCGAATTAGCCGGTCACCTTCTGCCATAAATCACTCCTGGGTACTGCAAGGAGTAACAAACGCGCAACCCCAACAAAGAAAAAATAAATCGTCCACTCGAATAGACAATGGCACTACAGAGAATAATAGTTCAACACATTCAATGGGCTATGGATAAGAGATGACGTTGTAAATACATGCATGTAGTTTCATTGATATTGAGGGTGCCTATGGCGCTTTGACGAGGCCACCAGCATGCATGGAAGCTGAACAGTCGCTAGAATTTAGCGCAAGTACTTTCATACAGCGGTTACCCAAGGTATGTACAGTGCCTCGCAAAAAATCCCGACCCATTTCACTGTATGCTTAACACTGTATTTTCCACTATACATCCATTATCATCCCACTATAACCCACTATCTACAGTATGAATGATAACAGATATAAATCTTATACTTTAAACTATTTCTTAAAAAATAAATACTATATGTGATTATTATTATGTTATAGTTTATAAATCCTATTATATAAGCTTATAATAAAAAGCTTTTTATTATTATTTTTCTATAGTAGTCAATATTAATTATATAGTTTAATTTATTATATTTTGGTGGTATACTGTGCAAAAGTCGGAATTGATTTCTCCCCACTACCTGTACTGAAAAAGTCCATCTTTCGCCCACTCAGAGAAAATGTCAGCCGCGCTCTCTCACTTCATCCGGAATCCTGCTCCAAAATCTTCTCTGCAACATATCCGTGGGAAGCAAACAATTTGATCATGGTTGGATAGATCCTGGCTAATCCTCGAAATAGTTGCTCTTTGTCTAATTTCCATTTCAATAGAAACAAAGAAACGTCCGACAGTTGCTTCTTTGCCAGACGTCAATTTCCAGGGTATCAAATCCAATACCACAAACACACTCTTCGATCCACCCCTTACCTGTCAAGACGTCAAAATAGCAGAGCAAAGTCCAGGATACCCGATGATGTGCTACCAAGACCGCAACATGGGCTCTGCCACAATAATAGCGCAGACAATACACAATCTCTAAACATGTCGCACAGAAAAAAAGATTTTGTTTGTTGGGACCCCTCCCTTTGAAGACACCGTCTGAGCTGACTCGCTGAGCTGGTATTTCAAAGGCCTTGCCGACGGCGGGAGCTTCGATGAGCGACGAAGGACATGTTGTTGGATTCTCGCTGCCTCGTTATGGTCTCTGAAGATTCGCTGGCCACCGACAAGCAATCGACCATCAATTTATATTTCTTTCAAGTTCTGCGACCTTTACCAGAGATAACGCCACCACTAGGCTGGTCTGGAAGCGGATTTTCTGAAGCCCTCTTCATCAGCTGCTGAGCTCCAAGGCATCCTTTGCAGTGTTCCTCGCCGCAAGGCTCAAAGATCTTGCCATTAGGTCGCTTGCCCCCAAGGAGCCTCTCGGTTAGTTTTGGCTTATCCTCGCAGCCGTCAAAGGTTTTTGAAACATGTCTTAGGCATTGAATAGTCGCGACAAGATATCCCTGTGGCCACGTTGTCCAGGCCTTGCATGCTTCCTTTGCGTTTGCCGGACTGATTGGCTGAGTAAGTCCTTTAAATACAACATTATCGTGTCTTTGTTCTTAGCTGGAATGATCTGCCATCTGCTAGGACTTTTCAATGACGCCAAAGAAGCACCAAGGTCTATTTTCTTTCCCAAGAGCTCTCCCGGAGCAGTGACATGAACCAAATCGCCGGCTCTTCAGCACAAGGCTCTCGGGGCTTAACATCTCTCAACTCCATTATAGCATCATACGAAGCTTTACCGCCATCCCACCGAGGCTCGCAAAATGGCTTCTTTGCCAGAATTTCAGGCTCGTCTTTCTGTCTATTGGCCCATACGTGGGCCAGTTGCAGTATAGCGCAAATTTCCGGTATGTAAAAGGCACGTCGTACATGAGCAATGGGCCGTCTTTGCAACCAAAAAGCCTGTCATCCCTACGTGTTACATCTTGTGGAACGCGCCCATATACGCCCCTGGTGTAGGCGATGTTTGCTCCTATGCCTAGCGCACCAAATTTTGATATGCTCATTGTTGGAGTAAGCTTCGTTTCCATCATGAATCCCAGCGAATATCCAACGGCGCCTTGAAGCATTGGCTGACTCATATCCTGATGGCAGTGAACCTACAACAACGCACACATTTGAATTATACCCAAGGAATGGCCGCGCCGCGCTCAGAATCTCGATTTATAAGCCGTTGATACCTGTTTTGAAAAGATGGTGAGTAGCTTGTTCTTCGGGATCTTGGGATTGTATATAGTGCTATTGGACTGACTTCGAGTTAAGCTGCCTCTGAGGCACAAGCGTAATAGAAAACCTTTGAACAACACCCCTTCTGGCGTCTGCAATGAATATGGGACGCATGGCATGGAAGGGTAGTTCGAGCCCAACGCCACCATTTATTTTCCTAATAGGAAAGCCTTCAGCTATTACTGTATTATTGAGCAACGGTCGCCAGCAAAAGTGTTCTTTGATCGAGTCAATCTCCTGTAAAGCCACCAGGCCGATATCAAAAAACATTTACTTGGAACAAGTCTCAGAGATGCCAATTCCGATTTGCTCCCCACTTCCTAACGTGACCATTCCCTCGATCTCGAACGCTAGAGTTTGAAAGTGTGCTATGCTTGGGCATCCAGAAAACGGCGCTCAACCAAGCTAATAGTTGGCCAAAGTAGATCAAATCGTACCGCATGTCTGACACGTCGATTCGAGATTCTCAAATTCTGAATAACAACGGTATAGTTCTAAAGTATGACTCAGGGGGGTACCAGTGGTTCTGTCTTTGCTGGTTCTGCCTTCAAAGTTGGCCCTTGCAGAAAGGAATCGCGAATGAAAATGAAACTGACCATCTTCAAACAATTTCTGTGCGTGTTGTAGCATAGACTGCAAAGCATCAAACTTTATCGCAGGCCAAAACAACTTGACGTATCTTTACATGGGTATTTCTGCGCAAGGCTCATGAATTATTCCATTAATGGTCAGAACTGATTCAATAAACTCCGGTAGCTCCCATCGTACCACGAAAGACAAATCGTAAATGTCTGAATCTATATTCTCTTCCACATCGATAGACTATGGTAGCTCCCATCTCACGATAGAGAATTGATTGCAAGTATCCAGATAGTTCATATGCTGAGACAGTGTTTTCGAGATGTCGCGGAAAGTCTGGGGCTCAATCACGACATATTCTGGCGCCAAGCCTGCCTGAACAATATCCACATGAGATATCGGCTTGCGAATCACTCTCTTTCCACTTCTATCGGGTCCATATATATGTCCTCTGTCTCCAAGTACTGGTCCAGAAAACCTGACATTGTCCCCAAGTATTGGTTCGGAAAACTTGGTAATGAGATACAGGAATCAATCCTCCCGTGGGGGCCTGTGATAATCTCCTCATCACATATCCGCCACTCAACCGAAGCGTCTGTTTTCTGTAAAGGTCCCTTGCGCACGTTTAGCAGTGAACCTGGCCTGATCAGAGACCCATACACGCGGCAATCCCACGCTTTCCCAAGAAATATGGTTGCCTCTTGCAACTAGTGTGCGAACAATATGACGGCGATTGTGTTTTCTCAACATTTCCTCCACGTGAGCGGACAAATACGGAAGCTTCGTAGGGAAGCGGAATTGCTTTCGCGAGTGTGGAGGCACACTGGCCTGAATACTATTCGCTGGGTAGAGCCACTCAACATTGAGTTATGGGCCAAGTACAGCAATAGTAAAGTACAATTCGTGCTCGCCATCATTTATAAGGGTATTTTAGAATCGTTTCTCAAATTCATAGTTTCTCGTCCTGGATCCAGCATCTACAGCTTTCAGGGGCTCCAAAGTTACGAAAAATGGCCGTGGCTCGGAATGCTCCGTCTCTCGGACGTCAAGCAGTTGTTTGGAGCAAGCTAGATGCGCAAGAAATAAATCAGATTTAGTCACAACTCTTGTATCATCAAAGGGTATCTTGATGTGGCGTATCGGAGCAATATACCCAACTGGCGACTAAGAACCGCAGATTATGATGCTCTCTTTGTGTACGCCAAGTCTCAGCGGATCCAAAACTGTCTCATCTTGGCCACGCATCACGATATTGACTGGGCTTGAAATCTAGGTTTCGAGAGCAGTACGCAATGGCGGTTGCGAGGGCGCCCAAAGGTCGGGGCCTATAGCAATACTCAGGGCCGCTTCACCCAAACGCCAACGTAATGGGACAGCCATGCAGGGCTTTCGTGCATCCGGGTCATCAGACTGGTCGGGTATCGCTACCTGACATATAAAACCTTAACGTGCTTGGCCGAAAATACAATGTTAGAGGCCCATTGCCGCAACTCGGCTGAACAAACACGGCCATGCAAGCCTTGGGATGTCGGCCGAGAATATTTTTATCAAGAGAATTTTGACCAAGGATAGAGTGATAAGATTTTTATTTCAATATCTAGTAGACTGGCTGTGCAGTTCCCAATATCTATCATGTCCTAATACATATATCTACCCTTCATTCGTCGGAATGAATTTGTCCAGAAAGACGTTTCTCAAAGCCGGGCAGCCACTAAAGCAATAGAAAATGAAACATTTCAGTATGAGCTCACATGGATTCAAGGTTGGATAGTGAGCGGCGCCTCAATCTTATAGCTTCCAGCACTGCTGTAGAAGTACCGTCCACAGGTAAGTATCGCTAGAAAGAAATTCCATCAGCTGTCAAGCGGCAAGAAGCACCCGAGAATCCGCGGACCCCACCAAAATGCACTGCGTTGCAGCTTTGTGAACACAGCATTGAACTCTTCTTTCCATTGCCTTCAATTACACTCGTTACAATCATTACACTCACTTCACTCAACTTTGCGACAAAATGCCAGAAGCACAAGAACCTGGTGCCGCGCTGATCAGCAACCGCAAGAGAAATCACGAGTTCACTGCCGTACAGAGAGCTGCCATATGCGCCCAGATATCAGAGGGAAAGTCTTACCGTGTTGTAGCGGTCGAATTCAACACTTCTTCTTCGACCGTCTTTAATATGTTCAAGCGGTGGAAAAAGAATCAAACACATGAGTCAAAGCCAAGAAAAGGCCGGCCAAAGAAGTCGAAGCCGACGCCGATCGAGACGCCGACCGAGACCAAGTAACGTGGACGGCGACAGCCAGAAAGCAGAGGGTGATGGAAGCATGTATTTGGAAGTAAGTCGCCCGCCATCTCGCTTCTAGTGGGAACAGATAGTGGGCGTATAAGTAAGATTTGAGCGCTGTTTTGTAACTAATTGGGCGCGTGGTCTAGGGGTATGATTTTCGCTTCGCATGTGAAAGGTCAGGGGTTCAATTCCCCTCGTGTCCATATTTTTGCGTTTCAGTACGTCACTTCACTTTTTTTTTTTTTTTCCTTTTCCTTTGCTGCCGTCTCCTCCTTCTGCTTCTTTTTCTTCGTCGACATCTCAAAAATCAAAATCGGGGTTGATAATCTCAATCTCCCCATCCCAACCATCCATATTTAACATCCATCGTGCATTCCCACAATTGCCTTTTTCATTGTTCATCCTTTCCCGTACCATCTTAGCTGGCCGGTCTCACCCACACGGTGCCACTATTTCCACATAATTAGCCCGACGCCTTCACCCTAAATGGATTCTGCTGGAGCCTTGATTCGTCAAAAGTTTGAAGACCAAGCCATCGATCCAGTCTAGCCCCTGTTATAGCCGTGTCGCTAACTCTATTCTCTCTCAGGATCCAATTATTGCCCGATAATTCTTCGGTTTATGTTGGCAAGACGGTTGGAGGAGACCTGTAGGCGATAGATAATAAAGTCACCAGATAGTAAGAGAAAGACACGGAGAGATCAGTCGCCAGAGACGCGATACTCGTTTGTGCACTTAATAAGTTTCCGCTCCATCCAGTCTGCCAACTGTCTGTCGCTGAGATTGAGATAGTTTCATTCCTTTCATTTCCTTTGTCTATTTCTTTCAATTCATTTATCTCATTGTATTGCTTCGTCCTTCAATGATATCGCAACAGCTACTGCAAATCACCAGCTAAATAGCGCCATTTCTCCAAACAGGACATCCATTGACGGAAATCCTTACAGCCACAGACATAGCAGCGCTGGAGGAAAGCCTGACGCATCAACCAACAGACGCTCTACACATTCAATATCCGCTGGAATGGGTGGATGTACGAAGCAGACGAAAGACTTTCGAAGACTTTGTTAATCATTGGAGACGACAGCGTGTGCTCGGACTGACCGATTCACTGATCGACACCTCAACGAAACGCACAAAACACCTACAGATCTCGCCACGATTGACCATGTCATCCGAATCGTCCAACTCGTCAGCATTGACAAACAAGTCAACACACAAGTCAATATATCAAAGCCTAGGCGACCTTGCAGCACTACAGCAGCCAGGAGGAGCCATCTCTGCAGCGCCTCTCTGCACATCTGTTAGGGAGGCCGTTGATGTAGAGTTTAGATGAATATTAACATGAAGAGGGCTAATAATTGAAAGGTCTAGTGATAGACCCTTTTTTGCCCTTTTGACTTTTTTGTTGTTTTTCTCTTTGCCGCTGCCGCGAAAAAAAAAAAGATTAACAAGACCTGTTGGGGGCCCTGGATTTTCATCGTCGAGAGCTGTGGCCTTCACGAGATCAGCAGCTGTGGACATGGGGCCAGAACAAGACCGATGCGCCGTGCCAGGCCTGGTCATTCGGTCGAGGAACCACCTTGTCTTGAATAGCACGAACCAAGCTAGGCGTCCCAATAAGTCGATGACCCTGTTCCAATTGACGGATCGCTCCTACAAGGATGCGATCTTGCCTCTCTTCAGTAAAATCTTCATGCCCGCTCAAAGCGTTCATAGTGGTGAGCAAAGCTGCTGCACTAATCGAAGTCATCTTGTTCAATCGAAGCCGCCTATTTTGATCAAAGTCACCTTGTTTAAACGTATCCACCTAGGCAGGCAGGCAAGTTACTTTTCACTTTCAGCGCATTTTCTTTTCCCACTTTTAGCAGCCACTTTCTTCTATAACGAGATTTGTACAAATTTATAGCTAGAATACAGGGCTTTCTCTTAAACAGAGTGCATGAAGATTTTACTAGAGCGTTATATTCGAATATGCCGCTTTTAATTAAAAGAAACATCTATGAGGAGTAAATAGTTTTATGCGGCGTTATAACGTGGCGAAAACCACCATCGCAGGATACTGAAAATGAGCTATGAAACATTAAAAGAACAGGTACATTAATATTGCGAGAGCGGTAAAAGATTTTGCCCTGACCAATTGCCAGTCGAATCAGTTTTAAATCCATTTCACATTGTTCTTTCAATACATTAATAATGGCAAAGCTGCAAGTGCGATTTTCTCCGGTTGGCACCTACGCAAATTTGCTTCGCAACTTTGCTCAACAATCTTGGGTCTCTTCAGCAAGAAATCGATATAGAGAAGCTTGTAGTCCATGAGAAATGGACATTCCCATCCTTGCTCGATAATCCAACGTCGTTGGCATTCCGTAGCCTAGGATATTTATTTGTTTATTTGTTTGTTTTATTATTAACGTCTACTAAATAAGCCAGTTACATAAATCCCTTCGGGGCAATAGGACGGTAGGAGCCGCTAACTTAGAGTCCGCGTTTACTATGTGTCATTTAAAACAAAAGAAAGTTATTGTATTAATCTGTATCTTAGGGGGCAGGGCCATAGGGGCTTGTGTCATCCACTAGTGTCTGAAAGTGTTTATATCCGTTGGGGCCTAAAAGGTAGGTAAGGGGGGTGATGCCCGCACAAAGGTCATTTTCAGGGACTTCTGGTAGGAAAGGTTGCATCATTTTGCATTCCATAAAATGGCCTTGTGTCCTTGGTTTACCGCACTTGCAGGTGGGCCTGGCGCCATGTCCGAATCTTTCGTAGTACTCCACGAAATCTCCGTGTCCCAATCTCTCTGTGTACAGCTTGTGCAGTATGGCTTTTGGTAGCTGTAGCTCTGGGGGTTTGGATAGCGCGTCTAGTCGCCAGCGTCTGTAGTGTAGCCTAGGATGCTCTTGGAGAGGAAAATCGAGAAAATCGGCACCCGAGGGCCGCTAGGTCGTAAGGTTCTATCCCGCCTGCTGGCAAACTAATCACTGACAAATCCTTTCAATAGAAGTGATCGACTGTATTCTTTGCGATAGAACGCCTTGATTTACTCAAGATAAGCCGAAGGAAGCAGTTGGAATAAGCCATGCGTCTGCTTGATATTGGCTGGAGTTATCATCCTCATAGATGAGAGGCGACGCCTGAATTGTGCGGATTAATTCTGCGGCTGGTTTTGGGTGCGCGAATTCTACTATCTACCATCACCGTCTTTGTGGTGCCATTAGTGAATGGCAGCGTGGCGAGAGTAGTGATGCTGAGAATTTGTCCATGGGTTTGAATGCCTCTTGCTCCCACTGTCCACTGGGTGGACAGTGGAGCTACGCCGTAATGTTTTATCCCGCCAGGATCAGCGCAAGAGAGAACTCTGGCCTCGGCCTCAATAGACCTCCTGCCATTATCCCACATCTCAAGGGCTGCCAAGCGGTTCGCAAAGCAAAATTTCGGCCTCGGCCTCAATAGACCTCCTGCCTTCATGCCCAATGGAAACAGTTGTGTTAAAGGGACGTCGGAATCCAACACGAATGTGAATGAAAATTCCGATTGAGAGAGTGGCTCCCCTCCATCCTCCAAGGAGTAAACGAACTTGGGCGTGGTTCGAAGTGATATGAGTGAGGCCCTGGATCGGATTGAGCCGCCTCTTGCAATCTGAGCTCCGGCCTCGGCCTCAATAGACCTTCTGCCGTTTTCCTACTTCTCGAGTATCTTCATGCCCAATGGAAGCAGTTGTGTCAAAGGGACGTCGGAATCCAACATGGATGTGAATGAAAATTCCGATTGAGAGAGTTGTTGCGCTCCTTTTCCCAAGGGAGTAAACGAACTCAGGCGTGGTCTGGATCGGATTGAGCCGATGCGCTCCACTGCAGGTGTGCTTGACAGTGGAGCTACGCCGTAATGTTTTATCCCGCCAGGATCAGCGCAAGGGAGAATTCCGGCCTCGGCCTCAATAGACCTCCTGCCTTCATCCTACACCTCAAGGGCTGTCAAACGGTTCGCCATCCGGATCCCCCGCCTGCTGGCAAACAATGGGAATCTGCCCATTCCCCCCATTGTAATCTCCAAGTCTCTTTTATCGGCCTTGTGCCATGTCTTTTGAGTCTTGCATCCACTGTCCACTGAGTGGAAGTGAAGCAGTGTCGATTGTCCAAGTCGCCGAAAGAAGAGCTGTAGAGGCCGTAGACATCACGCCAGTGATTATAACGTCTTCGACGGGTAATATAAAGCATCGCCGGCGCCAGAAGAAGCTTCAACGCTAGAAAGGTCACGGCTGGGTAGTCGCATGTTTCTTGGCTGCTCATCAAGTTGAGAATGCCTTGTATGGCTTTGTGGATACGATGAGCGAGGGTCAGATCGATATGCCTTTGAGCGACGGTATTGGCACTTTGTCGCCAACTATCATGTTGTCCTCCATGTATCTCTCCAGTCACGCGGCTTACCCGGAAAGAAGGGCGGGTGATAAAGTTGGTCGGGGTGAGTCCATACTGGCACGCCGGAGAACCGCGAATGTGGCACGACACACACACCTCGCTGTGAAGTTTGCCAATCTGCTGGTGGACGAAAAGGTTTATCCAGCCAGGACCGCCGTTGACAGGGACAGTCTATTACAAGAGAGAGCTCTGGCCTCGGCCTCAATAGACCTCCTGCCAGTATCTCACATCTCAAGGGCTGTCACATAGTTCGCTACCTGGATCCACGTAGTGTTTTGATCGTGGAACAACCGACTTGATCCGCTTTCACCCGCCGAGGGAACAAGGGACCCAGCCCTTACGGAAGATAGAGTAACGGGAACTGACGCTGCCAACACCACCGCCAACACCGCAGCGCAAGCCACTCTCCCAGTCCACCTGTCCAATGAATAATTCAATCTCCTTTTTGGACACATGATTGATCTATCACAGGCCCGCGAAACTCGGCCAAGAGATAAGTGAAAGCTGAGTCATATTGATGTCTTTAACCCCGGAGCTTTAGGTCAGACTTCTGGTTGCACCGTTGCAGGGACGTAAGTTGATAACTCTGGGGAGAGTATTCCAGACAACGCAACTACCCCGGAGAGAGAGGAACAAATCTGTCTTAATCTGTCTCAGCTACTCCGCGGACCTGCACTTGACTGGCGGGTTTCGTTGGTTCAACTAGCTGAAAAGGAACTCATAAAATCTTCCATTCAGACCCGGATCGCAGCCTTCAAACGCTAATTTCTCTTGGATAGAACTGAAGCCATTGCCAAACTCGAAGGACTCCGCTATACAGCACAAAACTGCCGAGATAATGTCGATATCAAGAAAGAGGCACAATTCATGAACAGCTAGGTTATACAGCGAGTCTCTGCCAAGCGACGTGTCAGTGACACCTGTTGCACGAAGTAGCACAAGTCCTGGGAGAGAAGATCCGTGTCGTGTCACAGGGCTGTCAGAGGCCTAAGACGCAATTGAGAGAGCATTCATACTGTTGAATCAGCTACACTGTCGGGAGCTGAATCTCTCTCGATCTGGGCGAGGTAGCCAGTAATTGCAGCAGACAACCTCCCCGGGCGTAGCGACCCAAGAATTCCCTAGATATTTGCAATCTCATCTGGGTTATCTGATTCTCAGCGCCAACTCTTTTCGATACTTGCAGTCGAGTAAGTGAATATCTTATTCTGATCAAATCGTCTGACATCTCAGGATACGCAATAACTATAGTCGCCAGGAGGTCATATTGGGCGTCTTGTAGTCCTGCTCAGTCCAGAAGCGCTAGGACTTCTTCTATCAGTGACCCAATATAGCGCGCCTATCCGTTTGCAACTCCAACAAGATATTCGTTTTTGTTAGTCGAGCCCTAGGGCTTGTATCTCGTTCCATCCGCAAAGCATTACCCCAAACTATGCGAAGCGAAGAGGGCCTGCTGAGGTATAAAGCGGCAGAGGTAGAGGGACTTGAAGGGCTGCAGCTGCAGCAGAAATGCTATGGAGATGTGCGAGGCTGTAGGCACATGTACCATGCGTTAAGCTTCAGCCGGAGTACTGCATTTGGAATTGTTTTGGGCATTGTGCCTCTATTTTCATCCTCGAGGCGCAGCACATACTGTACCTGGAACTGCGCAATCCATGATACTGCAAGTGGCGAGATATAGGTAAGCCAGCTGAAGTGACATGCTATCCATTGGATTTTTGCAGAAACAGTTTGCGGGCTGTGCTGCTGAGTTCGATACTTGGGCGGTCCTGGGATATGACCGTGTACTTTAACAACCTTGATGTTGATTGTAAGTTGTACCCCGACACGTCAATTTTCTAGGCGATTTGTTTCAAACCCCGCCACTCTGTTTGTTGTCGTCGCCTGCTTGCCCGCCGTTGCCGAGAGCAACTAAAGCTTGGCCACGCCACGGCTCTAGCGGGAAGGAAGCAGCAACATCCCTCCTGTTAATAATTTATCTCCTCAGCTGCCCAGGGTGACGCCTCGTTTACTGCAACAAAAACCCGGCTTAATGTAAGCAAAGAAAAAAAAGAAAAGGAAAGAAAAAATAAATAAATAAATGGCTTGCTGATCTGACGCATGGAAAGGTGAATCCCGCCGGTTTAGACTCGAGGCCAAGTGGGCTGGCTGGGATAAAGTTAAGTTTCAGAGCTGCTCCATTGCGCAAGCGAAAGCGACAGCGCTCATGTTTGTTTCTAGCACAGGCGCCAATTAGCTGGTGAGCGGCTTTGGCCGCCTGTGCAGGGAGGTCTGGATCTCTGATGGGCCACTTGCTGTAGCCTCGTGGCAGGGCCCCTTGCTTGGTTCGTCTTGTCAGATGAAGTGGTTATGGACAGGCCCGGGCTACTCTGCAAATGCACGACAGGCCATTCTCTGAGATCCATGTCTTTGGATTACTCTCCAAGCGTGATATTTGCCACTCTTGAAGCATCAACCGCGTCAACTCCTCCTCCTGATTGATTCACTTGAAAAGGCCAAATGTGATGTTCAAGTTTTCAGTCATGTATGCGATAACATTTCCCCGTTCCTAGGCCTGTACGCCGCGGGCGAGGTGGTAGGATTTGGCGGTGGAGGTGTCCATGCCTATAACTCGGTCGAGGGTACATTTCTGGGGGGCTGCAATAATTCGTGCTTCAGAGACTCTAACAGACGTACTTGGGCATGTTATAATGCGTTTAAAGCTGCCGTGATCCATATTTACAAATGGCTTGCAGTTGGATAGGCAGATATTGCATATGCTAATGCCTGCAATGTGGGGAGAAAGCTGGCGGCCTTTCGAGATGGCCCAGTACCAAAGCCTCCAATACAAAGAGCAGTGGGGTGCCCTTGAAGTTGGATAGATCAATATCATCCTCTTTGATGCTCTCGAGGTTCCCGAGCACTTGAAAGGTCCTGAGCCTTTGTAGTTCCCACGCAAAGACCGCTGAAGTTGAAGCTTGGAGACCAATTTGATGATATCGTCTTGCTGTCTTTGACTGCAACCAACAAGAGCGACATAGTTATTCAGCCAAAGTTGGCTAGATGTGAACAACGAACCCCTCTCTTGATCCTCTACAGGAGGCCCTTGAAGACGAACCTCAATTGATCCATCAAGTTGAACCTCTTGGCGTAACCCACGACAACCATGATGTTATGGAAGCAAAAGTCAACGCAGGAGTACATGCGCAATTTGATGCTGGTTTGGAATAAGAAGTCACCACCAGATTGGTGAGGGAATGAGCAACAACAGTAACAACAACATTGGCAACGACTGCGACTGTCAAACCTTGTGGCGGAGAAATGACCACAAACTCGACGTCTGACTTGTCCTGGGCCTGCAACTGCGGCTGCGGTGTCTGAGGGTACGATTTAAGCCTCAGTTTAATGCCCTCTGAGATGGTCAATAGACTATAAGAAGCTATTTTGGGTGCCGCCTCTGCATAATAATAGCACTGATATGACCTTTCTGGACCGCGAACACCAAGGTAGGCCGTAATTAAATAAAACCGTAAAGGCCGCTTTGCGAAGGTGGAATCTGAGCGAAATGCCTTCCGGATTTGCTGTATTAATGGGAGAGAATGCAAACCAGCCACCACGATCGCTAGCCCTAGGTCGAAAAACTGAGCGGCAACTGGTCCGAAGATTGCCAAATCACGATTTTCGCCGCCTGCAATTGAAAAAATTGTTCTTTGGTGTTGTTGCAAGTTGAAAATGCGTGTTGGAATGTGTCGTATTATGTTATGCCCATATGGGATGAGGTAAAGCGCGGCTGGCAAAGCCCACAGCAAGCGCCCATAAGGGGATATTTAAATTCCACCTATAAACAAGGGATAAAATGAAAGAAAACGAAGAAGAATGTAATGAAAAGAAAGAAAAGGACAAAATACGGAGAGGAGACGCAGAAGAAGAAGAGAAAGAAGGAAGAAAGGAAGAGGAAAGAAGGAAGGGAGGAAGGAACCTTCAAACTCTGCGCCATGGACAGCGGACCAGAAACTTCAACAACTTGGTTAACACCAACGCCCCCAGTCAGCGCTTTGGCCGTAACGCCCTATTCAGGGTCTTCTTTTTGGTTGATAGCGTGATCAGCTCCGAGATCCTTGAGGAATTGTACCTTATCGCTTCAGCCCGTAGTAGCAATGACTCTTGCGCCGACTGCTTTGACAAACTGCAGTGCAAAAACGCTGACTCCTCCGGTGCTCTCTCCGAGGCTGATGAGGACGAGATGACTTTGGAGATTTTGAAACAGTGCCACCACTGCCACAACAAATGCAGACCAAACAAAATGATGTTGCTCTCCCGCCAGCACCTTCCGCCAATGCTTCAGCGTTGCTAGATCTGCCATCTCTCGATGACCCCCTAGAGTAATAGCCGATTGCGCAAGTCACTAAGAAGCAGCCATGGACGCTTCTAGCGAGCATTCTGTAGCTTGGCTAATCGCACCGGCAAGACCGACCAGATGTACAGAGGATTGTACCGCAACACGTCCAATATCGTCATGATTGAATACGAGAAAGACGTTGAAAGCAGCAAACAGGAGGACATGCGTGGTGGCCTGGAAGAGGCCCTGCGCCTGGGTGAAACGCTTGCCGCGCTCAAAGAGGATGACGCCTGGAATTGCAAGGATCATGACTTTGAGGTGCCTCTTGGCTGTGGCTTTGTTGGTGTCGTAGGCTAGTACTGAGACAGTTGGTTTTCCTTGACAGCGGCTGAAGCAGCGAGGACCTCACCAGTGAGGTTATGCGTATGCTTGAAGGGGAAGAGGACAAATCGTAGAACTTTCCTTCCTTTCCTTCTAGCTTCGCCGGAATCAGCATTCTACTACATCAACCCGCATTTCTGGGCTGCTTCGGGACCGCATCCACTCAAGATCGGAAGTATGCACGGGTCGAATAGGCCAAGCATCTTCAGGACTCGTCTCCTTAAACGATGTGATAGCTATGAGGCCGAGCAGCACTGAGGTGGCCCACGGCTATGGCTCCTCGCTGGTATGGCACCGTTGGTTCGAGGAGCTGTATAAAACATGGACCCGCCTTGAGGGCCGACCGAAGAGTGCCAAGCGTCAAGCGTGAATTCACAGCAGATCCTGCGTAAAAGAAGAAAACAATCTCCCCTCCAGGCAAGGTGTAAGAGCCGCGCAGACGGCTTGTTCTGGAAGGCGAGGACGAAGTCTCTAGACTGCCCGTGAGCATTGAAGAGGCACTCCTGCTCCCTCTCCAGCGCCCGCAGCGGCTGTGGCGGAAGCCGCGCGATGTTCTGCCACCACGGCACTGGCTATAGGCGCCGTCGGGCTTTCGTATCTTGGCGATGCAGCCACCAAGGCTCGGAGAGCGCGAGGTGAAACGATTCATCTATCGGGAAGGGAGACGGAAGCCGTCGTCTCGGGGTGCAAAGCCCGGGTCTTGGCTTTGAGGCGGCACTCTGTGCATATATAGGAGTAGTTGCCTTTGAAGCCGCGGAAAAGATGAACCACAGTCAAGTACCTACACACACCGACAAACGCCATGACAAGGGCACCTCTTCTTGGCTTCCTAGCTGATCCAGCCAGGCTGAGGAGACGCAGGACAGCTGTTGACTTCATAGAGGGATGTATTGGGAGATTTCTACCCAGAAACCTTTTTCTTTTTTGCATGTCAGCAACAGCTAAACTCAACAACTGTTGTTGTGGAACCTTGTCTATCGACAGTCACTGCCGAAAGAAATGGTTTCACGGTCGGCATAACCAACGCCGCCTGGCTTCGCGACGTCGACGCTTTCGCCCCATCAAACGTGGAAGTGAGCCCAAGGACGAATGTGTCAAAATAACCTAATGCCTTTAGAGAACATGGCGATGGATGTAAGATGACAAAATGGGGCATTCCTCGGGAGGACCAAGATGGTGGAGAAGCCAAAGCAAAAGAGAGACAGGGGAGCATGAAGCTTGTAGGATAGGGCTTTGGCGCAACTGTACAAAGCAATTGCAGTACCCTCCAATGTTGAGTATAAAATACACCGACTCATGGTTTCGAAAGCTCTCAAGGCAAGAGATGACGCCTTTGCTGAAGAGGAAATGAAATATCGCTATACATTAGATCCGGATACGACAAACGCAGATATCAAGCTGCAGAGTAGGCTGATTGTGCGAGAGGCTGCCCTTGGGCACTGGGAGTCAGTTCGCGACGGCATAGAGGCGCTCGAGAGTGCTAGCAGCACAAAGCCTAGGCCGCACTCGTCTATCATGATGGCGTATCTGAGAAATCCGTATTGATAAATTGTCCCTTTCATTCAGCGTGGCTAGGACAAAGACTGCAGTCTTTCCCAGACCAGATTTGGCCTGACAGATGATGTCTCCACCAAGGAGGGCTTGGGGGATACATGTTTGTTGGACTATAGATCGCGAGGAAGTTAGACTTCAGTGCAACGTAACCAAGTGTAGCAATGAAAGATGGGTAACATGCGTCAAGGTCCGTCCATGGTCACAGGCGAGAACGCCCTGCTCCTGGCCGTCACGGACAACATGGCAATGTCACCCTTGAGAGAGGCGACGACATTGGCAGTTTGACGAGGCTTTTCAGCCCACCTTCTGCAGCGGAAGGGACTCCAGATTATCTAGTTACGCCGGGCGCCGGCCTGGTGATATAGGATATAAAGAGGCAGAGCGCTCTCTTTACATAGAAATCAACACAGGTTCGCTACGCAAAATGACCCCTAGCTGCTGCAGTGACCTCGTTCCCGTTGGAACGAGGCCTGACAGGCTAGATTAAATGATCCCGTAACCTGTTCTCGTTCCGTGGTCCTTATAGCGGTATGACAAGCAAGATTTCCGATATAGTGTTTGTGTGTGTATAAGTGTGTTCAGAGGTATGTTCCCGACTTGTCATCAAAGCAGCAGACTTTTTCTGGTGGAAGGCGACGAAAGTGTTGAGCAGCAAGATACCACAGATGACAACGAAATCAATCCAGTCACCCAGACCGACAGCCAACAGGGCGGCAACCTGAATATGGACGGCAAAGTTATCCAAGCAGGTCGTTTTGATAACACATCCTCCGAGACAGACCGTGACGCCATGCTTCGAACTCTCCTGGAAACTGCCGATATGGCTGAGTCTGGCGAGCATGAAGAGATGGAAGACGAAGAGCTCAACATGTTACCTACCCGTAACGATGACGAACTCGTCACCTTTCAGAAGCTTTGTCCCCTTCGGCAAAAAGAGCCAACGCAGCAGCCGGTGATGCGATTGAGTGATATATGGAGAAGAAGAAAAAAGAACAAGTGCTCGGACTTGGCCTTGGATGATTTGCGATACACAATTAGCAAAGTTATTGATGTTTTCGTGCAAACTTGCTCTTCGGAAGGCTATGGGCAAATGATGCCTAGTGTGACTTTGAACAGGAGGACTAGCCTTTGCCTATCAACTTCGGCTCAAGCGCTGGCTGTTTTTTGAAAGGTATATCCCTGGAAGAAGAATTCATTCCACCATTTGCTTGCGCCGTTAAGCTAGGAGATGCCAACCTAGTGCGGCTACTGCTTTGGAACGAAGCGAATGCCAATGTCGGATACCGTGACCTCTATGCCTGTCTCATGGTAAAGGATGTCAAGTTTGGGGGCGCATTCTTCCTCGCCCATCTCTATAAGGCTGTCAAGAAGAGATCGCCCCTCATATGATTCATCCAGTTCTCGCTTTTTGCGCGCTCCTTGTTGGTTTATACTTGTTGTATTGCACTCCTCGTGTGCTTTTTTTCTATGAGCTGGAGTAAGGAAAAGACCAACTTCGGCCACGCAGCCACCACCACCATCACCGTCACCGTCACCATACATGAGAGAGTCGCAAGGTTCTACCCCGCCGGTTGTGAGGGAAGTAACAGAAGAGTGGCTGCCAAGTGACAGTGCAGCGGCCATATAGGTAGGTAGGAGTCGGGTGGCGTACGTGCTATTACGCTTGCTGGCGCTTGTAGTTTCTGCAGCAAAGCCTGAGCGACACACAATGAACACTGTAACAATCTCGCCGTGGACATATAAGCAAATAACAAAGTAAGTCCTTCTACTAGGCAATAAAAGACCATCAACAGCGCAGATGCAGGAGATAAGGTCGGGTCATATTCAACGTGTGTCGATATGCCAGACTCAATCTCCTGCGGAACGACGGCGATTGACATGTAAGGCTGTTCGTGTGGACCCAGAAAGTCTTCCTTTTGTAAAGGCAGGTATTTGACGGGTTGCACCATTCTGGCTGGCGTGGATGACAGGTAAAGACGGGGGCCGTAGCCAATTTCAAGTTGCAGAGGTACTCTGTGTGTGCCCCCGGCTTTCCAGTATCTCAAGCAATCCGCAATCCGAAGTGACTCCTTCGGGGTAGACCATCCAATGACCTTGCCATCAAAAATGATGACAACACTCTCATCAGTAGAAGCAGATGATGTTTTGCAGCTCGTCTGTGATTGGGACAGAATCCTAACATCCCGTTACCTGTGGCCACCATATTTGGACAAGACCCAAACATCGAAAGTTGATAGGGAAGAAATTTGAAGGAGACATTGCCGGCACCAGGCTGGTTGATTCGACTAGGCCTGCAGGAGTATTCATCAGGCACAACAGGCAAGGCTGAGAGATGGATGATTTCCCGTAGGTCTGGAGGGCACCCAGTTGGGCGAAGCCGGTGAGGATCACGGCTTGGATGGTGGAATCGGCTGACCAGTCTCGTTCAGCCTGATGGAGCTGAGTAAAGACGCCGAGTATCTGCCACGAGGGACGGATTAGCAGGCTGGTATGCCATCGGACTACAAGAAAAGGTGAAGAATGGATGGGAAAATAACAAGTGAAGAAAAGAAGCACCTTACTCAAATGTCTCCCGCTCTCTAGCAAGGAAAATTACCAACTCGCAGCTTCAGACGTCGAATACGCACGACGTCGAAGGACTCATACTGCCGACCATTATCTGGTCGATTACTAGCCCAACAAAGACGACGTCACTAGAGAAACCAGCGGAAGAAGCTGATCTTGATGGGCAGAGCAGATAAGAAGGCCATCACGACGAACGAATCGTAACGAAGGCTGAGGCATTGACCCCTTCGTCGACATACGTATTATGGAGGAAGAGATAGCTATGACGCTTGCAAGATGAATCGCGATGGTCGTCAATGGGGATTTAATCAGAGCTGCACAGCGTTGTAAAAAGCGCAAACAACAAATTGACGTGTATGTGCTCTACAACACAATCCACCACACCCCTTCAAACGCAAGGATCGCAGACACCTGCTGTTCGTCCCTCTTCCTCTTCTTCGACATCTGATAGCTTACTTGGCCCCATATATCATATCTAACATGTCGTGACCTTGACGAGGTTCGAAAGTTAACAACCATCACCTTGGCGCGCGACGCGTTGTACAAAAAGTTGTTCATGTCAAGACCGAGCCCCGCCGGAATGCCTCGCTCAGAGGGGTCATTGTAGACGACGAGTAGATAGGGTGAAAGTGTTGAATTTGGATACGTTGAATTGATTCCCGATTCCAAGTGATGATTTGCCGGACATCTTCGTAACGTTGTCCCGGCTGTCTATCGGCAGTCTGGTTGTTAGCCCTGGGTCGACGATAACCGTTGTTTTGTAGACGGTAGAGATGTCTTCTACGGACCATGAACAGCATACCTAGGAGTTTGACCGATACCGTAGCGAGACTGCCTACGAGACTGAAGATGATATCGATCACCCCAGGCTGACTGCTGAGCAAAGACGAAGATTCACTATGGATGTTGATATGCCGCTAAGTGATTAGGAAGCATGACGAAGACCGAGTTCAAGGATCACGCCATTTCCTTGCTCCTCAAGATGTTCAATATCAAGCACACGAGAAAAAACATTGTCGGCAATGCTTCTGTCCGAGGTGTGAAGAGTAGTAGCACTGGAGAGATTGAAAGAACAGCTGCCACGGGGAAATTGGGCTGCAGGTGGGTGGGCCAACCATCTCCTGCAGCAAAGAAGAGCGGTCAAAGCTTTGTTCCGTTGCAGGTACGAGCAGAATTGAAGCAATAGGGCACGGCTAGGTGATGTCAATGTGAGCCAGCTTCAGATTGTACCGGTCCAGGCGCCAGAAGGCAGTTCCCGAGGCCTGTTTCGGGCAGTTTTGCGGCCTCCGTTTTCCGAATCCTTTCTCCCCGTGGCTCAATAATCGCATGAGAACATTTCTGATGATATCTCTTCTAGGAACTCTCGTAGGTTGGTATGGATCTCCATCATCTCGCCGATCTTCTGGTTCCAAGCAACTGATGCCCGCTGTAGAGCGCCAGACACTCTCCCCTGAATCCTCGCACACCAGGGCACAGCGCAGTTCAGGTACTTTGGTGCGTCCCTCCTGTTGCCAATAAAACATCAGACGAACTGGCACTTGCCTTCATTCACTGCACTGCGTGATTGAGCAGATTCGTCATCGTCTGCTTCGCATCTGCCCCAATCTTCCTGCGAGCCACTCACAGCGCTTCCTCACCCTCCCATACACTCCAGGACTCCACTACTCTCGCTTCTTCAATCTCTGAGAAGCGGTCAAGAGAAGTCACAAGCTGCTTTTGTTGAGATAAGGTTGATCGAGATCGGCAGCTGCTGCCGTGTTGGTTCTGTTGGGCTCGGATGCCGCGTCGCGCCCTTGAAATCAGTCTTCTCCTCTCTTCCATGTTTCTTCTCTTTTCTCCCTTCTTCTTCCATCTCTCCATCTTCATCTCTTCTGCGCATCTCCCGTGTTCTGTGCCTCCGCGTTCCATCCGGCAGAAATTCATTCACCACGATGGTCTCATCTCCACACTGAGTCCCTTGCTGCTTTTCTTTCCTCTCTCCCTGCGGTGCACAGCAGCATCATGATGCTTCCGACAGTCTCTTCGAGACTCCTTTCCTCCACCCCATCTCATCCTTTGCCAGAACGCGTCAAATCATAACATTTCCACAAGTCCTCTGGGCGGACTCGCAGGCTTCAGCCGCAGTCTATGCCGTCTTCATCACATTTCTTCGTCTAATTTGGGTCTTTTTTCGCCATCTTCTCAGTTTCGATTGCAATCCAAGTATGTTCCCCTCTGTATCATCTTTGAATGACTTTGCATCTTCTTCGGTTGAACTGACATCGGTTTCCATCGTATCTAGAACCGCTTTCACCGCAGCTGCATTTTTCCATGCAGCCGGCAACTCAAATTGACATCTTCTCTCGGTCATCATTTGTCTCTGGCTTCTCCATCATTCTTCATGCTTGTTAGCATTCTCTTTATTGCACTCAGCAGTGGGTCGATCGGCCATCACCTCAAGGTTCGTGATATATTGCTTTGCCTGTGTCACACTTTTGCTGACTCTGCACTTCCAGCATCGTGTCACGTCATTTATCCTTGCCGCTATCAATCTTACTGATTTCCATCGTGCCGCGGATACTTTTTCTTCACTGGGGCAACATCACGGAAGACACAGGCATACAGCGTAGATGGCCTCACTGTCCGTCTCTGCACAGATGAGCGGCATCGTCACTCAAGACACCTGGGCCTTGCCGTCTTGGACTCGCCCTCCTCAGGCCATATAACCCGATCCATCCAGCGGTATGGTAAGTCTTGCTTGCACCAAAAACCACTAGAGACAAAGGTCTAACTCATGATTCTCCAGGACCAACACCACGCAATTTTGAAGAGCACAATGGTGGTTGCTGAAATCGACATCAGCAACATTGCGAGCAATCTCAACTGCGGCCACTCTCTGTAGTCCTGCTATTCCCACGCACCTCTTACACACATCATTCCGACTCTGCCTGTTGGCCTTTCGCAGATTCTTCTCTCCTCTTCTCTTCCTATTCTTCTCCCCCCTGCGACAAAAGCTTGGGCTTCTCTTCTGCTAGCCCCACGTACAGCTTATTCATTCCTTCGGCACTCTCTACTTGTTCTCAGCCTATCACCCCGATATCTGCACTGCATAATTTCTCAGGGATCAATGGTCCGTCAGCTACATCGCGAGCAATCTCAACTGTGACTACTCGCTGTAGTCCTGCTCTTGCTACGGATCTCTTGCATGCATCATTTCAACTCCGCCTCTTTACTTCTCCTAGATTCCCCTCTCTTCTTCTCTCTTCTTCCTTGTCTTCTATTTTCACCTCTCCTTGTTCTTCTCTGTTACTCTCTTTTCCTCTCTTTCCTCCCTTTCTCCCCTACCGCTTCTTCCTCTCTCTTCTTTTCTCTCTTTTCTTCTTCTTCTTTCTTCCTCACCAAGCACGAGAAGACTCACTCTCGTCTCTGGAAAAGCCCCTTTTCCACTTGCAAGTACCACGATTATGGCTGGCCCACCGAGAAGGAGATGGACCGTCACATCAACGACAAGCACTCTAATGCCCCTCCTGCCCCTACAAGTCGAAGCGTGAGTTAAACTGCAAGCAGCACATGGAAAAGGCCCACAGCTGGACCTATGTCCGCACTAAGACCAACGGCAAGAAGGCCCTGGCTAGAACGGCTCTGTCGCCTAGCACACTCCTCCTCTGGCCAGCGTCTCTACTCCGTCTACCACCCTGACCTATACCGTCTCCACGCCTCCACATGAGGGCACTTGGATCATGACTAATGATTTCCCTCTGTACCCTGCTGAGTTGGATTGGCTTGCCACCTACGGCATGCAGCCTGAGACCATTGATGCCATGGACCTTGCTCTCGAGAATCCTTCTCCTTTTTCTCTATCTTATTCTGTCTTCCCTTGTTTCTCTGAAACAAACGCTTGGGTTTTCTTCGGCCAGCCCTACATACACGCGCAACTTACTCATTCTTTCGACACCCTCTTTAACTTGTTCTGAGGACTTGCCAGCGGTTGTCGACCACCTTCGTAGTGGCTCACCACCCAAGTTCCTGGAAGACTCTGGCTTCCAGGCAGTGGTCGAACATTGCAGCGTGTGCTTCCATCCACTACAGCAAGAGGTTCCAAATCTGTCAACTTACGGCCTGCTCAAGAAGGCATACCCATCAACCAACCGCCTTCGTAGCCCTGATGGGTGGGATAGAACCTTGTGGCTCATTCACTGGACGAAGCTTGTTCTTGTCCATCTTCCCTTTTCGCACTTTCCGCAAAAGTAATTTGTATGGGAAATCAGTCAAATCGACTGACGGCCGTCCCCCGCGTCTATTATTCGTCGCAGTTCTCCGTTATTGACGAGCGATGCACCTACATCTGTGCCTTGATACCTTGATAACTGTCTATATGGATGTATTAGACATCATACAACGGTGTACATCATGATTGAAGAAAAAGAATCCACACGATTTGATTCGCTACCGTACATTCATGATCCCTGGAGACAATCACTAGGTGGCTGCATCGCCGCTGGAAACTCTCGGCAAAGGCATGTCACTGCATACGTGTACATACTCGCACACAGGCTCGGAAAAAAAGGGGTGTAGGCACTCATGCAGCTTCAATGCCAGCGAGAAGATACAAGCACGCTGAGCTGATGTGGCCTTGCCTGGTCGTTGGGCGAGGATCATCGCTTCAATTGCTTTCAACACGCTCTCCTGTGCTCTTTACCGCAACATTGCCCAAGCCTTTGCCTGATTGTGTCTCCTGCAACGCCAGCTCATGAGCCGAGATGAGAGTTGGCGCCCCCCACGAAAAGACATCTGGGATTTTACCGATAGCTAGTTGGGTAGTGATTCGCCATCTAACAGCAAAACGCGCCGACCAGACAGAAGAGCTAGTTGGAAACCCTGAAGGGTGCGAGGCCAGAGCCAACGCCAATCAAGATAAGAGGAGTGTTTTCTGCATCTGTAGGGAGATGGAATGCCTTTGACTGGCGAACAGCAACATGGAACCTCTCGCCAGGGGTAAGAGATGCCAGGAAATGAGTGGCCACTCCAAAGTAAGAGCCTTGACCAGCTAATGAGGGCCTCCATGTTCTCTGCCGTCTCTCGGCTCTTGCCAAACTACCCTTGCCTTGTCTAGGGTATCAAATCCTGACCCAGCAGAGCGATCTTGATCACGCTATGGCAGAGGGGCTTGTTCACGATTACTATTTCGCGTCCAAACACTCAAAGTATGCTTGATGAAAGAGCTCTTCTCTAGGATGTAAATCAGCCTTTTCACAACGTTGAGCGTTTGAGCTTCGTCGGGGTGGCTTATAATCACATTAACGTCGCCGCTCTCTAGCTTGCCTTGCCGGTAGCTGCTAACAATTACCATTTGGAAGCCTGGGTTGATTCGCCGGGCGTGAGTGAAAATGACATTGGCAATGGCTTCCGTCTCTGCTCGTGGGATCCTGAGCTGGAAATCGACATAGTATTTGACGCCAATCTGCTGCGCTCTTTGCAACGAGCTCCATCCATCCCCCGAGGAACAACCTTGATTGAATTTCACTTTTGCAGCCGCGGATCACGCCAAGGATCTTCATCTCAGATCCGCTGCAGCCCAAACATCATCAGTTCCATCATGGCCTCACTGAATTTTCACCTCCGATCCATTGCAGCCCGGTGGTCTTGACGCGATGAACCTTTACGGCACGGGTTGAGAAATGTCTCCTGGCAGGAGGTCTATTGACGCCGAGGCCAGTCTGGCGATCTCTGCATATACTTTGGCGTGATAGAACTTTGCGATCCTGGCATGGCGCAGCCCATTCAAACGCTGCCCTCCCACCGTCCAGCAGGCGCTGCAGCATCAGCAGACTGATACAGGTATGTGCTTACTCCCATCTTGACTTCTGAAGCTAGCAGCTAATGACGGGCCTGCGTAGACGAAATCTCTACAAGTCGCCATCGAACCCATCTCCCCGTCAACCTCCCTGCTGCTGAACTGGGAAATCTGGCCGAAATCGAGACCAGCCTTCGATCCATGAGCTCAACCGCATTTCACCTCTACGGCCACACTCGCGCTGCTCCACGGCTGTTTCAAGAAAGCACTGCAGAGACCCGTGCCGGTCGACTCTCGGTAGCAACTCGCCCTCTCTTCCAACACAGCAGCCAATACCGAGGCGCAATCTTATCCATTTTCTAACCTCTTCTCGTCCACGCCAAACAGCTGCCACAGATCACGCCAAGTATCCTCATCTCAGATCCTCTGCAGCTCTGGCGACCTTCACGACGTAGCCCATTTTCAGGGCATCGTGCTTGGATGGAAGAATTCGAATCATTTTCCAGCACCATGGCAGGAGGTCTTTTGAGGCCGAGGCCAGCCAGAAGAATGCGAATTCCCATCGTTCGCCAGCACCATGGCAGGAGGTCTTTTGAGGCCGAGGCCAGGATGCTGTTGATCTCCGTGTTGGATTCCGACGTCCCTTTGACACAACTGCTTCCATTGGGCATGAAGGCAGGAGGTCTATTGAGGCCGAGGCCGGAGCTCTGCTCAATCCGATCCAGGGTCTCACTCAAATCACTTCGGACCACGCCTAAGTTCGTTTACTCCCTTGGGGAATGGAGCGCAACAACTCTCTCAATCGGGATTTTCATTCACATCATAAATATGAGGATATGGCAGAAGGTCTATTGAGGCCGAGGCCAGCGGCAGTTTGCCTGTTACAAGGCATCATGCTTGGTGAGAAGAATGCGAATTCCCATCGTCCGCCAGCACCGTGGCAGGAGGTCTGTTGAGGCCGAGGCCAGGGTGCTGTTAATCCCCATAAATACGAGGATAAGGGCGTCATGGTGAGCCCTTGGCTACACCACAGCCGTGGCAGGAGGTCTTTTGAGGCCGAGGCCAGCAGAGAAGAATGCGAATTTCCATCGTTCGCCAGCACCATGGCAGGAGGTCTATTGAGGCCGAGGCCAGGGTGCTGTTGATCTCCATAAGTACGAGGATAAGGGTGTCATGGTGAGCCCTTGGCTACACCATAGCCGTGGCAGGAGGTCTTTTGAGGCCGAGGCCGGTTTTGATCCTGGCGGGATAAACATTACGACATTGCTCCCTTTTCATTCGGAAGGGCGGGTAACGCGACGCAGTGACGGAAACAATAACAGGCTGCCCATCACCGAGTTTCCGCTCTTTCGGCATCTCCCACCAGAGATACGAATCAAGATATGGAAATTTGTGCCACAGCCCACTCGTGTGATTGGACTTTTGCCTCCCGTGTCTACTTGGGATCGCCAATATTTTCAAGAGACGCCCCGTGGCAGCGAGTCTGAAGGAGTCGAGGAAGCACTAAAACAGTCGCAATGGAGTCTTCTCCATCCGCTCTTTGGCAGCTTGGCTACGCCATTGACCTTGAGCTTCTTGTCCGAGTCGGAGTCGGAGTCTGAATCAGAGTCTGAGGGTGAGGATGATGAGTCGGAGTCGGAGTCGGGAAGGGGGACTTTGGCGGCTTCCTTGGCGTCGACTTTAGACTTGCTGTCGGAGCTTTCATCGGAGCTGGAGTCTTCTTCTGAGCTGGAGCTCTCGTCTGAAGAGCTCTCCTCCGAGCTGGAAGACTTGCTCTCAGAGTCCGAGTCCGAGTCGGGATTAGAGCTTGGGGTTGGCTTAGCCTTGACTTTTTGCTTCTTTGCTTAAGGCTTCTTGGCCTAAGGCTTCTTGTCGTCGTCAGAGTCTGAATCAGAACTTGAGTCCGAGTCCGAGCTGGAGTCGGAGCTCGAGCTGGGAGGCGCCTTGCGCTTCAGATTCTTCTTGCCCAGGGCAGACTTCTCGTCCTCGCTTTCGCTCTCGCTCTCGCTACTGCTGCTCTCGCTTAAGCTGGAGCTGGAGCTGCTCGAGTCGTCCATCTCGACATAGGTCTATTGAGGCCGAGGCCAGTTGACGATGTCTTCTTTAGCGGGATGGAGCCCTGCGACTCCAGCATAACGCAGCCAGCAGCTTCGCCGATCCATGACAATCGATCTGTTCATCCAACCACAGGTACAATGCCCCATTCAAAAGACATCCGAGTCACTTCAGAACTCGAAAGTTTTTCCACTTCCCACAGGCTTCCTACAATATGGCGCTTAGGCCCCTGTGACGCAGTGGCTAGGCGTCTAGCAGGCTTTATACGTGTTCATCGCATAAGACAGTCGGTTCAGCTTGCAGAAACACAACACTCAGGCCATCTGGGCCCTGTTAACACATAACAAAGCAAGGGAGCCGTTATCAGTGTTGGAAACAACTCCCCTGGTCTCGATGCAGGTCGGGTCCTATCGGGGGAAGGATCCATCAGCCTATCATATATAGGGCCGTGCCCACATGTACCTAGCTAGTTGAAACCTAGCTTCATCACAATACAATCACATTGCGTTCATCTGTGCCTCTCCTAACAGGTTATCAGCCCTCGCGCTCTCAACTGAGATCACGAACACATTCGCTCTACTTATCTGCTCCGCTTAAAGCTACAAGCTATTCATCGCGTCACGTCACGCCACAACACCACAGCACCGTCACGCGTCACTGTTTACCTGAAGCTCACCAAGCATCCAGATCATCATATCTAACTCAAATTCATTTGCCTTCAAGCTTAACCCTTCATGCCTTCCGCAGCTCACCAGCAAAGGTGACAACTACAGAGATTAGAGACCAGCATGGCAAATTGCTTTTGAATAGGCTAACCTTTGGGAGACAATCGAAAACAAACCACTAACAATAACGCCTACCACTACAACAGCTGCTGCCACTTTTGATAAGACAACAGCAACAGCACAAGCCACTGCAATCGCTACTCTGACAATTTGGAAGAAAAACAACAACAGAGCCTTGGTGATGCTGATGTCCGCCGTTCAGGCCCCCGCGTTTCTGTAACAGGCCCCTTTTCAAAGCGGAGTCCTGTGGCTGAGTGGCCGATGTCGCATTTTGTTAGTGTTTCGCATAGGAAAAAAGACAACTGTCATCCTCTATGCGTAAGCTTTGACCAAGATGTGTATGTCAAATTGAAGCTATTTACAACACGGCTTTCCACATCAATGCCGCCGATTATGGAGTCGTTATTTGAGATTCAATTTGAAACCTTTGACGAAGCCCGGGCTGCCCATGATGCCGTCTCCCTGCCAATGGGCGTCAGCGTCGTCAAACGCTGCCACCACCGTCAACAGCACCGGCCAAAATGACATCAAATTCAATAGACAACGCCGTCGTTGGCATTACGCATAGGAGGCAATGGAGGAAGGCATAAGGCATGCGGCCGAGGATATGTTATGACACTAAAAACACCAAAAACAAACAGCTTCAACATAATCTACAGCTTCAACATTAGGTATCTAGTAATTTTTTTTTCTACAGAAAATAAATACCTTCCTTTACAGCTAAGTTCGTATGTAAGCCGCGGGGGCCTGATAACGGCTCCCCAAAGCAAGCTTCGGCCTGTGACGATACAACGCTCAAGGCCTATCAGCCCTGTAGCAGCAGCTATTCCACAGCTGTAAGACCTGCCATCTTCCCTTCATCACGAGAAACGTGTGATTGCCAATCCACTTCTACCGGTGCCGGGAAGCGCCGCGGCCGACCAAACTTATTGTGAGACCCCGATAGAGTAGGCGCCGAGTAGCTAGGTAATACTTGATTCACGCCGACTCGTCCAGGATACCAGTCCATCTTATCTGGTCAATGCTTGGATAGGCCTCTGCGATCCTCTTCAGGCTCTCGCCGGCTTTTAGTTGATGAGGTTGCTGTCTAGCTAGGCCCGTCTCGAAGGGACAAGGCAACGTGGAGGTGATTAAGACGGAAACTGGCTCCTTCGAACCTATTGCTTCCACAGGGCGCGCGTGTTTAGGCATCTAGATACGTATGGTCGTTAATATAAAACAAGGGACGGTACCACACCAAACTTTGCCATTTGCGGAAAAGCCATGTCAAACTTGGGAAAAGCAATGTCGCAGTGGTCTATTGAGGCCCAGCTTCACCAGTAAGGGGTCAATTGTACATGATGTGGCTGCCCAATGCTGATGATCTCTCTTTGTAGCACAACAAGATTCCCGATCTGCTGTTCCTGATCATTTCTATTCGACCTTTGATTGGCACTCGCTGGGTTTCATTTGTATTTGTGGTTTAATTACACATTCCCATATGGTGTTCCTACACACACAATCTGGGATCACTTAAGACCAAATCATGATGTGAGGAGCGCGAAAGCTTTGGATGGATGAATATTCTTGGGGCAAATGTATATACAAAGCTGGGGAGGTGTCTAGCGATGACGAATTATCGGGCGTTGGCTGGCTGCAAGCTTTGTACGCATCGTAGGATCTTTCTATATTGAGCCTTTCTGTCCGGTGTGACGTTTTCCTGCGTGCTGCTTACCAGCCTCAGCTGTTTGCGCTGATGAAGTGCAAGATCAGCTTGATGCTACCACTCAGGCCTCACAATTATAAACGCCGCTCTCTTTCATGGTCTCTACTCTCCTATTTTGAAGATTTCATATTTCTGCCAAATTCTGTCGCTCGCATTCAGCACAACTTTTAGAAACAGCTTCCATCGCTTCAAGGCTCCATACATGCACCTATCTCGAATCGTTTCAACACTCCATATCTAGACCTGCTCATGGAATTGAAAGTACGGATTATCATTCCCAAAGAATATACTTTATTCAATTATACACCTATATACTCAAATTATTACGGTCTAAAGCCAAAAGATCCTGCACACTCCTAACCGCGGCCACGAGTATTACCTTGCTATATTGCCCTAATACAATACTTGAAGCTTCATGATTCTGCTACCAGAACTTTCACATAGGAAAGCATCATAGACGGGCCAATAATCGCCGTAGAGGAAGAACCGATACTGCAAAAGCAGAGACAAAAGAAATAGAAAAGAGATGGCAAAAAATAGCTCTTCAGAGTATTACTTTAGAAGTGGCTGTTGGAATCGGGACCATTACAGTCTTCCAACGCCACCCTCCCGGAATGCAGCAAGCGCCGAGTGTGAAGATGGCACCGAAGCAGTCGTCGCAATTACTGCAGCATCCTCTCTTGTTCATATCACGCTCAGCCTGCTTATGCGTTAATGGGCCGTTTGCTTTCAAAGTTCCAAAGATGTCAACCATACCAAAGCAGTGCTGTTAGAGAAACCGCCAGCGCGTTGTACACCAACAGCCTCAAGATAGCCCCGGGCTGCAATGTTGGCATCCTCTTGGGCGAGTTCGGGGTACTTTTCCTTTATCTGCCGGAGAGCGGCGACATAGTGAAGGCTGGTAGTGAGATCAGAGTTGAGATCAGCGGTGGCAGGGGTAACAGGAGTCGAGACCGGAACCGCCAAGGCGAGGGGAGCTGCGAGCACGGCAGCGGCGATGATTTGAGTGAAGCGCATTTTGAAGAGGAAGACGAAGTAAATGTGGTTATTGCTGAGCTGGATTATGTGTTGTAGGGAAGAGGGAACTGACTTCAGAGCCTCCTCGTCAGCTTGGTACTATATTCTGTTGGTAGGAGAGGACGGGTTTTGGAGGGACTGCGTCACCTTTATATACACAGCTCGAGGTACATCATTGCGAAGAGCCCACTCTCCAGAAATTGACTTTAGGTTTTTTTTTTTTTGTTGGTATACTTACACGAGCTGTCTACGTAATCTTTCCGTGTTCATGTTACCTTTTCCACTTCGACGAAGCCTAAAATGCTGCCGCGCCTGGTGTTGACTTTTGGGCGAAATAGAGTCACCAGCCACTAGTATTTTCGAGAGTTAATTAATCTGTACGAGATAGTCAGATAACAGCTGTAGAGTTAGGATTAAAGACGCCTGTTTGTTAGATTTGGTGGCGAACTGCGTGCGTGACTAGGTTTCCTCGTTCGAGATCCACAGCAATACCCTCAAAGAAAACGAAGAGAAGGTTTCCCAGAAGGTTCACCATAGAATGAGTGGGTTTAACAATAACACGTCGAACACTTGGATTCTTTTCTAGCTTCAAGATCTTCATTGGTCTTAATTACTCTTCGAACCCGAAGAAAAAAAAAGTCTCTGTAGCGCATAGTATTTGGTTTGGGTGGGGTGATTCTCGTGGCGAGGGCATCATGTTCTCTCCGAACCTTGCCAATGCTTCACCCTCTGTATAGCAAATTCATTTTTTTTTCTCTACAAATCGGTGGAGATTATTGCATCACCCTATATCGTTAGACGCTGAGAAAAGAGAACCGCACTTGCCCCTCTGCCGAAAGCCAGAGCTTATTTTGCGGGCACCGATCAAGATCCCGCTGAGATGTGGATATCATGGCGTTTCCACTATGATGCTAAGCAAAATGGCTAGGATTAAAGGTGGCGCGTAGTCTCCAATACCGCCCCAGCCATGTCGCCATATGGCGCTCTTTGCGGATCGTAGATATTCGCGATATGCCAAGTAGTTAGTGCAGCTATAGAGAAATCTGCACTACGGTAGAATTTTAGGAAAACCCTGTACCTGACTAGAATCGCGCCCGTCAGCCTTTGGTGGCGCTGAGTCATTTTAATGATCGTCGTGTGATTATGCTAGCTCAGCGCGTCAAAGTCCCCGAAACGCATCACGTAGCAGCGATACGCTACATACTCCTAGGACTTGTACATATTGAGGAGTTACACTAGTGTTCGACCTACTACAGTATAACTACGACTAATGACAATAATTTATAAAGATCTTCGCAAATGGTGGCCCCGAGATACAGTCAGATACGTGCCAATGAAAAATGGCTCTACGCACGGCTATTGACGTACTCGTTTGCACCGCTTGATACGGATCACATCTCGGCGATATGACTACAGCCAAGAATTCGATCGTGTATTCTATGCCTCTGACTTATTTTCTATCAAATTCTGCGATAGTTTGAACTCTACCATGACATTTTATTCTCTTAGCGCTCATATATAGAACAATGTCTCGATATGTAGATTCTTCGCCAAGTGCAGGGTATGAAGCAGCGTCAAGCACTGGCTTGCCGAAAGCCAACGCGCCTCTGAAAAATTAGAGTAGTAAAATTTTTCAGTGGTCTTTCGCTTTGATGAATAGGTACGCAAAAGACACAAAAGTCGTCTTCCAGTGTCACTGTGTATATATGTTCCGTCAATGGATATTGGCTTGATTCTGTATCTGCCAAGCAAGGAGTCCGCGAAACTTCAAATATTTTCTCTAGCAATATATCTATATATGTATACTCGGGCACTAATTCTTGATGTCTGTTGCACAATCCTACGTGTTGTACAAAAATACCAGTGTTTCAATTTTGGATGATCGATTGGCAGCGTAAAGAAATCTTCTGATTCTCGAGACGTGCCGAGCCCAACACTCCCATATGACGCCTGGACTGACGAATACAGGCTCTTTATGCCCCACTGAGTCGTAACAAACGGATTTCAGCGCATGCAGTACTCTGTATCATGCAGGAGAGGACCATCACATGACCCCTTCCTTGCCTGCGAACCGTGCCAACTGCCAGCAGAGTAACCAAATTTCCCATCACCCATCTTCTTCCACAAACACAACACTCTACCCGCCAAAAAAACAAAAACAAAACATCAAAAACAACTACAGAACAACAAAAAAAACACACGAAACGCGCCCAAAACGGGCTCTGGCTCTGGCAGCTGAGCAAAAGTCAGTATCCTGTCAAAGGCTGCAAATCTCCAACCCATGACCATTCCTACTGACGCCTCTCTAGGCACACCAAAGCCTGGGCTCGACTGCCCGCCCTCTGGTGTTTCTTCGGCCCAATCACGCAGCAAATCATCGAAGAAACGCCGGGGGGCAAAAGAGCCTATTCAGTTTGACCCTTTAACGCAAGGGATAGTCGATCTACCTGTACGGACATTTCCATCGATCAGAGGACCTATATCGCACCTAGTAATCTTCTCAGAAACGTCACTCTATCCCGTGATAGAATCTTACGACCCAACGGCCTCTTTCAAGCCAATGTCTCCGCATCAGCACGCAGAAATGCGGTGCTACTTCTTGGAAGCGTTGGCCCTATGAGAGCTAGCTGGTATTGGAAACGCTCATTGGCTGAGCCCTGATGCGCAGAATTGTCTCCTATGACTAATTCAGCATCAGCTTTCTATCATTCATCATGTGAGTTCACCTTCTATTCTTGGAGTTGACTGTTGCTAAAACCATCAGGATCGCTGTCACTCGTCCAAACGTTCGCAAGAGTGACATCATGAAGAGCGTCGGAGATCTTCAGCTGCAAAGGGACCCTTATCTCAATCAACTCGAGTGTAGGTGGCCTTTACGACAGTGATGAAGCCTTACGACACAAGTTTCCTCAAGCAATGGAGAATGGCACCCAATCATTCGGGAATTTCAATTGCTCAGGTGTTATTGAAGTTCACAAAGGAACGTACACTTCGCTGAGACTCTCCAATAATCTCGGCCAGCGAGGCATGCATTGGTCTGGCTCTTAACGCAGATGTTACTAACATCTGCTTTTGGATTGGCCGCCAAACATTGGATCAGATCATGGTCAACTTTACTGGCGGCCAGACATTGGATCAGATCATGATCAACTTTGTGGGTACTCTTGAAAGGCATGGTATCTCATTTCCTGGCTATGTCTTCATCATCATTGAGGCAGAAGAACCAAAGCCTAGCAGACACCCCCCGGGCGGGATAGACCTTACGACCCAAGGCATGATCGGCTTGCCAGAGGGAGACAGAGGTCGCTGAAAGCATTGGTGCATCAGAGAAGGTGTTGGAAGCTGGACAGGATATTCAAAGTTTGTTGCGACTGATCTGATCTTGTCAAGTTGACCGACAGAAGCAGGGAGATCATTGACGGGTGTCGAACTTGCGTTGGGGCAAATATGGAAGATGCAATGTGCAACGAATGAGCCTCAGCTCTCAGAATAGTATATTAAATGAGCACTCGAGCCATTGAGAAACCCTGTGTTTATTTTACCTCGCAGTGTTCTCTATTACAAGCGGTGATGGTTCGTCCCATGCGCACGCGTCTGGGTAATATGTTGAAGTCCGTTTCCCTACGTAAGAGTAATTCGCTGCGAATGGAAGCACAAGTCAAAATGATAGAAATAAGTGACATAGATGAGAGTTTCGTAGTTTTAGCAATGATTTCCAGTGATATTTACAAAAAGCGTGCACTGAAATTCGTAATTGAATACTGTGAAAAACTTGCGGGTGATTTTGAGCCTGCGCCTCCAGTCGGCTCTGCTGCACTTTGCTGCAATGTCCACGTATCCGCCACAAATACATGATAAAACGGCAAGATATTTACTCGTAGGGGAAATAAGTCCTAGATATTTCTATGATTTCTTTTCAAAAAGGGTCCTTGGCAAAATGTCGAAAACTGAGCTGGCTGTTCTCCTCCTGTAGGCTCGCCACCCACCACCACTTCGCCTGCTGCCAGATCGTTACAGGAATCCAACAACAATCTTTGACCACCGATTTCGCATCAAAATACGTGTCCTACGGATCTCATTTCAATTTTGATATCTAAGTCTGCCACTGATATTCCTACCATGACATTCTAGCTACGTGATAACGCCAACTCGCCTCCCTACAAACGGCAAAAAAAGGGATCTCTCTCGACCCTTGAGGGAGTGAGCTTCCTCGAACAGGGAATTGAACCCGGGCCCCTACAATATACCTGCTCAGTGACTGGAGGCACAAAAATACGCCTTAATGCTTTACCCACTTGGCTATGGATAAAACATTAAGGCGTATGATAGGCGTTGGAAAGCTTTAGTATATAAATCTTTCTACCCTTCCCTGTTTTGGGAAAAATAAAAGCAAGGTCGAAGGTTCTATCCACTCGGCTAAATGGATAGAACCTTACGACCCTGATAGGCATTGAAATATTTTAGTATATCAGGCCTTCTTCCCTTCCTTGTTGCTACCAGCCTTTGTACCTGCTTGGGTGATGGACTGCTGCACGGTGTCCCAACCATCTCGTGATCACTTCTTCCTTTCTTCACATTTTGCTTGAAAGAGGCTGCTTCTCTCCATCTAACTTTTACGTTGCCTACCTACCCAGCACTGTCAACTTCTTTTTCTTCTCTTCTTCCTGTTTTCCTTTGATCACTCAGTGTTTCGTCTCTGCTGCCTGCACGCCTCCTTTGTTACGCGTCCGCAGCCACCAGCTGCACGCCTTCATTCCTCAAAGATCTGAGCTGCTTTGTTTTCTTTGTCAGAGATATTACACGAGGAGTATGTACCCAGCCCCCACCTTGTTTCTCCTCTAACTGACCTTGAAGTTTCTGGATGCATCAGATTTCGTTATTTCTCTGAAGTTGGCAGCCTCGTCGCGATATTTCCATCGACTGCCTTTGCCCTTCGTTTGTGCACAGTCTCTTCGTCTGCTACTCTCTTCGTCCGCCAGTCTCTCCATCTGCCTATCCTATCTCCATCTGTCACTCCTCTTCTTCTCAACATCCGCCGAGCAAACCTCACTTCGAGCGCTTGGGAAGACGCGTGTACGGAGTCGAATTTATCTGGCTCGATCAAGATCATCTGGTTGATACCTAAGTTCTTGATTAGATGGAAGACGTGAGTAATTTGGAGCTGTAGAAATTTGTGAAAAGTCTAGTCACTGATCAACCGACCTTTTAGGCATACGAAAAAGCGAATCAGAGAGAGAAAAGGGGAGCGATAGAACCTTACGATCCGCTGGCCTACTGTGGCCAGATACAGCTTCGAGGTAAACAGCCTGTACAGGTAGTCGATAGTAGTATGCCTCCGCTAATTCCTTGACAGGCTGGGAACCAGTTACCACCCGCTGGACTATTTTGCGACGGCAGGATAGAATTTTACGACCCTCGGCCAAGCTTGTTTACTCCGTCGGGGAGGGGAAGCTCTAAGAATTTTCGGTTACATAAATGCTGAATTCCGACGTTCCTTTGACGCAGTTATACCACCTGGCGCTCAGAATCCGTATTCACTCTAGGCGGGATAGGATTTTACAATCCTCACTCAAGTTCGTTGACTTCCTATCTGGAGGGGGCATCGACTCTCTCAGTCAAAGTCATCTTTCACATCAATGATGAATACACTGATCCCTGGTCCCCTTAACGCAGCTACTGTCTCCGGGCATTACGTATCAGTTCACACATCAGCCTCTACCATAAAACAGCTCGGAGGATAGAACATTACGACACAGCAGCTCAGAAGACTCTTCGTCTCTCTAAAGCACACACAAAAAAACCTCCACTTTCAGGATAACCAAAGAGCTCGGTCCATTCCTTTCTTGTCGCGGGACGCGCGTTCGTGATCCTCGTTGGTAGGAATCGGCCGTTGGCTGTCTTGATGGCTCAGGCTTCTTCCCCTTTTTCTGCATGTCCAAGAGGGGCTCTGAATTTGAACCTCGGAGGTCTATCACAGTCGACACCAGCCTCGAAGACGGGTCAATGGAGGCGGCTTCGTCAGATTACGAGGCAGCACACCAAGCTCCTTTCCGCAACAATGATGGTCAACGAAACTGAGAGCCTCGAGGCTGGTGGAAATGACCACTACCCAGGGCCCAGGATTTCTGGAGGGCGACAGTTCTCTCAATCGTAATTTTCTTTCTGTCCTTGGCGAGATAGAACTTTACGACCCAATGACAGCTTGGTGATAGAACGTTACGACCAAGCGGCCCTCGGGCGCCGAGTTTCTTAATACTCCTCTCAGAGAACATCTTGGGCTACGCAATGCCGCCCCTCCTCTGAATCTCGACAAGGCTGTCGCCTATCAGTTTGAAGTGGCGAAAAATGCAACTACCCAGCAGCTGCAACAACAAGCTTTATTTATTGCTCTGGATTCGAGTGCTAGCTAGCCTAGAGAACAGCAAGAGAAATCCTCTCATGGCAAGCGCAAGCCGTAGAGATATCAGAATTGGCCACCGAGGTAATTCTCTCTACTGAGTGAGTTCCATCTCAGGATTAGCTCTGTCAACTGGATGTTTTTTCACATTGATGCTAACTTCCGAAGATACTGCTGCTAGACGCTGAGTATGGGAGTAATCATAAAGCTTTGCCCTACGACAGCTTGGGGAGATAGAACTTTACGACCCAACGCCCCCTGCGGCCACCAAATCCTCGGCATGTTCATATCAGCTAACCCGAAAAATATGCATCAGCCACGGATCAGTTCTCTTTTGAGACATGCTTTACCTGTCAATGGAGCCCTGGCGGGATAGAGCTTTACGACCCAACCCAACGTTCAAGACGCTACTCGCGGCCGGCCAAACATGCCCAAGGACATGATCCGGGGAGTGACGGCCGCCGAGAAGAAGCACCTGGCGCAACTGCCTGAGCTGATGCCCTGAAAAGAGAACAAAATCATGCTTACGCTCATCATTGACAGCTTTTGCCGTTTCGTAGCCTACGATCGACCGGTTATGATGGTTCGCCACATCTCATTGAACTCGAATAAGGGATTAAAAAGTCCAGTTCGCAAGATATGACCCACGCGAAGCGGAGTTTAATCCTTTGGGAGGATGGGTTAGTTTAAGCTTAAATATTGTATATCTGATCAGTTGGTGGTTTTCCATCATTGGGGACTGGGATGCTTGTGTCGTGGCTGAAGGGTTCACGCTACCGCTGATGCTCATGAATACTGGAGTATTCCTAGCCGCTCTCCAATTATGTTGTTTAACATATCAACACCAAAGAGAGAGGTGGCTAGGAATACTCTAGTATTTACGAGCATCAGCGATGGCGCGAATTCTTCAGCCACGACACAAGTATCCCAGTCTTCAATGATGGAAAACCACCAACCGATGGGATATACGGTATTTCAGTCGCCAAGTGGGCGCGACTTCAGACTGCCATTCTATGTTTGCAGCCCGCCATCTCCAGGCTAACCCAAGCCCGAAGAGTAGAAGAAGATGACCCAGAGTAAGTTCTCCCGTGCCTTTATTGATTGCCTGCCTACGCTATCCTTTTCATAAAATCGCTTGCTAATACATTGCGCCTTCGGGACTAATTCATCGGTGGCCGCTCTAAGTCTCCGCCCTAAGACTGGCGGAATAGAGCTTTACGACCCAGCCATACTAACCTAATTCCTAAGACGACATTCGCGGTCGCTCCAAGTCTCTCCCTTACAAGGTGCCTAGCCCCATTTAACATCGTGAGTACCCCTTGCTATCAAGCTGATGCCGTTTGGCGCCCACTGACATTGCCGCCTTATCTTCTCCTTTTCGTTTATTCACAGTACCGCCATGTCATTCAAAAGAGGTCTCTTCACGCATATGCTTGGAGGCAAGACGACAGGTCATAATCGGCGACGGTAAGTTTCATGTTCTATTCCGTTTTCCTTGGATAAAGCAGGCACTGATATCTCTTCTACCATAACCACCGCACAATACTCCGAGATTCGACCGAAATATTAGTTTGAAGGCTTGGATAGAACCTTACGAGTCAAAGTAGTAAGCCACTATTTCAGCAAGGATTGGCTGGCACTCTACTTTAGACGAATACCAAGGCACTGTCCTCGGGGAGAGCAGAGCATAATCTTCTCTGCTGTTGCTGGGCCTAGCATCTGAGCATCCTCATGGGGAAATACGGAATCTCGCCTAGTCCATTTACCTTGCCCATCTCACAACAACTCTTGATCTTTTGATCATTTTTCACAAAAGTGTCCCTGATTTGCTTATCATCTGCTGGACATTCGGGAATTCCAGGGACACGTTCTGCCTATCTGGAGTTATTGAAACATTTCCATATCTCCTCTCGGTTATTTGGAGGTAGTAGTTATCTCCCCAAATCGAACAGGCCTTGTTATATTTCGCTTTCTCTTTCCTAAACTTATGGCCGCTTTATCTCTCAATATTCCCCTTTTGTGACACCATCCACCCCAGTCATGGGGAATACCAACTACCATGAGCAAAAAGTCCAACAATGCCACGCGCAGAACGCACGCAAGAAAGCGCTACGGGATAAAGAAGTCACAGAATATCAGAATCGTCTCACCGCCATGCAGACAAAGAAACCGAAGACAAAGGACACGTCAAACACAGACCCAACTACCACACACTGGGTGTGCCGACACCGTCACCAACTACTACAGACAACTGATTCGAGAACTTCGCGGCACAAGGACCCAAAACAATCAAGCTCGGAACAGCAACCACAGCACATGTATCCACGCTCCAAGAGGTGAAAGTGCTGAAGCAATATGTGAGAAAGCTGGATGCCCGGGTGCAGAGCCAAAACACCTCACTTCAGAGCCACAAAGACACCACCAAACACTGCTGGACTACACCCAGTCACTCCGCGATCATTTTTGTCCTTCTACTATATAACCATTCTTACAATAGTAGACATAGTGTGGTAGAAGCCGTGGAGACTTATCCATCATCCAAGACTCGACGAAATGGGCGCCACCGTCAAAAGAATTGAGAACGCAAGAGAGGCAGCAAGATGGAGTTGATATGGACCAAAATGGAAGACCTGGAAGAAGACGCGGAAAAGGAAAACGGGCACTCGAATACAAGCTTGATACCCGCTAGAAGCGTACAAGTGGCAAGCAAAACTGCTCAGAGGAGAGTGGGCTTTTCTTTCCTCTTCTTCTTTCTTTCCTTTTCCTCTCTTTCTTCACTTTTATGGAACTCAAAGCCTCAGAGCTTCCGGAGTACTACGTTTGCGAGCGCAACAACACCAAAAAACAATGTTCCTAGTACATTATAGGCGGTGAAAACTGCAATTTGGCAGGATTTGGACCAATCGCCACTGACTATTTCAACCTGTGGCTAGTAGTTATAGTTGTCGTGGGACGAGGGGTCCGTTGCAGGGAGCTCATTATCTTGTTGGGAAGAAAACGCCAAACGCCCGTTGGCTTGTCGTGGTGGTGCGGGCTTTCGTTCTTTTCTGGGCATAGCATCGTTTGCAGAGGCGGCACAGTCGTGAGTTAATCACAAGGACTAAGGTCTCAAGGCGTTCGGTTGGTCGTTGACAACACTTTAGTCGACCCTGATGGTACAGCAATTGCTACCATATCGTGGGATGAGGGGGGTCGATGCGTGAGCCGGATCCTAAGACGTGGCCTACAAGATGGAGCGTAGGGCACGTAGTGGAATCAAAAGGCTTGATTCTTCTATCTAAACTATCTAAGGGGGTGTGTATCTTTATAGTCTTCTCGGGGGCTCGGGATCTCCTGCCTTCCAGGGACGATGTCGAGGCAGGTGTCCTCCAACAATGGTGGCTTGTCGACATTTCTTTTCCATCAAAGCAAATCCGAAAGCAATCGGTATCCCTCGATGGGTACATGGAAACGCCAAGGTGTAGCCTTGAATGAGCACGGCCCGACAGATATTGCCGACGGAGAGTCTTTCATCACTGCTTCATGGCACTGCCTGGGATATCCAACAACAGACGGGACGAGGTGGTCGTCGTAGATGAGAGAAGCCAAATCCTGATCATAGCCTACAACTACACGTTAGTAGGACACGATGTGTGGGAGTCAAAAAGCTTGCTTTATTATGATATGTCTAAGGCTATCATATAGGGTCGGAGGCTCTCCTCGTCCCTCCTTCCTTGGGGACGTCGGAGCAGGTGTCCCCCAACACACACCATCGACGGCAATCGCAGCAACCTTGTTCAGAATGATCGCCTTGAGGTTTCAAGTATGATGCCCGCTAGAAGCGTTCATAGGGGCAAGCAAAGCCACTCGCCTAGTTTGATCGAAGCCGCCTTGTTTGATCGTTGTCAGCCGATTTGATCAAGGTCAACGGGATCGTTTGAAGTCACCTTGTTGATCGAGGAAGGCTGGCAATTGACTCCGGTGGTACCTTCGCAAAGCGGCTTCGAGCCATGTTTGATAAGAGCCAGGCTGAAAGCCTGACAGCCTTCCAAGACATGGAACATGCTTCATGCAAGCAGCTTCATCAGCTCAGCTCACGCAATTTGAAGCAGTGAGCTACACTCACGTCTCTAGATGTTTATATGGCGGCTCTCTTAAATGGGGGCGAAATAACACCGAGAAAATACCATCGCGAACACCGAAACACAAGACGAAGATGGAGGAATAGATGACGAAGATGTCGAAACTATTGAGAAATTCACAAGGGTGCGGACCTCCTGGATTGTCGACATCGCAAACGTCGAGCACATCTTGATACAACCCTCTCCCGAAGACAACGAGGTCACAATTGGAATCTACAAACAACTGGTGCGACAATTCATACGGGAGAGAAACGACTGGAATTTAAAAAACATGTGCCATTGATAGACCACTCTATCTCAAAGACGACGAGAGTAATAGCAAGGAACAGCGTTTAGACCACAGTAAAAGATCCAACCTAGACAGGGGTTTTCTTTTTAGAGGTCATATTCAAACTCAAAGATACATCAGCCAGACTCACTTCTCAACACTGCTTGAAAGTATCCAACAGCCAAGCAAGACGCACCAGCTGGCGTATACCTCACCACTACGCCCAAGTCACCGATGGCATATCCTCATGGAAACCGGCGGATTCCCTATAAGGAAAGTGCGGAAAGCTAGTGTCTGGCTTATTCAAAGGATATATAGAAACACGTGGAGGTGAAAAGAAATTGTTATATAGTCAAATTGAAGCTATTCACAAAACCACCATCACACCATCACTATCTTGCAATTACTTTTCATGCACCAATTCAAATTCGTTAACAATGCCGACGTCGATGTAGATACAACAATTGTGTCGCGTAGCTTCAGCATGGTTGAACAGCAAGTTTAGCTTGATGATACTCATTCATCATAGTGCACAGAGGGAATACTTGTTTGAGGCAAATGCTGGGCCTAGGATTTCTGATAAGCAGCGCCACACGGCTACCTATACAGGCTTCATGCTGTTGTAAAGCGCCGCAAGTTTGCTAGAATTGGTGTTTTACTTTTCTCAGCCACAGATATCGCGTCTAGCGGTATCATTTGCCCACCGACGGATACCGCAGTCCTGATATAAATTTTAGAGCGCTGAAGATGAGACTCGTCTTCTTTAGCCTGCCCAAGGACGCAGTCCAGTCTTTGGAAACACTACATCTAACGTGTAGGATTTTGTCCCTGAATAATAGCGGCGTGGACAAAGCAGTATATATATATAGGGTTCAAGGCTGAGAGAAATACTTGCTGAAGTAAGATTGGCAAAGTCTAATGGCGTTTGCTGCTGGTTTGGCACAGTCCTGCAGTAGTACCGATGATAATCACTGCTTACAGTCAACCAAAGTAAATGCCGTCGCTGCCAGCATAATCAATCGACAACGAAGCTGAAAACGTTTCTCGAAAGTGATTATAGACTGGTTCCTAATAAGAGAAGATACATGGGGAGAGGCCATGCGAGGAATCGCGAAAGAGATGACGAGGGAAAAGCAAAAGAACAAAGAGGTCAAGCTTGAATGCCAAGGAACCAAAGCTTAAATGCGACCAAGCAAAGGTGACTGGAAATCAGAATTTGAAGAAGAAGAAGGAGAAGACCTGGACTAGAGACGAGCAGACTGCGGCCCTGCAAGAGAAAGTATATAGAAAAAGACCGCAAGAGAGGTCGTCGGGATATTTTTCGGAATGACTCGAATTTTGTGGCAATACCTATTTAGTCAAGACCAATTGAGGTTGAATGGTTTGATGGCGAGCATTCAACGTGATCCGGCATCTTCTTTCATGGCTAGCTGAACAACTACCGGCTGCGGAGTCTTGTGGCCTGATCCTTCTCGCTTTAAAGTCCCATCTCCAGCCACGGCTTGGAAGAGCAAGACCCAAAGCAAAGCGACTGTACGCAGAATTCTTCCCGCATATACATAGATATGATATGTCGCCTGCCATTGAAACGGCTTTAGATGGACGAATCGTGGCGGAGTTTTGCGGAGAATGCGGGAGACTGTGCGCTGCCCCGCCAATGGGAGTGGCACATGCAACTTTGACTTGGGTAGTATGAAATCGCGAAAAGCGAGTGACAGAGGGGTTATACATACAGGTTACAGCGATGCTTTTCTCCTGCTCGATTTGACTTGCCGTGGGAATTGTACGTAGTATTCTCACGCAGACGCGCTATCCAAGACGATGCGCTTAATAAGCCTAGGACATGGATCGGTAAAGAAGTGGCTTGCGACATTGTATATGCTGCTTATTGTTTCCTGATTAGAATATCGATCTCCCAATACTATTTGAAGTGCCGAAAATGTCAGTAGATTTGTCTCTGTCATAGTGGCGAACCAACATACCGTATAAATTGCTATTGTAGCAGACGCTTTATTACAGGACTGTCTGTCTACATGGCTGAACCATCATCTGTCAACACAGTAGCCAGTATTACAGCATCCCACGAATACCAGGGCGTTCCTAGACGAACCTGCAATTGTCAAAACTGTGCCAAGTAATAGAGAAATAACTGTCACCGAGCCCTTGGCTCTTGTTGATGATGGATCACAACATTACCTCCATCCTGTCGCAGGAAGGATTCCAGCACAATTTCCGCTAGCAACGCCACCTAAAACTCCGCTTGGAAGGCTGAAACGACTTTGATCCATTCCGCTGATCAGGCAGCACATCATACAACGCCATGAATCTGGATCAGACTATCCACAATAAGGGGACGTTGTGCTGAATGGACGCGAACCTTTGACGCTGCCTCGGTCTGCGGAGTTTCGAGAAAGGGGCCATAATGCCGGCGTACGCATCTGAAAAGGAGAAACGATTAGCATATAAAAAGAGTTACGACTCCAACGTTATTTTTGTAACTTACTGCCACACTCTCCACCGATATCAACTTGAATATTCCTCCAAGTAACTACTACCAAGACACCAAATATCCCTCGCCATGGCTTCATTCAAGCACATCGCCCTTCTTGGTGTACGTTTCTTTATCTATGCTTTGCGTTATTCATACCACTCACTAACCGAACAATATGTAGAAAGGAATGCTCGGTTCCGCCATCTTACCTCAGCTTCTCGAGAAAGGCTTTGAAGTCACCTTGTTCACTCGCTCCGAGTCCTCCGTCAAAGATCTGCCCTCAGGAGTCCATGTTGCAGAAGTCGATTACTCTTCGATCAGCAGTCTGACCGATGCCATGAAGGGCAAAGATGTGGTTATTTGTACCATCACCTCAACAGCCATCCCAGAGCAGAAGGTCATCATCGACGCTGCCATCCAAGCGGGCGTAAAGCGATTCATACCAGCAGACTTTGGCGCCCTGTCTACCATTCCCAGCGCCAAGGATCTCCCAATCCACATCTCGGTAGCGCAAATACGGCAGTATCTGGCTGAGAAGGCGGAAGATGGTCAAATCGAGTATACAGTCTTCTCCAATGGCCTTTTCTTGGAGCTGATTTTCTCGTTTCCTTTCGTGTTCGACTATGCCAATAGAAAGGTTGATCTAATTGACAACGGCGAGAATCCCTTCAGCGTCACTACCGTGGCTTCCATCGGAAAGGCCGTCTCAAACATGTTGAAGGACCCCGAAGGAGCCAAGAACCGCATCATCTACATTCATGACATGACCGTAACACAGGCGCAGCTTGTGAGGCTGGTCAAGAAGCACTCGCCGCCTGAGCCAGCGTGGACGGAGACAAAGGTGGATTCTGCAGTCGAGTTGCAGGAGAGCCTTGAAAGCTTTGCTCGGGATGGATTCAACATGGAGAATGCGCCTCGTTTGCTGCGATCAGCCCTGCTTGGTGGGAAATATGGCGGCGCGTATCCGAACGTGGAGAATGAGCGGTTTGGCCTCGAGCTATGGACTGAGAAGGAGTTGGATGCTTTTGTTGCTTCAAAGGTTCAGTAAATGCTGCGCAAGTCCTCTGTATGCGTTACAGAACAATTCAATAGAGTGTAGAGAGATATATACAGACCGGTTGTTTGCCTAGATCGAGCCAGCCTCGTGGCATGGCATTGCATATTTCTCCTCCAGTCGGCGTAGATGGTGCTGTCTAGCATATCATGATAGATGGATGAGGAGTTACAAGACTCAAAGAGGAGTTACTTCCCTCGAAAACACAGCCTTCTATCCAATACAGTGCCTTCAGTGGATAAGTCCTACCTGCTGCGGGTGCCTGAGCTACCTGTAACCATCCGAAGTGCAGCAGCCTTGCAGCAGTCCTGCAGCAGTCACCCCTTTTACCCTATCACGTGTCTCGGCTCCTGCTCGCACATATTTATTTACTTCTTAGCAGCCCACTGAACCTCCCAAAAACACTCTCCGTTGCCATCTTCCAACGCTCGGCAGGATAGAATTTTACGACCCTTGAGCCCACCACGGCTCTCCAGCTTGTTGACCAAGCTTTGCAGATACCCTGGGAGGCGAACCAAGTATGTACCTCTTTTAAAATGATGTCTCTGATGCTCTGCTAACCATGTTGCAAATTGGAAACAAGCTATCAGTTCGTTGTTTGGTCTATTGAGGCCTCAACTCCAAAGAGGGCGGCTCAGCAACAACAACAACAACAACAACAACAACAACAACACTCCAAAAGTCAAATGCCTTGCATGGCCGGAGCAACTTGGCGGCCACACTCTGGCGTGATAAAACTTTACGGCGTAACAACCCACGGAGGGTCAAGTCATACATCAACCCTCTCGCCGCTGGTCTTGGCGGGATAGCACTTTACGACCCAGGGCTGCCAAGGGCGCCCCCGCCCGACCCAGGCGCCCCAAAGTGCGAAACCTGGAATATTGTTCATATCATCCGCATTTTCAAAGCTTGCCTTGCATTCTCATGCTTGTATCCCATGGACTTGTCCGCATCTGACGACAGAGAGGGCACCACAAAGACATGTCGAAAACAGAGCTCCCAAACAAAAACAGCCCAAAGCCAAGCCTGGACTTGGCGAGATAAAACATTAAGGCGTAGGGCAGCCCAGCGCCGATGAGATAATGAAGTGGCAACCATTCGTTGCCACTTCATTATCTCATCGGCGCTTATATCCCTAGCTCGGACAGAAGACAAGACAGACGAGCATTTGCAACACTATCTTGAAGCAAGACGTCCGACATCACACACCCGGTGACACATCACTCTGTCTATTGAGGCCTCAACTCTCTCTTCTCTTACACATTTTGACACCTGTTCTTCTACTTCTACACCACCCCTACTCTTTCATCTTTCAACGACAATAGGCAGCGTCTTTCAATCTGCTGGCAAAGCATGAAGAAATCTACGAGTTGACCAATATCCTCATCATCGTCACGACTACCGGTGGAACGAGAGATCCCAGACGCGTCCTTCATTCTATGATTCATTCACATCTTCACAAGAAACACAATCAGTTGAGGCGAATGGGCATTGGTTTCTGATATTGGGGGGTCGACAATACGAGGCCTCATGTCTTTCTTCTTGGTCTCTGGGCAGCAGGTATATTCATGGTCATGGAAAGCAAGTTGTGTATGGTCCTGAGTTTATTTAATTGATGTATATCATTCACGTCGCCTCTCAATTCTGCTCTACAATCTTTGTGTCCTAGGCTTTGTAAAAATAGGGACGTGTTACCAGGCCACCATCGCAGAGTAATTATCTTCCAAATAAACGGGTTCTATGGCGTTTAGCCCCCTGAACACCGGTTCTGGCCGTCCCATGTGAAAATAGCTGTAAACAAGGGAGTCTATTCTTATCCGTTTTTGGTGTTTCCTATGTTATTTAACTTGCTTGTCTCTAGAGACTTTAGTGGCAGCCTCAGCGGCCTTCTTATCTTCAAGGGAGAAGTTATCCAGCACCCCAATCTTATTATCCAACACCCCAGCTGTAGCACAACAAGGCAGCTAGTCTACATATTGAAATGCACAACCACTAAATAGGTACATATTAAAGCAGTAGTAGCAGTAGTAGCAGTAGTAGCAGTAGCAGCAGTAGCAGCAGTAGCAGCAGTACCTAGTAGCACGCTCCTAAAATAACTAAATTCTCTGACTATTGGCCTGCTTTGAACTCGTCGTAGTTGATGACCGATTCGAGGAGAGTCTGGGCTCCTAGGGCGCTGTTGGAAGAATGGCAATAACAAGTTAGCTTCTAACGTGCCAAACAACAGCCTCAATCAACTTACCAGTCCTCTGGGCTGCAGTATTCCTCTGGGTGGTGGCTGACGCCGTCTTTGCAGGGAACAAAGATCATGGTCGTTGGGCATCGGCTGCTTGTATTGACGCTATCGTGGCCCGCTCCACTCGTTATATGAAGCCATCCATCGACGCCGACCAGCTTTGTCGCCGCCTTTTCCACCATCTTGATACAGTCCGTGTCGAATTTCGTGGCAGGGGAGTCGGTATCGAGACTCATGTCGACTTTCACGCCATGACCATCTTCTTTGGCGATGGCTTGGAAGGACTCGGTGCAAAAACGCTGTACTTCATCGACTACAGCGTCGTCTGGGTGGCGGATATCCAGCGTAAAAGTCACATTCGAGGCGATGGTATTGGTGGAGGAACTCGGAGGGATTTTGAAAACGCCGGTAGATGCCAAGGCGCCGAGCTTCTTTGCAATGGCGTTGGAAGAGACAATCATCTTGGATGCTGCCAGCAGAGGGTCGCTGCGTGACTTGAACGGCGTTGTCCCCGTGTGAGCATCGCGGCCACTGACGGTTACAGTGAACCAGCGATAGGCCTGGCCACCCTGGACGACGCCAATCTTCTTGCGGGATTCTTGGAGGATCGGGCCTTGCTCGATGTGTAGCTCGAAATGGGCGCCCAAGGGATATCCGGTTGATGAGCAGGCGACGTCTCCGATGTAACCAAGTCTTTGCAGCTCGGACTTGACGGTGACGGAGGGGTCGAAGATGTCGGGCAGAGAGTAGGCCTGTTCGAGAGGGATCTTGCCGGCCCATACACCGGATGCCATCATCGATTTGGGAAACCTGGCGCCTTCTTCACTGATGAACACACGTCTGCGTTAGGCCTGTAGAGAGACAAAGAGAGTAGAACAAAGAAGATATGACAAAGAGGAGAAACAGTTCATGGAAACAAAGAAATACTGCTGCCTGGAACTGAAACACATACTTTGTCCAATTGACGATTCCAACATCATGATGTGTGCTGTACCCATTCTCCGCAAGAGTCCGCAAGACCTCAACAGCAGCGACGACGCCCAAAATGCCGTCGTATCGGCCACCTCGAGGCTGAGTATCCAGATGGCTTCCCATGGCAATCATGGGCGTGGGGTTTGGCAAAGATCCGCGTCTACTGGCGAACATGTTGCCTAGTTCATCGACAACGAGGCTGCATCCCAGCTTCTTCGTCTCTTCGGCGAACCAACGCCTTACTTGGGCATCATCGTCGGAGAGCGAGAGACGAGACATGCCCGTCTCGGTTGGGCCGCTACGAGCGATTGTTAGCATCTAAAAACTCAATTTGAAAGGATTTTAATAGGCAACAAACCTCCCGTATCGATGAGCAGCGCCCCATTGGCATGTGTGGTGGATCGTTTCTTGCAGCCTGTCGGCATTGATGCGGAGACCTGCTGAGGCTGAAACAGAGTAAAGGCGCTTTGCGGCAGGCAGAGATGCCTTGCGGAGGACGGGCGGCATTGTGGGCGACATCGAGGAACTTGTAAGAGATGGATTGAAGAACAGAAATGGACAAATGGTCAGACGAAATTGTCGGACGGACAGACAGCTGTAGATGCTGAGTCGTAGCGAGTGGAGTTGTATGTAGGCGGCTACTGCTTGTCACTGGAGATGCGCCCTCTGCCGCCTTCCAAGAACATGGAAAGCAACAAATTATCTCGCAAACGAAGGCTCGCTCGACAGACAATTGGCAATGTTTTCAGAGAGCTTGAAGGACAAAACGGAGAAGATGCCAAAATGTCATTTTTTGAACGTTGGGGATTTGGAGCATCTCTATACAGCCTTGCGTTGGCAAGATAACCAGCAGGTACCTGGATACAGCTTTCCTCGGGCCGTCAGGTCTGTACGTACCGGAGAGCTAAGCAATAGCGGGGTAAAATCACCGAAAGGCCGAGTCAGTAACCTAGAGAGCATCATCATTTTGTTCTCCCTTTGTTTTTTCCCTGATTAAATCAATTCCTATTTTTTGAAGAAAAAAAAAAAAAAGAAAGAAAAGAAAGAAAAGAAAGAAAAAAGAAAAGAAAAAAAAAAAAGAATCTTCTACAGAATGTTAGTGACGAGAAAACATAAACCTCTGGTTAACAGCAGCCCACTCCCTATTCTTTACGCTGTAGCTAACTAGATCCCGCGACTAAGTTAAAATCTACTTTTTTTTTTCCTTACCCTCAAGATTACCATCTTTTGTTTCTTGCCTCTTTATTTCATCATTAGTATTATAGGCCACGCTTCCGATCAGCAAATCGCGAAACCGCCGAACAAACGACCGGAATACACCAAGAAAGGAGAGGCTCAGATCTTGCCGCGATTGCAGGAAAAACAATTCGAAATGAGCAAGAAAACGCTGGAACTAACATGTAAATGACTGCTCGGATAAGTTTTATTCTGCCAAAGACGTGGCCGTTGAGCCCTTGTTGCTAAGGAATCGCAAGCTTTGATACTTTAATTGGCCATCAGTTCCGTTCTTCATTCTCTTCCAGATAGCTCTTTTTGTATTGACGACTGCCCTGATGATCCCGTAGTCAGACTGATCGTACCAACGTGTGTCGTTTCGAACACGTTCAGATTCTAGATTCGACACCCCAAAAGCAGGCTTCATTTCATGTTCCAAAGAAAACCCAGCCTCGTGCAATAGTCTTTGCTTGAATTGTGAATATTGGATGTCAGCAAGGGACCCAAAATGTGCTAAAACTTCCGGGTGTCGCCTCATCCATGGCCAAAAGGTTTCCCATCTTTCTAACGTTAGAGGTACCTCTAACTCATCGCGTGGAAAATGGGCCGGTAGTTCCATTAGGTTTATTACGATATGGAACAAGTCCATATCCAGCTCCCTGCCCCAGTCGTCGTCTGCGGTCTCATTCGAACCAGCGTCTGAAATCTCATCTAAATCATCGTCCGAAATTTCTATAACAAGCCTATCTATGTTGACGGCTCCCTTGTGCTGGGATGGTCGATACCGCTCGCCAAGTCCGTCTCCAGAAGACATACTTATCGTTTGCATTTTCTGCGCATCATTGTTTCGGAATAACACATCGGATATACTAAGCGTTTGTGCCTGCTCATCTCCAATATCGTTGCTGGTCTTGCGACTGGATGGAATGTGTGTATCCGTCACACGTGGTGCTTGCTTGAAATCATACATTTCGCCATGCCATAATCCCACATCAGCCTGTTTTTGCTGTGAGCCTTGAATTTCGTGATGTGATAACATTTCATCTGTGTGAGCGCGTCGATCGCCCTTTGACTTGAATTCATCATTCTTCTCATGCTCGCGATCCCATTCATCCATCTGTGATCCCACTTGCGAAATTAAGGACATAATTGGGACAGCACTTGTAGATGAAGGGTGAATAGAACCGCCTGGAAGAGAATTTTGGGCCTGCATGGCCTCACTCATGAAAGTATCGTAGGTATCTGGCCAAGGCTCTGGCGAGAGGCCTCTATTCAACGACGGCGGTACAAGAGAATCATGGCGGGTGACCGGCCGTGGATTTTCCGTCTGCTCAGTGGCTGCATCAGAGAGAATTTCAGCTGCACTAGATTGGCTCCATGATTTCATCCGATGAACTGGCTGATGACCGCTGAGGGGAAGATGAATAGGTACATCTCTCAAAAGTGGCGGATCGGCACATTTATTTAATGCCTGCTCGTGTCCTTCTGGCTGAGGAATATTCGAGGAAGCCGAGACCCACAATAGGATGTCCTTTGGTCGCTTTTGTAGAGACTGATCGTCTTCATCGTGACGAGTGAGATATCTTTTCGGTGGTCGTGGCGTCTGGATATTTCTTATAGATTTGGGTGCAGGATTTGGGTTATGATATTTATTGGTATGACCTTTAAGAGCCTGCGCCGATAGAAAAGGCGGGAAATGGCAATCTGGAAAGGTGCACCTGAATTTTCGCACGTGAGCTATTTCGTGGTCAAGGCGAGCTTTATCCGTCTCGAAGCCCAATGTAGCTCGAGGACACGATTTGAGCCGACAGGTATATGCAGAAGCTCGAAACTGGCTCTTGAACAGCTCGAGCTCTTCAGAAGATATTCCTGGATGGTCGCTTTGATCGAGTATCGATCTAACGGTTTCTTGGTACACTGCGAGCATATCTGAAATGCCACATAAAGCAAGGGAAGCCTGCGAAGCTCTTGGTATTCCATCACGGGCTAAGATTGATAGGATCAGTAAATTTGCAACATGATATGGTCTTACTGCCAATACCTACCAGGTGTTTGTAAAAGCTCGTATTCCAATTGCTTGATCGATCTGGCCTCCAAGGCTGCTCTAACCTGCTTTTGTAAAATCGGATACTGTTGCAGATATGCTAATCTTTTATCCTGTGCGTTTTCATCCTGTACGCTGGATTGTGTCTGAAATTGTTCCTCTGCCAATAAACCAGCCATCCCATTGAGCTTATCCGCCATTTGACAAGCCATGGCAAACAAGAGCGAATTGTTTTCCAACCCGCTGACGTACTCTGCGCGAGACAGCAGATATTCTGTCCAATATTCAGTAGCATAAATATGAAAGCCATGCAGACCTTTGACTACTCGATGATATGTGATCTGTTTATCGTATGCTGTGTAAAATACTTCTGATCCGGAAAGCAAGCAAGTAACAGCCGCTACGCCGTGTTCTTCGAGCGCTTCTTGTTCATCAATCATAACGCTGCAAGATGCCGTTTGAAGAAATCCACACGGGCGTTAATTTTGTACTTGAGTACCGGTAGGCTGCAGTCAAGGTATAGCTCACTCTTTCACAGAGACGTGAATAAAAGTCACAGTCGTATCGTGCCTTTCGTCTATGAGCGGCGCACAGATGTCCAAGATGTATTGAGGACAGAGGTGGGCAACATTTGGATCCCCAGCGCTGAAAGTAACGGCAGATAAAAATTCGAGTCTCTTCAACGGACGTTTTGCAAATGCGATCCAACCAAGCACACACTTGATCCTGTTTACAGATCGAGAATCCAAATGAATAAGCACTTGAGTCAAGATTTTGTGGTAACTGAGGACAATTAGCACTGGCATTTTTGATATACCCATAGTGGATGACTTGCAAGTCGTTGATTTTCTCAGGCAGCTGGTTGACAGAAGCTTTAATCTCGTCGCAACTATAGAATACATTGGTAGAGAGGTAATCTAGTACCAGTCGAGCATATAGAAACATTCCTTTTTAGAATCATCAATAACTTAGGCCGCAGCAATGACCATCTGGATAAACTTACCGTCTGCCCTTTTTGCGATTTGACGTTCAATATCGTCCAATTCTCCTGGCGCGATATCGAGTTGATGGAACCTATGTTCGAGTGCTTGCAGTCTTTGAGCCGCATACAGCCGTATTGCTCCCTCTAAGCAATATTTCTCTTCACTGAGGGAAACAATCTGTTTTTTGCGTAGCCAATGCGACAATGTTGTTGAAGAGCGGCTTGATATGAGGACTTTACAAACCGCATTTCCGGATAGTGATCTATGAGACGTGACCTGGTTCATCAAGCTTATAACTCGCGCTTGCTTGTCTGGCTCGCATTCATCTAGTCCGTCTAGAATTATCCAGAAATACTCTGTTTGAGATGGCTCATCAGATACGCTTTTGAAAAGAAGCTGTAAGAGCCGCTCCAAGGCAGATATTGTTGGTGACTTCTTTCCGAGAACGAATTCTTCATAGACGTGAGCGACTAGGTCACCATCTTTTCGAAGCAGTTGCATAAGCAGTGATCTCAGTATCTGCTCATACATGGTAGATGACATGTATAGATAAGTGCAAAAGTGATACATGACAAACATCTTGGCTGTTTGCATAAAATTGACGAGTTGGGTGGAAATCACACTCTTCCCAGATCCAGGCGTGCCTTGTAACCAAAGGATTGGCGATTCTGGCCTTTTCTGGAGCCAGGAGCTGACCTTGGGGTTCTTCAATATCCATGCGCATGTGCCTGGATAATTGCGCCCCTCTGCCATGATTGAATCAAAGATGGCCAGTTGGTCCGACTCGTCAATATTCATCCACGCAATGATTGACTGATACTGCTTGATAGCTTGTTCGCCTTCGAGGCTTTTCACCTTGTCAATATTCTCTTGCCTCCAAGCACGGAGATCGCGACGCATTTCTTGTGCTTCGGAAATATTGCGAGCATTTGCTTCCTTGTCAATCAAGTCGCTATGACGTCCCATGTCTTCAATGATGCTATCGAATCGTCGCTGAAATCGACCCCAAGAAGTAAGAAATAATAGCCTCCAACCTGGCCAACATCAGAAGAGAATACATGAGAAGAGGCGATTCAGCTTACCGCTTCGCCGAACAAACTTGTAAGCATGTTTATGGAACTGAAGAATGTCGGCATAGAAGACGGCCAAGACTTGTTGAAAGTCGTGGTCGTCTTTAAAGGCATTGTCTAAAATCTCGAACCTTCCAAGCGACTCAGCAAGCTGAGCATAGCCCTTGATGATCTGTTCAAAAGCTTCCACGTGTTCTGAAGCCACTCGCAGAATGAGAGCGATCGGTGCCCATATCCACGGCAGATATGGGGTTCCGTTGCATAGAATATCCATCACCTTTGAGTAGTGCTCTATTCCTCTGAATAGAGGCATGAGACGACGCATGTTGCGAAGCGATCCTCTCGCGGCAAGCTGCCTTTCGATTTCGAGCGCCGCATCTCGTACACTCTTGATCGTCGTAGCACGAAAGTCGCGCGAGTCTGCCGGGGTAATTGTCCGATTGAGATCATCATATGCTGCTCTTATTGTTTGCCTCGCTGTGGCAGACACAGGCGGAGGGAGAGGCATTTCGATCGCATTTGTTGCATGCTATGCGCAAAGATAAAAAGCTGCTGAAGGATGAAAACGCGCTGTTGCGATGCAAGATGCAGGGGCTGAAGCAGATACTTATTTGATTGGGCAGCCATGCAGGCCGCCTCCCACACGGGTTGCCTCGCGAGCTGCCTTGTATGGCAGTGTTTTGGCAAAATGCTCAGACACGCCATGCATTTCACGGGTTGTGCAACGGTTCCAAACCGTCGAATCCTGCTCAATTGTTAGCTGAATTGTGGCTCTGAGCCGTGGTTCTTCATCACAAGAATACCTGCATTGTAACTATTCACTTTTCTCAAACACCGTTTCGACTGCGCGGCTTGCCAAATCCAAGCATGGACCACGTTCACGATCATCATAATGCGAAGCGGCGGCGGCTGGACGAACGCATTCAGCCGGGCGTGCGACAAAGGGTCGAGCATAGCTGCATGACCATATCGTCTTTGATTGACCAGGGGATTCATCATCACGGAGCTGTACAATCCCTAGAGCATTCAACTTCATATAGCCTGGCATTCCAGACACATCAGCAGACTCGAAACTCAACGACAAGCACTTCTTCGGCACCTTTCAAGCTCCTTGAACAATCGAGCAACCAGGCAGCGCAGCCTTTTGAGGCGCGATTTGCTGCTCCTGCGCGGCGTCTCAGGCCATGGGAGATCTCTGATCCATGCAATCCCTCTCCAGTGCAGGATTCCGCCACATCTTTTGCGCTGTGGAATTCTCACAACGCTCCTACTCTGCCATTTCAAACTCAAGATGTCTCCCCCGATTCAGCGCCTTATTCGTACATGACTACCCCATCACCACATCCAAACATTGCAGATGATCACTCTGAAAATGAAGCCCAAGATCCGAATACATTCATCGCATCTCAAGCGAATACCGAGCAAAGTGTGATGGTTTGCTTTGGCATGGTGAGTTGGCCAGTCTGAACCTATTCCTCGTAGCTGATCCATGCAGATCTCAGGTATCTCGGGAAGATGCGAAAGACCAAACTCGAGCGAAAAGTTATCCCCATTCTCGGTTACGCTCAACTCTTCGGAGAACTTTAGCGCAGTTGGAGACCCGCGATTGAAGGGGCGAATCTTTTCAGAGCACGGACAAATGGTGCAGGGTCTTCTCGACGAATCCACTCTAACACTTCATGTCTCTTGCATCCCAAACGATGACATATCAAAGAAAAAATCGGGGCAAATTTCTGCGCTGTTTCCATGTGACTTGGAGGTTACCGTATATGGTGATTCTGATCTATTCGAGCAGATTGGCGTCTGGCTCCAAGCGTATGGAGTGTACCTGCAGGATCCGCGAGCATGCCATCAGGATGTCAAATACTGTAACCCTCATCGATTATCCTCAGACGACTTCGAATCTTGCCCTTTGCTCTCTCAGGCCATATCCCATGCTCTCAAAGTGTCATCTTTTCAGGGCATTACAGAGGGGCCGGATTTGCTGGATATTCTCAGCAGTAATGTTGAGCTAGAGGAGACTCCTCAGCCTGCAAGCATACAAACAGTTCTCCAAAGGTAACGTGTTCTTAAATGCTTCATCTTCCAATGTCTCAGTGGACTGACTGAATGAGGAGGTTTAGTCACCAGAAGAAAGCATTAACATTCCTGCTTCGACGGGAAAATGGCTGGGCTTTCGAGACGAATCAGCTAGACATTTGGGAGAAAGTAGATAATGACCAAGGACGATTGTAAGTGGTCTTGGAGCTGCTCTTGTACCAAGACTAACATGGCCTGTTTGCAGCTTTGTCAACCGGATTTCGTCTACCCACCAAGAAGAAGAGCCTCCTCAGTTCTATGGAGGCATCATTGCGGATCCAATGGGTCTTGGCAAAACATTGACAATGATTGCTTTAGCAGCTTCTGACTTGGATAGCAGTAGTAATGCCACCAAGGATCTCATGAAGAGAGAGGTGGGGGATAACCCCCGTATCGCAACTACTCTCATTATTATTCCCCCTCCGCGTATGTCACAGAGACTCAATTCTAACGAGGGATAGTTGCTTACTATTGCTAGTGCTCGGTACCTGGGAAGAACAGTTGTCTGAGTAAGCCCAAGAGGATCTAGGATACCCAGATATCAACACAGCTAATAGTTGGGCAGACACGTTGTGGCAGGCGGTTTAAAATGGCAGCGCCATTACGGAAAGACTCGGTTCACTAGCCGGTATGACCTTGACGATGTAAACGTGGTGCTGACTACCTACCACACCGTTTCTGCTGAATGGAAGAATGAGCGAGAAGCCGAAAGCTCAATCCTGTTCTCCGTTTGCTGGAAGAGGATAATCCTAGATGAAGGTCAGTCGCAGCTCGCTGCTCTTATTCATAGTTTCGCAAGAGCACCAAAATTCCCAACATCTGACGTGGATAGCTCACTTTATCCGGAATGGAAAGTCAAGGATGGCCCATTCCATCTGTGCGCTTGACTCTATCGCGCGATGGGCTGTTACTGGAACGCCCATCCAAAACCGTCTCGGCGACCTTGCTAGTCTGCTCAAATTCATCCGGGTGTATCCCTACACGGATCCGAGGCATTTTGACGCCGACATAGCTCACTTTTGGAAATCTGGACAAGATGAAGAGGCTGCCAAGAGATTACAGCGCCTATCAGCTTGCATATTGTTGCGCAGGCCTAAAACAACAATCAATCTTCCTCCAAGGCAGGATCTGCGTTGTCCCATCGACTTTAGCCGCGAAGAAAGAGAAATGTATGCCGCAATAAGAGAGCAGGCGATAATAAGAATCGACGAAGCATTGCAAAGCAACTCGGAAAGATCGAGGGCGAGCGTGTATGTCAACGTGTTACAGCAAATCGAATCGCTGCGACTTGTCTGTAACTTGGGCCTCCACTACCACGCAAGACATCAAAAGTCTCTGAATGTGCCGGCAGAAGCGAGCGATTGGACTGGTGACGCGCAACAGACTTTTAACGTTCAGCGTGGAATGGGACCAATCATGTGCGTGCAATGCTCATCGACTCTAGAGTTGACCGAGACTCTTCTCGACGACTCTAGCACCGCATATCAGAATCCAACATTTTCCCGTTGCTTGAAGTTTGTATGCGGCGACTGTATGCAACGGATGAGCAAAGCTGGTCGCAAATTAGGTTGCGGACATCGACCTCCCTGTCCTACAGCATCGGTTTCTATAAGCACAAATATCTTTGAGGATGTTTCCGACATTGTTCCACATCAAATAGAAGCTTCTTCCATTACCCTTCCGTCAAAGATTAACGCTCTTGTCGCTGACATCAAGTCTTTGCCTTCAGACACTAAATGGTATTTTCTGATGATTCTTCATGATTAGCATGTGTATACTAAACTCGTCACAGCATTGTATTTTCAACCTGGAGGCTAACTCTCGATATAATCGAAGCTGGCCTGGATCAAGCCTCGCTGCGCAGTATTCGTTTCGACGGCAGGGTACCTCAAAAAGAACGCCAGTCAGTTGTGGACAAGTTCAAAAACGATCCAAGCATTCGCGTCATGCTACTCACCCTATCATGCGGCGCAGTTGGGCAAGTACTTCCTCGCCTAGATGCTTTTCGAAGCCTTGGTGTAGCTAACAGTCCTGTAGCCTTACGCTTACTGTCGCGTCGCGAGCATATCTCATGGAGCCTCATTGGTTTGTATTTCGGTGTATACGTTTCTTGCAATTGTATTATTTACTCGTTCTTTCAGGAATCCGACTCTCGAAGAGCAAGCCCTGGCTCGAATCCACCGCATTGGACAGACGCAGAGTGTTACGACGGTTCGGTTCTACGTCAGAGATTCATTCGAAGAAGTCAGTAAATTTCCTCAGCTTGTATTAGAATAGAGAATAGTCACTTATAGGTTCAACAGCAAGTCATGGAACTTCAAGAGTCGAAGAAGAGCCTTGCCGGGGTCTTGCTCTCTCCGCATGACGGCGGGCACACTGACGATAGTCTCGGAACGCTTCAAGTGAGTTGCTAGCATTCGTTGCACGAATTAACCAGTACTGAAACACTTCTAGCGTTTGAGGGTATTGCTTTAGCACAGCAATGTCGGTGGCTGGTGATGTTGACGACGAATAAGTCGAGAGGGATAGAGACAAAGAACGGTGAATTGTCATGACGATACACGATTAGGTGGTAGCGGAATCATTGTCACCTTGGAAATCTGGAGCGATGCAATCTTCCCCTCGCGATGAACAAAGAAATCCTGGAAGATATTCTTCGGAGGTGCTGATTCACTGGGGCAGCTGGCCTGAACCGAAATGCATCTTGGCAAGTGCACGATCACGTGAGATTGGGATTACAGGCAAACAGAAGAAGAATATGATAACTGAAGCAAGCCTAGCAATTTGATATAATATATAAACTCAAAGACCAGTATCCTTTTCACATACCACAAAATACATGTCTTAGTGCTGCAGAGTTAGCAGACCTGGTCGGTAGGGCAAAAGATCGTAGGTGCCCCCAGAGTTGGTCGCTCGGCCCTGGTACAGGAACTGCAAGTTGCAAGGATCAATCGTCATGGTCTGATCAGGATTGCTGCGAATCAAATCACCGTGGCTGATGTCGTTGGTCCAAGTAGCGCCGCTGTTCGCCTTGCCGGCGAAAGGCTTGCTCTCACTTGCGGCTTGCGCCGTCCATGAGCCGCTCAGGCTGTTGGAGGTGAAGGATCGGAAATAGCGTCCGTTTGCTCCAATGGCCTCGACAATCATGAGATATTGGTTGGAGCCCGAGATGGTGTAGACTTGGACGGCCTCGAACAGGTTATTGGTCGAATCGCTCATAACCACCGTCGAGGCCGTGCCAAAGTTGCCCGGGAAGTTTCCAATAGGCATGCTAGCCCTGTAGATCTTCCCATTGTCCCCAGCGAAAAAGAGGTACATGTTGGAGCTGTCGCCAATGACTGTCTGGTCAATAGCGCTCGCTCCGGATATAGTTCCAGAGAAGAGAGGCTGCGGCGACGACCATCCACTCACGCTCGAGGGATTGCTGTTTGCCATGTAGGAGAAGGTAGTTGGTCCCCATTGATAGGCAAGGACCCAAGTGTTTTTGGGAGAAAAGAAGAAGAGTGTGGGCGCAACAGTGCCTGGATTCATCTTGTTCTGGCTGGCTGATCCCATGTTAGACCAGTCGCTAAACAGGCCAAAGTTCATGGACCCCCAGATTGATCCAGTGTCGTGGAACGATCCAAAGACGAGATGCTGCCCGTTGTAGGTGACGTGAGTAAAGTCTTTGAGAGACGCCCATCCTGATTTTGGATTGGCCAATGCACCAGTTGAATTCCAGCGGTATGTTGATGGAAGCGCACAGGCGGCTGCGGCAGCTACTCGTGCAGTGACAAGACCCGCCGAAGCGAGCAGCAAAGCTCCAGTCTCGAAGAGTCTCATTATGAGGGATTGATGCTGAGAAGACAGTTGAGTTTGGTAAATGAAGATGGAATGAAGGATTGATGCATAATGCCTGAAACTTATAGTCTTTTTATATGTTCACGACCATGTACACCGGGTATTGTTCAGAGGTTTTGGTACGTCTGAAGTACGTGGTGACAAGCTTCACTCACACCAGATCAAGCTTCTCGATGGATAAGCATATTGGTAGTGGCACTACCCCATGCTCACGGAAAAGCGCTCCAATCGGCTTTTTGCCTCGCACACCGCGCAGAGTTGCACTGCGAAGTTGCGGGGGTAGCACTCATGGCAGATATAACAACAGCCGTGTCTCCGTAGACATGTCTACTCACTGGCTAAATTGCATGTTTCTGAAATGGACTGAGCTGGGCCAATGACACTTGACGTCTGTTCCTGTTTAAGCAATGATTGATGCTTGAGCATTTAACCGGTTTCTGACAGGCTCATTGTCATGAGAGAGCCGGCTGTATACTAAAAGATTATGTAAGTACATGTAGCCATGTTACAAACGCTCGTAGACTGACGTCGACTCGAATGATGATGCTATCATGTGCGTTGTTACAGTCGACGAGACATCTTATAAGCGCACGAATCATAAGACACTTCACGGCATATGTTGACGGCATTCATCGCCCCAGAAACCGATACGAGAAGAATAACTTGTCAGGTTTTCTTCCAATTGGACCATCCATTAGCCATGTTATTGAATCATGAACATGGATAATAAGGCCACTACTTAACGAATCGACACTGGAGCTGATGATATGGTCTTTGGATATAAAAGACATGTGAGCTACTTGTACTTGGCAGCTCGTGTTATTTTAATATACTCGCAGATTCATCACATGTCTTTTACCAGCTCCTAAACTTTGTTGAGTATTACTTCTACTCAGTTTATGCCGAGAAAATGCAAATATTCCTGGGACATGAGCTCTTTCCCAAGATTATTCAGCTACCCTATATTATCGTAACATTTTTTTTTCTCTCTTTCGATTGAGAAAAAGACTAGCTGACGAATCGTAGTGACCTGTGGCATTCATGAAAATACAAGATAATAACCCATATAGCATATCGCTTAGTGCTGTGCTTTCGGGAATGCTATATTGTGGACAAGCAATTCTATCGTTTGCGTTTTCTTCAGTCATATAGAAGCTCACATAAGCAACCAGCTCTAGCTGGCGCTTGACCTGCAACTGTGCCTGGATTTCGCAGCATTGAACGCTAAAAAACTTTTGTATCAGCCACGCAAATTGGGCTTATCGATTAGACGCAGATAGGACCTTGGCGAAACGTCTTTCAAGATGAAGACAAACAAAAAAAAGCCATGATCATCCTACAACTCATCACTCTTTTGTCTGTTTCAATGCTTCCGCTGACAGTCTATCAAAGACTGAGAAGCACTAACTCGTGCACAATGGCGCAATCAGCTCTCAATATGAGTAACATCGTCTAAAAACAGTGGCAATAGTGGCGCACGGATATCGATCTCGCGGCAACAAAACCGAGGACCGCTCGTCAGCTTTTGGTGACAGACCAGCCCCAATGACTCGGAAGCCAACGCCGAGAAAGCGCCTTCTTAGCGTAACAAGAATCTGAGAGTGATTCCAACGCCCAGAACTCGCTGCTGGGAGTTCTTCTCCACCAAAAAGGCAGCAGATTGTGGAGTAGATAGCCTCGGCGCTATTACAAACGACACGAGCAACCTAGTCGATGACAACAGGCTCGATTACGTACTCCAGCCTCATCCCATTGTTCGCAATGTCTGGGGTGCAGCGGCAGCTTCAGCTAACAGCAGACCTGCAGATCGCCTGACGGTAGTTGCACGCCTCGCCCAATTCAAGGATGCATTCGGCGCCTCTCAAGCCCTGCGTTCCTGCTTCTAGGCCGTGGCTTTTGAATCCCGGTCCGGGTATCGTCATCACTAAAAGAGCTTCTCGCCACGCCTCATTGGAGCTCGAGTCCCCCCAGTGGAGAAGCCTGTCGAGCACGCAATCGCCTAGCACAGCGGCCATGTCCGCGTACGGAAGGCTGTCGCTGAGCCATCACCAGATTTTTCCAGGGAGATGGCATTTTTCTCTCGCCGTGGATGGGGTTGCATTAGATAATGGCATGCTTCTTTTCTTCTCGAAGGAGCTAAAGGTTGCAAGGGGAACGAGCCTACTTCATCTGCGTGATTGCCACACCGTGATTCTCGTTTCCCAGCTTTTCATTTCTCTTTCTTTCTTCCTTCAAGTTCTGTAATTGTGTTGCATGGCACCAACGACAGCGAGCGAGCCAGCAACTGAGTTGAGAGTTTAGCGGGCTACTGGTTCAACACAGCGGGATAGTGACGCCACACCCGTTGCCAAGTTCAGGCATTGGACTCCTTCTGGAAGCTCGTCACGTTGACGCGAGATACCTCGACGCAGCTCCCTTGTTCTCTTTTCTGTCTTTTATTACAGCACTTTCTTTACTACAGCGAGAGAAAAAAAGTGTTTCTATTGAAAAATCATGGGCTATCGCCAAGACTATAACCCCGAGGGGTTGCCCGACGAGGCCAAGAAGGATCGCAATGACCCTCTCGCGGTAACGACCGACGACCTCGAAGGCTCGACACACATTCTCCAGGACCGTCTACGTCGGTCTCTTTCAGCGCGCCAGGTCCAGATGATTGCCATTGGAGGCACCATTGGAACCGGTCTCTTTCTCGGCACCGGCAAGTCGCTGGCCACTGGCGGTCCAGCCTCGATGCTCATCTGCTACGCCATTGTCGGCTTCATCGTCTTTGTGACGATGCTCAGCTTGGGAGAGATGGCGGCCTTTTTGCCAGTGGCGGGTAGTTTCTGTACATTTGCGGGGTAAGAACTGTTGCCAAGCCTCGAGATGTTGAAATTTCTTGCTGACATTGTAACCCTGTGATTTAGTCGCTTTGTCGATGACGCTTTTGGCTTTGCCCTGACTTGGAATTACTGGTTCAACGACGCCGTCTCAACAGCCTCCGATTTGGTTGCGCTTCAGCTTGTGTTGCAGTACTGGACGGATCACTTTCCGGGGTGGGCTCTCAGTTTGATATTCTGGTTTGTTTTGATTGCGGTCAACATTGCTACCGTGCGCGCATACGGCGAGGTAAGCATGAACGAGCAACATCTGTCGAGAATGGATCTAATAGACCTCAATAGCTCGAATACTGGTTGAGTTTGCTCAAAGTCATTACGATTGTGGTGAGTAGCCGCCTTGATGCTTTACTTTTGCTGCCAAACCCAGGCTCACAATTTTCAGGTCTTCATTGTCATGGGAATCGTTGTCAACTGCGGTGGCAATGCCCAGGGCCATTACATTGGTGGTGAAAACTGGCATATCCCAGGTGCTCCTTTTGTTGGTGGCATCGGTGGCTTCGCCTCTGTCTTTGTCACTGCTTCTTTTGCCTGTAAGTGCACTGCTGGACTCCCAACAGCATGAAATCGGTGCTAACAAGATTTCCCCAGATGGTGGTACCGAATCCATCGCCATTACCGCCGGTGAGACCAAGAACCCTACGAAAACCATGCCCAAGGTGGTGAAGAATGTCTTTTGGCGAATCCTCCTCTTCTAGTACGACTCTGCGATTGCCTCTTGAACGTAACATGTTGCTGACGCCCTTGCAGTATCCTCTCTGTTCTTCTCATCGGCCTCAACATCCCCTACGACTACCCCGGCCTCAACTCCAAGAACACACGCACCTCGCCCTTTACCCTCGTTTTCCAAATGACGGGAGCCAAGGCTGCCGGCAGTGTTATCAACGCCGTCATCCTGACCAGTGTTTTGTCGGCCGGCAACCACGCCTTGTTCGCCGGAACAAGATTGCTCTACACGCTGGCCATGGAGGGCCATGCGCCCAAGGTCTTTGGCAAGCTCAACAGACACCAGGTGCCTTGGGTGGCTGTTCTCGCCACTGGCTTTGTTTCTGGCCTCTGCTTCGGCTCCAGCTTCATTGGCGCGGGCCAACTTTGGAACTGGCTGCAAAAGTACGTGATGCTCCAACGTCTTGTTTCTTTCACAGTTTGCTAACAGCTGCTTATAGTCTCGTCGGTGTCTCCAACCAGCTCAGCTGGATCGCCATCGGCATCACTTCGCTTCGCTTCCGTGCCGCCATTGCCCGCCAAGGCAAGACGCATCTGCTGCCATTCAAGAACTGGACGTATCCGTTCGGCCCGTGGATTGCCGTCGTGCTCAACTCGTTTCTCGTGCTCATCCAGGGATGGAGCTGCTTCAGCCCCAAATTCGACGGCGTCAGCTTCGTCAGCTTCTACATTGAGCTGCCCATCATGCTGGTCATGTACCTCGGCTGGAAAGTCCTCAAGCGCACCAAGTTTGTGCACCTGGACGAGATGGATCTCGAGACGGACGTGCACACGGCGGAAGAGCAGGTGGAGGAGGAGGAGAAGGGATGGAAGGCAAAGGCAAAGAGCGCTTTTGGATGGTTGTTTTGAGCATAGCGTTGTTGTCGTTTCTGCCCTTTTCTGCTCTTTTATCCCTGTTAAATCGTCGCAATGACGAAAACCGCCCGTGGGTTGGCAGCCTCGTGGATTTGTACAAAGCCGTTGGATAACGATACCTTTGAATATTTTTAATGATTGCACATGATTCGCCTCATATACGGCTGTGCCCATGAGGTAAACCTTTGTCATTGGTGACATGAAAGCCTAAAACCAGCCCGCCTGATGCTCCAAAAATGCTGTTAATGTTCAGAAAAGCCCCCAAGGCAGCAAAGAAAACAAAGAACCTTTTCCAACCCTTCCCAGCCAACGATCCCGGCTCAGATCATGCACCAACGCCCCGCCTTTTTCGTGTTTCGCTGCCATTGGCCTCGCAAGCATTGCAGCAGCTTCCAACCTTCACGCCGATGCAATCACCGACGCCTCTGCTCTCTCGGCCATTGAATCCGACGTCATCTCCCTGCTCATCTCCCTGCTCTTCCGCTTGCACAGCTCTGCGTGATGTGGCGGAATCAAGTTGTACAAGATGCCCATCATGATGCCCGCCACCGCCGGCCCAAACCAGTAAATCCACTGATCTAAGCAATCATTAGCGATTTGTTATATCTGTGATAACCAGATAAGGGCTTCAAAACAACTCACACGACAAGTCCATTCTCGCAATTCCGTTTCCAAAGCACTTTGCCGGGTTCATCTGCGCCCCCGCATAGCCTGGAATAATGCCGCTCGTCGAAAAGCTCACCAGCCCCAGCGATGCGCCGACGAGCGCAGGACCCATCCGCGGCCCAAACAGCGCTGCTTGGCGAGGATCGAGGCCGACGCCAAAGGCCAGGAAGAGCAGCACAAACGAGGCAAAAGTCTCGTTGAGGTAGATCTGGCCGGGGTTGGCCTGCGACGGGTCGTACCAGCAGCCGCCGCCACGGACACTAGCAGGAGCAATAAGTAGGTTGTCGTTGTAGATGCAAAGACATTTGGAGTACATACGCTATTGCTCGTTCCTTACCCCAGATGCCGAGGAGGATTCCTCCGCCGAGGGCACCGCCAGCGGTCTGGCCAACGAGGTATAGCAAGCCTGGATGGGAGCATTGTTAGCCAGTAAACAAAATGCGAATTCGCACATCCATAGACACGCGTAATTTACACCGCGGCTTCAAACTGTGACCAGTAGAAAGCTATCCAGTGAGAGAGGGCAAATTAAACTAAAAACGAAACACAAACACACCTCTGGGCACCGAACACAGCCCCGTCAGCACCGCCGCAAACGTAATCGTCGGATTCATGTGCCCTCCCGACGCTGGCGCAACGGCGTATATGAAAGTCGCTATCAAGACGAGGTTGGAGATGCCAATGTAGGCGCCAAGCTGGGGCGTGCCGTACGTCGAGATGGTTGCGACAATCTGGCCCGACACAAAGACCTGGCAGCAAGTGGCAATCAATTCGACGACCTGAGGCGTTGAAGAAAGAAATTAGTGTGTTAGCAGCTACTCCCAAACTTTCAATTGCCTCTCAAAGCATTATTTGAGGCTTCAAAATAACAGTCAAAAGCAATCCAATTGACGTACGGCAGATCTCCACAACGCCGGCTCAAACCACTGTCCCACGAAATAGTCCCGTCTGCGATACCACGGCGTCAGCCGCACCGCCTGGGGCCGCACCAGCGGCGCAAACGATCCGTCAAAGGCCGCCAGATCCATCTTGTGAGTGGCAGCCGGCGTGGAAGAGTTGGAGAGCGACACGGCCGAGGAAGCCGCTCGAGCTTGCGTCGTGCCTCGTTCGCGGTCGGCGGGCAGTGGTTTCTCTTGTAGCGGCTCCATGCTTTCTCTATTCAAAAGCCTCCTTCTGGGGGAAGCAGTCTTGCGCGAGACTGAGACTTCTTAAGCGTTCAATTAGAAGGAATCAGACAGCGGATATATACCCCGGGCTTTTGAAAGATGCGGAATCCAATTAGTACCAGGATCGGAGAAGGAAGAAGAAGGGCGAAAGAAGAGACGCATTTATTGAGATTACTGAATACGGACTTGTCGGCGGGATCAAAGACCTGTAGCTCTTCCGGAGTCAGTCAATCACAGCTCAGCTCCCGGCTAGACAAAACGCAAAGCTTCCGGCAACTTTGAGCAGACAGGGATACCAGATACCGCATCGGTTCCAGTTCGCTTGCGCCCGGGCAATCCAGCCTGCATAGGCCATCTCGCTTTTGACTTTTGGGCTAGCGGCGTTGACAAATGGCCTCGGAGTCGTTGCATAAGCATGACAGGCGGATCTAGTAATAAGCATCAGGCGGGCTGGTTTTTAGGCTTTCTGTCACCAATGACAAAGTTTTATATCATGGACACATTCATCATTGTTGGAGCTGAACAAAGGACGAGTTGGCGCCGACATCATAGCATAAGGTAGCGATAACTTTTTGCTACATCAACTTTCCACCCATTACTTACCGTGAACACAACAACAACAACCGTTCCCTCGATACCTGCGTCATCCGTAAAGAGTTTCCCGTGCGAGCCAAAGAGCCCAGCTGCAATACATCGTTCGATATTCGCCCCGAGATGGCGCTCCGGTCTAGGCCTTGCTCAGCGCAACCCCATTGGCGAATCCTCCATGCTGCACGCCTCGAACGGCGGAAATTATTGCTTGGAGCTGATCTCGGAAGGGCCATGAACGGCCCGCCGATCGGAAGATTTAAATTAACTTGACACACCCCGAGATCGCACAAGGCTGGGCGAACATTCGACCCGATCGCCATGGCAAGATGGATTGTTGAACTGCTCCATCACCAAGACTGGTTTGAAGTTGAGCTTGGGTCGTTCCGCTCACAATCACCATCCTTCTTGAGTCTTCTTTTCGGCCCATCATTCCTGCCGGCCGCACTCAAGTAGCCCAGGTACCGGCTTTGATACGATCAAGGCGCCATTCATCTAGCCGCCGGTATGGATCCTGCGTAACGCAAGCATCAACACCATTGGCGATGAAGGCATCACCGCTTCGTAGCCCAGCAGCGCCCAGGCTTGGTTTTCGTGAGTTGCATCGACTAAGCCGGGAAATTACTGTGCTACAAACGACTAATATCTTGCCATTGCCACGACAGACTTACTATCTCGAGGTGGAAATCAGGACTGATGAGCATTTTGTGCTGCCTTGGCGTAATGCTCTGTCGACTATAAGTATGGACGATGAATCCTCCTTTTGAATATCCAATCTCTCTCCATCAGCTTCTTCTTCGACAAAGACACCAAAACACCAATTCAAAAGTCTTCATCACCACCTTGCTATAATGAAGCACCTCCTGGTTACCGCTCTCCTCGCGGCTGGCGCTCTCGCCATGCCCGCCGGCAGCTCCTGCGCTTCTCCAAGCACCGATTACCCTCCTCCAAGCACCGACTATCCTCCTCCTAGCACTGATTATCCTCCACCAAGCACCGATTACACTCCACCATCCTACCCAACCCCTACTCCTACTCCTACGTACACGCCTCCACCTCCCAAAAATGGAGGTGGCAAATATCCTCCGCCTCCGCCCCCGCCCTCGTCTCCCCCTTACTCTACTGCTCCTCACAACGGAGGAGGTGGAGGTAACGGCGGCAATGGTGGCAATGGTGGGAATGGCGGAAACAACGGCGGTGGCAACAGCGGCAACGGGGGAGGAAACAATGGCAACGGAGGGAATAACGGTGGTGGAAACAACGGCGGTGGAAACAATGGCCAATACGAATGCTCCGGGGGCGGGGGCCTATACTCCAACCTTCAATGCTGCAGCGTAGACGTTCTCGGCATTGCTGATCTCGACTGCAAGCCACGTAAGTAGAACGTTTCTGATCTGCCTTGACCCCCTTTATTACAATCAACTGACCGTTCTGTAGCCAGCAAGACGCCAGTAAGTGGAAGCGACTTCAAAAGCATATGCCAGGCGAGTGGCGCGAAGCCCAAGTGCTGTGTCCTCCCAATTGTAAGTTCTTAGATCCCAAAGGCAAGATTCTATGATGGTGGTTTTCTAATTTATCCCCATTAGCTTGGCCAGGGCCTCCTCTGCGAAGACGCCATTGGCACTGCCTAAGTTTGCATCGCATGCATGAGTCTACATGGAATTGTCTCTTGCTTCATAGCGAGTCGAAATGTTTCTTTCTTTCAGCTGGATTCAGCGAGATGGTTATTGACCAGGAAGATACAAGACGGAACGTATAGACGGACATCAGGCTGAATCACACTCATTGGTCATACGTCTACCGTTTGTTATGTCACTACCCTTCGATATTTTGTATCCTTGGAGCTTATTCGCGCCAATTGGATAATTTAGCATTATGTTATTCCCCCCCTAGCCTTAATACAAATCTTGGTACACGATTCTCATCTGTCAATATGAATGCGATCAAGTGTTTGTTGCAGTTTATATGCGGTTATAACTGATTGGACATGGCTGTAATTGCCACAAGTGCAGTAACTGTTGCACTGCCCATGTTTACGACGAAGCTCTCGAGATAACTTGGAGTTAGTCAATAATGCCAACCATTCTCCGTTCTCAATTTACCCCGGCCTAAGTGTGTAGAGGCAAAAGCAAAGCTATCCATCCCATTTCTTGCTTTTTCCCATCTGATCTCGGAGATCTCTAGGATCGCTGAGTTCTACCAGGGTCGCCTTTGGACATTTACTCTCGCCAGGCCCTCATCATCGACATCCCAGCCTGGGCATAGGGGTGTCTAAGAGCAACTTCTGAGCCTAATACCATGGCTCGCAAAACATCCCCCAAGAGCCAAATTGGTCTGGATGTAGGGATCGGGCAGAGTCGTGAGGAGAATGACGGCCAATAGTGTCGGTACCGACAATGATTTATTGATGCCATTCCATATTCTGCGCGATAAAAAAAGTGAAAAGGAGTAACTGCAAAAAGCCGGTGGGTATACTTATTGGTGTCTAGTCATTCAGCCAGAGTATACTTGTTAACGCCTAAATTCCATAGTAGAATAAAAGGCGTATCTCATGCATCAAGACTGAAAGGTTGTTCTTGAAATGGCTGAATGCCCGTAGAGCTGGCGATTTCGGAATGCCATCTCCCATTTAAGAGGCCCGTCACGATACTTGCTTCTACTGCGATCGCTGGCCTAATCACTTTTATTTTGGTATAGCGTATGCCACATCATTACACCATGGAGACAATGAAGAGAGAAATTATTTTTAAATACAGTTATATAGGTTCAAAAGAAGCCGCAAAAGTCGACACATGAAAATCTGTACCCAATCCCAAATCCAACAACAGAATTATATAAAGACAATAGATTTAAACAATATGTTCAAGACCTCGCTGAATGACTTGAAGAATGGATAGCGTAGCAGAATGATGGAGGAGGTCCCGGAGTGAATGAGGGCTCTTTGAGAGGCACAGTGTCAGGCACAGTTTTATGTTTCGGATCCTGGCTGAGCAACTTCTCAAACGCTTCATCATCCTCGTCATTCAAGGGCCACAGCTCTTCTGTTGAAAAGTCCCCTTGAGGAGCTGGCGTGCCGCGGCGAGTTACATTAGCTGAGCCGCCATGCAATGAGGCTGTGTTTGTTATGTCTTGGGTCTAGTTGAATCAAGAGTCTCCAATACCGCGATCATTAAGATAACAGTCGTCTGTATTTGCTTGGGAAGGGGGCAAATTTTCCTTGCCGTTCTTTGAAGGAGGACGCTCCTCACCGGGTCGACTGGGAGTGACATTTGGGCTCGTGGTCCAATTCCCATTTTCCGCAAAATTCATTTGTATGGGAAATCGGTCAATGTCTCCTCCCTCTCGATCTACCGTCCGCCAGCCACCATCTGACATCACAAGTTAGCCTCCAAAGCTCAATTGCAAGAGGACATGATAGACACGAGCAGCATACCTCGTCCCCGAACACCGTTGGCAGAGCCATGGCCGCTGGAGCCACGACGGCCTCTTTGAAGAGCACCGCCAGTCTTGATGATTGTGATGATAGCAAAAGCCTGGACCTCTTGGACCGAGCTCTCTGCAGCTCTGGCCTCGGCCAGGCGACGTAAAAAATCGGCCGGGCGTGCGCGGCGGACAGCGCTGATCGAACTGCCTCACGGCGGTATGTATCTCTACTGCCTCTACTGCCTTACTACTTCTGCTACCTCTGCTACCTCTGCCCTTAACTTTGATGATCTGATCCAAGTATTCGTAGATATTCCATGTCGAACAACTTGGTCATCATACCTATCGCATCTCGTAAAAGGAGAAAGATAAGTCCCAGATAATGCTGGCCGATTGTATATCTTGTGTTGCACAAAAAATGCTCTGGGGGTGGCTTGACTGATATCCCACAGGATACTGCGACTTCACCAAACATGCTGTATAGAAATAGCTTCCGCTCGGCACAATGAGGTCTAAACCGACATAGTTAGCAAGGGAATATACTAAATGGCCGTGGACAAATACCTCTATTAAATGAAAAGCGCAAATCTTTGACAGGTGCCAGGTCCCGAGGATGGACTTCACAAACACTCTCCGTTGATCGCATTCACCATGGTGTTCTTGAGTTCGATCCCAATCTGTAACCAGACAGACGGTAGAAGAAGTTTCACGAGCATATCGGAAAACAGGCAGCAGAGACGATGCTGGGACATCTTGAAATAACACACTTTGACCAGGCCTCAGGGCGGCAGAAAGACATGAACAACCGTCTAACAGTTGAGTAAAAGCCTGGTATTCATAGCTGACAATAAAAGGCATGATTTGGTAAATCTTTGGAGATTCGCCGCTTCCACCACGGTCGAAACACATACAACTACGCGAGTCAGAAGAAGGATTCTATAGTGATTGGGCCAAGCCTCGATGGTGCGTGAAATGTAGAATCTTCATCCAAGAAGAGAGTCTACCGACATCTTGTGATGGCCTCAGCAACAGCCCGCCACCGAGTAATCTAAGCACCGTTATCCAGCGCAATCCTAAACATGTTGAGATTCTCTGCAGCTGGAATGGCACTTTGACTTTGAGAGTAACAGCGAGTATCAAGCGTGGCTCTATGAATCCGAAATGTCAGCGGCAAAACTTGCTCGAAATCCAATATCACGCGGCCATAATATCTCACCTCGTATCGCAGGCTCATCACCCAGCAATGGACACATCGTTTTGGGATTATTTGCCGTGACAAGAAGCTCTTGGCAAAGAACCTCCTTTGGGCAGATGTGTTTCTCCCATTCATCTGGTAGATTTCGAAATCTGCTCTTGGATATTGTGGTGTGCGGGATCGACCGTGGCTCTAAGGCGACATCTTCGGCAAAAAATGGAGGAGCCAGGATCGGGGGCCCAACATGGCTTGCAGTCTCCGGAGAAAGGACGTGGATCGTGGGCAACTGTAAAACAGACAAATTAGCGTTCATGCTCTCAAATGTCTACACCAATAGCAGAGCCGTACAAGGTTGCAGAGAGAATGCAGAGGATTGGCGAAAATCTCACCTGTATCAGCCATGACAGCGGATATAAACACCACCGAGGTAGTAGCTTGAGGAGAGATATTGTGAGACTGCTTTCACGCCCAGTTGAACTTTTACAGTTTCCAGAGAGATATCCATGGTGATGTTTCGAGACCGAGCATCATCGCCGTTCACGGATGCCAGTGCTTCTTCTCAACCACCTTGCAGTAGTTGGGGGAAATGACGTTGCCAAAGTCAAACTGTTGGCCAGCCCTTCAACGTGAACATTGAGGTGATGAGGCTCTTCAACCAGGACTGCCACAGAGCTGCCAAAGAGTCGGTGAGAACCAAGAAGTCTGGATCCATCAAACAGGCTGATGACGCGTTCCTGCGGACTCATATCACCATCTCGGACACTTTCCATCCAATAATATACAAGATAAAGCGAAATCAGACCATAGCAAGCCGCGGAAAGTCATGCCAAGCCCCTGGAGACCGCCTCAATCTGGGGAAGCACTCGCGTATCGGGAGACCGGCTGCCATCTGGCCGCTCCTATTGGCCCCCACAGATGCAAACTGACCACTTGGCACTCTATTGATGACGTGGATGCGCTCCTGCTTGTGCAGAATGACTGGAAGGTTCTCTCTGAAGCCTGAGAATGGAACAGGCTAGAAACTGTGCGGGGTCCCCTAGATCTTCGCCCTCTTCTCCTCTTCTCTCCCTCTTCTCTTCTTCTTCTTCTTCTCATCTTTCTTTTCATCATCATTTTTTTTTTCACACGGTATTCTTTATGCTGGGGCGGTGACGGTGATTCCAAGTGAGTATTTTTTTGGCATTTGTTTCTGTCGATATCCATCTTTCTCGGCATTGTCTTCTTCATCTTCGTCTTCACTATCTTTCTCGTCATCTTCTGCCCATATTCCTCCGGTATTCTGCACGGCGTTTCTGCTTTGCCCTCTGTACCACCGATGATTCTCCATATTCCTCTTCACTCTCCCTTTCTCTTTCATCGGCATCTCTTTCATCGTCCTGCTTGATATCTTCGCGTTGTCTCCTTTCTACCTCTCCAGTTTCATTCTGTTCGTTTCATCACCATTTTCTCCCTCTACGTTTATGTTTCCATTTTTATATCTTTGACCTATCGCTTTTGGACTTCTCTCTGCTCACTCCCCTTTTCATATCTTTGTGCCTCCATGTCCATGTCCATGTCCAAATCCAAATCCGCCACGTACAATGAGGCCGTCGAAACCTGCCTAGCGCTGCATCATCGTTTGGAAATGTGGCTAATCATTTGCCGGAGTTGAATAGATCGGAGGTCGTCGAAATGGTATGTCAGTCTGGCTCTTCCCAATTTTTCGTTTCCACCTTCGATTCCACTTCCTGTCCCATGTTTGGCGTTGTTTCCCCTCTGCTTCCATGCCAACACAAGAGATTCGACAGCAAGTGCGGCAAGCTGTCCTCTCCATTTGCCATATCCTCGTGTTGCCTCGCCCTATCTTCCTCTTTCACTCATTTCCTCTCCTCTTTACTCCTCTATGGTATTGGAGTTGTACTAATATGTTTCAAAGGCACCTCCTGTCACCGTCATCGCCTCGTCGACGGCGGAAGAGGGTTCGGGCAGTGATGGCGGGGGGTCTATTGAGGCCTCAGCCTCCTCTCGGACCCTCTTCCGAGCACAGACAGAGGACGATTCATCCGATCTCCTCCTAGACTGTACCCCCTCCGATAACGATACGGATCTGATGAATTTCGAAACTCCAGACCGCCAGTGGTCTATTGAGGCCTCAGCTTCCTCTCGGACTCTCTTCCATTATCAACTCTGAGTGATGGAACGAAATTCGTGTTCAACTCTTGAGGGACCTCGGAAGGCGAATTACAGCCATAGGATTTGAGTAGCGAGGGCAGGTGGTCTATTGAGGCCCAGCCTCATCTTGGACTCTCTTCCATCGTCAATGGGTGTAGTTATTTGGCCCTCTCGCCCAAACAAATAACGTGGTCGCCTCTTGATCTGTCTTCTACAACCATACATCGGTGCCTGATCGGAAACACGTCGGAAGCAAGGCAGACAACCACACTCGATCTTCGCTCCAAGCAACTTTCCGTTGGAAAAGTTCAAACACAGAGCAGTGGCATCATGACAACAGCATCCAGCGTTTGACTGGTTCTTTCCAGAAGAGAAAAGGCGGCTTTTATGGAGTTCATAGAAGCGGGAATTTTTTAAGCAACTGGAGAGCTCCTTGGTCCCCTAGTGCGAAGACAAACAAGTGTTTGCGCTTGGAGTGAATTTTCATCTGGCCAATGATCTCGGCTCAGCAGCCACTCTACCACTATTCACTTGCCCAGACCCACGACAACTTGATAGTTGTGAATCCATTTCTCCACAGCACTTCCAACCAGTTATTTCACAAATGGCTAATCTCTCTTTCCCAAAGGAGATGCGCTCGTGCTCTATTCATCACAAATCTTTGTCTAAGATGCTACCACACACTGCTGGCGATCCCAACAAAGAACTCTTCTTTTCCTTTGTCTTCCAACACAGCGGACTGCAGTGCATATTGAAATTGCAACCCTTTCAACACTAAGCATGGGGTTTGAAAACTTGCTACATTTTTGTTGTCAAATTTGGTCAATGACTTGGGTCAGTGGAGCTTTCTTTTCACACTCAGCACTGCCATTTCTCTTTGGGCCATCATTTTGGATCTTGGATTTACCATTCTCGTCTTTTGTCAGGCGGCTACTCTGAGGCTGGCGAGAAACTGCGGATAGCTTTTGGTCAAGGAAGTTTGGACTGATGTTTCAGCTGGATGTCGTCTTCCTGTATCATACCGCATGAACTGGAGCTGGACTGGTGGATGGGGAATTTTGGGGTCAACGGAATTGAACGGCTATCTTTCTTCTTCTGTCCTTTTTCTTCTCTACATCTCTTCTTCTTCTTTGATGCTTCGGTAGGTTGTGGAAGGCTTTTGGTAAGGAGGATTGGATTTTTTTTCTCTTTGTTCATGTCTTTTTAGAGTGGTTGGTAGGTGTCTTTTCGAAGTGACTCTTGGCTGTATTCTTTTGTTCTCTTTGTTTTTGTCTGAGACAGAGGGAGGGAGGGCGGAGTTTCAACAAAGGGCTTTGCATGTTTCTACGCAGACGGTGGGGACTGACGGTGGGGACTGACGATGGCAATTAACAATTATTGAACTTGAATAGTTTTTCTATCCTTTTGCTTCCTTTGACTGTGATAAACACGTTCTTCCAATCGATTTGGTAAGCAGGGAGTGAAAAATAGACATCTTCTTGGCCGAACTTATCTTCCCACATCGTGGCCCAATTGCGGACATGGTATAGTAGAGCCACGTTGATTGGAAAGACATCCTGATGTACATGGTCTCGGAGCTACGCAGCATTCTCCTCTGCTCGTTCTCGGATATTTGAATCCAAAGTTGGACACAAAAGCGTTTCAGCATAGCCGTGATAAAGGCTCGCGATAGAGACGGACTGCGACGCAGCTTATGGCATGGCAACTACGTGGTAATTATCACAGACAGAACTTCAAAGATCACGATGCATCCCATTTTGCCCAATAGGTTCATACCTTGTAAATCTCGACTATTACGTGGAGAGAGTTGGTAGAGAGGACGTCTTCGGGTCATATGCTCACCAGACTCACAGATAGGATGATTCTCACGAATTGCTGCTCGGTCCGAAAGCAATATATAACAAAGTTATTGCGACGCATGGGACTCGGAGGTGTGTACGAGATATCGAAAACCCCGCATGGGAGTTCCAAACCGCCGGTATAGTCGTGGAGAGAGCGATCGCCGATATACAGAGCGTAGTATTGCATTCGGTGGTCATCGACAAAATTATGGTGGGGATAACGTAAGACATGAAGTCTTCGAGGGAGTCTATAGCGCGAGGGGCTTGTCGTAACGATACGTCTAGCAACTGTAACAATGTCAACAGCGATACCGATCGATTAATATGAGGCTCTGCAGCGACTTTCGGAGCAGACTTCCGGCAACGACAGTCATAATCAGATGCCAGGCGGCGGTAATGGCAGTGGGAAAAGCAGATTTGGAAGAGGAAGGATGGGCGAAACAAGTATAAAGATCGTAACGATGCTTGCCTTGGTACTTAATCTGCCGAAAACCAACTTTTCCTCTGGCAGAAGAAATGCGATAGCAATCACCAAGCTGTCATCGTTGAAGAGGAAAGATGATTAGCCTTTGACATCTCTCAAGGAAATATCTCGGTCCATGTAGAAGAACCATGGTGCTGGGATGATTGACTTGTAGACGCGACTGGATTGGATATGTGGCCCAGACTCAGGGGATGGGATAGCTTCAAGGTCAAATCTTGGTTGAAGCAATGTGCATGGAGATGGCTGAGCAAGTCTTTTGCGATAGTCCTTGTTGAGCATCTTCCAAGGCAGCCAATTAGCCTGTTGCTATGACCCTGGTGTTTTCGTCTCTGTTTTGAGCGAGAAAACGTTTCGTATCTAAACACCAGTTGGAACAGAGGCTACCGTACGGATGGTTTGATCTGTAGTTGAGGTATGTCGCATGGAAACAGTGGCTGGCCAGATACCAGAGCGTGACACGTTGGACAATGTCTTTATCGGTATGGGTTTGTGTGAGAGAATTCGAATAACAGCCAAGCCTAGAGACTTGTTTTGTTAGAAAGACATTCACGTTGTTGAAAAACCAAAGCCTCACCAATTTCCTCGCCCGATTCAGCATATTTCCATCTTGCAGGCTGTCTGAAGATGGGTATCGATTGGAGGCTCTTGAAGCATCTGTAGTGGGTCTGCACTCGCCATCTTGCTCTTCGAAACACAAGGAATCACGGCTTCTGATGTATTTTGAGAAATAACGATTTCGTTTGATAACCAGATGGCGAGGCCCGGAGAGGATAATGCCGAGGCCTATGTTACGTAAGTCGAGGCGAGGCTGAGCTCAACTTGCAGCAGCCGCTTCAGCAGCTGGCACTATGATTCCAAGTACTAAGGTATTTGAACACACATGGACTTTCATCGATATATTTGTTTACGAATGTCGCTACAAAGTCTATTCCATGTACCAGATGCCACACCTCCGTCTGAGCCACAAGCTTTCCCCAAGATTCTATCTCCCCTGAGCCAAGGAGCTCAGATATTCGAGCACAGCTGGTATTCGGGCACCTTGTCGTGACGGCAAATAGAAATACGATTCCTGTCTTTTTTCAAAACTTGATTCTGCCATGTCCCCTTCCTTGCAATAATCGGCCATCCGTTCCAGAAACCACGCTCGATGAGGGCTTGGCTCTGAAACTACGCATCCCATGAACAGCAGCCAAAACCAGAGGTCATTAGACACGCCCCCTTTTTCCACCAAGAACTGCTCTTCTTGGAACAAATCAAAGAGATGTAAAGTTACATCTTGGGCGCACATTTGGGGGCCTCTGGCTGGAATAGAAGTAAGAATAAAGGTCAGTGAAGCGAGAGAAATACAGCGTTCAAGGTGCTTCGCGTTCTGATCCAGGGCATGAAGTAGGAGGCGATACGAGAGTGCTTGGGATCGCCGAAATAGCCAGCCTTCCGTGTCGGGTCTGATGGAAGGGTACGACCATGCTGCGTTGGCGATACGACAATACGCAACCAGATCTTGCAAGATGTTATTAAGCTCTTCTGAAAGCGACTCTATATGGAAGCCTGTTCCAAGGCGAGGCAGTATCACCAACAGCTCTTCTTCCGTGATCCCGAACTCTTCCAGACTTTCGGGCAGCTGCCCTGGATCCCACGTCACGGGAATGATAGGCGGCTTTCGACTAGTAATGGCCATGAATTTGTCTGCCAATATCACGCTGTCCAGCACATAGGGATCGAATTTCTTCCACCCCCCGGCGCATTCGACAACTTGAAGCAGTGTCTTGAGATGCATTCGGCATGCAGAGAAGCCGCGATACCCCAATTTGGAGGCCATGGCGTGTCTGTCTGGCAACTGCCTCCACATACTGGGCAAGCAATTCCACATCTCCGTGATTGCAAGGCCATACATGGATAGAAGCAGCCAATTGTCGACGATATATCCGGGAGTAGAGAGATAGACTCGCACAGCACGAAGAGCCTTGTCGAGAAAGTATTCTGGCTGCTTGCCAGAGTGGAATCGGCCCATCGTCCAACCCAAGAGGCTAGATCCGTATGCAAGAGTCGAGTATATGAGCTTCTCGTCCTCAACACAGCGTTTTAGCCGCAGTTGGAACATTCTGTCGTGCCTCATGGGTGCGTGCTGCAGAAGCCTTTCTGGTGGTGCAAAAGACTCGGCAAGGAAATTTACCCGTGAGGCGTGAGGAAAGGTTATGTGAAGGATAGCGTGGGTGCCGGCATCCAGATTGGCGACGGTGCAGTGGAAGGGGTCTGAGGCGTTGTAGGAGGGTTGCATGGCCTTTGACAGAGATTTGGATGACGCATATGCCGGTGTGAGTCTCTTTACAACCGCCTCTCTTTGTTTCTTCTTCTGCTTTTGACTATCTTCTGATGACTTAACAGACCGAGCTGTCACATCATGATCAACAAATTTCAGCTTCACTTCCACCGTCTTCGATATTTCCGAAACATCCGACGCTGATAGAGTGGTGGTGAATCCGGCCCATGGCTTCAATGACTGCGATACTTCCGCCTCGTGCCTGCGTCGTTTGTTCTGCACATGGCTCAAAATGGCTGATCGTTCGCCGGCTTTGCTTCTCGACAAGACGCGGGACGTTTGTGTCTTGTTTACAAAGAGAAGCGAGCCATCCATAACGGGTTGTGTGTTGGAGGGTTGGCCTGTCAGTCAATCCATTATTCGACCCACACTGGCTTCAGCCAAGCGCGATAGTCAATACTAATAAGCGCCAAAATGCAACAAGGAGTGATGAAAAGCATCGTCTACAATGGGATCGTCGGTTGTGCCGACAGCTCAGCATTTGCGGCCCAGCGCTAGCCCAAAGTCCCAGCCACGGGGCTGTACTTAAGACGCGACTCGTACTCGGAAATCGGGGCTTTGTCCAATCAGACCCAATCCCATGAGGGGGATTCGAGGTCTTGGTGGGAGACTCAGACTAATGCAGTGGCTGATTACCGTTTCTGGGAGACACAGTTCCTATTTGGGAATGATGTCTGTCGGGGCAACATTGCACCGTGGGGAGATTCAACGCCTAATTGTTGTCAAAATAGAAACATATTCTAAACATGGTGATGAAAACAAGGCGAGCCCTGGATTGCATTGGCTGGTTATTTGTTTTTACCAAGGTTATACGGAGAGGTAGTTGAACCGGTGAAGGATGAAGGCTTGCTGCCCGAATGCATGATACTAATCTTGTAGGATACACTACTCTTTTGAGAAGTGGCTTCAGCATCACTGCCTCGAATGTCTCTCAACGATCAATCCATCGCGCAGTGTTTTCAGCATCATCACCATCATCACCATCAATAGCGATAGGAGGACGAACAGAAGGCATGTCGACAATGGCTATAAGAGCAGACAAGGACCCAGGTGATGGACGAGTGGAAGAATCATCAACTTCGACAATACAGCAACCAGATCATTGATTCGCTGCCTCCTCCATACCGAGATTATTGTTTTCCCATTCTTCCCTTCATCTCAGCTCTTTCGACGTCTCTTTCGCCTATCGTGTCTTCACAATGCGTCGCCTCTTTTTCGCAAGCTTCGTTTTGTCATTCACACTCAGAGGCAATGCAGCGCCAGTCACCAGCACCGACTCTAGTTGTCTGCCTGTTGTAGACTTGGGATATGTTTGTCATGCCTCTATTAAACCAATTACTATTCGCACGTCATCTAACTTTTGTGGCAACAGGAATTGCACCAAGCCCTCTCCTACAACAAGACGACGCAAACCTATCTGTTCCAAAACATTCGATATGCCCAGCCTCCCGTTGGCGACCTTCGATTCCGAGCCCCGACGCACCCCAAGACTAACCGAACCGCCATCCAAACCGGCTCCGAATTGCGATTCTGCCCACAAGGTGTTCCACCTTGGCAGAACGACGCATTCACTCCCATCGGCAAATACTCGAGCCCGGTCAATGCGTTCACTCTTCAAGCCTGGGAGGAGAGCATCAAAGATGGTCAGCCTCTGCCAGTTGATTGGAACGCGGGTGCTCAAGAAGACTGTCTTTTCCTCGATGTCCACGTTACCAAAGGGGCCTTTGAGCAGGCGAGTTCAAAGTCGAAATCGTGTGGAGATGGAGGAGCCCCTGTACTTGTCTGGGTAAGCTTGGCTCTTTTTAATTCTTAAACACTTATACACACACATGGTTCATGGCGTTCATCTCTAACCTGTGCTCGGCAGATTCACGGCGGCGGCTTTGCTCTCGGCTCCAAGACTGGCACACCAACTCCCGGCTACGATCCAGTTGGCCTTTTTGAGCATGCTGCTGCAAATTCTGATGAGGGCCTCGTCTTTGTCGGCCTCAATTACCGTCTCGGAGCCCTTGGATTCATGTCCGGCTCCGAGATTGAAAAGAATGGAGACCTAAACGCAGGGCTTCTCGATCAAAAGTTTGCCCTGCAGTGGGTTCAAGATAATATTCACCTCTTTGGAGGCTTCAAAGAGCGCGTCACCCTTATGGGAGAGTCTGCAGGCGGAGGCTCAGTCTTGTTTCATATGACTGCAAACCACGGCAAGGGCGCCGGTCTGTTTTCTCAAGCCATCCCGCAAAGCCCAGCTACCATTCCGACCATGCAAGTTGTGGACGACGGCTATAGCCAGTTTCTGTCGTATCTCAACGTGAGCAGCTTGGAAGAAGCCCGGGCCGCTGATACGAAAGCAGTGATTGCTGCCAATGCTGCGCAAATTGGGGCCGCTCCAACCACGACTTACATCTTTGGCCCTGTGATTGACGGCAAATACATTACCGGTTCCCCCAGCAACTTCATCAAGGATGGAGCGTTCGATAAGTCGGTCAAAGTCATGGCTGGCCATAACATGTTTGAAGGCGCATTCTTCTTCGACCCCAATGTGGACACCAATGACGAATTCGCCTCCTGGATCAATCGATCATTCGCCGGCCTTAGGAGCAAAGACGTTGCTCATCTGGCCACCGTACTGTATCCACCACAGTATGACGGATCTCTGGGATACATCGACATGGATACGCGGCAAATGAAGCTCTGGGGAGAGGCTGTCATTGACTGCAACTATTATTGGATCGGGCAAGGCGTCCGTGACAAGGGATATGCTTGTGAGTGAAAACAAACCCCCCTCCTGTAAGATGATGATTTTGCTCGTCTAGGCAGTAGTACCTTACTTTGAACGGAATCATTTGCTGACTGGTCTTTATGCAACTCCAGACGAATTTGGCGTCTCTCCGGGATTCCATGTCCAGGATCTCAAGTACACCTTCAACGATCCCACGTCTCCAGCGCCGTGGCCCAAGGCACAGGATACCCTGCAAGAAGCGATTATTACGTTTGTGCAGGAGGGAGTCCCCAAATTCACCAACCAAAAGACATTCCCGCATCTTGGGCCACATGGCACTATCGTCAATGTCACTTCTCAGGGGGGCGTGGAAACGACCAGGAATGTGAATGCCACGAGGTGTGAGTGGTGGGCAAATCTTGCTCTATAGATTGTGAGACGAGAATTTTCAGCTAGTCTGAGATGGAGTCAGAATCATAATGATGATAGCCAGGGAGGTGAGAAAGATGACGGCTGAAGAGGAGGAGGATCGGAAATGGAATTATAATATGTGTGGCTCGAATTAATGCCGTGGTATTTCCCCACTGAGGTTTGGACTTTACGTTGGTAGATGAAATTGAAAGAAAAATTAAGCTGGTAAAAAAGAAAGGATCAGGCAACTACATGGTAATAAAATCGCCTATCTATGATCCTCCGCGATCCTCCTCGATCTTTCTTTACTGAAATGCGCGTGCTCTCTTTTGCTGTGATGTCAACATTTAGATTTATAGTGCCAGTGTGAGTCAGCCACAATCACTAATTCGGGCAGAGTGGCTGAGTGGTCTAAAGCGTTAGACTTGAATCAACTCTTCGATTCCTGCTATCTAATACCTTCGGGTGCGCAGGTTCGAACCCTGCCTCTGTCGAATACTTTTTGCTATTTGCGACTTCTTAATTATTATTTTTCTTTCATTCTTTTAATAATTTTCATTCCGAGAGTTTTGTGTTTTAGCCTTTACGATAAGTTGCGTCATGTTTAATTGCTCCTTTGATATAGTTATTAACTGCTCTCGGGTATTATTTTGGCTAATCTCAGCTGCAAGTAAGACGGAATAACAGTATAAACTGCGTTAGTCATAGTTTAGAAAGGCGCCGTAACGAAAGAAGTAATTAATTCACTGGCAGAAAATGTCAGAACATAGTCATTCAATCAAGGTATATTCTAAACAGGCAAATGCTACAAATCTTCCTATATCCTCCAATAAAGCCCTTTAAGTGGAAAACGAGAATCCAGGGTACCCATTCTCTATCACCTCCTTGATGGTGCTTTGGTAGGCTCCATAACCGTCCAGCCACCAGATACCAGGAGCATCTTTTCCAGACAGATTGTTGCCAAAGATGTAAGACTTGACCGCTCTGAACAAGCTGCCCTCTGACAGCGTTCGGCACTTTTCCATCCACTGTTGCTTGGCCTCCTCTTCGGCCTCAATGAGAACAGTCTTGCCGCCATTCTCCTTCTTCTGCGCTTCAGCCTTCTCAATCAGGCCTGCGATGAAGTTGCCTTGAGATTCAACCAGCGGCGGTATGTTGGTGGGTGGCGACTGGGGCCCGACAATGAAGAACATGTTGGGAAAGCCGGATTCGCCGATGCCGAGATATGAAGTTGGAAGACCGGCCTTGGCCCAGCTGTCCTTGAGGGTGCCGTGTTTTCCTTGAAAGTCGATTTTGTTGTAACTTCCGTCAATGGGTTCGTAGCCAGTGGCCAGGATGATGACGTCGAGATCCCACTGCTTCTCCTCTGTCAAGATGCCTTTCTCGTTGACCGTTACAAACGGCGTGTGTTCATAGTTGACAATGTCGACGTTTTCCTTGTTAAACGTCTCATAGTAGCCCGAGAGAGTGACAGGCCGCTTGGCGTAGATTAGGCTGGGGGTCAGCTTCTTCAGCTTGTCCGGGTCGGTGATGGACTGGGCAATCTTCTTCTCAAAGAACTTGCAGAGCTCGCGATTGGCCTCTGCGCTGCTATGGATATCGCCAAACGGGCCGTACAGGAAGCTGAAGCCGCTTGCGCCGTGATTCCAAAGGTCTTCCCAGATCTTCTCGCGCTCTTCTGCGCTGACGCTCATGGTAGGGGTCGATTTGTGAACAATTGCATGCCCCATGGGGTGGTTATTGACCTGCTCCCAGACGTCGTCGTAGTTGTTGTTGATCCACTCCCTGTACTCGTCTGAGACAGGGCCATCGGGGTGAGGGACAACGTGCTGGGCTGTTCGCTGGAAAGAGACCAGGTGCTTCACCTCATCGGCAATATTGACCACGAGTTGGGCTCCCGATGAGCCGGTGCCGATGACGCCGACTCGCTTCCCGCTGAGGTCATGCTTCTCGCGCCAGTCGCTGGAAAGGCTCATGTTAGCAGTATTCCATCGTCGGGGACACTGTTGCTCTGACTTACCCAGTGTGATAGACGGGGCCGGAAAACTTGTCGAGGCCGGGAATCTTGGGCCAGTTGGGTATGTGAAGACTACCGCAGGCCAGCACCAGATATGTCGTCTTGTAGGTCTCGCCATTTGAGAGGCTGACATTCCAAGTAGACGTAGCAGCGTCAAATGAGGCTTCCTTCAACTCCGTGCTCAACTGGATGTGCGGGCCCAGGTCGTAGCGCTCTACAATATGCTTCAGATAGGCCTGGCTTTCCTTTTGGGGAAGGAAATGCCTTGACCAGGGATAGGTCTTGAGCAGCTCTTTGTCAAAGCTGAACCTGTACACTTCACTGGCGGAGTTACTGGTGGCTCCAGGATATTGGCTCCAGTACCAGGTGCCGCCGATTTCGGGGGCTTTCTCGATGCACTTGACAGATAGCCCCAGCTCCTTGAGCTTGTAGAGGTTGAAGATGCCGCCGAAGCCGGCACCAACAACGATTGCGTCAAACGTAGACATGGCCAATGAAGAAGTAATTGCTGGTGCTTGCCAGAAAATGAAAACGGGAAAGGCTGATGAGAAGGTTGAAAGGGGATGTTGGAGGGAACACTTGGAGGTTATATACTAATATATATACGGCTAGAAGACAGGATTTGTAGGGCCATATCCTGTCCTAGCACACATGAAACTATCGAAAAACTATCCCACGAGGTTGAAGACTCTTACGGCGTCATGGATAACGGCTTACAAGTTGGTTGGCAGTCTCTACACATGCAACTACTATACATGCACATGTAGATCCCTGTGGCCTTGAGCAGAAGGAATATGTAGTACAAATTATGTACTTTTATGTAAAATTTTAAGATACAGATATGAAAAGCAGTATCATGAAAGTTATAACATACATTAAGAACAACAGGCTTTGTAAAATATAATAAACATATATGTAATAGTATTATTTATTTCTTTTTACTTAGTTATACTAGTTTATTATAACAATTAGTTTACTTACTAAAAATATATTTAACTATATTATTTAAATCCGTTTTTTTTACACATTTCACTCTTAAAGTACTTTTCATATTTGGATTAGCTAATACTACCTATACAAGGTACCCATGTATGTATCTAGTATTAACCCAATTAGCAAAGGATCTACCAAGTAATTACAGCCGCAGAGACTAGAGTAGGTAATATTATTCAATAACCCCTGCCAACATTTCACAAACTCCTTATTCCTTGTAAGCGCTAAAATATGTAACCTGTTCTTATAACGGGATAGGTACCCGAGACGGGAATGAATCATCTTGTCCATGTGGGTTTGTATACCATCAACATTTTGTAGGAGCACGGTATGCTGGCGCTGAATCTAGGTTTTGGCAGCAATTCGTCAAGCGCATCGTCTTCACATTGCTGCAGTTAGTTGGCTGTGGCATTTATGTGTAGTTGATATCAATGCCAAGGTGCATTATGCACGACATGGCGACAGAGAGAACCACAATAGCGGACGCTTAGCCAGGCATCATCTTCGCTACTAATGCACTAGCTCTCTGCATTCTAATAGATCTCCGCTATATCTTATGGGATCACTCCTGCCAGAGCGTGCAAATATGTGCGGATAAGGCCATTGGTTAGTCAGTCGGTCCCGAGGAAGCTCGATTAGCCTATCCATATAGACAGGGTGCAAGTACCTTGTTTTCTTATCAATATTTGTTTGCTTCTAAAACCTTGGGGGGGCCAATTACTTACTTTGTGCCACTGTAGCTACTAAGAAGTCATAATGACTAGCACTCTTGTTGCTAGCGGTTGCCAGGGTTTTCCTAGCGAGTGCAGTCCTATCCTTTCACTGTCTCCGTGTTACCCGCGATGGGGGCCACAGGGTAACAGGAAGTGTAATCGCGAAAATAGGGCGCGGCACGCACAGTAAGCCCTTACTAACTACAGCTGTCATGGTGCGCACATGGAGGAAAAGAGGTAAATGCAGGGTCGGGACCGGAGGCTTCTGAAAAGAGACAAGCAAGGGATACATACATGTACGTCTCAAACAAGGGACGTCAGCGACCCATTTTCAGTAAATGCCACAGGACAAGTAAAGCAGTTAAACGGCAGTTTTTGTGGCAATGAGAGAAATGGGAAACAACACGTATTTAAATTGCTGTAACTTTACACGTTTGGTCACATTGTCAAGTGCTGCAAACAAGACCCTCATCCATCACCTTTTGTTTACATGTGTGGAGTGCAGCGGAACGGGGTTATCCGCGTGCTAATTCCACCTTTTCTTTTAGCGCGAGAATCCCGCAGATCCTTTTTCAGCTTTCAAGGATACATCTGTGTAGCGTATCACACATCAGCCGCATCATTCCTTTAGTTGTCTTCAAAAGGATCCTCCAGCAATTGCATCACGGACATGGGGCAAGTCTCGGCCAATAGGAGGCACGATTGCCTTTTACTGTATATACAGTAATATTACTTTATAGACCTACCTAGGCGCACAAATTCGGGGCCAGTAATATTACCGCATCGCACATTTGTAGCAACATACAAATTACCCATGTATGCATGATAGAAAGTGGTTTGAAGAATCCCGCAGCTTGTTTCTAGGATCCTAAACAGGCATTTTCTCGATAGAGCGGAAAGGCAATCTGGGTCGCCGGTCATTAATCTGCACTCCTAACAGAACATTCCATATGGAACGATAAAGCTAGCAAGTAATGGGTAGACCAATTAGCATTCAGGACCTCGAGATAATCTATCTTGACCACAGGCATGGCTGCAAAGTTGAACTGAGATAAGCTGATCTATTGCCCCAATCTTGTCTAGTTAATTTCCTAAATCCGTGAGTATTCCTATTACACTCTATTTTCTCCACATGAATGCCATTATGTCTCAAATAAGCCACCTGCTTGGAAGGACAGACATTGGAATCCATGACTATTGCTTAATGAAGGCAGAAACTTCTTGGCTGGTAACAAAAACAGCTCGAGGGACAAGTCAGATTCAATCTTGGCCGGGTATTCCTTGGGACGTCGGCTGAAGCCAACTTTCACTACAATCATCATTTCTCCAGCTGAAGCTGCTGGTCGCTGAGATCAACGAATACGGCTTACCCATGGACAGGATCGACCGGCTGTCGCTGCTCTGATGATTTACCCTAGACCTGCGCCAAAAACTCCAATGGTCTACCCTAGACCTGCGCCAAAGACGTTGATCGCTAAATTATAGCGAGCACGACACTGTTGCTCAGCGCACCAGTGGAAAAACCGCATCGCCGAGGAACAAAACGCCCGCACTGAATCGGCGCATCGCAATTTCTAATTTTCCATGGACTTCAGACGAAAGACACAAAGCGATGACGGCGATGCCTCCTCTGCTACCACCAGACGCTTCACGATGCCTTCATTTCTCCATCTCCGCATGAGGCAACCTGCCAGTCGCATAAAAATGATTCGCATCCAAAGTCTCCTTGAATTGCCATAAAAGCGCAATCATGTCGACGTCAATTACCGGCAAACAATTGCCGTTTCTCCAGCAATTGCGTGAAAAGCGACAAAGGCGTCCACGCACATTGCAATGATTCGTTCGGTATACATTCATCTGGTCCCAATTTCTAGGCTGCTCGCGCTAATGGCCAATATTCTCTCTAGCCATGTCCGCTTTAGGCAGTGGCCGATATTCAAGATACAACAGAAACCTTTGCGATGAGCCGATCGACCGAGAGGATACGCGAGTTATAATGGCTTACATCCGCCTATTGCTGACAAGCTATTTTAGCTCGCGCGCAAACTTGCAATACTTGATTGCACGTCTCGCCAGTTTGGAATTGGCGATTCATCTCAATTGCTTCATCTTCAAGTCACAATCGCCTCTGCAGCCAAAATGAGCGACTCTGGAATCTCCTCAACGTCCGAAGAAGGCAACCGTCTTAACAGCCTCCTGAGCCTATGCCCGCGTTATGTTGTCGTTCCTCCTAATCCCCCGGATGGAATCGCCTTTGCCCTGGCGGGGAATTCTCAAGAATGGGACCACCTCACCGAATTGCACTCGGGCATCTCAAACTGCAAACCCGGTGTCTGGAAGGCGGAGATGAAAATGATTGAGGGGGCAGAATTTGGAAACTGTGACACGGAGGCGTGTCTTCGGTGGGTTGCAGACTTGGACGAGGAGACTGAGCTCGATTTCGGCATCTCTCTGAACGAGTGGCAGGCCTGGGAGCAGATGTTCAAAGACAGGTTCGATGATTCAGCCGCTGGATGGGACGAGGGCTTGGCATGGAAGCACGCTGGAACCTACTATGACGATGGCGGGCTGTTCAACGTCATTTCCATGGCATACCTTACTCGTGGAGCTGCGGCAATGGTCATGGAGGGAAGAGGCGCTGGGGAAGAGGACATTGACGAGGACGAATGGGCGGGCTACCTTGAGATGATTACACTCAACGACAACCTTGACGGGGAAGACTGCGAGAGAAATTCGGGCTTTACGTTTGGAGGACTGCACTGTAAGTTGCACCTTTTGACAAACAGGCATTTTGCATGCGGGCAGATGATGTAGATTGCTGACGGCTTTTACTGCTAGTTGGGCAAGACTCCATTGGCGGGCCACCCGGCCTCTCCGTGGCTGAGAAGGACGGCCAAGTGGTTGCGATTAAGCTTTTCATGGACCACGAAGAGCTTGATGAGGGGACTGCGTTTGATAGTCAGCCTGGCAAGGTTGTTTTTTAACGATGGCGACTGTGCTCGATTTTCCCGCACAGTTTGCACGGTTAATTCTCTCTTCAACGTTCAAACATACATCATGCCGCCACGAAAGAAAGAGTGAATGAAGCAATATACAACGCTTTCGAATATTGAAATACAATCTATTATACATTGTTTCTGAGTGGAAATACACCGCAATGCAAGCTTGCAACGTTCAACGAAGCAAGCCTGGCACGCCAACTATTGGAATGCTAGCTATCGCGCGCAATAATTTGAGCAGCTTCTTCGGCAACGTTATACTCGTAAATCTTGCGCGTCGGCTTCGCCACAGCATTAGGAAAGAAACCTACATGAAATTGTCAGCATCCATTTCTACAATCATTGCGTGGCTATTGCAGCGTGCCACTTACTAAACAGCTTGAACATTGAGTACATGGCATACTCCCGGACGACACCCATGTCGCGCTTCGAATTCTGAATCTTCTTCGCACTCTCCAATATCTCCGTGACGCGTGGCTTCCGAAGATCCATATATTGTTTTGCAGCCTTGACGATGGCTTGCTTTTGAGCGTCTGGCTTGCTCGCATCTCTCCGTTTCATCTGATGCGCCAGGAATAGCACAAACGCTTCGCAGTCCTCCAGTGCTTGTGATACACCTTGGCCCGAAGTCGAGGGCAGGGCATGTGCCGCATCTCCCAGCAGAACAACTCCGTCGCGTTCCCAAGTTGGGAGCGGTGGTGACGTCCATGTGGGATACATGTGCGTGACGCGGGCTGATTTGATGATTTGCTGGATGACGGGATCTTTCCACTGTGCGTGCCTCTCTCGAAGGTGTCGCGAAACGTCGTCCATGTCGAGAGTGCTGCGATCTGGGCACTCTTTGATCTCGTATGTGGACCACCACGCCAGCGTTTCTCCTGGCTTAGAGGCAACGTAGGGGTTCTCGCGATTGGGATCAGAGGGATCGCTGTCTGGGAAATAGTATCCAAAGAAGCCGTTGCCCCCAAAGATGAAGTTCATTGATCCCTTTTCGACGAATTCCGCCAATCCTGTTGCTGGAATGAAGCCGCCAATCCCGACAAGGCCTCTGTTAAGAAGAAGAAATTAGTATGCAAAGAGTAATGCATTGGCTGATCATGCAAGCACTTACTCGTAATGAGGAGGATATTGGTCTTCTTCTGCCTCTGGAAACAAAGCCCTCTTGGCAGTCGACTTCACCCCGTCAGCACCAATGATGACATCAGCCTCTACCGGCTCGCTTCCATCGACAAAACGGATGATGTTTCTTCCTTCAGGATTAGCAATGACCTGTGACACGCGCTTGGTGACGATATCCTCGTCTGGGATGCGAGTGCGTAGACATCTATAGAGCGAATGGCGACTACAAGCCACCATGTTGAGCTTCTTCAAAGGCTCGCCCGGTTCTTTCGTGGTAGAACCATCGGGATCGATGTACATGAGCAGGTTCCCATTCTTGCTCTTCAAGTTGGATCGCGTGATGACATATCCATCACGAGTGACTTCTCGCAGAAGCTCCTCGTCAAGACGCTGAATTACGCCGAGACCATTGGGTGCGATGCCCAGTCCGCCGCCGACGATGAGCGTGGATGAATGTGTCGGCCCTTGCTCTCGATCCTCAAACGTGACATCTTTGCCGGTGTCGTAGGCTTCGTATATCTTGACGTCGACGTCTTTGGAGAGATGCTTCTTCAGCTCGAGGTATACTGCACAGCCGGCAATGCCAGCGCCGATGATGGCTATCTTCATGTTGAGAGAGGACGAAGTTTGGGCTTATATCATTCACGAGAAGGTAGAGAGGAAACAAAGGAGGTTTGATGCAGAGTAGGTATATATAGCTATGCTACTGATCCTATTACAGCACGGATTCGCAATCCATCTACGTAACGAGGCATCCGTCTTGTTTCACCGGCAGCAAAATTGCAGTCAATCAATTCAGCTCTCACACAGTATATCGCGGGAGAGCTTCATCGCGGAGCCGCTAAATCGCAAAGCTAACCATCTCGAGTCTAAGGATCCTCCAAGCTTGAGGCGCGCACAGACTAGAAACGCATCCTAGGCCTGATTTTGGCCGAGAGTTTGGTCCGCTCAAGTTGGCCATGGGAATTAATCCAAGCCAAGTGGCGATGATGTTTCCATACCAGCTTCTTCAAGATTGAGCTGAATGCTGCCTCGACTTGCCCACTTGATGCGTTTGCTCTATAAGTGGCTATGCCCAGCCACTATGAGCCCGGAGATATTGCAAGGGGCTAATAGATGGGAAAACGATTGAATAGGCCCGGCCCTAATGAATGGCTGGTCTAGTTCAAGCCTTGAGAGTCTTGTAATGTGACAGTGGTGATTCGTTTTCGTTGACCCCAAGTAGGTCAAGTCCCTTCAACGGCGTATTTGCGAAGAATATAGGCCGCCACATCGGCAAAATACTCGTGAGATGGCGCCGAAATGCCTGCAAAGCCTCCCTTTCGAAACCCCTGTAGCATCTTCACAGCCGCCGCCCTCTGCTGCGAAGACGAGCTCCACAAGGCAGCAATTTTTAACTGCTGGACCATCATGATGGAACCGCGGCCAGGCTCAGAGCTGGATTTTTCGCTAATCATTTCGTGTGCGGACAGGATTGACTGTGTGTGCTGTTGGATGCGTGCGTCGTATAGAGATGCCGTGGGAGAAACCAAGTGTAGGAGGCGAAGTACGATTATGTTGGCGGCATCGTAGAGTGAGACCAATGCCACTGATGGAATATCGGTATATGGCAGCATAAAGTGGCGGGGATCCAACGATGTTGCAACATCTTCTTCAGTTTCAGTAACTGAGAGGCTCTGATCTTCCAGAGAGACGTAGAAGATGGCTTCTGATCTCCACTCATGGATTTGAAGCCTAGCATCTTGGATGAGGTTTCCGAGTTCTGTTTGTAATCCGCGTGTATTGTCGGCATCGGATGAAATGAGATGATTTGCTGTTGACAAGCACCTCAGTACAGCAAAGAGAACATCGACCAAGTTGTCAAAAATTAGCTTCGGATGACTCTCAAACGGAATCGTCCTCCATTGCGGAGAGGCAAACGGGTGAAGCCTATTATCAGCCATTGCCGCGACAAACTATGAGGTTTATCAGCATAATGGCACAGAACGCTCAAAGAGTGTACGAAATGAAGCAAACGCACCGTTTGTAGCCGCAAATGCCTAAATATCTGATGCATGAATCCGTCCCGGCAACGCTCCGGCCCCCGTGCTTCCAGCAATGAAGCCGCACCATTGACATGTGGCAGCCATGCCTTTGGACTGGTGCCAGCAGAAGTTTCAAAGTGGATGAGCATGACGGCCGCGCATACTGTGCTTTCCGGAGAATATAGTGATGAGCCTAGGTCGTCAAGGGACAGCAGATGTCGCAAGCTCTGCAGCGCTCTCATGTACCATCTACAGGCCTCGGTTTTGATGGATACATCTCCAGTGACAGTGCCATAGCTGAGCATCGACGCTGCGCGGATGGAATACTGCACAGGAGATGGGCAGGGAGAGGCGAGAAAGTCAGGAAGTTCGTGTAACCAAATCTTGGATGGTCCGTTGGGAACAGGCAAAGATGGCCTCGCCGAACCGAAAAAGGCGTCGATGAAATGCGACACGAAAAGCTGATCAAAGGCATCGGCACGAGCTGGCTGCAGCGCCGGAAGATGTGATGGGTGCATCATCATCGTATGTGGTGATTTCGTCTTGATACATGTGAGAGCAGCTGATGAAGAATCACGCAACGAAGCATTCGGCACGACTGTGTGGACGAAAAAGGCCTCTGTGCGAGCACCAGGGCACTTGATGCCCATGCCAAGACACCTCAGGCACTCGGGGAGCGATTGGTCGCACTATGAGATGTGAGATGAGTTTCATTCGGTCTATGAGTTGCTGGATCAATTTGGGGGGTTCATGAATGGATGAGAACGCGCACCTTGACTCTGCGTTTCCGACATGTTGCGCAGCCTCTGCTTCTGCCGGCGACATTCACCATGGCGATTTGCAATGTTGTCACCTGTAGTCATGAGACTGTCTTGATGGATGGGTCACCTTTTCTTCATCGTCTTTGATTCGCTTACAGAGCTGATGAATAACAGCAATAACGGGTGAGAGCTCAAGTCATCAGCATACAAACGGCAACGCCAAGATCCGATGTTATTCCGCGCTTGGTCTGGAAGCAGTGATCGCCAGGGGATCCTGGAATGGCTGTTTCTCTGTGCCAGTGACAGATCAAGGCAAGGCAAATCAAAGTCACTTGCAACATTCAAACCTCTCACTGCTAATCCTAAACTGGATTACGGTGAACAGCTCACTCTTCTCCTCTTCTCCTCTTCTCTCAGCTATTCTTACTCATCATCGAGTCGAGCTCCCAGACCGACAGTCAGACTCTCCTCCAATCAGCGTCCGCAACTCGCAGCTCCAGTTTCTCCAACCAAAGGGCCTCCACTCCACTTTCAGCCCAGCATGATAACACGCCCACGGGCCGGTTGCTCTGCCACGTCACGTTAGAGGGCTCCAATTGCAATCGGCAGGGCTGGTAGGTTAGGGGGCAGGCGAAAAGCGGAGCTGGGAAGACGGTCAGATGCATCTTGCGGTTCTTGACAATTTTGGGCCGCCAAAAGGGAAGGGTTCAATTTCAGCAACATTTATGCGTGTATGACTGGCTTTGCTTTGCGTCTTGTTGTTTCTGCATCTCATACCCCACGATTTCCCATTCAACAGCTGCAGGTCGTTTTGTCCCTTTCAGTTCTTGCATCCTTCTTGTTCTGCATCTCATATACCCCTGGAAGCCTGAAATCTGCACAGCAACTCATTGCCGATCCGGCACACAAACGCACCCATTGCCATCATGGGCGAAGACAGCAGCCTCCTCTCAGTCATATTCAGGGACAAACGAGTCAAGGGCCGGGCCATCAAAGCCGCCACAAAGCTCTTCGCCAACACCGCCCCCATTGTCAAGACCATCGAAGCCGGCGCCGGCCTCATCAAAATCGGCGACACGCTGTCCAAGGCCAACGAGCTCGCCGGCAGAGTCAATGACTTTGCGCCGCGTGCAAACCAAATGGCCGATGGCCTCAACAGGTTCATCCCCGCCATGCAGGTCATGGGTCAGTCCGTCGCCGACAGCGCCCGCATCTTTGCGTATTTCAGCATGATTGCCACGACGGTGCGCATCGGCATGAACCTCGTGCAGACGTACCAGGGAATCCAGGCGCTGCAGCTCATCGCCGCCAAGCTGCAGGACATCTCGGCGGCCCTGCAGGCGCAGACGGCGCTCATGGCCCAGAAGGAGTTTCCCGACTATGTGCACAGCATGATTCGCGAGCGCCTCATGCAGACGTCGGGCGATCCGTCGCAGGACCACTGGTTCTTCCTCTGGCACCCGGACGATGACTGGTATCCCAAGTTCTTCCACCTGCTGGAGGAGAAGCCGCTGGGGACGCGGTTCTGCGGCTACACGAACCAGATTGACTCGGTTTTCGTCTTTATGATTGCAGCGCGGCGGCGCATCTCAGAGATGGAGTACAAGGCGCGGCGGCGAGGCCAATCATTGCGCCCAACACGGCTGCATCTCCTGGTGCCGGCATATCAGCCCGTTCTCGTCGCAGAGGCTCTCAGAATCCCCGAAGAGGTCGGCGACTTCGTCATGGAAGGCCGCATCAACAGCAACCGCGAGCTCGTCTGGCTGAATCTGCCCGACGACCAGCGGCACTACACCCTGAATATCGGCCAGTGGATCCCGCCAAATCCAACCTGGCTGGGCTGGGCGGCGTCGAAAATCGGGCTGGGCGAAAAGCCGCTGAGGCTGCGGACGCCGAGGCCTCTGGGGTCGAGCCAGATACCGCTGGAGATTGAGGCCACGCCGCTGCCGAGAGATGAGGATGACGACGGGAGCAGTACCCTGGTCAATCCTTCGATAGCGCCATCGGAGGCCAGTTTTCAGGAGGACGAGGACAAGGCCAAAGACAAGAGCAAGCGGTCATCATCAACGCCGCTGCACCAGCGCGAAAGACGGCATCGCAGCAGCAGACGGACTTGAAGGGGTTTTTAGAAGATGAGGCAATTCAGGTGGTGATAAAGAGAAGGGATGGGACATGGGCAGGGCAAGGCATTGGTTATCATGAAAGGGCAGGGCTGCACGGAACAAGGCACACACTTCACTCTGTGGATTTTCATTTTTCTTCATTTCTGATTCCCCCTTTGACACAAATTGGAGCCAAAGACAGCATAAACGAGAGATCTGGCATCTCAGCGTCATACCTTGAACGATCAAGACGACGCATCAGCTTGGAGTATATAGAATATTTTGTTTGGACATTAGATTGCAAAATCATGAAAGATTTGTTGAGAGCTTATATATTCTGAAAATATCATATGATGGCGGCTCTCGTCATTAGATTGTTGTATTTGTCTGCAAAGTCAATCATTGTCCCTGCTTGTGGTTAATGCATCCCTCATCGCCTCACTCTACGAAAAGCTCTTGTTCCTTGTAACAGACAAAAACGTCAGACTCCACAACTGGCGCACATCGCTTTCTGTCGCGCTGCTGGCGCCTGGAGGTGGAGGAAGCACGGCGAGAGGAGAAAACTTGAAATCCGCCTCTGTGCCATTTTTGCCACCGCTGTACGTCCAGCTCCAGACTTCGGACTCCAGCTGCTCCGAGTTGTTCTCAATAATATCCCACAGCTTGTTGTATGCCGTCTTCAGCGCAGTGTACACTTGCTTGTTGCTGCAGAATTGGGGCGTTGCAGTTGCGTTTGTGATGGACGATGGGATATCCGTCACGTCACTAGAGCCGTGGCATCGCTCCAGCTGCCGCTCAAAGCCTTTCGCCATGAGCGCCAATTGCCAGCTCCAGACAACGGTGCCGTGGTAGGCAGAGTTGGGAAAGTTTGCAATGAGGACATCGTTGTTGGATAGTGCTGGATTTGCGACGACGACGCCGATTGGGGTGCTCAGCCCGGCTGGGAATGGGCGGAGCACTGCATTGGCAGAGGCGTTGATGAATGTCGTGAGCTGTTCGTCGTCTGTAGCGTTGAGCAGATAATGGCGAAAGGCCGTGTCCGTGTGAGTGAGCGGGATAACGTCTGGCGTCGCTGTGCTGTTGATGGCCAGCCCATAGTCTATGATTGTCCCGTCGGTAGAGTAGTTTGACACTGAGTCACCATTCGTAGGACCGTCGTAGAAGGTGTTTTTGCTCGTGTACTCTGTCAATCTCGCAACAGCAGTCTTCGCAGTCATGTTATACTGGAAGAATTGTAGCGTACTGTCTTCCCATACTTTGGCTCGCTGAGCTGCGGCTGCGGTCCAATTCTGCGTCACCGAGTTGTTGGGATAGACGCCAGGCATAGCCGCAAGGCTGGAGATGGCATACAGAGCAGCTGGAGCCAGAGCGCAGTTGACGTCGAAGGGGATGCGGCCATTAGCGAGGCCCCAAGCAGAGTCGCGCCATTGACCAACATTCTGGCCTGGCTTGAGAGCAATGAGGTTTTCCACTGTCTGGCTCTGTTCAAAGGCGGCTGTAATGTTCATAATCTTGCTGGCAGTCGCGTAGCTGAGATCTCCCCAGGTCAAGTTCTGATTGCCAACATCGATGGATTCAGCCTTGGTGTTGAGGAGCGGAGTAATGCGCTTTGGCGACGAGTCAAAGTATCGCGCCATTAAAATGGGAAGATAGTAGTCGGTGTCAATCATTGGATATGTGAATCCGGCTGCTGTAGATGTAACGTTGTTTTGTAGATTTACAAACGTCGCGTAATCGCCAATGGTTTCTTCGTGGCAAACTGATCCGTCTGTTCGGTTCACGCGTTCGAGCGCTGCTCCAATGACGGCTTCAATAGCAGAGCCGTTGCCAGTCCCGAGGATGGGCTCAAGCAAAAGTGCGGTGAGCATGCTGTCACGGCCAAAGTAAGTCAGGAAGCGCCAGCCACCGGCAAGAAGTTTATCTGTGTAGGAGAAGAAGGAAAGCGACGAGACGGTCTCTGGTTGCTGCTTGACAAGAGATTGGGACTGCTCGTTGAGAATCTGGCTTGGCGTAAGTTGCTTGAGTTGAGGGTAGTTGAATGACGCTGTAAAGTGGTAGAGCCCAGAGCCAAACCGTAGCGTTGTGTTGTCAATCTGAATATGATTGTCGCCCTTCTTCCAAGGCATAAGAGTAAAGGTAGTGGTTGTGACGTTGTCTAGCCATAGGCGAGATATTTTGGCACCCTTCTTTTGAAACTCGGTGACCTTGATACCTGCTTGGATGATGGGACTGAGGAGGCTGGGTCCTTCGGTAAAGTCGCGTATGTTTCTCACGCTGCCGAGAATTGCAATTGAAAGCTCGGCTGAATTGTTGAACGAGAGAACGCCCTCAACGCCGACGATAGGATTGGCAGAGTCTTTGATTTTGCTGTATACCGGGCCTAGGGGAGCTCCCAGCGTGGAGTTGACTAGCTCAATGGCGAGACTGCCATTTTTGCCGCTCTGAGGCTGGAAGAAGGTGCAGATGCCGCTGTTGCCAGCGGGCCAAGCTACGATGAAGCGAGGCCCAATAATGGACAGATTGCTGTCGGGCAGAGGGCTTGTGACGACAGCCTGGGCATCAACGTGGCAGTCTGAGTAAAAGTAGTCTTGATAAGGGGGGTCGCTGAGGTGCTGCGTTCTGGCTAGACATGCTGGTGGTGTTGAATTGCTATTTGAGTGGGCAGATTGTGCTGTGGCGGAGCTGCAGCTCGCGAGAAGCAGCAACGCGGCGGCGAGCTTTTGAAGCATCTTTTGCGGTCTGCACAACAACAGGCATTGGCTGATTGTCGACTAGAGGCGGGGATGCTGTCTTACAGCAGTAGAGTCGCATCGTATCATGTCGCCCTTTTATAGACAATCTCGGCCGGGTTTAGTATCCGCTTTTGAAAGCAATCTTCAGTCGACGCCCGACGTCATCTGCATCTTGACAGCCATCACGCAAAGTCCCGTCTGGGGTAAAAAGTGGGCGAGGGAACTGCCGATTCGGGCCTATGGACTGGCGATGCTTGTTAGCAGGACTCTGCACTTTTGGGGTATCTGCGGGCATCTCTGCGGGGGAGAAATGGCCTTTTGGAGGCCCCGGATGGGAATCATACGTAACTGGCGTGATAGCCTTGGTCTCTTTTCTTGTTTTCGGGCAAGCTGAGCGACGATCTTTCGGTGCGACTAAAACGGCGGATTTGTTGGGGGGGGGGGGGGGGGGGGGTTGATGTCTGAGGCTGAGATGGATCCGTAAGGAAGAGATGAATGGCTGAAGCAAATAGATTAAAAGAAGGCAGAAAAATTCAATGAGACAAGGAAATTTTGAAAAGGCGTTTGTCACTCTCTGTTGCTGGGGTGGTTGTTGAAGCGAAGAATGCTGGAGATGCCCCACGCAGCGAATAATGCTTTGGGGCAACGGCTATCGATTAATAAGAATCCGCGCATGGCTCTACTATACACGAGTAGATATAAAACATTAATTGGTAGAATTGTTTCAATATTATTGGAATCAAACCAAATTTCTGGTTACCAAACAATATTGAGAGATGCACAGACATATCATCCATTTTCTTTCCCATCTGCCCAGTGATCCATCCATCTTCCTCTACTCCATCTTCAGCGTCTACCACTCCTGCTTCTTCCACCCACTTCCACCACTTCTACCTTCCAGCAATTGTCCCACATCTACTGTTTTATATGCTCTACGATGGCTGAGCAAAAAGGAAATAATGCCGGTGCAGACGATGCTACAGCCAGCAGAGAGGAAGCAGGCGAAGAAGCAGGGTTGGATACGCTTGGATATCGACTCAAGGGATGGCGATGCACACGAGTAGAATGACAATGGTATCCCTGGTGACCTTCTTTCTCGATTTCAAACATGAAATGTATTTTCTAATGTATTCTTTATTCTTACACAGAGATTGCCTCGTGGGCTGCAAAATCCAAGAGCGAAGCAACAAAGAGCCATGCCATCCTCCGACTCCAACAAAGATACCGACTGTTTGCCCCCAGCGTTTTGGACAAATCACCGCTTTGGCGGAAGCTATGCGAGCCTGTCTTTGGTGCTCTGCCCTCCATCTTCAACTGGATCATTCCGAGCCATGTGCTGGTCAGCTTCAGCGTGGTTTTCGGCTCGTGCTTTTTCTCCCGATTGATCTTTCGACATTTGCAGGTCTTCTAATTGGCTATCTTTCCGACTTTGTTCTTGGACGTTTTGCTCTGCCGTTAGTCGTATGACGAGCTTCCTCTGTCGGACGAAGACTGTAAGCAGGGCAAAGACATCAAGGATTGCCGAGGAAATTCCTAACTCGATCGTGCAGCAGGTTTTGTCCCCCTCAATCAACATTTCGAAAGTACCTCGCAGTATTAAACGGTTTCGGCATCCCAAGAATAGCCAAACGCATTGGATAATTCACGGATTAGCAAAGAGAATTCCGAGAATGTATATATCTGGGACGAGGTTCGTTTTCGGGGAACGCGGTGTATGTCAAGCCGATACTGGTCAAGATATATGGATGCCAAAACGTGATTTAGCTTCGAGCAGGTTCGATGCTCTTGCTGATGCATTTTCAGGTGTCATCTCATTTCGGAGTGGTTGGTAAGGATTTCATCGAGTAACTAGAACAACTTGCTATCGCTTCAAGGAGTCTGCAGGCCTGTACCAGACACGGATTCCAGCTCAGTCGGTTTGTACTGCTTTTCCGATTTCGGCAGACGTCGAAGATGGCTAAAGAACATGGCAGGCTGTACGCTCTGGAGGGACTATGGGACGTGGCTCTAGAGACGTGGGAGTTGGAATTGTGAGGTTGGCTTGTTCATTTCGCTGCTTTGCCGCTGCGTAATCGCCAGGACCAGGACGACGTCTTAGTTTGCTCGCAGACGGGACACCGTGTCGGTTGACGTGACATTTGCCTTGGCGGCAGCGCATGTCGATTTGATGCTTCCATCGTTCCAGGTATAGACGCCAATTCACCAGTCTATACCTGTCTTTTTCTTTTAGCTTCTATAAACCAACGCGACAAAGGCTGTCATTGCTGTATGAGCAATGATGAGCCGGACGTGAAACGCCATAGCGTCGATGTTCTGGAAACCATCAAATCTGACGGGAGGTAGGGACGTTTGGCGAATGAGCAGACTAGTGACAAGACAAGCTGCAGCAACTGCTGAAGAAGCTACAACTAAAGCGTAAGTAGCCCTTGCGAGAACTTTAGTGCCAGGGATAGAAATTGGTGTTGCAGCCGCAGTTGCCAAAGTCGTTTTCGTTCTCGTCGTCGAATGGGAAGTCGTAGAAGATGTCCCAGATTATCTCACGCAGGCGCTGTTCCCGTTCTCGCTGTTGTTGGTATAACATCTCCCAAAGATTATCTACCCAGGCGATGATGAAGTTGATGTGGAGGTCCGCGAAATCGAAATCCGTGGAATTGGAATCCATGGGAAATGTGAGATGTGAGATGTGTGGTGGATGGTGATGGAGGATAGTTCTGAATACTGTAGGCGTAGTGGATATTGCAGAAGTGATTGAGGCAGTCGTAAGAGTAGACAGAACAGAAGTAAGAAGAGAAAAGAAAGGAGAAGCATGGCAGCTGCGATATATAAAACCCATGTACAGACCAGACATGGTGGATACGAAAGAAGAAGGCGATAAAGTTTTACGCCCATGATTATTAACTTCACGATAGGCGCCCAAACTATATGCCCGAGCTGTAAGGTTTAGTCCTCGGCTTTACTTTGAACTTGTATCTGAGTACAATACCAAGTACCTCACAGAAGTCTCAACATGTACACAGTCCACCAAAGACGTAGAGTCAAACGATGGGGCCAAAGTGTAGGTGCTCAATCTATAAATTGCCTCGAATTGCTCGGGCTGTGTTTGGAAACCATCTTCCACCATTCACTCTTCAAAGATTTACGCAAAGGCCCCTTTCCCATCAAGGCTCCCACAATTAGGAGGCTGTATCTCACTACGACTTATCGAGATGGATTTACAGCTACTGACCCTCCCAACTCTCCGAGGTGATCTTCGACAGGAAACATTACCCCTAGTCGATCAAATCTTTGAAGAGTTACAGACTGCAATCATCGCCCCTAGGAGTATTGATGGATACGGAACAGACCCGGTGATCCAAGATGCTCTCCACAACAGAGAAAAGGAGCTGGCCGCGACCGAAAAGCTCCTAGGCATCATCGTCCAAGAATGGCATGCCATGGACCTCAACATCTCTCGACACGACTTTGAGTTTGAACTTGACCAACTCGAAGACCAAGTTGAGCGTCTGATGGGGGACATTCTCGTCATTCGAGATTGCCGGTTTGAACTTGGTGGCAGGCTGCTGGACGATATGATCCGGGCCGCGGACGGTGGGCGTATCAGCAGCACTTGGGCACACGTCGACTCGCTGATCAAACGCTACAAGACCGCTGCAGGGGCAAAAGTTCCCATCTATGAGCCCAAGGACACAATTGCCCAATGGAACTTTTGCCAGAGGGTGTTCAAGGTTTATGATGTCGAAGATGGCATTGCCCACTGGTGTGTTATTTCAGGCCAATGGCAGTTGAAAACCACAGTCAGAGGAGCGCAGATTGTCAGATACAACGTGGGCGAGCCGTGTGCCCAGTATCTCTTTGCTCCTCTAGATGATCCAGAAGGTCATCTGTTGGGAGTCAAAAACAGTCTGCCAATGCATATACGCTATGCAGAGGCCCTGGACGATGGACGCCTCGTCATTATACCTGATGAAGTCCAAGACAAGGACAAATACCAAGACCAAGAGAGGGATCAAGGATACATTGGCCGCTGGAAGGTGTACAACCTCTATGAGGCCGATGCCCAGCAATCGCATCCGTCGATGCCATTAGGTTCCGGGCTGCACGGACGTTCACTACAGTTTCGAACTGACTTCCGGCCTGACGCTCGGTATCTATTTTTTGTCTTTTGCATGAGCGTTCTTCGGCGTCAACGCCATGAAGCTCCTGGCTGGTGGCGAGCGTATTTGGCCGGCGGCCCTGGGAAGGCTTGGGCCGCTTCCGCTTCTGGGTCCTACCTCCGACCGTCCTCGCTTGGAAAGCTTGCGCAGAGAGTAGGCCGTTTGAACGAAGAAGAGGCGGCTCAGTTTGCCATCGAATCGGGTAACGGCTGGGTGGCTGAGCGTTCTGATGGGGACACACGGGTTGAGGAGAGGGACAGCTTCTATGCGGATCTTTGCTGCGTGGCGGCTATGCAGCCGTCCCCAAACCGGCTTACGGAATTCACGAGGCTTGGGCCATATAACCAGGATTACGAGAATGTTCTCGGCGATGAAGGAAACGAAGATGACGATGATGACGATGATGATGGCGATGAAGAATATGATGGCGATGAAGAATATGATGGCGTTGACAATTAGAATGAAGGAGAGGACGAGTAGGACTGGTGAAGAGGAAGAATAAGACAGTCCATTACTATTGGGAGAAATACTTGAGCGTTTTATATATACCTATTCTAATTCTCACTCTCTTACCTTTGAAGACATCCACCCTCACCAATGTAATGTAAAACAATAAAATACCAAGTCAGCTTCATTATCCTCATCGTCATAACTCCTAAGCTGATTATGAACAAAGATGACGCTGCACTTCGTTTATTCGTCTCTCTATATCCATAATTATATTTAGATACAACCAGCTCCACCGATGCGTCGTGGATAGTACTATCCCCTAGGAAAGCTGCGGCGCGATTCCCAATATGGGCCAAGATGCGCTCTAGACCCTCCGGCTGGGAATATATTTTTATTTTTACTTTTGATTAGATGAATGTGGAATTTTTAGATACATTATCCTTTAGTAGATGGCCACTGGGTTTGTAAAAGAAAGTTTGATATAAAACCTGAAAGGTTCACTTACGCATTCGACGAGTTTGAGAACCTTGATTACTTGACCAAATGAGGCTGAATGTTTCACGAAGCTTTGAAGCTTTTCTTATTAAACATTTCCGAGGTGACTCATCTGCTCGCCATCGTATCCTCACACGCCTCCTGTAAATAAGTGACCGTGAGTCCCTCCACAATGTCTCATCGTAGGTTCTATGTCGACGCTAGAGTCTGCGTGTGGATTTCTTTTTGAGTTTGAGCAGATCCATGGCTGTGAGTCCAACTTTTATTTCGCCGGAGCAAGTAATGATCGTGAACCGGCACAAGTGGATACGGTATAGATATACGCCCATGGTTATAAGTTGGGCCTTTGTACCTAATTCCGCTGTTACTATCAAGGTTCTAGATAGGGGCACGCAACAAAAGTTAAACGTAAAGCCTACTAACAGTGTAGAGCCGAACGACAAATGTCAAACAATGTAGAGCCAGCTATAAAGTCATTTCACTCGAAGAGCTATAGAATACCTAGGATCAACCCCTTTATCTTCCATCACTCGCTATTCCTTTTATTCTTCTAAGACCATTAGGAACAAAAGTATCTTCCCATTACCAGCTTTTGATCCCGCTACAAAGTGTCAAAATGAGTTACTCAAAGGTGTTGACGCTTCCAAACCTCCGAGACAAGCTTCGACCGGATGTGTTGCGGCGAGTTGATGGAATCCTGGCGGACCTGCGCGTTGAAATGCGCCCTTTGGCGAAGAAACACCAAATCGGAGCACAATCCACCGTCAAAATGGACCTCCACAACAAGAAAAGGGAGCTGGCTGCGGTGGAAAAGCTCATCGTTATTCTCCATGAAGAATATGACGCCGGACACCTTGATACCGCAGATGAGGAACTTTGCTTGGATCGTTGCAATTTGGATCGCCGATTCAAAGCCCTCACCGCTGATACCGTTGTGCCTGGAGCCTCTGGTCAAGAGATTGGGGACAGAGTACACAACGACAAAATGTCGAAAAGAAGCAATGGGTCTATCGACAAGTCCCCATACGTTGATGAAGCATACATGGACTCGTTGATCGCCCCATACAAGACACCCAAAGGGGCGAAGAGTCCAATTTTGGCAGCAAAAGATGATGCTGATGCTGATGAGGACCAAGGATTTGAAGCTGTGGATGGCGAGACCATGGATGCTTTTCTCGCGGATAGCTCTGATGACCCGGGTGCGCCACCCACATCGCCGTTGACTGTGGAGTCTGACGATAGTATGGATGACATTGAGATCGATGGCGAAATCGTGATTGTAGAGGAGGATGGTGAAGGATGGGAGAATATAGATGATGAATATAAATGGGGAGATGCATGGGTTGATGTGGATGAAGACGTAGACGAATATGCAGACGAAGACGAAGATAGACGAATACGCGGACAAAGACGAAGATAGAGACAGGGACATTTTCTAGGCTGCCTACGCTCCTGGGCTTGGATTCCCTAATAGATATATTGAGAAAAAAATATACTGATCAAAAACCGGATTCAAGTTTATACACATCAATTCCTGCGCCGTTTTTCATTCCTGTCATCATGGTTGTAACTGTTATGGCTGGCGATGGCATCGTAGCCGTGATAGCGGCAGTAAGCCGACGAGGTGATATCCAACATCCATGCGCTGAGCCCCCTAGCCCTCCCGAATATTCACCAAAGTCAGATTTCTACCCAGACACTGGGCCAGTTGCCAGCCTCACATACGCCAGCTGCCAGGCGACAGAAGGCTCCAGAGTCTCAGGAAACAACAGGCAGCCATATTAGACGTAGGAGCCGTATTAAATGTCGAATTTCCAATGTGTAATAACGATAATAGACCTACTAGGTGTGTTAAATCCAGTGGATGCAGGAGATTACATGTAGGTAAATGTATCAGACCACGTACCTTGACGCAGTAGACCTAGTAGAAATAGTAGATCTAGTTATTGCAGAAGATCTAGTCCTTCTAGCAGATCTAGCAGCTCTTGTAGTCCTAGTAGAGTCTGTGAATCTACATCATCCAGTATAAGTTGTAGATCTTGTAAAGGGAGACGTTGTAGTAGATATACTACATCTAGTAGCTCCGTAAATAAAGCAGCCATAGAGATATCGGTCGACATATTGGAATAGGTGCAAAGGTGGCAGTGATATTGACAGGTAGCAACGTTATGTGAAGGACAGCTGAATATTTGTGAGATGGATGAAAGCCTTTGGAGACGGGCAGATAGGTATGTCCCTATATATATACATATATACCTTTGGTACATGTTATAATCTTTTTGCCGTGGCTTAAAATCAACTTTGACATTGAAGTCAAATCCCACTTAATCTCAGGCAAACCTGGAACTTAAAAGCGCAGTCTTTGCCACCTTTCTGCTCCCTTATCTCTAGAACCAACTAGCTACCCGTCCATTCATAATCGCAGATTCACAGGCTTTCTTCCCCCTTCAAGCCAAAATGTCGAGAAATAACGAGCACTCGAATGGCTTTGAGCTTGCGGAAGCACCGCAACGAGTTCGAGGCGCATTCGAGCGCCTACACGATGCAGAGCGCAACTCTTCGCAACTCCGCAACTTGACCACCAATGCGCTTTCCCCTCCAACAATGCAGCAGACGGCACGAGAAGATCGAGATGCCGTAGAATCCATCATCGAAGCCACGCTCCAAGCCAAGGAGAAGGAGCTAGCCGCAGCCGAAGACATTGTCGCAATTCTCAACGAGGAACGGCACGTCGGAAGCCTCAACGTCACGCAGAACGGGTTACAGTCTGAGGTTGACCGGTTGGAACGCCTAATCACAGCCCTGAAAGGAGATTCTCTCGTTATCCGGACCTCTCGCCACGAACTCAGCGGCAAGATGCTGGATAATATGATGTGGCCGCAAGACGGTGAGAGTACAGACTGGGGATATTTAAATCTGTTAATCAGCCACTGTAAGACACCTGAAGGGGCTAGACTTGCTCTGTTTAGTCCAAGAGATCCAAGCGCCCATGAAAGGTTTCGAAACAAGGTTCTGAAGGCATATGATGCAGTCGATGAGGATATGCAGTGGTGTGTAATCTCTGGCAAATACTTACCGGCGTCCACTGTGAGGGCAGCCCACATCGTTGGTTACAATGTGGGCGAACCTTCTGCGCGGCACCTGTTTGGGCCACCTGGTAACAAGAATGGCCACCTCATGTCAGATCATAATGGCATACCGATGTATGAAATGTACGAAAAGGCGTTTAACGACGCACGCTTAGTCATTCTACCTGATAGTGACCCAAAGAAAGGCTGTTGGAAAGTTTATTGCCTCGACGACCCCGATACCCATAAACCGTCGAAAGCGGTTCCATTCGGTCGTGAACTCCATGGGCGCTCGTTGCAGTTCAGGAACAACTTTCGCCCCTCTTCCCGATACTTGTACTTTGCGTTTTGTATGAGTATATTACGGAGACAACGTCACGAGGTCCCCGGTTGGTGGCGGGATCGCCTCGTCGATGGCCTGGGAAAGGTTTGGGCAACACCGGGCACTTACTTGCGCACTTTGACTCTTCGCAGCATTGCCCATCAAGTCGGCCATCTCACCAAAGAGGAAGCGGCCGTATTTACAGCCGACGCTGCTGAAGACGAAGGCGAGGATGATTGTCTGCATTCAAAGTTGATAGGGTGCGCTTATGCCTTGCAGAACTCGACAATGTCTTGGAACGGTACACTGGCTCAGACCGACGGAACCGAGAGCAGTGAGGAAGAAGATGATGAGGATAATGAAGAATCATGGATTGAGGAAGAATAGATGTCCAATAAAAAGGTCATAAGAAGTGAAACCATGACTAAACAGGGGTATAATGGAAGCAGTAGATCTAGTAGATTTAGTAGATCCAGTAGATCTAATAAATCTAGTAGATTTAATAAATCCAGTAAATCCGGTAGATCTTGTAGAAATGCCTCTTGGAGACCAATGCTGTGAAATCTTTCGCTAAGGAATTACTATGGCTGTCGTATTGGTTACTTGCGCCAAGGTCAGCCTACTGCTCTTGATGCAGACTTTCAACTGTGGCCTTGGATCTTGTCGTTGATCCCACTTGTCACATTCCTCTGCTAACAATCTTGCCATATCGCGGTCCCAGACAATAGTGAGTCAAGCCTCATGTCAAGTCTCATTAAGCTTTCCAAGCTTACATAACGCAACCCGCTGGCTCCTTTGCGTCATCTTCATTTTCTTCCCTGCCGTTGTACCAACTATCGAGCTCCATGACACACAATTGGAGTTGTGCACCGTTTCCCAAGCAAATGTGTCAATAATCCGTCCTTTGCTATCCAGTCCAATCTGTTGTCGACGCTGCACCATCTCTTTCAGTATTTGCCCCTATAATCTCGCCTCTACCAAATCAAAGCCAGCTCAAGCTACCTCCCCGGCTCGCGTGGGGCAGCGCTTCACTAAAAACAGACAAGCCCAATCCATCACGCCGAAGGATTTCAGCCAGGGGTGATGCTCTTTAAATCCGGTGAACCGCGATTCTCGACTCCAATTGGCAACTTCAGCCACATCACAACATGGCTTCTTACCTCCTCGGCCTCTTGGGCTTCGGGCCCAGGAGATCTGCGCCGCCAATTGTGCCGACAGATGAGGTCGCGCCGGTGCATCTCTTTGACGATACGGCCACGCTGCAGGGCTCCACGATGATGTGGACCTTCAGGTTTGACGAGGTTCTCGACGCCGACAAGCTGGGCAACTCGCTTTCCGAGCTCTTCCAGATGCAAGGGTGGCGGAAGCTGGGCGGACGACTCCGGCGCAGAGTAAATAACGACGCGCTATTCTGTGAATTGACGACAGGCACCAGCTAACTGAGGCCAACCAGCCTGATGGATCGACCGAGATTCACATCCCCTGCCCCTTTTCAGAGGACCGACCGCCGCTCTACTTCACAAAGGCCAAATTCGACGTGCGCATGTCGGAACACCCCGAAGCATCCAAATTGCCGAGTGCTCCAGACGGCTTGAAGCCAGCGACGTTCCCCAGTCCGCGCAACCACAAGTCATTGGGCCTGGGGCCCGGATCGCCAACATGTTTTGACGACTACCTCTACTCCGATCATCCGCAGTTTGCCCTCCACGTGGTCAACTTTACAGATGGAACCTTGGTTTCCATCAACTTCAATCACCTAACCAGCGATCTCGCCGGGCTCATGGCCATCATCAACGCTTGGCAGCTTGTACTAGCCGGAAGGCCGGAATCGGTGCCCCCGTTCAAGGGCCTCTATGAAGACTCCATGGCTGATCTTTACAAGGCGCATACAACGGAAAAATATGTGCTGGCCGACAAGCAGCTTTCGGGCTGGAACCTCGCAGCGTTCGGATTGCGGCTTGTGTTCGATTCCTGGTGGAACTCCCCCGTTGATTCCAGGCTGCTTTGCGTCCCCAAGAAGACAATGGACGCCGTTGTTCAGGCGGCCAGAGACCAGTTGCCACAGACCATGGACTCCAGTAACGATGGAGCCTCGCCTCGATTCATTAGTGAGAACGACATTGTCGTAGCATTGGCCACAAAGGCAGCCGCCCAAAACTCTTCCCCAAGCCGACCCATTACCGTCCTGCAGGCTGTCGACCCTCGCAGCCGCGTCAAGTCGGTTTTCGACCAAGACGCCGCATATGTCTGCAACGCCCCTGCTGCGGCCTTTAGTTTCTGCAGCAGCCAAGAGGCAGTGGACAAGAGCATTAGCGAACTGGCGCTTGACGGACGAAAGGCCCTTCAGTCGCAGGTTACAGAAGGGCAAATGAAGGCTGTGGCCGCGTTGGTAGCAAAAGCCATGGCGGACACTGGAAATCCCCCCGTCTTCGGGGATCGCAATTCGCTTCTGCTGGTATCATCCAACTGGTCCAAAGCCGCGTTTCTGGAAAAGGTGGACTTTGGTCCAGCAATCGTCAAGAGCCCGGAGAGTAATCGCCCTCGGGGAAAGCCGGGGCATCCTGTTTATTACCATTGTCAGAGCATGGAGAGTGGCCTCGTCACTACGAGGGTCGTTGTAATTATGGGCAGAGACCTAGAGGGAAACTTTTGGCTGCTTGGTGATCAACCAAGTCATTTCTGGCCAGCGCTGCTAGCACAGCTAGAGAAGTATGCATAGGTTTCATGGAGTCCCAGATATCCTTTCCGAGTAACGCCCTCGCTTGAGAGCATCCTAAGTCTGTTTTCAGTTTATGTCAACCGTAGTAATTTTACCTAATTCACAAATCACATAGTACTTGCTTGTTGCTCAATGCGGGTCTTTGCTGCCATGTTTCGTGATTTAACTGCTGTCTTTCTGATCTATTAAATGTCCATTAAATGTCTAAAAATATGAGAGAATGGGCATGGCAATTGCAGCTGCTACCAAGTAGAAGCTTGCAAAAGCCACTGCGGCACCGTTCTTGGAGGATCCAGTCTTGGTGGGGCTAGCAGCAGTGGTGCTTCCTTGTGCAGGGCTTCCAGTATTGGCTGCTGCGTCGCCAGAAGCTGTGGACTGTGAGCTATCAGAGCCAGAGCTGGATCCAGAGCCAGAGCCGGATCCAGAGCCAGAGCCGGATCCAGAGCCAGAGCCAGAGCCAGAGCTAGAATCCTTCACGCCTGCTGCAGTAATAGTATAAACAGTTCCATCACCGCCGTTTGTATAGGTAAACACAGATCCACTGGCAGGAGCTGTTACGGTTCCTGCAGCGTTGCTCAGGGTAGCCGTTCCACTCTTGGGAAGATTGGTTGGCTTGTAGTAGGTGCTCACTCCGTCGAGAGAGTAGCCGAGGTCGGAAATGCAGTCGTACGTGTCCAAGTAGCTGCCGCAAGAATCAAAGGGGGTGTTGAGCTGTGACTCGAGTTGAGAAACATTTGAGAGTCCAATTAGAGTGGGGTCGGTGTCAGGGCAGATGTTATAGAAGCTGCGTGATGATTCATGGTTAGCATAGAGGCAGATGGACAAGGTGGAGTTTGAGATGCTCACGATGACAGAGCTCCGCTGATCTCGCAGCAATCGCATCCCTGGATCTGCTGAAGATTGTTGCCTGCATCAGGCCCGTTTGCGTTATTTGAACATGTTGCAGTTTCCTGGATGGCGTCCTGAACGGCGAGGAAGACCTTGCCCAGGTTGCAAGAGCACGCATCGTCAGCCTTATCGGGGGCCGGGAAGTATGGCACCGGCAGCTTGGCAATGGGGCATTTGAGGAAGTAGTCGATGATGTAGTCTTGATATTCGCACTCCCAGACTCGGTTCCAGCAGAATGCCGAATAGCAGTTGTAGTTGTCGACATAGTTCTGGCAGCCACAGCCCAAGATTTCCTGCTGGCTATTGTCCTTGTTCGCTTGGGCAATGCATGAGCTCAGGTTGTCATTTGCCTTTTTTTGACAGCTCTCGAAGCCAGAAGAATCAGCACATCCGGTGCTGGTCAGGGTGGGCGCTGTGGCGGCAAGAACCGCAGTGGAAAAGAGAGGAAGCAATGCTAGGCGCAACATGATGTATTAGTTATTACTGGTCTCGACACTCGTGCGAGTAGATGAATCAGGAAGAGAAGGGAAGAAACAGGAAACGAAGCTTAAAATGTAGAATCCAAACACCACGGCCAGCTACCTACAACAGAGACACGCCCTTCCTGTCATTTCGGCTGCCCATGGCACGGCCTTTGGAGTCAGCCTTGGACTGCTTCGACCGTTGCCCAACTGGGCCAGCTGAAAAAAGAGCTCCATCGCCGGTGGATACATACATTGACTGATTCCCAAATCCAAAAGTCCCCCATGCCGCAAGAGAGCTGCGCAGGGGACTTTGCAAGAGCCGCATCGATGCCGAGCGATCCGTATTCCGCACTGAGGGTCCTGATCCTTCTCCAGGTGGTCTGCGGCACAGCCAAACGGGCATGGATGGATTCACCGAGGCCAAAGACCCCAGATTAGCGAGTTGGTGAGGGCCACGAGATTGGCCAGAATGGCGGCGCCGCCATCTTTGGCTTCCCGTGGCGCATCTGCGTTCCTAGGCCATGCCGTTTTGGCGGGTGCTAAAGCGCCGGCTTGCTTTTGCTCGGCTGAGGCGCGCGGAATTCGTTTGCCTTGTTGCTATACTTGATATGGATTCGTACAAAGGATCGCCTATTTTCAGAGTGAGCAGTCAGCCTTGCCTCGTGAGAATCTCAACAATAGGACGAATGCTGCATAGGAGTGCGTACATGATCGTTGGTCAGCGCCAGCAGTTACATAAAGGAAGGAGGAATGAATGTTTTTGTTGGGTCCGTAGATGATTCAACGTTTGTGCCTCTTTCCCGCTCGCCGTGGCTGCACATGTCAACGCTTATCGCTCGCGTATTCTTATCGCTTAGTCATCGACATTGAACCACCTCACTATGGCCATATTTTGGCATCTACACTATGCTATAAACCAATGTCCGTACGCACGTTTTCATTCTGCCTCGCCTGTGACGCTGCATCGCATTCCTTTACAAAAGCGCTGCGGGATTCGGAACGTCGGATCTTTGGGTCGCAATATTCGACACATGACCGCTGTCCAGGCGGTAGAATTTAGGTTGCGGTGTAAGTAGCGCATCGATATTTTGCCTTTTTGGGCAGCATTACCCGGGGTTGGTGAGATGCAGAAAAAACGTGAGATTTGCCAGCAGGGTGGCCGTCTCTATACGAGGTACCGAGGCTCCATGTAATGGGATTTTGAAGCAGCGTGCATTTATTTCGAGCAGCGAAGAATGTTATACAAGTTAATCATGAGCAATTTGAGCAATTGAAACTTGGATTTTAACTTTGAATTAACCTTGGACGATAAGCTTTTTAGACGTTGCTGAGATCTTGCGTGTGGATCTGATAATCAGCAATCTTGTGCGCCGTGCCTTACTCATCAATCGGATTATAATCTCCATTGAAAGTTTATTTTTACATCAGAGGTCCGGTATGACTAATGAAATGAGAATGAAATGAAAATAGTCGTCTGGGGGATGGAGTGAATGAAAATTAATGGCAGAGAATTATGTTTGTATGAGAATAGTCTCATGGTGGCGATGGCCTTCCACTTTGTGAACAAAGAAAAGATGCCTATTACCCAAAAATCACCACGTACATGAAATCGGTTACAGCTTGCACACTGAAATAAACCCCGATAATCATCCCTCCATCTTTTTAAGCTTGTTCAATTTGCGTTCTCGCAACCATCTCAAGGCAGAACATGGAACTTTATTTTCCAATTGCTTTAAAAGCAGCGTTTGCTGTAGGGTACACGGATGAAGCGCTTGGCCCACCGCGCTTTGGCGACCTGAATCTCTCCATCCAAGAAATTACGGGCACCATGTAGTGCGATCAAGTCAGCCATAAGCACTCTATTCTACAACAAATATATCTCAAGTTTGAGTGAGGTACCTGTCGATCGATACATCTCAAGTGACATGTGCCTGCAGCTCATCTGACATGAGCTTGAAAGTTCGTCTGACTCGAGCAGACCTGACCTGACATGAATCCCACTGAACCCCACTCTTTCCTACATGTGGTGCGGGACTGCCATTTTCTAGCGGCTTGGTCACTGTAGTTCAGGGCGTCGGAGCGCTGTATTTTAGGACTGAGACCTGAGCTGACTCATCATCCGCCTTTTTACCCAACGCAAGCGCCGCACCTCATGAACTTTTGAGCTCGTCAGTTGAGCTCGAAGCTTTGGTTGAGCGAGGACATGCACATGTAGCACTGGATAAAAAGCAAGCGAGTCCATTATTCTTACAGCCATCTATTTCTACCTGTAGTGATGAGCGTCTATCATTGCTATTGAGCTGTATGCGACTTGATCTACTCTCATCAGCTGCTAACGATCAAGGCCCAGCTCCACGCATTGCCTTGGAAACCGAGATTATCGCCGGGATGACACTTTAGGAAGCAAATTCGACGTTGTCATCTCCATGATAAGAAAGAGGCCAATATATCAAAATCAAGCTACAAGAGATGCCTGCCGCGACAATGCGCATTGCGCATCATCATCACCCCCAAAGCCTCCATTCAATTTGCCCCGGACAAAGAATAAGCCAGAATTCGGACAATGGAACTTTGAGAGCTCTGCCATCATAGGTGCTCGGCATTTCAAACCACTAATTCTTCCAACATGATATCAAAGTGAATCTCAGCATCTTTTCATGCTGTCTTCTCTCACGCTTATGAAAAGCCTCTGTCTTGTCATGTTCCTCATCAAGTGAATAAGAGGATAGGCATTCAAAATTGATGCACTCACACTCATCATCTCAAGACAGGTGCGGAAATTCAGCGGTCCAAGTCGCAATGTAAGCGCCCCGTGGCAAATAATACAGCGACCGAATGCTCTCCGTAATTAGGTATAAGCGAGCGAAAAAGTAGAACAAAAAGGTAAATCCAACGACTGCCTTTATCAATGTCCACTGTACTTTTGTTGATTCGTTTGGATTCTTTCCAAATCCCGGCAAATGACTGCCGCCGTACAAAACAGGGCACGCAATAGACATGATGGCAGATATCTTCCATAGCAAGCCTTCGACGGGGGTGGGAAACTGAAGATTCCATGCTAGGAGATGAATCCCGCCAAAAGTCACAACAGTGATCATTGCAACAATAGACGACTTTGTGTCAATGATCTTCAGATTCCCCAAAGTCTGATGAAAGGCAACACTAGGCATATAATAGTGCTTGTATTGTACGAATGGAACCTGCATGTACGGAAATGGAGCGGCTTCGACAATTTGCGTGAATGCAGCTTCGGAAACACTAGATGAAGCGGCTTTCACATATACCGGAGTGTTGATATCCTTTGGCTTGTCCCATTCAACAATGTACAAGATGATTGCCGTAGCTGAGAATGCGACAGTGCCGAGCTCCAGTGGCGCGAATGGGTGACGATAGTATACTCGAGCGCAGAGCTGGACGACCATCCAGACGACTTGAATCACAGCCAGGACCTTTACCAAAGCATCCGACTTATTCCTGTCCTCGATCTCTGCTGTCTTGATATCCGGCAAGTGGGTAATGATCCCGTGTTCTACGGCAACAGCAAGCTGCATGGAATCCAGTGTCCATAAACTTCCAGACAGCGCGGCAATAGTTTGGACCTTCCAGTATGGTGGGTTTTCACCAAGTGCCTTTTTCACCTTGATTGCGTGTTTTACATGCGGTTCGTGTAGATTCCACGGAATTTCGCATTTTCCAAACCAATGGCTCTGCCTTTGCTTGAATTTTGTGATGAAATCGTCTCCAGAACATTGTCGAAGGGGCTGAGATTCGATGTCTCTTCGTGGTCTGATTGCTTCTTGAGATGGCCTAAACGCTTCACAGACAACTCGATCATCTTCTCGGCTAGGTCTTGGAACCTCATGATTCGGTCGACTCCCTTGCGACTTTTCCAACCCGGACTTCTCATTCTCAACACCTTGGTCTTCAATGTCCGAGAAGTCAATGACGATTCCTCCCATATCGGCAAGAATAGTCTGCTGTAAACCCCACTCAATGTCGCTCCCCGCAAGCGCTTCCAGTATTGCAACGTTCGCTTTCGTCCCAAACATCTTCTTCGTCGTAAAGGTAGTGAGGAATTCCGGAGCAATGAGCATGACGCCCGCCCAGTAGATTTTCCGGAATAAAAGAAATAGCGTTTTGTAAATCTTTTGTTTCGAAAACAGCTTTTTATAAATGGGATCGGTCGATTGCGGTTCTTCGGGCTTGAGCTCGGGTGGCACATTGGGACGAAGAATGGACCAGGTGCAGAGGAGGATGACACTGAAGCAACTCCAGATGATTTGCATAGTTGTGCGTATGTTTGGTGCGTTGACGAAGCCAACGGGCACGTCATGAGGAAGAGTGCAGTTTGGCTTAAAACGGTGAAATTTCTCCATCTTGAGGAGCTGAGAACGTGTAGTTGTGTGACGACAGTCTCTCAACCTTCTGTCTAGACGGCGCTGTAAAAATACAATAAAGTGCATTTCATCGTGACCAATTGAGGGGTTTAATACTCCCCAGCTCGTACTCTACAGTATTCTCTGCAACCAATGATGGGGGCTTTCGGTGAAGAGTTTCCCGGTCGATATACTGGCCCAATGATGGGGTGCCAAGCATTATCGTGAAGTCGCAAAAACACTATCGCGCATATAAATCTCCACATTTACGATAATTCACCACCAGTAAAATTGATACAATACAGAGAAAGACGTGTTTACGATTTATTTGCCTGACATTTCGCCTTCGGGCTGCAACTCGATCCCAGTCATGGCCCACCCGAGCCTCGTCGGAAGACGCCTAAAACCCATGTCAGCTTAAATAATAAACCCAGGTCTCGTGATTGAGGCACGGATAGAATAGGCACTATCGAACTGTGAATGTGCTCGTGAGCGTACATGATGTTATTAAAAGTGTTCGCAGGAAGAATATAGGGCGTGTGCATGCTGTTCCTTCATCATCAACTTTGACACTGCCAGATTGTGAATCAATCCAGACGACCCAGTGACACTATAAGCTAAGCGATGAAGTTGAGAGCCAGAATCAAGAAGTCATTTGTCGCGACTACATCTATTGACGACTGTTTCAGTAATTGGATATTTAGTATCACAAGTTCCATAGTCCTCATTATGTATTGGCTGTTTGAAGCCACTCACCAACGACGCTGAGATCAAAGGGACATCTTTTACTCACAACATGTATTCTTCATCCGATTCGCTTCTAATCAGGAGTAACTCTCTTGAAGGGCAACTAGCGCTTGAGCCGCCACAAAAGAATTGTACGTAGATGCTTTGATAGGTTGGCATCTGGAAGGATTTATGGTGACACATTAGAGCATAAACGATATACACCTTGCTCGGCGTTTACAATAAACTCCGTGTTAAAGTAAACATTTAAAAACTATAGTTTTACTTATTAAACGATGCGAAATAGTACTCATATAACAGCTCGGGGCTAGGACAATCTATGGCGGAGATAGTAGCACCCCATATTCTAAAAGCCGGAAGGAGTCGCTTGGTTGAGCAGACCAAATACATACTTAAATAGCACTACAACTGACGATAAAGATTGGAAGATTTGCTTGCAATTCTCTATATAGACTTTGACTAAGCTGTCTGACTATGGCTCCAACCCACGCCGCTGCCATTATCCCTCAAAGGGGTGGCGCATTCATAGTCGCCGAGCGCACCACCCCAGAGCCTGGTCCGAATGAGCTCCTTATTGAAGTCAAGGCCGTGGCCCTGAATCCCGTCGACTATCACCAACGGGACACCGGATTCCCCCCGATTCCCAGTTATCCTACTGTTATCGGATCCGATGTGGCTGGCATCGTCGCCAAGGTTGGCCCCGGCGTGTCAACAGGCCTTGTCCCAGGCGCACGAGTTATCGCTTTTGCCTCAAACTTCTACCATGACGGCTTGCCAGACTACGGGGCGTTTCAGAAACTTGTCTTGGCTCAGGCCGAAGGCGTTGTTGCGCTCCCTGACAACCTTTCGTTTGAACAAGGTGCTGTTTTCCCTTTGGCTGTTATGACTGCTTTGACGGCATGGACAACAGTTGGCATCTCGCTCGATACGCGGTATACACCGCAGGATAAACAGGCAGTTTTAATCTGGGGTGGTGCGAGCAGTGTCGGCACTTTTGCTGTCCAATCAGCCAAACTTCTGGGCTTTACCGTTTATGTAACTGCCAGCTCTCACAACCACGAGTACATGAAGAAACTCGGAGCACACGCCGTCTTTGACTACAAAGATGGCGATGTTGTCTCCAAGATTGTTCGTCAGGCTCAGAAAGATGGCGTTAGGCTCAACACCGCACACTGCGTCGTCAAGGATAGTCTGCAGCCAACGCTGGATGTCCTCATGGAGACCAAAGGCGATGCTCCGGCCAGGGTTGCACACTCTCCTACTCTTCCCCAAGATCACCCCACCCTTGACAATACTACAATCTTGTTCAATTTCCCGCCGGTCTTATCTTTCGGGGGAGGCGATACGAGTGTTAGGGACAAGCATATGTACCAGTGCTTCAATGTATGGCTGGCGGAGGGTCTCAAGTCGAATACAGTTGTTCCTAGTCCGCGTATTCAGGTTGAGGCTGGTGGCTTAGAGGGTTTGAACGCTGCGCTGGATAAACTAAAGGCTGGTGTTAGCAACACTAAGATAGTAGTTCCGATATGATTTCTTGTACATAATGCATGAGTTATAGTATCTGTTTTGCGTTTTCTGCCGCAAAACGAAGCCTCTGTGTGAGATTTCGCAAACACGAAACGCCGGTATGTTTGTACTAGAGCGTAAAAAGTAAGATAAAGCTATATCAATATAAAATATCACTAATGTAAATAGATTAGCCGCGAGAGGAAATCTGATAACGATAGGAAGCGAGCATATCTACTTCTTTCAACATTAGGATGCCCCCGACGAAGACCCCGAATTCGTGCCCACAAAGACAACAAGGACAGCCGAGTATGTCGCCGTAGCCACAAGAGTCTCAGAGTTTGACGTCTTCATCCCGAATGAGATGCCAACCGCAAAAGCTATCATGAACAGGGACGACGTGATCAAACTCTTGGTCATCGACGGGTTCAGTATCATGATGCACATGGGAGCCACCAACGCTGCGACTGCGAGGAGGGACACTCCCAGACGCACAGTCTTGTCTACTGCCTTGGAAATCTGAAGCGGTGGTTTGCCCTGCTGGTACTCTTGTAGCCGGTTATGTCGCTCCTCCTTGGTATACGTCCATCTACGGGGCAGATGCCTCCTCAAAAAGTCGCGGAAGAATTCGACTTTGGAATCCGAATTTCCGTCTTGGAGGTAGTAATAATGGGATTCAAAGGGTCGCGTCTTCCGATGTCTCAAGACCATGGACGGGAACTTTGATTTCAGGCGCAGCTTCCTCGTTTCGGTCTCTTGTGGAGATAATCGTTGCCCCTGTCGAACGTAGTTGTAGTTTCGTACTGCATTGGCTGCAAATGATTTCCCTGTTAGATGGATCACGAGAATGGGAGGGGCCAAGTCAAAGTTTAGACAAGACGCTTGGGAGCTTACTATAGTCTGATAGAAGGCATTTCAGCCGATCTGGATCTTGATCGCGATTACAAGTCCCTGCTGCGATTGACTCTCTCAGCGCAATCAGTTGGTTCTGCAGAGAGACAATGTTCAGGCGATGCAGGTACTCGAACCCAAAGTAGTGGAAAACTTCTTCATCTTTGATTGACTGATCGACGTAGTCTGTGAGTTCCTGGCCATGGAAATTCTCGGGACTTTGCCCAAGGTGGAAATCATTCATGCTGGAGTGTCGACAGCGCTCTACTGAGTGCTCAATGCTAGAGCAGAGACTTTTTGCAAGCAAGAGCCTATAGAGGCCTAAAGTCACAGGTATCATAAATCTCAAGAGCGTGCATCTGGACCATTATTTGATGCAGCGTGCATTCGCCATTGGGACAGAAAGCGGGGTATGTTCCATACATGGATGCATCAGTGCCCAAATTATCACGCGTAAATAAGCAAGGCTGTAGGGTGCCTACAGTTTTAAAACTGTGAGATATTTAAATTCAGAGAGGGAATCCTCACCAAAGTAGGCCCATGTCTCATCTCTCTTAGACTTGGATTTTTATCTCTTGGGCACAAGTAGTTTGAGCAAAGTACTTTGAGAACGAAAACGGTACGCAAAGATGATGAATCAAACACCTCCCGAGCATGGCCTCCCGGCAACGCCAGATGCGACCGGCGGAGACAGCCCAGCAAAACGCCGGCGGCTTAACCCAGGCCCCTCAAGCCCAACACGAGAGGCTCGCGTTGTGTTGAACGATGATCCAGCAAGGGAAGATCAACGTCTCCTGGCCAACGCCCAGTTGCAGGCTTTAGACGTTGATGCCGAGGTTGATGGAGACAACCACCCGGAGATTGACCTTGGCCTGTGGTATAAACTCGCTTGCCGCCCCTATCTGCTGAACTTCGCATCCAAAGTGCCTTCGTACGAAGTGAAGAGAATCACACAGGATGCAGAAGCGCACCAAAACTGGATCAAGGACGACTTGCTACGGACGGGGCGCGCACTCTTGACTCTCGAATTTGACGCAAGGAGACTGGTCCAAGAGCAGGAACAATGGCGCATGGCCAAAGGTGGGCTTCGGAATAAGTTGCGCAACATTTTTTCCAAGAAGAGCGCACGCCAACATGACGCGCCTCGGGGGCAGCAATCGCGTGATGATACGGGGTCGGTTCTATCGGATGGATCTGGCGGCTCATGGGGAACGGCCAATTCCAAATCGTCCCAAACCTCCGAGTCTGCCATGAATGATGTTGAACAGAGCTATACTCTGCTTCTAAGAGTCATTGGACAAGTTTGTGAAAAGCTGGCTCCCAGTTCCATTTTATTTGGCGTAGTGAATTTAGAGACCAAAGATCTCGAAACCGCTGTGAGGAGGCTAGAGGATTCTTTGCGAAGCCATCAAGACAACGTTCGAGACATAGGTTTCAGTAAGTCTTACTAGTCTCCTTGCTCTCTTAACCATGGTTTATCACTCTCAGCACAGCGCGGTACGATTGAATCATGGCATTTACTGACACCGATTCCTCGTCTAGGCGACGTTGGCCTTGCTTTAACCAAATGCCATCCACGCTTTGAGGAAGGAGTACTTAGGAAGCTAGAAGAGAATAAACTGAGATATCGGAGGAATAGATATAACAAGAGAGTGAAAATCGGAGATGAGAGAGTTCGGCGAATTGAAGAACATACTGCTATGCTGAAGATAGTAGCGGACATTGGAAGACAGATTGACGAAATCATGGCGCAAGGTAAGGCAGTGTTTGATGAATTTTGCGACAAGTCACTGCTGTTCATGGATGATATTGTCCACTCGGCGGCGCAAGCAACAAGCTGCAGAGTAGATGACGTTCTTTATAACGACGTACTCGTGAGGAGAAGGTTTCCAATGGAATAGAACATGGAAAGGAGTTATACTAGTAGTTGACTTGGTACTCCATAGAAATCTTATATAGATTAGCTTGGAGAGGTCTGGCGATGATGGCGACATACAGAAATGCATGGCAATGAAATGGTGAGATTTTTAACAGTTTTTATATACTTGGTTTAATATTATATCAACATATTTATAGAAAACTCACTTCTCTTATTATAGCTGCCAAACCCTGTCATAAATGCACCTTCACTATAAATAAGAGCAGTCGACTTGTACTCCACGGTTATACAAGGTTATACTGGCATTTTGATGCGATATATATGCCGGGAATATGCCATGTGTACCCAAAATTCCCCGTTCTTGCATCTGAGGCTGTCTTACTCTTGCTAAGAAGTAGATATTGGGCTCGGTTTGTCGCTCGGGCCGTCGTCGCGCCCTATGGATCTGATGTGACTCCCTCTTTGGCAGATTGTGTTCTTGATTCCCTTGTCTCTGTGATACGCCAGGATGCATGTCCTCCTTTCTTACTAAGCCAAGATGAATAGAGTTAGAATAGGGGCCGTGTATGATCCGTGGCGATCCCTGTTCACATTCGGAATCCCGCAGACTTGTGTCCCACGGACTATTGTTTACGACTGACTGGGCTGCAGACGATCAGACATCAAGATTGGCAAATGTTTTGCGCAAACCAATGATACAAAGCATCTTCATTGTGTTTATGAGCATCTACGATATGGATTGAGCATTGAGAACTCGTATAGTTACTCAGTCCACCGATGATGGTGGGACAGAGCTGGCATCACCTACCCGAGAGATGCCGAAAATTAGAACATCTTGTGAACAATGCTTATAGATGTGAGCACCAAATAATGTTATTTGAAACTGACATTTTCTTCCTGAATAGTGCGTCTCCTCTACATATAGAAATGTGCTCTGCACATATGCTTGACATTGCCATTCTCTCCTCAGATCGTCTTTATATCCTGAGGTACATGCAGTTCGTAGCTCAGAATCATGGCACAATTCCCGTATCAAATCGCATTCGAGCTTGGTATCTTCTGTATTCTATAGTATTCTACTTGTTCTTTCATTATTTTGTTTCGGGATCCTCCCATGATGTCTCTCGGCCCCTTTGCGCATTTCTTTAATGATTGGTAATAGGAATTATTGGTGATTTGCTGATCTTTTTTTTTTTTTTTTTTTTTTTTTTTTTTTTTGGAAAGTCTAGCTTAGGTAACTCTATTTTCTCCTATACAGCGCACGAAATATTGCATGCACTCGAAGGAAGGATATATTGATCGTTGCGTGACTTTTCGTATGCGAGTGGTTTATATACCCCCAATAGCTGTTTGCAAACCTTGAGCGATCAGCCACCCTTGGTTTGAGCAAGATAGAATAGTGTCCTCATGGCATGACGAAACGATAAACACTGTTCCTTGGCATTTTATGTTTGTGATACCCAGAAAATAAACGCTGTGTAAGTAATAGATAGCTTGCAGATGCTGTGACACGTAGTTGGAGTCATATAGAATCTTATGAGTAAGGCTACGTGTAGCATGCCGCCAGCACTGAAGCTTGAGGCATAAAAAGCCATCTTTCATCCACTTCAATTGCTTCTTTCTGTACTTTTTGCCAATTTGCATCATCGTATGGCCATAGAAAAGAAGATGAAGTTCAATCTCGCTTATCTAGTGATTCTCGCCAGTGCGGCTCTTGTCCAAGGCAAATGTCTAGGAAAGGTCAAGGATTATGAACCAAGCAAACGTATAATTGAAGTAAAATGTTAAATGGTGTGGGAACTTAGGGCGCAAAATGCGGATTGATCGATTCTAAATGTTGCAAGCCATATACATGCCGCAACTTTCAATGCGAAGTAAATCATCTTCTTTACGTCCTCTGGCCCCATGCATGGATACTAAAACCATTATAGTAGTTCCAGCCTGGCTATTTTGGCATCTAAATGGCGTGATCTTGGTTCTCTCCTTGTGAAGGGAAAGCCTTCGCCGTTGTATAGAGTTCTCTACTGGAGCTTAAGCTCGGCCAGCCGCTAGCGAGCGAGGTATAGACGTGAAAAGGTTCCTCAAATAGCAATATAATGATATTAATAACCAGCTCTATGCAGTCGATATGAACGTGATTATGGTCATGGAGAAATCGTCCTTGTTTCTTGTAAATATCTAGCTCATCGCAAATAAACAATGCCAACCAATGTATTGTTAACCATCATAATGCAGCACTTGACATGCAAGAAAGCTTGGTTATAGCGGCTGCCAGATGCACATGCCCATGTGAAATGTGCTATAGAACAAAGACCATATTAGCATGCATGAATACACTCCAACAGCTCAAACTCACCTAACCACCGCGGACAAGGTTGACTGAATACGCCGCATCTCACTCAAAGCCATATCCCTCTCCCAGTATAAACTTTCATGCAGAGTCTCATTCGAAGCCGCTCTACTCAGTGTCGTCGACGCAATTGTGAATCCGAGACACAGAATAACATCACACCGGAATCTGGTATTCGTGTACGAGGAAAGTGTCGAATCGAATAACGAGGGGAATATGACGTCTAAACTTCCGTAGACCAAGGCAGTCAGACACTAGAGAAACGGTTAATAGGCTTGTTCGTAAGCATCATTGGTTTTTGGTGTAAAGAGTACCATTAAGATGATGAAGCAATCGAAGATGCTGAGCACATCGCATAGCCGTTTAATAGAAAAGCATGCGATAAAAATGTAAAGACTTGTTGAGACTAAGCGTGTGGCCAAGAGGATCGATCTTGTGATATCCGAGACATCACGTTTCACTTCGTCCATGGCCTACAGCTGCAAGTTTCTTTGGCAAAACTGAACTACAGGCGAGACCGCACTAAGACAAGAGTGCAAGCTCTTTTCAACATAATCATAAACATCACCATCGCGGCTACTCCCTGATAGGCATACAATAAACCCTATGGCGGTATACAAGACTGCAAGTCTCTTCCGAAAGTCTGGCGGTAAATCGGGCGCCTCAAGCTATCCGCGTCCGAAAAAGGGAGACGGGATCGGATAGGCTCTCGACTGCGATACAACGACGGCAACAGTCACATCATGAACGGATGAATTAACATGTCACGGAAAAGGAGAGCGTATAGGACAGCGGCGGCGGGCCACGAAGATCCACAGACGTCTCCAATTGCGGTAACTTTCGCAACGAGAATCGCGGCCAGCTAAGCCCAAAAAGTCCAGAATCATTCCACATCCCACTAAATAAAAATGCTAGTGCTTGGTTATCCGCGTATTTTGCTGGCTAGGGGCCATCAGCCTCGTGTGATTCGCGAGCCGGGGGGCGCTTTATGCTTCAAAAGTCCGTCTGCCCCATAAGAAAATCATGGATCTTCGCGTCTCCGCATGGCCAAAAGAAGCAATTGGGGGTGATGGAAGCACCAATAAGAGGCGATGAAATCTCAACTCTCCACTTTTAGAATAACGAAGTAGAGGCCATCCCCCAGGTTTTTTTTGATAGTTTGGCCTGAGCTTTATTTTACGAGGAGAATGGGGGAGAGTGTGAGGAACAGAGCTGTTGATGATGGTATTTTGCCCCATTCAACGCAACATAGACTGAGGATTGTATACTAGCAATATTCTGTCCGAAGAGAAGGTTGATTTGGTATTAATATTAAAGGGTATATGTGTCCAAGTATCAGCTCTGCTGAACCGGACGTGATCTAGGGTTATGGTTTGGCCGTGACTGTGGCAGAGGCTGCTCTTGAAGCTGATTTGATTTCTGAAAGCCTCTCTGCTACTCCGTCTGTGGATGTCTCTGTTGATGGAAGGCATTCATCGCACTGATTGCGGTCGTCAATAGTGCGCCGCAGCTGCTCTTCACACCATGCCAGCCGTGCAAACAGGTCCTTTGTTGACTGCCTGCGTTTGCGAGTAGGCGCTGGCGTGCTTGGCTGGCAGACAACCTTGAGCTGAATACGTGTAAGGAAATAAGAGTATGTTAGCGCGCTGCTTTTGTCTTATCTTTCAGGTGGAGAGTTGGCGGAGGCCGCACCTTGATGCACATAGAACATGGACTCTTTCGATTGCATTTCTTCTTCCGTTTTTGGCAGAGCCGGCACGCGAGCTTTCTCCCTTCCTTGACAACCTTACTGGGAGCACTGGTTGGGCCGACGGAGCCCATGGTTGGTTTCTAATGGATAGAATGAGAGGCAAGTGTTGTGTGTGAATGTAGGCTGGAGTCAATACCATCAGCTTGACATTAGCTAATTGAGATGTGTCTCAAGAAAAAGAACAAAGAGGGCATGAGAGAAAAAGGAATAATAGCAATTGTCATAGGAGCTACATCGTGTCTCCTCAGGAAAAGGACCTGCCCCAGAAGCAGTGGAAATCTCACATTTTGAAGCTTTTGTCAAACGTCGAGTGAGAGTCAAAAGTAGTGCTCGAATAATCTGTATCCGCATAGACCCACGCACCGATTAAGGTAGCGTCTAGCTTTGGCAAACTTTGTTCAAGAGTTGGCAGGGGTCTCGCGGCAAATCGAGTCATGGGTGAGGCTGATCAACAAGCAGGAGACTCGTGCCAAGCTGAAGTGGCAGGGCAGTACCCAAGGATTCGGGAAGCAGGGCGGAATCGTGGTCTATGAACTGTCCGTCTGTGTACAAGAGCTGACGGTTCTTCGGGGTTTGCGAAGAGCCCGTAGATGTGGAGAAACAAGGCCCGACCACGATTGGCTAAGCGGGATCGAATATGCAAGGCTCCTTGGACCAAACTCCGCAAGATAGTAATACGAAATACAGCCTGGCCGTATGGGGACGGCACATGTACTTTGTAGCAGTATTATGAATGGTTGTTATGGGCAGGTCGAGTATTTCACCGACGATACGGCGTCCATCAGGGGCGTCCATAAGGGCATAGCCCCCTGGATTGCGGGATCGTGGATTTGTTGTCATCGATTCGGGGCCATTATCAAAGGGCTTTCCGAGACCCGGTGCGTTGGCAGGCTTCCGCTGTCCGACGTTTGGTTCATATAAATCCTGTGGATGAAACGTCAGATTATCAGATTCCTTTTCTTTTGCATCTGCCAGGGCCTCCAAGACTGATACCACTCACCATCGACAGTTGGTTGTAGCTGAGGTTAGCAGATATATGTTCCTATCGAGTCACTTTGGAGGAATATCAGCTGATTGTGAATGCAGTGCAGTGATCGAGATCAGGATAGTCAAGAAACGCACAGTCTTTGAATATCAAGCAGCAGAGGAAAAAGGATAATCCTTTCGGTGCCCCGACAATGCCTTCTGGGCAGCCGCCAAGCTCGCCGGGCGGTGAGTCCAACGCAGAGTCCCGTGCCCAGTCAACTCACGGCAGTGCACAGACTTTTGTCGAAGGCCAACAGCACTTTTCCAACTCCAACTCGGACTCGAAGAAGGACAAAGAGGCTGGCCACAGCAGCAAAGAGTACGATGGTGGCAACGACGACGAGTCGGACGAGAACAACAGTCTCCAAGAGATGCAGCGGCGCCACAGCATTGTGCAGCAGCTGGCTCGCCAATATACGCACGCCTCGGGAGTCGATATCCAGGGACAGCCAAACTCGCTGTTTGGGAACAATGACCCCGACTCGCCCCTGAATCCCATGAGCAGCAAGTTCAGCGCTCGCACCTGGGCAAAGACAGTCTCCAAGTATGCCACCGAGCACGGGTCTGGCTTCCGCCGCACCGGCGTGGCGTTTCGAAACCTGAACGTCTACGGCTTTGGGTCCGAGACGGATTTCCAAAAGGACGTGGGAAATGTCTGGCTGTCGATCCCCGACATTGCTCGCCAGACTCTCAGCAAATCTGGGCGGCGACGCATCGATATCCTGCGCAACCTCGACGGCTACGTCAAGTCTGGCGAGATGCTCGTCGTGCTTGGGCCTCCAGGCTCGGGATGCTCGACCTTTCTCAAGTCGATTGCGGGAGAGACCAACGGCATCTACATTGACAGCGAGACCGAGTTCAACTACCAGGGCATCAGCGCCGAGGAGATGCACCACCACCATCGAGGCGAGGCCATCTACACGGCCGAGGTCGACGTCCACTTCCCGATGCTGTCGGTGGGCGACACGCTCAACTTTGCTGCCATGGCACGCGCTCCTCGGACGCTGCCCCCTGGAATCAACGCCAACCAGCTTGCCACGCACAGTCGCGACGTTGTCATGGCCATGTACGGCATCAGCCACACCATCAACACCCGCGTGGGCAATGAATATGTCCGCGGCGTGTCTGGCGGAGAGCGGAAGCGTGTCACCATTGCCGAGGCTACACTCTCCAATGCTCCTCTCCAGTGCTGGGATAACTCCACTCGAGGTCTTGACTCGGCCAACGCCATTGAGTTTTGCAAGACGCTGCGTCTCCAGTCCGACATGTTTGGCCAGACAAGCGCTGTTTCCATCTATCAGGCACCTCAGAGCGCGTATGATGTCTTTGACAAGGTGCTTGTTCTCTACGAGGGCCGGCAAATCTACTTTGGCCCCACGGACAAGGCCCGAGACTATTTCATCAATCTCGGCTTCGAATGTCCTGCACGTCAAACAGCGCCTGATTTCTTGACGTCCATGACTGCACCAAGTGAAAGAATCGTCCGCTCTGGCTGGGAGAGCCGCGCGCCTCGCACCCCTGATGAATTTGCCACTTGCTGGAAGAACAGCAATGACTATAAAGCTCTTCAGGCTGAGATGGATGGATTCAACAAGCAGCATCCCATTGGAGGAGCCGACGCCGAGGCCTTCCGTCAGCACAAAAAGTCGACCCAGGCCAAGCACCAGCGTGAAAAGTCTCCGTATACGCTCTCGTACGGACAGCAGGTCAAGCTCTGTCTGTGGCGAGGATGGCGGCGACTGATGGGCGACCCGAGTCTGACTATTTTCCAGCTCCTTGCCAACTCCATCATGGCCCTCATTATTTCGTCCCTCTTTTACAATCTCCAGCAAACAACGGGAAGCTTCTACTCGAGAGCCGCGGTCATCTACGTGGCCATCCTGATGAACGCCTTCTCCAGTGCTCTCGAGATCCTGACTCAGTATGCCCAGCGGCCCATTGTCGAAAAGCATCAGCGCTATGGATTCTACGTCCCGTCGGCCGAGGCTTTTTCATCTGTGCTCTGTGATATGCCGTACAAGGTTGCCAATTCGATTTGTTACAACTTGATTATTTACTTTATGACGCATCTCAATCGTACGCCGGGAGCCTTCTTCTTTTTCCTGCTGGTGACATTCCTCATGGTGCTCGCCATGTCTGGAATCTTCCGATCAATGTAAGTTTCCAACCTTGAAAAAGATGCTGGACGATTGCTGACTGCGACGTTTGATGACAGTGCTTCTCTGTCGCGAACCCTATCGCAAGCCATGGTGCCGGCTTCGATTCTGATTCTCGCCATGGTCATCTTCACTGGATTCGTCATCCCTGTGGATTACATGCTTGGATGGTGTCGCTGGATCAACTATCTCGACCCTGTCGCGTATGGATTCGAAGCACTCATGATCAACGAGTTCAGCGGCCGCCAATACGAATGCGACGCGTTTGTCCCAAGCGCTCTCATTCCAGGATACCAAAATGCAACAGGAGTACACAGAGCTTGTACAGCCGTCGGATCCATCGCAGGCCAGAACTTTGTCAGCGGCGATGCCTACATTAACTCGCAGTACAAGTATTTCCACGCTCACAAGTGGCGCAACGTCGGAATCCTGATTGCCTTTGTTCTCTTCAACCACTTTGTGTACTTTGTTGCCACCGATGTCATTCAAGCAAAGAAGTCAAAGGGCGAGGTTCTCGTCTTCAAACGCGGATACATTACGGCTTCAGGCTCCAAGAAGGGCGATGCAGAAGCCTCTTTGTCAGGACCTGTTCCTGTTGTGGAAAAGGGCACAGACATGTCGGCCGAAGGGACTGCCAATATCCAGGGCTCTACAAGCGTGTTCCACTGGGGCAAAGTATGCTATGACATCAAGATCAAGGGCGAGCCGCGACGAATTCTGGATCATGTCGACGGCTGGGTCAAGCCGGGAACGCTGACAGCTCTGATGGGCGTGTCTGGTGCCGGTAAAACGACGCTTCTCGACTGTTTGGCTGACCGTGTCTCCATGGGAGTCATCACAGGCGAGATGCTCGTCGATGGCAAGATTCGCGACACGTCGTTCCAGCGTAAAACGGGCTACGTCCAACAGCAGGATCTCCATCTGGAGACTACCACCGTTCGTGAAGCCTTGGAGTTCAGCGCCCTGTTGCGACAGCCGGAAAGTACACCGAGAGCCGAGAAGCTTGCATATGTGGACGAGGTCATCAAGTTGCTGGACATGCAAGAATATGCCGATGCAGTCGTCGGCGTGCTTGGCGAGGGTCTCAACGTTGAACAGCGCAAGCGACTCACCATTGGCGTCGAGCTCGCGGCTAAACCACCACTTTTGCTGTTCGTTGATGAGCCGACTTCCGGTCTTGACTCTCAGACTTCTTGGGCTATTCTAGACTTGTTGGAGAAACTCTCCAAGGCTGGTCAATCCATCCTCTGCACTATCCATCAGCCATCTGCAATGTTGTTCCAGCGCTTCGACCGTCTTCTCTTCCTCGCAAAAGGCGGCAGAACTGTGTATTTCGGCGACATTGGCGAAAACTCCTCGACTATGACTTCTTACTTTGAGAACCACGGCGCTCCCAAGTGCTCACCCGGTGAGAACCCTGCTGAGTGGATGCTTCAAGCTATCGGCGCTGCTCCTGGATCTACGACAGAAGTCGACTGGCACCAGGCGTGGCTCGAAAGCGCCGAATATCAGGCTGTCCAGACGGAGCTTCAGCGCTTAAAGGACGAAGGCCACAAAACCGCGACTGATATTGACGATAAAGCTTTATATGCCGAGTTTGCGGCGCCATTCTGGAGCCAGTTCGTGGTCGTTACTCAGCGCGTGTTCCAGCAGATTTGGAGGACGCCGTCCTACATCTACTCCAAATTCACCCTCTGCGTTTCGATTTCTCTCTTTATTGGACTGGTCTTCCTTAATGCTCCGCTGACTATTCAAGGCTTGCAGAATCAAATGTTTGCCGTTTTCAACATTTTGACTGTTTTCGGTCAGCTCGTGCAACAGCAGATGCCGCATTTCGTTACCCAGCGATCGCTGTATGAAGTGCGCGAGAGGCCCTCCAAGACATACAGCTGGAAGGTCTTTATGCTGTCGCAGATTGCGGTTGAGATTCCATGGAACTCGCTCATGTCTCTCTTCATGTTTCTCTGCGTCTACTATCCTGTCGGATTCAACAAGAATGCTGAGCCGGCCGGACAAGTCGTTGAGCGAGGCGGCCTCATGTGGCTTCTCTTCTGGCAGTTCCTCGTCTTCACATGTACTTTTGCTCATGCCTGCATTGCCATCACCGACACCGCCGAAGCAGGTGGCAACTTGGCCAACGTCTTGTTCATGATGTGCCTCCTTTTCTGCGGTGTCATTGCCTCTCCGTCGAGCATGCCGGGATTCTGGGTCTTTATGTATCGCGTGTCCCCTTTTACATACTGGGTATCGGCTGTATTGTCCACCGGTCTGGCCAACACTCACGTCACTTGTTCGAGCAACGAGCTTGTGCACCTCGAGCCCCCCAGCGGCCAGACCTGCGGAGACTATCTTTCCAACTTTATTGGTGCGGCGGGAGGATATCTCAAGGATAGCAATGCCACCAGCGACTGCAGCTACTGCCCCATTGCTGACACAAATGTGTTCTTGACCAGCGTCAGCTCAAGCTACTCTCACCGGTGGCGCGACTTTGGCATTGGCATGTCGTTTATCATCTTCAACATTGCGGCGTCGCTGTTTTTGTACTGGCTGGTGCGCATGCCGAAGAAGTGGGGAAAGAAGAAGGAGTAGCTGACGAGCTGATGCTGACGCTGATGTTGATGTTGATGCTGCTGATGTTGATGTTGATGTGATTCTACGATTGATGTCAGTACGTTGGAACGAACTGGATATTGATCGACTTTGTGGCATTCTTGGAAAGGAGACGTTTTCGGAATACACTCGCATATCCTTTTGGATAACATATTATTTCACTTCTTTATAGATTGATTTTTTATAGAATGGCCATGACTGGTAGACAACTATCGGAAACGGCCTATTATAATTGCATGGTATTGAGACCTTAGACTAGAGCTTACGAGTAATTTGACATGTCATTGTTTAAAAGAAATTGATCTGTGACCATCTTGCTAGTGCCTTTATTAACTAATGAGTGTTTTATGTATCCAAGACTTTATCCATCTACTTCATGAAATGACTCATTTAATTACGTCTGTGCCCGCGATGGGAAAAGAGTGTCGCGAAGTGTATCCTTTTGTGCCAATTCCATCTTAAAGCCCAATCCAAACTGACAATGTGTGTCATGCCAATAGCCCACCAATTTCCGCACGCTTGATCAAAAGTGCAGCGACTCAACGTGGTTAAACATATAAGAGTAACTGCTGTTCCTGTAATCATCGTCCTTGAGGCTAATGCTCTTGGCTTCAAAGTTCAAAAGTTGGTGTCCCTCCGACCACTGCGGCCAAAACAAGTCAGTTCGAGTGCCATTGTTGGGATCCAAATTATGCAAGAAATTGATATAGTACGTGCGCCCGCTGAGAGTCGGATAGTTCGCATTGTCCTTTTTAAACAACACGTTAATGTCGGATCCGTGCGCAGTGCCCAAGACGCCGTATTTGGGGTCGTAGTTGTACGAAGAAAAGTAAGCCCATGTTGACAGCTCTGGGCTGACGTTGTCAACAATCTGAAGCGTGACGCGTCGGATCAGGTCAAAGACAAGGTCACCGAGGATGGAAGCAATTCTCTTCCTGCCCTTGAAGAAGTCAAAGGAGCCGAATGTGCGGTACGGGCTTCCATCTGCGATTTCCGGGCTGTAGGTGTTCACGAAATCGGTGACTTGCTGTTTGGTGGCGGTATGGAAGTAGAACCGGGACAGATAGTTGACGATTTTATCAGTCGTGCTCATATCCTGCTGAAAGATGGCGAAAAGCGTGCCCTCGTCTTCTTGGTTGCCGAGGATCATTGGGACATGGTGAAATTTGCCTGCTTTTGCAAGCGCGTCCGGGCTATCTGTCAAGACTGTGCCATCTGGTCTGGGGAGGTACGAGAGAGCAAGAGACTGGTATGATATGATGCCTGGGACAGAATTGGCAGCAACAGTGAAGTTGCCATTGTCCAAGCCGCGAAGGCAGGCCAACGAGTCGTCAACGTCACAGCCGGCTGCTTTCTTAACGGCATCGTACACGTCTTGGCCTTTCTGCGTGTCCAGGGGATCAACAGGGGTAATAGATCCGGAATCCATGATGGCGGCACGGAAGAGATCGTTGCCTTTGTACGTGGCATCGCCGTCGTACAAGACTAGCTGCTCAAACGTTGAAATGGCACCAGACGACTCTCCCCAGACAGTGACTTTGCCGGGATCGCCGCCAAAGGCCTCAATATTGTCTGCAACCCATTCAAGGCCCATGCGCTGATCAAGCAATCCTGCATTTCCGCTGCCTTCTTCCAGAATTTCCTTGCCGGGCATAAATCCCCAGGCGCCGACGCGATAGTTGACGGCCACAAAGATGAATGGCTGGCTATGCAGCACGCCCGTCTCAATCAATTTGGTGCCATCAAATCCGGACGTGCTGCCAGCAACGAAGCCGCCGCCGAATATCCAGAAAAGCACGGGCAGGCCAGCACCAGCCTCGACGCCGTGAGGGCGTTGGACGCTGATGGTTAGGCAGTCTTCGCTGGAGGTGGAAGCTTCGCCAGCAGATGATTCGAGTATAGCAGCTGCAACGGCACCCTCTGCGGCGTTCGGTGGGTGCAAGCCACCTGTGAGAGCACCTGCAACATCAGAGGGGGGGAACAGATCTTTGAAAGAGAAGGTGGGCCCAGCAGGGCATGCTGCAGCAACTCCAGTAGCATCAAAGGTCCCAAGATCTCTCGACAGCCTCACAGGGGGCCTGAAGCGCAAGTCACCAATCGGCGGGTCGGCGAATGGGATGCCGTTGAATGTATCGACGGTATCACTCGCCTTGCCGAGGATGGTGCCGGACGAGATGGTGACAGTTACAGGAGTGGTGGCGTCCTTTGCGGCTGCGGAGGGAGAAGGTGCAGCAGCAACAAGCGGCCACAGGCCGGCTGTAACGGCCGATACAACGGCTAACTTCATCATAGACTATATCGGGGAGAAACTCAAAAGGAATGCTCGAGATTTTGACTTGGACTTGGACTCTGTGATTGTTGTAGGTACGTGGAAGGAGGGAGACCCTCTTATAGAAGAGTTCAGGCGTCATATTATCTGTCTTTTAGTCAGTAATCGCATCCTAAATCATCTCTCCACTAAAAGGGGTAGTAATCAATATTAGTCGCCTCTGGATACTGACATAAGAATTCTCATCTCGACTTGCCTGTGAGTATACCAAGATAGGCTGATTCAGTAATACTGCTACGCTTTCTCACACGATTCCCTCGTGATATGGAGCTTGACTAAGAAGACGAGCTGTCATGGTGGCCAGGGTGTAGTAATATCTGATGTGTTATCGTCTTGTATGAGACATGTCACTTGTCATCCGGGATTCTGTACAGTAATTTGCTTGTGCGAGACATTTATCTCGGTAACACAAGATGCGTAGTTGTGGATCAAGGGCAATAACACCATGAACGGGGGGCGAGAGCCGTGTCTCGGCGCTAGACGGGGACCTGAGACATTCTCAGACCAAAGTAAGCCAGCTTGTAGGTGCTATCCGAATCAGAAGCTTTAATAAGATGCCCCATTATATGTGTTCGCTACCTTGCTTACAGTCGGTCGAGACTTTCGGTGTGGTGTTGACGTTGGTTATTCGTCATATGAGCCGCCTTCTCCGCATTCGTTCTAGATAATTCTGTTCAAACTGTCATATGACGTTAGATATTGTATGAAAAAAGTATTGGAATCATCTAATTAAAAGGAGAGGGTGGAGAATGAGACCTTTGCTTCTCCTGCCGGCGTGCTCATGCATAGTTGCCCCTTGCATATTGGTGCGGCGCTTATCCAAGGTTTCCGCGACAGGCATATCTGCCCATTTCCGCATTATAAAACTTGCCGCCAATGTTCTTTTGGGTTCGTAATTTGTCTGACTAGAAGCATCGGGTCGTAGGCCGGTCTATTTGTGCTGGTGGCTGCTGAATGGAGCTGTAGGGCGTCATTGCTAGTACCATGGCAAGATGATAGTATATCATCGGCCTGTATCGCATGCGGCCTGTCTGATGAGAAGGCCACATGCAATAGATAGTGCGACCGTATACGAGCCTAGTTAGGGAACTTTAGCTGCAGCAAAATAGATAGACGCAAATCCTCACCCTGGCTAACCAAAGTCAGCCCTGTTCGATGCGGTAAAGGCCTTGTTGTCTCTTTATGGTGCGCACTATGGAAGGGAATGGTTAATAAAAAGACCATATATAGCGTGGCAGATAGTCTGTATTGCGTACCTCCAATGTTGATACACTTTGGATCGAATAGATCTACCTAGTTTCGCGGGAAACACAGTGGGTGGGTATTCCCAGTCCGGAATCTTTAGCTTCCCAAATCTAATAAAGTCGCTCATATCTCGTACTTGGACAGAGATTGGCCCCATCTGCCGGCTCTACATGACGACGAAGACCCTTCATACGTGAGGTTGGTGAAGCATCATCAGGATCCAAGCGCTAAAGCTATACGAGCAGCCGCAGGGTCCACTTCCAACCGCAAGCCTGTTTTCGATACAGATGGATCCCGAATGCCTCTTAGCTATGGAAATTAACTTTGGGCGAGTGGTCGTCTAGATTGAGGCGTGCCTGTGGCGTCTCAGCTGGCGATATGCGGTGTCGTTGATAAGAAACCCGAGAGTCTGTGAGGCTGTTGGAGCGCTTGGCTGAAAGACATGGGCAGCCGAGATGCTGTCTGACGGCAGCCACGCGTACTAATTTCGCAGGTTGGGCTTGAAATGCTGGTTTGTTGGGTTCTATACATCCATTAGATATCCTGCAGAAACGAAATGAAATCATTCATATGAGGTCTCAGCCATACCTCTCTGGTGGGCAAGCATATTTAATGCAGCTCCTGCACTTTGATACCCGTTCAAATGCAAAGATTCCAGAAGAATGTCGCGTTGAAACGTCGGACGATGTGAGCAAATCCAGGATGGCAGGAGCAGATACATGGAGTCAGAAACCTCGAGGCTTGAACGCATTCGCCTGAAGACTCTGCCGCACAAGATGCCGCGTCTGATGCAATGCCTGAGGCCAAAGAACAGGACAAGGTGCATGATTTCTCGGCTGTGGGATATGGCGACACATATTGACAAAGTATAGTCGTATTTTCATCATGTGCAGTCCAGACGCGATTCAATTCAGCGTGAGTTTGGTATAGAGCCTTCGCTGTTGCTGTTTGGTGGCAGCACAGCCAGTGCTTCATCACACTTCTCGATGCTCCAACACTCCCACGTTACAATTATTGTTGCTTCCTCCATTGTCCCTGTTCGGTTATTCGCCGACTTTGACGCTGGGATATTCGATGCCTGTATTGGCTGTATAGAAACGTCGACAAGAAACCAGCCTTTGCTTATTCGAAGCGTCGCTACATCAGTCGGAATTTCGAGAATCAGCTGCTTTGATAACTTTGAGCTTGTTAGCATCAAACGTGATACACACTGGCTGGGCTTCAGCAGAGAAAACGATTCAGAGTATGTTACCTTGAGCCAAATCGATCTAGACGCTCATCGAGAAAGGGTCGTTTTCTTAAAATCTGGGAACAATATGACGCGCTTGGGAGGCGATTCAGGCTGTAAGATTGATGAAGTTGGCAAAATGGTGACTAGAAGAGTTTGGCAGAAGAAAACCTGTAGAGTCTGTCAAAAGAAGCACGAATGACGGTGAATGAGGATTTTCTTTTGTGATCCAGGAAAGAGATGGAAGAAAGCCGTGGCCGTCTCACAGCCTGACATTTCGGCAGCTGCGAAGCACGTGAGAGCGCCGAGTACAGCACTTTCCGCCCATAAGTAGATGATACATGTGCTGCAAATAACCAAATTATAACAATTATTGTAATGATTGTACCAAGGCGATTCACAAGTGAAATATCCATGCACTATATCGTATTGGTATGGGAGACGGACACATATAAGCCACGCGCCTATAGCATCTGCATTCTCATCTGATTTGCGATGTAAATGGTCGCTGGTGAAAGTTTGCAAACTTTTTATTTTTATTTTTTTTGGAGAAAAAAAGAAAATACCTCTCATTGTTCTATTTTTTTTCTTTTTGCTTTTTGCCTTGTTCTCCCCCTCCGTCTTTTTATAGAGAGGTCATCTCACATCATCATTGCACCGATGCAGATACTTTTGGGGCTTGTTGCGCCTGTGTCTCGGCAAGTGATGATGCATAGGCGAGAAGTCTGCTTTTCAGGTAATTGTTATCATCATCAATTAAAATTCACGTCCTAGCTCGAATCAGCTCTTTATATTTCATCTGTTCCACGCAACAGTGCTATTTACGACTACTGCTAACGTAGGCCTGTATTTGGCTGTCTGCCATTTTTCATCTAGGTAGCAGCTATTTGCATTTCTTTCTTTTCGTTGCTGATAAAAATTTCAATGAGGCCAATGTTCATTTTTTTTTTTGCAGTCATTAAAGAAGACTTTCATCAGTATCCGTATCACTGCAGAGATTTGATGCGTTGAGCCTCACTTGTTAATCTCTTTTCGCTCTAAAGACCACCAAGCATTGCAGTGAATTGCTCATGTACCACAGGTCTTTCTTTAGGCCGACAGATTTTTAGGTTCTGATTTCTTCATGTAGCCGCTGTCTATGGAGGATAAATTAATGACAAAATATCCCTTATTTGCCTCCCGCTGCTCTTGCTCCTTCAGGATCATATGCGACGACTTCAATCTCCACGGCCATGCGAAATCCCACCGCCGTCCAAAGTGGCTGGTGATCGGGCATGTATTTCTTGAAATTTCACTGCACCGCCGCCATTATTCCCTCACTAAGAAGAAGATGCGTGGCGTTGACGCGGAAAACCTGCTACCAGCCTTTGCCACTGGCAGCCTTAAAGCCTTTTCAATGTTAGCAAAGCCATTGTCAATTTGCGCAGCTGCGTGGGTGGGCATATCTTCAAGGGAGTCGCGCCATCCACCTGAAAAAAAAACGTCATTAAAATTGAGCTCATACAATGCTGTCGTGCTTCTCTCACCTTGATCATAGACTTCGATTCAATCGCCAACACGCACTGCCTGAGAATAGCCCAAATCCCTTGGGAGCTGCTGCCATGCCCTCGTAGGAGTAAAACTTCAGGCCACCTATGTTTATTAATAGCTCCCAATGTTCCGATATTTCTTCTTATTTTAATGACCGTGAAAAGAATGCTGCTTGAATAGATGATTGATGCTACAGACAGATGTAATAATTGGCACTGAAGTAAATATATATAGCCACTGGCCACCCATTGAGGGCAGTACGAGCAGCAGTCAATTCAAATCCCCTTTAACCTAAAAATTTATAGCCCGACGTATAGCTGGTCATCCAAGAATTAACTGAGACAAATGATAAGCCAGAAGCTTTCACAGTAGAACGATGCAACAATTTGCGAGGCAGGTTACCTAACCACAGTCTAGCGCTCATCACAATGCACCTATTTCATCTTGATACCATGATACCATGAAGCCGAGTGCCCTATAATAGGTGTTTTTACAAACAGTCATTCTCAGAATAGCGTGGTAATTTTCCACATTGAGACAGAAATATACAGCATTACGGTTTTTCCGGATTCAAGTTCAGCAGCAACATAATAAAGGAACCAGATAGAAGTGGCAGTTCTCGGGGCATTTCGAGGCTCATACAGGAGCATCCACACTATAAATGCGCTGCTAGGCCTGGTCTAGTGATAAGCTTCTCACTGTACTTTGCCTTATCTGCTACTGCCGTGAGATCAGCGTCACCCAGCAATCTGCTTGAGCTAGATACGGGTATATGGGCTTCGTTTCCAGGTGTTTCAGTAAGATTTTGCACAGATCTCAAGGCAGTATACGACCAAACTTGCGGGGAATGGCGGTGACGACAGAGGAGAAATTTCTCTATCCAAGAAATGGCTCATTCAGGAAGATTGAAGTTCATAATGTGCGACCGAGCCGCTCAGCCCGTCACCGATAAAAGAAAATGGTGGATCTAGGCATTTTGAGAACATTGACGTGGCAAAAATGCCCTACAAGGGGCAAAGTCAAATGTGAATCATGGGTGAAAGACGGAGTATATGCTCTGCTGCTTTATAAAGGTTCGCCTCTGTGTATTTGGCAGCACTCTTTATATGCGTCAATTACACGTCTGAATATCTACCAGTTTTGGTAGATGTGGTGAGCGATGATGCTGCTATTGAGGATGATTGTCTCCTTTGTCGAAATACGGCTACAATGCAGCAAGGATATGCATATGGCAAGGCTGCCAATTTCTGCCCAATCTACCAGGCTGCAGTATGCCTTGCTCATTATAGCCTGAGTATATTCTGCCTTGCAAGGAACCGGCCGCTTCTCCCACTTTGCCTTCCACAACTACATTTCCAGCAATCTCAAAATTTACATACATATCTGGTGAGGCGCAAAATGGAACTCCGAAGAGTCGCCTGGTCTGATGTGACCATCACATTGCTTGTGGCCGTCACTGTAAATCTATCGTACAACTTCATTCTCTTCTCGATTCGATCCAGTCGCGCAGCAAAAAAGGCCACCCGGAAACCGTTTGTACCGCAAAAATTCTTGACATTGAGGATTTCCAACATTCCTTGTATCCCTAGTGTAACCGCAGACAGTTTGCGACAGATCTTGTCGGATCTACCAATTGCAGCCCAAGGAACTGGCGGCCAGCCGAATCTACTTGAGTTCTCGTATTCTCCCAGCGCAGTCTCAGCCTTTTCCTCGCGATATGCAGTCGTCACTGCCACCTTTGATCATGCTCCAGCCATCAACGAACTTGAGGTGGTTCTCAGGCAGAAAATTGGAGCTGAAGCCGGTCATTTAAAAGTCGATCGAGATTTTTTGGGCATCACGCCACTGTCTGATAGCGACAACGTCCATGTAGAGTGCGTCTTTTTTCAACAGCAACGCTATAGGTTCATCTAGGGCACGTAACATATATGCTAACAGCATCTATTCATCTCGGCAGCATTATTGCGGTAACTGGACTCGCCGGCCATGCCTTTGGGTCATGGAAGTCAAAAAACTTGCCGCATATGTGGCTGCGCGATTTTCTTCCGACGGTCATAAACGCGCGCATCCTTACATACGGCTACGATACAAAGATATACGGAAGCCAATCCGAGGAATCTATACTGGAATTAGCCAAGGCCTTGCTCGAGTCCGTCAAAACCACTCGACGGAAAGAAATTGTGAGGACCCATGTCTGCAAAGACAGAAAAGGATATAAAGCTCACTACGAGTTAGAGAAATCGGCCGATTATTTTCATTGCGCATAGCCTCGGCGGGCTCGTTGTTAAGGAGGTGAGTTGCCGAGTGTTTAGAGAATCAAGCATGCTAGCTGACTGCCAAGACAGGCTCTGGTACAGGCTTCGGTTGGCAGCGAAGAGGATCAAACGATTTACAGATCGTGTTATGCCCTTTTACTTTTTGGCGTCCCAAACAGAGGACTGAACAACCTCAGCCTAATGTCAATGGTCAAAGGACAGCCCAACGAGAGTTTAGTGAGAGATCTTGGCGAATCGTCTCGATTTCTTAGCTTACTGCATGAGCGGTTTAATGCGTGCTTTACATTCGACGACTCTCACATACTGTCAATCAATGAGACAAAGCACACGGCGACAGTTGAAGTAAGGTCCATATTGTCATTGAGAACAAGCAATTCTAACATGTCTATAGTGGAACACGGAAACTGGCACATTGGAAAGGACCGGGCCTCGAGTCATGATGGTTGGGCATACATCAGCTACCAACGCCCACCAGAACGAAAAGACTTACGATCGCTTGTCTATCAACTCCGATCATTCCGAGATGGTCAAATTTAGTGACATCTCAAATCCAGACTACGTGAAAATCCAATCTAGACTGGTAGAGTTGGTCGATAGCGCACCAAGCGCCATAAAAGAGCGTTTTGATCATCACACGAGAAGTGAGTAACTTACACGACATATGCATACGACGCATATTGAGTACTGAAATGTGCAGAAATAACTCAATTGGAGAGGCAGTTTCTACGAAATCTGAAGGCTCCTGATAGCAAGACGTTCCGAAATGACAAAGTTGGCCACCGAACGCCGGGAACGCTCAACTGGTTTTTGCGCAATCATCTTTACAAGGATTGGATATCTGCGGACTCGTCATCAGGCCTTTGGATTCAAGGCTCACCGGGCCAAGGCAAGACAATGCTAGCCAAGTTCATCTTGGACACGCTGGATGAACCAGTACCCAGCTCAGAAATACCGTCAGTGGTCATATACTTCTTCTTTTACGATCAAGACGAAAGTTACCGTACCGCCGGAGCCGCTATGAGGTCTCTTATTGAACAATTGCTGCATCTAGCACCTAATGCATTCCAAACTATCACTCAGACATTCGACATCGAAAGCTCTGAAATCCGCGATAATTCGTTGCGGGACATTCTCAAGGACTTGCTTCAAATGTCTCAGCTCAACACCATTTACTGCGTCATTGATGGGCTAGATGAATGCCAAAATGATGGGTCAAGAAAGATGCTGCTTGATCTTATCGCCGGCAATCTTCGACAATCATCGACCCGAAGAAAAAGCTCGGTTCCGACGCTGAAGACCCTTCTCACTAGTCGTCCTACGGTCGATATACATTACGAGCTTTATCACCTGCCGAACATTCAACTTAAAGCCAACCATGAGGATCTAGAGATATTCATAAAAAACAAAGTGGACGACTTGAGATTTCACGAGGATCTGAAGCAAAAGGCAATCCATTTGTTAAGTAGCCGTGTTGAGCAAACGTTCTTGTGGATATCAATCGTCCTAAAGAGGCTGGAGGTTGCAACGCCTTTACTATCAGAGGCAGGGATGGAAGAAATGATTAACGAAAGTCCGTCTAATCTTGAAAAGCTGTTTGAGAACATCATCAGCCAAATCAAGGAAGCTAAAGACATGACGGCCCAGAAGCTTTTGATATGGGCCGTGTACGGCAGAAGACCTTTGACTTTGGCTGAGCTTAAAGAGGCTATAGCAGTTCAGGATGATTCTACAAGTAAAGGTTCGACCAAGAAATATTCGGTAGCTCTCACCGAAAGCAGCGTGACGACCGCTACAGGAGTGATATTGGAGATTATTGACGGGAAAATCCACCTTGTGCACCAATCGGCAAAGGATTTCCTCCTAAAGAGCGGACACCTTGCCGAGTTTGCATTCTGCACGAGTCTACATCCAAGTACATATTTAGCCAAAGTTTGTATGACGTACCTATGTTTTACAGACATTGTCGAATCAGGATCCTGGCGAAACGATGAATCCCTTAACGAAGGGATTATTCAGCATCCCTTCTTACAATACGCAGCGCGCAACTGGTATCGTCATCTTGACCTGAACGACGATATGAACAGGTTCGCTAGACTTATCAGCCGATTAACCGAGCCCAGATCCCGGACACTCTTGACATGGGGAGCATTCAACGGGATTACCAATCTAGAAGAGGCCACAGACACTTGGGAAGTCGCTCTGAAGGTGAATATTCCGTGGCTGGTCGACTTGCAAATAGACTCCACAGTAATCACGAAAGATATGATCGGGAAAGCAACTGCGAATGGCATGACGGAATACGACTATCTACGGCGGCTTGTTAAGAAACACGACACCCTTTTTACAGAGGAAGAGCTTTGTCTACTTGTCGAATACCTCGACCACGCACTGGTTCGCCAATTATTAAGCGGACAAACCAGCGCCGTTATTACGCAAAATGTCTTTGAAGCGGCAGCAACGAACGCCAAGTATGGCAGGCTTGTTGTCGAGGCCATTCTGGAGCTCGACATTTGCTTCACCATTACAGCTAAATTCATCAATTTGGCACAAAAGAATGATGTAAATGGCCAAGATATCATTCAATTTGTCATTGACAACCACAACGTGGAAGTTGCAGAAGAAGCGGTACAGGAAATAGTCACAAGCGGAGATATAAAAATGGTGAAACTATTGTTCAAGCGAGAGCAACTCGATGGCCTTCAACTAGCACTTGGAGCAGCAGTGAAACAAGGAAATTATGAACTGCTGATGCTCGTGTTAGATAAGGGAGGGGATAAAATAACAATCACAGAGAGTTATATGCAGGATTTGGTGAATTCATCTCCTCCTGATGCCTTGAAGAACTTTCTGAGAGCACATCAACAAAAAGCCAGGATCACAGAAAGTATTGTTATAGATACTGCGAACCACAAAAAAAAGAGGGAGTACCTACTATTGTTTTTCTTGAAGGAACGAGGCAAAGATTTTCAGATTACGGAAGGGATATTAAAAGCAATTTTACAAGACGAAGATTCCGAGAATGAGGCGCTAAAGTTTCTTCTTGCAGAAAGAAACCAGGAGATGCATATGACTGAAGATATTTGGAAAGTGGCTGCGGCGAATTGGAATTATGGCGACGAGGCAATTCGTCTCCTACTCAGTACGAAGCGCCACGAGCTTCATATCAGCGAAGGGATTTTGACAAGCGCCGCAAAAAACTTTGACTGTGGGCATGAGATTATGAAAATATTCTTGGAGATGAAAGGAGACGACATTCAGATTACAAATGCAATTTTGGAAGCAACACTAAGAAGTTATTACACACAAAAGGAGATGGTAAGCGTTCTTTCAGAAGCGCAAAGACGCGGTATCTGGATTGATATGGGAAATCTGGTGCAAATCGCAGCCGGGTCCGGAAGGAGCAGCTCCGCCATGGCAGCTTTGTTTGAAGTAACAAAGGATGAGATTCCAATAACTGAGGAAGTATTGAGAGCGGTCGCAAGAAATAACTCATCCCAAGGTCATACAATTATGAGTACTATCCTGGAAAAGAAAGGTGATGAAATCCAGATGACTGAGGCCGTTTTGATGGAAGCAGCAAGCAGTGAGCGTGGCGATGATATATTACGTGCAATATTCAGTGGAACCGGCGATGAAATTCAGATAACAGAGAATGTTTTGAAAGCGGCTGTGGGAAACGAATTCGGTCACGTTTTTGGAATTATGGAAGTCATCTTCAAGCAAAAGGGCGATCAAATTCACATCACCGAAGAGGTTTTAAAACTCGCACTGGCAAGTTCGTACAGCATCAGTATACTGGCCGTCATTGCAAGATTTAAAGGGAAAGAGATCCAAATTACGGATGAGATCAAAGGACTCATGAGCGACGAGCAAATTGATTGCTGGACAAGAAATGCAAAGAAGACGATCGATGGCTCGCGTTCAATTATTATTATTCAATAATTTATGAGCGAGGAATAGCTATAGTGCCGGGACAGGCCTGGTAAATACTTTCCTCCACTTGAATAATGAAGAAGGGGTGCTGATGTTGAATAAAGGGGAATCCAAAGAATAAGATTCGTACAGGAGATCAGTCTCGTATCTATTGTGCTCTTTTTGTTGAGCATGGTTTATCTCAAGAAGTTTATTTTTGAATGGTCGCTCAACCTATACTGCCCTCAGATGGTAGTGACGATGTAAGAAGAAGTACTCGATTGTGCCCCTTACATAGATCTTAAGAAATATAAAGGCAAGCTACTAGCTATTCCTTTATGATGTCCTTCATTCTATTCTCCACTGCCGTCTGGTCCATAAAAGTCTCCAAGTCTGTTATCTTACCCTCGTGATCACCATGTTCAACGAGAGTGAAAACACAGACGGCTGGCACTAGAAACTCCTCTCCAGACAAATCACCCTTGACGCGATATAGAACATCAAACACAGCCCATAACCTCGAGCCGACCAGGTCTGTTAAAAAGGTTAGCATCATTCACCGCCCACTAAAGGGCAGGTAGAAGCGCACCAAAATATCGATACGTGTGATTTATTAAACTGAGGCGTGCGAAACGTGCCGCTACCATTTCTTCAATCTTATCCGCTCCAATAATCGCCGGGTAGTTCGAGAAACGCAGCGTTGCTTGTGGTTCATAGACGGAGCTCGTCTCTGCCGGGTCCAACCCATCTTGACTGGCGGCAAACTAGAGATTATGTCAGACTAAAAGTCTTCTAGTGACACTGTCACAATATGGTTCAATTGGAGTTGAACCTTTGTCAGCCAAAGAATGACTTCATCGTGTGAAGTAGGGAAAAAGAGCTCATTTCTGTTCTCTGGTCGGTTGACATCTTCCGAAAGCGTTGTCATTTTTGCTCTCAGCGGTTAGCCGCGTAGGTCGTAGTTGTCTGCCTTGATTTCTTGCTGTAGGAGTGGTTTCTGCGAATCTACGAAAATGATCCCCCATGAGACTTGCAATACAGCGAGGATAATGGTTTTGGAAGATAGGGCAGTACCTCAGCTGATGGTGTCTCGGGAAGATAAATATCCAGAGTGGAGAGCGAGAAAAGGTCTTTGAGATCACAAGTTGGTTTCGACCTAGAGAAGTGCCTGGGTAGCTCTTATACAAGAAACACTACAAGGCCCAGTGGAGACGAGGGCTAGCAGAGAAAGTTGGAGCAGGTCGCAGGCAGCGGAGTAGAGCGGAGCCGAAGCGTGGTGACATAATAGGGAATAGGAGTCGTTTGTGCGAATGGCTCCGGTGACTGCGGCAGATCGTCTATCAGGTCTCCTCTGCCATGCTGCAAAAGACATCGATTAGACCAGTCGGGTCGTTTATTTCCAGGCGGGACCAACACAAAGATGGGCGGTACAGTTGAAAGGCGGCCTTCGTCTTGTGGTGTGCTTCTGAGATGAAGCTGTCATGTCTAGTATTGAAGACAGTCAGCGACTCTATCTGCCATATTCTATAAATCACAGTGAATGCATGACTCGCAGTATAAGAAGGAGCTAGGCAAAAGCATGTACAAGGGTTCCGGGTGGCTAAGAGTTAAAGCATGTTACCATCTATCCACCAAAGGCTCATGCATTTCTGGGTCTTATCGACGTTCCTAGTCACTACAAGTTCGGATCTTTGATAGGCGAGGGCCTTGGTGCCGTGTCTGCCACTTCTCTACACTCGTGGCACGTTCGCTTCTTATCATCATGCGGAAGCCCTCAATGACCGTCTTAGGCGGGATCACCAGGTCAATCAGGTGGAATGTGGCCTCGTAAAAATGCAGCCACAGTTAGCGCAGTACCAGCGGAGGCGGTCAATAGCATTCTGCAGGTAGCGCTGCTCAAGCACGAGGCGCGTTGGAGAGGCGCAATGTGTTGTGCGATGTGTTGCAATTACTCGTCGTCTCAACTACTTATCCAAAGTAACCTGTTGTGTTTTAAAGATGAATTGATCCCAACCAGTCGCCCCTGCTACGTCTTGTAGCCGCTGGAGACTATGCTTAACATCCAAATCATTCAGAGTCAAGTTAATCAACTATTCGTCGTCAGTGTGAAAGATCAAAATAGCACCACGAAGAATTGGCTGCTCACCTTATCATCTCTCCAACCGGTTATGCTCAGAAAAGTCCCGTTGTCTTTTCGCAAACCGAAACCATTCAAGGAAAATTCGAAGCTTTCATCGGAGCCTGAGGCCAATCTAGACCGCTCAATAAAGGCTTCCCACCCATTGTTAATAGCGATTCGTTGCTGTGAGTCAGTTTCAGTGTCACCGCCATTGGGACGCGACTTCATGATGTGAAGATATAACGGATATTCTTTTGTGGGAAACAGCCCGTCTTCGGGCGACTCGTATAATTGAATATCAGGAGGGCCGGCCAAGTATGGCAACATGGATTCTTTGAACGTGGTAAATTCGGGTGACCCAATGAAGGAATTGAATCCCGAGATGTGTTGCCATTCTATTAAAATCAAATAAATATATCGCTTCCTCACAATGGGCTGGGTAGTCTCACGCAGGAAGAGGCACAGTTCGTCCTGTTGATGTGTATCCACGCTCGTACCACCGAGCTTCGATCCAATACACAAAACATCAAGTTTTGGGAGCTTGGAGAAGACACCACTCAGTACACCAGGTAGCTTAGCGTCAAGCTCCTTTCGCAGCTGAGTGTCTGGTTTAGGGCGAATGAAGACGAATTCGGTGACGGGCATCTTGTCCGAGGTGGTAAAGGCCGAGTGTAGTCTGATGAAGCGGCTATTTAAATAGTGGTTGCATCTCTTGTAGGACGTTGTACGAAGTATACTGAACATAGTTTCCGATCTCGTTTCTCGGGCTAACATAAGCAGGCAACTGTATCCTTTTTATATACCGGTATTACTGGCGACATAGTATGCTGTAAGCGCTTCCTCGTGCCCCGTACTCCGTAGAGGCGTTGGGGTTGCGGAGATCTGTGGAGACGAGGCGACTTCGTGGCTGACAGAGTGCGGAATTGAGTGGATCTAGACCAGCCGCATTGCCATTTTGGTGAGCATGTCGGCTTAGAAATCGAATGCAGAGTCATACAACGGCAGCATGTGAGACGATACGAGATAGAATAGCTCGAAACGAGGCATTAAGCCAACTTGACACCGGTGGGTGGCCGCTAATGCCAATGCTGTGCGATATAAACAGTCAACGTCTTGTTACAGATGGACATCAGCTCATAGACAGTTTTGACAAAAGATTATATGATGGCGGTGAATACAAGTACTGCAAACTGATGCCAATTGTTCACTCAGCTCGTCGAATGATTAACCTCTGTGATATATAGAGAATCAGAATGGATCGCCCAATATGCGTCCCAAATAGTCTTCGTTATCGGCCCAACCTTGCCATCTTTGACCGGCTGGCCATCGAGAACTGTAATTGGCAAGATACCGCCGGCCGTTGTGCACATGAAGATCTCATCGCATGTATATGCCATCTCAACAGGCACCACCTCCACATGAACGTCGATTCCCTTGGCCCGCGCAACTTCTATCACCGTCTTGCGAGTGATGCCGTGCAAGACTCCTCGATCCGGCGTGTAAAGGGCGCCGTTTTTGACAAAGACGATGTTGTACCCAGATCCTTCAGTCAGGTTGGAATCGCCATCTGTGAGAAACGGATAGTCGGCTCCTCGATCATTGGCCTCGTACATTCCGCGTACCATGTCTCCCCATTGTAAGTTCTTGATTGTGGGATCCATGGCACCTGGAGGTGTCCTTCGAACTGTGCGGGCAACAATTGCGCTGCCTCCGCCGTACTGCATTTCCGGGCTCATGAGCCAGACATACGGCAATATTATGATGTACAGGTTGTTGACAATCTCTTCTGGCTTGGATCCGCGAACGCCTTTGAAGCCGCGCGTGACTATTAACTCGACATAGGCATCGCGCATGCCGCTCTTTGCAACCATGTCGAACAAGATGCCCTTGAGTTCTTCCTTTGGCAGCGGTATTTTCAAACGAATCTTCTTGCAGCTCTCGTCGAAGCGGTTGATGTGCTCGTCTAGGCGGAAGAATTTGCCGTCCCACACAGAGGGAACGTCGTAGCACATGTCGCCATGGAGGAAGCCTTGGTCGATAATCGGGATGCGTGCCTCGGCCAGTGGTGAGAGCTCTCCTGCAATCCAGACGATACCGTCGGCGTAGGGATTGTTGCTTGCTTCGAGAGCAGCTCGCCGCTCTCTGTAAGCTGCGAAGACGGAGTCCATAGAAGCCATGGTTGATATCTGTGCCAGCTCTTTGTGCCAGTCTTTGTGCCAGTCTTTGTGTCAGCTTTTTCAAAGACGAATACCAGTCCGCTGTGTCAAGGACTTACGCGTAAACAAGCACAGAGATGAGACGAGGAGCCATCTGCCTATTTATCCATTTGCCAGGGCCGCCAATCTATAGCTTGTCATCATAGCGTGGCCGATCGTGGGGATTCTTGGAGTCGATTGCCAAACGTGATGACGCCAGCGATGCCTGAAGAGGAAATCTGACCCGCGTGGAGATGGAAACGGCGCCGTTGTTCGGAATGTAGCGGCTGATGGGGAAAGCCACCAATGGAACGTCTCTGGATACGCCTCTTTGCGGAGAAGCCTTGTGGAAGCCTTGTGGAAATTCACGCTGTGGTGGAGTTGGATCAAGAAGCTCGCCACAGACTGACTGATATGGGACCTTGTACGAAGCCTGTCTGCAACAACCGCAACCAATCAGCTTTGGAATCGGACAAGGCGTAGGGCCACGATCTTACCTGTGGAAAAAGGTAAAGCAGAGTATACCAGACCTAGACCTGGTTTGCAAGGCTCAAATTCGTTGACGTAGGTGCCCAGTCGAGTTCCAGAGGTGCCAGAACCTGCGCCCTAAACAGGACCAAGACGCGCTAAGTAGGGGCCCTGTCCCCAGAAATGGCAATCTAAGGCGAGCCTTGATTGGGGTGCTGTGGTTAGATATCACGATTCAAGCAGATGCAGATGCGTGGCCTAAATGCTTGACTCAAAGATGATGAATCGTACTGCAGCCGGCGGTTGGTTCATGGACTAAACATGTCTGGGGCCAATTCACAAGCGAAGCCGAGCCAATCCCAGAAGCACGGGAAAAGAGTCCACGCTCATAGTCAATGCCATCAAGCCTAAAGCTACTGTAGCGGTCTGGAGGAACTGGTTCTAGTGCTAAAATCAAACGCAGGGGGTGCTCTAAGCAGTGCATGGACAAAGAAACCAGACAGCAGTGGCACAGAAAATTTAGTGCCATAGCAGCCAATACAGTGGACGCCTGAGAAATATAGGCACGGACGGCCTACAGCTGCTGGCGGGCTGCTTTCAATCACAACGCAACTTTGGCTGAAACAAATCTTCTTCTTTGCTTCTCCACGCATCGGCTTGTATCACCGCATATTCGACTCAAGACTCGAGACAATCCTTGTTTGTTGAAAACCATCAATAATGGCTGCATCATCTGTTTCAGCAACACGACTTGTTGGGCCACCAGCCGCAGCAACAGCGGCTGAGAATCCATCCCTAGATTTGATTTGATTTGATTCCATCTGCGTATCCGGCCAGGCAGTTAAATCGCGAGCAGTCAAGGGGAAAAGGATTGCACAGCCACCAGCTGAGTTGTCTTGTTTGGCAAGTATCCAGTCCGGTTTCCGAAGCCATGTATCTAACAGATTGATCGTCCCAGATCGTCCCAGACACAATACCGCAGACATCTCAGGCAGCCAACTCTTGCCTTTTACTCATCCTCGAATTCTCCAACTTTCTCTTCAACTGCATCTAGTTCGGACTCGAGGCGGGACTGGTCATCGACTTGATCGCCGCCATGGCCCAACAACTTGTTGACTAGGCCAAAGACCCCTGCACAGCGCCCACTTCGAGGCCTGTGGCTCTGGAGACGAGCTACGGCAGTCCTACCTAGAGTCCTTCACGAGTATTTCGCATGGTAATCCCCATATCGCAATTGCTTCGTCTCAAGATATTCCTCTACAGTGGAATAGTCTCCCAGCAGCAGGGGCAACGAGCACGAAAAGAATGCTAGCTACAGAGGCTACTCCATCAACTGCATGCTTCGCAATCAAGCACCGCAGCAACTCTGCAACAAACACGACAAAGCATACTATCTACAGGGGTTCCTTTCAACTGCGTACTTCGCAACCAGGGCACGATAAAGAACATATGCTAGCTACAGGCGCAACTCACCAATTACATGTACATGCCACAGAGGCTGCCCGCCAATGATTACATGCTACAGAGGCTGCCCGCCAATTGCTAGCCACAGAGGCTACTCCGTCAACTGCATGATTCGCAACTCTGCCTCTACAATCAAGTGCCGCAGCTCCTCAACGAGCACGGCAAAGAATACTGGCTATAGAGGCTCCCTTTCTACGGTATGCTTCACAATCAGGGGTCGCGGCGTAGTTGCTGGTTGGCAGCGAGCATGACGTTAACGTGTTTACAGGTCCCATGTCCATCTACACATGCCCGACACGAACGACCCCCGCCCAGGGTACAATCCGCTCCGCTAGAGGAATCGAGATGACGCATACAGGGAAGACATTTGACCGCAGTCTACTTGGGAGGCTTGTTGAAGTTGGAGTCGGAATTGCCTTGGACGAGATAGCCAGCCACCCATGGCCCGCTTGCCGGGCACGATAAAGAATGCTGGCTACAGAGGCTATTGGTCAACTGCATGCTTTGCAATCAGGTGCAACAGCAGCTCTGCAACATACACGACAAAGAAGATTGTGCTACAGAGGCTACTCATCAACTGCCTAATTGACAGCCGTCGCCACCAATTTCCTCCTTTTTGCCTCTTCCTATAATTAGACCGGCCCAATTGTCTGTCTCAACAGCGATACGAAGTGACAGATTGAAATGTGACAGACAGACGATAGCCCATAATTTAAGCAAGCCACCAAATAAAAGCAACCGGCCAACCGCATGCCCGGCTCACCACGAGCAACGCCAACAGGCCAATAAAGAGGACGAGCACGGGCAGGGATCGTGGCGCCTGTCAAATTATCTTGCCAGGGGTGCGATGTAGGGACTACAAAATCAAAATACACACACAGGGATAAAACATGGACACTATTTTATCAAGGGAAAGCTATCCGGTGCACTGAATCTATATTTAACACTGGATCTTGTATATAGCTTCTATAGCAGCAGCAGTAGCAGCAATAGCAGCCGTAGCAGCAGTAGCAGTAGTAGCATCAGTAGCAGCAGTAGCAGCAGTAGCAGCAGTAGCAGCAGTAGCAGCAGTAGCAGCAGTAGCATCAGTGGCATGTGGTTGCAGTGTCAAATCGCGAAATGTGTGCTAATTATTCAATGGCTGGCACCTGCCCGGCCCCGCGTAATTTTGCGGCAGCTGCCACCGTCTCCGCCACCGCCCGGGCCCCACACCCAATTCGAGCTCTATAACACATCCCCTGCTCCCTCCAAACTTCTTCCTCTCTTCCTCTCCTCTCTCCCCCACAACACAAAGATGGAGGATCCCTTTGTGGAATCCAAGGAGGAAGTGGGGGATGCCAGCGGCTTCCCACGCCGCCGCAAGAGATTCGACAGCGAAGACGACGAGCGCCGATACCAGGAGTATGTGCGCAGCGAGTGCGAGAGGAGGAGCGAGGAGCGAAGGGAAATCGGCCGCGGTTGTGACGAGATGTTCGAGCAACTAGTCCAGAAGCTGAAGCGCCAGCGTGACGAGCTTTTTGAGCGCGAGTGCCAGGCACTGGATGGCGAGTATGAAGAGCTCTTTGACCGCGAATATCAAAAGATTCAGAGCCAGATCGAGCAACGCCACTTCGAGCAACGCCAGGCCGAGCTCCTCCAGATCAAGGAGCGTCGGATTGAGCAACGAAAGCAGGAGCAAGCGTCATCATCCAACAACAAATTCCTGAGTCTCACCGATTATCTCACAGCTTGCCATATGCTGCACCTCCAGTTCAAAAAGGGCGTCTGTCGGTCCTTGATCACGCAAAAGGAAGCACTGAGCTGGACCTTCCCGCGACGAATCATTCCATGGGATGTCAGCTTTCAGTCGTTACAACAGAGTATATGGAACCGCCTGCCGCTAGACTCTGACTTTGTCGAGCAGCGCATGTTTTCTTCTATTCAGCAGCTGGAGAATGTGAGGCGGACCTTGGCTCCTGTGAATAGCGAGGCCTCGCTGCAGCACTTTGGGGGATACGCCATTGAGAGCACCGTCTGGGAGATGCTGGACAGACTGGGGGAAGACAGTGTGCTTTGGAAGAGACTTGGGCTTGAAGCCCTTGGGCAGGTGTCGAGGGAGGTCGACAAGGATCTTGGCCAGGTGTACGAGCCCATGCTCCAATCCTCATGGCACAAGGGCGCAGGCGAGTTGAAATTGTCTATGCGTAACTCACATCGCAGGGCCAAGAGACAGGGCCTCTGGGCCAATCGGTCGTGCATATACCGACAGCACGACGGCCAAAAGACTCCCGTCTTTGCCATCATGCATCAGTTGCCCCATCGCCTTCAGCTGGACGAAATCGACTACGGCTTGGCATCCGAGATTGAGCTTGTACAGGATGTGATTGATAAGGAGGGCAGTGATTTCAAATTTGCTTCGCAAACGCTCGTGGGTGCCACCATCACTCAGCTTTATTCTTACATGGTCAGCAAGAGTATTCGATACGGATGTGTTTCAACCGGAGAAGCCCTCATCTTCTGCTGCGTCTCGAGAGATGACCCTTCCAACATATACTGCACAGCATGTGTACCTCAGCGCGATGTGCAACAGGATGATCCTCTAAGACTTCATCGAACGGCTGCAGCATCGACTTTTGCCCTTGTGGTACACGCTCTCTTCGAGGCGCCACTCTCCGCATTGTGGTACGACTCGGTCAAGAATCTAGACACCTGGACTATGGGATACGACGATCTTTTGGACAAAATACGCAAGCTGGATGCCCCAAAGCCCCAGGCATCGCCTGCCCAAGGGCATCGCTGGCGAGGGTTTGATCAGTCTCCGTTGCTGATAGAACATAGGTATGATCGCAGCGATCGCAAGATGGGCGAAAGGATATGGCACTGGCTGGACAATGTCTCTACCCAATATCTAGTCAACGAAGACTTCGACAACGAGAACGATACCAAGAAACCCAGTATACAGGATCAGCCATTCTGCTCACACAAATGCCTTCTTGGTTTGGTGAAAACGACACAGATGGATGAAAACTGCCCCAACTACGATTATCACGGCTTCGGACACCCTAATATCGACGAGTTTCTAGACGACCTCGGTGAGCAGCTGGCCACGGAAGCAAACAGCGGCGCCAACTTTACACCTCTAGGGACCACGGGCTCGTACAAGTCCCTCTTCAAGGTGCGGCATGCCACGCAGGGCTACACTTTTATCGCAAAGGAAGGAGAAGGGCCTGAGTCCTTATGGAGCGAGAAGCTGGTATATGACAAACTGAAAAAGTCTCAAGGCCGGCATGTGCCTGTCTGCCTTGGACTCTTGCACCTAGATAGGCCACAACAGGGATACAGGCGATTATTTGCGGAACTGCTGCTTTTGAGCTGGGCTGGACGGCCTTTTCGACGCTGCCTGGGGCAAATCAGCAAAGAGGAAGTTGCGAGCAAAGTAGAATATATTCTGGGTTTGATGCATGAGCAGGGCGTCGTCTACAATGACCCCTCTGAGCGAGGCATTCCGGCGGGGCTCGGTCTTGACATGAACAACTTTTTGTACGACGCCTCGCGCGACAAGGTGATGGTGGTCAACTTTCGAACCTCGTCAAGGTCACGACATGTTAGATATGATATATGGGGCCAAGTAAGCTATCAGATGTCGAAGAAGAGGAAGAGGGACGAGCAGCAGGTGTCTGCGATCCTTGCATTTGAAGAGGATGTGGTGGATGCTGTTAACCAGGTTTTGACGTCGGTGGCGATAGGCCGTAAGCGGCAGTTTTGGGAGATAGAGAGTGAGATTGGGGATGACTCAGTTAGTAATTGCTAATAATACTTTTTTTTTGTCACTTTTTTTGCTTCTATTGATTTTGTACATTGAATGTGAATTTGTATATGGAATGGGAACTTGTCTGAAGCTACGTGTAGCTGGTCTGGACTGGTCTGGACTGTTGGCGGTGAGGGAATCGGATTCGGAGAGGCGAGCACAGGTGCTGGCCTGATTTAGACGGGCATTGTATCATAGCAGGTGAGAGTGAGAAAGAAGTATGAAAAATAATGTACTAGGTATTAAATGTATTTAATTGAATCTAATGGAGTTGTTTGCGGTGCTTCTTCACGCATTAAGTCAGACCACCACCCACTTGGTGGTTACTCCCACTTGGTGGCTACCCCCACACAAATTTTCATGGAAAGCACAGTGTTAATAACAACAAAGGCACTAATAGAGATTATAAGACAAAATTTAAGTAGTCAAGTTACTATGTATATGTAATGATAGAAATACTAAAACTTTTTTTATTAATAAATTTTTAAATGTTATATAAATTTCACTAGAATTAAAATTCAAATATTTTTCTACTTATATATAATATATTAAAATTAATGAAATCTTATTTATTATTTTTATATATTTATTACTCTTTTGTAAAAATTTTTTTTTTTTTTATTTTCTAGCTGTTTTTATTGATTAATTAATCATAAATTGTTCGGTTTTGGTGTAAATACATAGCCACTAAGTAGTCTGACTTACAGGGTACGTGTTGAATAAAGTGTTCTAAGATCACTCTCAATGTACCATATTGTGGAATAGACCAACGCTGTCACCTAAGAGCAGTATTCTTCGGCACTTGATGGCGTCTTCCGAATGACAATTCAAAAATTCAGAATTCGACTTTAATTCCACAGGCTAATTTCAAGTACATGCGTCTTTGTGGTCTGATGCAAAGGCAGTCGGCCAAGATTAGGAATCGGATTGCTTGTTCCGTTCACACCACCTTTCTAAACGTCCAACGGCGTCCCCACTAGAAAATCAGCTTCTGTGAGTGATGTGGCTACCGGCAAGTACCGACAGGATCTTAGTAAAAGAGATGCTGAATGAGTGGCGCGAATGGTAACTAGTAATAATGTGGTTGATTTTTCCGGCTCTTGTAGTTGATAAGGAGTTTTCAGTCGACAGAGTTGACAAATCTCGTACAGTGGATGCAGAAAGTGTTCACACACAGTCAGGTCGCGACCATTTAGTCTAGCCGAATTCGGTACAGTGTTTTATGCTGCTTTAAAATCAAATAACTGAGCAACTATATTATAGTGTACGAACCGCTGAGCCACAGGGCTTGCTCCACTGCAATACAGCGTGCCCAGCGCTACAGTTATAGTGAGCAAATGCGAAAATAAAGCGGCGTGAATTCTACTGCCCAACTAAGTTAGCGAAAAATCAAAAGCACTCTGACAGGGTGTAAACACTTTCTGCCTCCCACTGTAGTGCGTATGTAGTGATGTAGCCGGTGATGCAGCGAGTAGAAGGTGAAGATTTAGGAGAAACACGGCCGTACATGCCCCAGGAACTGAAGATGCTCGAGATTGGGATAAATTGTATATTGATTGTTTGCTGGAATGATAACTCTTTCTCTCCACATCAGATCAATAGAAGGAGCAATTGATTTTTCGAATTGACCTGTCAACACGCGCATAGCCAGCGCAGATTATCTGGGCAAAAGGCAAAGTAGTGCTTTGTGAATTTCAAGTGCGCCACACTTGCTCTTTTGGGTCATTTTATGAAGAATCAGGAACATGCCGCTGCCTAGGCCTGACGTAAAATGGCCTGGTATCTGGCTTTGATTTACAGACTGCCGTGCGTTAGTCTGTTGGTGCCGTAAGAGCTCGACTCGCGTTTCGATGGGGACGACAAACGACAGACGTCATGCCTGGAAACATATATATATATCCAGGCTGGCAATGGTGGAGTAATGCTGGAATAGGTCAATAAGCTTGACAAACACGCAGCTCAACGCACGACTTCCAAAATCAGCATCTCAACACAGTCATCCAACTACATCTCAACGCATCTTAACCATCCAAGTCAACAAACAACACTCGCAGCGGCATATCCAGCACCGGCAATGTCTCAAACTCAAAATCAATCCGTGCCTGAAGCCCGCATACTCAACCAGTCCAACACGGCTTTCCCACCACGACTCCCATCCGGATACGACCACCCAGCCAAGTTGACCCGCGAACAGGCCGGACACATCCGCCACATCCACAATGTTGTCTCCCAAGTAGACGGAGAATGGAGATTCATGGGCACGCAGGAGCCGGGCCAGGAGTGGCTGGACGCCTACCGCTACCAGCTTGCCACCATGGCGTATGCCGTTGCAGCGGCGCAGTATCACCGCATGCCGGCTGCTCGATCTGCTTTTAAGCCGCTGATGGGGAGGATCATCCACAAGATGCTGAGGAGGGAGGTCTGGGGGTACTGGTTCTTGACGTCGCACAGCGGAAGCTTTGTTGATCCCGACCTGAAGGAGCTGCGAAAGCCGTGGGCGGACCCAATCTGCAAGGAGAATATCATGGTGGGTAGCGACGTTGCCTGTGACTTTGGTTATACGAGGCTAATGTTTTGTAGTATTCTGGACACTTAATTCTCATGACGGCGCTGTATGCCATGCTGTTTGACGACGACAGGTATGAACAGAATGACAGCATGGTCTTCAACTGGAACCCCGTGTACTGGGGATTCGGCCCAGAGAGATACAGCTACAACCGCGCCACTCTGCAGGAAGCAATTCTCAAGGAGATGGAGTCCAACGGATGGATCGGTGTCTGCTGCGAGCCAAACATGGTGTTTATTGCCTGCAACCAGTTTCCTCTGTGAGTGCTCATAGCAAAATTCAAAGGGGTCAACACAAGCTAATGATACCAGGACCGCCATGCGAATCAACGACGTCCGCAACGGTGGAAACGTTGCAGATGAAGTGCTGGCCAAGTACAAAGCTGCGTGGCAGAAGAAGGGAATGATGGGCAAAGATGGCCTGCTGCGAGATGCCTACCGAGTCAAGCAAGACTCCCCCGTCGATGCCTTTGATATTGGCTTCCCGGCTTGGGCTGCCGCTCACATGGCCTGGAACGTCGAGCAGATGGAGGATCTGTACCCAAAGATGGCGCATGGATATCTGACCAAGATTGGAGACCGCGTCAACATCAACCCAGATCCCGTGGCGAGAGCAATTCGTAAGTTGACAGCCAATAATCCCAGCTTAGATACCGACGAGATCCACGCCAAAGCTCGCGAGTTGGCTGCCAAAGCGTCTCCCCGGTATCCCGCGTTCATGCACCCCGTCTACGGCTGGGTCACTGAATGGGCCGCTGAAGTTGGCCCAGCCGAGGACCTCCACGGCCTCCTGAAGCACGCGGACCAGTTCCTCGGCCCGCAATGGGAAAACGGCGGCCTCTTCTACCCCCGCAACGATACGCAGTACGACTCCAACGACAACCACGTCTACGTCGAGCCGTTCACGGGCAACGCGGGCATTGCATACGCCCGGCTGACGGTGAAGCGCGGCCAGGCGACGATGTGGAACAAGCCGTGGACCAAGGAGCACGTGCGGACGATGCCGTGGATTGACGGCGTGAGTCTTGATAGCGGCGTTGATACGCTGGCGGGCAGCTGGGACGAGGAAAAGGGCGCCTTGTTCGCGTCGTTTCGGACGTGGCATGGGAGGAGTGTTGGTGTTGGGCCGGTGTTTAAGCAGCTGCCGGTGGGGCGGTACGGGGTGTATGTGAATGGGAGTTTTAGGGAGGAGGCGGTGGTTGGGGCTGGGGAGGATGTGAAGATGGAGTTGGAGGTTGGTGGATATGAGACTGATGTTGTGGTTGTGAGGGCGTAGCTGTTGGTACCTGTAGCTGATAATGATCTGCAATTCTATTTTAACCAAGTATTATTTCATTTTATTTTCTTAGCTCTTTTTAGGGGCTTATTCATTAAAATATATATATATATATATTTTTTTTTTTTTTTTTTTTTTTTTTTTTTAAGAAATTAATTTGATAAAGCACTGAGATCTGAGTGAATGCATTGTGATAAAAGGTCAACTTGCAGCGCTTTGGCTGACAGTTGGAATGTCACTGGAGCTTCGGCGCTCGGTCTAGTACATGCGCTCTGTAGCTCTATCGATAAGAGGTCGAGTTTGCACCTCGGATTGTGCTACACCGAGAACTCATCTTCATTCGCCATGTCTTTTACGTCTCATTGACTTGTCTTTGATTCGATTGACTTGTATTCACCTGATTACTATTCCCCTTATCGTAGAGACAAGGAAGAAAAAGACTTGCAGCCTGATAGGCGCGGTCCTGCGTCAAACATCCCTGCCATCTCCATCAGCAGCGCCCGAAATCGTGACTCGAGGAATGCAAAATCGCAAAAGCCTCTCCCAGATTGGCCAATCGCCGCTCCAAGTCTGCCAGCCTTTGCCTTCTTCGGGCCAAGCCCCTCCGCGCGCCCCAGAATTTATCCGCCGCTTGCTGCGATATGGCGTCAGGGCGATGCTGGGGGAGAAGGTACCGCGAGACTTGGCGCGCGCAGCATCTTGGCAGCTGCAGCCAAGTAGGCGGTACCTGCGAGCGCTGCAGCAGCCCAGCAGGTACCCGCCCCGACTGCCTAACTGGGCCAAGCGACGAAAAAATTTAGCGCTCCATTGGGTGCTGCGATAAGCCGATTAGCGGATGCGCGCACAAAAAAGCACCCAAGCGTTTGGCTGGTATCGCCTCTACCTCGTCTTTTTCGTCACCTCCTCCTCTTTTTTTTCTCCTTCATATCCTATAATCTTCGGCGCAACCGCATGAGGCTCCCGTGAGCCAATTCGACCCCCTCTCGCTCCTCTCTCGCGAGCCGTTCCAGCCAGCCCTGAGCTCCAACCAAGCAGCCCTTCTTCATCTCCAGCAAATTGCCGGCGAGGCTTCGTTTCTGCGGATGGCCGTTCAGTCCTCTCCACCCATCGACATCGACGAAGTGCTTCCGGGCACGCGATGCGTCTTCATCGATGAGTCCGCTAGCAGCTCCTCGGCCAATGGCCTGCTGCAGAAACACGACGGCATCGTGCTGGTGCCGCAGCCCACCGCGTCGCCCAACGATCCCTTGAACTGGGGCCTGTGGCGCAAGGCGTGGCATACGGGCCTCGTGTGCTTTGCGGTTGCTCTGACCGCCGCCACGTCGAATGTGGCTGGCTCCGCAAGTACGGGCGTGAATGAGGAGTATGGCATCAGCTACGACGTCTTCAACACCGGTGCTGGCGTGCTGTTTCTCGCTATAGGTTACTGGACGCTGCTGAGCTCCCCGGCCGTCCATCTCTACGGCCGCCGCATTCTGTACCTCGTTGGCGCCACCTGGGGCCTGATTGGCAACATTTGGTTTGGGAGACTCACCACCTCGTCGGATGCCATCTGGACGCAGCTCTTTGTGGGCGCCTCCGAGAGTGTGGCCGAGGCCGTGGTGCAGCTGTCTCTGTTGGATATCTGGTTTGAGCACCAGAACGGAACCTCGATGGGCTTGTATACTCTGGCCACCTCCGTGGGGACCTATCTCGGCCCGCTGGTGGGCGGCTACATTGCCGACAGCAACCTTGGCTGGCGGTGGATTGGATACCTCGGCGCCATCATGTCTGGCTTCAACTTTGTGCTCTTCTACTTTGGCCTGGAAGAGACTGCGTTCCCCCGCGAGCGCTACCAGCGAGATAACCGCACCACGGTCCCCGCGGCGACTGGCGGCGAGAAGACGGGCAATGTGGCCGATAGCACGGGCGTGTCTGATGAAGAGGCCGCCCAGACTCCCGATGCCGACCAGTTCTCCATCAACTTTACGCGCCCCAAGTCCTACTGGCAGCGCATCGCCCTCATCACGCCCGCCCCCAACCTGCGTGGCATTGGCGCAAAGCAGTACGTTGGCCGCCTGTGGCACACGCTGCGCATCTTCACCTTTCCGGCTGTCTGGTTCGCCGGCCTGCAGTGGGGCATGCAGAACATTGCCCTGTCCTTTTACCTGACCATCGAGGAGGACTACTGGACGGATGATCCCTGGGACTATAGCGATGTCGCTGTGAGCAACATGAACATTCCCTGCCTCATTGGTAGCATCATTGGCTGTTTTTACGGCGGCTACCTCAGTGACATTTTCGTGCTTTGGGCGAGCCGACGCAACCGCGGCATTCAAGAGGCCGAGTTCCGCTTGTATCTCATGTTCCTCTGCGTCATCGTCTTCCCTACGGGCATGTGGCTCTTTGGCATCGGATCGGCCAAGGGTTGGGATTGGCCGGTGCCGTATGTTGGCCTCGGCTTTATTGGATTTGGCTATGGCTGCGCCGGCGACCTGAGCCTCACCTATCTCGCCGACTGCTACCCGGATATGGTCCTCGAGGGCATGGTGGGCGTAGCCGTCATCAACAACACGCTGGCCATGGTTTTTACCTTTGTGGCGAGCTACTGGCTGGACACGGGCGTGCAGGATACTTTTATCGAGCTGGGCGTTTTGGGTTTTGTGATTTTGATGCTTTCGCTGCCCATGATTGTGTGGGGCAAGCGAGCGCGGCGGTGGACGAAGCAGAGATATCTAAACTTTTTGGAGATTCGCGATGGGATGGGTCACTGAGCTTATGGGGGTGCTAACGAGAAGCGTACGAGGCTGTGTTCATGTTGAGTTGAAGGCACTGTTCGAAAAGAGGGGAGGGGGAGGCGTGAATATGTTGGGGAAAGAGTTTATGCCTGGTTGGATTAATTCTCGAGGGGCTTTTAGACTATTCTTGTTAAGGATCGGGAGATGTTATACCCCTTTGTAGGTTGCTACGAGGACTGAATATATTTTTGCATTGCGGCATGGTTTGGCGTCTTGAATTGTTACAGGCGGTGAATGGGTATCCATATCCATACTCCCTTTACAGGGGCTGCCATGAATACATATTCTACATAGTGATGCAGCGAATGCAATATATTTTGTCTTGTTGGCTTGAAAGGACGACTACTATTCCCTTTGCAGCCATGGCGAACACTTTTTGCATTACAGGTTTGGTGCTTGACTCATGAATGATTGCAAATGGGTGTGTATACTCTCTTTACAGCCAAGCTTGCTCTGATTACACCTTGTATATGTTGTACCTGGGAAAGTCTTTCCTCTGTCTCTTCCCCATCTCGTATTAGCCGGTGTTCCCAGGGCAAGACATTGAAACGCACTCTCGTTGCCAAAAGAAGTCATAATCAGCGCGAACAGCGTCGCAGCTCTTCAGCAGAGAACGATGTGGGTTCTATATATTAAGATTTGCCCTTGTGCAACGTGACGTTTTCAGGACATTCGAATGATGGCAACCGCACGAACTATCTTGAGGTGTGCCAGCCGAATGTAGCAATCCTTGGAGTAAATCAGGAAAGTCGCGACATGGTACGAAGACCTTTCGGGGGAAGATTGGAGTGGGATGCGGTATAGCTTGGCTCCTTGGCTTGTAATGCTATACTATTTGCAGCTACGATAATGGTGAATACACTTTTGGTGTGCATATGGCTTGGTGGTTTGACTCATGAATGCCTATAGGTAATCCTTTCACAGCCACGGTTGTTATAATTAGACCTTGTACGTATTGTATGTAGTATATTTCGGCTCTTTAGCTTGTAAAGGAACGAACTGGTACTCTTTGCAGCTACGATAATGGTGAATATACTTTTGGTGTTAATATGACTTGGTGTTTTGACTTTGACTCCTAGCAGCATAGGGGAAGTTGAGTGGGACTATTGGTGCTAATGGGCGGGTGCCTGATAACCATTACCGGACACTGACGACATTTTATCAAGGCAAAAAACTTTGACAGAGCACCCTTACTATTGCTCTTGGCGAGAGTTAGACCTCCTTGGCGCGAAAAGGCTGTGAGCGAATAAATGTATGTTTGCAGCTGTTTATTGGAAAGATGCTCTCCACATGATGCGGCAGAGCTGCCTCAAAGCTAAATTAGAGAGAATCGATGAACTGTCGGAGGACGATGGTTTCCTATACGTTCTGCCAGCTCCTACGCTTGTGGCAGCGGTTGTTGTGACAGCTGAGAAATGTATAATAGACAAGAGGTCTTGACGGCCCACTTTGCGCGGACAATCTCTTACAGCTGGGTTTTTGACTTTTTACAATTGACAATTATAGACCAGCCGTCAAATTTATCTCTCGAGATGGAAAGTACGTACGAGATGGGTAATAAGATGCTCTCTGCAACTACGATCCTAGCGAATAGACTTTTTGCGTAATGATTTAGCATCTTAGCTTGAGAATGGCTTTGAATAGCGATGCTCCCTTTGTCACAGATTATTGTAAGAAAATGCTCTTCGCATGATGCAGCATAGGTAGTCTGGGTTCTTGACTGGGGCATGTTTTTTCTCAGATACGGTTATTGAGCATGATTAATACCTAGTATCATAGTTTAAGCTCTTGATATGAGAAAACAGACTGTTGCACCCTCCCTGTGGCCTCGGACATGGACACACGTATGCACGTATCTAGTCTCAAACTTGTTCTCTTATACTAGACCGAAGATGGTAATTCATTCGCGGCAAACTATTAATACATTCGATACGGACCAGTATGTTTTGGCGTGATGCTTTCAGGCTGCCACTTCCAAGGTCTTCCAAGGTCTTTCACAATCTTTCCCACCTTTCAAGCTTTGGGATGGCAGTGCGGGTGGGAATGGTTTGACCAAATATGGATTTTTGGGCTTGAAACTAGCTCTCGGCGCTCAAGTCGACGATATGAGGCGTATGGCGTTGAGCTTTGAAGAAAAGTTTGAAAATGTTGGGCGAAAGAGGGTCGTTGCTGCTGCTGTGCTGTGCTGTCACTTCGTTATTAGGTACCGCGAGACGGCTTGTCCGGTACAAGAAAGAGGGATCCGCAAAGTGGAATTCGAGGCGTTTCTCTCAGATATAAAATGAGAGCTTCGATCCCATATCTGAGCTGTTTTTTCTTCTTCTCTATCATAGCCTTGTACCATCACAGTGCGCTCCGCTACCTCTGCTATCAAGTACTGCTAATAGCCGTTGCTGAAGAAGAAGTAGCAATACGTAACTGTAGAATTCAAGGTGTTTCTTGCTGGTAGATACCAAGCCTCGTTGCTGTGACTGCGCAGAACCTTCTTCTCCATCATTGTCCTGTAATATTCCTGATATCCGGTCCATCTATAAGATAGACCGAAGCCACCTGGAATACAGGGGACCAACCACGTTACAGCAAACTCCACCGCCCTAGATCCCGCGTTTTAGGGCATCGACCGCCTATCCCGCAGCGCTAACGGGAAGCCATCCGATCTGTCGGATCTTTGTCCAACCAGTAGGTCGACGGACGTCGCTCCACTAAATGCGGGAACGCTGCCAACGTAGATTCCTCGTGTTAGTTGCAGCTGTGATTCTGAGTTGAAGCGTTTGCCAACTCATTGGAAAAGTCACATAGCTCGAATAGAGATAAAGACCTTGTCTCTTTTCTTTATTTATTTTTCTTTCTTTTAGGGAAATTTGTCATCAATGGCTGCCATGGATAACCAACTGGTAAGAATCTACCGGGATATCGAACACTGGGACGCCTTGACCAAAGACGCCGAGCAGGATGTCAGGAGAATCATGCGTAACATCATGGCCCTGGACGAGCAAATTGCCATTGCCAATGGATATCCAGACCAAGAGCTATTGCAGTCCTATGAATTTGCTGTGCAGATGGCCAACCTAGGGCTCGAAAGGGAGGCTCTGTACAATGAATGGGTCGCTACAAACGGACGACTCAAGGAGCTGCGATCAATCCCGCGGCAACGTCTTGAGCTGCAGGAGTATCTCGAGGCCTGCCACTCGATCGACTTGGCGATGCCGGCGCGCGACATCCTGCCTTCGCGCTTCGAGGTCATCACGGATGAAGCAGAGATTGAGTCCACAATCTATCCCCAGCACATTGTGCCGGCGACGGACTTTGCGGCGAAGCAGATGGACATCTGGTCGAGGCTGTCCCAGGGTCCTGAAATTTGCGATGGCGCCTGGTACACGGGCTATTTGGAGCTCGAGTGGATACGGGCGAAAGTGGACGCCAATATCGTCGGCTGTCCACATTCGCTCTTTACGTTTATGGGGGATACGGTGGACGAAGCGGTTACTGATATCCTGGGCCGAATCGTTAAGGATGGCCATCTGGTCCAAAGTCTCGGCATTGGGGGTGAGTTTCGTTTTGACTTTTATATGAGAAGCCCTGGAGATGTTTTGTCTTTTCGTACGTGTCAGTTCTAACAACGGCTTCTTGACAGCTTTTATCGAGACAGTTGACGATGAGAAGATTGTCAACATATCTCGTTCACCTTTGGACCAGGGGCTGTCCACCATTTTCTCGTACAGAAAACTGAGAGGCGGAATCCTTCGCCGTCCGGTGCCTGTGCTCGTGACCTGCTACCGGCCGCCGTACAGGCTGAGCCTCAACGAGATCCTCACGGGGCTGCGAGGAAGCATCGAGGTGGCGAGGGAGATTGTGCAGTCCCCAGCCGTCAAGAGGTTTTGCGAAATGTCAAAGGTGCTCGTCGTCGCCGTCATCACGCACCTCTTCCAGCGCATGCTCGTCGTCGGCACGCGCTTTGGCTACATCACCACCGGGGAGGCCTACATCTTTCTCGAAATCGGCGCCGATGCCCGCCTCGTGAGATACTCGCTGTGCGTGCCGCGCCACGATGTAGAGTCCGATCCGGTGACGGGGCTTCACCGCACGGCGGTTGCTCAGGTGCTGGCCTTTACGCTGCGAGCCTTTCGAGCCAAGCGGATGCCCCCTGCGTGGTACCAAAAGGCACAACAGGAGCTCTGGAAGTGGCGCGTGGATCCCGACGACATCTTCAACAAGATCCCGCCCCTGGTGCGCAAGATGAAGCGCAATATCGAGTATGTGCCCGGCAACTGGAGCCCCTATTTGGAGAGGTCGCCCCTTGAGCAGCGCGTTCAGCGCATGATCTTGCCGGGGTTAAAGCCGCGCTTCAATGAGGCCAGCTTCAACGACTTGGGCTACTTTGGGTTCCTCACCAGCCACCGCATCCAACCGGCCGGTGAGCCAATGGACCAAGATGACGAGCCCAGCGGCCAAGACGAAGAGCCCAGCAACCAGGACGGAGAGTCCATCGAACCGGCCGAAATCCTCATCGACTACCAGCCCTTTTGCACTCCGGAGTGCCTTTGGGGACTGGAGCGCTTCAGAGCCCTGGACAAGGCGTGTCCCAACTTCCGGTATCACGGCAACAAGCACCTTCGGCTGCACGAGTTGCTGGATGGCCTGCAGGAGCAGCTCGACGGCGAAGCGGCGAACTGGACCCAGACCAACCACAAGTTTCTCTGCCGGAGCGGTCTGTATACGACGCTGCTCAAGGTGAGGCTCGCGTCGCATGGCTACACGCTCTTGCTAAAGGGCGTGATCCCGTCAAAGATCGACCACCTGTGCCGCGAAGCCGACATGTATGACCAGCTGCTGGCACTCCAGGGCTTTTTTATTCCGGTGAGCTTTGGCATGATTGAGACCCAGAATGAAGTCTTCAGCCGCTCTTTTGGAGGCTTCAGCCTCTTCATGGTGTTTGGTGGGTTTCCCGAGGGAGTCATGCCTCTGTACCAGTGCATGGCTGCGGGCATTGACAAGCAGGTGATTGTCGATGCTGCGGAGAGGACGTTCCGGTATATACACGCCGAGCGCGTCTTCCATTTCGACCCGGAGCCGCGGAACATGCTGTACGATGCCAGACAGAATAGGGTCATTGTTGCGGACTTTGAGAGGGCGATGTATGATGAGGTGGAGGGGCAGCAGTATCTGAATCCGATTTTGCAGATTGAGGGGGTTCATGAGTGGACGCCGGAGCGGAAGAGGATTCCGGATGTGTGCTTTGGGCAGCAGAGGGATTATGTGAGGCAGAGGATTGAGGAGTTTTTCGAGAGGGGGTACTGATTTGTTTTGCTTTGATTTGTTTTGTTTTATTTGAGATACCCATTTGTTTTTGGACGACTAAATGATTGGATGAGCTTCTGATTCAGATGAGCTAATGATTCAGACGGGCGGTATAGATATAGATTAATACCACATATAGAATGCTTGGAAAGAGTAGACTCTTGCCATCGCTGTATTTTTTCTGAAGGTCGTGTAAAAAATTGTATATTTTATTTCATTCAAGTTTGTTTGATTGTGTCTGATGGTGAAATATTTGCTGGTGAAATAAAATGTAATATTTGCTATGAGATGGTGGATGGGAGTACATCAACAGTCAGTATCCTACTGAGTGAATTTCATACAACTTCATCAGCAACAAAGGCAAAACTCATTCTTTCATCATTTTATAAGCATATTATAGTGAAATCTAGGATTATCTCTCAGTTACCGCTTTTTTCCGCTCATAAATCACCAAATTGGTTTCTTTGCAGTGATTTTATTCTGCGTCCTAGTCAAGGGTAGGTACACCGGGGGCACCTGAAGCGAATCTCGCGATCGCTCGCTGATTGGCCATCGAGATTATGTAATCCAGCGCTGGCCTTACGTAGGCAGCTGCCATTGGATCCTGAATCTCGAATCTTTCCTACTCGACATCTGTTCAACGGCCAAAGCACGATTGATGTGGATTTATTATCATCACTGCGTTGTATGAACCTCATTTCCTTCTGAAAGTATTTCAATCAATCACTATTCTCCTTTCGCGTCAAAGCGGGCCGCACGCTCGGCCTAAAACTACGATGCGACAGCCCGGATGAGACGAGTTTTAAGTCCGAGTCTTGGAATCTCTCCGTAACAATAACTCACCCGAATGCAAATCATGGCAACGAATCTGCCGAATCCGTCCAGACTGGAGCGTCGGAAGCTGCGAAGAGGAACCACGAGCTGCTGGGAATGCAAACGCAGGAAGACAAAATGCCATTTCGAGCAGGGAAATCCGGCTGTCTGCGAGTCCTGCCAGCGGCGAGGCTGCAAGTGTGTTCTCCAGGACGTTGATGAGAAGACTTCAACAGGCCAGAGGGCTCGGAATCGAAACCTCGGAGCGCAGATGAATTACCTCGAAACTGTGGTTGATCAGCTTGTCCATCGGCCAGCCAGGTCTAGCACACAAGGCGCAAATTGTGAGACTGGATCGGAAGAAACAGCCGCTGCTCATGAGAAAGAGAACAGTGCTGCAAGAACGGCACCAAGACAGCAAAATACTGGTCGACATCCTTCAGAGCCATTCAACTCTAGGCGCAGACTCCTCCCCAAATTGGACAAGGCACCCGCAAAAGAGCCTCGTACTCCAGCCAACGACAACCCCCGTATAGCGAACCAACCTCTTCAGCCATTAGCATCACAAAAGTATTCGAAACAACTTCGTCCTCTACTACTGCCTCCGTCTCCTATCGGCGGCTCACCGCGGCACAACTCCTTGATCCTCCTGCTGCAATCCATCCTCCCGGCAGCCAGCGTCACTTCTCGCATCATGCAGCAGAACAAGCTTCTCATGATGTCCATGCACGTATTCCGAGGCCTCTCCACCGATCTTCTTCGACTCTCCTACCAACGCCAAGTTGCCTATTTTTCCTCACTCACATTGTCAGATGCACAGCCGATAGACCTGGCTCGAAGTCTTTTCCAGCTGGCCATCTGCCTCCAGCAGTCTGATCGCTTCCCCGAAACCTCCAAACTGTGGCTTAATCATTCGAACCGCGATGTGGCAGATCAGTATTTCGAAGCCGCCACTCGCTATGTCACCTCTCAAGACTCCATTGTCGTCTCGTACGAGGGAATAGAGACGTTGATGCTCGAGGGCCTCTATCACGTTTCCTGCGGCAGGCTGCAACTTGCGTGGGTTGTATTTCGCAGGGCGCTTGGAATCGCTCATCTCGTGGGCTTACACATACCGCAACGGCGGCGGCAGGGCAAGCAGCAATCGTCCGCCAATGGTCCATCATCAATGTGTCTGGCGACACTGTGGTTCCGCCTCGTTTTCATGGATCGTTACTTGTCTCTGGTGCTTGATCTTCCAATGTCCGTCCTGGATGATAGCTTCATGGACGATTTTGTAACCCAAGCGCCGTTTGAGAAGCTTGAAAGAGCTCAGGCCAAGCTGACGAGTCGCATCATTTTCAGAAACCAACAGCTGCGGCTTGGCCAAAGAGGAGGAGACCCCGTCTACGATCATTACAAGGAGACAAAGGACATTGACTATTTACTAACACAGGCCACGCGGGCTCTGCCTTTGGAGTGGTGGGTTTTTCCTCCAACGCAAGATGCTCAATCGATCGACGAGCTAAGGGACATGATTGCAAAGATTGTTCATCAGTTGCATCATTACAATTTTGTTTTATTGCTGCATATACCTTACATCCTACCGGGGCCCGAGGGTCGTTTCAACAACTCCATGCAAGACTACTCCAATTCCAAATTTGCAGCCGTGGCTGCCGCTCGAGAATTACTCGGTAGATCCATCGTTCCGGTCGGACCTAATCGCGTGTCGTTTTCGACCAGGGGCATCGTTCTCAAAGTCGTTCTTTCTGCTTTGACTCTGCTCGTGGTGCACCTGGATAGCCATCGACTGGGCCGTGAAAATCCTCTTGGCCATCAGCGCCCAGGGGATTTGGCAACGGCTGAGCGCGCTATTCAGAGCCTGGAAACCATGGGCCAAAAGTTTGACGACAAGTTGTGTCATTCTGCAGCACGAGCGTTGAAGAGATTAAGTGCTCTTGAAGCAACCGCAGCTGATGGCGTCAGCTATACAACATGGAGTGAGCCCGGCGACATGGTGTGCACAGAATGTATTGTGCAAGAAGAGGCAAACGACATCCAGATGACATTTCCACACGTGGGAATAATCCACATATTGCGCCGTGAGCCCCAGGACAATATGGCAAAGACCGATAAACTGCGTACGCTAGAGACCGGCAACCTGGGTGACAACCTCGTGACTCCGTCTTGGGGCTGGTCTGATTCTCCGCTGTCTTCGTGGCCCGACCCAGCTTCGTCTTCTAATGCAGACGACGTGGGATATCTGCCTATTGGCATGGAAATCTTTGGCCCCGACATTCAAGAAGCGTGGAACTTGCAGAAAACTGACGTCGAGGCCATTGAAGTACCGTCAACATTGCAGGTAGCTGCGCAAGACTATCAAGTTCAAGGGCAGGAGTCGAATGATCAACGCCCTTTATTACTGGAAGAGACGTTTAATACTACAAAGTTTGGATCTTGATTTGTATCAGGCTGGAAATTTATATCAGAGCTGCATAATAACTAAACGACTAGCTACCATGCTATATGGAGGAAATAATTGCAAAGAGTATACATCCATCTCATACATTTACAAGTTTACCGCACTGGAACCAGCCCCGTCAATCGGCCCAATCAGCCCAATCAGCCCGATTAAGCCTCAAGCGGTGGCGTGTCGCCGAAGAGATTCACGCCAGGGAAGCCGTCGGGAATGCGAGGGCCGGTGACATCCTTGGCCACGTCACGGATAGCCCGTTCTTCCTCCGCCGACAACTCAATGCTCATGGCGTCCAGATTCTCACGAAGCCTGTGGACCCGAGTGGTGCCGGGAATGCCAAAAATGTCGTCGCCCTGCGCAAGAAGCCAGGCCAATGCCAGCTGCGATGGAGTAGCGCTCTTGGTCTTTGCGATTTCGTTGATTTTTGCGACGATGGCGAGGTTCTTGTCCAGGCTTTCGCCGCTGAATCGAGGCAGCCTTGATCGCATGTCGCCTTCTTTGGTGATGTCCTCCTTGGACTGAATACTTCCCGTGAGGAGGCCTCGGCCGAGCGGGCTGTAGGCAACGACGGCGGTGCCGAGCTCGCGGCAAGTCTCGAGGAAACGGCGCTGGGGATCTTCAATCTCCAAAGTAAACGCATTGTACTCCATCTGGACGCAAGTAATGGGATGAATGGCGGAAGCGCGGCGAAGAGTGTTGGCGCTGCATTCGCTTATACCAAGATGCTTGATCTTGCCGGCGTTTTTGAGCTCTGCCATGACCTTGATTGTCTTTTCGATGGGGGTGACCTTGTCCAGGTGATGAATGTAGAAGAGGTCGACGAAAGGCAGCCCGAGGCGCTTGAGGGATTTTTCGAGGGCCTGTCGACAGTACTCTGGAGAAGAGTCGACCTTGATGCCTGCCTTTTCGGGGATGATGCCAAACTTTGTGGCGAGAAAGATGTTTTCGCGTTTGTCTGGGTTGGCGGCGAACCACTTGCCGAGGAGGTCTTCGCAGTCGCCATACATGTCGGCTGTGGTTGAGCTTTATTAATAGCCGTCTTTGAAATCGAGCCACGTTCAATGCTGTTGACTTACAAGTATCCCAGAATCTCTCGCCCATGTCGTACGCCTTATCCAGAAAGGCAAAACGCTCTTCGTCCGGAGCAGGCAGGCCATAGTGGCCGCTCAGGCCCATGAGACCGAGGCCAAGACGAGGGACTTGAGGGCCGTCTTTGCCCAAGGCGCGGGTGACAATCTTGGGTACAGACATTGTTTTTATTGTGTACTTGGTGGTGTTGCAGAATGTGTTGTTGTTATTTGTTGGTTAGAACCTCAAGGAGGCATAGGACGTCGCCTTTTATAGACGCCAGCGGTGCTCTCCTGGGCCATTGACCCGTACAATCGAAACAGCAGTTTCGACAAACGTCGGGGATTTCTTCCTAACTCCATGGTATCTGCGATGGGTTGATCATGAAGTTGAAACTCGGTGTCCATGGTGATTGGACCGGAGGACAGTCTCGTCGAGGTGAACCGACCAATGAGCGTTCTTCCGCCGAAGGATGCTGGCGATGTAGCCAATCAGCGTTGTTGCGCCGCTAAAGCCGTGGCAGATCCGTTTGCTGGGCGCGGCGGTGGAAACTCCCGTGAGTAGCTGGGTAGACTGAGGGAAATGTGGATTCGACGGCGTGGTGCTTCTTTGGGGCTTTATACAGTGGGTTTGTGCGGTGAAAGCATGCTGTGTTGCGTGGAGACGGTTTTGGTGCTGTTCGTGGTGAGGTGGCTTTCAAGCTCATTTTTGGAAAGAATTTGTTCTCTCGTGGCTCTTCTAACCTTGATTTTTCATAGGGAGAGACGCGATTTTTCGAAGAAGGTAAGATTAGAGGGAGAGCCGGGAGAAGGCCGTTATTAGTCTGCCAGCGGCCGGTCATAAGCTATTGCTTTGACAATGCTTGATCCAATGCTTTGTTGACCGATACATGCCAGTCGCATTGTTCTTGGACTATCCTAAGGACCTTGAACAGAATCTAGCCTTGAGTCTAGGGCTTAAGACATTTGTATCGATACGTGGAATTAGCCGTCGATTTTTTCACTTCTCTGCGACCGAGACTCTCTCCATATAAGTGGAGAAAGGCACATTGTTCTTGGGCGTTCCGGCGTGGCGTGGAATGCGATTAAGCCATTGGCACTACATTCCGACAACGAGCACAAAGAGCTGCAGTTATAATTTCAAACAAAAGATTATTGCAAAGATACTATAAGGAACACTTGCATTCGATGGATGGGCTGAGATTCAACAGTGACGATTCCATCCGCCATCTACCTTGACGATGGTTTTTGGGCAGGGCAGGGATGAGGTATGCAGCACATGCTGGCGCACACGCTCTGAGAGCAAGTTGGGCGCTGAAAACACAGTCAACTATGTATCGTTACTTTGCGCATCCAAGAGCCCTGGTAGGCCAAGATGCTACCTGGACGGGCGCTGTATGACGGCAGCTCGTATTCACCGCCAGGCACAAAGTTTATTTCCCCTCAAAACCAGTCTGGGGAACGCAACCAAGAATATCGTGCGAATATCGTGTGTATCCACAAACAGCATGCCTCTTTGTCTTGGGCGCTGAAACACCGCGTGCCAACGGAGATCGGGACTAAGACAAACCAACGATCGGGCGATGCTACGCCAGCAAAAGCGTGGCAAATGAAGCGTTGCATTTCACCTCGGCGTCAGGTGTCGGACATGTTAATCTGCCGAGTCAGATCTATGACCATTGCTCCTTGGAGTTTGGGACAGGCACCAGCAGCCAAAAGTTTCCGCAAGCATTCGTATGTGTTACCAATTGATGCGACATACTGACGTCAAAACGACTGGCATTTGCTGCGGTGTCTTACTTTACTCAAAACAGGTGTTACCAGGAACGGACTAAACGCTCCATGTGGAAACGTCATCGATGATGTGGGTATGAAGGTTGATCGATTTGTTTAAAAGGACTGCGGTTCTACATCTTTGTCTTGACACTCTGTTTCCATACAGAACTGAATCTCTCTTGTAACTGTTGTTGATTATTGAAAGAACAGCGAAACGACACCTGAATCCTTCCATCAACCCACCATCACCATGCATATTCCCGACGTTCAGAAGCTGGCTACTGCAAGCCTGGCCCTTGCTAGCGCCACACTAAGTGAGCTCCCTCTCTAACACTGTCTTCCATCAACTGCTTACAACTCTTTAGGCGGTGACACCGTCATCAAAGGCAGCGTGCTCGACTTTGCCGTGGAGAAGTGCATCGACAAGGACGGAAACACCCGGTGCTCCAAGCCTTTCCCTGTTAAGGTTGACGGCTGCTACAAGCTCGAGTGGTCGACTAACGGCGCGCTTTCTCATACCACCGTGGAGGTTCGCGACGTGGGCAGCGGCGAGATTGTCTACTATCGGGATACCAATGGCGAGTGGAAGCCCAAGAAGGACGAGCTGGTGTACCTCGACTTTAAGCCCAAGATTATGGGGCAGGGCAACAAGACTGTTGATTACGAGGTGAAGAACTGCGAGAAGGATGATGAGCTATAAATGGAATGGTTGACTGCGTGGGTCATGAAGTGCAAGATTGAAGAAACAGCGGCTGGCATAATGGATGCAACATCGGCGAATTTGGTATCGGAACTGGACAAAGAATGATATATACGGACAAACAATTGGTTACACTGATGCCTAATAATTTTTTTAATATTTTCAGCACCACATAGAGGCACCAGCCTGGTTTATAATTAGGCGGTATACGCAGCGCTGATTGAGAGACTGCTTGTCTGCGTCCTCTTGGCGGATTATCTCGGCTCTAATGAAATAATAATATTCGATGAATGGGATTTGATTGGATTGAATGCTGAGGCTGGTGCAATGAGGTGCCTGGATTTTGCGTGTGTTTGCAGATCCGATGTATGCCGAGCTTTTTCTTCTCCAATGTGAATACAGGTGATTGGAAACAACTGGCATGAAATCGTCTGCCATTTCGGCATTATCATTCTGAATCTGGGAGTGTTCAGTGTCGGATTAGGCGGTATCATCCTCGGCGGCCTTATACTCGATCAAAGCAGAGGATTTGGTTCGGGTGTCGGTCGCAGGGATGGACAGCGTAGAAGACGTATTACAAAACGCGGCAACGTCTAATGGACTTGTGCTGATCTGTGCCATCCTTGCTCAATTCCTTGATTCTCATATGGGCGATGGCGATTACGGTCAGTGTCACTGTTGGTGTGAATCGTTTCTTTTGTTTGGTGAATGTATTGACTCTGTTCATCTTGACATTAAAGCCTTTGAAACAGCGTAGGCTTCAGAAAAGTTGTTTCTAAGCCAGGCATCCATGACAAAGAACAATCACTTGGAACACTCGAGACAAACAACAGGTTCGACAAGAATGACACCTCAATTCACTGGAGCACTGGCATATTGCGACAGCACAGGCTTCCTCTCTAGAGTCCACCCCCAATCTCGTATGCCGAGAACCAGGACTAGCAACCAAGTGAAGATGAAACGGCAACGCTCGTCGGCGGACAACAGCAAAGGTGGCTTAAGCAACCGGGTTTGGTAGCAAACCTTTCTTCATGCTCTGCAGCTCTGGTGTTGTGGTGTCTTGTTGAAATCCAAAGTTGGATATGTCGGATTGAGGTGGTTTTGTGGCTGAACCCATGCTTAACAGAACAATTCGCTAATGGGCAAATAGTGGCTGCGAGAAGAACGCCTGGCTTCTTAGACTATGAGTGGTTCCAAGGAAGAGTGGATTTGCGATGCTTGAATTTGGAAGCTGAAGGATAGAGCATAATGAAGCTGTGTGGAGTGTCGCGATTGAGATGCCGTCTAGTTCTCGTAATATCGACATTCGAGCGATGCGTCTAATTTGAAGGACAAATGAAAACAGAAGATACGTATATGATTGTTTCGAATTAGACGTTTCGGACGTTCGCTCCCTGAATCGGCTTCGTTGTCGGCTTGTGTATTGACTTGATCTGGGCAGGCGGTCGCTCGAAAGATGGATTTTATGATACTTTGACTGCAAAACATTTTGTTAGATGACTTTGGTTGAGATGAGCCATTTGATTGGAGAAGAGTGTGGGACGTACTTTTGTTGGAGTTGTAGGAGAAGCAAGGCTGATGAAAGAAATGTTTCTTGTGCGTTTGTTGGAAGCGATATGTAGCTTTTCGAATGGCCACAAGATGATTTTTTGCTGCCGAGATGGCGATGACGCGTTCAAAAGTTTGGAATTCTTTTGGCAAACGCTGGACGATAGACAATTGGCTCGATTTTGGCATGTTGGGTTGTTTCGCGGCGGATGGAAAGCTTCGCAGTGTTTCGGGGAGGCTGGCCTCTTCGATTTAGGCCTATGCGGAATTTGGAGTCTAAGAGAACGATCAGTCAGAGATTGTACCGAAAGGGTCCAAGATTAGAATATTCAAGTGTGCTGGAACTCGTACCTTGATCTGGCAGCATACATGGTGGTGAAGGCTGATTTCGAGAGGCGGGTGTTTGGTAGAGAGTGCTGCGTGGAGCGGGCTGCCAATATTTTATTTTGCCCTCCGTACTGGCCCAGCTAGAGCAGTGGTCAATATCGTTGGTCGCCCAATAATCCGAACTGATAAAGGCGAATCAATCACGCATCTTTGCCAATAAGCTACTTTGTCTGCCGATATTCTGTTCTTTTGGCTGATCGGGGGTCTTTGTTCATTTTTGCCAAGCCGCGTAGGTTGATGAACTATGCGATCCTTTTGCTTGTCGTAGACAGGAAATTGATGAAAGATGACAGAAGGGTCAGCACTGTAATGAATTTCTTGTGACTCTTCCCGACATGGTATCGGGTAGCTTTCAGGGACATTAATCTTGCTGAGTGGGCGTAGATCAACCACCATACGGCCTTTGAGTTGCCCATTTACTGTTCGCTAAATGACAAAGATGCAGCATGCAAACGACGATGGTTGCTCCATCCAACAGGAACCTTTTTGTGCGTCAAGATGATCCATCATACCCTCTGCTAATGTTTCGATCCTCCAGCCCCATGTGGCACGGTCGGATGTGCATCTTGTCATATGGAAGGAGTGGGATAATACCTCGATCCTCAGATGCTGTGTGCGAGCTTTGCGTAGCATCGTTGACTCCCCTATCGAGCAAGGAATTCTCGAAATCTTGATGTCGAAATCTTCCAATCGTTTACTAAATTCAGTGCTATCACTGGAATCTCTACGAGGAACATTCGAGAGGCGAGCAAAGTTACCTGGCACTGGGAGGATCTACGCCAAACCCATCGGCCTCGACGATGCAAAAATATTTCAACAGCTACTGGTATACATTCAGCTCGAGCAAAGAGTGAGGAATCTTTGCTAGCTACGATGATTGGCCAGATGATGCCTCTGTTTGTTGGTGCCCTGATAAAACCCAGGATTCTCGCCTCTCTAACCACCACACTGGAGCACTATCCTATCAGAGGAATATCCACCACTGAACAAAGTAATGATCAAGAATTCACGGCAGGTCTAGTTTCTGCTATTGATGATCCTCTACAAATTATTACTTGAAAATCTCGAAACAATCATCGAGGCATCCGGTTGCCCTTCTCCCCCTGTCAACATGCTATTCTTGCAGATCCGATGCATCACTCCCTGACCACAAACCATTGTCCTACTCTATTCAGACATCATTGAGATATTATTGACCAAAGATTAAACTTTGAATCAATGACTACAGTTTGATTTGCATGCACACAAGTGGAGCTTCTACGTAATGGGGCGGTGAGGCGAGGGCTGCGTGCACGAAGCTGTGAAGATGAAGCGAATCTATTGTGAAACTACGCATTTATAGACCATTGCTCGACATTTTTATACGGCATCAATGGCAAAGAAGCCTAGATGGAGCGGTCAGATGAGCAAGAATATCAAAAGGGCGGTGTCTCTTGAATATCTGATCTGCAAGTGATGCCCATTCAGCTCCCACACTGCCATTCACGCCAGCTGCCAAGCTGAAAAATCCATTTATTCTATGCAAAGTGCTATAGATCAGATGGTTTTTCTCGCACTGCAAACGAAAGCTCATCTGCCTATATATGGCCACCTTCATTCCTCCCCTGCTCCCGACTTCTTCTCCCTTTCCTCCTCTTCTCACAACATCGATCTCATCCATCCCGCGATCTCAACCCCTTTATCACCAATTCGTCTTTGATTTTTCCGTCTCTACATACTCAGCCATCATGTCTTCCTCCCGCCGCCAGCGCGTCATTCATGGACCTCTCCATGATTGCGATACCTGCGGCGCACAGTTTTTGTTCCACGAGCAGCTCATCCTGCACATGACAGACGAGGGCCACTGGCCCACCTGCGAGTTCTGCGGCGATCGATTCCGGCGAGTCAACGCCCTCGAAATCCACGTCGAGGCCAAGCACCACTTCTGGTGCAAAGTCTGTCGCAAGACTTTTGCGACGCAGCGTGGTCTGATCGACCACATGGAGGCCAAGGGGCACCGAGGCCCCATCCACAAGTGCCGGAATTGCAATGCAATGTTTGGGACTGTTGCTGGTCGAGACGCCCACCAGACGGAGAAAGGGCACTGAGCGTCCCTGAGCGGACTGCCCTCCCAGGTATGTGACGCTTGTCTTTGCTGGTTTGTTCACGGGCTGAATGCTGACTACCATCAGGGCAAATCTCGGCCTTTTTGGCCCTTTGCTTTTTTGTTCGTATTTTTTTTCTGGGTTTGGCTTTTTCTTGCCGTGGGCAACGTCTTCATCAACGGATGGAGGGAGGGAGGGGGGATATTTTCTGGGATTGGGGTGGCGATATATTGGAATTGAAGTTTTTGTTGTGAATATTCGAGTCCATTTTCTTTCGTAGGCGTGAACAACTTTGCCAGCGCTCTCCCAGGAATCTGTCTTTGTGTGTCAAATCGTATTGACGTAGATGCCAAGCTATCACGACGACAGTGTTTCATCTGTTATGCAAAAGTCACTTTGGGTGACGAGTCTCAAGCAGCTGGCACCAGCATCTGCAGCTTGAGAGAGAAGTGAGCATCGTGGACGGTCTGCCAACATGCTTCTGGGCATCATTATCAGAATTCTACATGTCCCTCGGTCGAGGACAAACGATTATCACATCGTGCCAACAAATCTAAATTCTACAAAAATTGTTCAACTGCCTACTGCCGGATTGTAGCCTCGCAAAAGCGTTCCAATGGCGTCCAGTCCAAACAAATCCGTGGAAACTGAGATTCTGTTGCTGCAGCCTGAGGCGCTCACGTGCCCCGAGTGATCGAGGAGGCCCCGCCCACGCCTACTTAAACCTCGCCCTCCCCCCTCGACTCTTCTCTTCTTCTTTTCCTTTTTCCTTTTTCCTTTCCTCAGCACCGCCCATCCCTTCGGGGATCCTCTCCCGCTGGAGCAAAGCTCCAGCGACAGAACCCTAGGAGGTAGAAGTGCTCCGGCCTAGTGATTAGGCTCTTGGGTAGGCGAACTCAAGAGCCAGAGGCAAATCAGTGCAGGCACTGGTTTCCTCTTGTATGAAGGTCGCTCTCTTTTTTTTTTTCATTGAGCTTGAGGCTATACGCCTGGACTCGAAGAAGAAATCCTCGCTCCAAACCGTTGAGTTGTTGAGGTCGGTCTGGGTGCATGTGGTTTGTTTATGTTAGGAGGTCAGCGTATTCATCAAGGCGAGCGCCCAGGATGAAGGCTTTTGACATGATTGCTGATATTTTGAGAAGAAGATGTCACTTGTTGATGGAAACTGTCGACCAGCCGGGATGGCATTCTCACGGGTTTGTCGAGACGTGATGTTGGAGCTGATTATTCAATTGGCATCTTCAATAAGTAGCTACGAAAGAAAAAACAACTAAAAATAGACCAAAAGAATACAGACACAATCAAAATTGCTGCATGGGCGAATAAAATCGTTTCTTTATTGCTCTTGGCCCCCAAAACGTCCCACCATCTTTTTCCATTTCAGCACCACCAACTGTCAGGCGTGAAGGATTCGAATCCCGGCCAGTATTTTCGTCGACAGCTGATGTGGGCGCTTAACCGCCGCTTCTGGTTTGTTTCCCAGGGTGATCCTCCAGCTGAAAACAGGTGGGGGAGGACCTAGCCGTTTCTGAAACGCCTGCATACAGCGCTCTTTGTTGTTGGTTTGGCTGCTGAAGCTGCCTGAATCTGCCTGAAGCTGATTCCAGCTGCTGTTCTTTTCCTTTCTTTCAGCTTTCAGCCTTGTCTTCCTTTTCGTCTTCTTTCAACTTTCAAAGCAAACACAGGCAGCATGGCGCCTGAGCCGCTCGACACCGAAGAGACGAGGCGTCTTCTCAGCACAATCTCCAGCCTCGACGACCTGTGCATCCTCTTTGTCAACAAGCCGCAAATCATCGTCGTGGGAGACCAGGGCTCCGGCAAGAGCTCCGTCCTCGAGGCCATCTCGCGCATCCACTTCCCCGTCGGCGATGGCATCTGCACGCGGTTTCCCATCGAGCTGGTGCTACGGAGAGCTCCTCGAGAGAGCACCTATCTGGAAGTCTTGTTTGATACCAAGTCGCTCGATGTTGGCGGCAGAAGCTTTTCGCGAACCACGCGGACAAGAGAGCCATTCATCCATGTGGGATTTTCAAGAGACGAGTTGCCGGCTCTCATCACCAGGGCAAAGGAGCACATGGGCCTGGAAGATGGAAAGGCCACGGGCTTCTCGAGAGACATCCTGCTGATCGAAATGGAGGGCCCAGACCTCCCTTCGGTGACTCTGGTCGATCTGCCCGGCGTCATCCATCCTGGCTTCTCGTCACAGCTTCAGGACTGGAAGCCCGTTGTCGATGACTTGGTCGATAGCTACATGAGGCGGCCAAACAGCATCATCCTCACGGTTGTCTCAGCAGACGTTCCACTCTCCGCACATGCCGTCTTGAACAAGGCGGCGAGATTTGATCCTGATGGAGACCGCACCATTGGAGTCATCACCAAGCCCGATCTCTGCCCAAGCACAAACATAGAAGATCAATACATCAAGCTTGCCAAAGGGCAAGAGTCCAACCACCATCTGCCACTTGGTTGGCATGTTTTGCGCAATCGTGGATCCAAAGAGCCAGCAATGGACTACGACGAGAGAGACCTTGCAGAGGACGACTTTCTCGCAGAAGGGACTCGGAAATGGTGGAGGCTGCCTTTAGACAAGGTAGGAGTCGATGGCCTTCGGAGAAATCTGGCAGAAGTTCTCCTCAACCACCTTAGAAGCAGGCTCCCAGATCTTATTGGAGAGGTTGAAACCGAGATTGCGATTGGCCAGACGCGCCTCAAGAGGATAGGAGCATCCAGAGCCAACATCAACGAGATGCGAGACTATCTGCTCGGCATATCGGCCACTTTCCACAGGCTGGCAGAGCATGCCGTTGAAGGACGGTACAACGATCCATTCTTTGCGAGTCCCACCGTGCAAGAAACTAGCAGGATCAAGTTCAGAAAGCTGAGGGCTTTGCTTCGAAACTTGAATCGGGCGTTTCATCTCACCATGAAGCGCAAAGGAGCCAGATACAAGATTCAATGGGAGCATGAGCAGCAAGACAACGGCGTGGGCGCAGAAGAGCAGATTTCCAACTACATGGCCGATGCTGAGTCCCCGGAATATCTCCAGCCTTATCTCGACCTGTACGATTTCCCAGACCCGACGCCAAAGTCAGAGGCCACGGTCAACACCAGAATCGAGCGAATCGCTTCCGGCAGCCAGGGCGTTGAATTTCCCGGCGTGCCAAACAGCGATCTCATCATGCAGCTTTTCCGTGATCTCTCTGAGCCATGGACACGCATTGCTCTCCGCCACATTGACATTGTCGTCGAACGGACGAGACTCTTTGTCTACCATTTGTTTGACTACATCTTGGAAGACGACACAAAGACTCGAGATGCCATCCTGGCCGAGTACGTGGATCCTGTGTTTGAAACCACCATCGAGACGCTCAAGAGCAAGTTGACCGAGATTATGCGCCCCTACACGTCGGGCCATGGCCTTCCACTTGATTTGGAGTTTCGAACGGGGATCTCAAAGCGCAAGCTTGCGCGTATTGCGACGCAGATTGCCGACCTTCTTGAGCAGAACCAGAGCTCCTTTACGTACAATACGACGTCGTACAGGTTCATCAAGTATGAGGATGTTCGGAATATAGTCATGGATGCGAATGGCATGACGCTGAGTAGCGACTTTGGAGCGGATGTTGTTATCGACATGATGTTGACGCATTACGAGGTAGGCGATTTGCTTCTTTCTCTTCTGTTCCTCTTCTTCTTCCTCTTCTTCTTCCTCTTCTTCCTCCTCTTCCTCTTCCTCTTCCTCCTCTTCCTCTTCCTTTTATTGGCTATCAATATCCAGTTTATGAGGGACAACAATCTAACAAGCAACTGCAGGCAAGCCTCAAAACCTTTACAGACAACGTCATCCACCTAGTCATCGAAAACTGCCTCGTTTCTAACCTCCCCGACATCTTCTCCACAAAGATTGTAACGCAGATGAGCGACGACACACTCAGACAAGTCGCCGAAGAGTCGCCCAAAGTGAGGGAAGAAAGAACCAAGCTGGAGGATGAGATTGAGAAACTGAGACTCGGACTGCAAGAGTGCCAGCGTTCCAGACCTAGAAATTTCTCAGGTTCGTCCAGCACCAGGTTTTCTTGACTATAATCCATGAGTATTTCTAACAGCCCACGAGCAGAACCGGCAGATAACTTTCCTGAGCTCACGTCTCCAACTAGAGCTACCATAGCCCCAGAGAATCCGAATCCGTTCCCACATCGAGACATCAAGAAGCCAAAGTATCGAGTCAGGCTGCCGCCTTTCACAGAATATGCAAGGACCACTACTTCGTCGGAATCGCCGTTTGGCCAAGTTGCCTCGACTGGTGTCAGTTTTGCGACGCTTCTGAAGAAAGAGCCAGACCTTTCTTTTTCTTTGAAGGGAAAGGCTCCCGTCTTCGGTGCAAATGTTAATGAAGAGACCGAGGTGCCAGAGGATGATGAAAAGGCAACAAGAGTGAAATTTGAGCCTAGCATCTTTGGCTTGAGCAAAGATACTGAACCAAGCAAAACGATTCCAGGCCCTGCCACCTCTTTGTTCGGTGCAAAGTCCCCAGCCGTCAAAAGATCTCTATTCGGGAGCGAAGCAAAAATAACTACAACTCCCGCAACTACAACCCCCGTGACGGCTTTTGGCTCTGTTCCTACGTCTAGCAGCAGCTCAGCTCAAAACACCGGTTCTACTACAGCAACTGCAACTGAAGCCTTAAAGCCCGTATTTGGGTCTCAAAACCCTCCAAAAGCGGCTGCTGATTCCTCTGGCTCTGATTCTACTGCGGCGAATACAACTACAACTGCCAAGCCTGTATTTAGCTCTCCGGACCCCCCAAAGGCGACTGTGGGCTCTACATCTAATTCTACTGCATCTCCAGCTCCTGTTGCTGCGTTTGGCTCTGTACTTTTGGCCAAGAATGCCGCCCAAGTACCGTCTCTTGGTGGTGACAAGGCCCCGGCTGCAGCTTTTGGTTCAGTCCCGGTAGCCAAACCGTCTCTTTTTGGTGCAGCAGCCACGACTACTCAAGCTCAGGCCCCCAAGTCGTCTCTTTTTGGCTCTGGTGCAACAACTACATCTTCTCAAGCTCCTGCTCCCAAGTCGTCTTTTTTCAGTTCTGGTGCAACAACTGCTCCCAAGTCGTCTTTTTTCAGTTCTGGTGCAACAACCTCGACTTCTCAAGCCCCTGCTCCCAAGTCGTCTTTTTTCAGTTCTGGTGCAACAACCTCGACTTCTCAGGCCCCTGCTCCCACGTCCCTTTTTGGTTCTGGTGCAGCCACGACAACTTCGCAGGCTTCTACTCCCAAGCCATCTCTATTTGGCTCAACTACAACAACTTCTCAAGCCCCTGCTCCCATGCCATCAATCTTTGGTGCTGGTGCAGCCGCGACATCTTCGCAGTCCACTGCCCCCAAGCCGTCTCTTTTTGGAGGTACAACGTCGTCGCAATCTCCTGCTCCCAAGACGTCTCTGTTTGCCGGAGCTTCAACCTCTCAGGCTCCTGCCCCTAAGCCGTCCCTTTTTGGCACAACCACAACATCGACGGCTACGGCGACGACAGCGACGGCAACCGCAGCAAAGACTGCAACGACGCCGGCAGCCACGTCAGATTCATCAAACTCGACGCCGTCCAAGACACCTTCGACTGATGGCGTGGTTGGATCGCCAACTGCACCTCCACCGCAGTCATCTCTACCCGGCACTGAAAAATCATCGTCGTCGTCAAATGCTAACACTTAGAGAGAAGAATTGACAGCAAGTATGGTGATGATGTCTAGGATCGGACTTGAGATGATAGGACCGGTAGTCTTCTACTCTATATTACAGCTGATGGTAGACACTTGGCCCACTTTCTTTCTTTTCTTTTGGGTCTGTTTTGTTCTTTTAGTCGGTTTCGAGTGAGTTTACGGGTTTGCGAGTCACGTACGTGGCACAGTCGTTTATCAAGAATACCAATCGTGTAATTTCAGTCATTTAAGAATACAAACATGCATTTTCGCGCGCGCTCAATAACATAACGTAAAAACATCAAGAGTAGAATTGCAATCATTCACACCGACATCAAGCCTTGTCAGAAACATCTTCAACAGTGGTGCTCCTGGTTGAATCAGTCTTTTCCTCTGTGTTTACTGCTTCCACTTTGTCTCCAAATAGTTCGCCAATTTGTTCGAGAGAGAGTTGGTTTGTCTAGATGGAAGTGGTTAGTCTTGGCTTTGTTAGATGGACAAATTGAGCCTTACCTCGGGATAGTAAAAGTAAAAGACGACGGCACAAACAGCCGAAATGATGAGGAAGACGAGATAGTACTTCCACCCAATGGTCGCAAAAGCAGTCGGAGCAACCTGCAAGAAGATGATTGTCGCAACAAACAGCCCTGAAACAGACACGGCAAGGCCCTTTGCTCGGAGCGGAGTGGGAAAGATTTCAGAGGCGTAAATGTACGACGTGGCATCGGATGTGGACGAAAAGCAGACCATGTGCCAGAAGAGAAAGAAGACGGCGGCTCCGGCCATGCCGCGGGACTTTGTGCGCTGGAAGATGCTGACGGTGATGCATTCGCCGATGAGAGCCGTGACGACGCCGACGAAGCCAATGACGAGGAGGCGAGTGCGGCCGACGCGATCGACGAGGACGGAGTTGATGGCGTTGCCAAAGGGGCAGATGCTGACCCAGCCGGATTGGATGAGGAGCTGGCTGACGGTGGTGAAGCCGAGGGCTTTGTATAGAGTTGGGCCGTAGTCTGGGATACATGTTAGAATCATCTTGTGTTGTGTGTTGAGTGCAACTTACTATTGATGACGAGGGTTCCTGTTCCCTGACAGCCAAACATGACGAGAAAGCCCAGGAAGCACCTCTTGCGCATTCCAGGCGACTTGAAGAGATCGACGAACCGATGCTTGGTCATCTTCTCGTGCTGGATGAGACCCTTGAGCGTGTTGAACTCCTCGAGAATCGCAGACCTGTCATTGAGCATGGAGTCGTCACTCTCTGCCCGCACTGCTTCAAACGCCTTGAGGGCATCATCGGGACGGTCCTGATCGAGCAGCCATCGGGGAGACTCTGGCAGAAACGGGACGCCAATGGCGAGAATCAGGGGCGGGAGACACTGAATGGCCAGGGGAAGCCGCCATTGGGCGCCAGAGGCGTTGACAAAGTAGAATCCGAGGCCGACCCAGCTGGCGACGGAGTAGCCGATGCAGATCATGATGCCGTGGATGCCGACGAGGAGGCCGCGGATGCGAGGCGGCGCGATCTCGGACTGGTAGAGGGGGATGAGGACGACGATGGAGCCTGGATGGTGTAAGTAAAACCAGGAAAGAAAAGATGTGAGCATCACGCACCTATTCCCAGACCAGTGACGAAGCGAAAGACGAGATACATGGCGATGCTCACGCTGCCGGCCTGCAGCGCGCCCCCAATCAGCGCCACAATGGCCGTGATGAAGATGGCGCGCTTTCGACCAAGCACATCAGCCGATTTCACGCACGACAGGCAGCCGACGAGGCCACCCGCCTGGAAGAGGCCATTGATGGCGCCGATGAGCTGCGTGGCGTTGGAGCGGGTGTCGAGGTTGAAGTAGGCGATAAAGGACGGCTGGCCGAGGGTGGTGGCGATGATGCTGGAGCAGTAGCCGTAGGTCATGCTGCCGAGGGCAACGAAGCCGACGATCTGGCGGGGATGTGAGTGGATTGGTCGTTTTGTGGTGTTTTGGCAGGATCTGACATGTGATGGAGATGGGAGTTGCTTGGCATTGGAGGGTTGTATTCGGGGCAATGTGAGATGAGATTGAGACGATTGAGACTTACCAGCATGCGGTACAGGGCCGGCGAAAGCATGATGAAGGAATTCCAACGTGTACTGGAAGATGAAGATGAAACAAAGAGAATGAAAATCAAACGACTGCTGAGGCACAAAAGTTGGCGTCAACCCGGATGTCGTCGAGGTTTTTAAAATGGATCGCAAATGGCAAAAAAAAAACACAAGACAATGATTTCGTACCAGCGGCCAATGGAATGAATGGCTTCTCGGACTGGGCCAGCTGAAGCCACGGCAGGGCTAGCAAAAAGCCATTCAGAACGTGAAGCTAACAGTGAAGCAGAAAAAGTCATGCTTGCTCCGGAAAACCACCGCAGGGGCAGCATCTAGAATTCGAGTAACAACGGTTTTGCCAGATAAGAAGCCGAAAATCGGTGCTGCTTTCGGCGTCTTGATGCGTTTGTGCTGCAGTTCTTGTGCTTCTGTCTGTGTCTCTATCTCTTTTTTTTTCTTTCCCTAGCCCCGAAGACGGAGTTGAGCTCTGCATAAACTTGATGCACGGCAATTCTTTACCCCGCAAAAGGCCAACTGAGACCGGTCATTTTCTAAATTTTAGTGGCTCTTGATAGAGGGCTCGACAAGAATGTGGCGCCGGCTTCTAGGCCCCTTGCACCCGTTTCCTGGGTTTATAGTCTGCGGAAACCTACCAAGACTCTTCCCCCCCTCAAAGTCAATCTGAGTGTGTTTTTCCCACTAAAACATATTGAGCGACTTCAGCTTTTCTGGCATTGGCCACCCGCCACTTTGGAATAGAGTTGACTAAACACACAATGGCTGCGTATGAGTTTCCCGACTTTGACCAATTGCCGTCTGTGCCGGGGCAGCCTCAGGGTTGTCTGTGGGGGTTTTTTGACCGAGGGGGCAAAAAGGATGAGCTGGGCAGTGAGTTTCTCCGCGCTGTTTCGATAGTTGTTGGCTGTTGGCTGACAGGATGTTACTATTCTTGACCTATAGCTGTCAATCTCCTAAACGCAGAAACTGTCAAGGAGGCTGCGCGGGAGATTCAGACCGGAAAGCATGTCCAGCTGGACTGGCCCATGAACAATGTCGAGTTCCCCGGCTTTGGCCGCATCCCCATTGAGCACAACGTCAAGGAGATGGAAAAGGAGGGCTTCCTTGGGCTGGATGACGAGATCAAGATTAACACCCAGACGAGCTCGCAGTGGGACAGTCTGAAACATGCAAGTCTTTTATGCGGATATTTTGTGTGTATGATGTGCTGAGATGTTTTGGTCTAGTGGAGTATACAGAGCCAAGGCGTGTTTTACAATGGCCTGTCGATTAAAGAGGCCTTGAAATCGCCTACGAATGGCTTGCACAGTAAGCTCTCCATCTTTATTTCCTGGACGTGGAGCTTACAAGAATGATGGATGTTTGTGAGAAGGGCGGCATAGTCGGTAGAGGCATTCTCGTTGACTGGGTACGTTGTTAACAGAATTACAAATGCAATCAAGAACTAACAAGTTGCAGCTACGATGGTGGGAGCATCAAAACCCCGGCAAAGACGCACCGTCTGCCATTTCCACCTACTCGATCCCGGCGTCCGAGCTGGAAGAGGTGCTCAAGTTCCAAGGCACCGAGTGCCGCCAAGGAGACATTCTCATTGTGCGAACAGGCTTTGTGCGCTGGCACGAGTAAGCACTCCAACAATTCTACTCATGACACCAAACTAACACCATCAAGCCTCGCAGACGAAGCCACCCGGATCAAGGGCACCAGCCCCGAAACACGGATCCTCACCCTCATCGGCGTCGAGAGCAACATGGACACGGTCCGCTGGCTCTACTCCAAGCACTTTGCGGCCGTGGCCGGCGACACCATGGGCTGGGAGGCCTGGCCGTATCCCAAGGACTGCTGCCTGCACGAGTGGCTGCTGTGCCAGTGGGGGACGCCGATTGGCGAGATGTGGGATCTGGAGCGGCTGAGCGATGTTTGCGCCGAGGAGAAGCGGTGGTCGTTTTTCTTGACGAGTGCGCCGTTGCATGTTGTTGGGGCGGTTGGGTCTCCGCCGAATGTGATTGCCATATTTTAGTTGTCTGTATACATGTATAGACGTGTGGCGTATAGGATACATCCATGGAATGAAGAAAGAGACGCTTATTTCTATTGGTAACTACAGAAAGATGTATATACAAGTTGGTATCCGCATTAAGAGTCATGGCAGTCATAAGTATGGCAAGTCAACCTCACTGATAAGGCATGCTCTCGACGTTGTCATAGTTGGGCACCTCCAAAGAGTCAAAAAAGCTCACCTGCCCCGCGTCCAGATTGGCAAACAAGTCATCCAGCACAAACAGATTCGGAAACAGGCCCGCATTCGTCGTGCTATATGGCGCAAACTCGTTTGGATACACGGGGATGCCCGTCGGCATGTCTAGCGGCGGCTTCATCAGCGGATCCATCGGGTTGGCCGTCATGTCCAGCGGCTCGCCAATGCCTGGAATCGTCCCCAGCGGCGGGTTCTGAGAGCGAGGCGTTTCTTGTCGTGATTGCTGCTGGGGGTAGCCTGGCGCGGGACTGGCCGTGACTCTGCTGAGCTCTGCAGATTTGCTCCTGTTGGTGAGCATTCTGCGGAGGCGCTCGATGATGTCGACAAAGAGCTTGAGGATCCAGCCGCTGACGGGCCATGATTCCTGGAGGCAGTTGAGGCCGAGCATGCATGTGCGGGCGCGGTTCTCGGCGAGTTCTCGCCCGACGCTGCCGGATGTGCAGAGTGAGAAGACGTGCATTGATAGAGAGTTGAAGAGAGCGGGAATGCTGGCCGTTGTCAGTGTTTGTGAACGAGTAGAGTAGAGCAAGAGACTCACGTGTGGATTTGGCTGAGTCGCACAAAGGACGTCGACAGGACATCCTCCATGACTCTCGTAATCTCGTTGGCAGCTGCCACGGCCTTGGGGCGGTCTCCCCAGAAGTTGGACACGGGGTCGTTGCCGGTGCTTGTAGGTCGGTAAAGAAGAATCACGCTGTAGCTATGGCAGAAGTCAGCATTGCATCTCCCAGACTCTGAACTGATCAGCGCACTTGTAAGCCATGAGGATCATTGCAGACCACAGCCCCTGGCCGGTTTCGGGGTTGATGCCTCTGTACTGCAACGCGGCCGGCACCTGGATCCGAAAGTTTTCCAGCTCGGTTTCCATCTGCTCCTTTTGGCCAGGCGTCGTCGATTGGATTGCGGCGTATCTCATCTTGACAATCCTGCCAACTGCACTTTGTTAGCCTCAGGCACCAGCCACTTCCAGGTCAATGCTCACAGATGATTGACAGACGGGCCATTTGACACGCATACAGCGCCTCTTCAGGGCCCAAATGATTGTCGTCGTCCATGTCGCTGGGCTCCAGCAGCTCGACGTCGCAGTCTCTGTGCGAAATGTGCAGCGGCCGGCCTGTTGAGCCACTGGCGATGGTGTCTCGGATGCGGATGCACCACCAGATGCGTCGCCAGTGCCTTGATTTCTCGTCACTCATGTGCGATTTTGCGGTTCTGCCAAGCACGTAAGTTGTCTTGTCGTCTCATGCTGATGATTAAAACTCACGATCGGTGCATCCCCAGGCTCTGGGCCAGGCTCACGGCCACGCCCAGCCAGTGCCACGAATCCTTCTCGTCGTTGGATCCCCCCCACCAGAAGCTGATGAAGAAGACGGCCGTGACGTTGTTGACCTTGTCGGGATCCAGCTCTGCGTCGTACAGCGCCTTTGCCTGGCGATAAAAGACTGAGCGAGCGTGCTCCCTGCTTTCGCATCCCGTCATGGCGATGTCGGCCGGATCGCACATGATGGCCGCCACCAGCAGCATGCCGTTGAGCACCAGCAGCGACATCTGGTTGCGGTGGCATTTCTCGATAAAGTTGGTCTGGTTGACGAGTGGAAACGCGGGATGGAACCAGCGAAAGTAGACGTCCAGCATCCGCTCCAGCGCAGCCTCACTCAGCCGGTAGTACAGATTGCGCTCCCGCAACAGCGCAATCTGGGCATTGACAATGTTCTCACGGCCCTGGTCCGACGGGTCAAAGCCCTCTGCAATCGGAAAGTGAAGCCGCTTCTGATAGTTGCGCCGGTCACTCAGAAACGGCGCCAGCACGTCGTGGATGGCGTACGTCAGGCTGAACGAGTCGCCCGCGTAAAAGGTGCTGATGGCATCGCTGATGGGCTGCTGCGTTGGCCGCACGCTCTGGTCGGCAATGTGCAGATAGAAGAGCGCGCTGGAGTCGGTGGGTGCGCGCCGCTCAAAGGATCGCGATAGGCCGCGAAACAGCTGGCCGTCGACGGGTTCCACAGCCTGCTGAGGTGGTTGCAGCTGAGACTGAGACGGTAGCTGAGATACGGACTGAGATGGGCGATGAGACTGGCACTCTGGCTTGAGTTTCTGAGATGTGACTGCGGAGAGCGCCGGCGTGGGAGACTCGTCGGACGAAGAAGCCGGCGTCTTTTGCTGCGATGGGCGTTGAGGCGGGAGTTGCGCGAGTTGCGCGAGTTGAGGCTGTTGCTGTTGCGGTTGCTGTTGCTGTTGCTGGGATGTTCGCTCAGCCGACGATCTCTTTCGGCGAATGTACCTGCAATCAGTCCAGCGTTGGTTAGTCTTCCTGTTGTTTGTTCCCTTTGTCCTGGACAAAACACCGCACGGCCCATTGGACGCTGTTACTGTCTGTCTGTTGTCTCAACGCTATGAAACCGTGGTGTCCACACTCAAGGCCCAACACACAATCGCCTCAGCTGCCACTTACCGTCCGCGCTTCGAGTCAATCAGGACGCAGTCCGCCCGTGCAATCCGGCATCCAGAACAAGCAACTCCAGGAGCCGCATCACACTTGACCTTTTTCGAGTTGCACCGGCGGCATGCCACTCGAGTTCTGTCCTTGCCGCGCTGCCGGTTTCTCTGGTGGTCCTCCGGGCTCTCCATGATTCTGTGTCTGAGAATTTTCAACGTTGCTTACATGGCGAGCTAAGATGCCGGGGCAGCAGGGCGTCTTGAATGTTTTATTGTCCCGTTTTTTTTTTTTTTTTTCCTTTTTTTTTTCTTCTTCCAGTTTCGGTCTGTCAGCTCCGGGCCTGTCTACAGATTATGGGCTTGACTGCTGCTTGCTTGGTTTCACCGTGTCTGATTCATCCCCGCTTTCTCTTCAAGCCCAGTTTCTCTGCTAGACTTGTTGTAGCATAGGCGGTGTTTTTTTCAGTTTCTACTCCCCGCAAACTAGCTATTCGCAGAAAATATGGCTTGGCCTGATCCCTGCCTAGCCTCGGCTTCTTCGGGAGGGGACGATCGCCAATCGGTCTCTCCACTTAAAGGTTTGGTCTTTGAAGCATCGACAGACTCCACCTAGAAATGGGCGATTTCAGCTTTGGGGACCCTTGTTGTCGTTCAGCTCGAATCTAGGGCGCAAGGGAGCATTTGGAGGTCTAGCATGTGGCACACACGTTGCAAAAGCCCGGTTTCCCCAGATTGCCAGTATATTGCCATCCACCTCGACGATGCCATCTCCACACGTTTATGCAAACTAAGAAGAAGAAATGGGTGGGCACGTGGTCGATATCAAGATGGCTCCATTCTCAAGCTGTCCCCAATTGTGACAGCAAAACAGGAGACGAGCAAGAAAGCTCTTATTGGCCATAGCTCCTGTTGTGGCGTTTGCCTCAGCTCGAAGCTAAGCGGGAAAAGGGACTAACTCTGGCCACAGCTTGGAAGCTTGAAGAGGCTTGCCCCTCTCAGATCACTCTGTTTTCGATCGGGAAATGTGATTTGTTCAACTCTATCTAGGATTGTGCCGCGAGATCTGGCTTTCAGATTCCATCACATTGACAAGGCCTATTTCGGAGGACATGAGATAAGCTTTTCCGAACAAGCTTTGACAGCCAGCCATCCTTACGCCGTCAGCACTCAACTGTGACTTTACTCGAGTCTTTGTGCCTTTCGTGGCGGGGAAATGATCTACAAGTTCATGCTGCTCTTTGTTAGAACGTTTCCGCGGAGAAGCAAAAGATAAGTTGAAGATGGACCTACTTGATCAGAATTGTCTTTGGCTCAGTAAACGCCCGCAGAGCCTATAGCCATCATGAAGTCAGAATAATGGTTTCGCAAAGCTGAAAAGGATCGACATAATACTCACGTATTCGCCAAACTCTCGCCCTATTCCCGATGCCTTTTTCCCCCCAAAGGGAGCTTGGACACTCATCTATCCATTGTTAGCCCTTATACTAGACCACAGCGTATAAGATCGACAACCCACCATGCTCACGCAGTTGACGCCCACCACGCCAGAGTCGATCCGAGCCGAGACTCGCAACGCTCGAGTAATGTCTCTCGTAAAGACACCCGCCATCAATCCATACTCTGTATCGTTTGCCGCTTGAATCACTTCTGCCTCAGTCTCAAACGTCTTGATGACAGCCACGGGACCAAACACCTCGCTCTTGTAAATCTCCGCGTCGGGCTTCGGGTTCACAAACACAGTTGGCTCCATAAAGCTTCCTTCTGTGCCGATTTGGTTACCGCCCACGACGAGCTCTGCTTCTTCTTTGGCTCGAGAGATCATGGCGCGGACCTTTTCAAAGGCGAGGGAGTCTGCGAGAGGGCCGTATTTTGTGTCTGGGTCTTGGGGGTCTCCGATGCCGGCACTTGCGGCCTTCATCTTCTCGACGTATTGGGAGATGAACTTTTCGGATATGGATTTTTGGACGTAGAGGCGAGAGGCGGCAACGCAGACTTGGCCGGTTCGCGCCAGGATTCCATTGGTGGTCCTGGATTTGTTAGCCGTGGTGACTTGATTATGGAATTGCATTCACCTACCAAGTCACTGCATTGTCGATATCGGCATCTTCAAATATCACCACGGGGTTCTTGCCGCCTATGAAACGTTAGTATCACCTCATTAACCGTACATAACAAAGTCTCTTATACATACCAAGCTCTAGAGTCACCCGCTTCAAGTTACTCTGCGCAGCCGCAATCTGAATCTTCTTTCCCGTCGCAACCGAGCCCGTGAAACTGATCTAGGAACTGTCAGCCATTGTCTCCAAGTCTGCGATGAATCTCACCTTTCGTATACGCATATGCTCGGCCAGCAGCCCTCCAGTCCGGCCATCGCCAGACACAACCTGGAACACGCCTGGAGGAAATCCAGCCTCTTCAAAGAGAGGCGCTATTGCCAGAGAGCCCAGCGGGCCTTTTTCGGATGGCTTCACGATGAGGACGTTGCCTGTTGCCAAGCATGGCGCCGCTTTGAGGAAGATGGATGCCACGGGTGAGTTGTACGGGAGGATGGCAGCGCATACTCTTCAAGGGCATCAGTATAACGTTTACAGGTTGTCTTATGCCAACACTTACCCGATAGGCTCTTGTCGCACGAGTTTGACGATTCCGTCATCTGCGGGAAAATAATCACCTCGAAACTTGTCGGTCCAGCCGGCTGTGCCGTGTTAGCCAAAGCGTCTTTTGTATGGAGAGTGAGGCTCACCATAGTATAAAAGATTATTCTTTATATAATTCTTTTCCCTCGTCGGTATCAGAGACACTGGATTTCCCGTCGTCAGAGAATCGAGAAGCAAAACTTCATGCAGCCTCGTCTCCAGCAAATCAGCCAGCTTTCTCAAGCACTCTGATCTTTGCGCTGCACTAAAAGTAGCCCATGGGCCGTTGAATGCAGCTTCTGCGTGTTTTACAGCCTTGTCGACATCCACGCGGTCGGCAATTGGTATCTTTTCTGCTACCAGAGAGCCGTCTTTTGGATTGAACAGCGAGTAATGGTCCTCAGAGTTTGATTCTGTGTATTCTCCATTGACGTAGACCTTATGAAACGAAAAGGGCACTTGGCCAAGTAAAGTTTTCATGATGACTTGCGTTACAGGCTGTCTTGAGCGTGCGTTCTCAATCTAGCAATCAATTAACTCGACCAGGTTTCTATCTACACCATTTTATCCATCTTGAAACATTCCTCTGCCCGGTGACGAAAATATTCCACTGCGAAGAGTTACCCCAGAGTCCATGGACATTTTGGCGCCAAAACGGCACGGCTTCTCTCGGCGATTAAAAGAGGCCGAATTAGGCAATATACGATGTTATTCCTAAACATGGGGGATCTCCTCTATCGTTGTGCGTAAATCCGCTGGAATTTCGGCTTCTGATGGAAAAGAGGCGTTCATTCCAGAACGCTCGATTGACGATACGCTGGTTTCGTCAGTGAGGCCAGACGGAAAGACTGGCATGCTCGGCCGAAATAGCTGCAGCGTGGTGTATATAGCGATCCTTGTCATCGAATAGATTCTTTGATGGCCCCCAAGGAGTCTATACTATTTTCTGAAAGCCCATCATGTCGATGAAAGCAGTCGTTTTCCGTGGCCCGTACGATGTTGGCGTCGAGACGAGGCCCAGGCCTACGATTCGGGATCCAACGGATGCTATAATCCGCGTCAGGCTTGCTGGAATATGTGGGAGGTAGGCGCAGGCATGACTTCTTGGGGCTGGAGATTGCTGACAGGTCTTTAGTGAATTACACATGTACCGAGGCGTCCAGAAGACTGCGGCTGGTCACATTATGGTGAATATTATACGAGCAAGAACCCAAGTAACGGAAGAGTAGCTAATGCTTATCCATATCCAGGGCCATGAGTTCATAGGAGTCATCGAGGAGATAGGATCCGACGTAAGCAGGTTCGCCGTTGGTGACGAAGTTGTCTCCTTATTCTCTCCCGTCTGGTATGTTGTCAAGTCTCATCGACCATATCGACTATACTAATAAAGAACAGTCTAAAATGCTGGTACTGCAAGCAAGGCCTCACCAACAGATGCATCGAAGGAGTCGCATTTGGCACGCAGAAGCTCGATGGCGGACAGGCCGAGTTTGTCAGAGTGCCCTTTGCAGATGGCACCCTCCACCTTGTTCCTCCAGAGCTGGACGAGTCTCTCCTCATCATGATGTGTGACATCTTTCCAACAGGGTATTACGGAGCGTCTCGTGCTGTGGAGGGCTTGCTCACCCAGCACCAGTCGCCGCTGACCAGCCTCCGTGATTCCCGTCCTGTCAAGGTAAGCTTGAAAGGTCAGAATGGCTATACAAATGGCACAAATGGCCTCACCAACGGTCAGACGAATCATATCACAAACGGAGATGCGCCCTTTGATCCATTAGGGTCATCGGTGGTGGTCTGTCTCGGCTGTGGCCCTGTTGGGATTTGTGCCATCACCACAGCCCTATCAAAAGACATCAAGACGGTCTTGGCAGTCGACAGCGTGGAGGACCGTCTTGCCGAAGCAGCTCAAGTCGGAGCAATTCCTCTGAATCTCTCGAGGCATAACATTCTGGAAGAAGTCATGTCTCGGACTCAGGGACGCGGAGCAGATGCCGTAATCGAAGTAGTGGGCAATCCGGCCGCTCTCAAATCTGCTTTTGAGCTGCTACGTCCGTGTGGAATATTATCTTCAGTTGGCTTTCATCAGGACGAACTACCATTTACAGGCCTGGAATGCTATCTGAAGAATATTACGTGAGTTACAATTCTGATATCTGTACATGTGGCAGCTTATTCACAATCTACACAGGATGAACTTTGGCCGAGTTCCGGTGGGAACCGTCTTTACGGATGCCCTTGAATGTCTAAAGCAAAACCAAGGAGCACTGAAGAATTATGTTACGCATGAACTATCACTAGACGAAGCAGCTACCGGCTTCGACTTGTTTGAGAAGAGGGTGGCCAGAAAGGTGGTGCTTCGAGTTTAGCGAGCTACTGCAAATGAGAGCCGGCCTGAATATACAAGAATTTGATTGACCACTAGAATTCCATTGAGTCGTATAGTCTCGTAACTAATTCCCAACAGAATCTAGGATGGAAATCCTCTAAGTGGCTTTATCCGGACGCCCGCATGCAAGCACCCGCGTGACTCTGTATTTCCGCCCCGGCATATTTCGGTTCATTCTACGCGAGTTTCCAGAAGGCTCGCATCATCATGAGTCCGCTTGTTACTCTTGGCAACTACTACACAAGGTCTCTCCATTCCAATAAACGGCCTGTTGGCATCCAAGTCAGGCAATCGCCCCATCGGTGTCTGCAGTTGTAAACTGTTTCGGCTCCGAATTCCGATCGCAGCTAAATATAGCGGTATCCATAATTGTAGGCGACTATGAGTTGAGAGGCCGAGATGCATAATGCCGAGGTTCAAGAAGCCGTGCTGACTGATCCTTTAGCGGGCCAATGGAGGATCGCCGTCTCCATGTACACGATGGAAACGAGGCTATTGAACTGGTACGCTGTTACCCTGGTATGAGCTGAGATGCAGAGTTGCAGTAGCTTCGGAATTACAAAAGGGCAGTAACCTGGACAACGGGAGTTGAAAGTCGTACTGCAGCCTCGTTTTACTCTTTTGGACTTGAACGACTAAACAGGACACGAACCACAATGACTCAGGAAAAGCCCCATGTCCGTATTGGCAATGTCTCTGGCGCAACTGGCGATCACCCACACGCCATGGCGCGCATGGTTCGCTCCGGCAATGTTCATGTAATCACCGGTGATTGGCTGTCCGAGATGAACATTGCCTGGAACGCCATCACGAAGCAGGAAGTGGACGAGAATCTGGGCTACGAGGATGGCTTCTATCAGCAGCTAGAAGAGTGCATCGACGACATTGTTGCAAAGGATATCCGCGTTGTGACCAATGCTGGTGCTCTTAATGTTATGAGCTTGTACAACAAAGTGAAGCGTCTTTGCGAAGAACGGGGACATGACTGTGTCATTGCGGCTGTTCTGGGAGATGATATTACGGATTTGCTTGTGGATAAAGCTTCAGGCAAGAAAAACACAGGCTTTAAACATTTGGATCATCCAGAAATGTCGCTTGATGATTGGAAGTTTACGCCTTGTACTGGAAATGCCTACATTGGCAGCTGGGGCATAACGGCAGCTCTTCGGGCTGGTGCGAATATTGTGCTTTGCGGGAGATGCACGGATGCCTCGCCGGTTATGGGAGCTGCAGCCTGGTACTATGGATGGAAGGAAGACAGTTTTGATGAACTGGCTGGTTCACTGCTGGCTGCTCACTTGATTGAGTGTGGCCCATATGTCGTTGGAGCAAACTTTTCAGGCTTCAAGGACTTTCTCTCTGACTTGGTGGATCTTGCATTTCCTGTGGCTGAGATTGATTCCAAAGGAGGCAGCGTTATTACACGGACGGCAGAGGGAGGAGGCCATGTAACAGAGGGAACGGTAACTGCGCAGTTGCTCTATGAGCTGCAAGGTCATCTTTATCTGAACCCAGACGTCGTTGCCGATCTGTCTGCTGTTTCGGTCAAGCAACAGGGGACGGATCGTGTAAGAGTTACAGGGGTCAAAGGCTTGCCTCCACCGGCTACGACCAAGGCCATGATTGCTGGCAAGGGGGGCTACCAAGCAGAGGCAACTTTCTACATAAACGGCCTTGATGTGGCGGAAAAGGCTACAATGATGAAGAACCAGCTCTCTCATATTTTCCAAGACAGCCGATTCAGCAAACTCAGCATTGAGCTGTATGGGACGCAAGCGGAGAATCCTTCATCCCAGCAGGCGGGCACTGTGTCGTTGAGAGTCTTTGCACAAGCACGAAGAAAGGAGGACATTGATGAATTGAGGTTCAAAATCCCGTTGTATGCGTTGCGGATGCAGAGTTACCCTGGATATCACATGAATCTCGACTTTCGGACAATGGCGCCGCGGCCGTTTATGGAGATGTTTCCAGCGTTGATGCCCGTCGCACTCATAGATCATCGCGTCCAAATCAGCACTGGAGAGGTTATCAAGGTCGACCAACCCAAAGTTACAGCGACGTATCCCATTGTCCGACCATCGGCAGATACGGCAGAGCCTGTAGATCTTTTGTCTTTTGGACCAACGGAATTTGCGCCTCTTGGCAGCATCGTCCACGCAAGATCGGGCGATAAAGGCGATAACTCGAATGTGGGATTCTTTGTTCGCGATGCTTCGGAATATCCTTGGCTGAGGACTCTATTAAGCGTCGACAAGCTGAAACAGCTACTGGGAGATGATTGGCACAGCGGCAATCCGAATAGGAGGGTGGAGAGAATAGAGTTTCCCACCATCAATGCCGTGCACTTGTAAGTCTCACGATAATACACGGAGAAGAGTACTTATACTAACATTTTATGCAAAGTCGGATACTTGACAATCTCAACGGAGGCATAGCGTCGTCTGACAGGATTGATGGACTAGGCAAGGGCGTTGCGGAATATTTGCGAAGCAAGTATGTGGATGTACCTAAGATCTTCTTAGAGAAAGGTCGCATATGAAGCAACATCAATAGCGTATTAAAAAAAACTGTAAATGTATAATTCTGGAGCTAAATCTTGTCACGCTACGTTTCTTCTATCAGTCAAGAGAAAGTCACTAGAACCCTCAACTTGGCCCATCTCGTGCTTGTTTACTAAGACGGTAGGAATGTTCTTAGCCCGCTCTTCTAGTTCGTCCTTTGTATGGGTTTCTTTGAAGACGTCGCCCAGTGCAGCACCCTTGGATAAGACAGCCAGCTCACTCGATTTCCATATATGCGCGGTATTCGAGCCTGATGACCTGATAATGAGTACAAGAAGGACTAGGCCTCCCAACTCGATGGCGGCATGCAGAGTTATCCATGGCCACGCCACCACATACACAGTTGTTGGTTGTAGGACATCGCCCTTTTCGATTTGCCCACCATCAGCTCCGCTCCGAATGGCATTACTCATGCTCGCTGCGATGTTATCGAAAACTTGTTCATAATCTTCCGTCTCCCAAAGCACCTTGGCAACACTAGGGCGGAATTGTTCAGCTTGCTTCTCCTCGCCGCTAAAATTTGAGAGTCTAGATATGTAGAATCCATTGGGGACGCCCCAGCTCTCAACGGCCTGTGTGCAGTTCTCGGGACTGTTGAGGCAATTAGCGAAGAGAGTCTGCATGTAGTAACTGGTTCCGTAAACAGCTTCATCTGAAATGTTCCATCCGGCTGTTGTCCCTAGTTGCAAGTCTGTGCGACGAATAATTGATTCCTGTGGATCATATGCTAGGCTCTTGACGACTTTTTCTGCAACTCCATGGCCCGATTGAAACCTTGGATCCAATGGCTGCCACGATTGGGGGTTACGTTTGTGATCTTTCAGTTCCGTTGAGGTAATATTGATGAATCCGATTTTGTAGTCTCCCTCATAACGCCGGGTGCAGTAGTAGAGTGCACATTCTGACGCGCTGACTTTAAAATCTGGCCACGTCTTGGTGGAATTGGAATTCGGATCCGCGTCCACTTTGATGACCGTTTGAGACCAAATGAGGGTGTCAACATCTTTCATTGCCACTGTCTTGTCTTGGTCAGATGTGCCAAGCATGCTCATGTACACCATGCTGGATCTGGGTCCATATTTGTGGTCCATATTGTTCAGAAACAGGCCGTTGGGCAGCCTATACTCGGTGCAGTTTGCTTGAGCTTCTGCAATACTCGGGTCGTATTGAAGGTTGGAGTATTGATCTCCCATACTCAATGTGTTCTTCTTTAAGCTGTCAGTTACATCAGAACATTGACTGCACACAGACAAGGACTCCAGAGGTTTAAAGTCACATTCGACACCAGGACAGTGGAACGAAGCCTGTTCCATGATTGCGTCTGCGTCTGCCGCAAGCCCAAAGGCGACGGCGGCTTGCATTGCAAAGTCCGCATTGGCGTAAACATCTGCACCTTGAGTTTTGACATGTCCGTCCTTGGTGACTGTCTGTAGTTAGATAATATGCTGCATGAAAGCAAAGACGCCACTTACTACTATACGCGGTCATGCCGCTCACCAGCGTGCCTTGGGAGTATCGAGAAGCATAGGCAATGCTAGCTTCATCAACTCTACGATCTTGGCTACTGTGGAGTTGAACCAATTGCTGCGAAAACGGGTCCATGGCAAGCGTCAAGATCGTCGCCAAAGCGCCAAGTCTCACAAGACCACTAAAAACGAGTCAATAGGATGAAATAAATCCAGCACACGCGGAGCTCACCCCCCGCGAAGTTTAAAGCTCGTCAAGACCTTGAAACTTCCAAAAGGCCCACGGCTCGCTCCGGAAATCAGTTCAAAATCGTATAGACGCCGTGGCTTTCCGGAGAATAGAACCCAGTTTTCTTGGCTGATGCAGCTTGCGACGGCGGCCAGTAAACAGGCTTTACTTGCAGTCGACAGCGTAGAGATGAGGGCGTTGAGAGTCCATATCCTGTCGTCAAAAATCGGCTTGTGATTAAATGCAGCAAGTAGGACCGTCATGGCGATTAACAGGATGATGGACGAGGCCATTGCCAGGATCTCGGAAGCCCATGGCCTCAGATTGCCAAAGCAGGATCTGGACATCATATCGTACGTGCGCCAGAGGGCCCCCTAGCACGACCTGATGGGAGAAGGGATGCTTGTAAGAAGACTGAGAGATGGGAGCATATTTGACACCAGCAAAGGTTTATAATGTGCTGGTCTTGCTCAACCTTGATCTCTTCCGTGTCACTTGGCGCTATGATGCTTTGTGATTGGAGGGGAACCTCGTTGAGTCAAAGTAAGCACAGCCCTACTGCAGCCGAATCCTCCTGTTTCAATTGATTGGTGGCCGAATCAACAGCTCAGCCCTCATTTATGCAATTACAGCCACAGGCGCCCGTGATCCGAATCCTATGGTTTTGCCGTTTTCTGGCAACAGTTTATGACTGCTGGAAGGGGATTATCCATATCTTTTGCCAGTCTTCTGTCGGTCAATCTCAGGCTATCTCGGGAACCCACACAATGGGAGGGACCGTCAACTTTAACTTGGGGCGGGGGAACATGAAACTTGCGGATAGCCTCTAACCTTTGGTGATTTGTCGGGGCGCAAGATGGTCCAAAATTGGCCTTTGCTGAGATCGGACGAGACCATAATTGAACTATATCTGGTAAGCACTAAGATTAATTGCTGGCATCCCACAGCAGGCTTTGTTGCCATGGGAGATTGCTTATTCGTTCGTTCGACAGTACGCGAGACGACCCAACTTAACCAAGCTAAGCCATAATGGCGTCTTGCATTGGGGGTGAAGCGCGAGTCCAAGTGCTGTTCAGCTAGTTTGTAACCAGGATCTTTACGCTTATCGAAACTGGGGCGCGGTTGGAACCAAGTGGCGACCTGTAGCGGTATCCTTGGGTACCCGGTTACGATCCGACAGCAAATGAAGACACGAATAAATGTTCGACTGTCCCATACCCAGAGGTCTGCGTGGTCGTGAAAGTATTAAGACGATGGAATCGATAGAAGAAGCCCAGCTCTCCCCTCCGATCGTTACCTAGTTGAATCGCCTCCAGTATCATCCACAAACCACATTCTCATGTCCAAGCGAGCATGCTGTCTTACATAAACAAAATACTAGGATCCTTGAGCCTGCACGTTGCTCTGGGAGTATATACCTAATGGCACTTTATATATCGGCTTGTGTATTTTAGGATGTTGCACTCTGGCCTGGAAACTAGCCGAGATGGCCACAAAGTTACTCAGAAAATGGCTACTTCTGCACAGGGATACATGCTCCTGTACGTCCAATCCTTAACGAAGGATCACGGAACAAACAAAACACAGGAAAGTGATTGTCTTCAACTGATATTTGATAATATTCTTAATTGACTTGCGAGTTGCTTGAAACCAGCCTACAATAGTACCATATACAAAGTTATAACTATTAGGGTGGGCTGATAAAATAGCAATGCAAATGAACATCAAAATGTACGTATGTTGATTCATTGAGAGGAGTCTACAGTTATTCACAAGCCATAAGGACTAGTCTTGGACCCGCAGAGAAAGCATAAATGTCTCTGCTACCAGCTATACTCAATAGAAGCATTCTACGTCGTGGAGCATGAGCAGCAAAACATTAGTGAAGCAGAGTGCATCATGCTTCCTCGTAATAAAAGAAACCATGACGACTAGGACAAAGACTAACATATCTTTTGCAAATATAGATGTCCGTCTCTTCGAGGTAGTTGTCATTTTTCAAAGGGTACGTATATGTGTATATTCTCTTTTAGATTGAATAATATCTTGATGTTTTGAAGAGCTTGGCAGTGGGGTGGTACCCGCGTCTTTCAGCTATCAAAATCGACGTCTGGCCATCACCATCTTTCGCTTCGGCGTCAGCGCCCTTCTCAAGCAGCAGTTTAACAATGGCATCCCGCCCCCAATAGGCTGCCTTCATAAGTGGCGTTTGGTTAAACTCGTCTTTCGCTTCCGTGTCAGCGCCCTTCTCAAGCAGCAGCTTAACAACGGCTTCATTCCCCCTAATGGCTGATATTGTAAGCGGCGTTCGCCCAAACTCATCTTTCGCTTCGGCGTCAGCGCCCTTCTCAAGCAGCAGCTTAACAACGGCTTCCTGCCCTTCAGAGGCTGCCATTATAAGCGGCGTTTCATTAAACTCATTTTTTGCCTCAATACCAGCGCCCTTCTTAAGCAGCAGCTTAACAATGGCTTCCTTCCCCCGACAGGCTGCCCTCATAAGTGGCGTTTGATTAAACTGATCTTCCGCCTCAATATCAGCGCCCTTCTCAAGCAGCAGCTTAACAATGGCTTCCTTCCCCCGACAGGCTGCCACTGAGAGTGACGTCTGACCGCTCTCATCTTTCGCCTCAATATCAGCGCCATTCTCAAGCAATGTCCTCACAACAGCTCCATGACCTGCTGCTGCAGCACACAGCAGAGCTGTGCTTTCAAAATCTTTGTCCTTCACTTCAAAGTCGGCGCCCTTATCTAGTAGCAGCTTCACAACAGGTTCGTGACCGTTTGAAGAGGCCCAAATCAATGGCGTCCGGCCATAGATGACATCTTTTGCCTCGATGTCAGCGCCTTGTGCTAGCAAAAGTGTAACAAGGGCAGCGTGGCCAAAGTATGCCGCAACCATAAGATTGGTAATCAACTCAGGCGCCCCCCCTCCTTCATCCGGTATATTAAAACGAGACCATGTAGAGTAACTCTCAGACAACGGCTCGCAGATCCTTAAAGCAAAAGGGATAATGGCATCACCAGCATCCACAATTTTAGCCTCATGGAAATGAGTGTTCCAAAATTCGACTGAGTAATGCAAAAAGCTCTCATGATAAAACGGAAGATGGCCACCATTCATTTCCGTATCTGGTGAAAGGTCGACATCATTGTTGAAAAGATTCAGATATAACACACAGATCTCCGCAAGAATAGCATGGGAGCTGCGCATAGTAATTGAATGATGCCAGAGCAGTGTTGTTGAAGTAGCTGTGGACAATACAGTATCTATCAGAAATTCTCGAGCGGTTTGATGAAGGAAATATATTTTACCGTGATAGATTGAGATGAATAATCCACAACAAGATCTGAGGCGCGTCTCAAAGTCTTTGTCATCTTCCAAATCGAGATAACGAGACGATTTAAAATCTATATTCACCGCAACATTCATTTCTGCGACTGTCAGTGGCCGACTTGCAGCCAGGACAATACTCAAGGCTTTGCGAGTTATGAAATCATCCTTAGATTTGCTAAGAATCTGGTTATAAGCTTCGTTAATGGTCCCAGGAAGAGTCATAATAATAGCCGTTATTGCCTTTTGTGTTTTTATGAAGTTGGTTTTCTTTAGGTAGTCAAATATGAGATATATCCAAAGATATGTGCGGTTGGTAGCTTGTTGTAATCTTGTTTTCAACTCGTTTTTAATCTGAACTGATAACTGTTTGTCTTTTGCCAAGAGGTCCACCTGATGTGTAATAACAAGGTCCACTTCTCGACTTATGGCGTCTGATTCTTCCTCGCCCGGTATCCGAATATACGGAAAAGTGCTCAATAGACTGCGAAAGTTTGATACAATTTGCTCATACGGACGACAGGTCAAAAGATATTTCAACCTACTGTGACCCATCTGGTTATCGCTGAATTGTTCCTTAATGTTCCACACCAAGTCGTCAAATTCGGACTCGGCACATTCATCCAAAGCATCGAGGACTATGACAATAGATTCGGTATTACGCAGATCGTTTATAGCGTTGTGTAAAATCTTCCATAGTAATCTCGTGTTGTTGATTAAGCCTTTTCCATCGCTGTGGTATTCTTTTATAGCATGTTCAATTAAAGACGACCTTTTAGAAAACAGCTGATGAAGCAGTGCGCAGAGTGCTTGTCGCATGGTGTTATGGTCTTGGTCCTTGAAAAAGAAATAACATACTGTGGTTGCCGATTGAGGGAGGATGTGGTCGATGAGGTACTTGGCTAATACTGACTTCCCACATCCTGGATCTGCTGTGACTAGTAAAGGGCCAGAATCTTGTTCTAACCACCTTTTGAAGTGGTCATGGCTCAGGAACCACATACAGGTGTCCTCAACCCGATTTTCCACGCGATCTTTATACCACTCGTATGTGGTATCTTTATCGCTGCTTATAAGACGGAATAGCTGATGGCATTTTTGTCTTTCTTTTTGCTCTTTCTCAGATAGCTTCTTCTGTGCTAGACCTTCTTGGGCTTGGAGGCTCTTTTGTAGAGAGTTACTGTGCTGTTCTATAGCCTCATACAAGCCTAGATATAAAGTTAATATGTGTAACTAATACAGCAATAGAATGTTCAACTTACCAGAGAGGACATCGCTTAATTTCTTCTCAGCTTGAACCGTATGTAATGGTACTTGATAAAGAAGATCTTTTGCGTATGCTGCGGCTATCATAGCTGCATAGCCCTGCCACTCTTTATTTTTATGCGAATCCGAATAATCACAGATTCCGCGGATAACAAGGCAGGGGAAATGATTCATCAGTCCGGCGGCCTCCATCTCAAAACACAGCACATCCTTCTCTGCGGCAAGGCTATCGCGATGCAAGGCATTTTTCATGAGCTGGTTTGCCGACGCAATCAGGCCGTAATGAATGGCGGGATTATCTTCATCCTCGTCCCTTTCAGATCGCAGAACTAAGCCCGATGGATCGCAGACAGCTGCACAGCCCTCATTCGTTTGTGGATGAACGACTTCTGATCGATAAAGCCTATCATTGTTTGTGTTTGGTCGTTTATATCGACGTTTCAGCTTCTTATTCTTTTCGAGTACATCATCAACGGCTTCCTCAAGCTTGTGGCCATATCTCTCGTAGCGACACTGAAGCCCAACCAGCGCAGTTAATAATGCAGTTGGTGGCTTGTTTAAAAACCCTGTTGCTTGATATGGTTGGCCCTGGATATTTTTGCCAAAGTCGTATTGAAATAGCCCGCTATTGCCATTGCTTGGAGTGCCGACTATGATATCGCCAAGACGGATATCGTGGCTTTCACTTGGAGCGCCACCGCCAATGCCCACCATCAGCCCGACTCTTATGTTTGGGAAAGAGTGTATCATGTCTCTGGCAACGGTTGCAGCAGAGGTCGTCCCATATTCTCCAAAAGGCAGAGTGGCGATGACAACATTGTGTTTCCCAATCCTGCCCAGCGTATAGCTGTTGTTGTCGTGCTGAGACACAGACGCTGGGCCCTCATGTTCTTCGTCGAGGAACACTTGCGCGGCAACGTATTCGACTCTTATTGCGCATATCCAGCCGACTGTGTAGTCGCCAGGTTGCGACATGTTCGCCCGCAGGGTTTTTCGGATGTCAAACAAGCTACAGTGGGTAGCTGGTGTCTAGCTGTCGAATGTTCTCTGACTGAGAGTATCGCTGGCTTCCTTTTCGCCTGAATAGGTCAGCTCGTTTGAAACGCTACAAATCGCAAAGAGTCGCAACCCACCTGACGGTACAGTCTATCTTCCCTGATCGCGTCTATTTGGAGAAGATCCTGTCAAAGAGTAATCGGCACGCCGCGCAAAAATGGAGAGAATGAAGGATGATGCGCAACATTGGGTAGCAGCATAATAGAATCCATGGGCGCTCAGCCGCACTGCATACACGACTTTCATCCAATTGTGTTTTCGGATAGATGGTGGGGGATTCCACGTACTTTTCACCAATCATACGGCATCATTGTTATATGCAGCCTGCGCCAGCCTCGTTCTGGCGCCATATATTACGGCTCTGCTCCTAGGAAAAAGCGAGAATTGAAGTGAAGATGAGATTATTCATTTACTTACTAGCGCTTTCTAGTATCTATACATTCAGTCTTCTAATTTGTCTGCTGAATCCATGGGTGGGCAATGCCACTCTCGCTGTGAATGCTGAACTATCCGCCATTTGCAGTAGTCAGCGTCTACCGACCAGGCGAAATTCACCTCCACGTTTTCATTTACCTTTCAAAAGAAGTTGCAACAGTCATGATATACATGTGTTCAATCTTATTCAAATTGTCGAGTTGGTGTCTAGACTCTCGTTGCTGGCGAAAGCCGTTGAAGAAAAAATCTCTGGTACCAATTCTTTCTAGACTACAGGTTACGCTGATCAGTATCAATCTGCTACCGGCGAAAATAGCCACGGAAAGTTTGTCGCCGCGCGAGGATAGCTGTACCATGAGCTAAGCATTATTTGGCTTTGTAGCTCTTATGGAAGAAATGAAGAGAATAATGACAGAACTAGGTATCCAAGTATTCTAGTGTTACCTGAGAGACCGTCTATCTAAAATGGCGGCCACGTCTATGATAGCCATCTTCCAGTCCGCCAAAAGGATTAAACAACATCAGAATCTTGTCAAACATTAGCATATTCACCAGACTCTTCCGCTGTCTTTTCCTGTTAGATTCCCGTGCATACTGCTCCTTGATTGCCTTGTACTGATCTTCAAGGGAAGCAATGTGCATCTCTTGCAGTTTCGCGATGTTTTGTGCATTGGCTATAGCTTGCTCATTAACCATTCGCTGGAGACTAATTTCCTGCTCGTGCTTGGCTTTGTAGTCGAGCATTTCCTTCTCTGCCTGTAGAAGCTGTCCTTGTAAATCCTTCAGGCGTTGTTCAACCGCTGGGTCTGTAGTGGCTGCCAATGTATCTTCAAGATTAGAGACCCTTGAGAGGAACTTTGTCTGCTCGCGAGTGGCGATTTGGCTCAGAGAAAGCTTGAGCTGATTGCTGTTGTTCCGGAGCCTTTCTACTTTGGAGTCTGCTGCTTCTTTCTCTTGCTTGAACATGTTGACAGCCTCTGTATCTTGCTCGGCTATAGCCTGCTGTATGTTTTTCTTGAGCTCTGCGATTTCTTTCTCATGCCTCTCGCGGGCCTCGAGCAAGTCCTTTTGCAAGTAGCGACCCGCGTCTGTTCCATCCAGAGAAAGGTTTTGGTCCACCATCTGTTTTTGTATATTCAAGACAGCGCCGCCGTCCCTGTCGACAAGTTCAGAGATGATGGAAAGTGCTGAAGCCGCTGAGCCATCATGTTCCTTCATGATACTATTCTTCTGGATCATTTCACCCCAAAACTCAGGATATCTAAGTTCCTCGCAGCGTTGGAGGCCAATCTCATGCCCGCCTTCCATGGAGTCCAGACTAGACCACATAGTAGTAGCAAGTACAACACGGTCGAAAGCGTCCGCGCCGCAGAGATTTTGCAATATGCGAATATTCTTGAGACTGGATCCCGAGACTCGCGTGTCTGTAATGCGGTGAAGATAGATGATCCCGGCGAATTGTATCTTCCGGGAGTACATGGCAGCCAGATAGAAGGCGATTTCTTGCAGTATTTCAGAGTCAGGACGGTTTGTGTCATCGAAGCCAGGCGTATCAAGAAGATAGACTGTGTGGCGGTCCTTGTAGTTGAAGTTGTAAACGCCAACGTCAGTAGTGCCTGCCACAGTAAGTAAGGGAGAACAGCATAGAATGCCGAGGGACATTACATGATTGTAAATTGTGTCCGATGCCAACATCCTCACCTGTAAGCAAGGAGATGAAGGTGCTTTTCCCGGCTCCGGTTCCTCCCATAAGAGCGACCACAACGGCGTCCTCACTATCGGTTCTCGCTCAGCTTTGTGTATTTTCTCGAGAAAGTCAACACGACAAACCTGAATTCTATGCCATCTCTGAGTTGCTCTTTTGAAATCGAGGCCATCGGTTCCGCGCTGCAATCGGCTGCGTCTTCGGTTTCAGCCGTCGCCATTAGGACATTCTGGTCCTGTGAGAGTAAAGGCGTTGCTGTCATTGTGCAAACTGAGTAGATATCAGGATTACAGGGTTGACTCGCGGAATATCAGATGGCAGACGATTTCTAGTAGGCCGCCATCGAATCCACAGCCAAGACTATCTCTTGGTAACCGAAGAGGGGAAAAGGCCTCCCGCATGTATTAGTGAGGACGTGCCGCTGCAGGGCCCGTTCCAACCAGCTTTACTGCGTGACATCGGTTGAGACTGTTTAAAATGACAGGCTGAGAGAGAGCCACATCATCAACGTCGATACACAATATGCAACTGATGCGCTGTTCAGCTTGGCTGCAGCTGCAAGTATCCGAGGCGATAACAGAGAATGCGGCTTGTTTGGAGTGAATGCGGGAGGCCAACTGATGGATGGGCAGTGGAGCATCCATTGCCAAGTCGTGATTGGACGAATTTGAGGATTTCCCAGAATATCTTGTTTCGGGAGTGACATGCATGAGCGCCCAGTTTAGCGCCCCAAGTATGTACATGCATCTCACCGAAGCCCACTGTTACATCTCATTTGCTGGCTGTCTGTACACGCCTTGTACATCCATTGAAAGCAGCGATATCGGGTACCCAACGAATACATAGTCATTGTTTCAGGTACTGCTACTTTGCAAGCTGAACTGCCAAGACTGCCACATAAGAAGAGCCCATGGCGGTTGCTCGAGCACAACTATTTCCAACTCTTCATCTCTCTTTCAAGTAACAACAAGGCAATTTGTACAATGCCCGGCAAAAATTCAGACGGCATCCCTCCTGTCCCCCCAGAAACGAGTGCGGAAATGCCAAAACCGCCAGCGCTATCGTATGTGCTACTCGATAACATGTCCGTATTTTAGGAGACCGAGCGCTAACGGGACTTGAAGGCCGGACGATGTTGTGATTGCCGTCATGGGAGTCACTGGCGCTGGAAAGAGCACCTTCATATCGCTCTTTGCCAAAGACGCCCAGGTCGGACACGGGCTCCAGTCCTGTATGTATCAAACCACGTATTCCAAGGGCATAAACATCAAAGGCGATTGATTAAGCTAACTTGATTGCATCTAGGCACCGCCAATGTCAGCATCCACGCCGCCACCGTAAACGGTCAGAAGTGTTACTTGGTTGACACTCCTGGCTTCGATGATACCAACAGACCCGACTCAGAAATCCTCCGCGAAGTTGCCAACTGGCTAAACATTTCGCACGAAGCCAAAATTAAGCTGGCGGGCATTATTTATCTTCACCGGATTTCCGACAACCGTCTAGGCGGGGCGGCCATGAAGAACTTGCGCATGTTCAAAAGGCTCTGCGGAAGAGACAGTCTGGCTTGTGTTGTGCTGGCTACAACGATGTGGAACAAGGCAGATCTCTTGGTAGACGAGCAACGTGAGAAGGAGCTTCTGAACAGACCTGATTTCTGGGCCGACATGGTGAAGCAGGGAAGCCAAGTCTTCCGGCACGACAATGGCAGAGAATCCGCAACAACAATCATGAAGTACATCTTTGGGAAACGGCACCGCGTCACTCTGGACATCCAGAAGGAAATGGCCAGCGGCAAGACGCTGGATGAGACGGGCGCGGGCCGGGAAGTGCAGACAGACATGACGGTGCTGACAACAAAGCATGAACAAGAAATGAAGACTCTTCGCCAGGAACTGCAAGAGGCGAAAGACATGCATGACTCGAGCGCCATCGCAGAGATCAACCAGCTTCGCACCGAGCTGGCGGACAAGATCCGGAGTGACGAGGAGGCTCGGAAGACCATGCAGGTCAACATGGAGACACTGCGAGCGGAGCGGGAGCAGGAGCTGAAGCGACAGCGCGATGAGGCGCATAAGAGAGAGTTGGACCATCAGAAAGAGATGGCGGATGCCAAGATGAAGCTGTTGGCAGCCAAGCATGAGAGCGAGGCAGAAGCCCAAAAACTGCAGATGAAGATCCACATGGCGCAGATGGAAGCCGAGGCTGCGAAACGGGATAGAGAACGGGCAGAGAGGGAGAGGGACTCGCAGGGGGGTTGTATAGTCATGTAGTCAAGGAGAGTCTATGGGCTTATAATCTATACGCATAATACATCGTTGCTTTTGGCCGTTTCATCATGAAGATGTAACCGTTGGCCGGAGCAGTTACTACATCATCACTTCTCGTCTTCTTTTCGATCTTTTCGAAATGATTCAATCTATGTATCTGTTTGCCAATAATCTGCGTCTTACTTTGAGCCTTCTACTTTTGAAGACGAGCTGATCCTTGTACAGCGGCAGCTAATACTCCAAGTCTCCAACATCCACCTACCGCTATGTACACTGAGTGGAGCTTGATGCTCAACAACATGTCGCTGCCTCAACCCATGGATGCCACGTACGAAAAGGAATGGATGCTGATGTCTAGGGTGTATATGTAGAAATGTGTCTCGTGAAAGGTGCTGCTAGTAAAGATGGAGCAGAGAGACGAAGCTGGCGTGATGGCTTGATAGTACACTACCCCTGAATAGAATTTGTTCAGTATTAGAGGAGTAGAAGCGTTTTCATGTAGCTCATTTTACTCGCCTATATGTTTTCCCTGGTAACGCTACTTTCCTCGTTGGCTGTGACCGGTCCTTTCTTTCCATTTTACCAACTTTAAAGGCGGAAAAGCTAGTAGAGGATATTTGGCGCTGGATTAGTATACCAAGCCTTGTCGTTCAGGGCCGTTTGTTTATATTTTTCGTTGCTACATCACGCATGCTATCTTTCATATCATCACATTCAGCATCAAGTATTGTCGATAACTCGCTCGTCATGGTGATGTTCGGCCCAAAGCGCCTGCATACCCAATACAATTCTCTTCCTGGGTGGCTACGCCCTTTCCTGAGCAAAGTTAGCGAAGAGATTCCCCCAGAATCACCAGAGACTAGGGTTCTCAACGCTGTCGAGCTGGAGCTGAGCTGGAGGCTCTCACCTTGTGACCGGCACTTTGAGACATTCTCAGACACGGAGACAGACACGGAGCGCCCAACCAGAGAAACCACCAAGGCTCCTTACAGCAAGATTGGTGCCGGCACTTGCGGCATCATCTTTGCGCAAGAGGAACAGCCTTTTGTGGTCAAGGTGGCCAAAACAAACGGCAACGCATTGTGGAACGACTTTGGAATGCACGCTTCCATTGCCGACCAATTCCGCATTTGGAACGTCGTTGAAGTCAAGATCCCGGCCTGCTACTACTTTGTCCCAAAGGGGCATTCTTACTTTGACGACAACCCGTCGCTTGCACAAGCAGCCGGGCAAGTCTTCAATGTGCCCAATAGCGCCCTCGTCACCGAGCGGATCTTTCCACTGCCCCTAAAGACTCGAAACCTATTGATTGACAATTTCTGCTCAGAGCAGGCCAGAAACGCCGCCCGTACTGACCCGGCAAACAGAAACTGCCTGGTGCGAGTCTATCTCGGCTCAATGCACGGATTGGTAGGGCGCTACTTTTCCCTTGAAAACTTTAGGCTGCACTTGAATCAGATGGACAAGCTCAAGCTGGACGCAAAAGCCATTGCGGGACGGATCGCTACTGCTCTTGCAGTCATGCATTGGGCGGCAAAGACGGATGCCCGGGATGTGGAATTTGTTTTGGCAAGTTCCTCGCACAAGATTTCACAAGGCTTCACCGGTCTGGAGATGCGATCTCTTAAGAAACCCACATACACTGGGCCGCGATCCAACATTCACGACGACTTCTTTACTCGAACTACCGACCTTTGGGTTTTGGATTTTAACCAGGTGCAGCCAATCACCATGGACGCAAATGGCGTTGCAAAGGCCGTTGAAGCCTACAAGCTCAACGATCCGTATTTCCCACGGCCACTGCGGGAATCGAGAATTGAAAAGGTTGTGTGGAATGAGTTTGTTGAGCAGTATCTTGGTGCGGCCCATACGATCATCAGAGAGGAGGCAAACACAAGACTGCTGCCACTTCCGGGCAAGTTTATTAGCGGGCTGATTGCGCTTGAGCGATACAAACAGCGGAGGGACCAGTGATGCTAACATTGGATCGGTTGAGACTGGCTAGAATAGGGATCGGATTGGATAGAAGAGTTACAGTATAGAATGACAATAGACAAGTTGCCTCTCTTAGTCGGCTCTTTCGTCGGTGCCTCCACTAAACCATCTACAATGCGTTCTGTAAAAGGTACCTCAAATGAGAGTGAGCGGCTCGTGCCGTCAAACCGAATTTTAGACTGCGATTCACCGCTGGCTGAAGCCAATCGTGGCTTGACTTGGCGTTCAGCCTCTTTTTAATTCAGTGGGAAAGCCACTGGGATGCTGACCAGGTTTTGGCTTTCGGGGCTCTAATTTGCGTGGTAACGAGATGGTTCTAGTAATTGGTAATACAATTTGGCCAAGATATAATATATACACTTAATTGAGAGATGACTAATATCGTACGCCCTAGCTACCAACATACCTAGGAGTATCGATTCATGGATTGAACGCGATAGCTTCACCTGGGCTTTCCACCTTGGGCAGCCAACAGCGCCAGCGCCGACAAATCCACCTTGTTAGCCGTGATCAAAACCTTGAAACACAAAAGCACCGATGAACAGGCCACAATGAGTTCTGTCAGGCACTCCGACTGCTGGTTCGAGTACGCCGCAATCAGTGCGTTGACGTAGTTGTTGTTAAAGTGCAGCAGATCGGCGCCGTTTGCAAGCAGAAACTTGACGGCCACAATGTCGCCACGAGCGGCGGAGATGATCAGCGCCGTGTTTCCATCCTGGTCGGGGAGATTGATGTTGGCGCCCCGGTTGAGCAGCGTCTGCAACGACGTGGTTGGAAGATATGCCGCGGCGTTGATGAGCGGCGTCGACTTGTCTGGGCCGCCAAAGACGTTGAGCAGGGCGCCGGCGTTGACCAGCGCGTCCAGGATCTCTGCTTGTCCGCGTTTTGCAGCGGCGATGATGGGAGGCGAGGCAATGCCAGAGCCATAGTTTGGGTTGGCGCCGTGCCGGAGCAGCAGCTGCACGATTTCGAGATTGCCGGATTCACAGGCAGCTTGGATGGCGCTGCCCTGGGGAAAAAAGGGGCTGATGGCGTTGACGTTTGCGCCGCATTGAAGAAGCAGCTGCACAATGTGGGCATGGCCTTGGCCAGCGGCTATTTGAAGGGCCCAGCCTTGAGTGTGGTTGGGGTTTGCGTTGGCGGCGAGAAGAAGCCTCGAGATGGTTTCTGTGCCGTCAAAGGCAGAGGCCGTCAAGGCATTGCCGTACTCGTACATTTTGCCGCTGGGATCGTAGAGCACGGCATTTGGATCGGCTCCATATTCCAGCAAGAGCTTCACAGTGGATTCCTTTTCGCCATCGGCTGCGTGGTAGAGGCCTCCGTCAAGGGCGCCTCTCGAGATTGCGCCGCCTGCATAGTTCCAGGCCATTCTGACCACCTCGTCTTGGTCCTGGTTGCATGCCGCAGCAGCGAAGAATACTTTGTCGACATTGAGGCCCCAGCCTTGGCACTTGTTCATGAGGATTTTGAAAATGTCCCAGTAATTGGAGATTTGGCCAATGCCATCCAAGATCAGCTGGCAGTTGTTGTGTAGAACGGGACGCCGAATTGGATGATCCAGAAGCAACTTGAAGCGCACAACTTTACCAAGACTTGCCGAAACGAAAACGGCCTCGAGATAGTCGGGCTCTGGAATGTTCCCCTGGAAGCTGTTCATTAAATACTCAAACATTTCGTCGTCGGCAATCATGGCTGCCACTGTCAACTGTCTCGGTATTCGATCGGGACTCTCATCAACCCTGGTCAAGGATACCTTTTGTTTATCGTAACCAACGAGCAGCTTGACAGCAGAGATATTGCCCGATGCAATAGCCGCGTTAAGAACCGGGCCATCCCTGGTAGTCATGGCGTTTGGATTGGCGCCTTGGTGAAGCAGCTTTTGCATGACACTGATGTGTCCCCGAGCAGCCGCCATGAAGAGAGGCGTCTGGTGATCGACATCAATGCAATCGTCGACGGGCGCGTTACTGCTAAGAAGCTCATGAACTGTGTTTACTCGACCATACCATGCCGCCAAATGCAACTAGTAATTCTTGCTTAGTATCACCACAAAACTGAGACCCCAATGCGGGCACTTACGGGTGTGTTCCATAGCTCGTCTCGCTGTGTAATCTCCTGCTTGTAGCCATTGCGAATCAAGGCTGCAACAAGCTGGCTAAACCCAACTGAAGCCGCCACATGCAGTGCGTTGAAAGTTTTGCAACGGAAGCCGGCCAAGACGGTAGTAAGGTGGCAATATCCAACCAACCAGCGCCACCTGACGAGGGAGCCGGGTTTCCAGAAATCTTCAAGGCTCAGCTCATCGGCAATGTCGAGCGTTGCCTTGCTGGCATGATGTAGCCAGTGCTTGACAGCGTATGCTGCCGCAATGCTCTTCTCAATCCTGTCTAGAGCATGCTGACCTTCCTGATTAAATCTCAGTGCCTCCATGTCATCTTTGGTCATGACAGTGGCAGTTGAGCCGACTTCCAGCTCAACTTGGGGATAGCCAAAGACTTCTTTGATGTGGGAGAAGCAGCGGTGGGCCAAGACGCCCTGCTGCCACTTAATTCCTTCCCTCGACAGCCCCAAAAGTGCTTTTGCATTCTCAAAAAGATGCGTCTTGACGACTGCATTGATGAAGCTTACTGTTGGATTGGCGCCGTCAGTTGGCTGTGTACAGAGCAGCGGTCTGCATTGCCCAATGATGTTGTGCAATTCTGCTCTTTGTTCATCCGTGGATGAGAATCCGGCAAGCACTCCAAGCTCCATCTCACTCGGGTCTTCGTAAGTTAATACCATTGTGCGGAGAATTTCCTTCATTTTCCCTGCGTTATCCCTATTGAGCTGGAATATCTGTTTCCAGGCCTGGCTGAGAAGCGTTTTGAGGTCCTGGGGCGTACTTTCGAGAATGTCACGAACAGTAAGATCGCTATCTGTCGACAGCTCCTCGAGCTGGATACACAAAATGTCGATCCACTGGGTGTTTTGAGCTCGTCTTCCGATGAGACTGCTCGCAAAGTACGATAACGCCTTGTTGTATCTCTTCTTCTCGCCAAGAGCAGTCACCTTCTTCTTGGCATGTCTCTCCAGCTCGCTCTGCACTTTGCTCTTGTGCTTGGGATCGCCGAGGTCAATTACTCGAACAAGTTGGTTATCATTGGAGACATTGGGAAAGTCTTCAACGCTTTGACTTGTTAGAAACCATCTAGTTTTGACGTGTCGCTGAGATTGTCCAGCGCCTAATTCGGTATTGATGTAGCTCATTAATTTCTTGGTCGACTCAGACTCGGCTGGCAGGGTATGCAGGTTGTTGAGGACAAAGTAGACTTTGTTGCCAATCAATGGATCTGACAGCATGCCTTGAAGTGACTGCCATAGATTCTCCACCGATGCTTTTGCTTCAATCTGCTTCGTGGCTTCATCGTCTGTCTTTTGGCGCTTGGTAAACTTTGCAGCGTGCGGTGCCAAAGTTTCCCTCTGGCTCAGCAGCTGCCTGATGAGTGATTTGAGGACATCTTCTGCAGTCGAATAGTCCGATTCTGTATCGCAGAAGAAATAGGCGAGCATGTCATCTTCGCCAGCATTATTCTTTGCGTACTGTACCTTTCTGATGCCATCAAGGACGGCCAATGTAGCGCTGGTCTTTCCACGGCCCTCTCGGCCACGTATGAAGAGACAGTCGACCGATTTTTCATCAGCCAATGTCTCGCCTCCAAGCCAGCTTTTATACTCGTCTTCTGAAGAGATCCAGGACGATGGGACAAATGACTGCAACAAAACCTCCTCCTTTCTCCTGATTTGTCCGCCTTCCAAAACATTCATGATGGCGCTGAGCATTGGCAGGTCGATGTTTCTGACTGCATTCAGACGACTCTTGACTGCCGATTGAGCGCCATCCACTATTTCTCTCAACGGCTTCTTCACTTGAGCCCACAGCCCGTCTTCCTTCAAGTTGTCAATCTTGACGAGACCTCGATGGTCGCATTGCAGTCCCGTTGTCTTGCAGCTCTCAAGCGTCGCTGATTCCGGCTTCACAAACATGGTGGTTTTGCCCTCTGGGAGGTGGAAATCTTGGAGCTGTACATCGCTGAGCCCGTTGATCATCTTTAGCAGCTTTGTAATATCACTTTCGCGCTGCTCCCAGAAGCAATGGCAAGAGATTGTCTGATTGTTTGTAGTTGCCAGACGCGTAAACTCGATTCTCAATTGGCGCAGCTCTCTATTGTCGGCTTGGAGCAAGTCCAGCAATGTAGACTCAATGGCGCCCTTGTCCTGCTTTTCTGCTGCGGCCGCATACGCAGTGATTGACGAGAATATCGACGCGCCTCTGAATGGAGTGCCAAAGAAGATGCAACCAGTCGTGGTGTTGAATATGTCTCTAGACGTTCCGATGTCTATTGATGCGAGAATGATGGCTTTTGCAATCACGAGGCCTCCCATGCTGTGGCCAATAAACACAATGGGTCGGGCTTTGCAAGTCTTTGAAACACAGAATTAGTCACAGAGCCGATCATGGAATCCCTGCAGATGCAAATACCTCTCTTTTGGCACTCAAAGCTACAAGTAATGTGTTTGCAAGATTTTCGATGTCTTGCTTGACTTTGAAGCCCCCGACATACGCCGACTCGTATTTGTAGAGCAGCAAGCGCGCTCGAGGAAACTGGCTTTGGATTCCCGTCTCGTCCTTCATCCAGTTAAAGTCTGAATTGCTCGATTTCCAAGACTCTATTGGATCTGCACCCAGCCCCGGCACAAATACAATGTCGACATCCAACGAGATGCTCTTCTTCTCTTTCTCGGATGGAGATGCCGCATGCTCTTCTTCTAGCGGGTAAATCTGTACCACTCTCTGGTCGGATACCTCGTATCCTTTGGGGGCCCGCTTTGGCGCACTGCTGCTATTTGGATCGGCCAAGTTGATCTTTTGGCTGCTTGCCGCCAGCATGGCCTGATAATCGGCCGACGACATCTTTGTGGCGTTGGAGAATGATGTAAAAAAGATGGTATAAAAGATGGTCAACAGACTTTCGGTAGCCTTGAAAGACGTGTATCTTTTCAATATTGCACGGCGGGCTTAAACAGTGGCAATATTAAACATGGAGGCAGAATTTCTGGATATTGCGGGAGTTGGGCGGGGTTTATAAACACGATATAGCCTCGCACTCTGAGTTGGCAGTAAAAGAGCCCGAGCAGCAACACCTCCAACCATTGCCAAGCCTCGGTACCGAAGCATGTCGATTTCCCCGCGTAGTTTGAGAGCAGCAATGACTCCCATTGAAGCCTGAAACTGATATACGCATTCTTTCGGGCTTTTGATTGACGCTGGCATAGAAACTAGAGCAACCCGGCAGTTATGGAGTCATCTAACACGTCATAAATTTTATGCGCGAGGGCTGGCTGCCCGATAATGGCTGCAATGCCATCGTATAACCACCTATGGCTTCAGGTCAATCACCAATGCACTTATGTGACACTATTGCCGGGATTATACCCATCAATGAATCGCCTTATTTGATAAACTCCACAAAGCCAGAGTGTGAACCTTGCCATTCAGCTGCACAGGTCTGAGCTGAGACGTCCATCCCACCCTATAGTCGACGTATCATATGCGGGGATGCCTAACCAATGCCGAGTCTTGGGAGAGCATATGCAAAGACTACTTGATACTACTTGTAGCAGCAACAGTACTATCTAGGTTTTCCAGTCCCTGTGAGCGTATTTGCCAATCGGATCGCCAGGAGGATGACAGCTCAACAGTTGTTCTCTATTAGTGAGTTTGATAGGAGCTGAAACAGGGATCAGTGATTTTGGGCGGTAAGCCTCACCGAAGGGCTCAGTCATTGGTCAATGACTACGAAAATACGTGGTCCCAGTAATGCTCAATTCGCGAGGCAAAAATGTCAGTTCTGCGGAGCAATTCACTCATCGCAACCAAGTTGTTTGTTCAATCATTAAACCAAGATTGATCAATATTCCCTCAACCAGTAGGTTCATTAAGCTCCGCTGAGAATAGGCTATTTAGCGAAACCTCAGTTGGATCAAGATGTATATGGCTTTTCTCGTTTCGACGCTTTCGCAAATTCGTATTACAATAGCTGGTCTTGCTACAGTATACCGGCGCTTGACCTCCCCATCTAAACTAATCACGAATTGATTGCAGTGAGACATGCCGGTAACCTGCAGATCCATGTGGTATCAGGTATATAATTCGCTTGTGATCCTACCACTGCTTGCATGCCACGTTTGTTTGCATATACAGTTGTGGCTTTGGCGAGAACAATGGGACCAATCCAGCGCCCATATGGAAACATGACACAGAGAGCGATCCATTGCGATACTGCTACGTGATTTGATACCAGCGGCGTCTAAATTCTGATTCGTGGATGGAGACTGGGAATGCCCTGCCACAATGGCTGCGGGGTTACGATATTCTTGCCACAAGGCAGCCTAACCAAATCCTTGGATGACTATGGAGTACATGCCCTAGTTGGCCTATAAGGCTGCCAAGGTCCGTCTTGGATCTCAGAAAGTCTTCAGGGCCATTTCCGTGGTAGCGTATGTGAATTATTTGCGGGTAGGCAGCATCGCCAGGCTGCTGCTTCATATCGCTTTGGACTGGCCTTTGCAGTACATGTCGGTCATTTATTTTCACGGCCGTCATGGGAAAACGCCATGAAATGGCGGTTAGAACAATACGTAGGTGCCTGCCAAGACACGGCTGCCGACCATGCTTGTGAGGCCATCACGTCGAGCAAATGCTAATCGAGAGAAATGTAGTAGAAGAAAACGAAGATTCTGTTATAGAGATTGACAGTTCAAAGGGGCTTGGTAAGTGCAACCTTTTTTTACCATGGGTATCTCTGCATCAAATGCGTAGTAGTAACGCGCTTCATTGGTGCCCTATAACTTTACAATTTGCTGACCTCAAGTCTCACCTTAGAACCTCCATTTGCCGAGGAAGAGAAAATCTTGAGAGAAGAAGACCTCGTGCTTCCCGGTACATACCACCACAAAAGGAATGTCATAAGCATCAACAATGATGTCGCTTCCTCAGTCAAGGGCTACATGGTATGCGATCTTGATGTTACGCGCTTGAACAAAATCCACAAGCATCTCTGGTTAGCCGGACTGCCATCAGCTTCTCGAGCATTACACAACCAAGTCAGAGTCGGGCGTGAAATCATCATCACTGAGAGCGCGGATCTTCACATCGTTTGGCGCGACAACGTCGTGACCTTGAAACCACTGCCTGACTACTTGCTCAGCTATGCGACCTGGATCAACACACTGTGCAAGGATGAGGACCTCTATCGGAGTGCGAGAGGGTTCCTCTATTCTTACACTTGGCTCATAAGCAGCAAAAGCGATCTGCGGATTGCACATGCAAAAGGTCTAATATCGGAAGACATCAAGTGGGAACATTGGGCTCCATTTTCTGCAGCTGTGGTTTCGCGCATCCAAGGAGATCCGAGCAGCATCAACCAGAGATACATTTACGGCGAACTACGTCTCAAACGGCTGAATCTCATCTACAGGTTTAGCAACGCATCAAACTTCAAGACAATGATCCGAGGATACGAGTACGGCTATCATCAGTACTCGACTTACTTTGAGAGAAACTTTAAATGGGTGCTGACGGCCATCATCTACATCACCGTGGTGTTGACGGCAATGCAAGTGGGACTGGCCACGACACAATTGAACACAAGCGCAATGTTCAACCGCGTTTCATATGGATTCACGCTGTTTTCCATTCTGGCTCCGTTGATTACGCTGGTCATTGGAGCAATTATCATGTTGATATTGGCGGTGTTTAACGTTCGGCACGCGCTGGGAGAAAAGGCCAGGTCACACCAGTAGCTGGGTCTTTGAGCATGATTGTCATGATGCATACAAACATTAACAAGGAAAGGAGTTAGAGCATTTAAGCAAAGCGAATTATATATTTTGGATGCGTTGGAAGCATTTATTTAGCAAGCGTTTATTCTATGGGAATTATTAAAAAAGTCCTCTGAAGGCTACTCTAAGACAAAGTCTATCCGTGAATTCTCATTCAGACATTCGATCGGGTTACAAAACACTCAATTTTAGCTTTTTCGTGCTATATCTGCTTTGACGATAGCATCTCAACCTCGCGAAGCACTCTGTCGTCCGACTTCCACATGAGACGCAGCCAAGGCGGGTACTTGAACCAGAGAAGCATTCGCTTGGGTTTCACTATGACGTGGAGATGCAAATGGTGAATCGAAACAATGTCGGGATAGTAGATGCTGCCTATCAGTGGCCGTCGACCTCGATGGTAGCCAGAGTGTATCCAAGATGGGGGTATATCGGGACAGTGCTCCTGAACCAGGCGGCGTTTCACTTCATCCATGGATTGCACTGTTTCCATCAGCAAACGTCATGGAAAGTGTTGCAATAATGATACTTACAGAGTTGTAGATGTGAAGAGTCGAGATTCTCAATATCTCTCACGGCGTGCTCCTTGGGCAGAATGAGCCAGTGTATCTGCCCTGCCAGGCGTCGATTGCTGATGACGATGAGTTTTTCATCCTGGAAGAAACTGTTAGCACGCACCCTCGCAGCCAAATCAATGCCATAAAACACACCTCGTAAACTATCTTGGCGAAATTCTTGCGGTCGCAGAATATGCAGACGTGCTGTTTCCGCTCCGTCCATTCGAGATTGGTGAGGTAGTAGAAAATCCGCCTGAGCGTCTCCATTTCGGGCGCCAATCGCAGACACGATGTGATGAATTTTCTATGAGGCCAAGATGCAGCGGCCTCTTCATATAGTCGAGTCGTACAAAGAGGCTTTGCTGAGGGAGCACAGACTGTGGCTCGTGATGGTGTTCTTTGTTTGCCGCGGTGAAAACGCCCTGGAGCCTGGCGCTGGAACGGCTTGTGGCTGTGCGGCTCAACAAACGGAGAGAGGCAGCTCGCGCCGGTATAGCGGGTTAATGACGGCGAGACATGCTGAATCTTTTATCTTGCAAGAGCCTAGACCGCCGTTTAGTTTTGAGATATGGCCATCGTGGGAGCCATGTGAGAGATGCCTGACAAAGGCTCGTTGATGCACAAAGGCTGTTCTGCTTAGGTACGGAGACAGTTCAACGAGTGTAACAGCCTAGCGCAGTCAGTCTCCATATCTTCAGCCCAACAGAAGGAAATTACTGCTTGACCCCGCAGCAAACGCGAGGCAGACTGGCAGACTGACTTTGTTCATTTTCAAGACAGCTGTTGGACTTTGGAATACAATGTTTCATATGGGTATAGGATTCAAAGAGTATGAGATAGGGCCAAAACAGGCTAGACAAAGCCCAATACAAGATTGAACTTGTGATGAACACTCAATTCCGTAAATGGTCCAGCACATGCCGATATCCAATCAGCGTCACCTGCACCTCCGGATTCCTCAAATCAGCCTCCTCCCAAGCCAGAAACCGCTCAAAGCCAGCCTTCTCAAGCACCCTCTGGCTACCGATATTGTCCAAGAGCGTAAACGCAGTCACCTGCTCCGGCGACGATTCCTCGCCCTCTTCAGGCAAAAGAGTCCGCCGGTCGACTTCAAGCTCTGCCTCTGCGCGGGGCAACTTGCACCACGACTCCAGCCATGCCTTGACGAATTCGGTGGCGACGCCCTGGCCCCAAAACTCGGTCCGGATCATGTATCCGATGGCGGGCCAGCCAAACATGGAGACGAGCTGGTGGCAGCCGCCAATGCCAATCATCTCTCCCGTTTCCTTGAGGCAGATGGCACAGTTGAACGTCTTCTCGTCGTTGGGAGGCAGAAACGGGCTGAGTCGCTGCCGCGTCTCTTGCAGGTCCTTGTCGGGCCTGCCTTGGGGACTGTTGGCCATGACCTCGGGCTGGGTCCGCAAGATATGCAGGCTGCGGGCATCTTCTGGAACAAGAGGCCGGATCAGTAAGCGGTCTGTCGTGATTGGCGATCGAGTGGCGTTGAGTGGCAGCGGGCGCGCAGGCAAGGTTGTCTTGACCGTGGCCCATTTCGGCTTAGAGGTTGCCATTTTGTGATATCCTTCAAGAATCTTATGGTGACACTTTTTGCATGCGAGTCTTCCGATGCTCAATTATGAGTTGTGAATATCTCTCATATTTTCTTGCTAGGATGCGTAGATCCTCGAGTTTCCCAGAAGGGCTAAACCCGATCCTTCGCAGTTTTAGCTCCCGCCAGCTGGCTTTGAGCAGCACAGTAGGACCTCTATAGCGCCTCTTACAGTGTCCATTGCTGCCTGCATCCCACTGAAGCCCCGAAGATTGAGGCCAGTGGTCTGACTTTTGGCGGGGCTTTGGTCAGAGAAGTTGAAGGCTGGCGATGGAAAAGCCGACAATTTGGCCTTTATGTTGCTCTTCTTCAACTGCTGCCTTCTTGATGCTATCGTAGAGAACGTGCTTTTGGAAGTAGCGACATTGTCAATCTGTATTTTTACAATTTTATTTTCATAAAACTCTCTACAGCGAATAGCGCATTTAATTGCAAAGCCAATTGGCAAAAGATCAACAATTGATATCATTTGCCATTGCTTTGCGGACTTTGTGGGCTTATGTAGTGAGATCAGCACTCTTTGGCGATGAGGTGGCAGCGACGTGGAGCGATCGAACATGAAGCTTGTCTTACACGCCCCGCCCTTAGTATTGAGGACTACCTACAGCATGCACATACTTGACCTTTTCATTTCAACTCCATCATGCCCTCTGTCCTTTAGCTATTTTTAGTTAAGACCGCCGCATCTATTTTCCCTTCGAGTACCTTGTAGATCCCTCTCTCGGCTGCATGGGCGGAGTTGAGCTCGGTCCGCTTCGCTTGTCAAGGTTCAAGGTGACTGTGATTAATGGTGACTTGGCGAGGATACAATGAGATAGGATGAAAGATGCCAAGGGTTGAATTGTACTGATATTCGGCTACACCCCAGCTTCCTTTGGTCACGACTTATAGTAGCTTCTTCAATGCATATTTCCAAGGCCTATCGAGAACAAAACAGGTCCACAATTCTGGTCTAAGCATAACCAAGACCTTCCAATCATTGTCATCGAATGTGTTTTGCAGGCAGAGTAGCGCGCACTAACAGCTAGTGGTGTGAGACCCAAGACCAACAGCAACATCGTAAAGAGACGCCGACAAGGCTATTCGCCGTCGATATTCGGCCGAAAGGGCTTGCTGATTGTTGTGAATATTACTGCTGCGGGAAAATAGCGGGTGACGGCGGAAACTGCCTGCATCTGAGGTCATCCAAATTCATGCAACTGGAAAGAATGGAGCCAGCGGCGGATCACATGTGTCTATGCAATCAGTAATACGGTGCTTACAACGGTCGGCACATGCCTGCATCCATGTACTTATTACAAGACTCGGCTACAACTTGAAGTTATCAAAACCTATAGGCTGCAAAGGCCACTAGATGAGATTTACAAGTTGCTTCATGTTATTAGCATGAATATGCTAAATTAAGCCATGTCGGCGTCCAGTAGTCATATGTACTCGCTATGATGACGACTCAAGCGATTGGTTCAAGGGATTGCTCAACATCATCTCCCACCGGCGACAGTTACATTACAAGGGTAAGTAAAAGAAATACATGGAGCATGAAAAATAGGATTAAAAGACTGCGTATGCAGGGTGAGATTCCTACATCACCACATCCCGGCGCTCGGGACTGGACCCCCGGTAAGCTGGAGCCAGCATTGTCTGACAGCTCGACTTTATTTTGTGAAGCACATATCGCTCGCTTAAAGAAGGGAAACAAAATAGATTGCATTAAGTCTTATCAAGCATAAGCACAAGCAAGGCATTGTTCACATATTGACAGGATTGCGTAGGATTTGCTTAGGGCGATGCAGTGAGGGCAGGGCGGAGTATAGGCCGTTGACGGGTACCTACCACCGAGGTACAGGCGTTGAGGTGTCCCCCACTGAAGAACCCTGAACCCCAGCATTACCGCTGTTCTTGGCTTCAGGCAGCATGCAAGGGTACAACAGCTGAAGGTATCCTTGCGGCGGATAGTACATGCTCCTGACAAGCTTGGATGACAATAAGATTGATGGCATAATGCATGCTACCCCGAACAGAGATTCATCAATCCTCGACAGACATCTACGTCTACAGAAACGCACCGGAGCCACAAACAGGGCTGGCAGGGTCTCTCGGCATCTTGAGCGCTGAAACTCCACCCAACAGCGCATCGTAATCCGGGGCACCGTCCCAGCGCTGAATGAGGTACAAGGCTGCAGTGGCCTCTGCAGGTACTGTATACGGGGCGGCGAATAAACGCCGAAGGAGCTTGTCGACTGCCAGCGGAGATATGCACGTACTATCGGCAGTGCGGTGGTGCTTGATTGGCCTGGTGGTTGCGAGGAAGCGATTTATGGTGCCTGATGAAGCCTAGCTCTCGCCTGTTAGTGCTCTTCAGGTGCAGCGCGCTGTGGCAGAGCCCTGTAGCCGCTACTTGCGCTTCAGGTATCGCCCGCCGTGCCGCTTGTTGGGCTTCCCGTTAGCGGTGCAGGTACCCATCGCTATGGAGCTTGCGCGGACTGTACCGCGCCACTAACCCGCCGCACCCTGTAAGCGCGCATTAGTCATCCGATCCAGCTCGTGATGAAGCCGATGCCGTTCCACGCAGCTCCTTCAATCCCACGACGCTGGTTCACCGACAGACGCAGCTTTTTCTTCTCAGACAAGGAATCTGTCTTTTCCTTCTTTTTCTTCTTCCTCTTCTTCTTCTTCTTCTTCTTACGTTTAGATATACGATTCTGCGCGACACACTCAAAATCACAAAGAGAAAGAATGGCGCTGCGTATAAAGTCGAGCGGCATCAGCGCGTTTCAGGGACAGGAGGATCGGGCTCTATCACGAGACAAAGGTGAATTGATTTGATACTTTTTTCTGGCTTGTTGGTTCTCTTGGGATCTCTCTCTCTTCTGGCACCCAGTCATGTGAATATCATACGCTGTTGGCTTCCGCCTCTAACCTCTTGTCCTCTTTTCAACGAATCTTCAACACATGCCTCTATCCATCTCTTCGTTCACCAACTAACTCATCGCCATGACCCAAAAGCACCGCCAAAACGTGCCTCCGTCGCCAAGCCGCTGCAGTTCGTCACCGTCACGTCCACCAAGCAAAAGAACCGCAAGGATGTCTCCAAAGTCGTGCGCACCCAGGCCATGAGGGACTACTTCTGGAAGCAGCGCAACCCCGACAGCTCAGAGGCCGCCGCCAGCGACTTGCCCATGGACCCGTCGCAGTACAAGGGCCGCTTCCGCCTCAACTCGCCGCCCAACTCGGCAAAGGCAAAGGGCGCAAAGAAGGACAAGAGCCGCGCAAAGAAGGCGAACCAGCTCCAGGTCGCCCGCGTGCAAAAGGGGCGTGTGGCGAGAGACCGAGGGCCGCTGCTGGACATTCGCTTCTACTTGAATGACGGCCTCTTGGAGAAGATCCCGCCGACCATGCTGGGCGCGACGCTGGACCCCTTTGACTCGTTCAAGGTCGACATGAAGCCCGAGGCCATGAAGCTCATCTGGTACTGTAAGTCTCGCCAAACCGGCCCTCTCTGGGGTTCCATCCATATTTCCATCTCCTGTTTCAGTCCCCTCTCGTTACGTCATCTTGTCTCTACTTGGTGTCATCATATGCATTGCCCTATCATATCAATCGTGTTTACAATGCGTGTCTTATCTTGTCTTGCCTTATCTCTTCTAACTTGACCATCACATCCCAGATAAGCAAAGTTACATCAAAGAGTTCCTAGAGCTCAACGTCGGCGGCGGCTACACCCTCTTCGATGCCAGGGAAAACTGCGCCCTTTTCCACGCCATCCTGTATCTGGTCGCCCTCGACTATGTCCTCCGTCGCGGCTTCGAAGATGATCTGGGCTGCCTGTATCATTCCTCAGAGGCTTTCCGCCTCATCAACAACCAGATTCGGAGCGGCAAGATTGAAGACTCGACAATTGCTGCTGTCGCCATGATCTCCACCAAGGAGGTATATCTTTCTCATGCGCATCCATGCATCACGTATAAATACTAACGTTATTCAGAATCTTGCCGGCATGTTTGACATTTCCTACATCCACATGCAGGGCCTCAAAGACATGATTCAGAAGCGCGGGGGCATAGAAAGTATCAAGGGCATACACCGCGGAGTAGTTCTGTGGTCAGTACACCTCTTCTTCTCCATCATGCACCGTTGCTGCCACCATACGAGGGCAACTTCACTAACTCAACCCCACAGGGCCGATTTCTGCAACTCGACAGTCTTCAACTGCACGCCACAATTTTCCAGAGATTCCTCCCCCAAGGCCGAAGAAATACCGTTTACGCCCGACTCTGACCCTGCGAACTCACCTCTAGAAACCATTCTCAACGACGAACTTCCAGTTCTCTTGGTCGTCCAGTCACTCCGCGACGTGTCTGCAGAAAAGGACAATTACCGCTTAATCACCCAAAACAACAAGGAAATAAACAACAGAATTTATGACATCGAATACAAGCTGCATTGTCTGCAGACGAACAACCATGAACGCGGTACCAGCTGCGGAAAGATGATTCCATTCTGCGTCGCGCTAAACGTCTATCTCTACCTCGCAATACGAGAGCTTCCCGTCAGATCCAAGATGATGATGATGTTGATAGATCGCCTGCAAGAGACTTTCAATACCGAGCCCCTGCAGTGGTGGGTTTCTAATCAGGAGCAAAAGAAGCGAGTCATGTGGATGTTATTCATCGGATACGCTGCTGGATCGGAAACTTACAAAGACGCCTGGTTCCTGCAAACCATAAAGAGCATGTGCAAGAAGTATGAGATTCACGACGTGGATCAGCTGAAACAAAATGTGAAGGATGTCTTGTGGCTGGAATATTGGTGCGGCCCGTACTTTGATAAGTTGAAGGTCGCTATGCAAGCTCAAGATTAAGCTGCAGTATTGGAGAAGGCGAGAGGACGGTAAGTTTTACTGGTGAATCTCTGATACCTTGAAAAGAATGCGCATTTTTGGCTTTTTTTGTTTGTTTTTGTTTTCGGTTTGGAGTATTTGTCCATCTCTTAACAGTGCGTCCAGGCTAATGATTGGTGCAAACATGATTTGACATTTTTGGAGCATAGCGCTTGTACTGCATTCTCACTTTGGGGTCTTTTCTTTCAAAATTTGTATTTTACATCTATCGCTGATAACACAGATTGATTGTACTATATTCTCTATTCCCGTCTCTATACTCTTGAAATCCGCTCACCATTTCGATAAACGCGATACGTATGTTGGAGGTTTCCCACGACTGGATAGTACTGCAATACATTGTACGAAAGAAAAGTAATCCAGCAAGACTTCCTGTCCTGACGACGTAGCCAGCACGAAAGAAAGAAAGACACGCCTCAACAATGATACCGTTCATCTTGATCAAAATAGTTGATCTCTAGAGGCATACCTACGCAGGAGGGGGAGGTTTCTGGTCATAGGTTTTACAAGATTTTATCTCTGGTACAACCATGAAAGGCATAGGAAATTTTTCCAGTGCCTTTCGAAAGGCTTGGGAAATCTTTCAGTCCCTTTCATGGGCGTTACCAGAGGTAGGAGCTATGACCAGAAACCTCCCCCTCCCGCGTACCTAGGTAGCCAAAGATCGGACCCGAGGGTCTCTCCACTCTTTTGATCTTCTCTACAGAGTTCTGCTGTCCTCGCTTCGGTTGGGATTCCAATGTGGCCGTGTCCAAATAACTTCTGGTTTTGTGATGGCCCAGATGACGTTGATCACTAGTGATCCCCAACGAATGAATGAAATGACGCTCCAGTTATTGTCCCAGGGTAGAACCCCATATGGTATGAGAGTCGCGGTAGGCGGAAGCCTTTAGTGACTCTCCATGTTCGTCGCCAGCAGGCGGTGCAGTAAGCTTGTCTTTCGTTATTTCTGACGATTTCAAATTATTCGGCGGATGGGCATACAGTGGCAGCTACTTTGTCTTTTGCGACACTCCAGGAGCAAAGAGATAAGACTGTATCATGAACGGCGTAAAAGTCAAAATTTCCCCGATCTGGAAGGATTACTATTCTGTCTTGTTATTCCGTTATAGTGTAAGCGATCTTTTGTATAATAAGCAATGCTTTCAAAATAGACAAGTTCAGCAGCTGCAATAGCCGAGGGGGGGTGGTAAGCACCAGAAACATGTGTGGACTTTGCTCTGCCATTGTAATATACTCGTACATATTTCAGTACGAACTCAAACGCGCCTCAAAATAAGTGTGTGTACGACAAAACAGATTCTTATGCGCGCATCTACCAGCAGTATTTGCAAGTTCGTGAGCATTGCTATCAACTTGGAAGTCTAGAGCCCCACGCATGACTGCAGATACATCCACTTTTTCACCAGTAATTTATTCGTCTCTCAACAATTTCTCCAATTCCATGCTCTTGAACACTTCTTCTCTTTCCTGATCGGCGACTTCTCGCGCCTCGAATAAATCTCGAGGAGTGTGGCCGTGAATATCCATTGCAGTACGCTGCGCACCAGCTGCTACAAGCTCCGTAATAATATCTTTTCCCCTAGTAATGTCACGTCTAGGAGATAGCATCGTGCTTACAACCAAGTGAAGTGGCGTTCGCTCAAAGCGATCCATACAATTGACATCAACCTTCCATTTGGAGAGCAAAAGGCGAACAATATCGACCCGCAAGTTTTGCGCAGCGACATGTAAAGCAGTTGCACCGTCACAGCCTCTACAAGATGCGCTTGGGTCGACATTGCAGCTACCTAAAAAGTAGCTGATGGCTGTTTCGTTGTCCCTTTGTACACATAGAGATAATGCCGTCTCATAACAGGAACCATGCTGGTCCATGAATGTCATGCGGCCGATCCCACGATAGGAGAAGCGACGGTTCAGAAGCGAGAGGGAATTAGATAGCTCATCATCGTCACCGTCATCAACAGTATGATGTAAATGCCACCTATCATCAGGGCGGCTTACTTTGGCTGTTCGAAACTGCGGGTCCACTCCGAGCTCCTCAGTAATTAGCTGCAGTATCTCAATCTGGTCCGCCAGAGGCTCATATAGAATGTCCGCAAAAGTCGTATGTAGAGAGTTGAATTCTGTGTAATGATAGGTTGCAAAATGTATTGCACCACACCCCCAGTTCTCATCGGGCTGGGGGAGAGGCACTTTCCCACTCTTTACTAGGCACTGAACAACATCCGCTTGGCGGTATATTAACGCTGATTGCATAGGGCTAAGGCCCCATTTATTCACCAGTTTTGCGTCAATGTCAGGGTGTTGCAAAAGTAGACGTATTATTTCAATGCTGCCTTCTTCCACTGCCAGGTGAAGTGGTGTGTCTTCAGGGAAGTCTTGGCAATTCACATCTAAAGAATGCTCTCGAGTTGTCGTTTTCCCCAGTAACGGCCAGTTGCGGCGAGGCCTTGTGCTGTGGTGGGGTTTCCATTCAAGTAACAATCTCACCATCTGAGAATTTCTCGTTGAGATGGCGTTCAACAAAGGTGGTACTTCCCCCTCTGCGCCGTTGATGTTTGCACCGCTGGCCAATAGACATTCGACTATTTCTCGATGACCAAAATACGAAGCGTAGGCTAATGGTGTGTCGCCACCTCCAGCGTCAACATTCACTCCATGTTTTAGGAGTAATTTGACTATGGAGAGGTGTCCATTCGCGGAGGCTATTCGCAGATCCTCTTCTCTGTCTCCCCTGGCGAACAAATATTTCCAGTATAGCCGATGCCCCTTGTCTTCTAGGATTCGCTGCATGAGAACGGTCAAACCAAGCCTCGCCGCCACAGACATTACATCGCTTCCATAGAGCACCCGGTGGGCCCATTTTATCCAGACTGGAGAGTTAAAAAAGAACTGTGAGTATTCTTCCAGTATCCTGATGCCATGCTGGCTGGAATGGTTAAAATGATTGTGCCACTGGTGTGTTGCATAAAGAAAAAATGGATACCGAAATTTTGTATCCTTTTCATCCATATTTTCAAAAATAGCTACATCTTCGAGATACGCGTCGTGAAAGTAGGCAATACAAGCAGATGCCAGCCTCGACTGCTCCACTTCAGCGCTAGACAGTGAAAACCAAGGGATTTCCCCATGGTTTGGAATTTTCCTTGTCAAAAAGTCGTAAGCGCTTTGATGAACTAGACTTATAACGTCATTCGTTATACTCAGAAAGTGGCCACAGTATGTCAATTTTCCTCGCAAAACTGATTCTTGATCCAACAAGTCGGTGGGTTTAATCTTCAAAATGGAAGCAAGTTGACTGAGTGTGAGTGGCTCAACCGCAAACGTGCACCACCGAAGAATATCCAGAGTTAGACCTCGATAATCTTGGCCGACCTGATTGAGAATTCTTTCATAGAGCGGATACAATCCCCGTGGGAGCTGGTCTAAGCTCTCTTCCACTTCGGACACCTCCACGTTGTGAAGGTCTTGAACAACAAAACTAATCCATAGATATGTGCCCGCAGACTTGTGTCTTAGAATCCTTGTGACGTTATTTGTCAACTGATCCGGATACTTCTTGCTTTTTGATATCTCTGCAACGCGTGCTGAGATGTACAAATCCAGTCCATTGCTGACCTCGGCCCTTGCGTCTGGATCAAGACGAATTCTCAAAAACTGGCCTAGTGAAAACTCGAGGCAGCTTGGATGTTCTCGACTCAAAACTATTATTTTCAGCTTTGGAGAGCTACTTGGGATATTTTTGAGTTTGTTTAGCAAGTCTTGCAGTGATGCGGGCTCGCATTCGTCCAGTCCGTCGAGGACACAAGACACTTGCGAGTCCCCAACGTCATTTATCATTCTAATAAGAATGCTCCAGATGGTTTCAAACGAATTCTGCTGGAATGTTTTTTCTTCTTGGACTTCGTAAGTTGGAAGGATGTGCTTGATAAGATCCCCTCTTTGCTGCAGGAGTTGAAAGAGCAATCCCCGAACAATAGCAACCGAGTTATTCCGGGTATTGTCTTTGGCATCGCAGAAGAAGAAAGTTGAAAAGTGGCGTTTCCCATCCCCAAGAGGCCTGAAATAGCTTGAGAGATATTCCGTCAGATAAATGGATAGCATCGTTTTCCCTAAGCCGGGGCCGCCTGATATCCAAAGCAGCCCACCGCCAGAGGCTATCCAATTGACGAATTCTTTTCTTTGAGCGATCCAGTCGCATGTGCCGCTTACAATCTCTCCCTTGGATGTGATAAGTTTGGCGCGGTCTATTGCGGAATCTGTAATGAAAAGATCCTGGAGACATTTCTTGCTGGGATTAGCAGGTTGCCCTTGTGTGTCGAGATTGGTCAATTTGGCCAGTACAGCTTCGGCTACTGCATTGGTGCGCCTATTGGTATCGATGCAATTAGCTTTCTGATCATCTAGCTCTCCTCTTTCCTCACATACAGGTTAATATGAGTATCAAGCGTGCTGTACTCTTGATGCAGCACGGCGAAGAGCTTCATAATATCTTCTTCTTCTTGTAAACCGCATATAGCCTTCCAAGTCTTCTTCCTCAATGCGTCATTATGTTTGAACGAAATCTTTTCCAAGAGTGTTTGCAACTCTCGCATATAGCTTTCGCACCGAATTAATATGTTTTTAACGTCCTCTGTCTGTAGTGGCTTTGTGGTTTTTATCTGTGCTGCGAGAGAGGCGAGGCTTTCAATTCGCCCAACCCCCCGTCGTATTTGGTCCGGAGCATCTTGAATCTGGTCAACCACAGCTTTGACAAACTTCGCAAGTTTGAAAGCAGCTTCAACAAGTTGTTCAGAGGCGGCTATAACGCCTAAAACCTTAGCGCCAGACATGTTGCGCAAGATATCGTACTCGCGTAGGTAGGTATTACCAAGTACTTTGGAAACAAGATAATTCTCTTTGGCGCCCTATTGTAGAAACGAGGCTTTCTAAGTGCCACCACCTTCAGACCCCTGTAATGCAGCCTCAATAGATGCGTGTCACCGTGGGATTGGCTGGACTCTGAAATAATGCATTAGTGCATATGTATACATGTGTATATGTACATAATCCTTTGGCGAATTGTATGGCTTCGTTGCTGCAACAAGACAAATTTTAATGCTCTCCGCAAGTCATATAGATCATCAGGGTAGCTTATCTCTATGCCGAGTTTGTAGCTCGATAGCGAAATGTCTTTAAAAAGAAAAAAGCATATATTATAAGATAGAATTAGTCTAGTGACAATATTTAAAACATAATGCCGGCGCAAGCAGCCGTGCAATCTGCCTTGCCGTCCGCAGTTGGGAAGACGTGTATACAGCCTTGCGAATGACACAGCCAGCTATTGCTGAGCCTATCACAACGAATCTGCCTCGCTATAATTCACTCACCTCTTATACCCCGCATTCTGCATACTCCCTAGGCTTTCATGGCAAACACAACTCCCTACTACTATTTCGCTCCGACTTGGGATTTTCCTCCAAACGGTCCTCTTCAGCTTGGAAATGTTCTCATGTCGGTGAAAAGGCCTGAACGATCATTATACACCGCTCCACTACCGAATGCTAGCGAGATAATCACGTCAGAAAAGAGTCAAGTGGAATTCTCCAGAGAAAAGCTAAAAGCCGGAAAGTTTTCCATCTTCACACGCTTTATAAGATTCACTGGCCTGGGTATCGATATAGCCATAAGTTGGGACACTGCGTAAGAACACTCTCTATTTGAATGGTATAATCATTTCTCCATGTTACTAAGTTGGCACTACAGCAACGAAGAAGCTTTTACATTCGAGCGTCTCAAAACAACATTCTTCGTCCCTACCCAACCTTGGCTTGAAAAATGTCTCGCCAACTCTGCCGTACAGCGCTATCTCGAAAAGTGCCGCTACCGAAAACCTATCTATATTATCACTGGCCTCAAGACAGTGACGGGCGCTGCCGTCAAGACAAATAAACAATCTGCTTCGGCCAATACGGCTGGCATTGAGGTAGCAATACCAGGTGTCGAAGTAGTCTTGCCCTCTGCTACGCCTGAGATATTTACAAAGAAAGCAGCAAAGGACAAAATGAGCTGGGAAGATCATAGTGACTTCATTTTCGCATACAGGGTGAGCAAGGTATGGGTTAAGAAGGGTTCAATACTAGAAGAAGATTATACCAAGGGTGCAATGTTCGAAAGAGAGGAGAAGACCGTGGTGAATATTGCGCTGGAAATTGCAAACGTAGAAGAAGCGGATCCAGTGGAAGAGGGATTCTTAAAAGAGGAGATTATAGATGACGATGAGAAAATTATCATCGCACTGCCAGAAGGAGCGGCAAGCAGGTCTATTTGACATAATAACATATGGAATTATTAGTTTGTGCATAACATTGTTGTATTGGGTTATGGTCTAGACATCTTTCATTGCGTCCCGGATTCTACTATTTAGGGAATTCTCACCCTTACCAAAAGGGCTGTCAGGGTGTAGGCTGGGTGCAATGTAATCGTATCCTTGACTTCTTATAGAGACTGCTTTCAGGACGGCCTTCATGAATTGACTCTGCTTCAGTTGCTGAGCTTCTTTGGGATGCAGCTTTGCTCTTGCATATTGTAACAACGCAGCAGCAATCCCGCTTGCAATGGGCGTTGCAAATGAAGTACCCGACTTGCTTGCAGTACAATTCACGTTTCTCTTCCGATCGCAGAGACCAACAGGCCAGGCAGACTCAACTGCCTCACCTATCGTGGCGAAATTATCCCCTAGAAGAGGCAACGGATTGAAGTCGGAGGGAGCACCGTTAGCTTTGGTCGAATGTATGCAAATAATATCTGGATGTCTTGCGGGATATGCCCTCTTCGTATTGGCCCCATTATTTGACGCTGCTGCAAAGAGGAGGACGTTTTGATTGCTGGCACGCTTTATTGATTGCTCAAGAAGCTCGTATCCGTCAACTTCACGGGATGGAAATCCAAAAGACATTGATATCACGTCAACCTTCCACTCATTCACTGCGCGGTCTATGGCCTAGTAACAAGCTATCAGCGATGGGGAACTTCTTGTTTGTATATAGTTTAACTCACTTTTGCAACAGTGGCAGGCTTGGGTGGCTCAAGATCACATATCTTAGCGATGTATAGTTCTGCGTCAGGCGCATAGTCTAACAATAAGCCCGCAACATGCGTGCCATGCCCACAACGATCGGAAACGTCGTCTTTCTGCCGGCAACCGGGTATAAACGATTCTCCTCTCTGAATGCGCTCTTCTTGAGCTTCGTAATCGCGGTGACTTTTGTCTACCCCGGTGTCGAGAACCGCGATTTTGACAGGGACTTTAACGGAATCGCCTTCAATGAGGCGGTCATATACGGGACGATACGTTTTCTTCCAGGCCAAATACGCATCACGGCTATTGTTAAATTAATAAATGGAGTCTTTGTCAGTGAAAAAGATTAAGCGACTAATTGCAGGACACATTACTTACGACGTGGAAGAAATGTCTGAAGCAACGCTCTGGTCATCAAAGAATTTAAAATCATTCGCGTGGTTGGCTCTTTTCAATGTAGAATCCTTGGATCTTTGGCTTTCCCTACTTTGGTCATTTAATGGCGTTCGAACGCGTGATACAGATAAACCGTGATCGGCATGCCAATCCTGTATGGTTTCTTTGTCCGCAATTGGTTGTCCCCATCGCGTGAGATCTAGCTTTTGTGCCTCTGTGTCGAGCGTCTCAATCTTGATATAGCTGAATGTATGCTCGAGTTCATACTCGAGTCGGCTTACTATATCTTTGTAAATCACGCTCCTCAGCTGGTGGGCGTCAAGTTGGTTTCTGTTGTCGTCTATATCAATATTCGGATTCAGGCATTTATCGATCGCCTCGCGAGTTTGTTCTGAAATGTCATCTTTACACTTGTCGAAAACTGCAGCAGTGGCTATGTATTTGGCGCAGTCGTTCATGTCTTCGTTATACTCAAGATTGTGAGCATGTGCGATAGTTTGCAGTCTTCGGGCCAGATGCAGTTCGATGAGCATGGCTGCTAAAGCTACTAGCGATGGGTACGGATGGAACATGAAGTCGTCGGGATCAAAATCTTCATCATCGTCGTCGTCATTGTTGTCAGCGATTGGATTTGAGGTGTTATTCAAGATGTCGTTACCAAACTGAAGAACTTTTAGTTCGATGTAAGGTTGCAGAGGCGTGCCAGACGGCGTTCTGAGAAAAATTATATTGGCTGGACCCCAAGAACTATTTAGCCAAGGAGTTTGGTGTAAATGAAGAACGGCATAGCTTAAAAGGACTGCTAAAATCCGTTTAGTCTTTTCGGTGAGCTTCGAAGACTCTTCTGCCATGAAACGTTGAAGAGTGATGGCATGCGTTATTATGTTGGCCGTATTACTTGGTTCCGACTGTAGTTTCCAGAGTATGTTATTCTCAACCAAGAATTTGAGTCGGTATGTTGGAAAGTTCTGTTGTATCTTTTTTATAGAGTCGCATAAAATTTTGACCTCTTTGCGCCCCGTTCTGGACGTCTCCCTCCTGCTAGAGCGTGGGCCATCCTCAATCGCAAAGCTGACAGTTGAATGGGTTTTCTTCACGGTATGAAAATGAGCATCTTGCCAGCGTTTATCTGTTCCAAGAAATAGACTAAAATCGTACTCTTCGTTTAGATCGCTATCTCGATGTGTCTTGATGCAAAACCTGGCTGCGTAGGTATGAGGGCATAAACATCTTCCAGCTACTTCAAGGGCCTGGAACAGAGATTGGGCAGCAATAAACGATTCATATGGCGGCTCGCTTCTTCGTTTCCATGTGGGTGGTTCATCAAGGCGATAATCATCTCTGAATTCCGGTACAAAATAATCCTCGCACCTTTTTAAACCCGTAAGGAGTTCGCGTTGCTCTTTGAGAGATCCAAAGTTGATACAGCTCTTGGTGTATAGAAATCTGGATAATGTTTCGTCTTTTCCATATGATGTCCAGAGCTTATTGAGGGCCTGCATATGCGGAAACTGGCAAGACGTTGAGGCGTCTGCGGGTGGGATAATACCACGATCAACCAGTGAATCCAAGCGGCCAAGAATATAATGAGCAAGACTGGCCCTATCAGCGCTACAGGTAGTCGTTATCGAGGTTCCTTGAGAGAGTATCAGAGCGCAACGTGCGTTCAGATGGAGATAGAAGCTCCTAGAATTGAGCTCAGTTTCATGGTCGCCAAGAATAGCCGCTACTTCCTTGATCGTGTCCAAGCTAAGAAAAAAGAAGTCTAAGAGAGTATCTGATTTGAGTTCAAGGCAGAGAGCCATGTTTTGAATTGGTTACTTCAAATGCCCTTGATTGAGTGGTGCGACGGGCACGTTGGACAATTATCTGAGAGACGGGTTTAGAATTTTCCAATTCAAATACTGAGATAATAATGAAGTAGATTACCTCATAAGAAGGGTAAAAGAATGTTGGGACCAAAGGCGGGGTATGTTACACACACATGCATCGGTGCCCAAATGGATGTACATGAATAAGCAAGGCTGTGTTGAATGCCATAGATATGTGAGGTGCCAAGTTTACAGAAGGATCCTAGCTGTAGTAGAGTTACCTGTACTTTAATAAACTCATCTCTCCACTCTTTGTGTCTAGTTTCCATTTGTTCCTACCCTCTATTCCCAAACGCCCTTGATACATCTAGGGAAACATACGCCAGTAGGAGTCAACATGATGACAGAATCATCACCGCCTACTATCTCCGAAAAAGCACGAACATGCTTGATCTCTTTTGAGAAATGTCTGGCACAGATGACCACTTTGGATTATCTAAGCCAGTCTTTGATTGAGAATGAATTCGCGCGCTTTTCCGTCTGGACATCCAATATTGGCGTCTTTGCAAATGGTCGCGCTTCTATGGATCATCGTCTACGTGAGGCGCCCGACGTCCAGAAATTAGTTCTCGGACTTCTAGATGTATTGTTTAGGCGCATTGACAAATGTATGTGTCTTTCTCATCTCTGAACCCTTCTCTCGTGTTTCTTAAAGCCGGGCCTTCGAGCTGAGCTACAAGGGTTCTCAAAATTCCTGATAATATTATTTGATAAACACTAAGCTCACATAGCACTATTCAATAATACATACTAATGAAGAAATAGACTTGAGCTCTTTGAGGAACACCAATGATTCTTTGCTTTCGGATCCCGACGGGCAAGCAGCAACAGCTGACGCCTTTCTTAAAAGTGAAGTGGAGTATATCGCTAGCGAGATATCTTTGCTTCATGAGTTGTCTAACACGATTCGCAAAGCAAGTAGAAAGACAACTGACGTTAAAGCAGCTGCATTATTTCATATCCAAGATGACGAAGGAAATGATCTAGAGGAGCCTTTGAAGAATTATTTTGCTACAAACATAAGAGATCAATTTCCCGGTATTTCTGACGTCTTAAGACTGAGACTCGCCAAAGCCATGGTGGTAAGACGAAAACGCATCTTATACAAGAGATCTCGTTTTGCACCTATGAGAATCGGTGTGTGGATTTAGTTGACTAATTTATCTTAATACATAACAGAGCTAATAGCTAGACAGCCCAACCCAGCAATCAGCCAGTTATCCAAGCACCAATCACCAAAGAAACAGATCCTGGATCCGTCATCTTAGAAGATGTTAAGGAGTCAAAACCGTTAGCGCCTTTGCAACCATTATTTTCTTCTGTAGCAAAATCTATTACGAAAAGCGCTACCACGTTAGCTCCCCAAAACTATCAAAAGGCTACAGCTCCATCAGTTATTTCCCAGTCGAAGACAATAGCATTAGGGAGCCACCAAGATCTTGTTTTCCCTTCGGTCCCTAAACATGATCCTACCACTATTGAGATTACTTGTCCATTCTGCATGCTAATTTTACCTATCAAAGATATCAAAGACGAGAAGAGCTGGAGGTTCGAATCACTGTCTCCAAATATATACGATTGCCTGTTGATGAAAGAATAGGGAACATCTAAAAAATGATTTAGACCCATACGTCTGCCTGACAGAGGATTGTGACTGTCCAGATGAGCTCTTTAGGCACAGTGGCGAGTGGCTCCGACACATGCGCAAGCATTCTTTACACTGGCGCTGTGCTTCAAAATCCCACGGTAGCATGTTCTTCAGTACAAGAGATGACTATATATCTCATATGAATGAAAAGCACGGAAAGGCTATCAATGATGAACAGATTGCTGTGTTGGCTGATAGAAGCTTGCAACTAAATGGTCCTCTATTCAAATCATGTCCTCTTTGCGGTATCGAGGCGCAAGACTACACGGGACCCTTGGAAGATCACATTGTCGGCCATCTCCGGTCCCTTGCACTCAAATCTCTACCTCCAATTCATAATGAAGACGAAGTGGAAGATGGCCTCGGAGAAAATGATAAGACAGATCGCGAGAGAAGCACCGTTAAGAATGATCCAGACCACCATATGCCTTTGGACTTCGAGCTCGACTCCTCCAACCCTTACGATCTTGTTGGCGATGTCTCTAGTGAGGAGGCCGACGACTATTGGGATTTTATGCCCATTAACACAAAGGCTAATCTACATGAAGATGCCATTATCCAACATCTCACTGAACAATTCCCCAATGTCTTCGATCTCCCCGAGAGTGCAGAAGAGGAGGTAAATCAGGGGGTAGATGCAGATGCAGATGAAGATACAGATGCATCCAAGCCAGAAGCAGAGCAAGATGCTCAGCCAGATTCTGGGGCCAAAGCAGACCCTGAATTTGATATGAGCCCCGCTAAGATCGAAGCGCTGTTTACACCCAAAGAGAGGGGTAGTAGGAAATCAAAGCCAAAAGGTAAATTAGACTGTTTTATCCATTTCAAAGGAACATTACTAATTAGAATTATCAACCTCAGATGAGCCGGAGGCGGAGACGGAGCTGGAGCCAGAGTCTAAATCAAATGTCAACCAATGGCAGAATTCCTCAGAGCGATTAAGATCCCTAAGCGGCAGAATTGCTAATAACCTTAAACCATTTAAACAAACACCTGAAGAAGTAGCCGATCCCGTCTACCCACTATCCTTGCCCCCACCAGCATCTAACTTGGATGAAGAAGAAGAGGAAGCCGCAGAGGTACCAAAAGTCGAAGCAGTGGATGATGAACCGGTGGCTAGGGCAGAACCAGCAACTGACTCTGAACAGGAGGACCAAGACCAAACCTGGCCGCCTCCCCTGACAGATATTCGACCCATCGGTCGGGGCGAGATGCGTGACAACTACCTTCAACGCATATGGCGTCAGCCTCACGAGCAGCCCGCTAGTCCGATTCCCCATTTTGACCTTAGCGGCGAGCAGGAGGGCTCTAAAGTTGAAGGCCAGAGTACCGCATTTGAGAAATTCATTGACGAAATTGAGGATCGTTGGCAATCGGAAAAAGAAGCATGGGCCCAGAAAGGCTTTGAATCTGAAGGATTCTTTGCGTTTCTCGATCATCATTTTGACAGTCCCGGCGTTGTGCTACCAGATAGCCAACTCCAACTCAAGCTCAGCACTTTGGAGAAATACCAGACAGCGCTGAGGGTACATGAGTGGCATAACAAGAAACGCCTGACGCAAGATTTTGCCAATACGCCACCCGCAGCCCAGCAAAAGTCCATCGCAACCTACTCGCACAACTTCCAGCAGTATTTTGGCAACCAGATGGGCAGCAAGCAGATGGTGGGCGGCGTGCCTCAGAACCAGAGCTCTCCCATTATAGCCCCGGGAGGCCCTGACGGCAATGCTCTTAATGCGTTTTACAGCCCCGACATAAACAGCAGTAACCATGCTCTACAGGACTATCAGATGCAGCTGATGCTGCTGGAGCAGCAGGATAAGAAACGTCTAATGATGGCTCGCCAAAAGCAGAGCGATATGGGCAGAACTCCAGAGGCTGACTAGGCTGGAGTAGCTGGACCCAGTGGGCAGCCTTTGCCGGGCACATTGCCGCAGAACATGAGATCCAGCACTTCCCCCAACCTAGCTGAGGATAATAAGCGTAACTAGAACACACATTCCGGGTTTCTGTCAGTTAAAACTGCCACAGTTAGTTATCATGCCTACCTCAGCAGCCAGCAACATCAGAGTAGCACCACACCAAAGCGCCAAGTGTTAAAGCTGCAAATCAAATGAAGAAGTTTCGAAGATTTATGACGCGCGTGGACTTCTTATGCAAGATCTTACGAGATATTCTCTTCAACTCTTTGAGGCGATCGAGTGGTGGGCGAAACCGAGAAAACAAGCACTCTACTGCTTGAGAGAGGAGAAGAAGTCGGTGACTTGGGTAGGGTTATGAGAAAACGCAAATACAAAGTATGTCTCCTAAATGGTTTCTGAGAGATCGAATGTCTTAAACAGTGATTATCTTGTTACGCCATGGGTATAATAAAGCAGTTGTAAACAAATTGTATGATCCATGAAAACTCCCGTAAGCTTCAGTCCAACCATCTTCACTGCTCCATAACTCTCGTCCAGACATTCATTTCGTCAAAGATATCAAGACAAGCCAGGTTATCCATAATATTGTATAAACAGTTGTTATTGCAGTTATCCAGTGATACTCCTCGAGCCCGGCATATTCCCTTCGCAGCTGGCAGCTTGACTTTGCTCTCGCATAAGGTAGGAGGTATCACCCTGTTCAACAGCCAACTTACAATATCTTTCTTTCAGACTACGCCGCTGCACCCAGCCCTGCCAGGATAACGACCATGCCTTCAAGAGCCACTCTAGTCGCCGGATCTTTTGAACTACGCCGCTGCACCCGGCCCTGCCAGGATAACGACCATGCTCTTAAAGTCTCCAGACGCTGAGTGGTTGAACTTCGCCGCTGCACCCAGCCCTGCCAGGATAACGACCATGTTCGTAGATATGTAGACCTGTTGAAAGTAGCATTTCCTATATGCTTGAGAGAGAAAAGAGACTTATTGCTGCGATGGTTTGCCTGAAGAGTCGAGCTCCCAAAGCGAAGATGAGTTTTTCCTTCTTGAAGAAGCCCTTGTACCCCTAGAACTTGAAGAAAGAGGTGACGAGTTTAAGTTGTGCGAGGTAGAACTCCGCTGAGTGCTTTTTTGCACACGATTAGTTTTCTTGCTAGCTGTAGATTCCTTCTTAGTTACACTTTGCCGTTGCCTTGTAACCTTGTTGGGAGTTGAGGGATTGGTTCGTGGAGTGGGCGCCGCAAAGACTTCGGGGGGGTTCATCACAATATCCGTAGCTGTTGAGAAAGATGTGGAGGGCTCTGAGGATGCTGGGGTCTGTACAATCGAAGGCTTCTGTTGTTTGCCCTTGGTGGGATTCCGTCGAGGCGTCTTTCTGACATTGCTTTCATCAGCTTCTTGTGGTACGGAGACAGAGTGTTCAGAAGATGATGCCCTCCTTTGACGTTTCCGCTCTCCGCCATTAATCGCGTCATCATCTTCCGGCCTGTATCTCTTTCTCGCTGGGCTTTTATCTGCGACACGGTCAATTGCACTGCTGGAAGCATTCTGGGATAGATCCTCCGTTATGGTAATGGAGGTTTCATCATCGAATCTTGGTCTTTTCTTTGAACGAGATGGATTATCGAGATTGCTAGTGGTTGCACCTCTAGGCTGTTCAGATGGTGGCGTCTTTCCATCTCCACTGTGGGATCTCTTTCCTTTTAGCTTCCCAAAGCGCTGTTTTATTAGCAACACCTGGTCGCTCTTAAAAAAGGGAGGTTTATGAACATTGCCGTCGTATGTGGGTTCATAGACAGGATCTTTGGAAGCAAGTTTTTGTCGCATATAAGTCTCATAATCGACTTGCTCTTCGCGCATGGTTTGGGATTCATCGTCAGCCTCAGCTGATGCATCCTGGGTGTTGGCATTAGAGTTAACAATGTCAGTATCTAGTGTTCCATCTTGCACCTCGTCAGGTTCCCAACCATGGACAACTCCATTTAGAAGCTCTAAGAGATGTTGCAGACTACCAGTCATACTAGCTCTATATGCGGCATCGCTAGCATCCTCGCACTGGAAGCTTTCGCCGCCAGTCCAAGACTTCCTTGCAATACCACTGAGCCACTGCTTCGCTTCTTTCTCCCACTGTTCCTTTCTTTCTGTCAGAAGCCTTTCTAGATCTTCTAGATCTTTCGCAATATGTTCCAACTCTAGCGCAATCTCGAGGAACCGGTCTTCGCCCAGAATTGGGACGCGCATCGTATTGAAACGTTCCCAATAATCGCCATAAATGTCAATATGGGCGTGCGACAAGTTCTTAACTCCACTCTGCCATATTAGTCTCTTTCCAGCAGCCAAATCGGAGGATTCGAAAGCTGGCATTGTTGGCGTATATGTGTTCTTTGTTCGTTCGTTCGCAGGTGTGATGTGTTGTTCGTGTTCACGTAGTTGTTGGTCGGTTGTCGCAGGTTCACAACAGTACTTCGCGATGGCAATAGTTCACAACGTTACTCTAATATAGGCAGCATGATGGCATCGCCAGGATAGATGAACAGCAAAGAGGACAGATCAACTGCGCCTCGGCTCACGATGTATCGATCCAGTGTAGGAACTGGCATGCATGATGCAGACATTATCACAGCCTTAGTAAGCCGCGACGGGTGTCTTATTTGTCTCACACCATTAGGATCCTTCACATGCATGAGTTTAGCCGTGGCCAATTGTTTCTGATGCATGCCACCCCGGCTGCATTCAGGAGACGAATGAATTGGAGAAATGACTAGCACACTCTTCCAAGATTATGCGCACCACAGAACCAACGTCTTGTTCTGACACACGACGTGCTTGTTTCGCAACTGTGTGCATAACCCCAATTGACGGTCACGACGACTATATCCAACGCGCAGAAGTTTGGGGCGACATGCAGATATTTAGGGCGTAAGTGGTACCACTTTTGCGGCTCCATATACTATTTTGATAACCACTTGCATATAAGGCTCGAATCTCTCCTATCAAGCCAGTTCCCGTCTGTACAGCAAGTGGAATCCCTTGTTCAGTCATGGGGCTTTGTTCAATCATTCTGTCAAGTCCATGGCGCTGTGGTTAGTTGGAGTAGGAAAAACATGAGAGAGTACCTATAGGTATATATAAGATGGGCTGCTGCAGGGAATCTCTGCAACGTGCGTAATCGTAGTACCTTGTCCATTGCCCAATACACCCATATTCCAATACACGCAACCATGTCTCAATCAGACGAGGACGTCTTGGAGCCCTTTGCCACTGCCCAGTCGCATTTGAGCACCTCCTCTCCCCAAACGCCGGTAAACCCACGAGTTCTTAGGTCTATATCCGTGCCAAATACGGCAGACGCCGGAAGATGTGTAATGACCCAGCTTTCCATAAAATCTCCACGGCTATCAAGCCCCGCCTCAAGCGCTATGATGCGCACTAGAGACGAGGCCGTCTCATTTTCTGATGGGGTATCAACGATGCCTAGTACCGCGGGACCTCCCCAGTCTGCGGACGATGAATTACAGGCAGATACAATAAGAAACGATAATCAGGTGCGGATTCAGGGCATAGTCACTTCTCTGAAGAATATGTCTCTTTCTAAACCAGAAACCCGGTTGGCCATCTATTTTGACCAATCCGACCGGGCAAGCATCGTCAAAAACTCAAGTGTTTTTTATGCTGAACAGCCAGCTAAAGGGGTTGAGATGTTTTGCGTTGCTCAACGTCTCGCAGACGTTGATTATCGCATGCAAGTTCAGTTCAAAACTCCGCGCGCGCACTCGAAACTGATTGACATCAAGTGCCAAATTGTTTACAATCCATGGACTGATGACTGTGTTTTGATTAACTGGGCAGGAAAGGCTCTTTACCTCGTCAACATTAAGCATCCATATACTTATGGGCTACTGAGCCCCGGTCAACGATACAAGATTAGACCTGGGCTATGGGGGATTGCAGACTTCCAATCGAATGATGTTGTGTACGACTGCATTGTCAAATTTTTATTGAACGGGAGACGACACACAGTTTCAATCACCCCACGGAGTAGCGCACGACGCAATGGGAGACTGACAAAGCGACAGGTGCTGGACGCCAGCTTGTCGACAGACATTGCTATTCCTTCCCCCAGGTTTATGAGAAATTCACAAGCAAATGCCGAAAAGGCCACTAAGAATCCTCTGCTTGGTTTGAAAGGCGGAGATGTTGCGAATATTGAAATGCCACTCCGCGATACGACCTTTCGACAAGAGGGTTCTAATTACCAATTACAAATAGTGGGAAAGATTTCTCCCAAAGGCGTCTCAAGTGTTTATTCTTGTCGACATTCTTTGATTGATGATGGAAAGATAGCTGTCAAAGTCATTGATTACGGAGATGAGTTTTTGGGCGAGCTAGGCGTAGCCTATTGTTCGAAGCTCTATAAACGAGAGAAACATTTCCTCGAAAGGTTGAATCATGTACGTTTCTGGTACTTTTATTTTTGTAACTCTTTGAAGACTCCTTAATAATTATACATATACAGGGAAACATTGTTTCGCTCAAGGGGTTTGACGGCCGTGTCCTTGCAATGTATCTCGAGCGTCTGCCTCACTCTTTAGCTCGAGGCATCGACTCCCCGTTCAGTCTATCTGATGCTTCCAAGATATTCAAGGATGTTTCGTCAGCACTCAAATATTTGGCAAACAAGGGTATTGCTCACAACGACATCAAGCCAAGCAATATTGCATACTCTGCCACTCGAGGTGCTGTACTCCTTGATTTCGGAATAGCTTCGTCATCAAATGAGCTAAGCGGCGGTGGAACACCTTGGTATCTTCCACCAGAGTTTATTACTAGCTCAGGACGCTGCCCAGCGGGAGACATATGGGCTTTCGGCGTCGTAATGCTATATATCCTCAGAAAGATACAATTACCCGAGAGTAAGGAGAGTTGGAATATAAACGACGTCAGAAACAATTCCAGCGCGGCAAAAAATGAAATGAAAAAGTGGCTTGCCATGATTATTAAGACTAGAAATGGTCTGGATAAGACAAGCCCGATAGAATATGCGACATATTTAATGCTCGATGAAAATCCGGCTACGCGAATGACGGCCCGGGGGATCCAGAATACCATTGAATATCTGAAATAGAGGTTTTGGCGTTGTTTCAATAGTATGGGAACTCATAGACAGTCATTGTTACAATAGAATATTAATTGATAGATTTTATTTCTCGAAATCGCTGCTGCTATGTTATTGCCCAGCTCTGGGGAAACGCTGTTATTAGACCATCAGCTTTTAGGTGCGCCACGGAGAATGCACTTCAATAAACTGGACACTCATACAACATCTTGGTATTTCGAGATTAAAATATAAAAAATGCAAAAGCATATAATATAAAATAGGTATCATATCCGTGTAATGAATGCTGCGACCAAATAAAGTTGGTTGTCTTTGAGGCTTATTTTATGGAACAAGCATCTTGCATCATAACTGTGGCGACAATATCTTGCTTTGAAGCGTAAAGTAGCGCCTATCATGCAAAGCAACTGCCACATTTTAGAGTTAATTATTACAACTGTTTTAAAAAGATACAGCTGACAGGCCAAAGCCTGATTTGGATAACATATTCCAAATAACTAATCACTGTGGACTGCGCATAGAAGATAGATTCGGACGTCGGCGGAGTCTCGCACTTCCAGATTAGGAAATAACCGGTCAGCCACTCCCTTAGTCTTGCGGCATTGAAATAATAAATCTCGGACAGAGTTTATATAAATTTGGGAATCTCAGTTCTTAGTTGCAATTCATAATCCGCTTCAAAGATTTCAATTGTCTACATAGTTGCTCTCGCGTGTGCTACTACCTATCTTCTCAATTCCGAAATTTGGATGACCTGTACCAGCTGTACGAGAAACTACAACTCGGCATTTTGATCTCATACGCGCGATTGATCTACGGCTCCATTGTCCTTTTAACAACTTTTTAAGAAGATTCACAACAACAAACATCTAACAATGCATCTAATCCTTACTGGCGCCACCGGGCTGATTGGCTTAAGCGTCCTCGACGCCATGCTCAGGACAGCTGAAGTCACCAAAATATCCATTTTAAGCCGTCGACCCGTTCCGATGGCTGACAACGCCAAAGACCCCAGAGTCAATGTCATTATTCACAAAGATTTCCTCCATTACGACTCAGAGGTTCTCAGCAAGCTACAGGGTGCTAGCGGCGCGGTATGGGCACTTGGAGTTAGCCAGACCAAGGTATCGAAAGAGTATGTGACTTACCTTTAACTCACTAAAAGAGACATGGAAACTGACTCTACACGTGTCCCAGGGAGTTTATAAAGATTACAAAAGACTTCACTCTTGCAGGCGCAGAGGCATTCTCCAAGCTTGCGCCCAACGAGGATCCGTTCCGTTTCATATTCGTGTCAGGCCAAGGCTCAACCCAGACGCCTAGCACATTTAGCAATCTATACGGCCGTACCAAAGGCGAGACAGAAATTGCGCTTTCAGGGATGCGCTCTGCGAATCCTCGGCTCTTGGCGGAGGCTGTGGGGCCTGGATTCGTTGATGGAAAGGGCCATGCCGCGATTCAACCCTATCTGCAGCAACAAGGCTTTTTAATTGACAACAGCAAAATGCTGCTCCGAAAACCAATTGAAGTGGCTGCAAAGTGGCTACACTGTCCAACAGAGCCAATGGGGCGGTTCTTGGTTGGAATGGCGTTGGGAAAGTACGAGACACAGTTGCGAGCAGATCCCGATGTTGTAACGATGGATAGCGGTCTAAGGGTCATCAAGAACTCTACGATAACCCGGATAACTGGTCTTGAGAATTAGAGTAAGGGGTCCTAGAGTGAGAATTTGTGTGTTTTGTATGATTAGTGTCTGAGGACAGTATCCACTTTGTTCATGAACGTGGTTCTTTGTTACTCGGAGGGACAGTTCTTCATTATGGTTAATTGATCTGTTATCTAATTTAAATTTGTGGTCTTGATGCCAGCAATCTCCATGTGTCAGATCGATTTAACTTGCTTTCAGTCAGATATTTACAACAACAATTTGTCCAGCAGAGATTTCTCGGCCTCGCTCCAGCGCCTCTGCATACTTGTCAAACGGATACGACGCCAAGACTTCAAAGCCACCCTCACCACTGAGCTTCAAAATGCCCGTCTCGGCCATCCGAATCAGTCCACGAACATGTTCTGCCTCAAACATACACGAGCCCCGGATTGTAATGTCGTTGAACATCATTGCGAGATACGGTATTGGCAGAGTAGCATCTCCACGGGCTCCAAGAAGGCATATCCGGCCACCTTTGCGAACAGAAAGCATAGCCGTGTTTAGATAAGTCGCAGAAGTAGAAGCACTGGGCCCCACGTCCACAAAGGCATCGATTTTGCCGAAAGATTGGATGGCAGCCACGTCGCTGGGCTCTCCAGTCAACTTGACTGTTTGGATCCCAGGGAAACGAGCCTTCAGGGCGTTTAGACTCTCTTCACTACGGCCACCAGCAATGACATTTGCGCCCATCGCCCGAGCCACGGCAACACAGCCGCCGCTGAAAACTCCCGTCGCTGGCGCAATCAGTACTGTCTCGCCAGCCTTGACGTCAGTCTTGCGCAGTCCGCTGTACAAGACGGGCAGAAGGCCCAGGTGCAGAAGATCCTCAGTCTTGAGTCCCAACTTTCCAATAAGCTTGTCTTCGTTCAGTGCCCAAGTGCTCTCCAATGGCGCGCGGACATACTCAGCCCAAGCACCATCTCGCCAAGTCTCCTTGACAAAGCGTTTAGTTGTCTCGTCGAAGCCGTCAAAGGCACCCCAGACGGCCGAGACATTGGGATCATCACGAGCCCGCAAGTTGCTGTCGACTAGCACGAGCTGACCCGGCTTGAAGGCAGTAGTGTCGGGTCCAATAGCGGCAACACGGCCAATAGCAGGGCTGCCAAAAACAAGCGGATAAGGCAAAGTCATGTTGGGATTCGCAGTCGTGCCATGAAATACGTCTGGTGTTACCGGGTAGACAAGGACGTGCAAGACTTGAACGATGACGCTGCCGGGTAGGACTTGCGGTACGGGAGTGTTCTCGATGGCGCCATTTCCAGGGCTTTTGAGGATCAGCGCTTTCATTGAAGTAGGCAGGGCCATTTTGAAATGTTGAGAATTGGATCAATTGGGCAAATGGAGAGTAATCGAGAGTAAACAATGGGATAGACGGTAAGTACAAGCACTATTAGCTGATGACTCTCAACCGTCTTTCTAGAGGCTCTTGAAGACCTAATAACTGTTTTCTTCTGCAGAGTTTCTTCAACCATCTTTATACTGTACTTTTATCTGCTTGATCAACTTGTAACTCCTTGCACATCAATCTCTTCCACTGAATAGTCTCAGTTGTGATTACAAAGACTCTTCCTCTGCCAACCTATCTTCTCGTTAGTCATTCGGCCTTCGCACTACCTGTACCGATTTGGAAAGAGTTTGTCTTGGCATTCCCCACCCAACACAGTCGAGATAGTGTCAACATCTACATATTAACTTTCTCCTCGAATAATACGCGTATTAATTTTGTCAAAGTAGATATATCGAGTCTCAAATCGGCATGTGCTCAGGTACACGTAATTTGAGAGCTGCTGAAGTAATACCAGACGTAAGCTCCTATCGCCGATACAAGCTTGACTAATCACTGGTGCAGTATCGCTACTTAGTACGACGCTCCTGTAACCAGGAACTGCTTACAATGAGATCACCTGTGTTTTCAAATTCTCTCGTTTCAAGGTTCTTAGGTGAGATGTTTAATATGGCGTGTGTTATTTGAGGTGATTGAGCCATTTGTAGGAATAATGCCCATACCATGAACTGCAAGGGAATTCCCTTACCATACCAGGTTGTGTAGTAGTGGGCACGTGTTTGATCATAAGGGAGGCCCTATTACATTCAGCAAAATAGCAAAAAATAACCACAGTTTCCAAGGCAAATCTGGAAACAAGACACTGAAAAATACCAACGACCAGAAATATGGCAAAAAGTAAAGTCTCCGATACTGGGAATCGAACCCAGGGCTGCTCGGTGCTTCAATCGAAATTGAGAGCGAGCGATGTTAGCCACTACACCATATCGGACGTTGTCAATGGAGATGGTCGTCTCCTGACTCGATGCAATATTGCGACGCCAAGTGATTCATAACCTCTTGCAAGTTCTGTTCCGAGCGAAGATACAGAATCAGGAAAGCAACAGCGTAGATAACATAAGCAGAGGACCGCTATCAAATACTCTAACATGGCTTCGAGTGATCAAGGCATCTCAACAGCTTCAGAAAATGGGAGCTGAGACAAGCCTCCTCATCCACAGCCTGGTATTTAACCCCAATTCTCAATGTAGCTTCTACGCTGCTTCTTGCATGCTATCCTCGAAGAGCATTGACACTTGATTATCTAAGATGGGCAATTTGGCATCGGTTTCTTAGTCGTCAATGATTCTGGATTCCAACTCCCTATTCTTGACCACTAATAAGGGAATATCCACGTGGACGCCGTTGACTACGAACAACATCAGGTACAGGAATACCGGTACGGCAATCTAGCACCTACTAGTCTCCAAGACACCGTTGGTGCAAAGCGTAGTGGATAAGATTAAAGTCTCCATACGTGATGATCCCATTCTCAACGCCAACACCAACACCGGCCAACAGTTGGTCTGGGATCCCGAGAAGGGCCGACCTGTAGTAATAGAGCTAGCACTGGTACAGAGGATCCAAATACGCTCTGGGCATATTTGGACGTATTTGGACAGGGAAACACGAGGTCCTTTTTCGCCCGTTTCTCCTACCGCCGGGCGATCAACACTTTAATAGACAAGAGGTGGGATCAGCAAGTTAGCTCTAGTCACTCAAAAACTTGAAGTATCACGATAGGCGGGAGTTCATGCCAATGAGAATTATACAAGCTCCATTATACGCACATCACGAGCCTCGAGTGTTGTACTCCCAACACAATGAGCACGTCCTTTGTTGAACTCTTGCAGAATTCCAGCGCCATGGACATGCTTTCTACGTGAAAAAGCAAAAACGTGGCTCTACAGATTTGCGGTAAGGGCGTTGGTAAAGTTAAAAGGTCAGTGCGGGCGGCCACCGTTTCTCAGATCTGTGTCTGGTACGTGCGAGCCGTCATTCTTGAGTGGGTAAGACATTGGTTATGTGGCGTTGCCTTTATCTTATACGAAATGTATGTAGCAATGGTATTATTTGAATGGGTACTATTTGTATAGAGAGTGTTTCATAAAAAAGGCGGAATAACAACTCCTCATTCTCGATGCAGTGAAAGAGATAGCAGAGATTAAATCAAATGAAACAACCAAATTATCAAGCTCCGGATGATCTTCAACGTATCATACTGCAGCGTTGAATGGTGCTTCTTCACAGCAACCATCCTCTCTTGTGAAACTGGTGTCTCCGCCAAAATACGAAGCACTCGAGTAACTCGAACGTGCGCGGGATTGGAGCCAAGATAGCGCTCTGATTTAAAGCTATATCCGCGTATCAGTCTTGAGAAATAAAGTGAGTTGTTTCTTCAGGTAGTAGTACACATTACTCACCTCCAGTTGAGATTGGCCTTGACTACGCATTTGATGCCCTCAATGTACTTGCGAACCTGCACATCAGTCTTTTCGCCCCAGCTCGGCACACTTGCTTCAGTTTCGTCCCAGCGCCGGTACCGCTGCTCTAGTAGTTTGCCTACTGTGTTGAAGGCCTTTTGCGGGGACATGCCATTTGAGCGACAGACTGTCACCATGTTGTGTGGCACGCCTTCTGCCTGGACAGAATTGATAGAGTAAGTATGTTGGCAATACAAATTTTTGGAAGAGATAAGAAGGCTTACTTGTTCCTTGCGGTAGGATAGGATGTCGTTTGATCTAGTAAACATCAGCTGCTGTGACACAAATCCCTGAAAGGGAATCTTACATGGCTACCATATCCATACCAAGACACTCTAACTCTTGGATGACAGGATTGTCAAATACCTCGTCTGGAATTAAAAGGCCGTGTGCATATTCAACGAGGTGATACAAAGGCTTGCATCCTGCTGACCTTTGCCTAATGAGGACGACTTCTTCCAGCGAGGGCGTCTTGCTCGCAAACTGGTTATCGATTTGAATCAACGCTCCTTGGCAGTAGCCTTGCATGGCCAAAGCAAATCTCCTTTGGACGCCTTTTATAAGGAGGTTCATTAGTAAAGGATAATAGTATGGTGTACTCTTGAGAGATTGTACCTGTAGGCGCTTCCTATCAAGGTCTCAGTTAGCATAAAAAAGCCATATATCAAAACCATGGAAAGTGCTATACCGCGGCAATTCGTTGAAAGACTGTGTCATGAGCTTGCACAATACGCAGCCTCTCTTTTGTGTCCAAGTGAGAAGACTTTTTCATCATGGGCATCATTAAACTCTCCATGACTCGTTGAGATTCTTCAGGCTTGTCTCGGAGACATCCGTTGTCAAACACTGTAATCGCTCAGCATATGGGGTCACGCCACTTATGGATATGGGATGGACTCACTGTCATCATAAGGAAACACCTATTTATTGCCCAAACGGTTAATTAGTAACTTGTCTTTCCATGCTGCTGTGAGCTGGATATGGCTCTCTCACCCAATTGCCCCAATCACAAATCGTGCGAAACTTTGAGCGGGGAGCAAACGGCGCTGCAATTGCGCAAAAGTAGGAAAAGTCGCATTTGTTGATCTTTTTCCTCATCTTGGGCTCGAATGAACAAAAGCTAGCAGGGCGAGTCAACGCTGACGCGGAAGTAGAATAGAGAAACGACATGTAAAAAGCTATGAAAGGACAACTTACTCGCTCAGCCACTCTTCTGACTCCATCTTGACTTTTTCATAATGAGGATTAACCAGAGCTTCCTGCTTCAGAAATGTTTGAAACATGTCCGGTAGAAGGACTGTAACACTAATCTGCTCAGACTCCATGGTTACAGCAAGAAAATGACAGCTTAAGGAGAGAGATGGTTCTCTACACACAGCGTTCTTGTCTATTCACGTTATGTACACGGGTAAATCGCCGTAGGGCTTTATATGTTTAGATTCCATGGTCTGTTCGAGCTTCTGTACGTCTCGTCGGTCACAAACACTGAAAGGGCGAATGTGGTTTCAGACATTATGTAATAGAATCTTGAATATCATATGCATGATGAATAGAAGATCAAGGGAGAAATAGCAGGTGCCAGTGTTCTTTCAAGCTGAGCATAAAGGTACCCGTATTGTTGGTTGGCTGTTGGCTTCAAGACCCTCGATAGTGTCGTCTTAGTAATAACGTGAGAACGGTGGTTGCGCTAAAGAAGTCTTGGGCCATTGTCACCGTAGAATTGAAGTTGGCTCTAGCATGGAGCTATTGATGACTGTTCCTGCTTTCGGTAATATCGGTATTGGAGCCATCTCTGTCATGTTTGCATGTGCTTGTGTACCTTGTTGGCTGTGGGGTACAGTATGGCCTCGACCTTTTGGAGCTGTCTCTCCTAATTACCGATCGTATGGTGTCTCAGTTGAGATGTGACACAATTCGCCTATGACCACTGTCGAAGTCAATACTTGCGGAGAGATGCTGTCTCTGCCGCTCAATATTCTGTCTCAGGTGGTGCTGAGTGCAGCTGGTGAAGACAGCTCGTTTCAACGTTGGTGGCTTTAGTGAACCATCATTTTTCAACAGTATTGAGTCATTTCCGAGTCTGTCCGATTTCCGGGCCGAAAGCAAATCGCCGGTCTGTGATGGCTTCAGGGTTTATCCTGGAAGCTGAGCGTTCAGCTGCTTGCGAAGCGTAACAACAATGGCTTGGCGATGATTGAGTTGCTCAGATTACGAGGCGACTTACGGAAGATGGTCAAGGATGGGACAAGCTGGACCTTTCGGAGCTGATATACACAGACGATGGAATGGTCAGAATGTTCTGACGATGCAAGATCGGTTATACACGTATGGCCAGAGCTGAAGATGGATATGTCACAAGCTCTGTTGGTATGACCCAGGGAATTGGTAATCGGTATGGCATCCAAGGAGATGGTACAAGCACCGACACATGCATGATCTTCATGGATCTATTGGTAATCGTTCGGCATCTGGAACAGCTGTTGGCCCGACAGGTGGTGATGCAGAGGGTCGAGAACAGGAATGGAGTTTCGAGTCCGCTTTTGTCTTCTCCGCCAACAACAAAATGAAGCTGATCAGGGCATATTGAGGAATACGACGGGTAGGGATATGGAGTAGTTGTTGCCCTCTAGATTGAGGATAAAAGCGCTTTGACTCAATATTCGCCCTTTCGTCCGAGTCTACGACGTGTGCCGTTGAGTATATAGTATGCTGTGGAAGAAGACGGAATATGGACAGATGTACTCTTCTCAAGCAAACAACTGTGTTTCGGTAAGTCTTTCGCCTCGTATGTGAGTTTATCGCTGAATAATGCTGACAGATGAATAGGCTCTTAGTTATACTCTACCCAACTTCATCAGTCCAACTGCAGCATAGCATAGCATCACCATGGCATACCACAAGGTGGGAAACTACAGCTTCCAATGGACAGACCTTCACATGTCTCCAGAAGAGCTGAACCCGCTGCGCCATCAATATGATCAGCTGGGCAGCTACGCAGTAAACAAGCTGCAGCAAATCTCCCAAGAGCAAAAGGGCGACACAAGCGAAAAGAGTCTCTGCCACGGCCCCTTTGACGTGTATGCCACGCTTCGGGACCACCACTCTGAAGACGAAAAGCTCAACCAGCTCTGGGAGGAGCTTCACACGGTGCCCGAATGGGTGGACTGGGAACAGCTCAAGCGTGGCCAGCGCTTCTTCTACCGCTATGCCGCCGCCAACTTGGTGGGATTTGCTCTTCAGGGGTTCATCGGCCAGAACTCGTCGACGCCGTCTGCGGTGGAAGTCCTGGCGCGAACTGGGAGCTTCTCCACGAGGGTCTTGCTGCGTCGACTGTTGGAAACGACGCAGTTTATTCTTGAAGCCACGGAAAGCGTCGAGTCGATCCAGCCTGGCGGTCATGGCCATACGACGGCCATTCGAGTGCGGCTGCTGCACTCTGCTGTGAGGGAGCGCATCCTCAAGTTGACGGAGAAGCAGCCTGGCTACTTTGATGTTGAGAACTTGGGCATTCCCGTCAACATGCTGGACTCGATACACTCGACTGCGGCGTTTTGCTGCGGCCACATGTGGTTCCAGCTGCCGCAGATGGGCGTCTATCCCACCCAGCAAGAAGCAGCCGACTATATTGCGCTGTGGCGATATCTCGGCTATCTCCAGGGCGTGCCTCATCAGTACTTTTCCAGCGTGGCCAAGGCAAAGGCCATAATGGAGAGCATGGTGCTGCACGAGCTGAAGCTCACGCCAACGTCGCTGATTCTCGGCAACAACTTTGTCGAGTGTGTCAAGGATCTGCCACCGGTGATGATCTCGGCCGGCTTCATCGAGGCGGGCAGTCGGATGCTCAACGGGCATAAAGTCTGTGACGGACTGGGCTTTGGACGGCCTGGACCGCTGGCGTATGCTTGCTGGAGAGGCCACTGCTGGTTTGTGGGAGCTCTGGCTATGGCACAGCAATGGATTCCGGCTGTGGATGAGGCCATGGTGGCGTACTGGCGGAAGACTTTGAACTATGGCGTTTTCAAGAGCAAGGGAGGTCTTGAAGGAGGTTCCAAGATGGAGTTCAAGTATGTGCCGCAACTGGGAAAGATGACGAAGCGGGAGGGCAATGGGAGGGCGGCGTTGGGCTCGTTTGTGACTTCGCCGTTGGACCGGCCGTTGGAAACGTTTTATTTTGCAGTGTTTGTGATTGGATGTCTGTTGATTTGCGGAGGTTTGTTTGGAGTTTACTGGGGTGTGAGGAAGATGATGGTGGAATTTGTTTGGTGATGGTGTTTGACCGAGTGATGATTTGCTGTTGCATCTAGACGTATACAGTATAAGACAAATGCCGCGTTGGGCTCCATCGTATAAGATATTTACCATTGTTAGTTTAAAATAAGTCTATTGTTTTTGTGTTAATACACCGTTAATCTGTTGTGAGATTTCAGAATTAGAGTGCTGGATTTCGCTTCCATCATATGCTTATGTTGGTGGTGTTGATGACATGTTCTAGCTTGAAGTAGTAGAAGAAAAATATTTGTTTGCCATTCTAATATGCAATAGCTCCTGATTCATTATCCAGTTGGCATTTATCATTTCTGACTCGGCAGCGGAAGCAAGCTCAATTACACGCTCGGTTAGCTGTTGGTATAGGTTAGGCAATGCAGTCATCGCCGCATGTGACAATATCACCCGCTCGAGCGTATTAGCTAATGAAACAACGTCGAGTCTATTCTTCTCCATCCTAGCCTTCCAGCTGATTCAGGAAACATCTTTCTTTCCTACTGTAGGCCCGGCCGAACAGTTTAATTATAAGTTAAATAACTCCCCATCCCTAAGTCCGATTCAGCGCGAAGACCAGAAAGAGCTGAAACCAAAGGGTCGGCGATCACCTGCTATTAGTAGCAATTTTTATCTTTATTTTTAAAATTGCTGCGGCCATCAGCCTCCACGTGTGAACTCGGCCCAGCAAATACTCCCATTCTTGACTATCTCGCGGCGGCTTTCGGGCTTACGCTACCAACGCAATATCCACCACAACACTCGCAACTCAGCCCTGTTTCCGCCCCCTTGTTCACCACGATTCAAACGAATCATCTGAAAACCGGTGGAGCGACTCGAGCAGCTAACAGCGCATCCCGCCAAGTCTTGCTAGGCTCGGATCGGCTTACTGGCTGGTTCTGCGTCTGTTCTAATTTAGCAGAGCCCAGCTTCGGTTGGGATTAGCACGCCCGCCACAACCGCACCAAAATCTCACTGGGTTGCCGCCGATCCGCTGGAACAATGTTGATGCGCGTAAGAAGCGACGGAAGGGGAGCGGGAGTCAAGAGGACGCGAGTAAGTTTGCGAAGATACACGTTGCGAGGGTGGAGAACTGGGTGAGCTCGGATGGGGCTGTTTACTTTTTCTCTGAATTTTGTCTATTTTTTTTTGTTGGCAGTAGGAGTGGAAAGGCAAGATGAGAGAAAAGAGAAGGAAGAACGAAGCAGCTTGGGGCGAAAACGGTGAGTCCGCAGGAATGGTAAGCATAAAACACAGCAGAGCCGCAACAGCCTTGGACATCAAAAAGGGGTCAAAGGATCAAGTCATCACATCTGCCGCTTGTAGCAACAATCACCACACAGTCAGCCTTGGCTTGGGCAAAAAATAGGCACTGCTCCGTCCATACAAAGCTGTTCCTGGTTCTCGGCTAGACCGTCTCTTCACCCGCCTCCTCTTATATGGACCTGGTAGCCTCCGGCCGGTGAGACCCAATGACCCAGCAGTTCGTCTGTTGTCGCGACACCCTGCCCGGGCGATATGCGAGGAAAACCGGGAATGGGACAAGTCCCGAACACACTCGGGTGAACTATACGCGCATAGGTCGTCGCTATATCTGCCCGCGAAATTGCGCTTCCAGTGTTGCATTCGCCATCTACTAGGCACTGGGCATTCATTTCTCTCCGATGCCCTGGTCCTTTGGGCACAAACTGCTCGCCTGTCTCGTCCATCATTAATAAGCATCTTGCCAGGCCAGCTGGGGAACAACGACACCACAGCGGAATAGTCCTCGCTATATTCCCCATACACAGGCACTTCTGGGCTCGTAATCTGCTAGCTGCTGAACCCATTGCTCTGGTTCTTGCCCCCTGTCTGAAGCCGTTTCTCTCGCTCGCAGGGATCACCGCCCACAGTGGACCCGGCTATTTATTGATCACGCTGCAACTCTGGCCTGCCATTGGCACAGGGCTGACGCCGATAGCAGTGCCCCCAGTAAGCCTTAATTTCTTGCCCAAGAGACTGGCAAAGCTCGACAGACGCTTTGGGTCATATCTTTCAAGCCCGCCAATGTCTGCAAAGAGGCCGGCTGTTATGATGGGGTAGCACTAGTGGGATCTGTACCTTTTCTCTCTGTTGCTAGGCCAAGAGCAAAGTAGCTCCAGCGGGATTCCATACGAGGTCTTGCTCTTGGGGCGTCCCAATTTAGGAATCGGTTCCCCATTTGCCTGTTTTCTTTCTTGAGCTGCCTGGGCTCAACTTCGTGGCCCCCCCGGCTTACTTAGTGGCACCGGCTTTCTCTCGTGGTGTTGCTCTTATTCCCAGGGGGGGTGCGATGATAGAATCTCCATTTCCCTCGCCTCTTTTCGTTTCTTCATTTTCTTGGGATTCTCTTTCTTCATCCACTCGTTTGTTTCTCTGCTCTTTCTCTTTTCGTCCTTTTTCCATTTTCCGTTTTTGGTTGAGGTTGTTGGTTTGTCTGTTGCACAGGCCTCTCTTTGAAGCCAAGTGGAAACGCCAAGCTCATATCGCTTTTGCTCTGCTTTGCTTTGCATTGGGATCATCGACCAGCATGACGAGGATTTTGAGTATCGGCGCTGCGGCGTTGGCTGCCAGCAGCGTCATCGGCTCAGCCAGCGCCGCTACTCTATACGCCTTCTATACGGGCACGGATGCGGGCGTGCAGATTGGCATGCAGGATCCCAGCAGTGGTGATATCTGGGTCAACGACTGCTCAAAGATGAATAATGGAAACCCGCTGTTTCCAACGGACACACCACTGGTACTGCCGGTGTCGACGCCGGTGAAGATGGGAGGAAGCATAGCAGCAACGGGCTGGTGGGATTCACAGAAAGTCATTGTAAGTTGAAGACGTGTATACCGCCAGGGTGTTGGAGAAGAAGAGCAAAAAGAGTCTTGTAAATCAGATATCTGGAACCAAGTTGCTAATACACCTGCCTAGACGTCCGTCTTCTGGCACTCTGTAAACGGCACCATTGTCAACGCCATCTACAACTGCGACAACGAGTCCGGCACCTTTGTGCGCCAGGGCCCCGAGTATGTCATCTCCGAGACCGCAAACGTCAAGAACTCGTCCATCCACGAAAACACAGGCCTGGCCGTCGAGCTCCTGGGCAGCACCGCCGGCTACCGCGTCTACTACCACGACAACAACAGCCAGGTCCAGGAGCTGTTCTACACCACAAAGACCAACTGGAACTACGGCGGCATCGTCTCGCAGGACCCGGTCTCGTCGTTTGCCCTGGGCACGGGCCATTCGGCGACGGACAACATCACCGTCGTGTTCCCCAAGAGCGACAAGGACATTGAGGTGTCGCGCTTCAACTCGGACAAGAGCTGGCACATCTGTAAGTAGCGGCTACACGACCCCCTTGAACTCCATCAACTCGTGATAACTAACCTCCAACGCAGCAACTTTCCCCGATACCCTCGAAAACTCGCCCACCAACAAAACCGACTCCTCCAAGATCGCCATCGACTCCAGCGTCACGGCCAACTTCACGCTCCCGGCCTGGAACGGCGCCCCCGGCGGCATGGGCGTGGCCATCGACAGCACCTTTACCCGCAGCGTCTTCTACATCGGCACCGACCGGCTGCTGCACGAGGCTGCCAACATCAACTTTGCCTGGAAGCTGTTCCCCAACCAGTCCAGCGAGGCCTGGCCCGAGGCCGATGAGCCAAACGCCACTCTGGCCGCCACCTTCAACTTCCAGTCCAGCGAGGCCTGGATCTACTACATCTCGGGCGGCAGCCTCGTCCAGGCCTACCGTGGAACCAGCGGCGACTGGAGCAACGCCGCCGTCATCTCCGTCAACTCGGTCGACGACGAAACCGCCAGCAACGCCACCGGCAAGAAATCCACGGGCCTGTCCACCGGAGCAAAGGCCGGCGTCGGCATCGGCGTCAGTCTCGGCGTCATTGCCATTGCCGGCCTCGCCATCTTCTTCTTCCTCCGACGCCGCCGCCAACAAGCCGCCGCTGCTGCCGCCGCCGCCGATAAGGAGCAGCCCATCAACCTGGGCGAATATCAGTATCAGACTCCCCCCGACCAGGCTCACTATATGGCCGACGGCTCGCTGGCGCCTCCCTACTCGCCTCAGCGGCCATACGACGCCCACGATCCCGCCAAGATGGCCCAGATGACGCCGGTGCACATGCTGGCAACGCCGCCTCCGCCAGTCGAGCTGGAGCAGCCGCCCATGATCCACGAGCTGCCCCCGGAAAACTACAGCTATGAGCTGCCCGCAGAGAGTGTAGAGCACAGGTGACTCCTTGGGAACGGCCAGGAGCGCCATGTGTGAGGGAAGGGATTTTTCATTTGTCTTTATTTGACCATGGTTTTAAAACATACCTTTTTGTTTATTTATGTGTACGGGGAAGAGCATTATCGGCCTTTTTTTTTCTTTTTTCTTTTAGAGCAGCATGAGCATATCGCTTCTCTGGAAAGCATGAGCGAGTTTCTGTTATAGGAAAATTAATTTATATACAGCTCTAATGGCTTGGGATGATATGGATCTTGGCTGTGTGATTGATGTCTGACATTTTTGTTGATATGATATGCATGTTTCCGAAGAGGGCTCAATGAAGGGTTGGTTTGGGAAAAGGGTAGCGGAAAGGAGGGTACTTAATTTACAGAAACTGGCCTGCGTGCAACTTGCATAGTTGAGTCTAAGCGAATCTATATCTTATTATCATCATTGCCATGTTCAATATACAACAAAGTCCTTTGGCTCGAGTTCATAACATGTCGGCGCAATTTAGTTTACCGCCTTGGCAAACGCAGCCGCCTTCTGTCCACCAAGCGCCAGATAAAACGACGTGTTGGCAAAGGTGTTGTCGTATCCCACAAACTTTTCATTCGTGGGCAGCTGGTTCGTCTTCAGAGACGGCAGGTTTCCGGTTCCTACAAGCACACGCGTATAAGCATTGATTTGTAGCCGCTGTAACATGGATGGAGACTCACCTTCGTTCATCTCGTCAAACATGGCGTTAAAGACAAACAGGGGCTTTACAGCCAGAGAAGTAACCGCGTCTGCCTGCATCGAGTAGAATGAGCCGTTGAAGCGGGGAAAGTAGTCAAAGGCAGATGGGTTGGTGACGCCGTTGAGATGGTAGGCTGAGGTGCCGGGCCAGACAAGAGGAGCGTGGTCGATTCCAAGCGATTGCAGAGTTCTAATAGCACGTTGAGTTAGTCAGAGTCAGTCAAGACAAGATTGAACAACTCACTGGCTGTCTGGAATCTGCGTCGTCGTGTGGTAGCCCGCCATGTATCCGCCCTCGCTGTAGCTGCCGACAGTCCACGGGCTGATCAAGTTGGCCGCCTTGTACGCAGACGCAAAGCCGGTGTTTGCTCGCACATCCGAGCCAAAAGTCGACGGAACCCCAAAGCCAACGTAGGCTCCGGCGTTCTTGAGCTGAGTGGCAATATTGGCTCCGTCGCTGACGCTGATGGCCACGGTGGAAAATCCCACACCAAATACCATGACTGCCGGCTTTCCATTCTGGTGGATGTAGGCCGATGAAGTTGTGTAAGACTTGACGACGGAGTTGTAGTCGGCCAGGATCTCGTTTGCGACGCTGCCGGCAGAGGAGTTGCCACCCGAAGCATCATATTCGACGATGAAGCCTCGGCCGTACTTGACAGCAGCAGCTTCGACTTGGTTGAGGACCTAATTGGTTCAACATGGCTGTCTGCGCGTTAAGATCCAAGTGTAGACTGACCGTGATGAAAGAGGCGTCGCTGAGGTGACTCAGGAATCGCTGCACAACAACTCCATCAATTCCATACTGCTGCATCCACTTAAAGTGCAAGTCCACCACGCCTTCGCAAGTGTTGTCGTACAGTTGCACCGGTTGGCCGTTTGGCGCAGTCAGAGTAGAGGGGAACAGACAGTTGCTTGGGTACTGGCTAACATCGGGGAGAAAGTCAACCTCAACTAAAGGTTCTCGATTAGTATGAATGCTTGTATCTTAGCTAGATTGAAGAGCTTAAGGCTCACCATTGCCAGGCCCGGGAGTGCCGCCGTTGGGAGACCAGTGGTTGTTGACACCAGAGGCGGGCTTGCGGAACCAGCCCTGGTAACCGTAAAGCCATTTGCCCTTTAGTGTTGAAACATCGATAGTGGCAGCTCTCGCGTGATTCTCGTGGTTACCGTGAGTTGCTGCTGAGGCTGTGGCAACTAGCAACAGACTGGACAAAGTTACACGCATTGTGAAAGACACAAGTATGTACAGATGTCAATGGAATATAAATAGCAGAATAGGTTGTCAAATACTCTGGCATTTGCTTCAAAAGACGACTCTCCCTTTATATACCCCTATTCTCTAATAATGCCTAATGCTATTCTCTTACATACCGCGCTCGTCAATTGGGTTCAGTAATCAGACACCGCAAGTGCCGGTGAGGAAACTATTCAGGGAGCTCTCTTGGGATAGCGCATCATGCACCCCATACAAATCGAAAAGGCCCGATGTTACTACTCAAATACCTTAGGCAGCTAGTATTCTTGCAAATAGGGGAAGAAGATATAGCTGGACTATCTCGGAGGGATGTCGGCGTTGCTGGCTTGCGTCTTGTATGCGACTATCTTGAGGCGAGTTGTCCATTGTAACATGCCTTGGGTCTATAACGGATACAACGTGCCGGGCGGATATTTACTGGGCTTTGCCGTCGGATATGCTTGTATAGGAGATGCTTAAACTGCAACAAAGCTAAAATGAAGGGAAGTCAAATTGTTTCGACTGATGGAATTGCACATGCCTATAGACTAAACAAATAAATTTACGGCTTATTACACGTTAAAAGAGCTGCTGTTTAGAGCCAAGCATGGTCCGTTTCTTACCCTGGTTGCAGCCTGATGATCACTATTGGAACTGCGATTCCCACTTGACAACATAGTAGCGCCCGTGATAACTAAACAAATAGGCAGAGCCTGACTAACAGAAAAAGGCTTTACTGTTGCTGATAGGTGCGCTATAGGACTTGATCAGGATAGTTTTCAGCGCAGTCATCTAATCACAACGCCTCTCTTGGGTCAACTAGCCTGAGAATTTGTGTGAGGAAGCTTCTCACTTTGACACGTCGTTTTCTGGATCGAGTTATAATTCTTAACCAAAGTAATTGAATACTTTTGGTAGTGCATGTTTTCTATCGGGGCTGCAATAAGAAGTAGCTCGACTTGAGGCTCGTCATGCAGCGTGACTTGGTCCTATTATGACAAGCTGTTCTGCGCAACAACGTGCAAGGATGTGGCGTAGCTCAATATGATGCGCCTAAAATGCCAGACATGGTCAGTACCAAGTGGAAGGGATAGTGAACTATGCCTGATCGGTATCTCCACGATATCGAGTTATCTGCTGGATAGTCACAGACTGAAAGTCGTACTTTAAGTAGCTTGTCGATCATTTATGGAGCTAACCTCCATACAACTCAGCATAGATAGTTCAGACATCCATATTATATACTTTGATCCCAGATATGCAGCAAGGCTAGGATCGCGGGCCGTTACTAATTGGCTAGTTTTGGACCTTGAGATTAAATTGACTCCAGATGTCAAATGGTAGCAAAAGCGTCGGGTTTTATACCATTCTGCACCGCCATTTAAATGTTACTTCCGTTGTTACTTCCGTTACGTATACACTACCTATCAGGTAAAGCTAAGCAGTACTACCCAAACCAGTCATTTATCTCTTTAAATTTACATGGTTCCGCATGCTGATCCGAAAAAGGGTCATGCTTTTGGCACTATGAAACATTTAATTTAAACTTTCTTCATAGTATTATCCCCCATATGTGACAATTTATTCGTAATTAATGGTAGTTGTATCCGTGCCGGCAGAAAAATGCAAAACCTCCTCCAGCCAAATCACCTTTTTATCCTCGTTGACCTCAAACATGCAAATTGCCCTCGCTTGCGTTTTTGTGCCGTCCTTGCCGGTTCCATAAGCCGTGTGCCTCTCCGCAAACACGTTGCCATTTTGCACAAATTTGTCTGATTTGATCTGCACAGACGACATCGAGTTGTTGATGCCTCTAAAGTAAGGGAAGAAGTCGTCCCACGTCATCCGCTTCTCGTTCACAGTGATGACGGCATCTTTACTGTATACGTTGAGGATTTTGGATTCGAGCTCTGATTCGGGGCAGGTGAAGACGGCTTCGATCGCGGAGACGAACTCTTCTTTGGTGGAGACCATACTGGCGGTAGATGTAGTGTGAAGCTTCGATTGGATATGCGAAGCTCTTGTTTTGGGTGAAAAGAAGAGTGGTTTTGGAATGAGTCGCTGGTTGTTGGGAGGACCCGGAACTATATACCTTATTTTCATGGTAGCTAAAAATCCAACATAGTTTCAACTAAAGTCTGAGATGAGCAGGACACTCCATTGAACGTCCAACGTTTGGCTATGCCTTTAGTGCCGGCCCAAAGCGCGTGCTTACGTGGACCTCTGCTTGGCAATTATGCTTACTGAGACTTTACTGTATATTCTTGTTCTGCACCCATATTGACCCTCATTTGAGCTTTAAACAGACGAATCATTTAAATCTACGACAAACTAGTGGAGAGATCTGGTGCAATCCAATGACTCAGTGTAGATCCAAGTATGCATTAGGGCCGAGCGATGCTGCAAAAGGAAAGTGCTCAATTCATCAAACATCTTAATTTAGACTCTCTAGCTCCGCTCACTTTGCTTCACATTAGACATTGGCGATGAATTCTGGACGCAGTACATGTATCGAAAGCTCACCATGGCTTATGGGAGCTGCACATCACCCTTGGACACCAGCTCAGAGAGGCGAAGGATAAAGTTTCCAATTCTCTTCGGGTATGCCTTTGTCACAGCCGCTTCCAGTTCCTGCCAAGTCTTTGTCACCGCGTCCAACTTTGACCAGGTGCGAATATATTCCTGCGTGGCACTCAAGTGTTCCAGTCCGAAGCCGTCAGTGAATTGACGGTGACTTGGCACCACAAGTCTGGGCTTGAGGGCGGCAATCTGGTCAAGAGCTTTAATCCAGCCCTGGCGGAGCTGCGGTGTCGTGTTTTCGGCAAGATACTGGTAAATGTTGCCGTAAACAACGTCTCCTCCAACAACAAGACTCAAGTCCGGCACGTGGAGAACCGTGGAAGACGCCGTATCGCCTCCGGCAACCTCGACAGCACGGAATTCGTGACCGTCCAGCGTAAAGTGTTCTGCGCCCGCAGGCAAGACTTCCACCTGCAGGTCTGGAGGCCCAGCCTGTCCCAGCTCAGGAAACGTTGGGACCCAGAGACCGTCCCAGAGTTCTGGAGTAAGTTGTTCCAGCATGTGAGTGTATGTGCCGTTGGTAGCACGGATGACAGCGTCTGGAAACTGTTCTTGGATGATCCCAGCACCAAAAAAGTGATCGCCGTGGCCGTGAGTGATGTAAATAGTGCTCAGAGTTCGGTGTTGAATAATCTCAGCTATCCACGCTGCAACCGGCTCGGCTCGAGATTTCACCGTCGGAGTATCAACCAACACTGCTTCGTTTGGCGTAGTGATCAAGGTAAATGTGGTTGGGTTGAAAATCCATGGCTCTGTGCTGTTTTGCCCAGGGAAGGAAACGGGGTTAGGAGAGTCCCAATACGTATATGCTTGGATGCTCGCAGTATGCGCAATGGGAATGTAGGAAGCCATGGCGGATTGAATATGTAACGGCTTCTTCAAAGAATAGATCGAGAATTTATTATAATTTAATGATCAGAATAAACTGTGATTGATGACAGCGTTGAATACCAAGCAGCCTCGAGATGGACTTGAAGCTTCTATTTGTAGATGTTCAATATTTGCTCTAGATTTAAACTATCAGACGGAAACTTCCATGTAAAGGGAATCTCCGTATGGTATCTTCCGCGTCTATTAGTAAAAAGGGATATTTGCATCAAGAAGAATCTGTTACTATGTATGTTGAAAAAGAACCCTGAATGAGGACATTCCTGCAGATATAAAAATGAGCCAAATAGATAGGCGCTACTAACAATAAAGAGGCGCCTTAATAAAGAGGATTATTAATGTTTTTCCATGAGAAGTCTCCACCATTATCCCAACGAGGAAGACTATTCAGGATTTCAGCTACTGTCAGCTACAGAAATGGCAAGGCGTCGAGGTGAGACAGCTGCTGCCTTTGATCTACAATCTGGAATCATTTCGCTCTGCCAGCCGAGATTAATAATCAGCTGAATAATTGAGTATTTGACGACCAACGGAATCGGATTGCTAATGGTATATAATTGTATGTTATTCCGGCTTTGAACTGTTTGCAGCACGCAATTTGATGTTCTAGTTGCTAGTTTGCCTTGATCAGGTAGTTGCTATCTCGTCTCATTCTGGCAGTTGCTTGACTTTATTTGCAAATTTAGCTCAGGGCGATTAGCGGACTCCCGACAAAAGCATAATTTTGTCTTAAAATTACAGATTGTGGGGGAAACAGATCTAGTTAAATACATAAGAGTATAGTGCAAAGAGATTATATCTGGATACTGACGTTTACAAGAAAAGGATGGATTGCATCCATGACCACTGCGCAGCTTCGCTATTGAAGCGCGAGCACGTTACTGGAGAAACATAAAATCTAGGGTAATATGTGAAGAAAACTAGCTACCCAATATTGGCTCAAAGCCGGTCATTTCCTGTATATTTACCTGGCTTCAAGCCAACTGCTAGGGATTATTATAGCGTAAGCAATAACGTTGTGGCTTCGGATAGCTAGCAGGCAAGTATATGGAAAGACTATAGTTTGTTGATTCGAATAATAGTGCTTCTTACACCACCTTTTCACTGTGAATAGTGCCTGACTAAGCACAACGTTGCTTACACCCGTGCTTTTACGAGTACCTACTAGGCGTACTTCTACCAAGCTCAATTAAGCAAGTGAGCTGCTCATGGCTCGATAGATAAAGAGATACCGGCCAAGACAATCTCAGCAGTTTTCCATATCGTTCATTGCAATAGTCTCTACGATTCAGTAAATACTCACCATATCAGGTGATTTGGTGAGGAATGGTTGCTATTTTCTGAAATTTCTTCACATATCATGTCGACTCTAGTAAGCACTGCTCCTGGCACTTGTATGAAGTCTATACACAGCGCAACGGTGACTTTTGTCATAGTAAATTCTACTCCTTTAGGTGAATAGCCTACGTTATACTGTACAAGAAATGTTTAATTGTACAAGTGAAACAAGATGGCTTTACAGCCTTGGTTACCTTAGAGCATGGATTAACTGCTTACACTGGATGAAGACTCAAGATACGTGTGCCTTCAGAAGGATCTTTTATAAACTCCACTATAGTGTATGATTCAATTTCTAAGTAACCAACGGATTTCGGGCGCTGTTACGCATCGAAAGCCCGCTCATCTCCAGGTATTGAAAAGTTGCCCATCCCCACTGAAATCATACGACTTCAGCCTTGCCAGCTCATCAGTCACATTAACAGGCTAAATAACGGGGACAATGTTTAATGGACCCAAAGAGTATTGACGGTGCATTTCTTAACCAGGTCACGGTATTGGATTGCTGTTGAGTATGCTGATGAAATGCTATTGTCTTTCTCTTCTAGTGACATTAAGATTGTACATTTCAATGGAAGAAGCAATTTCACAGCAGTCCAATATAGATTAGATATTTAAAGTAGTTGGGATATGATAAATACACGTACTAGACGGCAATACACGGCCAGAATCACCGAAAAGATCCTCCTGCAGTGTGTGAAGTTGTGAAACTAAAGACACGACGTATCTGTCATTTACACCAACTTGTTTGAAGTCAGTCTGGAATAGTGCTGACCTATCAAAGCCCGTCTATAGAATACTTTCAAATATTACTCGAAATCTCAGTAAACCAGATAGTGAGGGGCACTTGAGACATAATCACATGGTTTCATCAGAATGTTTGTCACAGAAAGGCAAGCTGAGTATGAGTAAAACTCTTTTTATTTAGCACCGGTAGGAAAGTACAATCAGCTACAAACGTCCACCAGTTCGGAACACAATCGGCTGATGTGGCTACCCCAATCCAAACAAACAATCATGCAACCTTGAAGCTACAATCCCCATTCCCTAGAGTTCTGCCATCTTGTACAGAAGCTTGTGGAGCTCGCTTAGAAGCAAGACCACTGCTGCTGGATACCGCACTGAAGGTTCTGCTCGCCAAACTGGCAGTTGCTGTTGAAAGAGCCGTCGCCGTTGTCCAAGCTCAGGCCGGCACCGCCGCAGCCAACGAGCTGGAAGGTGACTCCGTTGTTGAGAGTGAAGTTGATTCCGCAAGGGTTGGCGCCGTTGCCGGCAATGAAGACGTTGGTGCACTCGGACTCGCCGCCGATCCAGGCAACTGTTCGATAGTTGGCATGTCTGATATTGACAAGATGTGAGCATGTGAAGAGGGGAATTGCTTACCAGTGTCACCAGCAGAGTCCTTGCCGACGTTGACGGTGGCGGTGGCCAGGCCAAGGAAGAGGCCGAGAGAAGCGACGATCTTGGAAGCGTACATTTTGGTTGTTGGAGTTGGTGAAGAGTGTAGTAGATGTGTTTGTTTGTTGTCTGAGTTGTTTGTGTGTTGGAGTGAGGATGTTGTTGAATCGAGGGGAGGAACGACGGTATTTATGTTTCTCGAGAAGCAGCAGACGGCACAACTAACAGGCCGACTTGTGTTTGCAAAGAAGGAATCATGTTGTAGTCTCCGAGACGAAGTATTCTCAAAATAGCATCTAGAGTCCATTGGCCAATGACTATACCAACCCGGCTGTGAGTTCAGATTAGTCGGCTGACTGCCGCAAATATGATGCTGATCTCTATAGCCTATAATGTGTTGTTTCCCAAGAGAATACGAAGTTTGGAGTAGTCGTAGTTTCTCATCTCACTCGTACGGCTTAGCCATCAACCGAAACTGCATTCTCTTAATTGTAGCTGTGAGATCTCTCGACAAAGTCAAGAATAATACGAAAGAAGGGAGCTTGATTGGACTCATACAAACAATCATGAAAGCAAATGCTTGATACAATGAATATTCACGGTGATGAGACTACAGAGGATGGATAAAGAGTTACGACACGAAGTTCAGCCGCAGCAGTTGATCAGTGGTTGTGTTACATTTGGGATACCGGCTGCTACCGAAACCCTGAACAAATCACTCCACAGAATAAGCTGACCGGATCTCCTATTCCTCCTTATAGTATGTATCGACATAGGAATTGAACCTAAAATCTAATCATCCAATGAAGCCAGCCGAGGCGCGGATCGCCGGCCTCAAACTCCGCCTTGGACCCTGATAGTCCGCAGCGACTGCACCTTTATGCTTGCGGCACGCCCATCATTGCCCTTACTGTGCTGTTTACAATATCCTTTTCCAGTGTTACACGAGCGAGAATATACAAATAGGAATAGAACTACCATAATCAATTACCTCTAGAGACGGATTTGATTGGGTTGGGATTACTTATTCACATACAACTCATCCCTGAGACATGCATTAGGATAGAGTTGTTCAGTCATGAGCTTTCACGGAAACAGAAATGATCTCCCGGTCTAAAACGCCTTCCATGGCTGGTAACTTTCGGCCCAGTTGAATGCCTGAAGCAGTAAATCGATGTTCAGGTCCCGGTTTCTTGTATCTCAGCCTTACACAGAAATGGATGGATATGAGCGGATACACTGTGTGTAGTAGAACGGATACGGTAACGCTGCTGTTAAAATGTTATGCCTATTTTCGTCCATCAAGCCATTTCCGTATTATGCTTTGGAACCGAGCGTCGATTAATATCCGGCAACATTTGGGCTTATTTCCGTCACGTAATAGTGCATGGGGGGAATGGAAGTAACACCAGGTAATCAAGGATGCCTACTATGGGCGCCTACAAGTGCCTATTTTGTGTCTGTGGCTTTGGATAGAGTCTTGGGCAAAAGGTGCAATAACTAACTAATCATGGGCGTCTGTCAGCGCTAGGAGAAGCTGATGGCCAATCCCAATGAACAAGAGTACGGCATAGTGAATAGAAGGATTACTTTGCACTTGGATCTTGGCCACTTCCGCGCCACCACAAGTCCACAAGGCTAGAACGCGGGAAGGATTCGGGCATTAATTAGGTATGAGGGCTGCATTAAGTGATGCTAGGAGCATTCCTTGTATGCCGCTGCGGGCGTTTCTGGCGCCGGCATTGCTGGCGCTTTGCTAGTTGTCGATGTTGCCATTAGCAGCTGTTTCGTATTAGTGTGTCGAAACCTCGATTCAATTCTACTCAGAAGGATGCTTTAGCAATAGCACAAATCAAGACTATATCATGTCTCTTCCTTTTCCATCTCCGAGCCGCATGAATCCAAGCTCCTGCGCCCTGGCCTCCGCATGTCCCGATTATATCTCCGCGAGCCAGGGCGCATCGGTGGACTCTCGTTGTCCAATCGATCATCAGCCCTCTGCGTCAGCCTCCCTTGAGCAGTTTCCGCTTTTGAATAATTCGCCCGTCGATCGTACCTTGGACTAGTGCTTGTGCCCGCAGCGATAATCCGAAGCAGGCTCTGGGAGTCGCTGTTCTCCACTCCATCCTTGTTGGGTTTTGGTACAGGCGTATTGTATGAGTCGTGGGCATATACAAAGGTATTAAGATTAGCCGTAAGGCTGCTGTTGACAATTATTCTATAAATTCCATATAAAGATAAAGTGGGTTAATATCCGTAACTACAAGGAGATTGGAATTAGCAACAATTATAGACAATGGCCATACTATACAGAGTTGTCCAGTGTGTCCCGATTTCTTGACAACAGATACGCAGTGGCAACCGTCTAGAGACCAAGAAACAGGTAAAGTGAAACACAGACAAACTAATTGCCTTGTATCCAATAATAAAGTAAACACGCAATGGTAACCATATAGGGAACCCGAGACGCTCTAGTCACGGGGCGTAAGAAACAAGTCAATTGGGGTCTGGTAACACAGACAAACTAATCGCCTTGTATCTTATAATCAAGTAAATAGTATTACTATTTCAACACGCAAGCGAATACGCATGGCGGCCAACTTCCGGCTCGGAAAAGGGATGTCCTCTATAACCAAACACCGTGAGAAGAAGCAGGAAGAAAGAGGACAAAGGATGCCGAGTGTAACCCAAAAGAAGCCAAAAGTTACGCCGTTGCCGAAGTGGATATGACAAATGTCTGTAGGATAGCAGTATGGCATTTGATTTGGAATCTTCAATTTAAGCCAGTTTAGCAGCTGTTATTTCGGATAAGGTAGGTTTAGTGATCTACGGGTTCGTGACATAATTGTTTTGGACTTGTAGCGAGAGTCTAAAATATCCTAAAATAGATATTGTAAGCAAATAATCTTGACATTGACATCATAAAGATCAAGTTACCCTACAGCATCGTAGCAACAAACGATATGCTTGGATACTTGTCTAACTGCGTGTAAATAAAACTACATTTGTGTTGATCTCGATATGGTGTTGCTTTGATCTCAGTGGGACATGTTGCTCCATAAATGATAGACACTCAAACACGAAGATCATTGAGATGTACACGATCGGAGAAAGTTTCCAAGAGCCGGATCTTCAATACGTTGCTTTGTAAAACAAAATCGGCATGATTCTTTCCTCTACGGGGAGACGCGACGATCTTTCCCCTCTCTTTGGCCCGAGCTTCACTGCCCGAGCTTCACTGCTGATCCTCTACACGTGTCTAATGGGCTCCGCTTACTTCCAAGGTTCTTTTACGCTTTTCCTAGGTTGCAGAGCAAGCCACCGCGGATAAACCATGAAACAAATAACTATTAATACCTATGCCACGCCGTCTTCATTTCTTCATCTGGGCCAGATAAGCCTCCACGTCAATCTCTCGCAGCTTGTTGGCCTTTTCTTCGACCAGCTTCTCGTTTTCGAGCTGGTAGGCCTTCATCTTGGCGTGGAACTCGGGGATAAATGCACCGAGACATCGAATGGCGAGGAGAGCGGCATTGGTCGAGTTGTTGATGCCGACAGTGGCGGTTGGTACGCCTCGCTGATTAGTAGTTAGCATGCTGATGGGCCACTCACTCTTTCCCCTCATATAAATAGTTACCACAGGGGCGGAATTCCAAACTTACAGGCATTTGTACAATAGAGTACAGAGAATCCACGCCGTCGAGATGCGTGGCCTTGACTGGGACGCCAATGACGGGCAAGGGCGTGTAGGCAGAGACCATTCCAGGCAAATGGGCGGCTCCTCCTGCAGCTGCAATGATGACTTTGATGCCGCGGGCAGCTGCTTTGGTGGCCACATCGGCCATCTTGGCTGGTGTTCGATGTGCTGAAGTGATGTCAACCTCCCACGGCACGCCAAACTGGTTCAAGATGTCGATGCCGGCCTTGAGCACCGGCAGATCTGAGTCTGAGCCCATGGTGACGAGGACGAGCGGTGTTGCCTTTGGCTTGGAAACTCCCTGGTCTGGTCGGAGAGACTTGCTTCCGGCCTGTAATCTCTCCTGTCTGACGATGCTGGCCATGTCGACGAGGGGTTTCGCAAACTCTTCGAGCTCGGCTATGCTGGCAACGACGCCAGTGACTGTGATGTGTCCGATTTTTCGGCTAGGCTTGGACTCTTTGCCGTAGAGGTGGACGTAGACTGACATCTTGTTGCCGTACATGGACTTGGCCTTTTCGACAAGCGGCAGATGAGAGTCGGGGTTGGCGCCTCCAAGAATGTTGATCATGATGCTCGAAGAGACGTGGGGTTCGATTTTAGGGGGGAGCGTCTCGTCGAGGATGGAGGTGAGCTGTGCCTTGTACTGTGACCTGTAGAGCGAAATGGAGTCAACACATGCCAATGCGTAGAGTATAAAATAGTCGACATGGTCACTTACATGTATGGCACTGCTTCGATAAAGAGATGGCCCGAGTTGTGTGGCCGAGGGGCAATTTCATTCACCAAAATCTCGTTGTCCTGGGTCACAAACAATTCGACGGCGAAAATGCCCCTGCCCCAGAGCTTGTCCACCACGCTGCTGGCAACCTGCTGGGCGCGCTCACACACAGCAGCAGGCGTGGCACGAGGCGGCAAGTAGACCCGCGAGCAGATGTTGTCCTCGTGAACCGTCTCGACAGCCGGGTAGGGCAGCAGCTGCTTTGTCCGGCCGTCGTCGTCCTCTGTTCGGATGACTAGCACAGACAGCTCGCACTGGAAAGGACAGAACTTTTCGGCGTAGCAGCTGAACTTGCCAAACTCGGCGACGGCACGCTCTAGATCTGCCTCGTTGGAAATCTTGAGGTTTCCTCGGCCGTCGTAGGAGTCTTTTCGGGCCTTGAGCATCCAGGGATAGCCGAATTTGGCAGAGACGGCCTTGAGAGAGGCGTACATGGCATCGCCGCCCTCAATGGCCACAGACTCGGCAACGGGGATCCCCTTGCTGGCCAGGTATGCCTTTTGCTCGTACTTGTCCTGGATCAGCCGCAGCGTCTTCCATGACGGGCAGACAGAGACTTTGGTCGTCGTCGCAATCTCCTCCAGCACAGTTGTGTCCACGTGCTCGGTCTCGACGCTGAGCACGCTGCAGTGAGAAGCCAATTCCTTGATCTTGGCTGCGTCCTTGTATGAGCCATTGATATTGCGGCTGTTGTCGTTGATCTGCTTTGCCGGCGCATTCTCAGCGTCGAGGATGGCGATTTCGACGTCGAGGGGCGCTGCGGCTTGGCACAGCATGCGGCCAAGCTGGCCGCCGCCCAGAAGGCCAATCACAGGCTTTGGGCTCATCTTGTCTCTGAATTATATGTGCCTATTCGTTTCGATCGTATATTCGGCGGGTGGTTCGCTGTTTGAGAGAAAAGTCGTTGACCTGTAAAAAAGAAAAAAATGAGTAAAAGTCTGGCTGTAGTTTTTGGCGTCACTGCGCCGGTATCGTTTCCCAGATTGCCCCGCCGAATTTTTTCTGCCCCGCCATGCCGCTAAAGTGAGCGCTGTGGGAGCTGTTGGGGCGCTAATTTGGCGATCAAGAAATATCGCAGCCAAAATGTATGCGCAAGACGTGGTTTGAATTTTATCATGGTCGCAATGCCGAAGCGACTGAATGCGCAAATTCTGGGAACATGAGAACTGGTGATTCTTGGCGCAAAAGGCGTAGAACAGCTACACTGTGATGGAATTTGCAGGTTCGATATCCGTATCATGCCCCGCCATGCTGCGGGTGCTTATCTTATCTGCAGATCAATCCCAGATGACGTATCCGAGCTGGTCTTTGGGGTGCTTGCGCTGTATTTTAGGGTAGTTCGCTGGAGTATAGCGCACATGCCACTACCATTCTGTTGCTCAGCGCATTAATGGACAGGCGGTTCGCTATAATTCACTGTAGGTGGCATGTGGTAATTTTCGTTCGAAAGCTCAGACATTGAGATTTCTGATGGGCTCCTTCTTCACTATCACACAGACAGACTCTCGCCATCAAGATTTCGGTTTTCGGTTTTGCAGGCAGCGAGACTATCCAGCTGGATCAAAACTTTCAGCACTTCTTTTTTCTTTTCTGCCTTTCATACCTTTGAACTTAGCCAGTCCTAGTCACCGACAGCCAGATCACACTGATCGCTCAGCAACAAGATGCAAGATACAGTCCCACGCTGATATTTCGCTCTCTCGCACGACTCTGCAAAGATTGTATTTGGCGAGCTTTTCTTTCTGATTTTTCTTTTGGCATCTTTAGCTAACTGCTTCCCGTGCCTCTATCCCAGTCAAACCATGTTTGCCACGTACATGCAAACGAATGAATACTTCATCAAGCTTGCTTCGCTTCCAATCCAACCAGCTGTAGAGACTCTTCCCATAGGCGGTCTTCCTCCCTGATATTGTAAGTTTGCTCAACCCAGCCCACGCCAAAAACTTGCCCATCATCCACGCCCCGTTCAGCTTCCTGGCAGTCCTCCAGATATTTGCCGCCTCTGCTCTCCCAGCTCTTACTGACCGCCGCCCAAACAGTTGTTGCCGCCCCCTGCTCGGCAGACTTCATTATCTTGCGGACATATGGATTTTTCAAGATGGCCCCCACAGACTCTGCTGGTAAATGTCGGGAAATGCCAGTGTGGATAGCCCCAGGATGCACGCTGGTAGCATGCAGTCCTTCAGAGCCATACAGGCGATCAATCTTGTTGGCCAGATACACGGCTGCGAGTTTTGAGGTGTTGTAGGCAGCCTCGTGAGTGTATTCGCTCTTTTCCAGATGGTAATTTTCATCGCTAGGGACGCTGGCAGCTCGGTGAGCAGACGAAGCCACAATCACCACACGAGAATGCAAGTCAGGAGCGATGCTGGTAAGCAGAGCTTGCTTGAGCAGCTGGAAGAGGAGGAAGAAACCCAGATAATTGGCGGAGAATTGTGCTTCGATTCCATCTTCGGTAAGTGAATACTCCTGGATGCCCATGACTCCCGCGCTGTGGATGAGGACGTTGACCTGACCCTTGGAAGCAGAGAGAATCTCCTCGGCCCCAGAGCGAATGCTTTTGAAAGAATCTAAATTCATCTCCACCAGCGACACCCGACCGGGTTCAAGTACCCCCGCAAGATTCTTCTTGGCCCTGAGCAAATCGCGAGCCGTGAGAAACAGAGTTGCTCCAGTAGCCGACAAGGCACGAGCTGTTTCAACTCCAATGCCCGAGGTGGCCCCAGTAATGACCATGACTTTGCCGACAAGTTTTCCCTCGACACCTTCGTCTCGGATGATTTGGAGAGCTGTTGGCCGAGCGTCTCCAGCGCCCTGGGGGTCTGCATGGGCAGCAGCGTAGGGATTTGACGATTCCATTTCGCTAAAACGATTCAGTGTAAGTTGCCGGTGTCCTGAGTTGTGAAGAGGCGAGCTGCGCAAAAGATAATCGGGATTTCGAAAGAAATATTCTCTGCTCTTCTTCTCTCGCTATTTTCCTGTCTTTGATTTTCTCCAATTCTTTCTGTTCCTTGTCGTTTTATATATCTTTTCTGTTGCCTGGTTGCAGCGCTTCATCTCGCCAACGCCTATCCATGCTCCTCTTCCCACATACAATCCGCCTCAAAGCCGACAAAGCGGCCGCCTCTTGCCCGCCAATTTGCGCCAGTCTTTCCGCCACATGCCGCCGGGTTCTCCACCACTTGTCGGCTTCTCTTGCGCTCATCACATCCGCCAGAGTCCGTCAAAGACCGACACTCTTCATCCTGCATTTGCCGTCTTCTTATCGCCCTCATCCATCATGCAGGTGATTAATGCAGAGTCTAGCATTGGGAAAGCGCCAAAAGCCTGCAAATTCTGTCGATCACGCAAGAAAAAGTGCGACAAGGCGCTTCCCAGATGCGGCTTCTGCGCCAGGTAAGCGCCGCCGCCCATCTTGCGCCTCTAAAGCTGGCATCCGCGGCGGCAGCATCAAGAGGACTAACACTCAAGGGTGAAATATAGGCGAAATCGTCCATGCGAATATTGGAAGCCAAATCTATCGACGACTGGTCACTCCACCATCGCTTCAACTACTGAGAGAGAATGGTATTCCTCCCCATTGGACCAAGAGCGGCCACAAACCCAAGCTATCGACCTTGCAACTATCCTCTTTCTCGATCCCGATCTACTACGGCTTGGCCAGATCCAAACTCTACATGCTATATCGGCCATCCCGCAACACGTGCAGCAACTACTAGGCAGCTTGGATGAGATCCGACTCAGCGCGGACAAGTTCTTTGGGCACATTCATCAATGGATGCCCTTCATCTCGAAGAAGCGGTTCTATGATCTCTACATGCAGCCCTCCTTTCATTCTCGACCTGATGTGACCTTGCTTTTACTAGCACTCAAGCTCATCACCAATCTTCCACTTCCTGGCCTGCCCAATCCTCGTACCCCTTTGTATCACACGGTCAAGCATTTCTACCTCGAGGTTGAAGACTCGTTCTCTCTCCTAGTGCTGCAAGCAGGTATTCTGGTGGCACTTTACGAGCTGGGACATGGCATCTACCCGGCTGCCTTCTTGTCAATCGGACAATGTGCGAGATATGCCCATGCCTTGGGAATCAATACCGGCCACATGGTGCCAGCTACAAAAGTGCTTACCATGGTGGAAGTCGAAGAGCGACGGAGAGTATGGTGGGCCATTATCATTCTAGATCGGTATGCATGGATCAAGGTTGACCCAGTTTGTTGCCATGTATTAACAATGGTAGTTTCGTGAGCATCGGTTGTCCAGGACGACCCTTTGCCACTGCAGATCCACGACTTCATGATCTGTTACCGGTCAACGATGCCGCATTTGATATTGGTGTGCGTTATCTATGTGTCTTGCCGCCGCTATACTTCAATTCACATGGCTTCCTGTGTTTTGACTGCTGACGCCTCAATCAGACAATTGAACTCGACGACTTCTCTACGCTCTCGTCTCCGAAGACAGGGCACATGAGTAAATTCTCTCTACTGTGTCAGGCTGCTCACCTATTAGGCCAAGTGCTTCAGCACGTCTCGGGTGATTCTACGGGCCAAGATATCGCCTGGGTACAGCTTGATCGCACGCTACAGTCGATGCTCGCTGCTGCATTGGATGTCGATCGCCCAGACTACGATCAAATTACATTCATCTACAGGTCTGTGTTGTATTCTTCAAGTGGCTATTTCCGCAAGCACTAATTGTATTCCGTCCAGCGCCCTCGTTGCTTTATATACGCCCTACCTACACGTATCCTCCAAGACCAAAGATTCCAACCACGACTACTCCCAGCGAGCCCGAGACGTGCTGCACCAGATAATAGGCCGAATTAATGCGAATCTCGTCGAACGTCAGTGCTTTTTAGGCCGCGACTCAGAAGATGTTTCTCCATGGGGTCTATATTTTGCTTATCGCATCTGTGGTATGCTCATGCGTCCTGGCGAGAAAGCACCGCACGGAGCTGATGTTCTAAAGAGCCTGCATGAGGCCTTCCAGACCATCTCTGTGCGATGGAATGTGGCGAGCGTTTACCTTGAGCTATTAGAGGCACAAAAGGCCATTCATTTGGCAGCCTGAATCTCGTTCAATGCGGATTACACTTAAACTCTGGACGGATAACAACTGAAGAAATTGAGGATAACGAAATGCTATCCCCCCTTTATTACTTTGAAGCTATCTTTATTGTAAGCTTGCCAAAATGCTTCTGATCCCACATATACTGATATGCTGCCGGAACATCTGCAAAGTCAAACACCTTTTCATCAATCACCGGTTTGATGTTGTTTGCGTCGATAAACGCGTTCATCTTCTGGAACTCCTGCTTGCTGCTGACCAAGACGCCACGAGCTATACAACCATAGTAAAGCACCTCCAACAACTTGGGCTCATTGCTATTTTCGCTAACAGCCATGAAGCCGACAAGACTGATGACGCCTTGGATTTTGATGGCGTTGAGAGATTGGCGGAGCGTGCCTGGTCCTCCAACCTCGATGACATGATCTACGCCCGCGCCGTTGGCGATTCTTTTGGCTTCTGCTCCCCATTCTGGGACTTCTTTGTAGTTGATGACATAGTCTGCGCCGAGTTCCATTAGCCGGTCCATCTTTGCTTGGCTGGAGCTGGTGGCAATTACATGGGCTCCCATTGCTTTGGCAAACTGGTGAGTGTATTGTATGTTAGTATGGATTACGCCTAATGTTTTCCAGCTTGCCAATACTGACCTGAATGGCGAATACAGATACTCCGCCAGAGCCCTGAGTCAGCACCCATTGACCAGCTTCGAGACGCTTGCTTGGAAGGCCAACAAGAGAATCCCAGGCCGTTATGGCCGCAATAGTCAAAGTGCTGCCTTGTTGCAAATCCAGTGTGTCAGGAATCTTGACGAGTCCGCTCTCAGGGACTACTCCATATTCCTGTAGCACCCCGTCGAGTTTACCGCCGGTAGCGTTGCCGATATCTTCTGCCTTGAGGGTGCCTTCTTGCCATGTCTGCAAGTGAATGCCAGTGACTCGGTCTCCTGGCTCGAATAACCGCACCTGTGATCCGATCTTGACAACTTCACCGGCTGCGTCAGAACCTACAACAATACCGTCGAGAGCTCCGAGAGGATATGTGCCCTGAGGATCTATCAGTTGCCGGCTTTTTTGGAACCCTTAGTCTGCTTCTTGAGCAATACCTTTGAGACGACTAAATCACGATAATTAAGCGACGCATACTTCCAACGCACGAGAACGTCCGAGTCGCCGATTTCTGGGATGCGGTTTTCTTTGAGCACAAGTGAGTCAAAGCCGGTAAAGCCATTGAGTCGCCATTGTCGATTTACAGTGGCTGCCATGCTGAATGATAGGGTTTCAAGTATATTGCAAGACGTTTAATGTTGTCGCTATTTGACGACAGCTATCTCATACCAGGCAGGACTCATTCCACTTTTACAGAGACATTCGCACGATTTATTCATCTTTTCTCTTACATTTATTACCAATTCTGCCAAAGATACATGTTCCAGATTCCAAATGCCATTGTACATTCAACTACGAATTGAATAGTAAGCATTCGCTGTTTGTTATTAATCGCAACGCTAAGACCTGTCGAGCAATATGCTTTGCGCACTATCTGCTCCTTTAGAACTAAGTGGCTGGCAGACATCATGTCCTCCGCCTTTTACCACGCCAAAATCCCAATAGGCTTCCTGTCTTACGTCAGTAAATTTCCTTAGACCAAGGTGACGCGGTTCTTCAGCACCGACAGGTCAACCTTTTTAAGTTGGTGGAAGTGAGGGTCGAAGAACTGGTTGATGCGCTGGAACAGCCACTCGGGGTTCTCGTCGGCAGGAAAGTGTCCGGCCTGAGGCACAATATCCAGCGTCGTGTTCTTTCCAATGGGGCCCCAGACAGGCTTCAGGACAGAAGCAAGACTGGCCTCACCAGCTAGGGCAAGGAAGGGCAGGTCCAGCGGCTTCTTGTTGAGCACGCTGAAGAAAGCAGCGTCCTTGCCCATGATCTTGGCGTCAAAGGCGCCAAACATGGCTCGAAGGCCGCCGGGCTTGCGTAGATCGTCGACGACTCGGTCAATCACGTCAAGGGGGAATCCCGAGAGGCCGGTGTAAGAGGCGTGGAAGAAGAAGGAGAGGACGGCTTCGCGTTCGCGGCCGCTTTGGAAGCGCTCGGCTGCGTCTGGGACGGCCCAGGCGGCAAGCGGGTAGAGCGAGTAAGTGTCCCAGTTGTATTGGGGCGTCCAGGCCTGCTCGTATCCGTGGCCGGGCAGGCCGTATTCGACGACGCCGAGAGCGTTGACGAGAGATGGCTTCTTGATGGCGAGGGCAACGGCGGCACCAACGCCCTTGTCGTGCGAGAAGACGCTGGCCTTTGAGATGTTGAGATAGTCTAGGAGGCCCTCGAGATCGGAAGCCATGGCCTCTGAGGTATAGTCGCCGTCGGGCGGGATCGTGCTGTCTCCCATGCCGCGGTTATCAGGCGCAATGACTGTGTACTTTTGAGCCAACATGGGACCAAGCAGCCGCCAAGTGATCTGATTTTGAACAATCATCAGTTTATAAGTCTTTTCTATATATCATGGATCAGTAGAACGTACACTGGGTTGAGGATTGCCATGGACAAGCACCATTGGCGGGCCTGATCCAGCCCATCGGTAATGCATCGTGATGTTGTTGACCAGCACTCGGCCGTGCGCCCACTGGTCCCATTCTGGAACTGCGGCTGCTGCTGCGGATGCGATGAAGGCGGTTGCTAATGAAGCGGCGAACAGCATTTTGGCTCTGTTGAATATCTCACTTGGATCCTAGATGATTGGATAAGTGTGTGTATGATGAAGTAAATCGCAAATGGTCATCTCTGCATCTTATATTAGCTGCATCGTCGTTTACTCAACAGCCATTGCCGTTTGTTTCTCTCATTCTCGCAGTTCATTGTTTCTACAAACAGCAATACCAAAATTGGACATTTCCTCGTCCTGGCCTAGTTGCTGCAGGTTCCATATGACTGGATAGGGATTTAAAGCTGTTATTAATACGTCTAGGCAATTCATCTATGTAAGCGTCCGTCGGGCTAATGCAGGGCCTTTTGGCAGGCTGGAGTATAGGTGGATGGAATTAGGTAGCTAAACGAATAGCGGCACTTGGACAATTCTAACGGCATTCGTGACGGGTACGTGAGGCTCCTATACAGGGAATGATGCGGTTGTATTCCAAATGCCAGATGCAGGTACCGTTTGGCATGGCTTTCGATGACCAATACTGATTCCTCTTTGGTGTTCTATTTGTGTCTGGAGCTGTGGCAGCGTGCTGAGTTGGGAAGTTGCTTACAAAAGTGCGATGCTATAACCATATTGGGCCCGATACGTGATTGGGCCTTGAGTATTGGTCATGTTTATAGAGAGACATTCATTGACAAGATTCTGGATTGTACTTTATGGACTACGGGCAAACACTACAGAAGCACGATTTTCGGTGTCCTCGGGACTCAGTTTCGCGGTTAATTTACAAATAGTGGGAGGACACCTGTAAGAGCTATTTGGCTGGGCGCGCTGCAAGCTACTTACTGGTGATGTCCCTAGCGAGAAGAGGACGCAAATATCTAGGGGGTCATCACTTATTCCGGATCTATTTCATGGTGTCCGCTGTGTTGGGGTAATCAAGTCTCTTTAAGCCGACCGGCGTCAACGGCGTGACGAAAATACGAGGGACGACTGTTTATCCTTTCATGAACACCGGCTTGAACGAGACTGGCACTAGCAATCTTCTGAGCCGAGCCAGGTTGAACCTGAGATGATGTTTATAATTGCATTTTGGTCCTAGCTTAAACAATTATCCCAATGCCTTTTCACCATTTTCTCCTCATCCGGGATTCTATATAATCCAAGGGACTGGGCGCGATATGACGTTTCTGCATCTTTATACTGGGCCCCAATGTCACTACAGCCAAAGAGGCAAAAAGATGACGGCTCAGAAATACGCGTAACCGACGCAGCTCGATCTGGAACTTGACGGATCAAGGTCACGTTTGGTGCTATGATGGCGATTATCATGCATATATATAGATATATATGTACTGTATTATGACAGCTGATCTGCCGGATCTAAAGGTAGCCAAATAGGCTTAATCGGCCGCACAGATCAGCCGTGTGGCAGATCGATATCGCTGTCACCTTTTGCATGTAGATTTGTCGCGTTTGAGACAGACTTGTCTTTGCTCCCCAGGTTTTGACAATCTTTTATAGTGAAGTACGAGCCTACGAGTCGGTATAAATGGGGGTATATTATACGTACTACGCTTGACGTTTACTGGGATATCCACCATAAGCACGTCAATCGATCCCTTGTCGCTAACAAACCGGGCGCCACATTTGTACAAGGCCATGCTGCCTAGCAGCTTACACGTAGTTAGCTATGTACAAAACTAGATCACTGACAATAATGATAATCGCGCAATAAGTGAGTGAGCTGAATCGCTACGCAAACGTCAAAATTAAAGTAAAACTGATATCAGGCCTAGGCTAGTTAAGCTATTGTAACTCAAATCTCTCATCCCTCACAACATATATCTCCATGTCAATGCCTTGTCTCCTTTACTAGACAGCTCCTCAGCAGAATATTGATCCAACTCGCCTTGAGCCACCTTGGCCTCACGCTTTCTGTTGATTTGAATGTATGAAAAGACCAAAACGAGGGCAGCAATGATTCCAGCGCCGATGAAGCCAAGCTCCAGTGCGTGGCCGAGGATATAGCGAGGGCCGTCTTTTTGTCGGTAGAAGTTGGCTGCCATGGCCTATTTTATTATTATTAACACAACCCGGAACGAAGCTGAGAATACAAGAACTTACTCCGCCAAGGTTTCCGATACCAATCTGCATCGCCATACCGGCGCTTCTCTTGTAGCTGCCAGACAAGTTGTTTGCCAGCCAGGAAATGACTCCCGGGAAGGCTGGATAGATGGCACAGGCTGTGATGAAGACACCGCCGTAGACTACCTTGGGATTGCTGGTTGAAATACACCTGAACAAGGAAATAGTGGTTAGAATGACGGACATGAAGCTGGTAGGAGTGGGGAGAAAAGCCTACATGGAGAAGCCAACAATCAGGACACAGTAAAGACTAATGATGAAAGGGCTTCGCTTTCCAACGCGATCCGAAACGTATGCCACGATGACGGCGAGAATAGCAGCCGTGATGTAAATGGGAACCGTCATGAGCTGGGCCTTGTTCGCCGTGTATCCGAGATTCTTGATGATGGTAGGGAGAAACAGGCTGATTCCGTACAAGGGACAAACAACCTGCCAAATGTCAGAACCGAACTGAAGGAAGAGAGGAGTTGGTCACTTACGCCCCAATACATGATGATGCTGACCCAAATTTGCCAGTCTTTAAAAGCACTCCAGACATACTTCCATTTGAAGTCTTCAGCCTGGGCAACCTGCACCTGGTCCGTGTCGATATTTCCTGCTTGGGCCTGGTACTTGAGACGGAATACCACAAAGGCTTTCTCCTCTTCAGTGAGGAATGTAGCCGTCTCTGGAAAGTCTTGTAGGATGAAAAAGGCCAGCACCGCTGCCACGACTGTCGCGATTCCTTCGAGGATGAAGATCCAGCGCCAGCCCTCCAGTCCAGCGGTTCCATCCATCTTGGCAATGGCAAAGGCTAGGAGTCCGCTGAAAGCACCGGCAATGGAGGCTGCTGAGAAGAACAGGGCTTGTCGGAATTGGATCTCATGACGGCAATACCACATGGTTAGATAGTACTAGAATTCATCAGTCGAGGTAGAGTTTGAAGAGAGAGTTACTGAGACATACAGCAACACCTGGAAACAGGCCTGCTTCGGTGACACCCAGGAAAATGCGGGCGACGAGAAGACCGTGATAGTTGCGAACGATGCCCATTAGAGTCATCACTGTGCCCCAGGCAACCATGATGGTGGGAAGCCAGACACTGGGACGAAGCTTCTTGAGGAGCAGATTGGAGGGCACCTCGAACGCTGCATAGGTGAAGAAGAAGACAGTCAGACACCAGTTGTATTGGTCGGGTGACAAATTGAGATCCTCTTGGAGGCCCTCGATTTTTGCGTTGCCAATGTTTCCTCCTATACATGCAGCGTCAGCGTAACGTTGAGAATGGAGATTTCGTTGTGCCTACGGTCTAGGAATGAGAGAAGATAGAGGAGTGCGAGCATAGGGATCAACCGAAGATCCATCTACAGCGCCTAGTCAGCAACATCGACTGTGTAGGTTTAGAATAAACGTACCTTGCGAAGAATCTTCTTCTCGTCCAGATGGGAGAAAGACTCTAGAGTAGTGCCTGGAACAGCTCTGATGCCTTTGCCGTCGTAAAATTCACCTTTACCGCTTCGATCAGAAGCATTGACTGTCTCTGCCTCCATCACGTCGACTTTCTCAGTGGGAGAATTGTATGACGCCATGATGTTGAGAGGAGCGACAATGCTCCTTCTGTAGATGTGTTTGTTAGAGGACGGTAAGATGATGAGGTCAAGGTTCAAGTCTCAGAGCTCAATAAACGAGAAGCTTGAGAAACCTGGAGACCTTTTGAAAGCAACATGCAGGGGCCATCAGGAGGTTGAAATATACTTGTTCCCACGCCATATCCTCGGTCAACAGCACCAGTGGCTTGGCGAGCCGGAAACGCTCCGGGGTGCACTTGGACGAATCAAAACGCCATTATCTGGGGAAACAAGGTGCAGAATCTGGGGAAAACGGGCCTAGTTGCATCCCCCGCACTTTGCTGGACAAACTATTGTCTGCAAGGGGAAAGATGACTGAGTGTGGGTGTTGAGCTGAGATAAAGAGAGATGATGCTGATAACCATCGGATCCGACATTGTGAAGATGGGTTATCAGTAGATAGTATTGGTAGGCGTGGAAGACATACGATACTCGAGTCATGCATAGTTGAGTCATGCATAGGCGACATTGCACTGACTGTAGCTTAACGCCATCGGTTCCGATGATCCCTGCTTACAGCAACTGAGTCTTGAAGCGATTGGCCGGCAGTAAGATTCGGCTGCATCTAGTTGCCACTTTCAGAGATAGGCAGATGGTTTCTGTAGTCTATTCTCAACCTACTCCGCAACCAAGACTTGGCGTCGTTTCTCCTCTCGCTTTCATCTGCCAAGCACGTTGTCGTTCTAGAATACCCCAGATCTCCCCAATTTTTCCCATCCATCGTGTTTACCCCGCATCTGGGCGTGGCAACTAGGATAGGAGCAGAGACGGATCCGATGAGGTTCTCTGGAACATGTCACAACCAACTTCTCTTCACCCTCATTAATATCCAGTCGGATCCGATCCTTGTGACGCTGCAAGTCTCGGTTGCTTCCATACACTCACAACAACGCAGTCTCGGATCATGCAGAATCGCGTCGTCACCCGTCGTACCCAGTTTTCTAGTTGTGATGAGTGCCGCAGATCACGCGTCGCATGCGATTCCCAGAGCCGTCGCGGTGCTGCGGGCAAAGCCTCTGCTCCCTGTACGCGCTGTCGGAATCGAGATAGAGCCTGCACGTTCAAAGTGAGATCAAGACCAAACTCCCAAGAGGCAATGGACCTGACCATCAGTTACAGTGGATCCAAGATGCCAAAGCAGGAGCTTCGACAAGACATGCAGCTACTCCGTCAAAGGCGCCTGGTCGACGTAAGCGAGACTCTCGTCTTCAGCTTGATCAAATACTAGTTGAAGAGCCAGCTACTGCACCCACGCCGGAGGCATCTCCTGTCAATAGCTACGGATCTACGCAAAACTCACGACATGAGTCCTTGGAAGAGATTATGCCGGAGCGTGCCTCTGCCTCTCCAGACTCGGAGACGCATCCACTGAGAAACTCTCGCTCTGAATGGGAGTGGCTTCAGACTCTGTATAGACAAAACTTTGAAGTCGTTTTCGGGTCTTGGATGGGCCGTTATAGCTGTCCTTTCTTGTAAGTCCACAATACCATTCTCCTCCCCGAGGCACCTTGGCTCACTGCAAAAGATTTGGACAAGATGACCTCGCCGAGCGGTATATCAGTATATCAGATTTATGCTGTTACCTCGACAGATATATGGCGGAGACGTCCAAAGGGAGCCAAGGCTCATCTCGGGAACACCAGCGGGACAAGAAAAGAGACGACTTGATTACACAATCCTTGCGTGATACAATTGCTGCGTTTGCAGTTAGATGGCTACCAATCACCTCTTCAGATGGCCTCGATACCTCGCACCGGATCCAGACCATGTGGCGACAGGCCCGAAGGGACATGCTGAGAATCATCAACCGTCCCTCGTATCGATCGATGCTGTCCCTCTTTTTATTTGCCTTGACTCCCATTCCAATGGGCATATCCGAAGACGAGGAGGCGGATGGTGTCTCTGGACAGGTTTGCATCCACGCAGCTTTGCAGCAAGTTCAGTCTCTTCGAGCCCGACATAGGAATCTCCAATTCAGCGGCTCAAAAGTGACTCCGTCATCGAGCTCAATCCCGATGAGTTCTGCTCCAGAATCGGCCGACACTTCGAGCTTCATCAATGCGGAAAACATTGCCTACTGGGCAGCAATCACATTCGACACATCGGCATCTCTGACGCTCAATTGCAGGCCGCTCCTCTCATCGGGGCTCTTTGGCTTTGAGTCTGAGTTTACATGGAAACTTGTGCGGACCTGCTTGAACGTGTTTAATGAATCTTCAAAGAGTTGGTGTCAGGGCAGTGCTGAGATGACGGATGAAAGGGCCAACGAAATTATTGCGGCCGCTGCTTGCTGGAAGCTGATGGGTTGGAAACTGGCTGCTAATTTTAAAGAAGCTCTTCGGGATGGTCATGATGAGTCCGAGGTTCGAAAGGCGCTCTCGTATGTTAGCAATTCCTGGAAGGAGTTTGATGCTACTTTTCGGCCTTTTCTTGATGAATGCTACAAGCGGATGCAGTTTCTTGGGCAGCAAACAAAGCTTCGTTGGTGTGAGTATCTTTTACCTAACCATGTAACAATTCCTTCTGACGTTGACATAACCAGTCTCTCTTATGCTTCACTCTCACTTGAGTATATTGATGGTACTGGATACGATAGAAGTCGCAGATCGGTATGACCTGCTCGCTGATCTCAAAGACGCCAGCATTGAAGCAGAGAATACAGTCATGAATGCACTGGCGTTTGGTCTTCATAATACCATCACCTTGAGACGGACCATCGACTCACCTTGTGGAAGTGAAACGATACGCAGTGTTACATTTACTGTTCCGCTTCTTGCCTTTGACCCTTATCCGCATCATATAGTCGCTTCGGTGCAACTTATGCGGAAAGCCATTGATCGGGACTATAGGAATAAAAATATTACCCAAGATCTGTACGATAGTTTGAACGCAACTCTGGAATCTGCGTTGAAACACCTTCCCCAGAGCTCAAAGTCAATCCAGGCAGCTCGACAAAAGTTTTCGGCAGCGCCTGATGATGAGATACTCGAGGATACTCAAGTTCCGTATAGGGAGTTGCCGGCGCTGTTACACGGCTAGAGCGATGTCGATATTAGGTTCATTATATTAATACAATTAATAAACGTACACGATAAAACAGTTGTTCTATCTATCTTGAAGACTGACTCCTCGGATATGCAGCGATTACTCCTATGCTTGAGCGACAACGTTTGGTGCCTCCAGTGCCTCAGGTGCCGCGCTCGAGTCCAGCGTGACGCCATTAGATTGAGGAGGATAAAAGCCACCATGGGGAGATTTCGCGCCAAGCTTACCTTTGTCGATATACTCGCGACGCAAAAAGTCCACCGTATCAGTAGATAGCCCACGCTCCTTGATGTAATGGTCTTCGATGAGGGCAACAGTGTCCAACCCAATGACTGCAACATGTTAGTGAAAACTCATGCCACAGGGAGAGAATACACACCATCCATAAATCTACAAGGTCCTCCCCAAGCCTTTGTCAATTCTAAAGACAGAGTGTCGATTTCCTCTGGCGTAGACACTCCTTCAGCGAGAATAGCTAGCGTCTCCCTTTTTATCGCGGCCCAGAGTCTGTTGAAGATGAACCCTGTGCATTCTTTTCTCGCGAAAAATGGCTTTGTACCCACTTCCCTCTGTCTATCCATGAGAAAAGGGAAGATGTCTGGGTCCGTAAAGCCATCTGTCATCAGCTCACAGACCATGTTCAGGGGAGGCATGTAGTAATGCGTGTTCAGGACTCGCGACTTTGTCTCGTCCTTGAGCTTCCCAAGCATTTCGGAAGATTTATATGACGACGAGTTGCTGCCCAAGATGGCATCCTGAGGGGCATGTGTTTCGAGTTCTGAAAAGGTGTCTATTTTGAGCTGAATCTTTTCAGGAACTGCCTCGATGACTAGCCATGCATTTTGGACTGCCACGGCAAGGTCTTGGGATACTCTGACGGTTCCAACGGGCTTTTTTCCAGCACCAGGATAACTTTCAGCGTTCTCTTTGATGTAATCGAGACAGGGCTCATGCTGGTTCTGATCTGGCTCCCGAATCTGGACGTCATATCCACCAGATGCCCAAATGCAAGCTAAAAGGTTAGCCTGAACTATCAACTTCTCTCACATTTACGAACCGATGCGCCTTCCCAGTACACCGCCTCCTAAGACGGCAACTGGCCGGGTAGAATAGTTTTCTGGCAACATATTTGTTGGTATGGGAGGTATAGTGAATGAGACGAAGAAACACAACGCAAAAGATGTAGATGGTGGGCAGGAGACGAGAGGAGTGAATATATTGGGAATAAAAGTGAAGTTTCAGAGGTCGACAAATATATAAGGCACGGCCTAGGGATGAGAGGGTATTTCGGCCATCTCCCGAGTGTTATTTAACGGTGAAGAGGCAATGAAATCGAGACTGCGGGCCACCCTAGTTGATGGCGACGGCAAGGTAACATTTAGGCTTCTCATGGCTTTGAGACTAAACGAAGGATTCTAGGGTGCGGGGAAATCGCCTGGAGCAAGGAGTCACGCTACCTTGACTCTGGGGTTTGCCAGAAAATTGCAAGGGCTGTGGCAATGAGTCTCGAATCATGTGTGATGGCTAGGGAGAGACTCGGTTGGAATGATCTGAAGTGGAGTGGTTGTTATACTCCGGAAGAGATGTAGGAGTCCCGTCGCTGTAAGAAATCGGAACCGATGACCCCAAATTTGGGCTTTATACTGCAAATGTCGACTGCCGGGGCCCCAGTTTAACCTCGCCGGAGCGTTTCCGACCTCGACTAGCAGGGATTATCGGATCCGACGAGTTGCCTCGATGGGAATATCTAGTGCAGTTGATACGCGAATCCAACACTGATAGTTTGTTTAGAGGCTTAGTATGTCGGGATGGCGTGTAACTTTTCCCCTCCCTCATTCTTATCTTTTTCTTTTTGTACGTAGCTTTGCTGACACTAGAGTTGGGATTTGTTGGCAAATCAATAGTCGATTTCGGCACTCAGCTCAGGTCGCTTAAACGGCTCTTGTTTACAATCCTGACTGGTTGCTCAGACGAGAATAAAGCAAGCGACTGTGGTTTATATGCAGTTGTATTCAAAGGAAACGTCTATTCTAGTTATTTCAGCAATTTGCACGCTTATGCAGTGTTCTATCTTGTTAGTTCTATCAGTCAATATTAAAATGCAACGTAAAGGTCTTCATCGACCAATCTTGCGCAGTTCCAGCCAGCGCAACGGAGGGAATACAATCATGGCCCACGAAGACCCAACCCAGATGCCAAGATCAGCGCCGGTCGGACTGGCCAGCTTGGCAATGGGCCCAACGTAGTAGACTTGGTACATGCATAAGATGGCTCCAACCCATCCGATGAGAAACGCCGTCAGTGCAGCAAGACCAAGAGGCAGCCGTGAGGGATCCGACCACGCAGTCCAGTCAAAGCCGCGAGTTCTACGGAAAATCAGGTGCTCTTCCAGAGTGATGACGATGAAGATGGTCACCCAGTAGCCCATGAGCGCCAGAAAGTTCTCAAAGATGTCGTAGAGGTAGTTGCGGCCTCCCAGAGCACACGCGGTGTAGATGATGGCGCCGACACACGACAGGATCCATCGCGGGATTCGGGCGCCGTATCGGCCAAGCACCTGGAAGCACAAGGCTGCGGAATACGTGCCGGGGATGTTGTTTGCGACGAGGCCGAGGGCAACGAGGACGCCGAGAAACTTTCCGAAACCCCCCAGGCCTTGGTATCCTTCGAGAATGAGAGCTCCCGAAGACACTTCGTTGGCAGCGCTCCACGATGGCTGGGTAAAGGTCCCGGACGCAAGACCAACGCCTAGGAGGTAGGCGAAACTCATGGCAAGGCCCACGCCGGCGGCCGTCATGGCGAATGTCTTCCACTTTTTGGTGGTTTCGGGGTAGTAGACGTAAAAGTCTGCTGCGGCAGGGGCCCAGGCAATCGACGAAGAGAGGCAGAGCGAGAAGAAGGAGAGGCGGTTGCCCCTGATGGTTGATGGGCTTCCAACTGACTGGATCGAGGTGTCGAATTTGGGGCCCGCGGAACCGACCAGGATGAATGCTGCAATGAGTTGCGGAACCCAGGCCCATCTAGTGTTGTCAGTCTGGAGAATAACGGGGGGGATGTTGTTTTCCTACCTTTCGTATGTTTGAAAGGTCGACATGCCAAAGACGACAATCACCCACGAGATGACGGCGATGATGATGATGCCGACGATGACGGTCAGTCTGCCATCAGCTACGGCCGACAGGATCTGGCCTCCTACGAGACAGTCAATCATGCCGTATCCGAGCATGATGACAATGTTTAAGATGGTGCAGATCTTGCTGGGCCAGTAGCCCATGAAATATCTCGCCACGACCTAGCAAACCATCAGAGCTGCAAACAGACATCTTATCCAAGTTGTACACGCGAAGGCCAGAGACTCAAAGAGTTGAAAAGAAAGAGAAAGCAAAAGAGAAAGCAGCCAAAAGCCGTCATACCATTGTTCGATTCCCGCTGACAGGGCCAAACGTGCTGATATAGGCCACGCCAATGGCCCCCAGCACAGCGCCAAAAGTCGCGCATAGCGCCGCGTCCGTAAAGCCGAGCGAATAGTCCAGCGGCCCCAGCATGCCAAGAGCCATGTTGTTGGCCGTGATGTTGGTGCTGAACCACAGCATCGTCATCTGCAGGTAGTTGGAGGCGCCCACTTTGCTGAGCCGCTCCGTCTCCGGCACCCGCTCGATGCCGCGGGACTCAAAGTGCTTGGAGTTGAGGATTCGCTGGTTGGCGCGCGCAAAGAAGCCGGTGGTGGAAGCCTCTTCGTCGGAGATTTGGCCCTCCAGCGCCGGCTCGGCTGCGGTGTCGTTGTCGTGCTTCTCCATTGTGTTGGAGTTGTCAGAGACTCATTTGCAAAACAAAACAGAACAGAACAGAAAGAAAGAAAAGGGGGCGACGGTGAGGTTTGTTACACAGCCTCGCATGGAGTCACAGTTGAAGATGGATTGATGGGAAAAATCTCTTATCCGCGCACGCGAGCAATGGCAATCAGGCCCACTAAAAGACTCGAGTTGCGGATTTCAACTAGGCTGTACGACTCAGCAAGGCTGTCGCAAAGAGTCTCAGAATATTATAAGCGCGTATGCGGGATAGTACAGTTGGGACCGCGATCAAGTGCTGCTTGCGCCTAGGATAGAGAGAACAGTCATGTATCCGATGATGTTGCTAATCTGCGCCATCAGATACTATAGAACTATTTACTCTAACGCATTGTTCTATATCGAGATGCTGCAACATGCACAACAGAGCTGGACTGGTTCGCCACGCGATCGATTAGTAAGTCATCAATTGATATAACTGAGACAAAAGAACGCAAGACAGCCGTTGAAAGATACAAAAACTAGAGGCTGAATATGCTTGACATTGTGTGGCTGGTACTCTTTGGTTCGGCTGACTGAATTTTAGTTCGCTATAATCCAACCCGACTCGAATAGGTTCCCTCACTGTTTCCGATAAGAAAGAAATTGGCAGGGCCTCCTCTCACCTGTATCAATCCTACATGGGCTTTTGGGGTGTTTATTAGCAGCTCTTGTTCATTTCAACTCTCATTGTATTTTATCAGTGAAGGAACAGCGCATGTCTCAGTTCTCCGTGGCGAAAAATAAATGGGGAGGGCAACTTTTTCGGATTTCGGCATCAGCCATGCCGAGTCCCGAGAAGCGATCAGCGTTCCATAATACGCGTTGCGCACTTTACTCTAAAACTGCCATTGTTGTTATTTGTGTACGCATTTCCTTGAGCCGCTTGACTTTTTCTAGTTGGAATGTTTAGCGTTTGGGCTGAGTTACCTTCAAGTCTGGCTCATTCAGAGCTTCTGATGACATTGTACCTTTTGGTTGTACTCTTGTAAAGCTACTGGACGTGTGAAAATTGTAGCATCGATACCTGTTCATCCCTTGGATCAGTATATTTTATCATCACCTGGACATTTCATTGCCGCCTTGGAAAATGTCAATATCCAAGAATTGGGAAATTGGTATACTTGCATGTACCAGAGCTTGGTATGTCCAGTGCAGAGCAACAAGTGGCCTTTCTAAAGAGATACCGCCTATAACCTCTGGGCCACATAGTTTATAGTATTCCAATACCCCAGCGCTGGACTCGCACCCTTATATTTGCCTTGTTTACTGGACTTGTCATTTTCTGCTTTCCTCCTACCTCTGAGGACTATGCAGATACCAGGTTGCCTCCATGACTTTCGATATAGTGTCTACATCTGATAGCTTCTTCGTTCCCATTACCCAGTGTGCCAACTCTGTAACCGCCAAGTTAAACATTGTATTAGTCAAATTTCGGACTTACCTCTCGTGATGCTCTCGTCTCGGTGTATCTGATCGCGGCTGGCGTACGACTTGGTCACCCCATGCTTGTGCAAGCGCTACAGCAGTGATAATCCGGCGTTATCTCCAAGGCCAGAGTATTTGTAAAGATGAGAGAAATAGCGTATCGTCATATCTTTATTGTCCGCGGGATTCTAGTAGGTGATTAGTGAGACGTGACACTAGTTTGTTCATAGAAAAAGGCTCTGGACCAAATAGGCAAATACTTGAAGGGATGCGACTGCATATCAACGAGCCCATCGGGCAAAGCAACCACATCAGCCGTCTTAGTCCCGTACGGATGTTTCCGTCCTGATTTTATATGGATACTTTCGTCATTCTGGTTCCGCTGACCCAAGGATATTAGCAAGCTGCAATTGTATTAGGCGTGGCATTCATCGTTGCAAATTCCCCATGCGGTAGGCCGTGAATTCTCGTGAATGGCTACGTGGACTCGATTACTAAATTTGCATGAGCCTATTGTTAAAGTCGTAAAAATTGAATAATAGGTTCAAAAGATGTTATACATGCAAGATTTCGTCATCAGTGCTACTACTATGTCTATACGGTTACGCTTATTCGTATTCTATCGGGAATCCCATGGCAAGCATGTACTACCGCCCTGTTCAAGCTTTTAGGGCTAGTAGTATCTAAGTGCTCGTGAGAGTTAGATCATTCAACATCAATATGGAAGAAGGCTTCCCATGCAATCTCTCTTGACATATCTCGTAATACAAAGCCTAAGGAAGGTCAGATTGAAGCAATACGCACGGTAGTTGAATGGATCAATTCGTCTTTACTTTCGACAACAGTGGCCTCTTATCACGGAAGTTTCTTTCAGTTCTTCCAGCTAACATGATGCACACCAAGTACTGGACAGGAGCCTCTGCGTCGGAAAGGGTCTGAGGCGAAAATCTTTCCATCTTTCCACTTAGCTGTCCGCCATATGCTATTCAATCCATCTTTATCAGCAAATACGTAGAGTGACTAGGCCGAATCATCTAAAACAGAACAAATTACATGACCGCCATGTGTTATGGCATAAATCAAATTGTTCATGTTTGGCGATGCTCCGGAATGATCCCGAGTGGCGTCATAGCGAATCACGGTATTTTGCACAGAAACGACGACTTCTTTACACTGGTTACCGAAACAGTCGTTAGCTGCTGATTAATTGCCAGTTATTGGCTTCTTGGTTGGCACTATCGTGTGTCTCCTTGTAGTTAGAGTTTAGAAGCCGACTAATCTAGCGTTTTCTGCGTATCCAGTCGCCCTGTCCAGGCAAAGCTTGTATGGAAAGCTCTTTGCAGCCTTCAACTAATCTTATTTCGGCAAATAGAGTCCAACACTTTTTCCTATGGGAGCTGAAAAAGCATACAACACTAGTAGCTGTAAAACACGCTTGTGGCAGTTTGACCTTCATACGCGCCGTTACTAGTCGAATAAAGCATCGTCTGGACTATACTAGCAACTCATAAAGATAACTTGCGATATCGCTTACTTATTTGATAGAATGAGTCGAGGTGCTTCATACATTATTTATTGCTTCTTCTCCCTTTCCTTAAAAGCACAATTTTGAGCGTCGATATATCGTTGGCTTCGATTTCTTCTACCAAACATCTTTCGCAGAACTAGCTGATCCAGCCAGTTATAGTAGTTGTTTAGGTTAAATGGATATACATGTATTCAACATTGTTCTTTAGCCCATCTGCAATATTTTTTAATAAATTCATGGCATAGAACAGCGCAGAACATCCCATTACGTAGCATCTCAGCTATGGCAGCATGAAGCTTTCCTGCCAGCCTAAAGCTAACAAGACTTCCGAAAGAGCATGGATGACAACGCCCAGCTAGTAGCACTCCAAATAAAAGCCGTCAACTTTGGGAACTAGAAGAAATTTACAAGGCCCAAGTGGTCAACTAGCAACTGTGGGAGATCAGCCGGGATAGAGCTTCTCCACACAAACGCCAGATTATTAAGATGGCATATTCCGAATGTGGCTACAAGATGTTTCTTAATCCAGCTACAGGTGTTCGCTGCTATGCTTACATTTTTCTGAGTGCTGACAATGCATTTTCATCTCCCACATCATTAATAATTCGACAGGTTTGTAACTGACACTTTCATATAAATGCATAGGTTGACATCGTCAAAGATGCAATTCAATAACCATCTCAGCCTACGATCTCTTGAGCTGTCAAAGCCTCACTAGCCTCTAGCAGTTTTAGTAGTACCTTGTACTAAAAGTTGACTCCTGGCCACAAGGCTTTTGCATTGGCCCGTTTCAAAACGTCAACAACAATTATACAAACTACAACAAGACCTCACACCCACCAAATGGCAGACTTCTTTCGCGACACGACAATTGGACAGACGGTCCGTCTCCTATCTGGAAAGAGACTGTTCCTTCATCCCGAAGAGAAGCCAGGATTCGTCCTGCCTCCCGAGTACCAGCTCTCACTCAATAATGAAGAAAAGCTTGCTGCAAGAGGATCCAGTCCCGCATCCACATTGCAGAATAGCGATGCCGATGTCGAGGCTCACAGAAGCTCAGTGGACGCCGCTGGCATTGAACTTTACAAGACAAAGTCGGTCCCAATCGCCCCGGTAAAGACTTCCGATGGCACTATTCTCGTCGACTAGTACTCTACCGACGATCCTGCAAATCCCCAGAACTGGTCCACCGGGAGGAGAGCATGGGTCGTCATTGTCATGAGCTTATACACCATGATTGCATACATGGCTGGTTCGCTCTACGCAACTTCAGAGGCTGGTGTTCAGAAACACTTTGGCGTGGGAAACCAAACTGTACTCCTCGGTCTCTCAATGTTTGTTCTGGCATATGGTGTTGGGCCCCTGTTCTTTGGTCCCATTACAGAGATTCCGGCTGTCGGTAGAGGTTGGGTGTATTCGCTCTCGTTCATTGTCACCTTTGCCCTCAGCTTTCCTACCGCTACCGTCAACAGCTTTGATGGATTGATTGCCCTGCGATTTTTCCAGGGCTTCTTTGGCAGTGTTGGTATTGCTATTGGCGGTGCCAGTGTCGGAGATGTCGTCCCCTTTCTGTATTTCCCGTATGGTCTGGTGGCGTGGATCTTGGCCTTTTGGTGGGCTCCTCCTATCGGGTACGTTGACAATTCACCCTCCTTCGATGGCAATAGTTACTGACTAACTTCTACAGAACCGTGAGCGGTGGCTACGCTGCTATGGCACATGGCTGGCGATGGCCTATGTGGTTGATCACCTGGTGGTCAGCGCCCATGTTGCTGATGCTTCTATTCCTTACGCCAGAGACATCCCCTTCCAATATCTTGCTCAGACGTGCGCAGCGCCTTCGAGCCCTTACCAGCGATTCACGACTCCAGTCTCAGGGTGAACTTGACCAACGTGGCATGACTGCTGCAAGCATTGTGATGGAGACTCTCATCCGACCCTTTGAGATTGCCATCAAGGATCCCGCTGTTGCCTATGTCCACTTGTATACCGCCTTCTTCTACGGCGTCTTCTTCTGCTTCTTTGAAGTCTTTCCTCTCGTCTTCATCCCCGTCTACGGCTTCAACCTTGGAGAAATCGGCCTGGTCTTCCAGTGCTGCGGTATTGGCGCCACAATTGGCACAGTCTTCTACTTCCTCTTCCTGCGCTATTACATGATTCCCGATAACGTCAAGAACGGCTTCGACAACCACGAGCAGCGTCTGATTCCTGCTCTTGCTGGTTCTGTTCTGACTCCCATCGGCCTCTTCATCTTTGCCTGGACTCATTATGCCCATATCCACTGGATTGCTCCAATGATTGGCGTTGTCACGTTCTGCGTTGGAATGTTCTGGATCATCATGGCGCTCTTTACCTATGTGCCAGTTTCGTATACGCAGTACACGGCTTCCATCTACACATCCAACGGCATTGCTAGATCCATAATTGCGTGCTCGGCAGTCCACATTGCACGGCCTCTGTTTATCAATGTCGGAACTCACAAAGGTGTGACTATCCTTGCGTGTCTGAATGTGCTTGGAATTCCGGCGACATGGTACATTTACAAGAAGGGTGCTCAGCTTCGAGCCAAGTCCAAGTTTGCCCAGGGCTAATGGTACTGAAGGTATATATAGAAGAAAAGGAGAGAAGTATTAGCATTGCAAGGAAAAGGCGAGGCGGCTTTATGAAGTATTTCAAGCGATTGCTTATACAAATACTACTATTATAATAAGCTCAATCTTGATTAAATAAATAAAACTATTATTTAAAAAAAGAATTTAGTTTTAAAAGCTATAGTTTTTATATTACTTTATGAGTCAAAAAGCCCTTAGGTATTACCTTTTTCTTTTAGGAAAAAGAAGAAGAATAGTATTGAACTATAGGCTTTTATCTTGGTACAATACTCTTTATAAAATCCTTAATATCCAAGCTAGGCTCACCCTTGTCTGTTTTTTCCGGGAACTTTTCATCTAAGCTTACCCATATATCGTTTGTTTTTGAGCCCTGCCTATTGCCACTTAAAATGTTAAAGATTGTATTCATGCCTTCCTTTGATTTGGCATGATTGAGTCGATCTTTCTTCAATGACTCTTCTACCTCGTCCTTGATATGCATATGTGCGCTAAGTGCAAAAAGGACAAGACCAGCCAGGCCGGCAGCAAATGCAGTTGCAATAGAACTACCGCTCACGTCTTTGATCCGATTATCAACATCGGGCAGCGAGATGTCCTTGCCAGGCAGTATGAAATTAGATCCTGTTCGGCTGTGCTGAGCTTTGTCTCCCCACTTAGTTGCAGAACCGATTTTAAACACATCAGAGAGGCCACAGGGATAGTAGTCATCAATGTTGACACCTTCCTCATCGTTAAGGGAGGCAAACAAGAGAATACCATGGGCTTTTGCTTTCGAGATAGTTTCCTTGAACGTTGCGATCTCTTCGGTACTGCAATCTCCGCCTTTAGCCTTGAACGACCAGCTCATTGATATAATGTCAACGCCCATCTCCTTGGCCCAATTTATAGCCTGCTCAGTATTAGTATATATGCTTTGTATGTAATGGAGCTTGGATCTCGCACTTTGATTGCAGATTCGAGAGTGAACTCTTGCGTGTCCGAGTCGTCCATTCTTGCGACATACAGCCTTGCCATGGGGCATACTTTCTGTATGCAAATGGCCATTTGGGTTCCGTGAACTGGTGGGCGGGCATCCCACTCCTGGAACTCGGCATCCCATGTTTGCGCGTGTGGAATAGCCCGTTTCCCACGGCAAAAGGATTGGCCCCGCTCGATGGCACGTACTTCGGAGTTTTCTCTATCCACCCCTTTGTCGATAAGCGCAATTTTTACTACTTCCTCAATGGGCACTTTTTTGAAGGTGAGAAGCAAGTCAATCATCTCTTGCATCTTGCGAATCCAAACCGGTCTGTAATTCATGTTAAAAACGTGATTATAGAAGGCCTCATTGGAGACCGCTACTTACTCAGAGGCAATAGGATCACTGGCCGAGCCCTTTATGCCCAAGTCTTGTGAGGCCGACAAGTGCTGAGCTGATTCTTTTGGTACTCGTAGTTTGATCTTTTCTTTTCTGATATCTTTTTGCCGCCGCTTCCAAAACTTCTCTTGAAAATCTTGGAATGCTTCTTGACAGACCGTTTCAGTTTCCATTGACTGTCGCGAAAGTTAGCTAGAAGAATAGCTGCATTAATCAGAGTCCAACCTTTTCGGCTAATACGATAGTGATTGATTCAATCTAAAATCTGTTTAAGCTTCTGATACTCAGAGTGCCATGAGTTTTTATCTGGCCAAGACCATGATGGACTTACCTTCTCGAGCTGGGCCAAACCCCTCTTACAGGCCCAACTTTGCATTACAGCTATGTTCCCACTCCAGTATAGGTAAAGCTCTCTGGTATTCACCGCGCCCTTGAGAATTGTCTCGCTGCTGATGTCATACTTTCTCCAGTCCCATATTTCGATGTCAAACGGCTTCAACATGGTGTAAATAGCCTCATCTGTATGTGGCACTTTGCCCTGCTCACGGTCTTCGACCGAGACTCTGAAAATCTTCTTGACCTTCTTCTCCCCCAGCCATTGAAATATAGCCACATGCGGGTTGCGTTCCTCTTCCTTCTTCTTCTCGTGATCTATGGTCGGATTATTGGAGGTCGTATCGCTCTCGGTGTCAACCTTCGATTCTTGCGCGTGGTATTGCGGAAGGCTCACATACTCGAGTGCACTGTCTAATTGCACCTTGACCTTTTGTGCTCTTTCATCCATGTACTTCTTGCCTGATCCAATCACCTTGGCAAGATCGAGGTGAATCTCCGGTGCTATCAAACAACTCGTCATCCATCTATGTCCTATCCACTAACATGAAAATGAAATCACGCATCTCACTCACCATCAGCCAGCTTTTCGTGGAGATACTTCTGCTTCTCGGTTTTGGTGAGACTGCTGCGAATACAAACGTGTTTAAAAAGGCAATCGACGCTTTCCATTGCTCTCTTCCGTTTCTCATTGTTGCCAGTGTTAAGAATATCTTTAAGAAGACGATAAGGGGTCTTGGGAGGGGCCGTTTGCCTGGCATCCTTGGAACGCTCTTTGATGTAGATTGAATCCGGGCAACGGAGGACGAGCATCTCTATGACCTGTGACAAGCGTACATAGTCAATGTCAAGATGCTTAAAAAGTTCAATTGCCCGGTGAAGCGGCGTGCGACCGTCGCTGTCAAAGAAACAAAGTAAGTTTCTCTTTGTACTCATGTCTGGGCATAGTCTAATTAGGCTCAAAAAGCTCTTGTGGAAGCCCTCCATCTCCTCCTTGGTTCTTGTTTCCATAAAAGCCGTCTGGTCTTCGAGAGCAATATGAAGCCAAGTCTCATAGCTATCTTTGTGCTTTTCAGGAATCTCGACGGCTTTTGACAGCTGGGCTCGGTATTCGCGGGCCCGTGAGATAAAATTTTCCTTCTCGACAAGCTCATGCAGGCATTGGCCTACCAATTTTTGCTCGTGAAGCTCCGTCAGAAGGAGTCTCGGAAAATAAATCTGAGAAAGTGCACAAGTCTGAGGAGAAGTGGAAATTCCGCTACCATGGTTTGGACATGTGTCTTGGAGCGCTCGTAGGTCTTCATCAGAAACAACCAGGCTGATAATGTCAAAAGCCAGGGTTTTGCACTTCTTGAGCGTCTTCTCGAATAATCTCGCTTGATTCCCTTCGTCAGCCGATTGACAGATAAGCTGAGGGTGCTTCATCACTAGACACTGCACAAATTCACGAACTCGGCTCGGCGGCTCTTGAACCAAGGTGGGGTTGTCTTTGGCCTCCTCGGCTAGACGATTCAAGATCTGATCAAGAAGATTCAAACCCCCAAAGCCCTGGGATGAGAGAACCTTGGGGTCTTTAGTGTAGTATTTCTCGTAAATGTCTAGCGCAGTGCTAGGCTGGCTGCCGTCAATCCCATCAAACAACTCATCGGCTAGTTTTTCATGAGTTTTGGTCCGTAAACGAAGTATTTGGACCCTGCTGACTGGAGCTGAGACTTTCTCTTCTGAATTTTGATCTTTTTCGTTCTTCTTTTCGTTCTTCTTTTCGTTCTTCTTGTCGATTCCTGTAAGCTGAGTTGCCCCTTTTCCGTCGTCCTTTGGATACGCCTCTGCCCGCCTTTTGGAATCCATCTGCCTTTCAGGTACACTGGAAGAGTTGAGACGATGAATAGTGAAGGCTAGCTCGCGGGTGTCTGTCGAGTGCCAGGACACTAAGCCTTCCATCTTCCGAGCGAATGTTCACCGACTACCTAGATGACTACCACGGATAGTTGGAAAGCAGAAGAGACGGGTAACGGTAGTGCATACAAGACGTGTTCAATTTCCAAAGCACTATTGAATGGGCGAAAAGTCCAAGCATGCAGATTTTGAAGGATGCTCGGTAACCTTTCGGTAATGGGCGCGATGGTTTCTATTTTCAGACGTGTTTGATGCCTGGGGGGTTTACAGCTGTTACCAATCCTACCCTTGTCAATTTCCAGCCGCACCTCCAAGAGGTCGGTCACAAGGCTTTGACAAATCCCAGTCTAGAAACGCTACATTCCTGTGGCCGTCGTTGGCAAGCGACCCACCAATCAATATATTTGTATTTAACCCTTTTCATTGTACTCCGAAATGAGCTATTTCTTTGCAAAGCTCTTGATCATCAGGGACATTCTCTACCAATTCTCTGATTCTCTCCAAGTCTAGGGATCAGATATCAAATATGGATCACGACGAGGACCAAAGCTTCACAATCCCCGTGCAGCTTCGATTGGAAAGGAGCGATGCCAACATGCACACGCTGCAAGATGGCGATGAGGATAACCGTAAGAATATCACCGATGATTCTACGGACGGATTCCTTATCAAAATCACGCTAGACAAAGTCATTCATGCGGAACCCCCGAGCCTGCTGACATTCATCGGCCTCAAATTCCGCTTCGAGGGCCTCGACGATAGGCGCCGATTTCGCTACGTTGAAGTAAACATTCGGTTTGAGGACAACACCGATCCTCTCACCAGCCTCGACCCAGAGGTGGTGGAGCTGTGGCCCAATGGCCCCCACGTGTGGAAGCAGACCGATATCAACACGGAGGTCAACATCAGCGGCGAAGGGACTTTGCAGGGTGGGCCAAGCTATGCAGGCGGTTCAGCAAAGGGAACGTGGGCCAAGAGGTCTACTTACGGCTTTACGGACCAGGCCACTTTTTCCGGCGCAACCCGGCTGCTGGAGAAGAAGGTGGGGAGCGACAACGGCGTCTTTTTGAGACTCAACGAGAGCCGCCACGGAAGGTCAGGGGTGGTTAAACAGATCCACACCGGAATCCTTCTGCAACGCAAAGAGGGCACAGGAGCATTCCGGGCCTATTTCGACATTGAAGCCAAGGCTGATATGAGATTTTCCTGGGCGAACGGGCTGAAGAAGCTGAGGGGTGTTGATCACAGAACTGATCCGGTCAAATTTATGCCAGGCAAAAACTTCCTTGGCTGGCAGGACGTGGCAGGTATCACGAAGGATCAGCCTGATGCCGCAATGGTACAGAGATATGGCGACGCCATGGCTTGGATTGAGCTCGACCTCGTAAAGCAGTATGAGAGGAAAGAGGGTGGGTGGCAGCAGGCTGAGATGCAACGTCCGGGTGGCAAACAAGGCATACTGTAGGGAAAGAAGCCGCCGAGAGGGGTAGAACAGCATGCAGAGCGGTTTCTTTTCCGTTAGCTTGCTCTTTCAGCTAGCCACTAGATATGCAGTAAATAAATGATAGTACGTGAATGGCATGAGCTGGCTGATAATCCTGACCAACACCCTGCGGGTTATGCCGCAGACAGAATCAGCCAAACCAATGAGAGAGCCCTGAGGCTGAATAACCCCTCCCTCAGATTCAGGCTGCAATGCACGCGACTGCCTTTATTGTTGTACAAGGAGGGTTAATGGAGTATGGAGCTACTGAACAATTGGCTTTGTTCTCGCCTTTTTCGTGCGCGGTGCCGTCAGACCATTCACAGAAATCCTGGGCGTTGCTTGCGCATAACTTGGCCCTAATACTATTGAGAGAAATTGCTTAAACTGATTCTCTTCTTTAGTGTGTTTTCATGACGTATAATGTTAGTAATTGTCAAATCTTAGCCCTCCTCTAGCATCCCAAAGGGAGAAAACAAGACCCGTAACTGTACTTGTTCCTGCATGCAGTATTTGTATCTTAAGGCCAATATCGACAGTGGCCTTAACATTTGTTTGTATTCTTTTCAGCACTAAACCTTGTCCCATCCAAATCTTGAAAGTACGGACGAGAGTATCATCGTTTGGTCATCGCATATAAAGCAAAAAAAAAAAAAAAACTACTCCTATAATTTCCAGGACTCGATAACCGTATATATCTTGCTTGCGTCGCAAAATGGCACATAATCCAACACGGGCTCTGACTCAGCTTAGTCCGGAAGGTTCACCAACTGTCTTCGAGTAAGTATCAGCCAGTGATGTGATCCCTGCATACTTAGTGAGAAGTTTGAATACTCATTGTGACAGCATCTTTCTTGTCGGTTTTTCGTCTGATGGTAGCCAAAAGGAAACAAAGCCAGAGTTTAACGAGGCTGTATCAAAGGATCTTGCTTTTGATGAGATCAGACCAAAAGATTGGACTCGAATTGTCCCGCAGATAATCCCGGAGGCCGGAGTGTACGATTTCGCGCTCTTCCAAGAGCGACAAGATCCAGAGGTGCAAACACTCGAGGGAGCTGGAGTTGCAGCTCTCTCACAGCTATGGAAAAAAAGATTCATTTGCGAAGCAGCCGACCTGGACACCGAAGCACGGCTGCTTCTGGATTGTATCAAGGACAGATGTGAGAAACGCCATGTGCTTCTGGCGGGCTGTGGGCTCGGGGGGTTGGTATTGAAGCAGGCAATTATAATCGCCAATAGGAACCCGCGATACTATGATGCCGCTTCGGTAGTTAAACAGTTGGTATTTGTCGCCACACCGCATACAGCGCCTAACTTGGACGCTTGGGAAGAAATTGTCAGTCACGGCTTAGATGCCGCCGAAATCATGATCCGCGGACGAAAGACTCAAATTATCACAGACCTTGCCATATCCATCCAGAAATCTTCGTTCACCTTTCACTGCTTTGCTTCCAGATACAATATTCAAAACTTGCCCCACAGTACAACTATTTTCCAAAACGATGACGCGGAAGAATGTTCTAAACCCGACATAAGCTCGTTTTTACTCTACGCCGATGAAGTTCAGACGCCCTTGCACAAGTCCGACAAAGTCAGCGAAAATGACTTGAGAAGATACGTGTCTTCTCCAGAATTATTAAAACCAGAATGTGATTTGAGCCCTGAGCATTTTGTCGATAGGTAGTTTGGCTAATGAGGGTTCATAGGCACTGAAAACGCCGAGCACGATCTTGAGTCAATGTCTGACTCTGACTTTCTTGATTTTCTTCAGCAGTTGGCTCCTTCAAAGCGGATTTTTCATGAGAATTCGGCTATTCAGCTCTTCCAGCCGGATGTCGAGCTTGAATTGTACGAGGAACATCTCTCAAGGCTAGAGCTTCTCAAGACATTCAGGCAAGGAGCCGTCAATATCACTGGTCCACCGGGCCATGGGAAGACAACTCTGTTGAAGCTTCTCGTGCAACGATTAAAACATCAATACTCAAAAGCAATTACTATTGACTTCTTCTTGGAGTCGTTTGACGCTTCTAGCCGGACATCGAATCAAACACTCAGAAACGTCATTCATCAAATTCTATCCCAACGACCTTACTTGTTCCAGAAGATCCGCCTGCTGTATATACAGCAAAATAAATCAAGAACTTGGACGAACGACATACTCTGGGACATTTTCCAAAGGCTCGTCCGGCATTCTAGCGGATGGAAGATCATCGTGTCCATTAACAACTTTAAAAATTGGAGTTCTGAGCTGCAGTCTGTTTTTGCAAAGCTTGATAAAATCCTTGCTAGTAGCGCGGCCCAATACACCGTGCTCACGACAGGAAGAGGAGAATCGTCGGGCCTTTCTCATGAGCCCGACGAGATAGTAGACTTGGCTGTAGGAGCGGAAGATTCCAGAAAGAAGTTTTTAAAAGCGAAGCTCAAGGTTCTTATCCGGAAAAACCCGTCACTCACAGCCTGCAAAAAAGACATTTTACAGGCTGCAAGCCTTTTCGAAGGCTCATATTCACATACTGAGCGATGCTTAAAGCAGCTCTCTAGGAACTTCACTCTGTCCAGCCCGGATGCAATAGCAGTCACATTGGAAACCTGTGCAAAAGCTGAGGATGATATATCCTTGGAACAAATCGAATGTTTGCTACAAGGGGACTCCCATGTTCTGAATTGGTCTATTAATGTTGTGTCTTGGGTGATGCATTCGGCTCGGCCTCTGCGGATTCAAGAACTTGCAGTTGCCGCTGCGTTGGGTGTTGGCGATAAATCATTAGCAGATCTTGATCGACGGATATCCAGATCGATGGAACATGACATCGACCGGTATCTGGATGTTCTTATACGAGCTGATAGCCAGGTTGCCCACATCTACAGTGCTGCAACGAAGATATTTCTTGCAGAGAAGCTTCAGAAGCATAGCCCTACCAAGGGATTCAAGCTGATTACTCATGCACAATTGGCTATTATGTGTATAGTGTACATATCTCATGCAATATCGGAAAACTGGGACATGTGTAAGGCCCGGCTAGACTGGCAATCCAACAAGTTCCAGTCCGATCAATCCGAGCTGGAGTTTCTGAGCTACGCGGTCCGATATTGGCCATCCCACTATCACCGCCATTATGATCAAGGAGGAAGTAAGCCTACGGTCACAGGACAAGAAGGGGACGAGAGTAAGGAGCTAGAAGATGCGATCACAAAATTTTTGGGCAACACCAATTTACGTCAAAAGTGGTACCAGCTATTTTCGTCAAAACTACAACCTACAAGTGACTCTGATTCACCCAAAGAGGATGAAGAAAAGCTCGAAGAAAAGTCGAACCAGAAAATCACTAGCCTTGAAATAGCTAGTGAACTTGGCCTTACTGATACAGTCAAAAGGATTGTAATGTCCGACAAAGAATTTTCCAAGAGCGAGCCAAGCATTTTGTCGTCAGCTCTTGCGCTATCGGTCAGAAATAAGCATTCAAAGATCATATCAATGTTATTGAAAGACAACGTGCCCCTCTCCTCTGCATTCATTGAGGCCGCTTACACCAACAATATCCAAGCCATGAGGTCTCTGATAGCCCATGGAGTCGAACTCAAGAAAGAAGATCATCTCGGCTCTTTAGCGCTTAGAAAAGCCGCCTCTGCAGAAAGCTTAGATGCAGTTAAGCTCTTACTTAGCGAAGACATTGCTATTACCGAGGCTGACATTGACGGCCGATCTACTATTCATGCCGTAGCTATCGGTGGCTTGGTAGAGATGTTGAAGATAATCTCCAGCCAGGCAGGCTTCGACATCAACGCCAGGGATCGCGAACAAAAAACAGCTCTTATTTTAGCCGTGCAATTTGACCATGTCAAACTCGTCCGCGAGCTGTGCCTGAAAAATGCGGACGTTACGCTGGCTGATTCCCAGGGCAAAACCGCGCTACAATATGCTGTCTCCAAGGACATTGATATCACCAAGGTCCTTCTTGAGTACAATGCCAGTTCTGTGGCAGGTGACAAAAAAGGCCAAACAGCGCTCAACTTGGCGTGCAAACTTGGATCTCTCGAGATTGTGGAAGCCATGGTCAACAGCCTGGAAGATCCAACTTTGCTTGATCTAGTTCATAATGATCAAGCTGCGAAAAGGACACCATTACACATCGCAGCCGAATTTGGGAGTGCAACTATTGTGGAACTCTTCCTTGGCAAAGGTGCCAACTATAAACTCAGAGACGCGTCTGGTAATACGGCTATGCAGCTATCCGCATCTGCAGGGCATCTGGACGTTTTCAAGATCTTGCTGCAGCATTATTGGTCCCACCGCGATGACTTCGGCCTAGAGAATCTTGGACCCGCGGGCGACGGCGCCACGAGCAAGAACGTGGAGGAGCAGGGTGAAAACAGTTCTGCAATGGCAGATATAATAGAATGTAACGAGCTGCTCTGCTGCGCCGTCAGATATGGACAACTCATTGTCATCCGGTACCTCTTGAACTTTATGGACTCTTTCCATCTGCGTATACTCATCGAGCGCTCTACCCTTGACGAAAACCTGCTGAATATTGCCGCCTCGAAAGGATATACCGAGATTGTGAGAATTCTTTTACCAAGGTTTGATCCTAATGTCAAAAATGCCAAAGCGCAAACGCCTCTTCATGTTGCGGTCTCGAACAAACATCGGGACGTCATTCGGTTTCTTCTTGAGAGTGGCGCAGACCCGAATGTGCCGGACTCTGATAGGAAGACCCCATTGCACACTGCAGCTAAAAAGAGACTCTACGAGATTGTCAAAGACTTACTGCGCAGTGGCGGGGATGTCAATGTTCGTACCATCTTAAAGGAGACAGCACTTCATCTAGCAGTCGAGTTTCCAGATATCGTGCTGCTCTTGATAGACGCCAACGCCGATATGTGTGCGAAAGACTACAACGAGGCTACGCCATTGCATCTTGCCGCTCGAGCCAATAATACTGCAACAATCAAGCTGCTTCTTCAATCGAAGGCTGACTTGGACGCTGTAGATGAGAATGGCGAAACTCCTCTTCATTATGCAATTGACTCGAAACGCCTGGAGGCCCTTAGAGAGCTATGGGACGCTGGCCCTCAGTTAAGCCGAGAGTCATACAGGGAAGAACGAGCGCCGTTGCTAAAGGCTTCTGAGACCAAATCCTTCGACCTAGTAAGAATCATCCTAGGAAAGGATCTGCTTGGTAATAGTGGCGGCACGAACGACGTTCCGGATTATGATAACATCGGCACCCGGAGCTCGAAGGAGATGACACTGCTAGACGTGAATGCCGTGACAAGCGACTACAGAACGGCACTACTCATAGCAGTAACGGAACAACAGCTAGATATCGTCAAAGCGCTCCTAAAGCTAAACGCCGATTTGACCCTGAGGGATAGCTCAAACAGAACTCCATTACTGATAGCTGCGAGCCTTGGAAACGCAGAAATATTTGAAGTACTACTTGAACAGGGGGCAGACCTTGACTCTCAGGACGAAGAGGGCAAGACTGCTCTGCATCTCGCCCTGGAAGCAGGCAATTTGGCTTTGACAAAACGGCTAATCGAACTCTTCAAAGACAAATCCTTACTAGATGTGCAAGACTCTTCAGGAAAAACGTCACTATACCAGGCGGCCTACTCAGGAATGAAATTAGTTATCGAGCTCTTATTAGAAGCGGGAGCCGACGTAAACATCCGATCGAAGGCCGGGAAGCTCCCTCTCCATGAGGGTACTGACAATCATGATATTACTCTCTTGTTGGCAGAGGCGAAGTCCGACCTGAATGCAGAAGATGAAGACGGCTGGACACCTTTGATGTTATGTGTGTACTGGGAACATCTAGATGCCATTGAAGTGCTACTAGAGCGGGATCAAAATTTTCAACACCGAGACAAAAGAGGAAGGACGCTGCTACACATTGCTGTAGACTGTGCCAACGCCGGAGTTCTTCAGCGATGTCTGAAACTGGGCTCCATTGATATTGACGCTAAAGACAATGCAGGCAAGACGGCGCTTCATACTGCTGTTGATTGTTCGTGGCGCAGTGCCCTTCAGAACATGTCATCATTGATCGACCGGGGAGCAGCCATAGCGACAGTAGACAACGAGGGCAACACACCTCTCTGGACAACAATCAAGTCAACAAATGTCGAAAAGTGGTCTATGCTAGTATCCAAAGGGGCCAAAGTGGATAAGGAAAAAATCAAAGGACAAACTACTCTAATGAATATCATAAATATCAGCGAGACTCGGATGTCTGAATGGTTATTGGCGCAGATTTCGGACAGCGGCGGGTGCATTTGGACCACAGAAGAGATTTTGGAAGCACTATCGTATATCGCAGTGTCTTCTCTGGACAATGATACCCTGGAAAACAAGCAGACAAGGGCTGGTTTGCTCCTGGATCAGATCAACATGACAACTATAAATGCCGAGCAAGCTTTTATGGCTCTCAGGTACTATTTTGAGATGAATCTGGTCGAGATGAATCTGGTCGAAAAAATACCTAACGCTACACATTTACTCGAAAAAACCTCTAAGACTAAGGATAATGATATGTGGACTATGGACCATTTGCGATACCACATGGCAAAGGCATACTCTTCCTATAGAGACATGCCACCTGCCAAGAAACCAGATGGTAAAACTCGGTTACCGTCTGCTCTACTTGCATCAGTGCTACCAGCTACCGAGAGTATTGATACAAAGCTCTGGGAGGTTACTGCAATATCTGTTACGAGCAAGACAACAGGTAACCCATTTTGACCCCTACTCTCTGTGAACACGTATCAACTGAAAGCTCAACAGATAATGAACGGCGGAGTTTTAGAGCCGATCACCCATTTCCGATCCGAGGGGAAGGCCGCGCGTACTTTGAAGCAGAGGCATCAGCCCTGGAAGACCAGCAACATCCCATATATTTTGTAATCGGTCTTTGCGGGGAATTTGTACATTTAGGCAGCTCTTATCCCGGGATAGGCTTTTACCCTTCTATCGGATTCCACGGCGATGATGGCCGCATCTTCACCGAGGGGCTGCAGACGACAGAGCAAAGGACGGGGCCATTCTCACAGGGCGTCAAGATTGGCTGTGGCATCGACTGGAACGAAGAAAGCATCTTCTTTACTCGAAACGGAGAGATTATTGGTAAGCTTAAATGCCCGAAATGATTAATACGTAGCATTTAAGGCTAATACCTAATTAACACAGCGAAGATCAAGACGTCCATGATTTATTGGAAGCTTTACCCTGTTGTTACTGCCTTCAGCTCCACAAGAGGTACTATTAATGTTAATTTTTCGGGCAATTTAGATAACCCTTTTTTATATAAGGCTATAGATTAGTAAGTGAAAAAGACAGAAAATAGCAAGATTTGCTTTTGTATAAGTTTTAATTGAAGCTGTATATTTACTAAAAGAATTACTTTTTTTTTATTAATTTTTATTTAATTATTAATTAGATTACTGGATATTTTGATATAGTCAAGGGTAGCTCTGCCGTGTTTACTCCGCATTATGGACCATGCTAAGCTTGGGATGCCGTCAGACATAAACACCTTGGCTCTAATTGGTCTGTGATTCTCTGTCCAGCACAGCTGATGGTCTCTTGTATTTGACTAGTCAATGATCAATTGTATTCCGAAGCATGAGACCCCAATATGGTTCTACAGCTATACTTTAACCTATCACTTACTTCAATCACTGTCGCTGTACGGCGTATTGTCTGCTACAATTCAATGGCGGGGCTGCTTACGTGTGAATGGCATGAAGGCAGTTGATCGAGCTCAATTCCTCTAAACCCTTCTCGTAACCAGCTAAATCCACAAAGCCTCTGTATTTCCATCATGGAGCGCCCGGCACCGCCGGCTGCAGATTTGGAACCGCACACTTCCCGGCTTGAGGTGTCGACTGGACATGGCCAGGAAACGCTTCTTTTCCAGTCTGGACGCTGCGCTGCTGGCCACGCAGTTTCTCTGCGTCGTTGCAAAGCCCTGGATCCGAAGCACAGCCTCTTCCATCTTGTCTGCGCCGAACCACCTTGTTCCCGACTATGTGACCAAATACGGTACGAATCTGCAACAAGCAACTCACAACAGAGGCCGCTGCACAACCCCAATTGGGAACATGTAGGCTAATTCGAAACGAGGAAACAGCGCCGCTTGTATGGCTACACTCGGATGACCCGTTTCGGCCGTCAGACTTGCTCGAACACATTCGTCACACAACTCCGGCAGTCAATTATAGCCTTGTTCCCGACCTGCCGGAACTGAACCTCGATAACCTCGCCCTCCTCGAGAATATTAGCAGTGAAAGAGTCGCTCTGACCTCCAATGACGATGTTACAACTCTACCCGCATGGCTTTATGGCCATAGTCCGGACGAGGCCGGCAGGATCGCAAATGCGACGCCTTGTGTCGTGATACTCGTCGAACAAAGTGCCCGAGACGTTGACGCCTTCTTCTTCTATTTCTACTCATACGATCGAGGCGCGAATATCACGCAGGTGGTGGAACCTTTGAACCGGCTGATAGAAGATACTGAGCACGGCATGCATTTTGGAGATCATGTTGGCGACTGGTTAGTGGTCTTATGCTCCAGCTCGTCTACATGATCAGTCGAGCTAATACTGCTTTGAAGGGAACACAACATGATACGGTTTCGCGATGGCAAGCCCACTGGCATTTATTACAGCCAGCATGCTGGTGGCGCCGCTTATGAGTGGAACGACAACACGCTTTCTATGAAGAGTGGGCGGGTATGTGACTCTGAATCTGACAACTTGTAAATCATGGACTTTACCTAACACAAGTTTATCAGCCTCTTGTGTTTAGCGCATATGGATCGCATGCGAATTACGCCACTTCTGGGTGAGTTGCAGCCTCCACCGCAATATTTTAGACATGTTGCTAAAATTTCTTTTAAGCGATCACATTCACGATTCGGCTCTGATTGACTATTGCGATGCCGGCAAACTGTGGGATCCAGCCCTCTCGGCGTACTTTTATCACCTCGATCCCGCCAGTTTTAAACTAACGCGCCTCTTCACCTCGATATCCAACACCACCGTCGCGTCAAATATGACATCCTTCTTCTACTACACCGGCATCTGGGGCGATGCCCAATATCCGGATTCCGATGATCGACAAAAGACGGTTCCAAAGTTTGGTCTCAAGCGATTTGTATCAGGGCCTCAGGGCCCCATTGTGAAGAATCTCGTACGAAAAGGGCTTATGCCCGACGAGCGTGAAAAGATTACATGGATGCAGTGGGGTGTTGGCATTTTCATGTCGTGGTACCCATGCTGTATACGTGGCTATAGAGTCTGGGTATCTGTGGCCGTGATCATAGGGTTTATAATATTGACCGTGTTTGGGGTAAGACATGGAGTGAAAAAGTACAGGAGGACAAAGGGATACCAAAAAGTAGATACAGAGATTCCGTTACGCGACATGAACCATGGTGAAGACGATGCTGGCTTGCATCGCAACCAATCCGACTAGAAGAATAGAATAAAGAACAATTGCTTGTTTGCCTTTTTTAATACTTGTAAAATGCTAGTAGTACCAGATTTGGGTAAGATATAAAGAGGACGGTTGTCTTTGGGATCTAGTATATTGAGTTCCTGCTCTGCTAGCCAAATATCTTCCTGATGACTATGGACAACTGGAATCTTCTCTGCCACCTTGACTGAACCAATTAATATTATCCAAGGAGCCAAACTGGGCAAAGCCATCCCAGTCACTAATAAAGCCAAAGCTTTCCGAGCCCATTGGCGTCGGCAATCGTTTTGTAGGATTGAGAACGTAGTCGAGCACCTTTTTAATAACGCTCCTGACACCAGATGAAACAGAGCCATTTGGGTGTGAGAGACCCGGCGCGTTCAAAAAGCCCACGAGCAGGCTGAGCTGCTGAATGATGGAAGATCTGGAATATTCCTCGCCGGCAATGAGATCCCCATCAATGGTAATGTCCATGGGATTGGGGTCGACAAGCTCCATGCACAAGACAGCCCCAGCCGGGGCTGCATATCCAATTAACTAGATCGTATCAGACATTGTACCTATACCCTATACGAGAGAACATATGAACTCACCAGGCGTTGGCTCTCTCCTGGAATCTCTGCCCACCTATGCTTGTGAGTCCATAGGCGTAAGGTCAAGACCACCATCTCAAAACTAGTACGCAAGAGGTCGGTTCTAGGACGGCCGTGCTTGAGCAGTAACCGCTCTAGTAAGAAGACGTTGAGTAGGTGGTCGAGTCTCATCTCATGTTTCGAATAGAATGTTTGAGCGTCTGCATCCCCTGATTCTCCGAGCGTAAGATCATAGACAAGATGGGCAGGCAATGTGGTGTATAATCCGAGTTGCTTTCTTTTCAGTGTCCTATAGACTTCATCAGCAATTTTCTGTAGATATTTGCAGCCAAGCATGTGGATCTCTCATACATGATATCTTCCATCTTATAAGTCTCAACGTAGCTGAGGCCGATTTCGAGAATTTCATCTCGTATCAACGCCACCATGGTACGTACGCGGAGAATCGATGCTGAATGCAGCCGACCATCCGTGTCCCATCCGTCATTATCGAGGCGTAAAAGGTGTCTTTGGAAAGTATCCTTATCAGAGAGCAGCACACCATCGTCCAAATCTAGCGGCAATTGTATTGAGCAAAATCTGCGCGTCAACAGAGCGGGCCGGCCGACGAATGCGGCCAAGAACTTGTCTGCTATGAAGATTTGACACACAATACGCCTGCGCGCCTCTGTGGATATTGATGCCATTGGCTTAGACAAAGAAGTTGATGGACCACAGCGGCGATCGACATGAAAGCCAGAAAATGTGAGCATCGCAGCTGTTTCAGCGTGGAATTTCCAATATGGAAGACCTAAGCAAGTTAGTACTCGAATTCCAGGTGATAGATTATTCATCATGGAGTAGTGAAGATACACGCTTACTCGTATCGCCATGCATGCAAGCGTGTAGCACAGAGCGTTTATACAGCAAGAAGAGCATAAGGGATCCGGAACTGCCCCCCACGTTGGCGAGAGTTATGCAAGACGAGCAATATTCCGTGTAATGACCGATGAGCCGTCTCGAATCTGCGGTTGAGGAGGCTTGAAGCTCTCCAAGAGCGGCGTACAGAAACATGATGCCAACCGCCTCCCAGCGCAGTTTCGGCCCCGAGAAGCTTTCCAGCCATTCCAGAACGTCTTCATGATCCTCTTTGAGAATTCTCCTTGTGTTGATGCAGATTGTACCACTCAGCTCACGTAGCTTAGCCAAGTCTGTGCGGTCTCGTAAGTGGGAGCCAAACGTTTCCCAGGTGGTCGCAATCAGTCTTTTGCCAATCATCATCATCCACTCATCATTGGGATTGACATGGACTGGGAATTGAGTTCTGGTTGCGGCTTCTGGCATGGGTATCGCTTGCAGTATTCTAAGGGCGATGCGAGTGGCTGTTTGATCCCTGCCTGCCATATCTTGGATCTCGGCTATAGATGGGGGAATCGTTTCGTCAACCAAAGCTGTGTCCGAGGACGACAATTGCTCGGTGGTGGCTAGAGGATTGTGCACGGCTAAACTCGTCTCAGTCTCCGAGTATGCTGCTGAGAAGCTGGTTGGACCAAAGAAACCCAACGGCCCTCGAGCAGCTGGAGAGCTCCAAAACTTGTCTTCCGGACCGGCATGTCCGCCAGAATGGAGCGAAGCATCTGTAGACTGTAGATCTTTCCTTGATGATGCACGTGCTATTAGTTGTCTGAGATGAAAATCCTCGATTGTCATCTTCTGGCTTGCCGGCGTCTCTTCGTCCGGCGATAGGTAATAACACGTGAATGCTCCGTTGCGTCGCCTACTACAGCGAAGACACACTGGGTAGGTGTGATCGCAGGCCACTTTGCGCCGACGGCATGGCTCACAAGCTTGCGTTTTGCCATTTCGCCGCGTCAAGAGAGGGTTGGCCATGGGAGCATTATTGTTCAATGGTGTATGTCAAGATACAATAGGCATATCAAGTCTGTTTTTAGATAATAGTAGGTCGGTGTAAAGAGGGGTAAAAACCAGTTGAGAACAGCCGCGATAGTTACGTACAGAGTTGTGTTGAAGGTTGTTTGTGGCATTGAAAGAAGTGAGCACCCACTCACGCTACGGCGGTAAGCAGACGAGCTTAAAACGTCCCGTCTTAGTTGGCTAATCGTGCCGTTGATTAGGCATTTTTAGAGGGGCAAGGCGCTTGCTTGTCAGAACCATCGTTTCAATGCTAGAATGCAAGATGCAAGATGCACAATTTAATTTGTAAGAAATGATAGTTGGCAGAGTAAAAGCTTGATCAGACAGAAATGTGAATGGCATGTTACATGAAACGAGATGCCTCAAGTGCGGTGTCTTTGAAGTGCCACTGTATTTACACAAGCTACTGGAAAGGGTAATCATTGCAGAAATCCTCTATACTTGTTATATATATACTGTATTTCAAGTACAATATAGCACAGGAATCCATGTATTCCACTGTTTGGTAGTATATAGTATAAGTCTAGCAGTGTCAATGGCATAAACCTTTATACAAGGCATGCTCACTACATGTATCCACCAACAGCTTTACTATGCCTCTGCTCACTAAAGAGTCATCACAGACCTGAAGCGCACCTTGCCGCTTTCCATCTTCTCAAAGGCATCCTGATATCCCGTCAGAAACGGGAATCTCTCAACGATACACTTGACCCCGTGCGTGTGCGCAAAAGCAATCGCATCCTCGCAATCCTGCTGGTGTCCTGAATTCCAGCCATGGACGCTGGTGCCGTTCATAACCATCGAGGCCGTATCAAACTCGACTTGGCCAAGCGGTGCCAGCACGACGAGCTTCCCTGAAGGTGCCAGACCGGCAACAAGTGGACTGACGGCCTCTCTATTCGGAGCAGTACAAACCATCATGTTGGCGCCTCCGAATTTCTGCAGGGCCGTCACTGCGTCTTCGGCGCTCGTGTCGATGTAATAGTGAGCGCCCAGTTGCGTCGCAAAGTCCTTTTTGTCGCTGCAAGAACTCAAAGCAACGACTGTGTATCCCATCTTGGCCGCGTACTGCAGCGCCAGATGTCCGAGTCCTCCAAGGCCTTGGACAGCAACAAGTCCGCCTTGCATCACGCCCATGTTTCTCATGGCATTGAAGACGGTGACGCCGGCGCATAGAAGAGGAGCAATCTCGGCCGGATCTGCGTCTAGAGGCACTCGAACGGCTGCTTCGGCGCGTAACAGGACATATTCGGCGAAACCTCCGTCAATTGTCACGCCGTTGACTGCGCCGTTGCTGCAAAGCTGAAACATTCCCCGTTGGCATGAACGGCATGATCCGTCGTGGCCTTGTTGCTTGAAGTTAATAGCTGTAATAAGTAAAAGCATCGTTGATAGATGGCGACTAACCTCCATGCCAGGCCGCTCCAACGCGTTCCCCTCCCTTGAAGCGAGTAACTCCCTCGCCTACAGCGACAACGTCTCCAACTGCTTCATGGCCCGGCACGCGAGGAAACAAGTCTCCTAGTAAGCCCAGTTGCACGAAACGGTCGCTGTGGCAGATGCCGCAAGCAAGGACCTTTACCAAGATATAGCCCGGACCGGGTTCTTGGAGCTGTACCTCCTTGAGAGTGAGTTTTGCGCCCTTGGTCTCGAAGAAGGCGGCCTGGTAGGTCTTGGGAAGAATCGCAGAAGACATGCTTAAAGCAGTAATTTTCTATCAAAGCCTTCTTTCTTTTTGAACACGGGAGTTGCGTACAATTGTGTTTATACCTGCTGTTGGATCCAAATACGAAGCAAGTACCTTTAAACAACTGAACACTTCACAAAGACAGGTATATATATTTAAATTTCTCTTAGCTTCCGGAATGCATACATACCTAGGTACTCCTCCGTCATGCTTCGAAATTGGTCATTGTTTTGATCATCAACGCCGAGACTTGCGCCGAGAGCGCCGTTTCAAGCTTTGCATTCATGTTCAAGAGCAAAAGTTGGGAAACAAAGTATAAGAGTCGAGAACCGAGAACCGAGAAAACGGCGTTCTTGCCCCGCTGAAAGTTGGGTCTCAGATCCACGCCTACAGTGCTTCCTTCGTAGCTGGAGATAACGGCGTTGAAAGCGGGTTTGGAGCAGGCCTTGAACAGCATTTACCGTTAATGATATGTTCCGTCGCAAACCTCAGTATTCGTGGATACATCTTGATTTCTAATCTAGTTATTCTGCATATGGAGAGGCGATACTCGAAACTCATACGGCACTGGCCTCTATAATGCCTCTTACAATCTCACCAGCCGCCTTGAGATGCTCCACAAACTCTGCCGACTTTCTCTCCCCGTTAATAACAGTGAATTGCACCCTAAAAGTACCATTAGCTTTACTCACAATAGGATATTTGTCACATGCAATTATTACTCACCTCTCTTCAAAGACTTGCACGCCAACCCACACGTCCTCCTTGTGAGGTTGACACCTGCCCATCTCCGGAAGTCCGAATTCTGTAAAGCTGGTGCAGACTGGTCTCTCGCTCGTCCTTCTGAAAACTTCGTCCTTGTAGAAAACAGGCAGCTCTTCGCCGGGCTCCAACATCTCTCGAAGCGCCATGAGATGCCATCTAAACCCTCTACCGCGACTTGACAGCGCCACAAGCCGCGCGTGTGACTTTACAGCTTCCAAGAAGAGTCTCCTCTTTTCGTATCCACTGATAGTTGCATCTTCAGCTGCGGCGCAAAATGCTTCCACTGGTGGCGTCATCACGTAAATCATGTCTGTTCGCCCACCGCGGAATGGGCGCTGCGAGATGACGTCCACGGCACCTGAGGGGTTGTATCCAAAGAGACGGCGGACAGCTACCTGGATGAGGAGCTGGATGACTGTCTTTGGAGGAAGCTTTTGTTGTCTTAGATAGGAGGCTGCATAAGATGTCTGTGTTAGGTTGGCGAGAGTGTAGCCGTCATGGGCTGACCGATGTTGAGTTTGGAGAGCAGGGATGATCTTGGACAGAGCTGTTGGCAGTGTAAATTCGAGATATGTAAAGTCACCATCGATCACCGATTTGGAAGTAGATGAGCCGTTGGATAGCTTCACCTGTTCAGCGGCTGGCGAATTGAGAGCCTTTATCAGACCACCGAATGTCGTGCCGTCGACCATGGTGTGCTCGCCCCAGATGGCAGATACACCGTTACGACAAACCACAAATGAAAGGGTTTTATCTAGCCAGCGGTTGGAATTGTCGTCAAGAAGGAAAGCATCTGCGCGGCCGTCTGCTGTCTCTGGAGCTGTATCTTCGAGGTAAACAATAAAGAGAGACTTTTCGATAGTTTCGACATAGTTGCGGCCGCTCTGACTTGCTGACAGTATTTCATCACGGGCCTGGAGCAGAGTGAGCCTTGAAAACATTTCCAAAAAATACACATAGTAGTATCGAGAAGATAGAGGAGAGAAAAGTGTTGAATGCTTACCTTTGCCCATTCATCGCGATTCGCAGTGGTGAGTAGACTAGTCCAATTCGTTTCTTCGGGAGTTTGCTGTATGATGCCTTCAAAGATATTCTTCAGCTTGTCGTATGTTACAGCCTGTCCATTGTGACTTTTAAGAGGAATCTTATATGCGTGTCCACGCTTCATGGCGACGATATAGTCGCTCTCTAGGAATCGATCATAACCGTCGCAGCCAAGCGCTGGAGTGCGATTCGAGCTGAATAGCCAATAAACAGTAGCCACTATATTGAGTCTCATTAGCATGCCGAAGCAGAATACTTGTCATGTTAGAATGGCGTAGTTTTCTTACTATCCAATGCTTGTTCGTGATAAAAGTCTTGCTTAATCGTGCCCGCATCAAGTGCCAATTTATACGCATAAGCTCCGAGCGAAAGCTGTGCGGCTTGTTGTGCCTGCGGCTGTCGAGCTGTATCCTGTCCAGGGAGAGTAGCAAAGAAATTTCGAAGTCTGGGCCGCCAGTCTCGCCCACGAAGCCACTTGTTTCTGACATACATATCCACAACCTCATTATTCTCACCTTCGCCGCCTGACATGTTTTTGAGCCTCGTTTGCAACTTTTGGCCCAGTCCATCGGGGTCTTGGAACGCTTTGATGGCTTCTCGAGTGCAACTCAGCTCTTCAGCGTTGGCAATGTGACCCACAGAGTCGAGGAATATGTCCAATGTCCCCTCTAAAGTTTGCATAGGATACTTGGGAAGAGAAACTTGCTTTGCGCTGCTGCCATCGCCATTTGTATCCGCTTTTTCCTCATCATGACCGTTAGCACCCTCGGGCTTGAACTTGTTCTTTACCAGGACAGAGCTTTTTGTGACAAAAGATGCAAGTGACCGCAGGCTTGGGGCATCTAAAATGTCTGAAGTTTGGACTGGGGCTTGCAGCTTGTTGGTAATCCAGTTCTTAATCTCAGTCGCAACAAGAGAGTCAAGGCCCATATTCGCAACGGCTTGATCCAGATCGAGTTCTTGGGATTCAAGGACAGTAAGTGAAGCTATTTTCTCTCGAATCGCAATCAGTATCAGCTGCTCTGCCTCTTCGACTGTTGATGCAAGTGCGACTTTTTCTTCTGCGGTCCGTTCATCTGCTGGCCCTGTTTGGTGCGCGGGACCTCGGCTATGAGAAGATAATATGTGAGACACAAGTGGTGGAACTCTACCACCTGGTGTTGTTTGGTTGATGAATGACTGAGGATCAAGGCCAAATGCTATCTGGTGGTTGCCATCTCTGAATGCCTTTCCGCTCATCACATAGTCAACAACTGGCAGAGCAATCTCAATAGGGAGAAGCTGAACACCCTGTCTGCTCAATGAGTGAGTATGTTCTTGGGTGACTGTATACGTGCTTTTGATCAGTGGAAAGTCAATCGTCGCAAACTTTGTATAACCAGCAGAGATTTGGGCGTGAGTAAACATGTCCTGGTACGTGCCTCCCGCAGCGTAATTGGACTGTCCCAGCGTACCAACAATACCGCAGAGAGACGAAAGATTTACAAAGAAGTCGACATCCCTATTGTAAAAGGCGTTGTAGATGTTAACTGTGCCGTGATATTTAGGTAGAAGCGCAATCTCAAAGTCCTTTTGTGTAATCTGTGACAGAGTCCGGTCCTGTATTCGAACAATTAGCTTCATATTTTCTGTTTCTTTTTAAGGAGCTTTTGCTTACCGAAAGCACCATGCCTCCATGAAGAATACCTCGCACCTGCGGCATCAGCAAATCTCGAGACAATTCTGCAGCTACTTGTTGTACCATTTTCGCATCACCCACATCGCACGTAATAATTCTGACTGTAGCTTCCGGAAGTACTGTCAAGTCTTTCTCCATCTCTGCTTTGGCAGCCTTTTCGTAACGCTGTCGTGTAAATAGTGCAATGTGCCTTGCACCCTTTTCTTGGAGACGACGGCACAAATGCTTTCCTAGACTTCCCAGCCCACCGACGATGATATAAGTCGCGTCGGAACGTAGCCGGAATGGCTGCTCTTTGGCTTGGACAGTAGAACTATCAGAGGCTTCTAACACAATCTTTCCGGTATGCTTTCGGCTCTGCATCAGTCTGAAAGCCTTTTCAATATCGCCTATTGGCATTGCCATAACAGACAGCGGTGTGAAGAGTCCAGCTTCAAAATCCGCAAAGATTCTCTGTAGCAAGTTCTGGCACTCAACTGGTCGCTGCTTCGAAAGCCCAACAAGATCCACGCTCATGAATCTCAAGTTTCTCTCAAACGGCTTCATGCTCAGCTGACTGCGTCGAGAAATATCCGTCTTGCCGACTTCAACAAACGTTCCAAAGGCAGCGACACACTCCCACGAAGCGTGAAGCATGGGCCCAGATAGAGAGTTTAGCACCACGTCCACGCCAGTTCCATTGGTAAGCCGGCTGATTCCTGCTGCGAAATCGGTCGTGCGGCTGCTAAAGATGTGACTCTCAGGGATGCTGTACTGCTCGACGAGGAGTTGCCGCTTGGCTGCACTTCCGACAGTTACAAATATCGTTGCTCCCAGTCTTTGAGCAATCTTTATGGCTACTTGGCCTAATGCACCGGAAGCAGAGTGTATCAGTATTGTCTGGCCCTGGCGAAGATTGGCACAGTCAAAGAGCGAATAGTAAACCGTAGCAAATGTCAATGGAATCGAAGCTGCTTCTGTGAATGGCAGCTTATCAGGTATGCGATGCACCAAATGGCCATTTGTTCTCGTCCGACTTGCGTAGGGAGTGCCAAACATGGCTGTCACTCGGTCTCCAGCCTTGAATTGTGACGCAAAGTTGGAACCTACAGCCGTGATAAGTCCAGCGCTTTCGCCAACCATGGGTTGTGTGGGCGGGAGTTGGCCTAGAGCAATGAAGACGTCTGAGAAGTTGAGGCCCCAAGCGTACGACTTGATTTCAACTTCATCGGGGCCGAGAGCGGAAGAGTCATCGTCAAGAAATACCAGGCTATTTAATAGGCCGGGTTTGTCAACATGAATCCTAAGCCGTCGATTGGCTTGATGGAAAGTAGTTTCTTCAGTCTCTGCAACATCAGAAGAGGTGGAAACGGCCTTGGATAGCTTAGTGTCTGCGACGAAGCGCTGAATTTGCATTTTACTATCTCTATACATGAGCTCAAACTCTCTCGGCTCGTTTTTCCTGATTCTCGTTTCGGTGGTATAGATGAAGTCTAAAATTGCATTCTGAATTTGATCAGCGTGCTGTTCCAGAGAGTCTTGTACGTCAATAGTGAAGCAATCCAGATACGGATTTTCGTTTCGTGCTGTTCGTGAGACTCCAGTGATTAGTGCGTTGTCTGGCAAAATGCCGCCATCGTCGTTTGTAGCAAAAATGACCCAGTATACTTTAGTTGCCTTGGATAACAGGCGATTGATGCCGGCAAATTGGTCAGTAGAGGCCTTTGTAAGAAGGGGCTGTTTTGCGGAATCAAGAATAATGTAAGAGCTTGAGTTGTCGACTTCATCATTAGTCCATTCCTCCAAAGAAGCCCCGAAGCCTTTCTCAGTCAAGCCATTTGCAAGCTTCACTGTGAGTGAGTTGTATGCCGGGCTTTCATCATCAGCAAAAGCATCCATTATCTTGAAGTGAGAAGGAACATGTCCATTCGTCGCAGAAGGAAGTGCAAGCGCGGTGGACAACAATAGGGCGCAATGTCTTTCAGGTTCCGGCAAATCATAGGCAGCCAAATCAACGCCGGAGAAACCAGCCTTTTGTAGATGCCCATTCCACTGCTCGGCAGATTGCAGTGGGCTATCAGTCCGGCCTTCGTCAACACCAGCCCACCAGCCTGGGATAGAACCAAAAGTCATGTTGATATACGGTGTTGATGTTGTAAGTTCGACAAGCCCAAGAACACCGCCAGGCTTCAGCAGCTTGTGGATTGTACGAATCGACTTGTCCAAAGACCGTGTGGCGTGGACAACGTTGGCTGCAACGACTAGATCATACGAGTGTTCTCTGAACCCTTGACTTGCTGCATCCTTTTCCAGATCCAGAGTCTGAAATGTCAAGAGGTGCGCCCAGTCTTTTAATCGGGTTGTTCGCACAGCTTCAAAAAATCCCGATGATATATCCGTGTACATGTACTCCGAGCAGAAGCTTTCACCATTGGGACTGCATGCTTTCAGAATTCTAAAAGTCGTACCGCCAGTTCCTGCGCCGATTTCCAAGATGCGTAAATCTCTTCTTTGGAAAGTCAACATCTTGACGTAGTCAGCCATGTACTGGTTTGGCCGGGCTCCTTCATCTGAATGGTATACTCGGAATAGAAGATCGTCTTTCAAGAAATGAGTGAGGGGATCTGTTTGCCCAGTCAAAAGAGGAACCAGTTCCGGTCCGATTCGAGCTACAGCCTCTCCTTCGACGCCAAGTCTGGATGTAAGCTTGTCCAGCTCCTCTTTCGTCTTTGGACTCTTTTCGATGAGCGACTTGCCCATCTCGGAACTTGCAAAATTCTTCAGAAGTCGCCACCAGTTGATTCTGTGGTCGTCCTTGACAGTTAATCCGCGCTCAAGCATTTCTCTGACAGCCCAGTCGATATATCTGGCGCAAGCAACAAAAGTGAGATTCACTTTCTCTGCCTGTGTGATCCCAGCTTCGTCGGACTGTAAGGGAATCTGGACGCGTTCCAACATATCGGGCGTAATTGAAGAGCTATCAACTCCCCATTCCATCTTGAAGATGTTATCGTTGTGAAGCACTTCAGTAGATTGAGCCTCTCCGACAACGCGAATTTCGCCACCATTCATAGTCAGAACGCATTGTGGTGCGCCATTATCTTCTGTCTGAAAGACTGCGGTACTAAAATTTGTCGACGTGGGAAAGACGTTACTCAGGTTACACAACGTCTGGAGATGATTCCCAGCTTGATTGGCGATGCTCGCAGAAATAAATATGTCGCTGATAAAGATGGGCATCACTGAACCTTTATTGGAGTGCTGTTGAAACACCGGAAGACAAGACTGGATGATTCCGTCGAGCGTTGTCGGATGAATGAGATGTGGCTGCATGAATCCACCGGGCATCTTTGCAGCAATATCTGGAATAACGAGATCATTGAGAGATTGATATGCTGCCATCCGAACCTCATTGTTGATTGCAAACGTTGGCCCATATTGGTTGCCTGTCGCCGCCATCTGAGCGTATAAGTCCTTGTGCGGAATGACATTGGTGCAAGCCACAGCTGCGTCTTCTAGGCGAGATGCTTGAGACTTGCGATCAAATTCTGCTTCGCGTTGCTGCTCAATCTCATCCTTGTCGTTGTCAAATACGGCTGATATAATGCCGTTGCAGTGATCTTGCCACTTGCCTTGATCTGATATTGAGGCGACAGAGAAATTCCAATTCTCATTTGCATCAGAGTACTGGAAAGTGAGGATCGTCTCAACCGATGTGTCGTCTTTGGGAACAGTCAACGTCTTCTTAAAGGAAACATTCTTTATCCGATATCCTTTGGGCTTGAGGTCTTGTCGACGATCTTGGTCCAGTTGTTGTATCGCCTGAATTGCCATTGTCATGTATCCAGCTGCAGGAAAAACGATGAAGTTGTCGACAACATGGTCTTGTAGCCACGGCAATCTCTCGGTGCTTAGCAGTATTCGCCAGCTGGGCTGACTATCGGGCGATGCGATGACTCGGGAGCCAAGCAGGTCATGCGAAGGATGTTTTCTGCATCGATACTCGCGGCTTAATCTCGATTCCATCCAATGGGTTTCTGTATGATTCCAGTGATACGATGGCAAATCCCGTAGAACAGTTGGAGGTGAAGACTCCGACCTGAAAAGTGCAGCCACAGCCCCAATATCGAGATTGTCATTCCCACTGCGGAAGAGGGCTGATCCTGTATTCATGAGAGACTTGATGCTGTTTTCGCCACGAACCAACGTTGGAATATAGTTGTATGAGGAACCGTCAGCTTGAAGATCTGCCAGAGTCTGCTTGATCGGGCCCGACAAAGCTGCGTGGGGGCCAATCTCGATAATGTTGACTGCTGTCTGCCGCAATTCTCGATACAAGTTTCGTAAAGCACCGCAAAACCGGACAGGCGATACCAAGTTGTCAACCCAGTAAGAGGCCCCGAATCCATCAAACTTCTCTTGTTCAGTGACACTCGAGAAATATCGAATGGCAGTGTCCACTGGTCCCGACTCGAGCCCCTCTAGTTGCTGAAGATAATCAGAGCTTACCAGCTGCATATGATGAGAGTGATAGGCGGTATCAACCTTAAGCCGGCGATTAAAGACTCCATCTGCGTCGAGGGCATCCTTCAAAGCCATGATTCCGCTCAAGTCACCGGATGTTGTAACACTCGAAGGGCTGTTGATACAAGCCACTGTAACGCCTTGAATGTCAAACTTCGTGATATACCTCTGCGCATCTTCATGTCCAAGACCGACAGCCATCATGGTTCCACTTTGATCAGAGCGTTGTTTCGATTTCTCAGCCAAGAAGCTCCTGTGGTACGATGCAAACATCGCAGCACTCTGTGAGATGGCACCAGCGGCATATGCAGCGGCTATTTCACCGCTGGAGTGGCCGACTACAGCTGCAGGCAAGATATTCCAACTCTTGAACAGGTCAACAAGAGCTATCTGGACAGCGGTGCTTGCCGGTTGGCCATATTCACTATTGTTCAGGCGGCTTGAGGACTCATCCCGAGATAACTCTTCGACCAGGCTCCATTGGGCGCCAAATCCTTTCAGCAACTTTTCTGAGATTGCCACTGATTGAGAAAATACCGTATGTTCAGACTGTAGAAGGTGATAGCCCATTCTTGCCCACTGCGTGCCCTGTCCAGTGAAGACAAAGGCTGTGGATAGCTTGTTTGCTGCTTTGTTTCGTGCTAAATCCTTGGCTCCAAGGCCCTGAAGCAAGGAGTAGATGTCTTCGGCAATAAGACCAGAGCGCCACTGGAATTTTGATCTTCGTTTGATCAGGGTGTGGGAAAGATCATCGAGTCGAACGTTGGGGTGACGCTTCAGGTATTCACCAAGGTCATTGATGGCACTCTGCAGAGAATATTCGGACCGAGCAGATATGGGGAAGAAATGTGAAATATTCTCTTCATCTTTCTTCACATCGGTCTTGCCATTAATCTTGCCGTTTAATGTGCCATTTTGTGTGCCGGGTTGTGTGGCTGCTTGTCCATTTTCACTATCGATGCCTCCTAATAAGCCACAAGGTCAGCAAATGTTTGTCTAGTAGGAATAAATCTATTACCATTAAAATCATGAACCGATTCTAGAAGCAACATGGCGTTTGTGCCTCCAAACCCAAAACTGTTTACCACAGCTTTCCGCGTAGACGGCGTGGCTGGCCAAGGCGTGAGCGACTGCGCAATCTAGTTGTAATTGTCTCGTTAGAAACACCATTCACACAGTTCGAGTGAAACGCCATTCTTACCTTCATATATCGCTCATCTGGTTCCAGTCCAGGCTTGAAGTTCTCAAGCAGTATATTTGGTGGAATGAAGCCCTTCTCCATCGCCATGACCGTCTTAATGAGACCTGCTGTTCCACTGGCAGCTTCAGAATGTCCAATGTTTGGCTTTGTAGCGCCCACGAAAACCGGATTCTGTCCATCGCGGTCTTCGCAGAACACGTTTCGGATCGTGTTTATTTCCACTTTGTCGCCGGCTTTGGTCCCTGTGCCATGAGCTTCTACATATTGCACGTCAGAAGGCTTGAAAGGGAGATTTTGGAAGAGGCGTTTCGCAAGACGTTCTTGAGCGTCCTGGTTAGGCAGCATTATTCCGTTTGTTCGGCCGTCAGAGTTGATTCCCGAATTCCGTATGACGGCTCGAATGCTGTCCCCGTCTCGAATAGCATCATCTAACCGCTTGAGGACGACCATTCCTACGCCTTCTCCTCGGCCATAGCCGTTACCGCGTGCGTCAAATGTGTAAGACCTTCCTTGGTCATTGAATAGTCTGAAACAGTAAGCTTAGCCAAAAATGCCATATCGATAAACTTTTGAAGAGACTCACCCAGTCATTGACATCAAGGCCATCTGGTCAGGGGAGAATACCAGATTCACACCACCTGCCAACGCCATCGATGTTTCTCCAGCACGCAGACTTTGGCATGCTAAACTAATAGCAGCTAAGCTACCAGAGCAGGCAGTATCTACCATGACTGAAGGGCCCTGTAGATCAAAAACGTAGGAAACACGGTTTGCCAACAGTGGTCGAGCAACGCCGAGATTGTGATACTTGGAAACGGCTTCTGGATCTTTGTGTATTATCTGTGCAAAGTCATGTCCAAACATGGCAACTTGAGAAGTCTTAGTATGGATCAAGTGTCAATAGAAGACTAAAGCATACCAAAGATTCCCGTGTCCGACCCCTTAAACTCATGCATCGGAATCCCTGCATTCTCGACTGCCTCCCATGTAGTCTCCAAAACAACTCGCTGCTGGGGATCGAGTGTATCTGCCTCTTGTTGTGCTATTCCAAAGAAACCAGCATCGAAAGTAGCAATGTCTTGATCAATAAAGTGTCCTCCCTTTTGGTTAATTGTGCCCGAAATTTCTGGATCAGGGTGATAGAAGGCCTGGTGGTTGAATCGATCCGATGGAACTTCAGTCCAACCGCTCCGGCCTTCAGAAACGACATTCCATAATTCTTCTGGGCTGTTGGCTCCTCCAGGGTATCGGCAGCCCATGCCGATAATGGCAACAGGAACTGGTCCTTGAGACCGCATTTTTGCAGAATTGCTTGATAGAGGCGTTGGGTTACCTTCAAAGAGCCCAAACAGCGTGAGATTTGGTTCTATACTCTCCCTCTTTCTTAGAATATATTGGTGCCTAGATATATGGGAATTACACCTCCCCTGTTATCCCTCCTCTGCCAAGGTTTAACGCAATAGCCGTGCATAAGCCCATCGTCTCGTTAGCAATCCATTTCATCCCACAAGGTAACTCAAAATCTATCCTTCGGATATTCAATATGCAGTCAGCATTTGATAAAACACGCAACCAGATGAATGATTTGATCCATGTGCTATATATGTGCAATTCAACCCCTGATTTAGGTATGGTTGAAGAGTAACACGAGGATACGTAGGATTCCATTGGAGCGCATGCAGTACTACCCTCTTCCATAGCAATGCGCTAAAACATGCTAGATGTTGTTGAAATTCCTCCAATGGCTAGTAAAATATCCTCCCCCGCGAAAGATTTATGGATAGGGCGTCATCCGTACCATGCAAGCTTAATCAAGCGGGTCATGTCCCCCACCAAAGACTTACGCCCGCAATCTATGATCCCATTCTATCTAGGAAAGGCAGATCTGCGCGCTTGATCCTGCCTCAGATCCATATTAAGAGGCACTGGCGGCGTACATGACCATATTCCTATATCGTACAAAGTTATGACTGTATGTCAATGCCATCGGACTATATTGACCGGCGTCTATTTTGTGAGGCATCCATACTTCAGGATGTTTGACATTTCCGTTAGTCAATATTTTGTAAGTCCTACGGAGATTATGCAGACATCAAAAGCCAACGGATAATATCTTGGCAGCCTCCAGTGGGACGAGTAATCCAATGCTAGCCACAAATTGAAGGTAAGCCAACTAGGTGTCAGCAGATCTTCATTTCCATTTGGTACACGCTCATAGAAATATCTAATACCATTTCTTGATTTCTGATCATATTTGGAAACTTTTATATACCATTTTTGACTCCTAGCCAATCATAGAAGTGATCAAACACCAGTGACCGCTTCAGGCAACAGTATAGGCTATGAGACCAAAACTCATCTTGACACGCTTACCTCTGGTGCCAGTGAGAGCTATGCGTTGTAACCGTACGACAGGCATAAAACCACGCAGATTTAAACTGAGATTGGCAGTGTTAGAGCCGCAGACGCGATAAACAAGAGAATAGTATCTCCAGAGCTAGCAGGGTATATTCCAGGCTTTTTACGCCATCTCCACCAACGGCCCGACTGAACTAGTAATGACTATCGAGAATAATCAGCAGAAATAGACTAGAAAGCTTCAATGATTACTTGTATAATTCTGTTCTTATAAATCTTGAACGATGATGGTTAAATAAAGTGATATTGCAGCTTCATTTCTATTAACTGCTAGCGTGTTTTAGAATAACGTGGGTATGAAGACGTGTAAAGAGATTCAATATTTCCCACTCAGCCATGCCGGTATTTTCCCCGCATTCGTAAGCGGATCCGATTATTACCCCAGATACTCACTCGGCAAATGATCACACGATAGCGAATCTTCGGTTTCTCCTAGTAATGCTATCCGGCAGGTCTTAGATGTATCTACACCAAATACCCGTCAAAGCTGGCCGTAATCGCATACGCCCTTGTTATCCTATGGCTTTTCAATGGTGGCTTCAGAAAGGTGGAGTTTATGATTACTGGCATCTCTACTTCAGTTACGCGGTTCGTCCTCTAGCTGGGGATATAAGATCGAACGCTACAAATTTCTCATCAGAATGAATGTATTCAGAGACTCGCAGCAATGAACTATATGCGGCTAGAAGCTATATACTCTTGCGGTGGACAAAAAAACTCGCCGGTCTGCAACAATAGATTTGTGCGTAATGGGCGGCTGTGCTTTCTTTCCACGCTTTGACACTCCAGTATAATATGACGACTCAAAGATATTGGAGTTTGCCGACTCCTACCGCATTCGGACAGCGATATCCGTCTGACCCAATCACTAAACCAGGATTACGTAGGACGAAACTAGTGTTGATATGTAGCTTGTTGTATAGGTTAATGTCATGTCCTATGACTAGTAGAACATCAGCACGTAACTAATCCTAGGGCAAAGTCGGAAGCGGATATGGCATCACGCAAATGAGCTTTGTGTTAAAAATGGTCAATATTATTGAATGATGAAAAGGTGTACCGATGAAAAAATTGTGACTCCAAGACGTTATAGGGTATTGCAACCTTGGCAAAAATAAGACAAAAGTTTTTGTAGTTTATGTCTCTATTTTCCATCACAGCCTTGATATTGATTTTCCTGCTAAACTTTCCCAGCGCTTTTGAGTAAATGATGAAGCTAATTTAGCTTGCAATGACGATTGTTAGTCTACGGAGTACGTTGCTTGTGCAAATTGAAGCCACTTACTACAGTTAGTACAAGTACAGCGAACTATCTGCTAGCGCCAGGAACACGGAAACACTAAAAGATCTCAACAGGCTTTGGAGACCAAAAGAGGAAATATAGGAAATTTAACATTGTGTACCGTAATTCTATACATAAATAGCCTGCCTATCTCCTCTTGAAGATGTGATAACAACCCTTTTGATCGAAATCTTTTACTTGATCCCATTATAAGCTGGCTGTGTTACAAAGAGAAAATGCTGTCAGCCTGGTGGAGTAGTCCCACCTTTTGTCAATTTCTTGGGCGCGCGCCCTGTGTTCGCAACAAAGCGCCACTATGGAAAAGAGAAAAAGTTTGGAGAATAAAGAAGATTCTAGTAATAAAGAGTTGATATATAGCTCTGTATATGTCTGATAAATAATTTTGATCTGGCTGCAGTCCCTATTCTCTCGACGCCAGTTTCTTTAATAACTGTTCATCGACATACACCATGAGCTCAACACTCAGCGCACAAAAACTGCTGCAGTCTGCACGAATCTCTCCAGAAATCTTCAAATTACGCCCAGATTACCGAGCTCTTTTAATGACAGTCGAAGGGGTTCCTCCAGGCCCTAGCGACAGTATAAGCGAAGCCCTCCTGATCGATGCTGAAACAAATGCAAAGAATCTATTGTCAAAGCACCCTGTAACCGAGATTCCACACATTGCCGCATGGCGAGAGACTTACAAGGCATTTGGATCTAAGCCGCAGAAAACTCGCAACAGCCTAGAGGCATTGACTCGCCGTGCTGAGAATGGATTACCTCGAATCAACCGGTTGACGGACATTTACAATGCGATTTCGGTCAAGCATCAAATCCCACTAGGTGGCGAGGACCTTGAGAAATACGACGGATCACCCTTCTTGATACGTGCCACAGGCCAAGAGCAGTTTCAGGCTTTCACAGGTGGCGAACTGCAGACTGAACTCGCAGCACCTGGAGAACCTATTTGGTGTGACGATACTGGAATTACCTGTCGTCGCTGGAATTGGCGGCAAGGTCCACGCACCGCATTGTCTGATGCGACTACAAATGTGTTGATCATCTTTGACGCATTGGGGCCACTTTCGGACGAAGCTCTGCTTGCGGCTGCGGAAGAACTTGCCTCGACATTGAAGAGCATTTCTCCAGAAGTGCAATGCGCTAAAAGATTAATTAAAGCTTAATTGACGGCTCCTCATTAGCGCAGATGAGAGAGATGAGTGTAACATGCGATGTTGTTGGAAAATATATATGGTAGATTTGCCCTTTTGTTTGCGATAACTTCAGCATACTAATGGAAACTAGACTAGCAAGCGATGAAAAGAAAGGAGGATCATACTATTGTATTAAGATATTCAGTGGGGCGGTTATAGAAGAATGGCAGACAGAAGCTAGAATCACAACGAACAAGCTTGCATGCTTAAAGCGTTTTGCCCTCGTTAATATATTTCTGTGAGAAACTCATTCAAGGCACATTAACTCATATTTATCTGTATTATCATAACTATCAACATGGTAAACTTGGATACCAATATTTACATGAACTATAAGTTTTCAAGAAGAGCGCTAATCATAACGGGTATCCATTAAAGCTGGATGACATAAGTGCCATTGGGCTTGCCATGCTCATCAAACGAAGTCATCTTGATGGAATCGGCCATGGGAATGGCCTTAATCTCCTTGACATCCGGGCTCAAAGAGACCGTGGGCTTGGGCCCCAAGTTGCGGCGGAACTTGGCAGAGTTGCTCATGGTCACGGGCTGGCTGTCCGTGAGGCGGTTGACGCATGTGCCGCCGGGGATGATGGTGTCGCCAATGTATCCCTCGAGCGTGGCGTATTGGTGGAAGATGGCCTGCCAGTTGGGCTGGATATTGCCAATGCCGCCGGGCACATTCTTGTCGTACACCGAAACAACAGTCTCCTGAGCAAAGTTCTCCTGCTGGCTGCTCTGGGCGTAGTCGTCTGTCACCGCAGAGTCCTGGTTGTAGTTGGAGATCCAAACGTTGCCGGTGGAAAAGGGCACGCCGTATGAAGGGTCAAAGGCGTGAGAGTCCAAGCTGTGGCCAATCTCATGGAGGAAGACGGTAATGTCGACGTCACCAACCATGAGGGTGTTGTCACCGCTGGAGCCGGCCGATTTGTTGCCGGGAATGAAGACGTAGTGGCGAATGTAGTCCCTCATGCGAACGGGCACACGACCAAAGAGGTCGATAATGTCAGTCTGGCTGAGAGGAGAGTCCTTGTGTCGGCAAAATGTCCAGGTCTGAGAGCAATCGGTGTAGTGAATGTTGAAAGGCGTGATATCGTTTGGCGAAAGCCCGGCACCTTGAACCAAAGACTTGCAGTCGGCGGGAATCCAGCCAGCTCCCCAGACATCTGAAGTCGACTGGGTGGGCTTCAAGTTGTCCAAGAGGCCCTGGCCTAAAGACGCCAAACCACCTCCTGGAAAGTTTGGCTGGATGACAGGCTTGTCAAGTTTGGCAAGGGCCAAAGGGAGAAGAGCGAGGACAGAAATCTTGAAAGCCATTTTGACCGTATATTGAACAGCTGTAAAACTGCTGGTTATTCTGCGAGCCGATATTTTCTGGGTACTTCCAACATCATGCCGGAGCGCAGATCTATCCATCTATATATACTTTTGCTCCCGTAGCAGCGTGCTTCAAAGAGAATTTTGGACAAGGCTTGGGACCTTCGCTGTGTTCCAAGTCAGGAAGGTAGCATGCTTTCGTTTATCGCTTTCTGACCATTGTCTTGGCATCGATGGTAACCAGACTAGGAGAAAACATTCTTGCCAACCAGGATCAAGTCATTCGGGTTCTAAATTTCTTCAAGTCTGCCGATCGACTAAGAAGAGCAACATTAAAGTAACAACCACCAAGTTTCTCGTATTATTCATAGAGCAACTAATTACATCATCAAGTGCCAAATAACTCCAAAAGCAACAACTATTGCGGTTCTACGAGTTTGCAGTTGTACAATTGTGAAGCCCCCGGTCCCAGACGTTTACCTGCAAAGACCTAGTTGACGAGTGGACTACCTATTTTAGCTTCCTTTATAAGCTAGAGTTTTAACTTGGAAGCTTTTGTGTATAGTTAAAAGAAAACAGCGCTAAACGTAATCGATATTAATGCCGCGGCCGGGTTTATGATCCCACGCAAGGCAACCGGCCTATGACTTGTGAAAGACGCTGCTCTGCTAACTGGTTTTCCTTGTTGTCACAATTATCTGCCTTTTTCCAATAATGCTCTAAGCCTAAGAGGGATTACATCGCATGCACATTCCAGAGCCTGCAAGCCCATTTGCTAATATATTCCGGCCTGCTGCCTTTTCCGTACAAGAAAGACGAAGAAGGGGGCTATGTCGGAGGATAATTCACGCCATTCGTGCGGGTGCGCATTATCATCTGCCTCTGGGTTCTTGTGCTGTACACACGGGGCACTCTCACAGCCTGATTCAACCTGGTAATCAATATTGGCTGACCCAATAGTCTTTGCATGCTTTGAGCGATCACGAACCCAAGACATTATCGTAACGTTACAAAATTGCCCAACTGGGTAAGCTGACCTCGTTGAACACCTGTTTATGGCCCTGATTAGTTTTGCTGGCATGTTTATATTGCTCCAATCTGACATGATTGTCGGGAATAGGCGGAGGATAGAACTTGGGCACGCTGGTGGTATAAGATGCTGACAATAGTTGGATCGCCGCAGGCTAACAATTTATTGATGTGAAGCCTGTTTTTGCGATGAACAAGCAGTGCAAGTCCTGTATAGTGAGGCATAGACGCAGGTAACCGGGTAAGCGGTGAGACAACCATGACTAACGTGTGCTTAGTAGCTCAATATAGGTATGCAAGCGATGACATTTCTCTGTGTCTATTGGGCGGACGAATGCTATAACGTCAGAGTTCTCTTTCGAGAAGAATCAAGGAATTCACATGATCCCTCACGACTGCCGAGTATAGAGGCTGCCAATACCGAATGACGGTTGCTGTCTTGGGTTAGTTTCCGTCTATTCCTTTTGGTAGCTCCCGAGTTGGTCGACAGTTGCGGGGCAATGCCTCGGCCAAACTCCTGTAGGAGCGCATAAAGGATGTTGACGCCGCCGTTTTGGATTAAGACGACTGCACCCCAGAGTGATAAAGGGCTCTTACTTCCCTATAGGAGTCAATAATCAGCGCATTGAGCAACTGTTTGCGAATCACTTCAAAAGCAATGTACAAGTAAAGGGCAAAAGAGAGTCCCCTGCATTAGCGTTGGCGCTGGCCAAGCCTCTAGCTTTCACCATATCCTTGCACTTGATCCTTTGAGACGAACTGCATCGTATCTCCATCTAAAGTCCATTGGTGCTGAAAAAGAGGCGAATGCGGCTTCTCGAATGGAACATCGCCATCCATTACGCTTGATATAAATACGAGTTGCCATGGCTGGTAACTCCGCATTAGATCGCTTTGAAGGAGCATTACAAGATTAATGTTGTAACATGACTAGGCGATGTTACTTTGGTGCTTTGAGACAGCCACGTTGACTTCCCTTGGCTTGTGCTTTTGGGTTTCCAGATGAGCGACGGACCGGCTGATGCGCTCCAATCTTTGATGTTGATCCCGACTCCACCTTGGATGGGCAGCTGAGCACCTGAGATCGATCATTCGACATATATAAATGATAGATTGTTGCAATAAGGAGCGAGAGACGGTATTGAATCATTTGTTGAGAGTACTAACAGAGGATTGGCATTACAATCGCTAGTACTCGCAGTGGAGATATTGCTCGACAGCAGCGTATTTACAGTCTGAGACATGATCTTGTGGGCCGCTGCTGAAATATCGGAAAATTTGGTTAGTCCAGGGGGCAAGCGAAGGAAGGGCATCGTGTCTAGATCTCTATAGCTAAAACAATCTCCCTTGGACTGGGAAGCTTCTATGAGTCAGCATCGTAGACGTAAAAGACAGTTATCGTTGATACCAAAAAAGTCCAATGCAATGATGAGTGACGCCTATATGTACTCGACCACCCAATTTCATTAAAATAGATGCAACAAAGTGTAGCAATCTCATCTTTTTTTTCTTTTTTTTTTTCTTAAGCGAGCATTAGAGCCAGCATATGCTCTTTCAACTCACATCTTCGAATCGATCTCGACTCTCAAACAAGTTACAAATCGTCCGTCTACTTCTCACGCAGCACCAGGACCCAGTGGCATCTCAGTTCCCGCAATTATGCACTGCCTCATTATCCTCACCTCATCTTCTGCCAGCGTACCAACCACCGAGTGGATAAGCCCTCGGTTGTGAAAAATCACAAAGTCTCCTTCTTCCCAGTCATGCGTATAGACGAGTTGCGGCGCTATTCCAGGTCTCTGAAACCGATATAAAATATCACGCACCCTTTCCAAGTCATCAATAACTTTTCCGTTTCCAAGATGCAGTCGTCGTACAACCGATGCGTGGACCTGCAGCGCAAGTCGACCAGTCACTGGGTTTCGCCAGCACATGGGGAGGATCTGGATAGAGGCCGGATCGATAGGCGGTAGCTCATCGTCATGGAGCTCTTTGCCTTCAGAGACGAGACCAAGTCCCGTGGGATGCGATTTGGCTGATGCCATCCATAGATACGGATGAGCAGCATACTCGACCTTGGTAGATTGCGCAAATGCCTTGTCTTCTTCTGAGAGCAGGTTGTACATGGCCTCTCCGCTGGCGAATGCAATCGTCCCAAGAGGAGCTTCCAGCTCATCACCGGTGCCGTCATCATATCGGATCGTCTGCATGCGTCTCTTGGGCAGTTTTACGGCGAGAATCGTGGTGGCAACAGGCGGAGGCGCGCCGTATAAGTCAGCGTCGATGTGCCAGCGGTAGAAGCGGGTATAATCAAGGGCGTTTTGGGCTTCTATGACGGTGGAATGTGAAGAGCGGTGATGCGGGTATCGCAGGTTCAAGTTTTTGGCACCTTCATGCTCGAGAACGAAGCCGTTGCCAATGATTTGGACCTGTGGCTGGTGCGGAACTGTGTTGAGGTCTGGGCTTAGAAGGAAGCTCTTGGCATCGAGTTGGTCTTTGTGGGGAGAGGAAATAGTTGCTGCTGAGTTGAGGCGTCGTGTAAACTCGAATTGAGCTCGTGGCGATAGATGTCCTTGGCCTTTGAACACCAGAACGTGATGCTTATAAAAGGCCTTTGCGATGATCTCAATATCAGCGTCTGGTGGTAAGAATCTTGTCAATTATCCGCGTTTGTGGCATTTATTATGAGACAGATATAGTTACCAGACATGTCTACCAAGTCAACGTCAGAGACATTGGCTCCAAAGCTGATGCCGCTGCCCTCTGGGTGGACCATGGGCTCGACTTTTACGTGGGACGCCATTGAAGATTAAAGTCTTTTGTTTCGCAATGGAAGATCTGACGAGACGACATACAACTGTGAGTCTGCTCTTGTGTAGCACCATTCTTCTGGCTTTTGGACAATATCCCGGCTTTAAATACTCTTCCAACTGTTCTAGACTAAAAGCATGAGCCTCATCGGATACTATTTCGGCGTTTAGATGATATTGCGTGTGTCTTGAGAATGCAACCGAAACTGAGAGCCGCCTTGTGGAGCCATTCAAGCCAAACCTGGGGTACTGTTGCCTAAAACAGGTATGGCGTTTAGCATATCAACTGAAGCTCGCTGAGAAAGCGCTATTTGAGCCACCATCAGACACTATTCTTTTCAAGACAGATTAACAAATGCCAAGTTGCTAATAGTAACGCCAAATGACGAGAGTATCACATTGAGATTATTAATGTTGCTTGAAAACTGAACGGAGAGTTCTCGGCATTACGACCGAGTGATTCTTCGTAATGTCCCATCCCAATTGTAGGTGGTTTACAAGCCGTCAGGAGTTTAACATGCTCATCTTGTCTTCTACACCAAATTACAATCCAAAAAAAAAAAAAAAAACATTTCGCTCTTTCTGAAGCTGAAAGAAATGCTCTCAACATATCCAAATATTGACGTCCAACCCAAACCCGTTTCAATGGATACGAGGCAAGGCTCTTCATCATCGCTCACAGATTAGAAGCCGTCTTCACATGCTCTTCTCCATAGACAATCGAGAAATCCCTCTCCAGTTCCTCTCTCGTCGTCACACCAACCCGCTCTGGTGCCGAGAATTCGTCTTCCAGGTAACGCTGGAGTATCTCTCGCTCGGCTGCACCGCCACTATTGTTTGCATCAACATGCAGCAAAGCCGCCATCAAGACTTCCGCCACAGACCACATAAGATCTCTCGCTTTACCGACGAGATCGGCTTGAGACTCCTTAGTAATACGAGTTCTCACCTTGTCCCATCTCTGTACTACGTTTCGATAACTTGCGGCATCTCCACAGAATGCAAACGCCTGCTTGATGAAATTGTCCAGCGCTTCGACTGACTGCACCCCAGTTTCGAGACGTTTCAGTGCTCTGATAAAGTCGGTGCTCAGAACATCCGTCGTGCCCTCCCAGATTGGCAGCACGCCACAGTCTCTGTACAGTCGCGCAATGTTGAGATACTCTGATTCTTCATTCAAGAGATAGCCAACGCCGCCAATGGACTCCATACACGAGAAGAGCAGAGTCAGAGCCGACTTGCAGACGAATGCTTTGGTCACTGGAGTAAGGACTCTTAATAGCGGCGCTACATCCTTTGGTGTGGGAGTTAATGCTTGTAGCGCTGATGATGATGCTGATTCCTTATCCGCATCCTTTTCCGTCGGATGCTCAGAGAGCCCCAGTACATAGACGGTAAACATGTGAAGCAGCATTAATCGCCTGTATTCTGCAGTCATCCGGGCCAGCGTCTTCATGTGCAGCGAACTGTCGGTAAGTCTCATCCTCGCGCCTCTTCCAGCGCCAACTTCTCTTACTCGTGCAAACGCTCGAGCAACTGCTAAACCGCGGCCTGCGTATCCGACAGCTTGGCTGGTTGTGTGGATGCGAGTCAAGTTTAGCAGCACAGAAATTTCTTGGATGCCACGGTTTTCGTCTCCAATGAGCCATCCGCGCATGTCTTCAAGCACGAGCTCTGCTGTGGGCAGAGACTGAGTTCCGAGCTTGTTCTTGAGGCGCTGAATACGCACTCCATTAAGGCACTGGCCGTTTGGATCAGGGTTTCCGGATTCGTTCAGAGCAGAGGGGTCATGCTTCCGAAGCGGCGCGATGAAAGTCGAGAGTTTGCCAGCTGGAGTGCGCGCAAGGAGAATCGTCATGTTGGAATCCGTAGCAGACGAGAACCACTTGAAGCCGTTGATGCTCCATGGGCCTAGAGGGATATCATCGTCCTTAGAAGCCAGCGCATTCGTCTCATTCGGACGATAAACCGCCGTCGTCTCAGACAAAGACACGTCGCTTCCCCCACGTCGCTCAGTCATCCATTGTCCACTGGTCCAGGTGCGCTTGGGATCTCGCGAGATCAGATGCTGGAATGCATTTTCGTAAACTCTCTTCTCTGTCTCCGACAGCTTAGACGATAGGCTTGGAGTAGTCAGATGCAACTGGAGCATCCGAGCAGCGCCATCCTGCATTGCCGTGGGACATGTAACGTTTGCCGATGAGCCTTCCCAGAGGAGCAGACGGAGGAACTGTCGATTGCGCGAGAATCGGCCATAAGGAGTGTCGTAGGCGTCGGCAACAAAACTATTTTGCGTCGGTCAGAAAGAAACCAGTAAATAGCAGCATGGATGAATTGCCCCTTTGCAAAACCAAATTCCTGCAACTTGCGCCATCCTTCAGTCATTACGAGCTCTCCCTTCCATTTGCCAAATGCAGATCGGCCGGAGCCCCGCAAGTAAGGCTTGTTGCGCTCTGCATCTGAGATCCAGGCGAATATCCTGTCGGTCAAGACTTCCTGGCCGAGTCTTGCTACTTCTGGCTCAATCTCATCTCTCAAATCGGCCGGCAGAAAGACTATATTGAACGGTTTAGCATGGATACTCTCACTATCGCTCAATCATACAACAGAGGGCAGCAATGGTTGGGTTCTCACGTTTAAAGCAACGCTGGAAGGTTACATCATCGTGAAACTGGTTCGGTAAGGCTGGAGGGTGCTGGAAGAAGCCCTTGTCTGCACCAGAGGATTCCATTCTTAAAACAGTCGAGAACACGCGTGGTTTCTACTGCAGAGTAAGAGGATTTAGAGATGAGAGATCCAGCACGTAGAATAGGGATATATCATATATGCATGTTGCGACAAACTACCTCAGGCTATCCAATGCAGGCGTGGAGTACTGTGGATAGAGATGATGACCGATTACTATGAAGTGAGCGTTGGCAGCACAATAGCCGGGTGATTCGCTTGACTCTAGACTGAACCGAGCATAGCAGTGCTTTCAAGTCAGAATTTAGTCTCCGCCCCGAAGTCCGACGGTCAATGCAAAGCGACTTTGACTTGAAAGTTTACCCAAATGTTAACTTTCAACCTCCAACGACATTAACCGAGGTAAATTTCGGACAAGAACAGGCTTACAAAGTAGAAGTATTATTGGAGGTAGCATTATCTAACTTCATTTGGAATAGAAAGAGCAAAATTTTTTTCGCATCATTGTAGGCATTTCTTTACCAATACAGCGTAAATCATTCGCAGCCACAACAGCCTAGAGCGCAGATCTAAAATTAGTGGACAGGCAGCGTTATTAGGTAATTGTTTATTAATCGCAACATCGGAAACAAAGGAGCCACTGAGAATAAAGTTAAAGTGTACTCTCACATCAGACCGAATATCGGATCTCGGCCGCTATCCCGGACGGAATATTGGTCCAAATATGCAGCAATCCAAATTGTTCGCAGTCTCAGCTATTTCTTCTTGACTGCTATTCACCAATAGATAATGCTCTAACGGCTTAGGATATCAAGCATGCTATCTTATTATGGGAAATACTTTGCCGCGCTATTAATGGCTTGATTATAGTGAGAGTTTGTAGTATAAGCTGCATTGAATGCTGGATTGGGCTACAAGTAATGTCATTGTGACCCGTCCAGATAATCTGACCTGAGGTGAAAGAACTGATAGCTTTGGGAGATGCCATAGGAATTACTGCGTTTTCTGGGAGTACATAGGAAAGTAGGTTCCAAGATTGGATCGCTGTCCGGTTGTTCAATAAGACCAGACGTACCCAGAAGCAAAAGGCCAGATAATGCAAAAGAAAAAAAATGTACTTCAACAGAATATATGGCTAGTAGTATAAAATAGCTGCCAGCGAGAAGCGTTCATAGGGGCAAGCAAAGCTACTTCGCGAGAGAGCGAACTTTTCTGCCTCTTCTTCCTTTACCCCTTCTTCTTTTGCATCTTTACCTTTACAAAAGCAACATCACAAGACTTGCGTTTCATATAGAAAACAACAATAAAACAGAGTCTTATCTACATTAAAAAGCAGTGTACTCGGGCAAAAAGAACTATTAATAGTTAAGATTCATTTAAGTTTCCCTAAAGTTAGCATTGTATTTAATTAGTAAAAGCAAAGCTGGAAGCTGGCATTTGACTCCGGTGGTACCTGCAAAAAGCAGCTCCGCAGCTTTGCTTGAAAAGCACAACGTTTGTAGAATTGGAAGTAACTTATGCTATCGCTGGAGCGCTTAACAGTAGAAGTGGTGTGCTGGATAGATTTTCTTCGTCAAAACTCTCGGATCTCTGTTATTGACACTACACCGTGGTACGGGAAAGAGTAAGGAGGGGTTCGTAGCATTACTCGATGGAAGTGATGCTGTGTTACAACCAATGGCAACAAAGGCAGTCACGTAATAATAAATGAAATATAGCGCATGTTGCCCTCAAAACATTAAAACAGCCTTCTGGATCTCAAATCCCCAACAAATATTTCGAGTCGACGCGGATAAAGCCGAGCATTGAGACACTCGACAAAACTTTGATCGCGCCATGACGCTTGAAGACCTCCACGCTCTTGCAGCTGCCGGCCCAAGACAGAGCAAGCCGTTCAAAAAAAGACTCTTGCTGTTGCAGCCCATCCTGACCCATTTGCCCGAGTCTGCTACAAATGCCTTCAATAAAACAGAAAGGTTCTACCAACAAGTTTGGACCGACATTCTGACGCCGTGTATAGCCATGGAGATGGCAAATTGGCGATTCGATCTGTTACACAATGCTCATGACGGGCTTGTTAGAGACATACTCGTTGGACTTGATAAGATAGTCCAAGTACCCGAGTTCGACATTCCTGAGGTAACATTGGCTTCAACACACAAATCAATAACGGACACAAACGAATATCTAGTTGACAATTATTTGGATGCTGACATACCTTGTATAGGAGCTTAAAGAGACGCAGCTTCCTCGGATAGAAGCTCTAGCCAGAGCGATTGGAGAAGCAAACAAGACTGACACATACTTGATTGAACTTGTCCAACCCGATAACGCCGATGAACTCATAGAATCACTTAATAGCCTTGCAAAAATAATGGCGGACAACGAAAGTCCAGAATACATTGCATAGATTTAATAGAATCGGATTGATCGTATCATTTGGGAACAAGTCTTGGGGATGGGGCATCGGCTGATGGTGTGTTTCCAGCTAAACAGAAGGCTTCAAATTGAGTCACCTGGAGTTATTCAAATGATTATTAACAGAGACTCACGTACATGCCGTGCCGATAAGGCGGTATCAGATTCCCCCTGGTTTCCCTAACAAGATCAACTGGTCCATCGAGTCATTTAGCCAATACAGCCTTGTGGACTGGTTTCTTGAATATACTCTTAGGTAAATGAAGATGTTTCCTGGTGCTTCACTCGCCATCTAATGTATTGTAGGATGCTACAGTATATATCTTGCCCTATTAGTAATTGACTATCCAGGGGCAACGGCCTGTAGGGGCTCTTAATTACAACATTGAGAGAAATGCTGTTTAGTTCGTCATAACAACTTTGATTGATTTGGTGTCTGCCTTGTTCGTAGAGCATTTCTTCGAGGGGTACCAATGCGTAAATGATTATTTCGTCTGTGTTTCCAGCCCCTTTGGAAATTTATTCTTAGATTACTAAAGTTGAATAGATTGGGGCCATTTGAGGAAGCCTTTTCTTTCCCTCGGTAGTCCATGTGTGTTGTAAATAGTCAACAATATCTTCTTTATGTATTTCTTGGAGTAGATACAGGGTTTTGCCAGCGCAAGACTGACTATACTATGTTCCAAGGTGCGTTACAAAAAATGGGCTGCTAGCTTCCCTGTAAAGGGATGTGAATTATGCAGATTTTGTAGGGTAACTAGGGAATGTTATTGTTACACCATGACAAAACCACTGTTACTGTTACACCATAACAAAACTACTGCTGTTTATTAGGTTTATTATAACTGGGGTTTACTATATATACAAGTTGTTGAAACATCCGCGTTCGCCCTGTCTTATTATTGCTATCAACAAAGAATCAACTGTTTAAGAAAGGACCTAGAATCAACAACCTTCAAGATGAGCATCCCTAAGCCAACATATCACCTTCCGCCAAACTTCTCGACCCCACCACCTCCCAAGGGTCCATTCCATTTGGGCACCGTTATCAAAGACTTCGACCGCAAGGAGCAAATGCGCCCGCTCAACCACGGCAAGGACAAGGACGGAAATGCCAAGCGGATCGCAATCGACACGGATGACATCTATTTGGACCACAAGGGCGGCTTTGAGGCCACGCGGTGGCGCCTCAAGAGCGGCGAGCTGGGGCTGTGGGCCAAATGCGTGGGAGTGGATGGTCTCGGCGGCGAGGCCAGCATCTCGGGCAAACGCAGCGAGAACGACACGTACAAGTTCGACAGCGTTGACACGGAATACTTCTACCCCTCGCCCGCGTATATCTCGCAGTGTATGGGGCTCTCCGACGTCAAGGAGTACATGGAAGTGACCAAGTACAGGAAGGCTGTGTATCTCGTCACGGGACTCAAGGTAGACAAGGGAGCCTCCGTTCGCTTCGAGGCCAATAACGAGATTAGGGGCAGGCTAGAAGCGGGACTGAACAACCCTAAATTTCCCCCAATCCAGCTTGGCCCGCGTGCGGAGGGCAGCGTCGAGAACAAGCCCGTCGACAACTTCAAGGAGTCGAGCGACATTCTCGTGGGCATACAGTGTCTCAAGATCTACTACAAGTCTAGTATCTTCGGCACGGGAAAGCAGATGGAAGACGTTGTCTACGCTGACGGGGCCACATTCTTAGGCGATGAGGCTAAGAAGCAGGAGGTGCTGTTCGAAGACCTCGTCTTCGCGGCTCCTGAAGCCTATGGCAATTCAAAGTTCTCTGCCCATAATCAAGTCATAGGAGAAGGAAAGGACGATGAAACCTGGTTTTTGCCTGCTGGATTGGTTTGAGTGGCAGCACCGGTCCTCAGTGCTATGATGATTGTGTTTGAGAGATCTCGATGTCAGCGGCGCCAAAAAACACTGGCAGTATTAGCATCTCTCATAGTATAACTGCGACAGGTTTCAACAGAAATTTGTCCTTGCGATTCAAAGTTCATTTCATGGTCTAGCTAGATTATGTAACTGTGTATTCTATCTATTTGTAAGGCCCTGATCCTGACTTATTTTGTAACAAATTGCTAAATTTATAGGCATTGGGTCATCAGTGTTCTCCGGATAACCCTTTATTCGCTTTGGGCAAGCCACGAAAGAATTCTCATTCAAATAGTCGATACGTAGGGAGTCATGATGAATAAGGACATCATTCCCTCGTTTTTCAGAGAGGTTGTCGACACTCATTTTCAAGAAATTAGTAGTTATAACTCGTAGCCTGCTCATCGATCGACAATCTTATACAGTTTCTTTACAATAGCCTCGTCGTCGTTTTCTCCATTCCAGAGATGAAGAGGCGTTAGATAGTCGTGATTCTGACGTTTGCGGGCCATAAGTTTCAGGATCTTGTATATGCCATCATGCTCTCGCAAGCTTTTGAGTTCGGACTCATCTAGGTCACACCTGTGTCTAGCAAATTCGAGGACGTCTGCCGCTAGAGCAGCTGCAATTGGGGTAGCAAACGAAGTTCCTGACTTCAAGACATCGTCTCCCTTCCATTTGGACGCAATAGAGATACCCAAGGTGGAGAAATTGCATTCATCGGGCAGCGGATCCGGGCTGATGCCGCCGTCGTTGCCCAGGCCATCGCTGGCGTGCACGCAGATCACGGGAGAGCCGCGGCTGGCCGGATACGCACGAGGCTGGTTGCCGCCGCTGTTGGCAGCGGCGGCAAACATGGTTATTCCAGCACTTTTGGCCGACCTGATGACCTTATCTGTCTCTGCATTGCTTGGGATTTTCAGCCCAAAGGACATGGAGATGATATGGACACATTTTTCCTTGTGGGCCCATTTGATAGCCTAGATACGCTTGGTAAGTGCATGCTTGAGATATAAAAAGCACAGCAGAAGAGTCAGAGAGGAGAGGAGAGAAGTTGAAGAACCAACCCTTGCAACACAATGCAGGTCTGTCGTCTGAATGCTGGATTCATTGGAGATCTTGGCAATGTAAAGCTCAGCCGATGGTGCCATCTTCAGCATAAGCCTCGCTACGTGGGTTCCGTGACCGACATGATCGTCGTAATCGCTAGGGTCTGGCTCTGCGTCTGGGCCATTGACGAACCCGCAACATTCCTTGATGCGTTCATCCATGGCTTCTTCGATTGTGATGTCACCTTCATCGATACCCGTGTCGATTATGGCTATCCGTATCCTTTGTTTCCTGCAGACATCAGCCCAGATGGGAATTGGTGAGCTACTGCCCAAGTTGCTGATCATGTTTCTAAAATTTTCCGTCTCATCCCAAAAAGTCGTCGCACGTTGGATAGCACTGAATTTCGACGCTTGTCAGCCGCGTTTCCAAGCTTGCACCTTATAGCCTAGAGTCTTACATTGGGTCATGATTGTTAAAGCTGTCAAAGAGAACTAAGCTGGGACTCGAGGTGGCTTGGCCAAGAGAAGAACTTTCTGAGATTAAAGCGTTCTGGTCGGAGATGGGAAAAGTTGTAAACATGGGAGAGATGCTGCTGTATTGTTGAATGGCTAGCTTGTGGAGCGGTGCGAGGATGTACTTGTAGATTGCTGCGCTTTCTCCCATATCTCGCGTCAATCCCGGATCATGCAGCTTCGCAGACAGGTGTCTAAATTGCAGGCATGCCGTGGCGATATTTCTGTAATCGTCATTCACTTCATCATCCCACTCTGTGATGATCCTTCCCAGCAGAACGTCTTTGGAGAAAAGTCCTTCTGTTTCCCAGTCTTTTTCCTTTCGATTCGGGCGCGCAATTTTCTTCCCTTCCATCTGCATGAGTAGGAGGCCGAAAGACAGAATTGCGTCGTGAATATCGTCTTTGCCATCGACGGCTTTGAGAGAACACGTCACAAGCGGCTTCCAGAGCCGACGGGAGTCTGATGAGGGTTCAAGACGGATGCTCTTGATGTTCATGTCGGCTCGCAGCCACGCGCTCGCGTTCAGGTTGAGAATCGAGGATGCTACGAGGAGTTCAACAATCTTGCGATCTTTCGCCGCGAACTTTTGCATATCGGGCTCCGATCCGGACTCGTCGTCGTTTCCTTTCGGCAGCTGTAGCGGTAGCAGTAACTCACAAAGCGTGGGACTAGAACTGGCGCCCGGATTGTGCGCTGTGATGACATCGTGGGTCTCGTCGTCCCACATGTTTGCGTGATTGAACACCATTCGAAGATTTTCTGGTAGTTGCGAGTGACTGCATAGCAAGCCATGGGCGGTACGTTTAGAGCCTCTGGGCCACTCCTGGTCCACACTATCGCAGCAGTTAGTCACGGGTAAGGTGGGAGATGATGTCTGTTTTCTGACAATCTGCAACTGGTAACTTTCCAGCGTTCCTCTTGTTCACACTCGGTGATTAATAATTCAAAATTGATTTCGGGGTCAAGAAAACCGGAGAGATGCAGTAGAGCTTTATGTGTCTTGGAACAAGCAATACTCCGGACAAGCATTTGGAACAGAGATTGTGATATCGTGTTTAGGCTGTGCGCCCGCCGAATAAAGTTGATTTCTTCGACGCTGAAATTGCGGGCGTTTCCCGGAGCTGTCTCGAGTGTTTCCACTGCGAAGATGTGTCGAATTTCGGATTTGAAAGTAGTTATCGCCGTTTTCACTCTCTTAAAAGACTTGCCCGAGCCAATGTAACTGATGTGTGTTGCTAATATCGCAAGAGCTTCATCGCTCCACATCTTGGGCGGATCCGACGCTACTGTTGAAACTCCACGCGGCTCCAGATGCTTAAGCATAGTCTTTAGCACGACGAGCTTTGGATACTTTTTAGATAGCTGTCAGTCGTTAACATTTGACTGCATCCAAATGTAAAAAAAAAAAAAGGGGGGGGGGGGGGGGGGGGGGGGCAAAACATCCTAGTGTTTTCGCACCTCTGACTCCTCTGGGGCTATAGCATTATGTTGCTCGGTGTGTAGCATGAGGACATCCTCCACGACGCAGGTCTCGAACACTTCTAGCAGCGAGCTTAGAGACTTTGAGACACTGTCGTATTTAGACTCTTCAAGGTCGCGATTGAGATTACGCTTGGGAAATAGCATAGGTATAACTTCCAAGGCGTGGCAGATCCGTGCATTATTGTTTTGGCGGCGGAGGTTTTTCTCATCCACGGGGAGCTGGTGAAGAGCCCACTCGAAAAGTGAATGGAGAGTCAAAAATAACTCCCACTGCGCTCGGCCAGGACCCTCAACTCTCAATGTAGTAGGAAACATTGGGGGCCAGCAAAGATGGTGTCTCCTCAATCCTATCGAGGGCCACGGGCCGGTAGCAACAGATGGAAGTCACGGCCAGACCGGTCTCCATGAGCAAGCATCGCCTCTATGTATTTTGAAATGCATTGTATTTGTGCGGGGTACTCAACTAGCTTCATTACTTCTCTCCTCGGTAAGTACATGCATATATTTCTTGTGCTTTATCTGGGGTTACACTGGCGCAACTGTTATTCTTATAACTCCGTAATGCGATATCTGGATCCAATAAGCAACAGAGGATTGTCCGACTGCACGCCTACATTGGCCTTGGGTCTGCTTTCTGTTTGCTACACGTACATGTACTCATTCTAGTTGAAAGGGTTGGGCTTGAAGGATTTCCTTGCTGGTTGTTCATTTCGCTTTTTCTTTTCCCATCCACTTTTTTTCCTTTTAAGCCTCGTATTAGGTGTTTACCTGGCAAGTATCTATATACTGATAAATACCTCACGCGGGATTGGTGTTTTGAGAGCTCAGTGATCACGGCAAATTCCGACCATGGCCACGCCGGCTGAAAAGAGACCGGGTCGCAATAGCGATATTTACGATATTGTTATTGATTGCACAGTACTCTTTGAGTTACTAGCCAAGCGATCCAAGCTTGAGCATGACAAGAACGACATCGGAGATGAAAAACGTAAATACAAAGACGGGAAGACGACTCTTGAAGACCAAATCAGCAGCTCGAGACCCAGCCCTGATGAAATGAAACGGAGCTTTAATATCTGGATTGACAACACTGGCGCTCTCGCTGCCGACCCCAGCAGATCTCTTGATACGCGCCTGCACACTCACCGTGATATCAAGAAGATGATTACTAATTTGCTCCAAATGCTCGTCAGGAATATCGAATTTCGCAAGTCTACGTTTCGAATCTGTGTCAGTTTGAAGAAATTGAATGCGCTGACGATGACTGTTTTAGTCCTCAAGGGCGAAAGTGCCAAGCCTACGGCCTCGAGCAGCAGCGATAGTGACGATGATGATTTGGAAGACGAAGCCAGGGATGCGATCGAGGAGGCCCTCGACGAGCTCCACTTTATGGCAGCTGCCATCCGCAGGTCTTCGGTACGCAGTCAAGAGTATAGCCTCTCGTCTCATTTCCACCGAGATGATGACAGCTATTTCCAAGAGCAGGTTTGTCTGGTCGTCCGATACTACTTCAGAGATGCTAGGCGCTCTCTGTGTGAGCAACTCGGTGCGTCTCTAGCTATACGCCGCAGCAAATTCTTCCAGAGAATGCGGCATGATGAGAAGCTCGGCACTAGACGCAATCCAGAAGAGTTCAAACAATCAACCAAGCCCATCCAAGGGCCTGTTGGGAGGCCGCAGCAACTTATTCCGGAGGAGAATCTCCCCAAACAGAAGCCAACCGTGCCATTCAAAGCTCCGCTGGCATCTGGCGACACGAGGAGTCAGTTGGATAGTGAAGTCGCTCGTCATCACCTCAGGCAAGGCCCGGCCCTCTCCACCATCAGCACGGGATCTTCTATCCGTCTATCTTCGGCTATATATCCCGATAAGCCCAAATTTGCAGACGGCGATATCAACTGCAAGTGTCCGTACTGCGCTCGGCCGCTCACGACTAATCGGCTGAAGAATGACCCAAAATACTGGCAGTGGGTATTGCCCTTCTTTCTAACGGACCCTTGCTTTGTTTAGTTTTGTTTCTGTTTCTCTCTTCGGGATAATTCTCGTCGCTGTGGCCTTTTATATAGCATATACTGACTGATACTTGCAGGGCAGGAACCACGTGGACGAGGACACAGAGCCCTACGTCTGCCTTTCTGAGGATTGTACCTCTCCCATATTGTTCTTCGTCCATATGAAGGACTGGATGAGCCACATGGTAACGTTGCACTCGGACGAGTGGCACCGCAACATACACATGACCACCTGGTACTGCGACGTCGGCCATGAGGCTGTACAGTTTAATGACCACGAGAGCTTCGTGCGACACTTGAAGGACCCGGCGAACCATACGGATCGGGATCCCCCAACCGATTTGCAGCTCGACACGCTCTCCCGGAGGAAGAAAAAGATCCTCGTCCGCGACGAGGAGTACTGCTGCCCCATATGCGAGTGCGTTCCCAAAACTCTAGAGCCGGTAATCGCGAGCAGCGACCCCGACAAGATCCGTCGATCTCTATACGAGCACATTGCAGTCCACATCAAGGACCTCGCCTTGAAGTCAATTCCTACTCTCCATGGGGTTGAGCCCAGTGAAGACAAACAGTCTGAGGTTGATGATGGAAGTGACAGGCGACTGAGAGGCGAAGATTCCACAGCATCGTACCCGAGTGGCCTTGATATGCTTCGGCAGGAAACAAGCCTGGCTTTCGAGGACGGCTCGGATGGAGTCAGTGGCGCGACAGAAGATGAGGATTTGGCTCACAAGTGGGACCAATCTATTGTTCCGGAAGAACCGAAAGAAGGAGAAGAATGGAGAGAATGGAGAGAATGGAAAGAATGGAAAGATAAAGCGGCTCAGGATATAGACAGGCCAGACCCCATCCTAGATCACTTCGCTCGGACCCAGCGACAATCCAACCAGTCATTTGGGGACGCTCGCCGGGATTCAAGTTTACAAGTAAATGTCTCTGTACTCATGAGTAGAGTTATTCTCACAGGTTTATTAGAGCGCAAGCCCCAAAATCATCGCTCTTTCGGGGGAACAGTCACCCCACCGATTGTCGCGGGCACAGTCCCGCTCATCAGAGTCGGACTCTCTTGTGGCTGAAGGTAGCAAAGGGAGACTTTTCGATGCCACCGATTCTGTTGACCAGGAAGAGTAAGTTTTACACATAAAGATCCTTATATTCGCACATCAAGTTGATGCCACCATCATGAACTGACAAGTGACCTGTGTAGGATACAAAAGGCGAAAGAATGGTTCCGCCATTTTGAAACAATTAAACACGAACTACCAGGAAGAGCAAGATTACCAGATGAGAGAATCAGGATTGGCGTGCTAGATACGGGCATTGATCTTGATAATA